GTTCATTCGAAGACCTTTTGTCTTCAAACAATAAATTTCATTGACAACGACTCGGAGTACCATCGTGTTCTAGACGGTCATCAATTGAATTTTAGAGACTATATTTGCCTCCAAAGAAACACTTCAACAAGTTCATTTAGAAATCAAAGAAGTTAAAAATATCGTGAATTTGATTCGGTTCGGTTTTGATACAAAAATTGTGGGAAGAATTTATTTCGAGACGTTCACATTTGTGGCGCTCTTTCAACATTTTTTGACAATCTTTTTTTGGTCTTTTCCCATTAAATGTAGTATCACTTATTGAAATCTGGGATGGCTCATAATAGCTCCGTCTCCTGGGACCTTTCTCATGTCTCTTTCTTGCATTATCTTCCGTTAGCACCTTCAGTATTGCATTGCGGGCAGGATCAGATCTAAAAGAGGGGTAACCTTTCAACCATGGGACATTCCTATCGATAATAAAAAGATCAAAGAAACATTAACAGGTCTGCCATTTTCTTTCAACACATCGTGACTCCAATCCGCAACTGTTTTGTACTTGTCGCGGTTTCGGATGTTGGCTATGCAACGCCTTGAGACAAAGGAACCATCTTCCGCAAAATATTCTCTTACACACAAAGAAAAGTGCTGGAAATTGAGGCCACGCTTCACATGTTGCGCTTAATTCCCAATTTGAGATGATTTGAGTCTCGCGTATCTATGTTCGCCACAATCTCTTTACCATTTGCCTATTTGGGATCATGCAACTGCAGAGGGGCGGAAAGTGTAAGTAATTCCGAGTTTTGCGCCAGAGAATTCTGGAAATGCAGCTGATCACGCTTTCGGAAATAATTGTCTAACAGTTAATTCTAGGCCCCCGGGCTGTAAAACTCAAGCCTTAGAGTCCACCACCACGTCGACAAAGTTTTTAACTATGGCTTAATAATTCGGAACGTTTCCCAGCTTTAAGCCAGGGGGGCTTCTTTCACCGCAACAAGCTTGCATTGCAGCGTCAGCATCCTACTGTTTTGGAAGGGTAAGCTACTGAATTCGGCGATTGTACCACCTGAAATGGAAATGTCATTGCAGTAGTGGGGCGCAAGGAGACGGTCAGGGTCTGAGGCTCTAGGTTCATTCTCGTGGGAGAGCCAGCACCGACACCGTTGGATGTATTTGATCTAGCCGATCCACTACCATCCCGCAAAAAGGGACCACACTATGGAGTACTATATTTGACTTTTTTGTTTTCCAGGCCCCGCCTAACTGCATTTACCACGGAGGTCGTTTGACTATTTTTAGCTACGATCGAACCAGTTTGTCAAAATTGGTGAATAGCATCAACGATGGCAACTGCTCTAGAACGACCAAGGCTACTTCGTTATTTCCAAGGTTCTTGTACTAGACTACCAGCACAAAATCCAGCATGAACAGCTAGAGTACACCACTTAAGCACCTTGTGGGTGGATACCCTTAGTCAGATGCCCTGAAACTTACACAAACACAGTGCTTACAGATATAAGCCACCGACTAATAAACCCATGTTGAATGCAAGTGACAATGTTCATGCGAAACACCATTGAAAACTCCAAGACTTTTGCGTTCCCCACCATATTTTGAACACCTTCAGTAAACAGACCTTTTCTCAATTATGAAGCTGAAGTCTGTTGCCCGAACCATCCTTGGGCCAGCCGTCGGAGCATAAGATAAGGTAGTACTAGAGACCCCGCTGAGGCTATGCCCGGGACCCAAAAGCAGGCAGGATAGGCGAGTTGCAACACGTGTGGGCCACGTGGAGGTGACCAAAAAAGAAAATGCGCTGTGTCGGTTCTGTTTGTATCTGTTGTTATTTCCGTGAGTTCTTGCAGGATGATTTAGAATGAGGGGCGGGAGCACGGCAGATCGACTGCATAAGCGATGGAGCATGATGATTTCATCACCCCATCTCTAATATTGCCCCCCGATACCCTGGACCCCCTGTCAGAAGCCAGGAGAATGGGATGCTTGATAGTCGATAACGTGCTGGCGGGGACGAGATTTCAGCTGGTAACGCCAGCATGGCTAGCGTGCTTGATAAAGTTAGAACACGACCCTGTGGATTCTAGCTCCGGTCTTCTACAATAGGATTGTGACGCCAGGCGGGATATAGGCGGGAAGAGATACATTGGATGTTTCTGGGCGTTTTGGACGTGCCATATGATCGCTATGCGAAATGGGCGGCCCTAGTTCAGTGAAGAATGTCGGAAATCACGGTTCAAATTTAGGCCGAGGTTGACAGGAGACCGAAGGCTTTGTTCAAGATTGACTCAATTAAACCATGTCCATCTTGCATAAGGTCGTTAACTAGGCAAAGCGCACGTCCAAAGCTCTTACCTAGGGCGAGTGGATCGGGGAGCGTACGCGATGCCACCAATGCTGGGCGCCTTGTCCGACATCGCCGCGATTGGAGCGACGGGCATTTGGCCTTAAGCGTTGGCAGGTTGGTATGGAGGGCAAATGTGATAGGGTACATGACTTGTCTTCGAATGGGCACCCCAGGAGCTTTTCCCAGATTCGGTTGGCGACCCGGTTCATTCTGCATCCAGTGTAACAAGCTGAAGAAGATGGACACGTCGGAGTTAGCCGTGCGGGTGCGCGGACTGGGTGTTCTTTTGGGCCTTTTCTCTCCCCAGTATTCAAAGTATGTGTGAGTATTCGGGTTTTGACTTTCAGTGACACGGACCAAAATTAGAAAAGCGAGCCAACCACCCAGAAGAGAGGGATGGACTGCTGCGTGTCATCTCCTCCGAAAAGATGGAGGGGGGGGGAGGCACATTGGGCCAGGGATGGCTGCAGCAATTGTCCACCGCCAGGAACCTTTTTCTAGGAGGTCGCTAGAAGGCCCGCTATGCAATCCCACCCAAGCATCCGGGGTCGAGCAGCGAGAGTGATTGGTGCGAAGGGCTGCGGCAGGGGTTATGGGCCCAGGATGAGGGTTGAAGGCTTACAATTCCAGCTGGGGACGTGGGCGTCATGAGCGGTGAAGTCGATACGCCTGCTGCGCACAGAGATCCCCGAAACGGTAGGGGAAGGGGTTGGCTGATCAGTTCAGCCCTACCCTGAGGTCTTTGCCCTCTGCAGTAAGTGCACTAGTTTGACGAGATGACATGGTGTCCCAGTGTTCTGGTGTTCTGGCTGGACAAGGCTGTACTGACCCGCTGCCCACGTCGATAACACAAATACTTGATTAGATTGTTTTTATTTGTGTATTTGTGTCCACACGTCCAAAGAAAACGCACTGCCCCAATCCAGAACTAGATAATGCCAGTGGATTGGTTGCCTTTCCCCCGGGATTCGGGTTCGGGTGGAAATACAAAGCGAAAAAAAAAAAGGGAAAAAGGGAAAAGGGAAAATGAAAATCATAACAAGAAAACACTAGTAATAAATTGATAAATAAATTATTCTAAACAGACTGACCTTCCTAGCTAAGTATCCATCACGATAGATAACATAGAACGATGAATTACATACTGAATTATAGCGGCTAGTTAGTCGTAACCCTCAAGGTATGTATGAACTAGGTAATATTGTTCGTCGTCTAGCCTTGTTTAGGGCAATCAATCATGCTCCAAAAACCCACCCGGGTAAGCACCTTGCGAGTACGCCGCATCCCATCTGCAGATGACGCCAATCCCACAATGTTCAAACGATACCCCACGACCTGTTATCATAGAATCATAGAAAAAGAAAATATTCACTTCTTTCCTCCTCGTTTGAATGTATCCTACCTAGAATGTTACATCCAAACCATTTCACATACAAAGCACTGTACCGCAACACTGGACGAGGCTAATCCGGGCGAGGATTAGGGTTGGTTCCGTGGGTGCACTTACATACGAACGGTCCAATGGTGAGCCAGCTAGAGCGACCTGCCTAGGGGCTAAGGAAATCGGGAATGATTAGGCGATGTCTTGCCCCTCTCTTTACCCTTTGTGGGAGTTGGTCTTGGGTGGGGGCGATTTCTTCGTCTTCTGGTCACTGCACCTCAACAACAGAACTCTTTCTACAAAAATTTGGAATGGCGTACAGGTTACCAGTTATGAACGTCTCTAAATAGCTCTTCTACCCCACCAGTCGGACTCCGGGTATGGGGATCACCGCACGGGTCAGATCTTTAACCCTCTAGTCCGTTGCCAAGGGCCAAAACGTGGCAGTACTGGTCTTTCCAATGCTGTATTCACGCGACTGCTATACGCATTCCCCCGTTTCAAGCCCCCCTGTCCTATCGCGTCTCAGGCCAGTCAGGATGATGCGAACGTTGCCTCCCCCGGTCCAGATACGATTCTTGCCGGGACCTTTGGGTCTCGTACAACGTCTGGGAATACGAATGGCGTACGACCCAGGGTTTTAATTTTTATTTCGCATCCACCCCCTCCTTTGCAATCTTGGTGTTCCAAACCGATGGCTGCCGATAATGAGGAGGGGGCGGGTGGCCAAGATGCATGAACAAGTGCAAATGGCCTCATGGGGTTGGCGATATGCGTGGGCTAGTCAACCAATGTACCAAGTAGAACTGACCGGGAGGAGCGTGTAATGAATAGTATTCGTTCCGGCCGTAACGAAATCGCTCCGTGCATCCTGTCTAGGAAAAAACGGGCCCCCAGATTGGGTGGCCCAGGACCCGGTCGAGGCTGAACCGGAATGATCCATGCCCGCGCCATGCCATAAATATTTTATTTTATTTTTTGGGGGGGTTTTCATGGTAATCATCCGCTTTTGTTATTTGAATTTCATTTAATTTTTCTAAGCCCAATACACATGGCACTGGGCACGGGCCTGTCCAGGTTATTTACGGGGCTTAGCAATCTGCAAGGCCCGAGAAGCTGATCTACTACCCAGACATACGGGCTTAGAGAGCCCCATCTCCGAGTCCGAGTATATAATCAATCTAACCGCCGCCCCTCCTCTCATTTGTGATCGCCCAGGGTCTTGTTAATCATCATATATACCTTTTTTGGTAGCCTTCTTCTTTCACACATCCAGCCATGCATCGCTCTACTTACGACGCCCGTTCGGGCTCCCGTTCTACCAACCACAGCAACAGCAGCGCTTTCAGTCCCAACGCAAACCCTAACGAGGACTGGACAAAGATCTCAGATCTCGCAGAGCGCCGTCGCATCCAAAATCGCATCGCGCAACGCAACTATCGTGAGTCCCTTCATTCACTTCTCGCGTACTGGCCCTCTTTCCCGAAGAACTATACTTACGACTACACTCATAGGCAAGAAGCTCAAGCGCCGTCTCGAGGATCTAGAGAGACGTGCTGCTTCTTCGGCTTCTCCAGAGCAATCCCATGCAGAGCCTGTACTCCCAAAGGCCACCAACAAATCCCGCCCTAAGCAGCGCGGCAGCAAATCAGATGTGAAAGCGCAGCATCCCTCGCGCGCCCCAGTTTCGGAACGACCAGCGTCCTACGAGTATTACAGCACTCCTGATGAGCGCAACATGTTTGCCCAGCAATGCACTCGACAGCTCTCCGCTTCTCCACCTCCAGTCTTCTCATATCCCCCGATCCCAACATACGACACCTACCGACAACCTTATTCCCAGCTTCCACTCTATCACAATGTTCCCGCCACATACAACGAAATGTCATTTGCGGGCGACTATGGCGAGCCAGTCAACTCTGGGATCCCCATGATTCCAGGAACTGCGATGGGTGTTGGCCGGAAACAGGTCTACGAAGAGGAGATGATTAGTCCATTCAGCATGAGCTACGCTTCGATGGCAGGCATTGATCTCTGCGCACAACCTCCACAAGCAGAGCCCGGTCTTCCGGTACATTTTCCTCGCTGAATTTCTTTTTCATTCGCATCACAACGGCATTGGGCTAACCTTGTCTTTTTCTGGTTTGCTTGTAGATGCCTTCGCTTTCCTACGCCTACACAGATGACCAGCGCACGGCTTCGACTTCTCCAGAAGCCTCTATCTTCGCATTTCCTCCCACGCCAGAATCTCCACCCTGCTCGCCAAGGTCTATGCCGGGTCTGTTTGAGTACGATCTGCGGCCATAGAATTGTAAGGCATGCATCAGCAGTGGTTGACCTGTGGGGGCCAGACGACGCGTCAACTCTCGATTCCGACCGTTCCCAAATATCAGGAGCAACGACATTACCGGCTTTTCCTTGCAGGGCCTAGTCATCTGGCTTTCAAAAGCTGCGTTGATCTTCAGTGTCTGGAGTGGGACGGGATTTGGCCGCCATGTCCTTTACGGTCTCCAAGTTTCCATTTGGACCCCCACTTTTTGAACTACGGGGCTTTTTTTTTTCTCTTTCTTCCTTTTGTATTATGTGTGACGAGCGAGCATCATCTTGGCGTTTTATTGCAGCTTCCTAGTCATTCTATATTGATGTCTTTATGATCGTGTATTGGTACAAGCCTGGTGTTGGGGGCGGGAAAGGAAACAATCAGCCGTCAGGAAAGACCGGCATGATTTTGATTATTTTACGGAAATTGTGGGCAATATTGATCAACTAGAAATGACAAATGCAGAACCTCCTCTTTTTTTCAGAACAAATGACCCCGTCACCGGGTTCTTTCGAGACATCTAGTCTAATTTCGAACGGCCGGCTCCAGTCAATAACGTTTCGATCTCCAATCACGATTGGCTGTCAAGCTCAGGACTTGAACTCCGCTTGGCCCCCAAAACCAGATCCACCTGAGTAATCTAAACACGGTAGAAAGCTGCGGTATTTTAAGGCGTCCCGGCGTCACGCAAAGCCACGGCCCCCAGAGCCTTGGGTGGCACTAGGCGCATCTATCTCCCTAATGCCCATAATTGGTACTCCGTGCTCCGTCGTCGATCGACCAAGCAGATAGCACGATGAGGTTGTCGCATCAAAACGCCGTAAAAGTGATGAAACAACGCCGATCTGGCTCTTTTCAGTGCATGGGATAACTAATCATTATCCTATTGTTGCCAACTAATGTGCCATGTTCCTCTTGAGCCGGTATACTGGATGCTGACTGCTGATCGACCCATACCCCCAGCTTGAGTCTGCAGCCCCTTTAGTACTTTTGCCTCTCGCCCCGCTGTCTACAAGTGCGGAGCACACTGCGTACTTGCAAATCACATCCAGTCCACCATATACATAGTTTACTTTGTCCTGGTCTTTATCGAGGTACTCCGTGGATCCTAGTATACATATGACCCGTACAGCCAACAAAGTTTAGATATCGGAGATTCAACTGTTTGGTTGCGCTCGTGGCCAAAAATACAAGGTCAAAAAGCCATGTGGACTCCGCCCAAACCATTGGGATTCGCTGGTCATTGCAGAATCTCCCGACACTGCATCACCCCCTTCCAAGGGTTTCATCTCTTTCAAGTTCGAGTTCTTTTTCTACTCTGTACTTCGTACCACTCAAATGCAATATGGTAATCCCTAGGTGATCAGTTTTGGGGGCCATTAACTACCCTTCGCCTCCTTATCCCCTTGGGAATTTTCGGCCACAAGAAGCCAAAACCCGAAAATCTGCGGGTAAATGATGCAATCTTCGCCAGAAACCCCTCCCTTGACTACTGGCCACACTGTCGGGTCACAACAGGCGTTAGTCCTGTCTGCTAACATTTGGCACCTGCCTGAAAGGCATCAAATCGTATTTCACTAGAAGTGACAACGTGCTGCGCCTCCTTGATCTGGATTGGGGGAAAACCCCCCTCTCCTGATGTGATGCTGCCGGGCGTCTGCACCTGCACTCACATCCATCCATCCACCCACCATGGCTAACACCCTTTGGTAACCAACTCGGCACGAAATGTCGTCGGATTGGCGATGTTCCGGCGGGTCCAAGTCACCCCGGGCGAAGAGCCGCCTGTCTTTGGATCTCGTTCGCTGGTGTCCGCCATAGGGCGGCCGCTAGGCAGTCGCCGCGTAGACTGGGCGATGTAAACGAAAGCGAACCCCGGTGGATTTGGTGGTCGGTGCGTCCATCCAGAGCACAGGAGCTGGGATCGCAGCTCGGACCGGGGATAAATGATGCGATTCCATTTTTGTTAAATTGTGGGAATTTCCCGGCCAGCCAGGGATGGGAATGGGAATGGGAATGGAAATGGGGTTGATAGGACCACTGAGGGTCCCGCTGTATAGACTCGGTCTAGTTCCGTCCGCTCCGCCGATGATTTCGGCCGTTAGGAGTCCACTGGCCCAAGGAGGTTTGGCTCGTCAGGGCAGGGGTGGGTGTGATGATACTTTGTGACTACGGGCTCTCGTACAGCCTGTTGGCGTTGGCCATGTCTCTGGGGTCCCTGGGTCGAGGGCTAGATTGGGGCAGTAGTTCGTCGCTAAAGGGTTGAAGACCCAGCTCCTTGACTGGACCCTCACCTGGAACCCGCTTTTGCCATCATGCACGTTTGGGGAGGGCTCCTTTTTCTAGTTGTGGTTAGCGTGCAGGATTGGCTCTGCCCGTCGATTCCCATACCCCAATTGTACTAGACGCAAGCTGGTCTCGGCACTCGCTTGCTGAGGCTTTCGACAGGGCAGAATGATATTCATTTGCGAGGTGCCACTCTGTCGGTACCCAGTTCTGCAGGCGTTGTACGAAGTACAGCATCTGGTGGAGAGAGACGATTCACCCGCGCTAACCTTATCGCGCGTACCAGCGATGGACATTGTGGTCATTCCTACCGAGATGATTCTAAATACGGACTATGCATTTTCATATATCTCAGGAAGACTGGATGGTCTTCCGTACGCTGTGCTTTTTTTCTGCGGCTTATAACCAGACAGCTGGGATGTCTACTCCATTTCTCCGTACATGAGGGCTTCTCAAGCGCTAAGATTGGTGATTCCTAATTTGAATTTTTGCTTGGCGTGGAGAGCTGTTATCCACCTCTAGATGCGGATCAATTTTTCAATTTTCATTTCCCCCTATCCCAGTACTCATGAGAGAAAGTAGCGCAGGGCAAATTAAGGAGATATCTTTAAACTCCGAAGTCCGTACTCCGTATGGAGTACTTCGTATGGAGTAACAGAGTTCAAAACATTGACGATCACAAGTGGAGCAGCACCTGCGTCACGTCAAACGAAAGAAACAAACAGATTAGGCCAGCTTCAGCTCAGGCCAGTACCGTCAAAGCTGTTCGAACAGGGCCAAGGGTCGGCACAAAAACAATCCGGAGTTCCGGGTTTGTGACGAATCTACATGACAAGGCTGTGTGAGATGATCCCACCGCGATAGGTATAGTTTCGAGTTTAAAAGAAAAAGAAAAAGGGAGGCGAAAAAGGGGGGAGTTAGAGCGCGGGGCTGCCCTATTTCCTGGGACCAGTCAGATGGCATTACACGGGAAGCGAACGGCCACGGGAATCGGAAGGAGACCGAAACGTTGAGTAATCCTTCAAATCAGATTAAGCACTTTGCGACTGAGTCAAATTAAGTTGCCCCACCGACCAAGGGTACTCGATGATGAATCATGATTCATGGGGAGCATTCGGCCTCAACCGCTAAATTTCTGGGTCAATACAGTAGTGCTCGACACTAATGCTGGGGCCAATTCCAGAACTGCAGAGAAAACATGCTTCCATCAGACCTGCAACAGATTTCTCCACCGAAATGACCTCTCGTGACTACGGAGATTTTTTTTTCGTCAGTAACTATCATTACCATAGCTGGCTAGTTCCTCCTCTGCAATTAATTTGGCCCCAAACTTGTTCCGTCTCGCGGGCGTGCCCGACCGAAATCAACTTCTTCTGGGGCCGTTTTGTTTTCTTTCACTTTCTTTGTTCCCCCGACTGCGTAGCGGTATGATACCAACCCCACTTTGACATTTTTTTTTAAAAAAAAAAAACGAATTTGAATATTGCAGCGAGCAAATTACTCGATCGGCAATGGCCATGTGAAACCGGGTCCATTTTCATATCCAATAATGGATCTAACTGAATTACCATGGTCCATACTATGTACGGAGTACGTACAGTAATGACACACTCTCCATAGTACACTTTCGAGTTTTAAATGAATTTGATCTAAAATGAATCTACGAGAGTATATGCGGAAAAGAAAACAATATAGGCACAAGCCTCAAGTTTTCAAACATGTCCATGTGATTTACGCAGGTTACACAGTCTGAGATCCCGATCCCATGGATTTCCAATAGGGCCAATCAGGAAATGCAACAAAGGGGTCACATTTTGTGCTGCTTTACAAAAGTCATTTCTCTCTAGTCAGGTCGGTTGCGTACTGCTGTATAATTCTTCCACTAAATCGTGGAATCCTTGTTTCGAGAGTGCTCTATCATCTTTTTCCTTGAGCAAAGAGACGGGCAATTAATCACATTAGTGACATGGTTATCAGCCGGCCAAAGAAAGTGACAGGGGTAGCCCCTAGTTATCAGGCAATTAAAATTTGTTCGAAACTTCAAAGAACAGGTACAGACATGCACAGGCTGCCGTAGGACATTGAATGGAAGTTGGACAAAAGTATAAGATGCGTCAATGTTATCGGCGTCGCCGAGGTCAGGCGCGGGGACTCAAACCCCTACAGATCCCGAATAGAAGGGGCTGGGTCACTGGTTGCCTTACTTAATTTTACTTTCTTTGATATTTTAGATTTAAATTTTGGCGTGTGCCGTATCCAATCGTATCTTCAAAGGCAGCGTACCCTGTCTTGATCATAACAGCCCGTAATGCCGTCCACCTACGTCAAAAGATCAGGCAGTCACTGTCGAAAGGAGACCTGATTTGTAATTGCGGCTGCCTTGACTTCACATAGCCCTTCGATTTACTTTTACATTTCCGGGGCATATTGAGGAAATTTCACGATTAGTATCTTCTGATCTCTAGTTTGAGACTCGCGATTTGAAATCAGACTGCTCAACTACGACAGGGTATAACTATACGTCATCTTCATGACGCTGTTGCTACCTGGTATTATGCAACTGCGACCGTAGCTATTTTCATTTAGAGTCAGGCCGAGATATCAGGCGTCCATTACTATCAATTTTCCGATCAATGAGCATGCGTTGCGGCTGTATTTTCTCCGAGTCTGTGCATGATGATTACTATTCCGTGGCATACTCAGCCCTAACCTCTAGGTGTGAAAGAAGTACCAAGCCAGTTCAAAACGAACGGGGTATTATACAGTGTTTCCCGTGTTTCCCGGAGCCGAGTCGGTAAGCCAGGACATGAGGTTTAGTAGTTAATCTTTGCTTTAAGCGCCTTCCTAAAAAGGATCATTGGCATTGTCCGAGCTTTAGTGTTATCTGATGCCATCGCCTATGCAGATGGGATAATTCTCTATGTGTACTACCTTGTATGATACCAAGACTCGAATGATAGCCACTCTAACACACCTGACCACAATATTCAGCTATCTCGGAATCTGAATAAAAGGTCGAAGATCTTATTGCAGCATGGTAGCCAAGGCTCCTTATCTATCTCCAGGGCTTTTTTTTAGTAGCCTGATGATCCTAGGGAGCTCCCATATCTTGGAGGAAAATCATGATCGCACTACTTGAGCGCTTATTTGGGGGGGGTTTTTTTCTCTCCTTATATTCAATATTCATGAACTAAATAGCAAGAAACATTTCGCAGGCATGTAATTTCAAAAGTAATATCCAGGGCTCAGAGTTTGCTGGAGCCGATATAAGGAATGTTCTGAGACTCATAAAGATCCTTGTGCGCAAACTTGATCATATCCGCCGCCTAGAGAATCCGTTAGTTTTCATTCAAGATACTAAAGAGTGGTGACAAACCTTCTCGCCGATCATATAGACCGAGTTTTGAATACGACAATCAGGGATAACAGGGATCACAGAGGCATCCGCAATCCGCAAGTTGCTAATTCCATGAACGCGAAGCTTCGAGTCAACCACGCCTTGGTGAATATTCTTCGAGAGGCGGGCAGTACCGCATGGGTCTAGAATTATATTAGCATTGCATGTTAATCCCAGCAAAATGCTTTATCACTCACGGAATCCAGTCTGACTGCGGTCCAGAACAGCTCTCTTCATCTCTTCGTCAGACTGAAGGGGCATTTTCCAAGGATACTCCCCAAGGACAAGATCCTTGAAGCCAACACCATTGGTGAGAACATCATATGTCCAGCGGACACCTTCACGCATGGCCATAATATCCAAATCATTGCCGAAGAAGTTGAGGTTGATGTTCGGCTGCACCTGCGAATTGTTGCTGTTCAGGGTTACTTCACCCTCGGATAGAGGTCGGAGCAGATCCACGATGACGGTCATGTAATTCCCCTTCTCAGGAACTGGGTAATGCCACTGGAACGCTGTGCTGAACATTCCAACGAAATCAAGCTCGAAATGAGGCTGGCCTGCTGGTCCGAATGGATCCAACCCGCCATTCGCAGCCTTTGCCTCCCGATAAGCAGGGGATTTCTCAAGTCGCTCGTCAATACGTGGAAATCCAACAAGTTCCAAGAGGCCAGAGCTGAGAGGTCCCGTCTTATCACGGTTATAGCTGGCAATTGTTGCGTCATTAAGAGGACCAGAGCGAAGTATGTGATCGTCAAGACCGAAACCATCCTTAATCTGTAGAACGAAGGGGACAATCGGGTGGTCGAGCAGATGCTGACCAACATGAGGAGAATCCAAAACAGGCTTGATCTCATGTTTGGCCAGTTCTTTGACAGGACCAACACCACTAAGCATCAGAAGCTTAGGGGTCTCGAAGACACCCTGAGACAGGATGACCTCACGGCTCGCATAAACATTGATTTCGGTGCCAAATTCTTGGCTGGTCACAGTGACACCAGAGCAGATCTTTGTAGCCGGATCTATGATCAAGCGCTTTGACTGAACTCCGTAAAGGATCGTCACGTTGGGCTTGTTTTTCAAATAAAGAAAACTACCCTGTCGCTGGCCTTGGTAGATGGTATCCACGCAGTGCGTGAGACCTTTCATTTCGCCGGAGAAGATATCTTCGGTGAGAGGGTGGCCCTTAGAAACCCATGCTTGAGTGAGGGCATCGCGGAAGGGCTTCATCTCCGGGACCAATTCGGCATGAGAAATTTGCACAGGGCCTCCAGATCCAATCTTGGCCAGGTCGGTAGGATAAAGCTGTTCATCGTCGTGATACGTCGCACACTTGCGAAGATAGTCCACACAGCTGTCCCACGTCCAGTCGGGGCCACCAAAGGCTTCCCAGTCATCAAAGGTGGGCTTTGAGCCGGGAATCCAAGTGAAGTAATTGGCACAAGAGCTGCCCCCAAGAGCTTTTCCACGGGTGTTGGGCTTTTCGACGCGCTCGTAGTCATCACGTTTGATCATCGTGGTCTTGTAGGCCCAGTCGTATTTGCTCCCGCGCAAGTTGAAAGCCTTAGCAGGAGTAGTAATTTCATCGATCTGGTCCGGGTTGGGAATACCGGCTTCAACGACCAAAATTCGAACGTTGGGGTTTTCGGCCAGACGACCTGCAACAGCATTGCCGGCCGTACCGCCGCCCACGACGATGAAATCGTATTCAGAGCCGTTTGAAACGAAGGCCATTGTGACGTTGTAAATTTGTTGATGGATATGAGTGAAACTTGAGTGTTCTTGTCGAACAATGTGCTTGAGATATCGAGGATGAAAAACGTATATTGATGCGACGGTCGGCTGCTCTTATATCCATTTTCAAAATTTGAGATATTTCTCTGTGCTGTGGAAAAGGCTCAGCCTGTGTCATTGCCGGTATCCGAGATGGCATTCTGTCGCCGAGTAAAGGCCGCCAAGAATATCAATATCGTTGCAGTGCGTTTGTTTCGGATGCTTCTGGTGAATGGTGCAGGAGGCTGCTTATTCGTAAGTTACCCCTCATGAGGAGAAGTGAAGGACCATTTCCCCTCACCGACACTGGGCCAATCAGGGAATTCTCTCTTCGCAATTCCTAAGCGAAGCTTAGCTTTAGAATTAATCCATGAAAAATCCATGTTTAGCGCTAGACGAGTAATATCTATAAAAATTAAGTTACTACTGTTTGTTTGTTTTTTTTGCACTGGCAGCTATGCAATGGTCATCGGCCCTCAAGTCTACTCTACGGGTAAAGAACTTCAAGCCGGTAATGCTTTCAACTTCTAAGCACGTTTCTTTCATTGCTATTTTTGTTTTCTTTTGCTTTAGGATTTATTTTTAGATGCCAGTTCATCATTATGTGGATAGTAATTTCTTATCTGCTTTAGCGACAACGCCTTCGAATGTAATTTAATAAGTTCCGTCGGCAAGAGCAAGGGAATGCATCGGTTCACTGCTATTTTTGGTGGTCAGCCGGATAAATTCGATAAGCTCTCCAGGGCTGTCTATTGAAACAGTCTTTGAGTGTATCATATACCTACTTTGTGCCGTAAGGAGATGGCAATTCACATGTCATTATGGGGTTTTGTGTCCAGAGAGATGTCACTGCGTAGTAAATATTGACAAAGTCAAATACCTGCCGCTGTACTCCGACTCACGGAATATTCTCGGTGGTAGATCGGCATTGCGCCCGGCCAGGCATCGTTATGAATAGCCGGCCCGAGAACCAAACATCTGTCCCAAATGACAGAGATGAAATATACGTCTGACACACTCAAGCTACCTAGGTACAGATTAACTTTTTCTGGAATCGTTCCCCGTGGCTTTTGGGCATTTTGTGACATCATGATGTTTCCCAATATGCATATGTCAAATTTCGGAACTCGGCATTTCTAAGATCGAACCTAGCATACGTTCTAAGTATCTCATGTTACAATCCATTTTCTCCTCTCGGGCTTTTCCCCTCACGAAGCTCCCGAAATAGAGACCCCAACAGATCGGAGATTCTTCGGATAACGGCCATATGTCGTTCGCGCCAAGGTAAAATGACACTAGGTAAATTTGAATTTTTTAGAGCTGACTAGCTGCTTTCGTCGTAATGAAAACGTGCATCAATTATTTACTCCGTGCTGTCGTGAAAACACAAAAGAATTTTTTTTCAGAATATTAACTTATCTTACATGAGCTCCTAGTATGAAAACGATCAATCTCAAGCTGATACCTAGGTACTACATAGTGAAAGATGGGAATCGCACGCTGGCTGTCTGCGTGAGCAGACGGGTCAATCGCAGGAAACAAAACCACTACACCCGTAGGGTGCTTGAACTGATTAATGAGTTGTATTGGCCGGGCAGATAAGCTTGTTCCCAGTACTGAACTAGTGGAGCTTCATCTCTCTCAGTAGATCAGATAGCGGTCATTTTACGAAGCAGGGATTGATTCATGAACAGGAAAAGATTGGTTAATTCTCAAAATTAGAACTGCGCGCGCTACATATCTCACCACCAGAGTGGACACCTTATTGCTGAGGTGCCACGTCATGGGATCTCTGCTTGTTGAAGAGCGAGAATCCCCATTACACTAGGTAGTAGGGAAGAACCGCACTGTCTATTTATAGTGGCTGGGCGTACATGCATATACGAGGACAGCCTTTTGTGAGATTGATCTAATTTAGCCGTAGATGTGTTCCGGAAAGTATGATAGACTTCTACTATACGCATATGTTTTCACTTGTTGTAAAGACCGCCATTGTCTACCGGATAAAGTGCTAGGAGCTTGTGTTTCCTTCATGGCCGGGACAGACATTGAAGTCTGAAACGTGTGGGCTTTTCCGGATGGAATCGGAAGAAGCGCCTATTTCAATAGCATTACTGGCGACTCCGGGCAGAAAATCATTGCGGAAAATGCATGCTCGTGATCTACTAGTAAGAGGATCTTCCATGGTACGCGGTCTTGAGAAATCTCATCACCCGTGTACACTTTCCCTATTAACTATCCACTGTTAAGTAGAATTCGAGTGTAATTAAAACACACTAGCAGAATGTTCAACCTGCGGAACTTCAATTATCCTTGGCCTGAATTCTCATCTTCTTCTAATGGTTCAATTCGAGTCATTGGGTCACCTAAAACTTGGAACTGCCAGGGGCGTACATTGTCAAAAGCAATATACTGTTCCAATTGAAGGAAACGGCCATTTCAAGTCCTGGGAATCATGTGTATTTCTCGTAATTGAGAGAAATCATATTCTAGTGTGGCATGTATTTCTGTATAAATCAAGTTCCAAGGTTGTTCCGTCGGTATGTCAGTGATGCATACCTCCAAGCTGAGAGCTGAAGGTCTCTCATTCTCTTTTCCTTTTTCAACAATCTTATGTTCAACCTCGTTCGGTCCTAGTAAATCATTCGGAAAGAAAGACCAATCCTTTTCTTCCGAGTCTTCCACTTATTTATGTTAAGAGGGTTTTCTTTTCCAGTGCCATGTGATACGACTACATCTCCACTTTAAGATATGTCGATTCCATCAATCATAGGTTTCTTCCGCGTTTGAATACCAACTCCATCTTTGAAGTTGATGTAGCAGCCAAGATAGCCCGTCTACTTGGCGGGCCATGCCAAGGTCGGAGCCCAGCTAAAGATGTTTAGACCCAAGACAGGAAACATAACAAGCGTCCCCAAGGTTCTCAATATTGCTGGGCATGCGGCATGCTCCGAGTTGTATCTGACAACTCAACTCGACCTCATGAACGATCACCAAAAGCTATTGAAATAATACAAGTGAAACATGAGTCAAAGAAGCGAACTATCACCTTTTGAGACTTTCATCTCCTCACTCCTATCAAAACGAATTCATTTGATGGGACAATCATAACATAGCTAAAGTGAGGTCCGAGGGCGCCAAGTAGTTGACCCTGCTTGGCACATTGGGGTCTATGAACGGCTCCGAAATGAGGTCGGCTGGGAGGCATATAAAGCTGGAAGCCTTGGCTGCAAAAAAGTAAAATCAATTCACCTTAAGAGATATCTTTCAAACATTCCAAGGTTGCCACTATGAAATTCACTCTTCTTGCCATGATTGCCCTGGTCTCGGGTGCCATTTCCCAGACAACTACAAGTGAAGACCCAGGCCCTTCTCCCACAGCTTCGGTGGGCTGTGAACCGCACGGTGATCACTGGTAAGACTGATTTCAGTCTCTCTCAAAAATTTTCTACTTCATTTTGCTGACAATACTGCTAGGCATTGTGATGGTCCCGCATCCGCAACAGCAACTACATCCGCATCCGCATCCTCCAGTGAAGATACCACAACAAGTGCCACCCCAACTTCCCCCAGCCCAACTGAGTCAGTGGGCTGCGAGCCCCATGGAGACCACTGGCACTGTGATGGCCCAGCAGAGACTGGTACGGACAGCTCGTCAACTGCTTCCGCCTCTAACGCGGCCGAAACTGGAGCTGCCGACATGGTGGGCGCCAAAATGATGCCCGTCTTTGGTCTCGCGGTTGGTGCTGCCGCACTCTTTGTCTAATTGAGTCACTGGATAATTTTTGTGTTGGACCTTTAAATTTTACTGGCAATTTATCTACTAATAGTAGTCTTGCAAAACCTCATGTATTGTCAGGGTGTCCCGTTGGCAATGATATACTTCATGTTGGGAAACAATTGGTCGCAATGGAAGTTCGGTATTTGCCCAGGTGGTGATAAATATGAGTAGCCTTCCTCAATCATATCGAGTAGTGCAGGATTCAAACAAGTCAAAACTTCTTTTCATGTACACTTTCTGGTGACAAATTCAGTAGAGAAATTTGAAAAATATTCATAGCATAGGCAAGCTGGCTACATAAAGAAAAATGAAGATCCAGCAATCGTGCGGTTCGTAGATAGGAGCCCACAACTATATCGACATGGCGAGGAGAGACCAGTATCACCCGAGCTCGACTTAATAGGCCCTTGATCTAAGAAGAAAAATTAATTCCTACATCCATAGCCGAAAAACTGCGAGGAAGACTGACGCTCCGCTCTTGGCGAGACCCTGGACCTTCTTGGCGTGAGGACCCCGGGGAAGCCAAGAGACTCTGAGCCAATATAAGCGAGATCCTATCTTGTATTTGGATTTCAAACAAAATGAACTCTAAGATTTTCCTATTGGTGCTGTCCATCCTAGCCTCGGTCGTATCTAGCGAATCGATCGACCCCGTTTCTTCGGTAGGAAACTTTCCAAGCGACAAAAATTGAAGATAGCTAAGGAAATACAGGGCGCCACACCCAAACTTGTTGAAAATATAACTCTCGTTGATACTCAAAATCTGAGACATGAAGAAGAGTACGCGCGGTTGCAAACACGGCTTGGTCGTGAAAGCCAAGTGTGGGATGGAAATCATCCACGACAAAGGCTGTTAACTGCGTTGTATGGATTCCGCCAATACCAAGAGCGACATATCGAAGAAGTACAGCGATGGCGCTCTCTATACAAAAAGGTTTCAAAGAGCCAGCGAAAGGTGTGTTTAACAATATCCCATTATATCATCACCTGACGGTAAAATGCTAACGGAGATAGACGATTGAATCAACCATCAAGTACAACCATAAACTAAACACAGTGGAGCATCTAATCGAAGTGAATGACGAACTTGCACAAGAAATTGTACAGACAGGCTTACACTTCTACGGTATATCGCAATCTGAGCTGGATGAGTTCAGTGCAGACCAAATTCGTGAAGGCAAGAAAGCTGATCGAACGAGCGTTGCACAAGCGATGAAGCATTTCGTGCGTGACTGGGCCGATGAAGGACGAGGTGAACGTGAAGAATCATTCACTTGTCTTCTAGGCCAATTGATTGAAATGGAGAGAGAAATCAACGCGCCGCTAAAAGTGTTAGTTCCAGGTGGTGGTATTGGGCGATTGGCACATGAGATCGCTCGGCTGGATGGTGAGTTACCCTTAGATCCACTCATCTGTCCAGCTACATTCTAAAAAGAGTTAGGCTTTGAAGTGTCAATGAATGAATGGTCGATGTACATGAATCTAGCCTATCGACAGATCATGCGGGAGCCAATAATTTCAAATTCCCAATCCTATCACCCCTGGCTTGATTGGTGGTCTCACCACGCTACCACATCCGACATGCAGCGAGCTGTCTCATTTCCTGACTCCTTTGTGGATAAATCAGCGGTATTATTGGTTGAGGGCGACTTCACTACGGTGTTCAATGGCGAAGAAGGACAATACGACGTTCTTGTAACGCTCTTCTTCATTGACACCGCGCGAAATCTTTTGACCTATCTCGAGACGATCCACCGGCTGTTGCGACCTGGGGGAACGTGGCTCAATCTAGGGCCTTTACTTTACGGAACGGCGCCATTCCTACAGTTATCTCTCGACGAAGTCATATCGCTAGCGAGGGCAGTGGGATTCGAATTCGAAGACCCAGGCGATGTGTGCGGTGATGTATCTTTCAATGAACTTCCTGTCCGTTCAAAGGAGATATCGTATGGAAGGAATGTGCGAGGGTTGAATAGGAACGGATTCTTAGCGCAGAGCTGGCGAGCTATTAAGTTATAATGCTATCAGAGTGAGCATAAATTGCAAGCTATTGGAAGACTAATTTGTTGTGTACTAGTTCTTTCAGCTCTTTGATACCTCATGTCAACAACTTGTTTCCATTGAGGATATTTTGAAACCCGTGCCGGGGATTACTTCCATGGGTTACCCTCAAAGAATTCAAGAGCTCTATCGGGCGACTCCTTCAAAACCTTCATTGTTAGTGGCAAGCGTTCCTTACGCAGTAGACTGCGAGGGCTTTCGTTCCAAGGTCAGCGCATATGGTAGCCTCGCAAAAGTCTAAAATTAGTATCCAGTCTTATGTTCAACTTGAAGTTTCTTTATTGAAACTTAGTTCTCAAGTATTCTTGGTCACAAGAAAATTTAGATAAAGACCTCGATATATGCCCCTCGAAACTATCAAGTCAAATTCTCAAGTTTCTTCTAAAGAGCTTCAAACTTGAAGTTTCATTACACATATTTTATCCATCCGAGTCGATATCTCTAGTATTAGTAATCATGGTCGAGGAACCTCAAGTTTCTTTAAGTTCTAAAGAGCTTTCATCCGACATATACTCTCTAGCCGACTCGATATCTACAGTAGCCGTGGCCGATGACTTGGAATCTCTTGCTTCGGACTTTATCCAGGTTAGAGCAGACACGGTGCTCACATTTCATAAATGGTCTCATCCAATGTTTGAAACTGGTTTAACCCGTGAACATATGGCAGTGGCAATGATTGACATCTCCGAAGACTTTACAAGGTTTGAATGGCTAGCAAGTGAGGAAACAGGATTGTGCTTTCTTGAAAGATGTAAGCGCATATCAGCTTCACTTTCTGAAATGGGTGAGATGGTGAGGTTGATGGACAACCTTCCTCCACGAGCCCGGGTATCAGCTTTGACTATATTCAACGTTCTTGGTGATCAAATTGGCAGACTTACTCTGCATGGTTACGTTGAAAAAGATGGATACTCAGCTATAATGCGCCAAAAATCTAAATCCGAGACTTATCGATGGCATCAGAGATTTTGTGATCCCGAGTGTGAGCAAATACAAAAGACACTTGTTCAGTATTGGAAGTATCTACACTTTTATTTGGCGGGTTGCACGTGTTTCCATTGCAAGTGGGAATATCAGCTCTTAACAGAATTGGGCTTGTCGAGCATAGCGACATCGGCGTCTTCTTTGCAAGTAGTTCCCGTCAGACCAAATGAACCGCTTGGTGCATTTGACCCGTCAACCTGAGGCGAGGTGTTATATCATTGAGTGCTAACGTAATGCGCCTGCCCACTTATGGACATTGACACCTCCGAGTCGTTGGATAGGATCATTCAAGTTGCCTTTGAACTTTGACCGGGTGGACTACCTGTGGTGTCCCGAGGTCTTTTCTGTGATGACCATACTATCCCTCTATCTTTTTATGAATGTATGTTTTACATTCCTTTTTTGGGGGTTTTTATTGATTTTCTTATCATTTTGAAAGTCTCGTTCTTTGTACCTATTTTGTAAAAAATTACATTCGAATTGCCACAAAACTTTTCTACAATACCATTGGATATTCCTTGACCTGCCCAATCGAATAGCACCCTTGACTATCTGATAGAAAAGTTTGAGCTCAGAGATGAATTCAAATTCCAGTTATTCGTAGGCCTTGTTGCGCACATATCTTTTTTATATTCAACATGTGTGGGTCCAGGGAACTTGGGATCACCCTGAGCTGGCTCAGTATCACCCAGCGCTTCAACAAGACCAGCTTTCTTCCTTGCCTTGGCCTCATCGACGGCAATTCGAGCTCTTGGAACGAAATTCCACTGTAGAGCTTTCTGGTAGAAATTTTGCTTCACTTCGATCCCCTGGTCGCGGTCCGCATCTGGCAACAATATAAGATCGACCGACTCCAGGTTCAGATAAGACGTCTCTGGTTAGAAACAATAGACAACAAAAGCCGCGACAATGTTGAAGACGGTAAATATGATGTAGGTCTTGTGGCCTATATTTTCAAGAGCAGGAGGTGTGATTTCGACAACCTTTTTCATTTTACGTTGTCAGAAAATGTGCATGGGGATAATCTTTTAGGATATGAGCTTACCAAGAAGTTTCCAAGGAGTTCTGCTGCTGCTGCTAGTGCGGCGCCCTTAGCACGAATCTTGAGGGGGGGGGGATCTCGGCAGGATAGACCCAAACCGTGGCCATTCATCCTGTGAAATGCGTCGTTATCCTGTGTGTCCACATGCATAATTGTGGCTTAGTAGATATGAGAGAATGCGACTCACCCCAAGTAAAATAGGCCTCGAACGCAAAAACAAAGAAGACGGCTGCGATTCCTGAGGACTTGTTGTCGATAGCCATGGCGATGGCTTCGCAGACCAGTACAATGCACATCCCAATTGCCATGGTGATAAAAAGGTGGCGTCTACCGACTGAGTCGATCATGTACCACTGCTTGCTGTCAGATTACGATAAAGATTACTTTCGGGGAGCAGGGAAATCGTACTGTTAAAAAAGAAGCAATGATATACCACATTTGCAGAAAACATCACACAAACAAGGCTTTTTCCTGGTCCATACCAAGACTATCCTGGAAAATTGTTGGAGCATAATAGCTCACAATTTTGATTCCTGAAAACCGATGGGTTGAATGATGGCAATATGAAAGGGTTCAACAAGAAGGCTTACCTGAAGTTTGCTGCATGAACTGGATACCAAGCGCTAAGAAGAACTGCTTGTTGGCAGCACACCCTCCATCCATAAATAAAGACTTCCAAGTGCCTTCCTCCTCTGATTCGATATTAATCGCAGAAAGAATATCCGACTTCTCCTTTTGTACAACGGGGTCATCCTCGGGCTTGTTGCGTAGTTTAGCCGGTACTGCAGTGCCTCAGTCGGGTGTAGATTCATGAAACATCAACCAACGAGGAGTATCGGGTAGAAAGGGCGTCATAAAAAAAGTAAAGGGGCAAACACTGCCTGGAAAAGGAGCGGGAATCGCCACTCTATAGAGCCGGAGTGGAAATAGAATGCATAGTTGATCCAATACACCAGCCTCAAACAGAGTAACATCATTGTCAATTGACAGCAGAGATGCCAGCCTCGCTGACTAGAAAGACATATCTCACTTTGGTAAACCGGTGCAACGGAGGCCAATAATCCAATGCATATTTTTCATGCAGATCAATTAAGTATGGGGTCGTCTAAGATGGGGTCACCTCGGCAGTATACTAGTACTATTAACTTACCCAGCCCAGTTATAATTCGGCCGACTATCATCAGCACCCGCTCAACGGATACTCCCATTAAAACTGATCCAATGACAATGAGGGCAGCTCCAACCATCAACCCACGTTTGCGGCCAAGGCTCTCAACCGTGAAGGCTGCGATTAGGGCACCAAAAACACCTCCAATATCGTACAGTGCGGTGATTGTGCCGGTCATAACGGTGCTTGGGTTTCCCATCTCACGGAGCCAATACTCTGAAATTACCACTCCGGACATGACTCCCCGATCATATCCAAACAAACTAGAACATACCAATTACTATACCACAATCAGTCTTCTCAACATGATACGAGAACTCATCGGGGTATTGTGAGTGGTAATTCATCATCATAGCCCGTAACCCGAATGAAAAGAATAGACTTACAGAAATGAAGCAGAACATACGGTCGTAATGGCTACCACAAGTGGCGTTCCCTTGAGGCCACTGAGACCAGTCTTGTCAACCATATCAGACAACACAAAGTAAGACAGATAAGGTACCAAAATCGCTGGGTATTCAAACCCGGTACAAGGTCTCGGACGGACCCATATATAAGTACTGCATCATTTCACCCCTCGCACTCGGGCCGACTTTGAGTCATTTTGGACTCAGACCGAAATGCGTGGGGGTTTGATCCGATGAATGTGGGGGGAAACATCGAGGGCAGCTAATCAAGAGCAAATAAAAAAATCCAGATGGTATGAGACGCTTGTTAACTCGCAACATTGGATATTATCCGGGCCAAGAACAACCAAGCATCGTTAAGTATTGAGGATGTGGAGTGGAGCCCGAGGGGATCGCACTGTCAATTGCCTCTTCTAGGGTAACCCCCGCGTGTCGATCAAAGCTTCGCTGTTGCAAGGCAATGTTGTCCGGGGTCTGCTCTGACCTCACGAGGCTCCACCGTCGGACTTGGGCCGGTGGGGCTCATTGGTGTGTTGCATTGGGGATTGCGTAGGGGGAGGAACTTGGATGGGTGGGTGCTCAGGCTGTGTTCACAGTCCAAATCTTACTGTAGATGGAACACAGTAACCCTCCCTGCACTTTCTGAGCCAGACTAGAGCTTCCATAGAAATCTTCCATACGATGTAAGCAATAAGAATAAAATTGTTTTGACAAAATTCTAATGCGTTCTTGAATTGAAACGACCCGAAATGTATAATCGAAAGATTTTATTGCCCCGACCAACTCCCGATACAAGAGTTGCGGGAAAATGGGGGCTCCAAACTCAAATGTAGAAACAGGGCCAACGGCTTTTGAAGTGCCAATGCGGAAAGTCAGATGCCAAAAGTGCACGGGAAGAGAACCAAATACTCTCAAACAGAGTCACACGTATGTGACCCAAAGGACGGGGAAAGTCCTTGCCATAATATACCAAGAAACAACATTAGATAACGACACTATCATGATGGTCAGCATTTAAAATCAATATCGCGATAAGTGGTAGATATGCATACCTCCAGTCGTTGGCCTCATCACCGTATTGGATACCCTCGATCCAGTTCTTCATCTGGAGAGCAATCTCACCAGCCTCCTCGGTCTCCTTCAGACCGCAATCCACCATCTTGCCGCGGTAGCTGATATTCCGCACAGGGCTGACAATGGCGGCGGTACCGGCACCGAAGACCTCAATCAAGCGGCCGTCCTCGGCAGCCTGGGCAACATCGGCCATGCGGATCTTGCGCTCAGAGATATCCCAGCCCTGGGGGATAAGACGCTCCCGAGCCAGGGTGAGAACAGAGTCTCTGGTGACACCCTCCAGGATGGTACCGTCCAGAGGAGCAGTGATGAGCTCCTTCTTTCCGGTCTCCTTGTTCTTGATAGCAATGAAGAGGTTCATAGTACCAACTTCGGTGACATACTCCTCCTCGCCGAAAAGCCACAGGTTCTGCTGGAAGCCGCGGGACGCAGCCTCGAGCTGGGGAAGAATACAAGGGGCATAGTTAGCACCGAGCTTCTTGTCACCGACACCACCGGGCCAGGCACGGACAGCATAGTCAGTGGCCTCGAGCGAGATGGCCTTGAAGCCGGTGGGGTAGTAAGGGCCGACGGGGCTGGCAATCACGAAGAGCAGAGCAGAGCCAGGAGGTCCAACACCGAGAGTCTTTTGTGTACCGATCATGGTAGGTCGCAGGTAAAGGGAGTAACCGCGGGCACTGCTATAATTAGCTACGTTTGACCGGAAAGCCAGAATCAGGAGCTGCTTACTTAGGGATGAAGCGGTCATCCAGCTTGACAAACTCTCCAATCAGCTTGGTCAAAGCCTCGCCATCAAAAGTCGGCAGAGCAATACGTGCAGAGGACTTATTAAGACGCTCCATATTCTTGTTTGGCCGGAACAGACGAGTTCCTCCGTTGTTATCTTTATAAGCCTTCATTCCCTCGAAACACTCGAAGGCGTAGTGGAATACACATGTGGACGGGTCCAGGCTGAGATTCTGGTAAGGGACGATTTGAGGAGTTTGCCAGCCATCCTTAGCGGTCCATTCGATCGAAAGCATGTGGTCTAGGAGAATTTATCCTGTCAGATATCGCCATAGTGCGTCCCGCCGCAAAAGGAGGTAGGTACCAGTGAATGTCGCGCCGAAGACGAGTTCATTGTTAGGGGTCAGCTCCTTGGGGGTGCTTGTCTTGGTGATCTCTAGCTTCGAGGCATCCAGGGCAGCCTGCTGGGCCGCCACAGCCGTCGCGCTGAAGTTGCGCTGCCAGAGGCGGGTGGATGGGATCTGCGTAGACAGGCGAGGGCTCGCGAGCCCAGTCAACGCCGTACGGCGGGTCAATTGCTGAAGTAATCTCATCTTTGTGATCTAATTGTCAGTTTAGATGCCGATGACTGATTTTCGAGAGGAGGGGAAGGGAAACCTACTGTTTTTAAATGATGACTCCGCACGACTTCGGAGTTGGACTTCGCACTCCGAGATGGAAATGCAAAGCTTCACCGCCCACGGCTACCCCCGGCATCGGCCTCGGCCAATCAAATCGTCCGGATTGACTGCAGCCCCGCCGAAATCGGATCTCGACGCGCGGGGAGATCACATGACCGGGGTTTGAAGTACACATTCGGCATTAAGTTGTATAGAGCGAGTCAAACAGGCCATATCACGGATATGATAAGACTAATCTATGAGTCAGAATGCCGGGAAATAAACAAATGCCAGTATACACTTCATTGCAGGCCATTGAATGCTACTGTTAGTGCGATTAGCATGTATGAAAGATATTCATGCTAGTAGGAGAATATTCTGCCATTTTTAGTCTACACCTTCTCAGAGAGACCTGATCGAAAGGGTTTTGTTTTCTTCTCGGACATGCTTCTAAATAAAGGAAAATAATTCCTCATTTACCAATTGCCCACTATGAATAGTGGGCATCCACACTACAGCTGCCCTGAAGTACACCGAAGTACTCCACCGCGGTGCCGAGGGCGGAGAAGTACCTGATTGGTACACAGTTTCCTCGATATGTCATAGCTACACTTGATCCTCTCTCCAAATGCAATTGATGCGTGGCATTGCGCCGCGTCTGTCGCTTACCCGGAGCTCCGTTCGACCTCCGCTACCCCTCCATTCTCTCCATCGCCTCCATCGTCTCCCTCTTTCCTCCCCGACTGCCATCCATTCCAAACACTTCTCTCTCTCCCATTCATACCGTGTGCTCAACATGGATGACAACGTTAAACAACACTATTTGGCCGACTCGCCCCCTTCCGTCGTCAAGCTAGAGATCAAGGCACATTGGGATACCCTGAAGGATGAGAGCTTGAAGCGATATGCTCATTTTATGAGCAGGTATGGCACCTGCCCGAGGAGTGCATGACCGCAATCGTGCCATCGCCCAACTTTGAACTGAGCTGACCGCTGCGGGGAAATCCATATAGAGCTGCTTTCGAAGGAACTCGTGTTACATTGCGTCAAGTCTCGCCCGAATCCGAACCCATCTACGACCTCATCCTTGCTCTGCACCGTGCTGCCAATGGAGATTGGGCCGGTCTGGCGAAGAAGACCTCCGTCAGCGACGAACATCTCCGTTTCTTTCTCGAATATTCCGCCCAGTTCCTGGGTAACTGTGGTAACTACAAAGGCTTTGGTGACTCCAAATTCATTCCCCGTCTACCAGCTTCGGCCCTGGAGGCCCTTTCGTCCTCCACACCGGAGACCAAGGCTGCTTTCCAAAAGGCGAGCACCACTGGGGGTGGCATCTACGAAACTGCTGAGCAGTCATTGATGCACTTGGGATACCCTGCTAGTGGACATATGACAACTTACTACCCTGACTCACCCTCCATCACCAAGGATGAAATCACCGCTGTTGGAGATCTCATGGAGAAGAAGGGGCTGGCATTGGAGAACACAAGACTGCGCAAGACCTCGTCAGGCGACTTTGAACTTTTGATTGCCTCTGGCGTATCAAACCCACCTGCACGGGATCGCGACTTGGGCGAGACCGACACTTTTGACCTGGAGGGATCTCTCAAGGGCAAGACCTTGCGTCTTGTCTTTGGTGATTACCAGGAGGAAATGGCTAAGGTTGCCCACAGCATTAAGCAAGCCGAACTCAATGCGGCCAACGATAATCAAAAGCGTATGTTGGAAGCGTATGCTCGTCACTTTGGTGCTGGTTCCATCGAATCCTTCAAGGAGAGCCAGCGTATCTGGGTGAAAGACCAGAAGCCTATCCTTGAAACAAACATTGGCTTCGTAGAGACCTACAGAGACCCCCATGGTGTGCGTGGAGAGTGGGAGGGTTTCGTTGCACTAGTAAGTTTCTTACAATTCAGATCAACCACGTAGATCGCATTTCTAACCACCAACAGGTCAACCTTGAACGTACCCGGGCATTCGGAACCTTGGTCGACAGCGCTGAGAGCATGATCCCTAAACTTCCCTGGGGCACCGAGTTTGAGAAGGATACGTTCCTCAGCCCCGACTTCACTTCTCTGGAGGTTCTGAGCTTTGCCTGTTCGGGCCTTCCCGCCGGTATCAACCTTCCCAACTACGATGATATCCGTCAGAATCTAGGCTTCAAGAACGTTTCCCTGGGCAATGTTCTCAGCGCAAAGGCTCCCAACGAGCCCATCCCCTTCATCGCCGAACAGGACCAAGAGGTCTACCGCCGATGCCGCGACCCGGCATTCGAGGTCCAGGTTGGCATCCACGAGCTACTCGGCCACGGAACCGGCAAGCTACTTCAAGAGACTGCGCCCGGCGAGTACAACTTCGATATCTCCAACCCTCCCATCAGCCCTGTCGACAACAAGCCCGTTAAGACCTGGTACAAGCCCGGACAGACCTGGAGCTCTGTATTCGGCGCTATCGCCTCGTCTTACGAAGAGTGTCGCGCTGAGTGCGTTGCGATGGCCCTGGGCTGCGACTTTGAAATCTTGAAGATTTTCGGTTTCGGTGACGGTACTGTTGATATGGACGGCGAGGCTGGAGATGTCCTCTTCGCAGCCTACCTCCAGATGGCTCGCGCTGGACTGGTCGCCGTTGAGTTCTGGGATCCCAAGACTCAGAAGTGGGGACAGGCTCACATGCAGGCCCGCTATAGTATCTTGCGTACTTTCCTGGATGCCGGTGATGACTTCGTCAAGTTGCACTACACCAAGGACGACCTGTCAGACCTCGAGATCCGCTTGGATCGATCTAAGATTCTCTCCCACGGCCGCCCGGCTGTTGAGAAGTATCTCCAGAAGCTTCATGTTTACAAGAGCACGGCGGATGTCGTGGCGGGCAAGGGCCTGTATGATGAAATCACCTCGGTTGATAGCTGGTGGGCGTCTCAAGTCCGTGAGGTTGTTCTCAAGAACAAGGTTCCTCGCAAGGTCTTTGTCCAGGCTAACACTATCCTGGAGGGCGACAAGGTGACCCTGAAGGAGTATGAGCCCACACTGGAGGGTATTATCCAGAGCTTTGCGGAGCGCAATGTGTAAAATCGGGCTTTAGAAGCCTAATATAACAGTCTATCAACATAAGATACTAGTCCCTTCATTAATTTATAGCATGACGGAAATATCCAAATAGCATAAGTAGGTTTCGGGGACGGTGTCATGTGACCCGTCATTATCCGTCATATATGGATAGCCCTAGATCCCGAATATTATCTTTATCACTACGTTCAGTTCTTTCCATACGCTCTTATTAGTCGGAGTCCCTCCAACAGTGGGCCGATAATTATTATTCAGTCATCCTGCAAAACCCACAAAAAGAGAGAGGAGAAGGGTAAGTAGCAAAAGTAGCAAGAAATAGGGAGATGCAAAGGATGATTCCACAACCTTGGAAAATTGATGAAGTTCTGTTCAGAATGCCCAGGTGTGCAAATGAAACAGGTAAGTGGACTCAGCTACTTCCCGTAGGTAAGTTCGATGAGTACTATATCCAGGTGTTCCTCCCGGGACCAGATGGCACGATGGTATTAGGTGGTATAATATGGTATTCACTTGATCATATTTCATCATTGTTCAGAACTGCCACTGCTACATGAAGAACAGGATTGTGAAGAGAATGTGAAAAAGAGTGAAGGAAGACCCGACATTTAAACCTTGGAGTATATTGGTTCAGGCTCTATAGCTTAGTCATCTAGACGGAGTATAAATCATGATAGATTCACATCATCAGCATGAGGTGACAGTGAAGTGGATATAGAGAAGTAGATTTTGAAAAAAAATTAATTTTTCCCCATCATCCATGGCACCATTATTGTGATACAAGCTTTGGGTGTTCGCTATCTCCGGGTTGACGTCCTATGTATCGTTCAACGCATGAAAGAGAGGGCGTGGTGATAATAACGCATTCTCAATATCATAGCAAGCTGGATGTTCAAAACTCAAGTTGAAAATTGTCCCTGGTTTGATATGTACAATTAAACGCCTGAGAATTTCAAAAGCTTCTCAATGCCCTGATATCTAGGTAGTCACGTAGGCAGTAGTTATGCAAGGATGCCTTAAGTCCAAGGCGGACAAGCACCCTCGCGGCACTACAGCTCGCCTCTAAGCGCTGTCTATCCCTGACCCCCAACCCCTCTCAACTGCCACGAGGTCCTGCAACCCCCAAGTTTCCAAGTGACTTTTCTTTCCAGAAGGTTCACATATATACATTCAAAGTAACGGCCACTCCTCAACCTGGCCAAGCGTTGTCCAGACCGTTCGACTCCTGATCGACAAACAACGGACCCTTTAGGGCGTAAGTCCGGAACCCATCAGATCAACCGCGTCGCAGCGGTTGGATCTGACCCCCATAGCACTAGCACCGTGTCGGGAGAAACATCCCCTCGACGTCCATCAACCACGGCGCAAACGCCAGCACCAACGGACCCCCTCGTGGAGGACGACTATTACACCGCGCCCCCGCCGCCGCATTCACCCTCCGAAGCATCTCCCTCGAGCTCCGTCGGCCCACCACCTTTCTTCTCTCTCTTCTTCTCCCCCCACGATTTCGATTCCAATCGCCTCGAGGTCACCGAATCCTCCGCCTCCGCTTCGCTCCCAGCTTTTGCGCCGCCCCCTGTTGAGGAGTCGCTCGGCCCGGCCCCTTCGTCGTCGGTTGTCGCAGATACCAAAGCGTCTTTCTCAGATCCCAAGGGGACGCCACTGGCAAAAGTTCAGACGACGGAGAACCGCCGCCTCCCTACACCGAAGGATACAGCCCACTTGAATCCTTCACCTACGTTATGGCAGCCGCTGGTGGAGCTTCTAGCATCATCACCCAGGTCCAGCAGACCGGGGGGCCGCCGATCAACACCCTTGGTGGTATGTGCAGTACTGGATGGAGGGGATGTCCACAACGAGCCATGCTAATGATTTCTGGATACGTTTAGATATCGGCGGAGATGAGCACATCACTCTCGATCTTCGGTATGGGGTTCCAAACACTCAGGAGCTAATTGAAATGACGCTGACTTGATATAGGGGTACCCGCTTTACACTATCCCGAGATGAACTACTGACCTTGCCCGAATTTGTATTGCTATCTCTCTTCCCCAATGGCCTTCTTCCCGACGGGCACATTGGTGGATTCCATGAAGGAGATATCTACCCTGTCGACGTAAGCAAATCTGCCTTTAATTAACTCTCAGAGTCAAATGATCTACTACTAATACCGCTTTAGTATGACCCTCTCTCCCTTCAGTACATGTTGGACTTCTTCCGCACGGTGGCTCAATCCATCCCATCAACGACACCTTCCGAGTCGGCATCGCCGGAGCTAGAAATGCCCGACGCAATGCAGAACTCGGCGCGCGATATGCTTCAGGATCGCGCCGGTATCATCGTCCTCCGTGAAGACTTGGACTTTTATGTTATTCCGCCTCGACCTGAGATTGGGCACGAAGAGATGCTTGAGGTTAAGCGGGCTGCTGGCCGAGCCCTTTTGAGACAGGACGGCATTTTCTCCGGACTGCGTAAAAGCGAGGAGGTTGGATCTACAGAACAACATTTGATCGAGATGCTGACTGCTGGGTGAGTTGGAGTATCCCGGCGTTAATTTCAATGTACTAATATGTTGAGTAGTGGCTTTGATCGTGAGGACCAATGGGGCCATCGGGCTCCAGAACCCAATAAGGCGGTCATCTGCAGTCTGGCTTTGGCGAAGCTTCGCACCGACATTCGAGGAGATCTGTCTAACAACAATTCCGTCGGCATGGCCCAGAAACTACTTCTTTTCTGGCGAAAGCCCGCCCGCCGGTGCTGGTGGGAGGGAATTGACCTCGATGATGTGGAAGGGGTGGAGGGCCAAGTCAAGGTCTGGGTCCGGAGGGTCTGGACGTTGGAAATGGTAAGGTTCACCTGGGTGGAATTGACATCCCTGTTTTGTATAAATTGACGACTAACTTTCTCTCTACAGAGTGTAATCGGTCTCCGGTGATCAAAATCGTCTTTTTTCTTCTTCTCTGCATCTGTACTGCTATACCCAGATCCAATGGCTCTCGCCATGAAAGTTATCCCGTCTCTCTTTTGGCAATGTTGGGCTTGATACAAGTCTGCTACCGCGATCTCTTGTGTTCTTTTCTCTCCCCTGCCCATGTGTGTCTTTGATTGTTTTTTTAAACAGCAGGGCTGGCGTACTAAGCAATTTGGTTTCTTTGTGCTGTTTCCCCATATTCTCCATCTATGTTAGTTGAGCATCCTTGAAAACACGCCTATGGACATATGGTATGAGGCAACAAATCAATTCCTATGCTGCTTGCGTTTAGTATATACCTAGGTAACCCGGTATTCATATATCCCCAACTTCTCCCATTTGTAAACTCGTCATTGTTCTTGGTACATACTCAGGCAGTCACGGCAGTCACGAGCTGTTGTGGCCTCAGGCCTCAACACGTGACCGTGGAATGGGCCCGCCTCGATTGGGCAAAACGCGACGGCGCAGATTCCATGCTCGGTGAATTCAATACCATACCATCCACCACCTCAATCAGCTTGTAAGCTTGTGGTCTTGTGACTATCTGGCACCTGAGCTCGCTGTCATTCTCAACGGATTTATCTACGATCACTTATATTCCTCCCTTCCAGCCGTAACCCCGTCAACGTCGATCAACAGAAGCTTTCGCGATCGCAATCCCCGCGAAGGGGCATGTATCAGTCGAAATAAATCGCCAACATGTCCCCTCTTCGTGGATATATTACTTCATACCCGCCACGCGTGCGCCAGTATGGCAATGCGTTGCTCACCCCAGTCTACCCGGTACAGACTGGCCCGACGCCGCGAACCACCAAGCGCGGAACGACCGCGATCAATTACGCCGAAGATGGATACGATGATGGTGAATTTGATGAAGAGAGTGATGGCCTTCGGAGACCCACGGGGCTGAGAAGTCTCAGGCGTGAAGAATCCTCTGGCGGTGCTGGTGCTGGTGGTGGCGTCCTGCCGGCAACCCAGAAACTAGGCAAAGAAGCGCATGCGCCTGTAGAAGTGCAGGGAGTCTTTCGCGAATGGATGATCAAGCGGATGCTACGACCAGCGTATGTCTTCCATTGTTGCAGTCTTGTGCCCGGCACGACTTGGGCGACCCAACACCCTCGTCCCTCTATCTCCTAGCTAACTTTCTTCGTTCTACAGATGCGCGGATCAATTACAAATCCAAGCCCAGCTGCCTCTTACCCTCGTTCCCATTCGAATTGATGTCGAGGTTCCTGCTCACACACCTCTCGAACCTTTCCCTGTACCACGCGGTGCTGATAACAGCCTCAACGGCCTCCTCAACCTTCCCGCATACCGCCGTCCAGAGCCCCTGCCTCCTTTCCGAATCAAGGATACGTTCCTTTGGAACCTTCATGAAGCGCTCGCGACACCAGAAGAGTTCGCTGTCGGATTCGTTCGCGACCTCGATCTACCGAATCCGCAAGCGACGACAATGACGATCAGCAACCAGATTCGCCAACAACTGGAAGAATATGCTGGTGTGGCATTGCACCCTCTTTTTTCGAGCACCCAACCACCTCATGAACAAAGCATGCCCCCCCCCAAACAGAATTCTCTCGAGACACCTCTATGACCCCCGCTGCTACCACGAATGTTGCCACGCCTGACAGCCGTCCCAACGGAGCATCAGTAACAGCCACGAAGGAAGCCTTAGTCAACGATAGTCTACTTAACCCAGATGATGCGTATCGTTGCCTGATCAACCTCAACATCAACTTACAAAATAAGCTTTATACCGACAAGTTCGAGTGGTCCTTATTGCATCCCCCCGGTATGGCGGAGGACTTTGCCAAGATCACTTGTGCAGACTTGCACCTCGGCGGCGAATGGGTCAGCGCCATTTCCCACGGTATTTACGAGGCAGTCCTGAAGCTCAAGAAGGAGGTCTGCGAGAGTGGTGGCCTTGTGAGCGGGATCAACGGCTACGGCAACGAGATTGATAACCAGGCTGCGAACGGTGTCGAGGCCGGTTGGCGGTATGACCCTGAGACCCTCGGTGACGAATGGGAACCCAAGGTCGAAACACTCTCCAAAGATGAAATCGAAAGACGAGAAGGCGATCGTGAACGACAAATCCGGCGCCTGCGCCGAGAGACTGCACGATTCTCCTCTACTACCGGTATTACTACCGGCACGCCAGAGGCGTCCAGGCAGAGCAGTGGTGGCTTCTTCGACGTCGACAGCGAGACTCCTCTCGGTAGGGGAGAGCGAAAATAAACGGAAGCGCCGATTCCGTAGCCTCAGTCCTTTGGGCCGGAGCACTCCAGGTGGCCGAGGCACCCCGGAAACAAGCTCTGGAGCTGGTTATGGTGGCGGCGGTGGTACGCTTTCTGAATGGTATGTCTCTCTCAAATGCGTACCTTGACTATCACTGACTGGGGGGTTTCTTTTTCTAGGGAACGACAAAGCTGGAGATGCTTTAACTGCATGGTATGGGGCACAGCAGTGTGGGCGGTGCGAGACGGTCCTGACGGCCCACGGGTAAGCCATTCGTTGTCTAAAGAGCACCAGTAATATCCATATCACTAACATCTCTGCCTTCTAGACACTTTGCCATAACTGTGGCTTCCTCTACGAGCGAGACAAGATCGCACCTGAATGGTCAAAAGACCTCCATCGTCATGATATCCCCGTCGGGCGAATCGCCTAGACCTGCGGTGAAAATGTTGCTCTTTTATTCCACAATCTATCACCTTCGAATCACGACAGATATCATCCACATCATCAGCCGTGTCTTCCAGTTATTTTCCAACGCCATTAACCCCCTCTCACATCCTCTAATCCCGACCAAGCGACACATGTCCTTGAATCCCCTTCCATTCAAATAGTCTCTGCACATCGGCTCCCATCGACCGATCGCTTCTTCTCCCGCCTTCAAGCCACTCTGTTCTACTTGCTGGTAATAACGAAATGCACCCTCTCTCACACATTCGCCATTATCGCCGGTATGAAGGGCCAGGCCCAAACTAAGTGCAACGATTGCCAGGGGCACGTAAGACCTCTTTGGGGGGATAACCCCTAGGCTAGGCCTCTTATATATCCCCTGAATTCTTGTCCATCCGGGCACTGGGTGTTGCTTTTGTTGGTGTTGGTATTGATGATTTTCTTCACTCGATTTTGGGAGTTCCTAGATAAACCCCCTTTCTGCGAGGGAAGACAGGTCAGAGACTGGGTTCTGTACCCCATACTCTTTCTCTTCGTTTTCTTTCTATCTTTTTTCTCTCTGTTCTATTGCAGGTGCTATTGAGGTATTCATGGGTGGGCGTGGAGATGGTGCTTCTGTGAATTTTCTAGGTTAATGTATGAATATGACCATGGATCCATTGATTTTATACTCGGTTCAACTTCAAGTTTCGTCTTCGGCTGCTTCGACCTTAGTTTTTGTAGTGTACAAGTAGTTCTGTTCAGATGCTAAGAATCCCATCGGTATATCAAATTCGAAATTGTACTGGGCGTCAACGTCCCCGTCCCCGTCAGATTCCAAGATAAATTGTGATATATGCCATAAGGCGTCCATTTCTACTCACAGCTTGAAAGTTCTTTCTCATCCACACTTCAAATTCTCGTGGTCGTAGTATGCACGCACGTCGAGACTAAACAAGAGCAACGTTTCTCCGAAGACCAGATTCGAATGTACAAGAGCGGGCCCGGGGTATTTTACTCGGCATCTCGATGGGCATTTCGCAGCATCCCGTCATCGGTCCAGACCAAGAAAGATAAAATGGCCGAGTTATTGCTCGACCACTTGTTGGTTGATGAAAACAACAGTCAGATTTGGAGTCAATCATCCATGTACTGGAAAGGTAAAGAAAGGTAGATATGCAAAAGAAACTCTCCGGGGGATCTTGGCCGGTCTCCCGTGCAAGGTTATCGGTATTAATGGCGAGCAGAATTCCTTGGTCTTGCTTATGATATAGCTAGCTGGATTCTTTTCTGAACTACTAGGAATCAAACTTGAAGTGTTTAATAAGGGTTCGAGTGTTCATTATTGCAACTTGAACTACGAATACAGGAAGGCAGTCTGCCTGGCTTGCCGAGAAAAGTTCACACCAAATCACCAGCTTCATAAGCACTTGAATAATTATAAGCCACGCGCGGCGGCGATGAGTGACGAAGCGTCTGTGTATTCCGTGTCCTCAGATCCACCGGAGCTGCCAGTTGTTGAATCCGTTATCCAGAAACTGGAACTGGATCGTGATCACCATCCAGGGCAGGTGGACAGGATATAGCGCTACGCCTCAGCAGCTGTGGGACTGGCGAAATATGGCTCCAAAATTTCCATCCGCTTCCCTCTAACTCCGACGAAAAGCAGATGAGTACCCGTCGTCGTCTGCAAAAACTTGCATCGCGTAGCCCGGATTCTGTCGCAATCCCTTCATCAATGGCCAATTGTCTCGCCGCTCCAGCAGCAGCAATCATGCCTAGTAGATAACGATTTTAGCTTTCCCTTTTTCTCAAGAAAAGAAAATATCCTTGCTCTTCTTCCACATACCAGTGCTCAATGCGACAGCAACTGTTTTCAAGTTGTTTGCTGTCAAAGTATCTCCAGCCACAAAGCAGCCCCGAGCATTCGTCTCTCCATTCGCGCGACTCGCAATCACATACCCTCAATCCGGTCGACATCGGCAGCGGAAAGAACTGTCTCGTCCTAGACGTTTCCTCTTTTCAGTAACTTCCAAAACCGCAGCCGATTGATTATTCTCGTTCTTGTTTGCATTATGTTGGAGACTGCGCTTCCCTAGTATCTTATCTTTTTTTACAGGGAAAGTGGAAGGTGCATTCGCACCTGCTGAAGTAAACAACAAGTCAACAAAGGCAACTACGACCACCAGAATAAGGTAAATATAATAGGGCCAAGGACGGAATTGGTTCTCTTGACCCATCAATGTTCAGATCTGCTGTCATTTGCCAGAACTGAACCAAGTATTTCTTAGGGACGTTTTCGAGAAACCACTCATGAATCTTCTATCGATCCAGCAGGACTCTTCAGTCACGTCAAGACCGCGCCGCATCGGGTGCTGGGTTGAGATGGAAAGAGTTTTGACCATCCTGTTGCTCTGAAACAGATAAGCTGGCCTGAGGTTTCATCTCTGTGTTCTCGGTCTTGGATTTTCGAGCATTTTTTGATCCCATTTGGTGTCTCTCGCTTGGACCCATTTTGGAAGATGTATTGGTGTTCTGTTGTGTTGTATTCGATGAGTTCTGGAGTAGTAGGGGTAGTTGCAGTATCGACTCTTTTGAAAGACCCAAACCGCTTCGTAGTAACTCTTTCCTGGTCGAACATCTCTCTCAGCAAAGCGTAGAGAATGTAGCGTAGAGAAAAAACTCAGGTAGTGATGAGCCCCGGTTGGGACACAGCCTGGAATCAAGCCAGTGCCGGTTGCCTGAATCTTGCCAAGGAATGGTTGGCTACTAACCCCTTACCATTCTGAAGATATTCAAAGAAGTCATGATGTGCTGCTTCCCACAACTTGAAGAGATTCTAGGTTCAAGTTCCTTTTCCGTTCATATCCAACCCCAAAGCCTTTTTTTCGCGAAACAAACCGGGTCTCTTGGAGAGTATGACAGAGTGAAGATTCCAGGGTCCCAAGGTTCAGGTTCAACTTGAGGTTGAAAGTACAACTTAGTGCCTTCCTGGTGGAGGCAGGTGCTACTGGTTTGTTTACCTTTTTCTGGTTGCCGTGCTTGCCTTTATTGACTTCAAACTGATTACTTTGGCAGGTGCGAATGCCAATACACCTGCCACCTTCCCTATCTCCTATGTCCAGTTGGTCTTAGAGCGTCGTAGCCTCAGGCTGCTTTGGGAACAGTTCGGGAATTAGACAGTAAGATACTCTGCAAGTACTAGTATACCCGGAGGAAACACTCTCAGATTAAAATCTAGTACAATCAGAAAAGAGTCACATATTCCCCGTGTAAAAGATAAAATAGAGAAACGCCGACTCCGACACCGCGCAAATAACGACGAGAAGAATCGCACCCAGCCCGACCAAAAGCAAACGCAACAAATACAGCTTTAGCGCAAGTCATAAAAGGCGGCAACCACGCTTCGGTGGTGGTGGTATGACTGGGGGGCTCCTATATTATCACAGCCGGGTTAGAGGATGCCTTCCAAAGAAGAAAATACCTACAACCCCCCAGGGGAGGTCGAAATATAGCATGCATGATGGGAAGCCAACATACTGATGCAGCGCGCTTCCTCCCACCAGACGAAACGCGTAGCGAGCAAGAATTCAATTCATTAACGTCCTCTTCAGAAACCACTTCGTTGTTGCATCCTTCAACCTTGACGCCACACTTGAGAAGAACGCTGACAGTGCGCTTGCGACCTTGATCATCTGTCAAGCCATCGGCCTGTTGGAGGGCTTTGAGGATGACGGAGGCTAGTCTCGCGGCTTTTGCCTCTCTATCCTGTTTCCGGGCCACAGTTGCACTGGCGTCATTCTCGACTTCGGGTGTCTGGGTGTCTTTCTTCGAGAGAGGTTGCGATGTTAGGGCTAGAGTGTTGTTGTTGCCCACTACATTGATGGTTGCATCGATGGTTATCGCGAGCGGGTTGGGCTCATCCGTGTAAACGATGTCAGACATCAATTCCGGCATCGTGAATCTAGGTGGTAGGGGGTTGGTGCTGTATGGAGGAGGTGCTGGTGGGGGATGTGTAGAGTTGCTGCGGTTTGTTTGGGCTTCCATGAGCTTTTGTAGCAGGTGGCGGAAAGGGTCTGGCGGTGACATAATGAACGATCAAACGCAGTATTCTGGGAAATTCCGTGTGAAATGGAGTAAAGAAGTGGTATTATTTATGCAAGCAAAGTGGGAAATGATTCCAAGGGAAACATGCATCCCAGCAAGCTTTATGTACTGCTAAATCATCACGCTGGCTGTGGGGGGCTAAAAAAGCAGGAAAAAGAAATAGACCAATGAGTGATGAATCATGATCTCGATCGCACCATTGATGAGTTAATGAGGTACTATTGTGCAGGGGGCTGAATAGACAGGAATAGGGCGAATGGGGAACTCAATGGGAGGGCATTGATTGTTCTTTTGGGCCTCAATGGGTGCACGTGACCCTATTATGCCCCAGGTACGGATGCCTTGTTTGGTCACAAGTAAACCTCACCCTCGCCACGAAAACAGAATGTTGGCGTCCGTCGCCGGTCAAATGGTCCATGCATATGCAATAGTCCTTCATAGAGCGCATTGCTATCCCCGGGTCCTGTTTCGATGGTACCCGGTTGGGAAGGTTCTTCCTCAGCCAGACGGGTCTGTCGAGCAATCACTGGCGTTTCCTCTGGTGGGAGAAAGCGTCAGGTTTTCTGCTCGTATAATGAAATTGGTTGTTGTGGTACTAGATCCCGCCGACGGGGAGGGAAGTCTCCTTACTCGTACTGTCGGACGGCGTGGCCTGATCAGGAATCGGTTGACCTGGGTAGTAAGGCCCGCCCGGGTGAAGGGATTGCGCAGTCTGTGATAATTTTAGTAAGAATAATAGCCCGCATAGATCAACATGATGATACCGGAATTTCTGCCACGCTGCGCTTGACAGCCAAACCGTTACGGGTTGCTACTGACTTCGCGAAATTCGTCCCCTTCCACCTCTACTTCACGATCGCGAATCCGACGCATCAAAGCAAGGAAGTTGCTTTGCTGGAACTTTTGGTTTTGCTCGTGACGAACGCTGTCGAGAAGTTGCCCTGCTGTTTGAGCAAGAGCATCGGCATCGTGAGCACGTGTAAGTGGGTCTTGCTTATCGGACTGAGCGATAGTATCAGATCCAATGCGGGCGGTATCGGACCTGAGATCATCGAGGTCTGGAAGAACGGTTCCTGGGTCGGCTTGACTGATTTCGTGCAGTGGCAACTCATTTTCAGCAGCAACCTCGGGCTGTTGTAACTCGTCTAGATTGGCCCGGGCCTGGTCGAAGGCGGCCTCAAACGCAGACTCGTCGAATTGCTCCACGGGCGCTTGGTGTTGCTGTTGAGGTGTATGGGACATTTGCTGCCCGTTCATCGAGGTGTTGTACATGCCATAGCTCGGAGCAAACGACGACTGGAATCCGCGGTTTGCCATCGGCTGGGCTTGTATATGGTGGGCTGGGGCGGGTTGTTGATGCTGGTTCATAAACTCATTGTGCCATCCTCGTTGGTTTTGCGCAGCCGGCGGGGTGTGTATTTGAGGTGCTGATGGGCCAGAGATATTAAGGTTTTGGAAGTCCGATGCCCAATTGGCACTCGGGTGCTGTGCATGGTGAAGTTGTGCCGGTCCGCCAAACTGTGCTGGATGTTGCAACTGTGCTGGATGTTGAAATTCTTGTAGTTGAGGTCCTCCGAGGTTGGCTTCGAAAGCAGCAAACTCGGGGTCAAGGATTCCATCGCGAGGGCTTTGAGAGCGGAAGCCCTGGTCGTCTAAATTAGTATTTGGGGTCCTTTGACTAGAAAGGCTTGCATACCTGAGCGGAAGGTTGTCTGGATGTTAGCCGGTCCTGTTGAAGAGTCCGATCAACAGACGTATGCTTCTGGAAGTTCTGAAGCGCATTGGACGGGCCACATAGCGCATCGCCCATGGTGTCGAGTATGTTTAGATGGTCAAGGCGTAAGAAAGAGGCAGTCCAAACAACGGGCCCAGTTTCAGGACAGCTGCAGCTTCTATAAAATCTGGCTCACGAATAAAAAGCAAACCAAGTAATCGATGAGTCCCAATATACAATGATGTACAAGACAGGAGAGTCGCCGCACCGCGGAGAACCCCACGGTTACCGATGGACCGAGGCACGTGCCATGAGTAACGTGACCCGCTTAGTCATTCTGATAAGAGATAGCAATGCGGCCAGGTTGTTTGTACGTCGGCCCTCGCGCAGCTCCCTCAGCTCTATTTTGCGACTTTCATTACCCCACGCGGTCCTGACAAAATGGTGTGCTCCATTCAATTACCAGTTGTGGTACCCATGCTAATGATTGATGTTTAGGCGGCCGCTCAGGTGATTTCCAACTCGGGGCACGAGGACATGATTGTACGTTGTGTTGAGCTGGGGGGGTTGACGGACCATATTCGACATCTCCTTGGTGGGTGGATGCGATTGAACTCAGCTGACAATTCCATTATTGTTGTAGCACGATGCCGGCTTAGACTACTATGGTCGCAGGCTAGCCACCTGCTCTTCGGATAAAACGATTAAGATCTTCGAGATTGAGGGGGAATCGCACCGCTTGGTGGAGACCCTGAAGGGGTGAGCATCGCCTTCAAAGCAACGGGAATACGGAACGAATATTGAAAGCTGACCTGGTCTTATTCCCAATTGTTAGCCATGAAGGTGCAGTGTGGTGTGTCGCATGGGTAAGTGGGATGTCCCAAAATAACCTCAACTATCTGCACCCCAGCGCAAGTGGACTGACAACTCGTTTCGCTCGCAGGCTCACCCCAAGTTCGGCACCATCCTAGCTTCTTCCTCCTATGACGGCAAGGTCCTGATCTGGCGAGAACAACCCCAGAATGCCACCTCCCCCGTCGGTGGCAGCACATGGACTAAGGTCTTCGACTTCTCTCTCCACACCGCTTCCGTCAACATGGTATCGTGGGCCCCTCATGAGAGCGGTTGTCTCCTTGCTTGCGCCTCCTCCGACGGCCATGTTAGTGTTCTCGAATTCCGTGACAACAACTGGACCCACCAGACCTTCCATGCCCATGGAATGGGCGTGAACTCGATCAGCTGGGCCCCCGCTGCTTTCGCGGGTAGCTTGATCAGCTCCAACCCCGGTCCCGGCCAACAGAGACGTTTCGTTACGGGTGGAAGTGACAATCTCGTCAAGATCTGGGACTACAAGTATGTGCTCATGATATAATAGATGCGATGCACCCCCGCATGGCCATCTTTATGCTAACATTGATCCCCCCCCGCAGCTCCGAGTCCAAGACCTATAACCTTACCCAAACCCTGGAAGGTCACTCTGACTGGGTCCGCGACGTCGCTTGGTCTCCTAGCATCCTCTCCAAGTCTTACATCGCCTCGGCCTCGCAAGATAAGACCGTCCGCATCTGGACTTCCGACGCATCTAACCCGGGCCAGTGGACAAGCCAAACACTCGAGTTCGACACTGTGCTCTGGCGCGTGAGCTGGAGTCTGAGCGGTAACATTCTCGCCGTCAGCGGTGGTGACAATAAGGTCAGCTTGTGGAAGGAGAACCTCAAGGGCCAGTGGGAGAAGGTGAAGGACATTGAGGAGTAAATTGTTTCTTCATTTGTCTCGAGCTGCCTATTCCCTTTGTCCATCCCATAATCCATGTTAAAGACCTTTATTTTTTCTTTCTCCTCTATCGCTATAAATTTCCCCCCCCCAAGACGAAAATCTCATGAGACTCCTTCAACCTTCCTCAAATAAAACTTCCCCGTTCAACCCCCCATTCCCCTAAATGAAAAGCCACCCGTGGACTGTATCAACCGTACCAGTCTGACATCGCAGCTTGGTAGTCACGGAATTATTTCCTAGTCATGCAGGTAGAATGAAGTCTCAACGTCCCAAAAAATGAAAGGCCCCCGACCGCTCGGGTCTTTCAGATCCAACCATCGGCCCATCATGACCCTGCCACCGGGAAGAAGAATCGCCTCGTACCCGTGAACCCAGTCCGACGAATTTATATCCTGCCCCATAGCAATGATGGCAAAGCAAATCCGAGCCCATCCCGCGATTCCCCCATAGGGAAATGAGATATCTTCCTTGAACCCGAATACAGGGTTCAAATCGCTTCGCCTGGCCGTAGTAACCTTGTGATCCTTGGAAGAACACGCGGTGTACATCCGAATCCTCGCTCATGGGGATCAAGGCGTTGCATTCTACGGGCCAGAATCCATCGCCAGTCATCTGCAGATCCAGGGACTGCTTACCATTAGTATCTTATGAATATTCATGGAGGGCGGCAGGGTGTCAGAGACAGATTCCATACCAGGATATCAAGCAATTGCGATGCAATATCCGCGCAAGTCTGGACCACATTTTTATTCAATTGAGTCCGAGTTTCAGGCATCGGGTGGAGGCATGCTGGATATTGAAAATGGTAAGAAGGTATGTAGATATCAGCCCCTGCGGAACGAAAACTCACAATAATAACCGATCCAAGACGAGCTGAGGTCCGATTCGATAGCACCGTATCCCTTCCGCATCTTAGGCTTGTGGTCTTCGGGTAGATCCTTGAATGTGAGATAGAACGTCATCTCTTCAGGGTCCAGGAGATGTCGCTGCCAGAAGCTCCGGACATGCAATAGCTTGGTGAGGTCAAGGTTGTTGTGTGTGATATATGGGCCTTTCAGCTCTCCTCCAAAGGAATAAGCTATAGCGAGTTCGTATTCATTTCGAGGACAGGGCTCGGAAACCTCTCTATGTAAAGCCAGGGCAGTGAGGCACTGTATCAAAGTTAACTTTTGTTGGTTTTCGCTCACACCACTTCATATTACTTTTTCTCGGCTTACCAACTGGACGGCACAGGTCAATTCGCATGATCGCTGCTTCTTCGGACGACTGAGGAAATTCGTCTGCGCCATCACTTCTCGCAATCTGTTGTATGTTTTTGGACCACTGGACTGGAGAGGGAGAGTCAAGGACTCGATGAGCATGGTATGGATGACGTCTAGCCATGTCTGCTCTTTCAGGTTTGTTTTCCGCCCGTGAAAGTCCATCCGATGCGAGAGAACAACGGCGCGAGTCTTGTATTCATATGCCAATTCTTCCATGCATTTTTCGGTGGGTAGGTCGTAGTTGGCTTCGAAACGAGATCTCCAGATGCCGGTCGACGGTCCTAGAATTCGAGAATGCATTTCTCGGCATGATCTGGATAGATTGATAACGTCTCTGTCAGTCGGTAGAAAGTTGGCGAAATGATGGAGGATCTATCAAACTCATCAATAGGCCATCTCGACCGAATAACGTATAAAGAAGCTTCATCGCAGCCAATATTACCTCGTTTGGGACTTCCAGGATGAAACTTTGAGGGCGGGAGCTCAAAGCTTCAACCTTCGAGGTTGAACACTTTGTTCCTTTGTATGCCATTGGTTGGGAAGTTAAAGTATAGAGCGATGTATCGAATGAAAGAAAATAGAATAAGAAAGGGGACCGAGGTCAAATATAAAATGTATGTACTGGGGTGTATATGTTGAAAGCAGAAAGTAAGTCTCACTTGGGCGACCGATGAAAAGAGCATATTGCACCCCATGAGACAGCACGCGAGAATCACAGCAACAGCCTCTCCTTGCCCGGAGCATTAATTCCCATCGCAGATCAACCATCATTTCGGAATGATCCACAGGCTCAACCACTCTTCTTTATCACCCGGGCATGCATGGCAGTGATCAATCCAGAAAATCCAACAAGATGTCAAATTGGATATCGCGATATGTCGTCTAAGCAAGCCTCGAAGTACAAAGTCAATAGTCGGTGCACTCTATGTATGCTTCATGCTCCGTCTTCGTCGCAAACGCAAACTCTCCTCGACGCCCCATCCATGCGCCAAAAGGCCCTTAACATCTTCTAGGCCCATTCCGCTCATTTCTGGATAGATTGCATGGACTGCCACCCAGCCCACGGCACACACACCAGCGTAGATGACGAATGTCCAAGTTGGAGAGATCCACCGCATCATAGGCAAGAAAGTGAGGCCGACGACGAAATTCGATGCCCAATTTGTCGCTGTGGCTAGAGATGATCCCAAAGACCGGACATTCAATGGGAACAGCTCTGCCTGTTGCCATGGTACATTGCCGAGTCCGAAGGCGTATGATGCCACGAAGACAGTCAGACAGAATAAGATCAACAGTGGAGAATTCGAATTCGAATTCGCATTCGGATTCGCATTTTGTGCGCTCTCAGGTTCAAATGAAATGTCCATGGAAGAAAAGACCACCGCGCAGGCTACTAGAGCGAGAATCATCACTGGAATCGAATAGAGGAGAATGCGACGACGCCCAATCTTATCAATCAGCCCGAATGCAAAAAGAGTGAAAACGAAATTGGTGGTCGCCACCGTGAGAGACGTCAGCGTTGGCGACGAGAATGAAAGCGCGGTAAATATGATGCCTGAAAAGTACATTAGGCTATTGAAACCGCACAATTGCTGAAGTCCTTGGAGCATCATTGCTATCGTCAGGGCCCTTCTGTTCCCGCCGACATAGAACAAGTCATGTGCTCGTTGAGATGTATCGTGGAACCAGTGCATATTCGCATCTGGGACTTCACTCTGGCCCATCTCCTCGGCCTCTTCTTCGATTTCTCGTCTGATGCCGCGAAGGACGCGGCGGACTCCTTGTTCCCGGTCGGGACAGCCGTGATAAATGCGAGTGAGGACTTTCGCCGCTCTGTCTTCCGATCCGGCCTGCACAAGCCATCGGGGCGTCTCTGGTAGAAAAATGAGGATTGCAAATTGTAAGAAAGCGGGTGCTGCCCCAAGACCAACGATCCAGCGCCAGCCTCCGGGTATTTCGGAGAATAACCACCCAACAATATAGGCAACCACCTGGCCACCAGTGATGAGCAAGGATAGAACAGTAACAAGGCGGCCTCTTGCTTGTGTTGGCGCCACTTCTGAAATATACCTGGAAGGAAGGAAACACCATCAGTTGAAGCCATGGAATCATGCAGATGGAGAGGTCCCAGACTCACAAAGGCGTAATAGCACTCGCGCTGCCAACCGCCAACCCAACAATACTGCGACCAATAATCATTCCCCCAACCTGACTTGTAAACGCCTGAGCCAAAGCGCCGAGCGCAAATAGAGCATCCGCAGCAAGAATGACTTTCCGCCGACCATACTTATCCGCAAGCACCCCGGTGAACGGACTAGCGACGAGCGCAAACAAACTCGTGCAAGAAGTAATCAGACTCTCGTCCAGAGTTGTCAAGGGTCGATTCGAAAGGTCGGAGCCAATGGTCACTAATGTAGAGGAAATGACGCCGGTGCTGGAGTTTCATATGGACAGTGATCTTGTTAGCCCACTGCTAGTTCACCGTCTATTTTCTGTTACGCCGGTATATACTCACTCGTATCCAAACAAGAGACCGCTGATTCCGGCAGAAATCGTCAAGATCCATATGAACCATCCGCCGGCGTATTCAAGCTCAGGCGCGAGATCGACGTTATCGGCCGGATCGGGAGAGAGATCCCCGTCATGGTCGTGGTCGTGGTCGGTCGGAGTGAGGAGCGGGGCGTTGGGACCAGCTTGGTCTGCCTCCTCGCGAGAGCTCATGGTGTGTGACTCTCGGTTCTGTGAACCATCTAAATTGCTAGGACCCTAGCTTTTGCTGTTGGAGGAAAGTTGGCACGGGAGCTTGCAGGTCCCCCCCGGGTTTTGACCATCGGTAGCCGATAAGCTGGATTGCCGTGGACCCACCTGACCTTTCCGAAGGAGGCCCCATGGGACGCCGACACATCTATAAGGGCCCAGGGGTATCGAAGTGTTTTGGAGATTTGGGATATTACTACTTTCATAAATGTAGGGTAATAAGTAGAGACATATAGACAGCACTTTTGATTATCTACTCTAAGCTTAGTGCTTGGCCACCACACCCGCCGCATCAGCCTGGGCAGTAATCTGCTTCTTATAGGCCTTGACATCGCCGTCAAACTTGTGCACAGTACCCTGGTCACAGACCCAGAGACTCTTGCAAACGTTCTGCAACATGGTCACGTCGTGAGAAACCATAACCACACCACCCTCGAATCGCTGCAGCGCGTCGGAAAGCGCATCCATACCCTCAATATCCAAGTGGTTAGAAGGCTCGTCCAGAACCAGGATGTGAGGGTTTGTCAGCGACAAGCAGGCGAATGCCACACGCGACTTTTGACCTCCGGAGAGGAATTCCATCTTCTGTAGACCTGTCATACCGGTGATACCGAACCTAGAGAGAGAGATCATATGTTAGAATATTCAGTTCGGCGAGAGGCATGAGTTGCCGTGGTTCGGGGTCAGGAGATTCAACTTACGCGCCCAAATGTCTTCGATAATCCTCATCGGTCTTTCCGGGATAAGTCTTCGCCATGAAGGTGACGGCACTGGCATTCATATCCAGAGCATCAACGTGGTGTTGAGCAAAGAATCCAATACGCAGTCTAGAGTGGGTGGAGATCAATCCCTTCGTGGCTTGTAATTGGTTGGTGAGCAGCTTCAGCACCGTTGTCTTACCCGCACCGTTGGGTCCGACAATACCGATACGCGAGTCCAGCTGCACGTCCAAGTCGACGTCCCTGAGAAGCGGCTTGTCTTTGGTATATCCGAAGCAGACGTCGGTCATCTGGACGATAGGCGGAGAAAGCTTCTCCACCTCGGGGAACTGGAAGTGCACGGTGTACTCGCTCTCGGGAGCCTCGAGAACGGGCATCTTTTCCAGCTTCTTGATTCGGGACTGGGCTTCTGAGGACTTGGCGGCATTATAACGGAACTTGTCGATGAAGGATTGCAGGTGGGCTCGCTCGGCCATCTGCTTCTCGTACTCGCGCTTGGCGATCTTCCTCCGCTCCTCCTTGGTCGCGTAGAAGGACTCGAAGTTAGCACCCCGGTAGTAATCCAGACGTTCGGAGTGCTGGTGGACGATATCGGTGGCAACTTCGTTAAGGAATGCACGATCGTGAGAAACAACCAGGACGGTACTGGGGTATCCTTGGAGGTAGTTGGCGAGGAAAGTGATGGACGGAACGTCCAACATGTTAGACGGCTCGTCAAGAAGTAGGAGATCAGGTTCGCAGAACAGGGCTCGGGCCAACGCCAGACGCATTCGCCAACCACCAGAGAAGGTCTTGGTAGCATATTGCTGTCGCTCTGGAGAGAAACCAAGACCAGCCAGAATACTGGCTGCCCTGGACTCTGCCTTGTCAGATTCCATTTCTGAAAGCTTGGAATGGATATCAGACAAGGTGATATCCAGGCCTTCTCTGTCGTTATCAAGTCTGGCAGCATCCTTGGATGTATCTGCCAACTGAGAGCGCTCTTCTTCGAGGACATTCAATTGTGATGTGATCTTCTCCTGCTCTTTAAGAAGGTGCTTGCGCCATACATCTGCGTCCAGAACAGCTTGGATCGCCGAGGTATCATCACCCGTAATCTGATAGAGAGAGTCAATAACCAGCCTTTGTCAACTGGAGGGCTCAAGACATCATCACATACCTCTTGTTCGACGTGGAGAATAGAAACGTGTGTAGGCACGGCAACTTCTCTGCGACTCAGCGCACGTAGCAGTGTAGATTTACCAATACCGTTCTGACCAACAAGACCATAACGACGACCATAGGCAAGAGTGAAAGAAGCATCCGTAAGAATACGCAGACCACCAATAGAGATATCGATATTGTCCAGCTTGATGTCCTTACTCTTGGCCGCGGAATCGGAGCCCAGCTGCAGAGGGTTGACGGCCATGTAGAACTCCTCGTACGACATGGTCTCATCGGGCTGGCTAAGCAAGCGAGAAGACTCGTATTCAACGTTCTTCATCTGCTTCTTCTCCTGCTTGGCGCGAATCTTGCGCTCGGCCTTCTCAAGCTTCTTCTTATCGACCTTGGACTCGACCTTTCGCGCATTGGCAGATTCCAAGTCCACGTTACCGCTTGTCAAGCCCAGAGTTGAAGACATGTTCCGCTGCGAACCAACGTTAATGGCTTGGTCCAGTTTCTTCGCCGCGAAGGGCATCTGCTGCCTCTCCATATCGATGCCGTTCGAGGAGCTGAGCGTTGTAATGAACTTCTCCACCAGGCTGGTAATGGCGTCACGGTTCTTGTCCGAGAAATCTCCCGAGGCAGAGACAAGCAGGTCGGTGACGGACTCGGCCGCCTCGGTCAGGGGGGAAGGGGCATTGGTGTCTTCGACATATTGGTGGGAGGCATGAGTCAAATATCCCTATCTTGTGTGAGCTCCTGCGCCAGGCTTTGCAATGGTTCTTTGGCTGATTTGCGATATGACATACCACCGAGTATTCGGAGATCACACGGTCCAGTCCGGGGATCTGGGATTGGAGTTGGGACTCCATTCTTGGTCAGATGAGTCAATTTTAGGATACTGCGGTTAACAATCCAAGATCCTGGCGTAGGATCAGCAAAGCGTCCACTCAATAGGGTCCAGACACTTTCTGGGGTAATTCGACCTCAAAGTGGCGTGTTTTTCGAGGTGCGTTATCGATAAGATCATGTGATCGAAACCGCCCTCTTTCCTAATTAGGATAGCACTCATATAAGGTAGTTTAGTACTATTGGAACAACATAGAAGATTCACCGCAGTAGAAAAATAACCACTTGAAAGTAACTACAGAGAGTGCGCGGTATGGAGGCCGAGACGAGATATTTCGATGGTACAGGTTGTTAGAATCCGAAAGGTGCTGGGAATTTTAGGCGAGCGTTGAAGCAGTTGGAGATCATAGCAGTTAGTAAGAATCGGACTAGTAGTATCTGTACTAGCTACAAATTTTACTTTTGTTCCGTCATTCTGAAATCTAAGCAGAGTCTGGCTCATACTACACCCAATCTACACAATTCCGCGGCTACTACGAGTACTGAGCCGAACAGCCACTTTTTCCAGGCTGTCAGGCTCACCAAGCTGACCGCCGATGTGATAGCAGGTGCATTTCAAATCACAATGGCGTTTGCTGTGAATGGACCTGCATGAAACAAGCATAACACCACGAAGCTGTTACACATTCCTCTCAACCTTACTCCAGGTGTCAGGGTACAGGGGTACATAGGCTCAGGCTCTACTGTGTAGATGTCAATCTCATTATCGCAAAGCGGGGCTATGTGTACATAGTTAAAACGGCTATCTCAAAGACGAGCTCGTTAGAATGCCCAAGGATATGCATCTGTAGAAAGCTTCTCACAACAATGCAGGCCCGTGATGAGACCGCCTCTGATCGCCCTGAGAGACATTTTAGTCGCAGCTGGTGAATACGAAGTGAATTCTTCTGCGGCTCTCCATTGGAGTCACAGATCCTGCAATGACGATCACAGTGCCAACAAAGCTTTCTTGTCTGAGAATCTTGATTCGAGGCTGTACATGCAGATGATCTCGGTGTGATGATGTTTTGGTTTTTCCCTTTCGGGCTTGTGCTCATCAGTCTTGATGGCCTAGACGGGCGGAAGAGATGCGCGTTTCGATGCTGCAATTTTCTATAGGACCGAGAACTATCTATAGACAGATCGGAAGTATTTCTGTTTGTAGGGCGTACAAAGTAAGTCGTACGGCAGAACTCCTTCGGTTACCTCTGATATTAAACTCATTTGTGCAGTTTCTTTCCTCCTTTGCTGGTCTGTGATGCGGCAATTCGCGGTGATCAACTTGTCCCGTGGCCGAGTATTTCAGCCCGGCTCTCGGAAGTATAGCGGCACGGTAAAAAAGGCATGAAATTGTGGCTACTGGAGTATTTCCGGAGACGGCCCAATGGTGCAATGGGGGAGTTTGGAAAACCAGCCGACGGTACAAAAGATATCTCAGTTTGGTCTACATCCCTCGGCCGGGGCCAGATGAAACCGATAAAACGGATATCGACAGGCCACTCGAGAGGGTGATCCTATTGGTTACGCCAATGCTAACGATAGGTAAGAATAGATCCCGTTCGCGTTAATGGATTCGGAATACAAAGGACAAGGTACTCCGTCCTCTGTACTCCATACACAACGTCGCTTAATTCCTGGTAAGATGAGCATTTGCACGAGGTACAAGACCAATTGTGGGTCCAGTCCTGGCGCCTGATTTCAAGGATATCCATGTCAATGATTTGTATAATGAACACTATTATTGACCTTCCCTAGTCGACGACCGTTCATGTCGATCGCCAGCAAAGGTGACAGGGTTCGCGCTGTTCGGCGTGTCCCCGACCGGCTGTGATCGTCGTCCTGGAAGCTGGGAGGTAAAAGCCAGGGGGCGCGAAAGAAATGAAATGGACCACGAGGTGATGATTTTTTTTTTCATTTTTTTTTTCATTTTGATTTTACCTTTCTTTGTCCGCGAGCTTCTTTCTGGCAGAATCATATCTGACGAAAGGTAAGCGATACCGATTCGGCAGCAAGAACCGATTGTTGTTCGTGTCTGACCCACGGGGGTTTCCCTTTCATTTACAAGAGTGGGGGGAGCGATGACGATAGGGATCTGTGTGCTATCGAACCTATGCCAGGTTTGTGTTGTGGTCATCAATTTGTCCCCAGTGTTTTTTGGTTTTATTTATTTTTCTTTCACTCCGGGAGTGGTTCTCTACCAGTCTGTTGGAACGGGACCCGCTTGGAACGGAGATGAAAGCAAGATATCGAACCCTCGCCGTGTGATCAGCACTCACAAACAACGGATCGAGTGGATGTCGACGGAACTTCTCGAAGAATGGAAGATGTGGCGGACGCAAGATGAAAGATGCTCGACATGGCAGGTGAGTATGGAGTACGGAGTACCAACGTGTCTAACCTGGCATGCCCAGTGCCAGTGGTACTCCACTTCCCCTCAATGCGGTGTGTTTGGCCTGAGGGTAAAAACTGTAGAGACGGGTTGGGGATTGGACGAGTAATGTTTCAGAAGTTAGCATCTCGCAGAAGGACAGAAGCAGGTCAGCTCAAGTTGCAGCGAATGCACAGGCTCCAAGATGTTTACAGGACCTCGGGAACGGTTCGTTGTCCAGTCGGTGGACACAGATCGGCCGCACTGGACCGCTAAGCCACTAAGACCCCCTGCGATCGCGCAAGTGGAAGTATCCAGGCAAGGCTAAAGGGGGCCGAAAGACGCGATCCCAGCCAGCCGAGACGAGATATGTGGGGAATTCTGGATCTGTTGGCTTGTTTTGCACCTTTCAGCGGTGCCACCTCCACTCCGCCACGTCTGTTCTGGGCGGACTTCTCCGGCCAGTCGTTGGTTCCAGGCTGGATGCTGGACATCTGGACACGAGTAGATGCAATATGTGAGCCGCAAGGGGGAGACTCGGAAGTGGGCCGCCTAGCAGCAGAACTTGGTTGAGAGTGGTGGAGGGTTACGATGACTTGCAAGATGTCGGGGGTTTTGGTCCACTCCAACGTGTGGCAGCCGCAGTAGGTAAAGTCAATGTGAGTGAGTACGGGATGCATGTCAATTAGGATACTAGTACCTATGAATGATAGGTATCCATGCTAGATTCTGTACTTGGTACTACGTGGGTGTGCTTGATATACCACACAGCTGTAACTTTCCTCTATCGTGTTTCTAGAGTTTCCCAGGGAACGTAAAGTAAAGTCAAGACCACTCGATCTGTCACCACCTTCTTACTCCCTGCAGGCCAGGGCCAAAATAGTTTGCTGAGCTCCTAGCGTGCCTAATTTACCCTGGGCTGAGTTTAGCGTTGATCCCCTCTTCTTGTCTTCCTCTCCTTGTTATTGTTGACCCCATCTTCCCTCGTCATCGACTTTCGGCCCTGGTGGGCTTCAAGGTTTCTGTTTCTCTTTCATTTTTGCCCTTTGACTTTCCTTGACTTTTTCTCTCTGGGAAATTTCCCTTCGTTTGGCTTTTGGTTGAGAGATCTCCGTCTTTCGTGATTCCCGGGAAGCCGCCTCTGCATATTCGATTCGATCTTGTTTACTCTCCCCAGCCCCTCCCCTCCGCCCTCCACTCTCCACCCTCCGATTCGCTTGCCCCGATTCCCTTCCTTTTACCTACCCCCCCAAATACCCCAAATGGGATGTCATTCGCAAAGACTCACCCTGCGGAGCTAAGCTGGAGGGTGCTTGACACTCTTCTCAGCGACCTCTGAGGATGGATCACGTCTCAACTGTGAGTTATTCCTCCGATCCCCCCTGCTTGCGCCGATACTTGATATCCCCGACCAACGCGTTCTAACCGCTTCGTCAGCTTTGTGCATTGAGCACGGTAGGAATCGCACCAACTGGTCTAGCCCTCGGTCGTGTCGAACGATCCAAGCCCAACCTCCTTCGCCGGAAAACCCTCCCTTACGAACCCCCCCGTGCTTCCTACATCTCCAGAGGCAACCCCGGTCGATGTCAGGCCCAAAACATCTCGATCAAACCGTCCTAGTCTAGCGGCCGTGGACTGGACGATTAATGAAAAGCAACCGGCGACCGATGGAGCGAATCTTCCTCGTGGTAATCAATTCCAAGAGCCAGACCTTCGTCGTGCATCGCTATCCTTTGGCGCGGCCAGGTACCGTCGTCGCGGTCAAACATTAACCAACCCGCCCTTGCGAATCCCCGAAAATGCCCCTACGGAAACAACTGAGGCGGAATCGCATTCGCGTCGACCGTCAACAAGCTGGTTGCGCCGGTTATCCATCGTTTCCTTTCAGTCTGACAGCCCGTCGACGAATAGCCCGGTCACACCTTCTTTCAATGGATCAGCCAGCCCAATTTTCCCCCGTCCAGTTAGCCAACATCGAGCTCCCAACAAGCTCGTCAAACGCCCTTCGACAAGGCGTTCTAATGCCACTACCCCTCTTTTTGTCAATACTGCTGTATCCCCTCGGTCAGCACTACGCCGACCTGCGACAAGCTACCAGCGGTCATTACGAACTCCCATCACTCCAGATTTCGAGTCGCGCTTCTCAGAACAATTCCCTCGTTCTGACTCCCCAGCGATTGAAGAGTTTGAATTCCAATCACAGGATGATTGGAAGCCATTCTTGATCCCAAAGGCAGAAGGCTTCTCTGAGAAGCTCTCTCGGAGACTTTCCACTGCTGCAGCTCCAATAACCCAAGGTGTGAGGCGTCTTATCTCGGACTCGGATACGCTTCCTGCATTGATTTCAGCAACCACTATAATGAACAAGACCGTTGTGCCCCGGGATGAGCATGCAGAACCGGTTCAGTTCCGAAACCCGTTCCAGGCACCAGTAGAAAATGCTGGTCCTCGTCCTCTGCCAGCATCCAAACCTGGACCAATTTCTGGAACAGCTTTACCTCTACAAACTTTACCAACAGAAGCGCCGGCGCCGCCAGCACTGCCTCCTTCTCCAAAGAAACCTGCTCACAAACATTCGTATTCATTTAATGACCTTGAACCGAAAAGGATCATTGTTAACACGGTGACAGCGACGGGCGCTCCGATTATTGGACCTCGTGGTGGATCTTTGAAGCGGGTCAAGGGACGCACATTCTCTATACCTCGTTCGGATCTTTCCAGTTTAGAAAAGGCACATATAAACTTACCTTCGGCTCCGAAGCGGCGCAATATCACTGATCCCGCTGTGTTCCGTCGGCCACCGCCTCTCACATCCCCGAAGTACCTGGGTCAACTTTTAACAGGCAATCGGCGGGTTTGCCACGATCAGTGTCCCACGACTACAACATCGGCCTACGGCATCACCGTCCTTTAACCACCGATGCTGTTGATCTCTCACCCTGGCCGCATTGCAATCGACCACCTAGTTATGCACCATCTTCCCTTCGGCGCCGCCCTAAGAGACACTCCATTGCAGCGTCTGACCCGGCTTCGACTATCATTGGCTCTGATGATACCCGCGTCTTCACCTCCGGCGACGAGTACGAAACTGATTTCATGACGGATTACTGGGATTCTATCCGCACGCGTGGGACAGAAGGCAGTGGAGTGAATGGGTTGACCGAATTGAATGGGCTGAATGGCCTTCGAATCGAGACGATGTTCGACAAGGCAGGCACGCAGTTGTCAAATGAGGAAGTCGCGACCCTGGAGGATCTTCTTCCGCGAGGCTCGTTTGCTTCCCGCGTTGAAAAGGATCCTTCACTCTTCTCCGACTCTCTTCTTCCTTCTGTCACCCGCGTTCGCTCAAACGATAACTTGTCATTCTCTGATGACGATGGTGACAGTCATAGTATGATCGGAGCCCTGCCTGGTGAACGAGATGGTCCTTCACTTCAGATGCCCACGGCCTTTCCTCTTTCTAGTCCCCTAGAGTTGTCGGGCCCTAGCTCGCCCTCCATGCTTTTCGCCGATTCTCACGCCGAAAAATTGCAGCCAAGCCAGAAAATGAACATCTTTGACTGGTCGGAGCAGACCCGACTGGACAGGGATCAGTCCGACTCCGAAGCTCGTCCGAGTACAGTGCATGGGAAACAAAACGCCATCGATCGGGGAAGCCGTGCAGCTTGTCGAAAGGTGCCGTCCAGTATTCACCTTCGCAGCCAGAGTGTACCTGTGGCAAGGGACTTGCCCGCAAATGACTCTCGCCAGACCTCTGGGAAATTTGGTACCTGGGGCCTGGGGAGCAAAGGTGTAAGTGAGGACTGGGACAGCGACTTTGACTTTGATGACGGTGAGGAGGAAGATATCCCCAGCCAGAAGACCAAGAGCACCGAGTCCGAAGCTCCGGCACAATGCATGACGGTTCCCCAGGCCATTCTCGAACGCCAGGCCAGCCTGCGCGGTCAGTACGGTCAAGTACAAGAGTTGACACTTCTGGTGGAGGAGCTCAAGCGGCTTCGACACCAGGCCAGTGTCTTGGATCTCGTCGGTGGCCCATCAAGCGAGCTCTGGAAAGAAGCCGAGAGCATTGTCAACCTTGCCACCATCGACGACGAGGAAAATCAACGCTCGCCCCCTGGGTCGCCTTCATCGCTTACCTTCAGCTTCGACGACTCGGATGACGAGGGATTGACCGTTCCATCGACAAAGCGCGATAGCGATGGTTCATGGCGAAGTGCAGCGAAACAAGAAACCACGTTAACATTACCTCTGCGTCAACCAAAGCGCGACAGCGAAAGCACCTGGCAAGAAACTCCCACCAGCAATAACCAACCATATGATCAACCACTCCGACAACTGTCTAAAAACTCACCCAAGTCGAAATCGGTCCTTGATATTTTGCAGCCACCTCGAGGTCATGACCGATCGGCCACCTTGCCTGACTTGAGACCGTCCTCCCGTGCTCAAAAGCTCCCGTTCGATACATCCTCACTCCGCAACCTCGTTGTCCGTGCCGGAGTAGTCACTCGGGCCCTGAAAGAAGTCATCCGCAAAGCCGAAGGCGTGGACCCGAACCCGCAGGGCTCATTTCCTTCCGATCCACCTTTCCGACGAATTTTTGATCAACCCTCCATTGCAAGCTTCGAAGCCGCTTTGGCCGAGATGCACTAAAAAGTTCCTTTCGATCTTAAATACCCCGCCCTAATTGGCATAATATTACACCTCCTCCGCCTGCACTATCTTCATACCCGACCAAGCAATCCTCCGTGATTCCATTCCAACTTCATCCATGAGAATTTCCTTCCTCTTATTCTCACCCTTCTACTTTGCTCCCTCTTCGACGTTTTTCATTTCTCAAGCTCTTATAGAGTGATGACATATTTTCCTTCCAGTCAGGCGACACTAAAAGCCATTGCATCTTTGTCTGTACAACTTCTTCCTGTACATTGCTCCATACCTTTTTCTACTTCTCCTTTTTGCCTTTTATCTATTATCTTTCTTATGTGCAAAAGCCTGCACCCGAGTCTATATGAGCACTCTTTGGGTTGGGCAAACGTGTCCCTTTTTCCTTCATGTCTCATTTTTCCTTGAGTTGTCCCCGGTTCCTCATTCCTCTTTTCCTCCTTCCCTTCATTTTGTTGCATATTTGCGCGGTGAATATCTCATAATTGCGCTGTAATAATCAAAGGGCGGTTCGCGAGGATTGTATCTGCTCTGTGACGATATTTCTTTTTTTTTCTTGCGGACTGGCTGGAAGTATGGCCGTTCGATGAACGATGAGTGGTCAATGTCATGCATATTGTTTCTACACGGGCGAGGCTCGGATAGCATTTCTATTTGTCTATCAACATGAATACTAGTAATAGAAAATGCTTCTCATCGACCGGGTTCTACTCCTAGTAGGGGTTTCTAGTAGCAGTACAGTAGCAGTACAGTAGCAGTAGCAGTAGCAGTAGCAACTTGAACTTAGTAAACTTCAAATAGACTCGTGGACCGCACCTAGTAGTACCTAAGCCGCCCGGTGCCCAGGTGGAGATATACCCTCCAGGGCTCCAGGACTGTTTCGTCAGATCCCAATGTCAGAAATTTCAAGCCAGATTGAAATTCAATAAATCTTGGAAGTTCAACTTCAACTTCAAGTCGAAGTTCACTCGGCGTGACCTGAACCTTGCTCGGAGTTGTGTTAGTACTACTTGGGTACTAGTGATATATATCGTGTCGACAACTTGAACCGACTCTCCGCCACGATCTCATAAAAGTTCATTGGAACTTGAACACTCCAGGGCTACGCCAAGGGCTACTAGATAGCCAACACAGCGCAATCAATTACAGCGCCCATTCAGCTAATTTCAACCCATTCTCCAATGCAGAGAACAGGTCCAAGATAAAGATATGCAGCCTCATGTATCTCAAACGGGAGGGCTTCAGTCGAGTACCGAAGCGGTAAACGTGCCGATCCGCACCAGGGGCATATGCGTGGATACATTAATCACCTAGTGGAATGGATCCAAAGACCCTGGTCCAAATAGGAAGTACTAGTACATGAATATAGCTATTAAACTACAAAGTGCAGATGTGATGTATCGGAGCACGTGACAGATCATGATCCCATTGAAGGGGCGAGATAAGGCCACACGGGACGGAAGATGAGCAATGATTGTTCAAGTTGAAATCGATTCGAGTTTAACCTTTGACAATGGCATTCACGCTCTGTTAAAAATGCCAGAGCTAGTCCATCCAATGATACCTAGGTAGGTAAAACTCTACGAGAGATGCGGTCGGATCGGAGAGGCCATAGACACGCGCCCACCTGCGCCCGGGAAAGGGGATCCGAAATCCTAAGCTAGATCGAAATGGAAATGCTGCATGGGGTCATCTTCAAGGTGCATGCATGTCCCGGAACAGAGGCAGGTGAGCTCCATAGCTATAAACCTGTTGTGCTCCGTAATCGTATTAGTAGTAGGAAGGTCATGATCAGGGTAAATCTCGGGTTAGGTTGGTTTGGTTTGCTCTGCTTTGCTGCTTGGCTTGGCTTGCCCCGCCCGAGCTTGAAACGAGGACTCTGGGGGGGGGAGGAATGTGGCGTTAAATGAGGGAGGGCGGCCGGTGTCTCATGTTGAGGGATAAGGATCGGCTGTCAAGACGTTGTCAAGTTGGAGAGAGAGTGGCCAGGCCAGGTCGAAGGTATTGTTTGTATTGTATTTGTGTTTTTGTGTATCTGTGTATTGTGTGTGGACGAACACAGCCCCATCTTTGCCCTTTGCCCTTACATTGGAGAGAGCTGTTCGCCTCATCTCCGGTTCAGGGGCAGATGAATGCTGATTGGTTGTGAGGTTGGCGGGTTCCTGACAAGGCGGGGCCCTTGAGAAGTCTCATATCCTTGCATGGGTTGACTTGGTTGTGCTTGAGGGAGATGAGATTGCATAAATAAAGGGAGGATAGGAGAGTAGTCATGGATACTGTAGTCAGATATAGTCAAGGGGTTGATCTCAAAATAAATGATCCAAAATAAACAGAGCGGAGAAGAGAAGAGAAGAATAGGAGAGTTCTAAATTAAGGAAAGACTCTGTTCAGGGGATGCGGAGACGTCGTACTGACTTCGTATCAACCAGTGAACTAGCGTGCTTCTCCCCTTCTCCTCTTTTCTCTTCCACTGGACTTCCACTTTCATCTTCGTCTTCATCTTCATCTTCATTTCCATCTCGTTCCTTCACTTGGCTGCTGGCCGCCACTCGTTCTTGGGCTTTGGTCCGTTCACTCATTTCATCATACACCTACGCTCTCTACTTGCAACCACCCCCCCCCGACGCCCCTCATTCTTTCCACCTTCGACACCTTCGATCTCCATCAGCCAAGCCCTTCAATGTTTCGATAATCGTTTTTGGACTACCATCGCCTTGTTTTAACTGCCTGATTTCTACCGATTTGTCTACCACCCCCGGTCATCTACCACCATGCCTCACGCCCATCACAATATGGCGTTGAGGCACTCCCACGCCCGACGAGAGGTCATCCCAACCGCTAGGCTGCCGTTCCTTGTTCCTTCGGATACAATCCACCATGCCCCGTCTCTAGTCGCCCGAGCTCCCGCTGCGGAGAGTACTGGCGAAAAGCCCACCAGCAACATGACCACGACTGTCTTGCCAGTCGTACTTGGTGCAGGGTATGTCGATCTGCGGTACAAAAATACCATTGACATCACTGACCCTCAAATAGTGTCCCCATTCTTTGTGCTATCATTGTCCTCATCGTTCTCCACCGTCGCCATGTCAAGAAGCTCATGCGTGAAGACGCCAATGACAAGCACAAGTCTCTCGATTTCGGTATGGATCTGGATGCTGTTCCTGGAGGGAGAAGGAGAAACGGCCCCCCGGGCCCGAATGGCATGCCCCAGATGATGGAACCAAGCCACACGAAAGGAGGAATGTCGATCGACATGATGCACCCTTATCTCCTGCCCCCCCGGACTCCATGGCTCCCAGGAGTCATTGCACTCGATGGGTCGATCAATCGACGATGACAAGTACCGCCCGTCAGCCGTTGGTGCTTTTGCTGCCGCTCACCCTGACAACCGTTCCATTCGCTCCCGACCCCATCGTGACGATGCATCGAGCTTTGCTGGTTCGACGTCTCGTTTTGGTGCTTCCGAAGAACCAAAGTCTGGGCTGTTGCAAAACGCCCAGCGCATGTCCCGCTCCTCGCCTCCTCCCGTCTACAAGAGCCCCTCGCCCGATTCATCTACTCGTTCCCATGCCCAGTCTCCTCAAGACCGTCTCGGCCCTGTGCCTGGCATGGGCCCGACTCCTTCGGATCATGGTGAACGTGGTCTGGCCATTGGAACTGCGACTGCCGGTCACCCCAATGGTCAGGGCCAGGCACTCCCGTACCCCGACTCGAATACCGCAAGTCTGCATTTTGATACCGACCCTCATTCTTATGACAACCATCAAGACCGCCCCAACTTCCCTCTCCCAGAACCTCAGGCGGGAAATGCTCAGTCCTCCACCATGCAACTTCCCCGCATTTCTCTCCCGTCTAGTGACGTGACGAGTGACTATGGAGATGACCGACATGAACGCCGATCATCCCTGATGATCCCTGCCGTCAATGTCCATGCTGCCGATATGCACGAAGAAACACCAGGAAAGGATACCAAGCTGCCGGAACTTCCAGAGGAGACACCAAAAACCCTGGACACCCATGATGTCCGCCGGGATACTCGCCGTTTGACTCTCGGGGTGCGCCCTCTGCCACCAGACGACCCGACTGACAACCCCGAGCAGCGTGCCAACCGGATCCGATCTTTCTACAAGGAGTACTTTGATGATAGCAAGCGGGAGACAACCTACATGGAAGACTATGGTACCGATTACTACGATGACGGTACCTACGCCTATGACCCAGCTACCGGAGACTACTATGATACTAGCGCACCCCCACCCATGCCATTCGCCGAGCCTATGGGCCGTCGTGCCATGACACCTCCCCCTCGAGCACCTCCTCGCTTCCAAGGAGCCGCTCGCCATATGGCAACAAACTCAGCCGGCAACGGGTTCAGTGGGTACAACACACCTCCTCCACGAGCATTCTCATCCGCCTCTGGCGCATTCGGGGCCGGTCCCCGCGCTCCTCGCCGCCCAATGCCACCCCCAGCCCCTCTGCAAGTGCTGCCGACCCCTCACATGCTCAAGGATGACATGTTCGCCCACGAGTTTGCGCCCGCCCACACCATCCGAGACCGAGCTGCCGGTCGACCCGAGACTCCCACTGGCGGCATGCGGCCCTATAGCCCGGGCATGCGTGCGCACACGCCGCTGGCATCAGCATTTGACGAGCTCGCCGCCATCCCCAGCCCGCACATGCTCCGCAAGTCCGGCACTTTCACAAGTCTGGACTTTGCGCCGCCGCCGCGATTCAAGAACGAGGGAGGCCCCGCTAGCGACTCTGGTAGTATCCGCAGTAACCGCACTGGCATTTCCAACATTCATCAGAACAATGTGCGCAATGGCAACTACCGCGTCAGCCGACTCCCACCTGACATGGTTGGCACCAAGGATGATCTGATGGTCTCACTGAAACCCGAATGGGACATGAACCGGTAAAAGCAAAGGCGCAGCAAAAAGTGTTGAAATATCAATTTCTTTTCCGTCGCGTCCCTACATACATTCTTGGCAGCTACTGCATCGTTACGACCCCATTCTGTTCGGGTCCGGGATTGGATTCTTTTTGTTTTCTTTTCCCTTGGCCATGGACCCTGTGATGACCTAGCATTGTTCTTCATCTTTTTTTTCTTTTAACTCTACTATTTGCCATATTCCTTGGTGCTTGGAGTGGGGAGCGGCACACGCTCCCGATCTGGCTTGGCCCGGCTCTCTTTTCTTTTGATTCATCTTGTCATTTTTTTTTCTTTCCCCTCGTTTGTGGAATCTCCGGCGTATATAAGATGGTTGGTTTCATTTTGTCTCTTATTTATCTTTGTGTCTTCGCCTGTATATACCTATGCAATGGATCCCTCGAAGACAATCGGTGCCATGAGTTTACTCGTAAGCGAGATGGGGAGTGTTTGGAGTCTGTCTCAGCGAGTGGGAGATGTCACAAACCTCTACCCATCAAGGAGAACCAAACACTGGATTGGCCTAACCGTCAACACTTTCCCCGGGTTCCTCATAAGTCAGCTGTTCTCAAAATGAGGTCGGTTGTCCTTCATCATGTGCACTAGGTGGAGCTCACTTAGTACATCCATAATCGGCCCTTTCTATAGTGTACGGAGTACACTTTCTACAGAGCACCCTCTAGGTAGACACAATTCTTACCCGAAGCGAATTACTATTCCATCTACTCCCACCCAATCAGCAACTCATCGCCCCGAATCACAATCTCCAGCATTCCCCATCCATGCTAGTCTGTCCACACTTCCTCTCAATCCGACTAGCCCCACGACTAGAGCCTCTTGAACCCTGCTCTAGGTAGCGATGACATCCATACCTCCAATTGGATAGACAGCACCGCCAAGCACCGTGGACACTACTACTTAATATCGAATTTCCTGCACCTCAGCCAAAGACATCTCATCCAAGTTCCACATATAAGCATCATGGAAATAGATCATGAACTCAACCATCAACACGTCCCCAACAGGAGCAGAGTAATTCAAATCATGCTGTCAACTCCCATCCTCGCCATGGCCAAGATCATCCTCGCCCTCTTCACCCTCATCGCCACCGCCGCCATGACCTATAACTTCCGATTAACAGGCCACTTTCTCCCCATCCATGCGGGTGATAATATCTTTTACAAACGGCCACCAGAGGTCCGGGTCTACCCCGATCCCGGGCCCAAATCAGAAACGGCTTCAAGTTCATGCTGGCGCCCAGCATCGACTGAACGCGTCACATTCAGCCGCAGAGGATGCACCGTCTACGGATACCCCTCCACAGGCGGAATCTTAATCAAAGAAGCCCCCAGCATCCTCGACATGATTTTCCTATCGCTCCCGCGAGATCGGGCGTCGGAGCGCTCGGCTGATGCAGGTGAGGAGGATTGTTTTTGCGGTCTGTTGCAGCGGGTTGGGGCGAGATTTTGGGGGAGGAGGGAGGATTGGGTTGAGGGGGTGTTTGGCTTGAGGTTTAGGGATGGTGTTCCGGTGGAGGAGGTGGGGGAGAAGGAAGAAAGGGTGCTGGTGTTTGGGTGGCCTGAGGATGGGGTTGGCGTTTGGGTGTTGAGGTTTGAGAGTGAGGAGCAATTGCCGAGGGATTTTGGGAGGGTGGACTTTGCGGTGGATATGGGGGAGAAGATTGGGATTATGAGGGAGTATGGGGCTTTGTTTTTTGAGGATGTTGGGATTGTGGAGGATCTTTATGGTGCCGGTGATCGAGTGGGAGGTTCTGAGGATTTTGGTACCGGTGGGATTGGGATGGGTACTTCTGGGCACGAATTGTAATGTGCTACATGATGTATACTTTGGGGGGGGGGTTGGAATTCTTGACGGAGGCAACGCAGGCCAAACTTGAAGCACCATGAGAGTTTTGAATGTTCAGAACTTGAACCTGAAATCAACTCCCGTCGAGCAAGTTACCTAGGTATAACCATCAAGCTCTTGTATACTCAAGCAGACATGGAACTGCGGACCCTTAGGCCCACTCATCACTGGGCGATTTGCACGAGGACGCAGAAAGACTTGCAGCATAAAGATATCGAGTTCGAATTGTAGATGGAGTCTACCATACTAGAACACATTGATTCCTAACAGACTTGCAGTTTACTCGTTCAAGTTGACTCGGACATAACTTGATGTTCTACGTTCCTATCCAACGAGCAATATCCGAAATGGTTGAAGGATCTGAATTGAGAATGAATGAATAGTCCTGATAGAACCTCAAATTTCAGGTGAGAAAGGAGTGACAGAAAACAGTAAAAACAAAGATTGCCTCTACTACTATAGGCATCTGTCCATTGGATTATGGAGGTGGATACCTTGTCCTAGTTAACTAGTTGCTGAACTTCTTCACACAGCAGCTGGACGTTCGTTCCAGTTACCACCATATCGTTGTTGAGCACCTCCCACCGGTGGACGTTCGTTCCAGTTACCACCAGGTTGTTGTTGAGCACCTCCCACCGGTGGACGTTCGTTCCAGTTGCCACCAGGTTGTTGCTGAGCACCTCCCACCGGTGGACGTTCGTTCCAGTTACCACCAGGTTGTTGTTGAGCACCTCCCACCGGTGGACGTTCGTTCCAGTTGCCACCAGGTTGTTGCTGAGCACCTCCCACCGGTGGACGTTCGTTCCAGTTGCCACCAGGTTGTTGCTGAGCACCTCCCACCGGTGGACGTTCGTTCCAGTTGCCACCAGGTTGTTGCTGAGCACCTCCTACTGGAGGGCGTTCGTTCCAGTTACCACTATAATTGGGCACAATGTTCGGCTGTGTAGCCCACTGACCCGGGTTACCATTATTGCCGATTTGGTCCTGAGGGCGCTCTTGGAACGGGCCGGTGTTGGAACCAATAATTGGCTGCTGGCTCCCTCCAGAATTGTTGCCTTGGCCTTGGAGATTACCCTGATCCGGATTTCCCTGGACAACTTGGCCCTGCTGTCTCTGAGGTGGAATTCCATCGCATACCACTCCGAGGGGAGTACGGCGGCATCCCTTCCCATGCGATTCAAAGGGGCAGTACTCGAAGTCCATACACTCACCGCTAGTTATAGCACAATGCTCACCGTTGAAGCGCTGATTTGAAGGACATATGGGCTTCTTGTTCGAGACGCAGTCCCCACTGGCCTTAACGAAAACAGCTCCAGATGGGCACTTGGGAGTTTGGAAGGCAATGCACTTTTTCCCATCGAATTTGAAGTTTTCCGGGCATTGTGGCTCGTTAAGAGAAGAGCAGCGCTCCCCATCTAGATAGGAACCCTCAGGGCAGATTGGCTTGCCATCAATACATGCCTTTCCATTGAAAATCAATCCACCACAATCGGGGGTTGCAATGGAGACACATTGCCCACCCTGCAGGGTGAATCCAGTTTCACAGTGCTCCTCGACAATACGAGTGCATTTCCCACCTTTCCAGAGAAAGTTCTGCGGGCACTGTGGAGAGTCCGCAGTCTCACAGCGTCCGTTGGCATATCTCTGGCCTGCTGGGCAGATCGGCAGACCATTAACGCAGTAGCCATTCTGGAAGTGCGTATTCACGGGGCATTGAGGAGGCGTGAGGGTAAGACATGATCCATCATCACTGAGAATAGTACCCTGACGGCATTGAGGGGTGGATTTTGAGACACATCGCGCACCATCAAAGGTCGAACCGTCCTGGCAAGTTGGAGGTGTTCCAGTAATGCAGTCATCACCCTTGTGGATGCCGTCTTCGCAGGACGCGACGCCATTGACAACACAACGCCTACCGTCCCACTTTGAAGACTTATCACAAGATGGTGCGACAATGCTGATGCATTTGTTTCCTTCGAGCTTTGTCTGCTCAGGGCAAGACGGCGGTCCTCGAACTACACAATCGGAGCCAATCAATACCAGGCTCTGAGGGCACTGGGGCTTTGCGGTAATAATGCAGTGACCACCGCCAAAGCGAGAGTTTTGAGGGCACGCGGGTGGTGCTTGCCAGACGCAACGAGAGTTGTCTAGCTTGAATCCTTCTGGGCACTGTGGGGAGAGGGTTGGAGTGCTTCTCGCAGCGACCATTGATCGCTTCACTTCCATCGGAGCATTTACCTCCGACTGGCTTGGTGAAACACACGTTCCCATCCCAGTTCATTTCAAGCGGACAGCAGCGAGCGGTACCATGAGCCTTGTCGATTGAATGAGTTGTGCCAGATGGGCAAGCGAGCGAGCCGATGTAAATGCACTGTTTGTCATCCAGCTCTGTTCCGGTAGGGCACTTTGGCGGTTCGTTGATGGTGCAGGATTGGGTCTTGGAATTGAAGAAAGCACCATCTCCACAGGCGGGCTTGGAAATTGAGACACACTGGTCTTTCTGAGAGACGGTGTTCTCAGGACAGCGTGGCAAGGACACAGATATACAGCGTAGGGAAGCGGCATCAAAAGAAGTTCCCTTTGGACAAGTCGGAGGTTGGGTGTCGATACAAACACCCCCATCAAATTTAGCTCCGTCCTGACATTTTGGGCCTTTGATAGAGGCGCAGCCATTACCGGTGAAGCGCTCGCCATTAGGGCACACAGGTGGCTTCAATGATACGCAAACGTTTCCTTGGAGCAGATATCCAGGGCCACATAATGCTTGTCCTTCGATCACACAGTGGTTGCCCTTCAGGATCGTACCGCTACTACAAGTAGGAGGCTTCACAGTAATGCAGAGCCCGTCCCTGAACTCGTATCCATCATCACAGGACGGCTTTGTCTTGAAGACGCATGTCTCACCATCGGGAGAACTGCCACTGGGGCAGATCGAGGTCCCGAGAACACAGGCCTGGCCATCAAACTCCGTTCCTTGTGGACAGCATTTGACGTGGCCAGATGCTGGGTCGGTAGCGGGGATAATATCGTCAAGGGTGTACTTTCGATGGGTGCTCTGGACCGGGCCGTTCTGGGCCGTAGCAAAAGACGTCACAAGAGAAAGCGCCAGCGCCACCTTAATTCTTCCCATGGTGGCCAGTAAATGTAGAAAGAAAGACACTGGTTGATGAAACAATGCTAGACAATGAGAGAATACTTATAGAGGTTTGCGGTACGGGACATTTGCCTTGCATCCCTGGAATGAAGAATCAGTTGGCCGCCAGCCCGTTCGCGAGTTGAGGGAGCTTCTTCTCTCATTCCGTATAACAATCGAATGATACATAAATCCCTCAATCAGTGCGATCATCACAGTAAGGATCACCTTGTATCACAATCAAATTTTTGAGTTTGCTTTCCATTTGGGGTCGTGGCAGTGGTCGATGTATGCAGACGCAACTCGTGAACAAATGTCAGTTCAGCCATCCCTTATGCAGTAGGCGCGGGCATATCCGTGCCGTAACCCAATGACCCTTGCGTAGCTGTGCAACGGTTTTGAACCCTTCTTTCGCTTAATCCCAGCGATCGTTCGGATTGGTCATTTTTTTTCGGGGGCGGATCTCAGCGGGACCGTGTAACGCTGCAGAGAACTGGGGATATTGTAATTTGCTTTTTCGAGCTACAAATGTGGAGTAGCTAGCTATTCAGAAAAACCCCTCAAACTCTTAACATTGATCGTATTGCACAGAGTATCGGCTGTAACACGACATCATTATACAGTATGATGCTCCACAATGGGCTTCTCCGCACTATGAACAAGGCCGGCTTATTTTGCACTAGTTATCAAGTTCAAAGTTGACTCAGTCGTCCGAATCAACTAAAGTACTTCAGTTGAAATGCAAGGTAGATCTGTCCCGGAGACATCAGGGCATGTGATGGTTCACGTAGGACCATCTTAGTAAAGCATTGCATGCGTAATAGCAAGTCTCCTTTTGTCATCATTGCCATGATCTGCACCTTAATATTCTTCTCTTAGAACGAGCAGCTTTATACGGAGTACGGTGACCGAAATCATACTATTCGATGCCATTCGAGCTTTCAATGTTTCTTGTTTCCCCTTTTATGGAATTCCAGCCTTTCGACTCCAAGGTTACTTCAATACGCTTGCTATAGCAGTCATACAATTTATCTCCTAAACGGGATCTAATCCACAAGTGCGTGGATAAGTCCAAGTAGATCCTCCTGTTATCATTTTGAGAGAGGATTTAAAGCAATAGAGGTGGCTGACTGAGACCTACAGGCCTCGTATCTGCAGGATGTCTTTCTCAAATTAAAATATCCTTACTGCCTGAAGGCGAACTAGGCAAACTGCAATAATATCATGATATCAAAGCAATATCCTGCTCCAAAGGTAGTTCATGCGATACAACCTTCCAAAGAAGCTATATGATCTCCAGTCACACTGCATGGAGTTTTTCAATAGCTTCCATACCTTGCGGTGATGTAGCAAGCTTAGCTACGTAGGTACATGCACCATTGCCTCATGTTGTACAATGCAAGTATGCAATGCAAGAATACTTTGACCTGGTTTGCACTACTCTCACCGAATATGATGGTAGTCGGTCGGAGACAAAATCAGAAAGTAAAATGTTATAAATATCTTGCTCGCAACCCCCCCAAAAGCACTCATCAACTCACATTTCATCCTCAATCATCACAATCATCAAACATTTCACACTCAAGCTCAAGCTTACTTCCACAACTCCACTGTAAGACACTGGCCGCAGGCTCAATCTTCTATCTTATTTCATTCATTAATTACTCGACAGCCATCACAATGAAGTTCTCTCTCGCCGCTCTTGTTACCCTGGCCGCTGCTGCTTCCGCCCAGTACCAGCAGCAACCCCAGCAGTACCAGCAGCAACCTCAGCAATACCAGCAGCAGCCCCAGCAGTACCAACAGCAGCCATGGCAATACTCTCAGCAGCAGAACAAGTACTCCCCTGCTGAAGCTGATGCATGGCACGGCTGCATTGATCGCTTGCTTGACAACTTCAACACCGGCCACACAGGCAGCGCGGTTTCCTGTTCCACTTTCAAGTGTCTCGATGAGAACGCCGCCAAATACGGCCGAGGTGGCACTCTCGCCGGTCTTGGACAAGTTGTTTCTCTGGCCTGCAACTTTGGCGGAATTATCCCTGTGAGTAATTTCTTTCCCATCGCCGCTATGCAGACGTAAAACTTTATTGAGAGGGCTTGAAATGACTAACATGTAATAGAACTGGCTCTAAGCTTTTGAGGTGAATTGGTTATCATATGGTATTGGTCAACATGGGATCTGTTGTTAAATTGACCTGTTGGCGATATCAGCAGCCTTGACCCAGGTTTTTCGCAGCTTCAATTAGGCTGTTTTTCCCTGTGTCTCTTATGTGAATGCAGAGGCTATTGCGAGAATTTGTTTATAACAGAAATGACATGAAATTTTACGACTCACTGCTGTTTTTCCGTTGACAAGGTTGCGATATTTTTCTTGAAATGAAATGTGAAGTCACTCGTAAGCTCTCGTGGCACTGACACGCTAGAATTCGTCTTATTTGTTTGCTGTAAGGATTCTCAAAGCACACGCGACCTCACCCCATTCTCACCTCGGCGACAGCCTGACTATTGACTGCCCAGGTGCATGCACTTGAGCTACATCTGCATGCTCAATGCGGTCAATAAGCAAAGAGCTCTCTGGATCGTCATTTAGCGTCGGTTTTTATGTTAGGGTGAGTGTGGGTGAGATTTCTGGAGACTGGAGTGAGAGTGTTGAATTTCCATTTACTGAGAAAACCGCTTGTACCCCGCGGAGCTTTGTTCCTTAATCTAACCCAAGCCTAACTGATGGCCAATACAACCTTTGCCCTTTGCGTATCTTGCTGTGTTGACTCATATGCCTCAGGCATCTCAAGATCGGCCTAGCTATAGCAGCCTCTTCCTAAAGGTTCCCTTCGTCTCTATAATCTCCACCTTTCATTGCCCTTCTTCCTCCATCCGCCGCATCCCTCATCAAACAAGGAGAGTCTGGAAGCAAGCTTTTATGTTCTGACTGATACACTCACATATGGTCTAGTCCAATGGCTCCAGCAGGTACTCTTGTACCAGATGAATCCAGCAAAGCCGCCCTGTGGAGGTTGATCCACCCACTCAGCCAGTATGGGAAGCAAACGAGCCCACCACTGACGAGGAACACCACACAGGGACAGAGGTACCCTTTTCAATATATACCAAATCTGAAAAGAAGTGGATCAGCTTCGTCGCTGGATTTGGCGCCATATTCTGAACGCTCAGCAGCTATATCTATTTCCCTGCCCTGGTACCCATGACTAACAATCACGGCATATCGCTTGCCCTAATTGATCTGACCGTGACATCCTACTTAGTGGTGGCCGGTATTACTCCGGCTTTTATGGGGGATATTACACCACAACGCTAAGTGACGGTAAATCGAACGCCCAAAATGGCAACACTCGACGCCAGTTTAAGCGTGCATTTTACCTAAATCTTAGTCATATTTGAATCACGTGATCTCAATCAAGCGTACTCATCGCTTGGTCTCGGATTGCTCCCAGAGCCCTCCCGGAGCCCTCATAGCTACTTAGGGATCAACTCCAGTGTATTCAAGGTGCTCTGGGTAGATAATCAGGTATATAATCAGCATATCTCTTCTCTGTCTACCAATTGTAACTGCTCTTATAAATGTTAAAGGATCTCTTTGCCTATTCTTAGTTGCTTGCTTTCTTCTTCTTCTTCTTCTTCTTCTTCTTCTTCTTCTTCTTCTTCTTCTTCTTCTTCTTCTTCTTCTTCTTCTTCTTCTTCTGTTTGATTATGCAACATTAATCTTTCTTTTCTATTCCCTCCATCTGCCTACCAATTATCTACAATGTTCAAGTTTCTGACGCCTTCATATTCTTCCTCTCTCACTAGATCTCTGGTTTAAAATTTGTGTTCGATATCCCAGAAATATCCATCCTCGAATCTGCTGCCACCAGAATGGCCAAAAAGCCCGCAGCATCCAAGCCACATATCTAAAAACCTGAAGTTCCTCAAAGCTGAGCCAGAAACTCTGTTATTGGAAATTCGGTGGAGATATAGGATTCCACCTATCATCATGCCCCCGCCAATAGATATGAGATAAAATGAAAGCAATCTCTTAAAAAATCTCGAAATCCAAACGATGTGTGTCGTTGAACCCTGGCATATCCACCATATACACAGCCTTGTCTTTGATATCTATACTGTGGAATTCAACACCCTGTGTATCTAAATCATCCACTTGTCATTAATTTAGATCATATCAGTGGGTGGTCCACTATATACTAGTACTCACAAGATGTCAAATCATGGCCAATGACAGTATCCGCCGCTGTAAGCTTGGATATAAATGTGCTTTTTCCAACCCCCCATAATTCCCATAACAAGTACTAAAACACCAGCAGGGTAAATTTAAATACGCTATGAAGTCTTAGCAAATTAGCCCAAACGAATTGGATTTATAGCCTACTCTGCCATCCCTTGAGCTGACGTAATTCTGTCTTGCAAGGCTCAAATGGAATCAAGCATCCTCGCAATAAACAAAAGTTATCCTTAAATTGAAGAACTAAAAGTAAATCTTTACTAGTACTGTAAGCCAAGCACCTCATAAATATAGTCACACATGTGACAGTGAGTTCTAATTCTACCCCTCCCTATATTGCAGCTGAAATCGGCTGCACTTTACCATGGGACTATATCAGGAACTTTTATCATATTCACTTTCTCATAAGAAGGCCCTTGAACATCGGTGTTGTACCAAGCCACTTTGTTATACTTTCGTTCAATACTATTGTATCTTTCAATTCATCCGGTTCTTACAGCCACCCTATAGCTTCAACTTGAAGTTAAGATAGAAGCTCAAACAAAATAGCAAGACAAGTTTTATTTTTTGATTCCATCTTCCACCTCTTAAATATCACTTAGAAGCAACCCTTTTACTCTTTTTTAGTTATCATAGCAATCGTCCACACTTAACCCCCAAATAGAAGCAAGAAGAATTTGCTGTTTATAGGGATCCTCCTTATGAAGCATAGTATCTACCTGATTATCGAACGAGAAATGTTCAACATGATACTCTTCCTTTTCTTCATCTAATTCAAACCCACGAGATCTCGAACAACATCCACACTTTAGAGTGCAATGTCCAACACCGAACGCCCCAGCTGACGTATTAGCGCGTTCAGGACTAAGACAGCACCCGCAATCACGACTACAGCAACCCCCCCCTAGCTTTGCAATCTTCAACAAGCACTGGATGCATATGCCATGAAGGATTAGACCTCCATAGTTGAAATCCTCGTCGCAAGGGTCCGGAATTACCAAGGATCCAACCGCGCGTGTACCACCAGCCTCGCATCTTAGCCCAATTCGATTGGCTGAGTTGGCTTAATTTCTGCTTAAGAATTGGGGCATCGGTATTCCAGTAGCCCTGGCTGTACTTGTATTTTTCCTGTGCAGTAATTTCCTCTTGACAATTCCTGCGTAAATCCTCTTCCCAACAGAGTAGTTCAACAAAGCCATCAACATGCTGGTTGACCCTTGACTCTTGTTTGTAGAGATTGCATCGGAATACTTGGAGGGTCCTGATACATCCTTTTTTTCTCGAGAAGAGCCTCTTCCGGCGACTTATCTCCTGGTAAGGATAGCATCTTGGGGTCTGATTCCTCGTCACCATTTTCAGAACTGGAAGGGGTATATCTGCAATGGATGCAACTGGCCATAGTCGGGGTTCACAAGAAAGATATTTAAAATTTCTCGAAATCTGCTTTCCAATCGACAACCTTGGAAGTGAAGATAAGTTGTAGGGTTAAAAAGTTGAAATGGCAAGGTAGGATGTTAGTTGCGGTAACCAAGAATTAGCTCAATGAAGGCCTCATGATTACGGAACTCTACAAGCGGGCCTTGTACACTACTATACCAAATTAGCCTTCCACCAGCCCACCAGCCACAGTTGAATGTGGCTTCCTCCACATCATGTGCACCCCTTATGTCATTCCGGGCCTCTAACGGGTAGTGATAATGCCACCACCATGAATTAGAAATGGCACCGCATTATGTCACATGACCTCTTTTGTAGCCTATCGTTCCTTTCTTTCACAGTCACCTGATCCAGTCAAGGATACTCTATAACCTTCACCCTATATGATCAACATCAATTGCCCCGGGCCAAGGTCATACCTCCCCCCCTTAGAAACTCTTACGGATTCTATAAGTTGCAGTTCCCCTGAATTTCGCGTGATTTCCTCTTGTAGGTGTAAGCAGATTCATAATCGTTGCCGTCCATTCTTCTTCTTCGTCCTTCTTCCAGATGTCCATACCTTTCACTGCAAGAACAAGATCTTGGAGAGAATAACCAATGTGGTGGAGAAGGGAAGATGCGACATTTAACATGCCGTGGCCTGCTGCACTACTACTACATATCAGGCGGTCTGTCTAAGAGTTCATATTCTTGCTCTTTATCACAAAATCAGTCAGAGGGTATAAATTAAAATAATCAGGTGCAGGAAAAAATTTACTCCCGCGTACTACCTCCCGAGCCTGCTACAGTGGAGGAATTTGGGATCAACTACTATTTCGGCCCAACAATTGACTGAAATTCCGAGTCCAATGCTGCTTCGATATTAAGTGCTTTGCGAGGCAAAGAAAACGTTTCTAGGATGATAAAATAATTATACCGAAATGGTTGAGTACGCAGTGGATTTCTGACTAATCGAGACGATAGGATCAGCCCTCACGACTCTTTCTGATTGAAACAACAATATTTCCTGGCTAATTTACGCCTCATTGATGTTAAATTCGATAATGAGGGATATCAATTGTGCTTTCTATGCGCACCAAGATGTCAGTCAAGGGATAAGGTCGGAAAGGGAAGTATAATGGCTTACTGTCACGGTATGCCCGAACGCTTCTCTGGTCCTTGGCTCCCACCCTTCTGGAAAGCGCTCTTCGGTAAGGAAGACACGCAGGTCATCGACATTACCTCCAAATATCGAGTAAATAAGCTCACCTCCTCCGGAACCTAGTAAAAAAAGTGAATTTGTGAGAAAAAACCTCGCAATTGAATCACCGAGGTGGCTTACCAATAAACTCGTGCAGGAAGTTCCCTGTCATAGAGTATTGGCCATTGCTGCGTTTGCATTCGGCGCGGCGCTTCCCGGAGAAGGTTGCAATGTCACCCAGGGTCAGCGATTTCCCGTTCGAGGAGTGGGCGAGGAAATTTTCAACAAGGTCAGGGTGCGGGTAGCCCTGGTCAGGACAGAAGGCGATGTCAGGACGAGTGATTGAGGCGTCGTGTTGAATAACCTGAATGACCAGAAAATAATCAGCATAGAAGGTATTGAAATAATGGCATGCATGCAGTATGTCAGTTGTTGCTCACATTCAACGCATTCAAATCATGCAGATCAATCCAGCCCCGACCTTGATCGAGCAGTTTGGCAGAAGCAGTGAGTTGGTCGGCAAGTGTTGGTGAAAAGTTAAATGCGTGCTGGATTGCAGATGTCAGTTGCTTATAGGTGATCTTTCTACCATCGCGGGGTAGAATATCTAGAATATACAGGTTAGCAAAAGGGAGCCCCTAGAGCGATTCCGCTCGACCTACTGTGGTTGGCAAGGGTGTTGAGTCTATACAGAGGGTATGCGTCAGAAATTAAAGTCTGGTATATGACAGAAAGCAGACGTACCCGGGACAAGGGGATCGGCTCTCTTTGCCCTGTGTCGGGGGGAGGTAACTCGGCCAGATACCACCATGGCCTGGATGGCCAGGAAGCACAACTCTTCCAACGGGACGACTAGGGCGGAAACGATTTGCGATCTATGCAAAATTTTGTCAGACTGACTAGGAACTTATTCGGAGTGGGGAAAAAACAAGAGTATTTGAAAAGGATAACTGACAAGGTAGAACAGATCTCGAATTTCGAGCCAGATAGCAAATGTGACCCAAGGAGTAAGGCCGATAGATGCCTTAATCAACCGTGTGAAAATACCGACCACGGTCGTAAAAAGGTTTACCATGGCGGGCGAAGAACCAGGTGGGCGTTTTTATTTGTAAAAGTCGGGGAGCAGTGAAAAGTGGCTGCAATTCTCAGCTTTATATGATAGTTGCGATCGTAACTCGCTAATCAGACACATATGAACATGTGGAAGTGGGAGTGGGGTACATGAGAGGCGATATGCATCTCAAAAAGAGAAACGCGTGATGAGGCGTAGCTCAGCTGCACCTTCGGCAGGGCCTGGAAACTTGAAGCCTAAACATCATACCCCCACATTCGGCAGGATAGTCAGAAAGTGCTTATTTTCAGCCAGCCGAATGAGACACTATCCAACTATTTGCGGCTTCATCTCAAAAGTCCGACTTAAGTGGTGCCTCTTTCGTGTCGGGGTTCGAATCCAGACTGTTATTGCAAAATGGGCTGCGAGTCCCGATCGGTTACCCTGACCAAAAGTCGGGAGAGACAGCAAAGCGGCATCCCATCGTAAAAGCGCCGCTAGGCTAAGCCTCATCTGGATCCACCAAGCTCGCGACTTACTTTCTGCCTAAGCGTATTGGCTCATCGGCGAACTCACGAACTATTTAAGTGAGCGAAGCTCCGCCATCATAGACGTGAAGATGTCATGGTAGAGGATGTTCAGGATCTAGACAACCTTTGAATCTTCGCAAAGATTTCAGGGTTCTGGCTTTGATGTAAGCTAAACACCTGAAATTTTCTTTCCAGGGTTTCAATCAAGTTCGCTTCAAGTTTTGTTGCGATATACCGGTAGAGGTAGTAGACAAAGCACTAAGACTTCGTATTAGTTGCTAACTAGTAACCACTCTCCTCCCAGTCCTATTTCAATCTAGAAGTATCACCTATCATGGCAGCATTTGACCTTAAAATTATTCATGGACTTTTTTCGTTGCAACCCCCTCTTGGCGTAGCGAACTACAATTTCAGAGGGGAAAAAACAAGTACAACTCTGACCACAAGATGAGAAGAGGTCTCCAACGCCATGGGGAAAAAACGAAAAAGACTCCACACACCTGGGCAGCCAAAAAAAATGATGCAAAAAGACAAAAAGTTATGCGACGAGCCGGGATCGAACCAGCGACCTCACGATTTGCTTGTAACAGCTGATTGAAGTTGTTCTTCAGTCGTGCGCTCTCCCAACTGAGCTATCATCGCCGCTTTGATGAAAGGGACTCACTTCTTGGATACATGAGGGTCAATTTGACTTTTCTTTGAAGCCGAACGGTTGGAGACTTGGGGTCGGGCGAGAAACCAAAGATTACATGCTGAAACACTATAATTACGAGTCGTTCAAAGTTAAACTCGCAAGTTTATTGTTTGCTAACGCTCAAATATATTCTTATTTATTTTTGGTGATTTTTCTGAATCTCTTCTACGCGAAAATGTTGAAGTTTCATGCTCCAACGGACCAGTAGTCTTTCCATGCTATACCTTGATAAGTGCAGAGTATTTTAGATTAACGACTCTAATAATATCTTTAGTCGACCTTGGTTTACACGTACCTTTTTTCGGGGATTTTTGGGATTTTCTGGTGGCTTGCAACTCAAAAGAAAATCGTCGAATTTGGCGGCGGTGGAGGGGGGAGGTCATCGGTCACGTGTTTGTTCGTTGGCCGCCCATGTCGCGATGGGCAATTTACTGCGATTCCAATGTTCGTATTCAGGTTTCCTTCTTTCAAGATTATCTAGGTCCAACAGATGCGTATGACTCGGGGTGAAACACTCTGATGCTTTACCGGATACTATCCAGGCTGCCACCGTGGAGCGCGTGCCCAGGGCTGACTCGGAAGTCCCGAGATCGGAACCTTTGAAATATATACCTACTACCTACTATTAGGTACCCACCTAGGTACCTATATAATATTACTACTAGTACTAGGTATTCACACTACTAAGCCCAGGTGCCCACTGCTGGCACATTCAAGCTCCAAGGTTCCAAGCCCTGGAGGTTCAGGTTGTTCAACTTGAACTTGACGTTGGAAGGACTACCACTTTTAGACTCTGAGTCGGCAGGCTCCAGCCTGAGGCATATACTAGTATGATGCCACTTCATTTTCAAGATATAGCTTCTTTGTCAACTTAAAAGTTCATCCTGTTCAAGTTGATATAACACATGGCACCACTATCAGAATCATAGTTCATGATGGTTACTGTGGATGGAAAACGAAGGAAGATGGAAGGTGTGTAGATTGTAGGGACAAAGGCTGGTATAGGCCGATCTGGCGATGCGAAGGCATATACCCCAACAATCATATACCATTCCATCATGATGCATCCCTTTCTCCCCTCAACAGCCCTGGAGTACCATTGGAATCACTACTAATTTCAAAAATTTCAAACACCCTTCCATTGGTAAACCTAACTATGTATATACTAGTATCACCCACTGACAGATAGAAGACGATTAACGTTAGAAACAAATTCCATCGACGAAACCAAAAGCTAGTGCCAAAAATTGAAACCACCTGGCACCTGGACAGTGATGAGAGCGACAGAACAGAAAAAAAAAGGAAAGTAAACGCTATACCACCAGACCCATGAACGAACAATTTTGCCAAAACCAAGCGATGCACGCAAACAGCAGAAAAAAAAGCAAAATGAGTCGAATCGACACAGTCAACGCCAACAATATGAAACAAGGCTAAGAAACATTAAGATTAAACGCGCTCATATGGATCAAATGCCTAGTGGCCGACTGGAGCAAACAGGAAAGAGAAAAGAAGTGGGAAAAAAACAAATTGGTGAAAGAAGTGGAGAAAGGATTGGTTGCCGGGAACCTAATCCAGACCAGGCTGGATGGGAGAAGGATAGGGGAAACTCGCAGAGTATGTAGCTGTGGTCCTGCCCGCGTATATCACTCATCTCATTATTGTTGGATGTAGCTTGAATAGTTGAAGGGTTGGTTGCTGAATTTGGCTCGGAAAGAGTCTAGATGTGGCTGGTTCTGCTGCATCTGATCTTGAGCAGCTGCCCCGGGCTCGGATGGAGCAAAGGAGGTGGGGAGGCTCAGCGTTGAGGTGTTGGATTGTGTATAAGCAATTGTGCCCATAGGTGCCGAGGGATTAGCGTAGGAATAAGGCCGGTAGTCCTGTGGTGCAGAGACAGGTAGAGATTGCAAGGAGGGCATTGGTCTGCCATGTGGGATCTGCGAAGTCATTCCAGACATCGCTAGATGAGACTGGTAACCTGGGGGGTTGGGTGCCTGGTGAATCACAAGTTAGACCTCTGGGACGCAAGCTCGCGGAGTAAAGATGAACAAACCAATGCTGCCCAATTCATAGGGCATTTGCTGGCCCTGCGAGTCGGTGGGTGAAACTGAACCTTCAAATGAGTGTGACTGGTCATAGCCTGTCATCATTGTGCCTGGGTGTCGTGGGACGCCATATTCCATTGGCTGGCGACCATAAGGCATACCGGGTTGATTCGATGTTGGGGTGAACCTATTGTGAAGCTGCATTCCCGGGTGAAACGACGGGGGCTGAGAAGACGCATCGGATACGCTGCTAGATCGGGTGATCGAGTAGTCACTTCGGATCGTTCTGTGTAGATCGGACATGGATGAAGATGCCACGGGACGTCCGTACATCATGGATGGTTGGGGCAAGCCGTCCGTACGCCCCTGTCCAGCAGAGGACATGTAAGTACCTGCAGTGGATGCCGAGCTGAGCGGCGAGACAAGATAGTCCTCCTCATTCGGGCGCTGAAAGCAGTCCGTCCGTAGAGTCCGCAGTGCTGCAAAATCCGGATTCGGGACACTGTAGTCATGGGGTGATGCCACGGGTGTTTGACCGGTCGACTTGCTCTCAAAGGGGGTGCGTAGAACCTTTGTTGTGTCGAAGTCATCTGGCAGTGCTCGCGACTTGAGCATTCTCTCACGATCATTCGTAGTGAGGCGCTTCAGCTTCGCTCGTCTAAATGATCAAATTGACAATTAGAGAAGCCCAAAATCCTGTTGAAATGTGAAACGCTACCTGTTTTGGAACCAAACTTGGACCTGACGTGGCGTCAAGCCAGGAATTTCTCTCGATAACCGATCTCGGTGGGCAGCGTCCGGGTGAGCCTGACGAGTAAACTCACTCATGAGAAAGCGAGTTTGATTGTGTGTTAATCTGTTGATGGTCAACGCTTCTGCCACTGATAACCTTAAAAACTTTAACCTGTGCTACCACCTTTGTCTTACCTAAATCTTTTCATCTTCTTTTTTTCCAGCGATGACATCTTGCTATCATCACCATCTAAAGTATCGCCCCTCTCATCAGAAGGGCTGATCGTCGACTCTCTGTCATGGTCGTGCTCATCTCTCGAATCAAGACCGAGTTGAGACGCATCCGACATTTCTCCCAAATGACTTGACCCGCCTTGAGAAGAGGACATCGAGAAGTCGGTATAACTTCTCCCAGGAATCTCCAGTTTCACTCGTGGAAGAGTGTCTTCTCTTCCTGCCCCGGCCACTGGGTTAAATGGACTGTGCGATGGGATCTCTCCCCCGTACGTGGCCGAAGAGGCTGTGGTCGAAGGTACTGGTGTGATGGGGGCATTCTCAGCCTTTGAACCAGCTCGTTGCATCTCAGCAGACCGTCGTAAGGAAGAAATGTCCAGTGCTAGTTCCCTTGGAAACGTTGACTGTGGCGAGGAAGTTCGTGGAAGCGAAGAAGCCCGCTCTCCGTGACGAGTAATGGCCGAGAAATGGGAGGAGACAGCCGACAGGGGCGAAGGAACCGGCGAGGATAAAGAAGGCACCCAAAGACAAGGGCCGCCGATTGACATATTCAAGAGATCGACCAAGCCCGTCTTTCTTGACTGGATCAACAAGACAAGAAGAAGATCAAGATCGACGTCAACTTCTTCCACCCAAGATATGGAACCGACAAGATTTCAAAACAAACCAAACCACACACCACAAACTAACAGAGAAGGAAAAAAAAAGGCAAAAAGGGACAAAAGCGAAACTAATGCGTCGTCTCCCCGAGATGAGACGAAGGTGGGTCTAATAGAAAAGCCGGGGCGCTTGCGCAACAGACTCAGGGTTCTGCAATTTAACGGAGTAAAGGGTGACGCCCGGAGCGTTTAGGCGTGACCTCGGATGTATATCAGATCTGGTCAAAAGAGGAGGGGAGGTAAGAGATGAAGTGTGGACTTCTAAGGCACCGATAGTTGTAAGGTGCAGGAATCCGTTGAGCAAACGACGTTAAGTAAAGCGGGACAACAGGCCACTTTGCGTCCCAAGTCCTTGCTGGATCTCAGATCACCAGCTTCGTCTTCCCTCAACGAAGATCTTTACGTAGATGGGTAGTAGACCAGACAACGATAATAGAGTCCACTGTTAAACTCTCCAACGACTAACAGCCAAGGAAAAACAAAAGAGCAATGGAGTCACTGGGGCCAAAGATCTAATGGCAACAAGAAACGAGAAAGAGGGCAGCGGGCCAAGCGGAAGGGAGTGGAAATAACCAGTCGGGTTGAGATATTAAACGGACACCCGCAATACCGCCAGGGTCCACTGGGCAATCAGAGTTGGATACCGAGAGAGAGAGAGGCCCAATGTGGCGGCACACCTGCAAGAAAAAAGATATATGCGTGGGTTCGTGGAATGACGATCTTTGCAACGGCCAAAAACGGTCAAAGTTTATGTATAAAAGACCGTTGGAATCAGAAAGTCAAATGTGTTGAGAAGAGATGAAGATAAAACAGTAGTGTCGAGGAGAATGAAGCTAAAAGAGAAAAGAAGCCAAGAAGATGAAAGACAAGCAAATGCTCCAAAGACACTGTTTTGAAAAAAAAAGGAAGAAGGGTGGGCCAGGGAAAGGAGTGTGCACACAAGGCCGGTCTGGTCAGCACTTGGTTGCGCGCACGTCAACTCGGGAGGGATCAGCGATCTATGGAGGCGAATGATGCTCCTTGTGGAATAGTCCCAGAGATGTAACCCCGGGTTCCAAAACGGCCAGGTTACGGGAGTATCAGACCTAAACCCGATCTTGCAAAGGATCATTCCGATACAGTTCACTAGTTAATCCCATTTTACGCGTATTACTACCTCCTTTTTGGTTTCAATTGTACCTGGCTTTAAGGCTGGAAACAGCTAATTTAGAATGAAAATATACCGGAGAGATTGCCCAAAAGTACGGGGGCACAGCCCTTGAATCACTATCTAGCAGCATCCAACGTGCACAGATCACAGGGATCCTCTCTCTCCTGCCCCTCCCTCCCAAGGTCGTGACTTATGACCACGGCCAGCACTGGGTCCTGTGGCGAATGGCGCTTCTGCCCGAGCTGAGAATTAGATACATACCCCTCTGCCCCCCAGTGGGAACGGGGATGATTCAAGGCTGAGGGCTGGACCCAGACAAGCTAGAAGGACCATATCCCGCTGACCAGATAAATGATAAATATCTGCCCGTGGGAGAGGGCCGATGGGTCCCGGGTCCCACCGAGAAGCCACGAGGCGGGCTCCTTTCGTACCGAGACACAAGCGTTCGCCCGTTTGTACATCTCAAAACAACAGCAATGGACTGCTAGCGCCGTGAGCGATAGAAAAATTTCCGTCGTGGATCTTAGTGGATATGGCGAGGAATGGTGGCCAAAGCCTGATATTGCTGCATGGGCCACTGGCCAATTGGTCTTAGTTAGCGTGGGTGGCATGCCAGACCCTGGCCACCTTTTTTTGTTTAGTTCATCTTTTTTAGGATTTGCTTTTTTCTCACCGGCCAGCCATGTGGAAGGCTGGTCCATAAGCGGCAAATCATGGATGGGCCAGTCAGAGAGCTGCCCGCCGCTGGGGCGTCGAGGACATCGGACAGAGGTGGAGGTGTTCCAGTGGGGTGGTCAAGGAGAAAGTGATCCTGGATAGAAGAAAATAAATAAATACAAATAAATGATGAAAAAAAAGGATGGCTCGAATGGGAGACCCCGCGATCACCCATGGTTGTACAGTACAGTCCAAGATAATATCAAAAAGCTCATTGGTCTTAGCGTCAAGCCCTGAAACCAAATGGGGCATCGCTAGGAAAAGAAGAGACCATATTGACGGGAGATTTATCAATGGTATTAATTCCGTAGAGCCGCAGGTTTTAATTTTTCTTTAATATTTATTATTATATTTTGTTTTTACCCCTGAACCATATCCGCTTTCAAACCATCAAATGTACATATACTCCGTAGTCCGTACGGAGTGCTCTTACATAGTAATGTGCATGGGGTGCACTAGCATCATTCGGGGCCAACCGTGGCTCGGGAAGGCCTCGACTCCACCACGCAAAGCACTCCTTGAATCTCCACATTCCAAAGCATGAAACAATCTAGGTCACAGCTGAAATGAAGGCCTCCTGGAATTTCAGATCGATCGCGATCTGAAATGAGAGAGGTGAAGAATCTGCAGTGGGCCACTTTAACTTCCAGATTATTCTATGTACACGGAGTATCTTCCGAGCGTACTTGCTAGGTTGATAGTCTCTCACCTGGCAGTTGATAGGTACGTGACCCTCCATGCCCTAACACCAAGACCCATTACCACCACCACCTCCACCACCACCACAAGAATGTTCATCACTTGTAGTCAACGCCTTGCACATCTTTCCTCTTATTGTCCAAGATGAGGTCACAACAGTGCCACTCCCGGGCCGAAAGTATGTATGGATCTCTGCATTTTCTCTTTACAATGTACAACAAAGTTTGGCCGGTTCAATAGCCGGTGGGGTCCTAGCATCCTCCCTTTACGTACAGACGCTGCTCCACACGATCACTCCGAACCCACGGTGGATATGCTAAACGACCCCCACTCACCTCGCCTCGCCTCGCACGGGTTTCGGAGGAGAAAACTCGGAACCGTTGGCCCCTATCCCGAATCACAGTGCACAGCGAGCCCCTCTACGGCCGAAACCACCGTCGATCGCAGACACAACCTTGCGAGTGCTTCTCTGTCATTTTCCACTTCAGGTGATCATGACGCGGTCCTTGCCACATCGGCAGAAGGAAAAACAAAAGAGAACACGAAAGAAGAGCACAACTCCTCACGGCATTCCATGGTCAGAGTGGCGTTGGTGGGGGGGGGGGGGGGGGTCCCTCGCTGTCAGACCAGCCACACCGTCCCCGAGCTCACCAACGGAGGGAGGGAGACTGGGTATACACGGAGGAGGTACTCCGTACTTGCACTGTTCCAGAACAACTGCGGGGAATCCGATCGCAGCATCGATCGCAGCGCAACTTTAATCTCGGGTGCTTCGCCGCCAAGATGGGACCACTCCTTCATTTCGTATCGCGTGCATGCACGTCGTCATCGCGCTGAGACGAAACCGCCGGAGGGTGACGCAAGCCGATCGCTACATGGTGCTAGGCCACTCACTACGGAATAATCCGTACGGCTTAGCTGCTGTTGGTCCTTATAGGCTTCTCTCGGCGGCAAAATTGGCCGATGAGATGTTGTGCCCTGCAGATCACAAAAACAAAAAGAGGTTCTGAGCAGACCCCGGACAAGAGTATACAATGGAATTTTCATGCTTTTGATACTACCGAGACTTCCGGTACCGCGGTACACGAGGTCGAATAAATGGATCCAACCACCTCCCATTTTTTCCAGACCGGGCCCTAGTCTCGAAATTCGGGTTGACAGGTCGGCTTCGCCGCGTTTCCATGGATTGGAGAGGGCACATTCCACTGGGACAGGCGAAAAGATAAGATGATGCGGTGCTAACGGTCAAACAAGCATTCCCTCCGAGACTATTGATTTTCGAATTTTGGCGACACACATGCAAGCTATAGTTCCCAGGGCGCCCTTGGCAAAACACAGCCTTCGGTACGGAGTACCTTTGCCATTGACTATTGAACTGTACTTTACGGAGTACATACTACTCTAGTATGCTTAAGATGGAAGTGGTCAGTGCATTAGATCAGAGGAACTTTGCACAGCACAGACAAAGTCTCTCCTGATCTCAGACGATAGCGGAAAATTGCTCCACTAGTGGAGTCTTGCGAGACTCCGACACCACCGAGTGGACCGTTGCTTGTGGATTCCCTGCGAGGCACCTCCATGCGAACAGTGCGTCGCAGTTTTTCTTTCTTTCGAGAAGAATCGTACGAACTTGGGGCTTGCTCGGAACCTCCACTCATACCGAGGGCCGATATCTAGGTAATGCAGAGTAGTGAGTCTTCCTATATCGGTACGCTGTAAATAGTTGTGGCACGAATCATCATATTTCCAACGCCCTTCGCAGACCTTCACATGCCAGTGCTCTGATTCACATTCGCAATGAACCAGAAAGGCATTGTGCAGTAGGCTCGGGGGCCAAAACAGGAGTTTGGAGTCCACTTGCTCCCCTAATCTCATTTTTGCCCTTGTGATGTGAGATCCTCAGACGCCGAACTCGTCCCATTGCCCTGTTAGTCGGGATGGGGGCGTGTGAAACTGAAACGTGGCTGTGACGCTCCGGCCTTTCCACTGGGTTTTTTAGTTTTGTTTTTCGTCCTAGTCTCAGGGGCAAAGGATTTTTCGGGCCCGAGGTTATTACTTGAATGGGATTTAGGGAGGGGCTTTAATTTTTCTTCTTACAATCCAAAAGGGTGTACGGAGTATTTTTGAGAGAATGAAGATACGGAGGATAGGGCGTGATATCCTGGTCGGGCAAAATACTAACAAAAATACGTAGATTTCATGCAGGAACCTCTTTTCACCTTCAATAGAGTTGTCGATCAGCCAGTAATAAAATCCCTAGTCCCCACGTCGGTAGCTAATTCAGCATTTCTTCTGCCCCTGGTCGCTTTTCGGTACTAGTTCTACCGGGCCCGATTTGGGTTTGAAGGTTGGGAATATTATTTTTTCTATCCGTGGCTACTAGTTTCTGTTGATCGCCGTTGAGCCCACAGACTAACTTCACTGCCTCGCTAAGCCCCAGAGATCAGAGACATCAAAATCTCGAAAATGCTACCATATTGCTAGACATGGTCCGATGTGCGCCGTTGATCGACAGAGGAAATCATTGTAGCCTGTTGGGCGGGGACTTTTGCAACTGCTATGGTTCACCTAGCGATCCACTGCATATATCCCATCCAGCAGTCGACGATTGCTGTGCAATGCGTGGCTAGCCAGCAATCAAGGAAAAGTATGAAATATCGCAAAACCTTCCTGTCAAAGCAGGTTTTCTGCACACGCAAGATGTACCGGTCATCGGTTAATTACCGCCGCTCGTGTCGCCGATATTGAAGTTGATGCATCACAGCTGCAGATCCGTGATCCTCAGTACAATAGGAAACTCTCCGCAGGGACCCGGGCCTTTGGACCTGGTGGATGCGATGAGCCCTGTCCGCTAAGCGATACCCGTTGCGGGTATTGCTCCGCACTAAGAAGAATGGGAAAGGGGCAAAGGCAATATGTATGCATCCTGCCAAAACTTTCGCATGCGCCAAAGCCGGTTTGCCGTCAGCTTGCCGGCTCCTCTTTGGGATTATCTCCGGAAGCCGCACTAGACGCGGCGGCTTCGGCTTCGATGCCCATGCTTTCATCAGGGGCAGCCATTTCCTTCTGATCTTCTTCGTGTGCCTCCTCGGTGGCGAGAACGCTGATTTCCTCATCAGGAACCTCCGATGCATCCGGGGCTGGCGTATCTTGAGCACCGTCACCACCGTGCGAGATTTCCTTGGCGAGGTCGGGGGAATCTTCGGCGGCTTCCGTGGGCTGTGGGGTTTCGGTAGGCGCTGTGGCGCTTTCAAATAGAGCTTTGAGGTTCTTGCCATCCTCAATTCGATCGAAAGCCGCCAGCTTGGTCTTTGCAGATAGACGAAGGATGCGCCAGGTCTTGCTAGATTTGGATCTCAAGGCAGCATCCTTGTCATCTTGAGATTGTGCCATATCAATATCCATGTCGTCGTCCAGCATGCTCATCATCAAAGCGTCTGCGGCGGGTACTGAGATTCGATCTGATTCTTTGAGCCGCTCAATATTAGCCAGGGCCTCGCCGTCGGAGAGAAACTTGAAGTCCAATGATCCCATTGGCGAGGGACGAATCCGCTTATCAGCATATGTTTTAGTTGCTTGATCACGGGCAGACAAATATTCCGGTATCGTCACGGCCGGCTTTTCGATTGGCGGGCAGCCTTCAGCCTTCCACCGCGCCCAATTCTTGTCACGAGATAGAACAGTGTCGACCATGCGATAGTAAAAGTTTCCTCCATTGCCTTGACGAAGATATCCTTCAATGGCCGTTCTCATGCTGGCAGCCCATTTCGTATCCTCCTCGCTCAATACAAAGCCATATAGAACGGATTTATTTGTTAGATCAGCTGATCGAGATTTGGCCTTGGGCGTGAGAGACAACATGAAGTCGAGAAGGATGAGAGCTTGAACAAGTATGTGCCGCCTGAACGCCATATCGCTGATTTCGAGGTCGAAGAGGTCACGGCTGGTGAGATATTTGGGATTAAAGCTGGTGCCGACCTCAGTATCGTCCGCAACGCGTTTGCGCTTGTTCGGATTGCGAGTTTCTTCGGAAGATCGTTGTGATTTTTGATTCTCCAGGTCGGTGTTAATATTTTTGAAGGCAGACAGCGTAGCTTCCAGCCCAGTCTTGAACTTGGCAAAGCGTTCCGAGTCAAACGTCTTGGTCGGTGAGGAGAAATAGGATTGCAGACTCCAAAAGATGGGGTACAGAGCATCGAGGTCAACAGGCTCTTTTGCCTTCTTTTCTCTCCCCCCAGAAACCACCACCTTGGGGATCTGCGATGATGACGCCCCAGGTTCGCGATTGCCAGCCGGGGAAACCCCCTCTCCCTGACCCTCCGTTGTAGAATCTTCGTTGCCTTCGGTCATTGTGGTATCATCGTCATCGTTGCCCGCCGTCGGATTCGGAATATCGTCGTATGTGGTGACATTTTCGGTGTGAAACTCGCCCCGTAGATTGACCGAACTCTTATCGCCAAGCGGAAAGCTCTGGAAGAGGAATATGAAGACTCGTCCACAGAACACGGTATCTTCTGCGCGTGACAGTCGGCGGAGCAATTCGTTGCAGGATCTGAGGATGACCAAGCTTTTCTGTTTGAAGTGTTTCTTCACGTAGGTCAGCACAGGAATAGACTGGATCAACACCAAATGTTGGATCGCCGGAGACATACCTTGATATTCCTTTCTCGGCGCGACTCGAGATAATCGAAGACTGTACGACATCCATCGATAGTTTGACTGTCCAGTAATTCCTCGATGAGCCAGAAGATCAGTCCAGGTTCGCATTGCTCTGTATACGGCGTTAGCAGTGCCGGTGAGGTACAATTGATAGATCTAGGGACTGACCATTGTCGGAAAAGATAGAGACGATATCGAGTAGATTCCAGATGTGAATGAAATCAGGGTTATCGATCGAAGTAGAAGCCTATCGTAGGAAAGCTCCGGTTAGCTGATATTCCAAGCTGCCTGTCGCGTCAAAGACCCTTTCTTACCAGAATGCGATAGAACTTCTCCCGAAAAGCAATTTCCACCGCAGCAAGTCGCGTCTGCTGATTCAATTGCTGCACAGCTTTTTGTTCCTCACCCTCTGGGGCTTCCCAGATTGCCTTGCCTAGAAGCGTTTCGGTCAACGGGGGCTCAATCTGACCGTCAGGCTTGACCTGAACTGCGCGGTCCAAGAGACGGTCGACCAGCCCCTTGTAAACACGAACCGCATCTGTTTCGAGGGGGGGCCATCTTCCCGAGAAGAAAAAGCCTGGTCCAAAGGGTGTTTTGCGAAAGAGAGGGGGGAGGGGGGTGGATTGAGAGGCACAGAAAGAGAGAAGGTAGTTCACCCCAAGGAAGAGTTGCGGTTGCGGCTCGGCGGAGAAGAACGCCAAGACTGACCGAAAAAGCTCCCCCAGCTTCGCGCCGCAACTTCAATCCCGTCGCAGATTTCCCCTCACGCCCTTGACCAGCCCTCGTTCATCAGAACAAGGGAAAATTGAGTGCGGTGATGGCGCAAAGTCTCGAAGCGCGGCCAACAGTGGTGGATTTCCGTGAGGATAGCCCGTGGCTGAAGCTAGCCAAGACACATTGGTTGGACGTCAAGGTTCGCAAGGTCAAGCCAGACGTGATCAAGAAGCAATTGTGGGATCCATTGGAGGCCGAGGGCTTCACTAATCGATCGCTGTTAATTCTGGAGAATCTGAATGTCTTAGAGAAGTATGTTGTCCGCGCTTGACAGTTGATGCTTTATCCCCGCAGGGCTAACGTGATCGCAGGTTTCTGTGGCCAACGTACACGGAGGATGCTTCTAACCACCATGTTCTCTTGATTGCGCTTATTGTGAGCGTGAAACACCGCGAGCATCTGCCGATATGGGGTAAGTGGACGCGACAGCGTGTGGGACGAAGCAAAGGCTAACGTTGAAAACAGACATTTTCTCGGACCGCGGCGACGACTTCTCGACTCTATTTCATCGAATCCTGTCAATGAGCATCGATCCTTCACTGCCGACTCAGTCACGCCTGTCAATCATCTCATTCATTATCGGCGCCTTTCAATCCCTCGAGAACGTCCTGATCCGGAAAGAATGCGCCCCGCTCGTTTCGATTTCGATTTGGCACAATCTGGCCAGCGAGGACGCCCGAGAGAATCTCGTTGCGCAATTCCCAGCGCTCAAGAAAGCGTGGAGGGCCGCTGGCAAGCGATATGATGCTGGGGATGAGCCAACTCAAGCGAAGATGCGATTCGAGCGATCTTGGCTGTATACGATGCTGCTCGATTTCCTGCGGAGGATGAATGGCTCAGAAAAGGAACAGTCTGAAAATTTGCAGTACTGTGAGCGATTCTTGGAGCTTCTGGTTGATCTCCTTAGCCAGCTTCCAACTCGACGCTATGTGAATACGCTGCTTAAGGACCTTAACATTATGCCCGCCATTCGTCTTTCACAGCAGTATCAAGGACCTGAGAACGCCCTTCTCCGTGATTTCTACAACCTCCTAGGACATTTTGTCAACTTCGCCATTGATGATTATTCCGGCGAGGCCCTTGCCCCGCAAGCAGTCTATGATCGTCATTGCCAACAGCTGGCGCGGCTCCAGAGAACCTCCATGAAGCATTTTAAGGACAAGTTGATGATCCTCGCCTTATCCAATCTTGGTTCTATCGAACAGCGGTCCGAGCTGGAGGGACAACTTTCTTCATTGAGTGAAGCGGAGCTTGAGAGTCTTTGCTCCCTTCTTGGATTCCGAACTACCTATCCCAAATCTTGCGGTATCATTCCAGACACAAGGTTCTACACGGAGGTGCTTGCTTCTTTCTACGAGCGTAAGCCTTCGTTCCAGGAGGCTACCTCTAAGCTGAGCATTGTGCCCACCGAAACCGATCTATATGACCCAGCGCTGCTGAGGAACGAGTCCTACGATGGTTCAAGGCCTCTCGCCATCCCGAAGCTGAACTTGCAATATTTGAGCATTGGTGATTTTCTTTGGCGCTCATTCCTTCTCTACCGATCGGAGGCCTTTTTCCAAATCCGCAAGGACATGGAATCGGTCGTGAAGCGTATGCAGCCCCGCGCAAACCGCGATGGAAGCTTGAAATTTGAAGGATTCTCCCGCATGGCCATCCCCGTCGAAAAGCCCGCTATTATTGAAGTTGCTCCCGCGAAGGTCGGCTCTCCCAACCCTGCCTTTATTCGTGCCGAAATTGCCATTGAGGTGGGCAGATTGGCAGATCACATCCGCAAAGAGTGGGAAGGCCTTCGCCCGGACGATGTTATCTATCTTCTGGCAGTTCAGCCATCTTCACCCTCTCGACACGCAAATGATGAGAATGCCGAGGGTCCTCACATGACATATCTTCGAACGGCAGAGATTGTGCAGGTTCTTGATGAGCAAGGCCGTCAGCTGCGTCAGCCAGTCTCTGGTCAGTCAAATGGGCACAACTCCCGTCCGCGGGTGCGTCGACTGCTAGTCAATTTAGAAGCATCCGCGTTTAAAGCGGACAAGGACCGCCAAGCGCAAGGAAAGCCCGATGTCTATCCCTTGATTAACGTGGTTGCTCGGAGAAAGGGTCGGGAAAACAACTTCAAGTCTATCCTAGACACTATGCAGAAGCTCATCGTCTCTGACGTTGCACTCCCGTCTTGGCTCCAGGACATCTTCCTCGGGTACGGCGATCCCTCTGGCGCCCAATATTCACAACTTTCCAACAAACTCCAATCCATTGACTTCCAAGATACATTCCTCGACTGGGCTCATCTTGTCGAAAGTTTCCCTGGCAGGTCTATCGAGCCTTCTGGAGCCGAGTCTTCGAGTTTTGGACCTCCTTATGTTCTTGAAACTGTTGAAAGTGAACCAGTGCCAGCTGAAGCTCCCTCAAAGAAACGCCGGAAAGAACAAGCCGAGCCGACTGGGGTTTCTAGCACCTTGCGTGTCTCATCCTACAAGCCGCCCAACCCGGGGCCTTACCCTGTTGATGCACCCAAACTCAATACTGTGCGGTTCACCCCAGCCCAGGTGGAAGCAATTGCTTCTGGTACACAACCGGGACTCACTGTCATTGTTGGCCCCCCTGGAACTGGCAAGACCGATGTCGCCACTCAAATAATCAACAACCTTTATCATAATTTCCCCAACGAGCGAACGCTTCTCATTGCACACAGTAACCAGGCCCTTAACCAGCTCTTCCAAAAGATCACCGCCCTTGACATCGACAAACGTCATCTGTTGCGATTGGGTCACGGCGAGGAAGAACTGGACACTGATTCCAATTTTAGCAAGTTTGGACGGGTCGAATCATTCCTTGATAACCGGAACCATTATCTTTCAGAAGTGATGCGACTAGCAGCATCTCTTCAGGCCGAAGGCGCACACGGAAACTCTTGCGAAACTGCAGGTTACTTCAACACAGTTTATGTCCAGCCTGCATGGGCCAAGTTCTGGGACCAAACGAAGGCAGACATCTCGAACGAGGACATGATCACCGCTTTCCCATTCCACGAATATTTCTCAAATGCCCCTCAACCTTTGTTCGATGCTGCTGCTCCCAAGGACACGCTCTTGGACATTGCCTCTGGCTGTCAACGACACATTGAAAGGATCTTCTCTGAGCTCGAAGATATCCGACCCTTTGAGATTCTGCGTCAACCCCGCGATAAGGCCAACTACCTCCTCATCAAGGAGGCCCGAGTTATCGCCATGACCTCCACCCACGCAGCTATGCGTCGCCAAGAGATCGCCGACCTGGGCTTCCATTACGATAACGTTGTCATGGAAGAAGCCGCGCAGATCACCGAGATTGAAAGCTTCATCCCATCCGCTCTGCAGAACATGAAGAACGAGCACGGCGAGCCTCCGCTCAAGCGAGTTGTCATGTGCGGAGACCACTTCCAAAATTCCCCCCGTCATTCAGAACATGGCATTCCGCCAGTACGCACACTTCGAGCAGTCTCTCTTCCTACGCCTGGCGCGCCTGGGTGTGCCCCTCATCACACTGGACAAGCAAGGCCGTGCCCGACCAAGTATCGCCGAGCTTTTCCGCTGGAGATACCCCGAGCTCGGAGACCTTCCTGCCGTCGAGGCCGAGGAGTTCAAGCTGGCTAACCCAGGATTCAAGTTCGACTACCAGTTCATCAATGTCCCCGACTATCAGGGCAATGGCGAGCGGGAGCCAACGCCTCACTTCATCCAAAACCTGGGTGAGGCCGAGTACGCCGTGGCTTTGTACCAGTACATGCGCTTGCTGGGTTACCCGGCGTCGAAGATCTCGATTCTCGCTACCTACGCTGGACAGACGGCGCTGATTAAGGATGTATTGAAACACCGCTGCGCGAAGAATTCCATGTTCGGCATGCCGAAGATCGTGACTACTGTGGACAGATACCAAGGCGAACAGAATGACTGTAAGATCGCCCCCCGTTTCCTGCTACCAATACCCCTCTTGCTAATATCTTTTGCAGACATAATTCTTTCCTTGACCCGTACACGCACCGTGGGATACCTGCGTGACGTCCGCCGCCTCACCGTCGCACTATCCCGCGCTAGACTGGGCATGTACATCCTCGGTCGCCGCGAGGTCTTCGAATCCTGCTACGAGCTCAAGCCGGCCTTCGATCGACTCCTGCAGCGCCCGGATAAGCTGATGCTTGCCCCTGGCGAGATGTTCCCCACCACGCGAGCGCTGGACGCCGAGATTGAGGGCACTCCTATGGAAAGCGTCGAACATCTGGGTCAGTACGTGTTCGAGATGACCCAAGCCAAGGTGAAGGCAATGGGTGATGGGGCGATGGTCGTCGATGATGAGACACCGGCGGATGAGGACGGGGAGCAGCTTGGAGCGGATGACGATGAAGTTATTGTATGAACAGAATATGCGTTTTCTTTGATAGATCCATGTTGGTATTGGATTCCAGATAGCGAATGAATCTCGTGGGCCAATGATATTTCATTTCATTTGATTTCAAGTATTCAAATCGAGATTTGGTAACTATATCATGGAACCATTGCACTGGATTCATCCAGAATCCTGACAATTCCCCGGGAACCAAATCGTAGCGGCAATCGACCCCGTGTTTCCCAAAAATTTTAAAGCTCTGCAACGCCTTCGCGCCGAAGCTGTCCTGCCCGCACGGGCGACAGAGCGCAAGACTGGAGGAGATAAAGGCCAGCAGAAATGCGCAATCTGCGTGCACCACCGTAGAAATGATCGAGATATGAATGAAAAGTCGAAAAAGTGCAATCCGCGTGCGCTCAAGTGCTTTTCAACGCTACGTTCGTTTCAGTTTTGTGCATTCCCGCCAGAATCTTTCCAGCGCGTCTCCACGGCCGTTGGAGGACAAGGCTGGTCTCGGTGGGCACTCGGTATGGGAGGAATCAACGGACAAGAACGGAGCAGAAATAAAAGAAGCCTGGACATCCTATCAGAATTGGAAAGTCTGCTGTTTCTGAATGCATTGGCTCACTTTCAGGACTGGACTGAGATATCAAAGGATCCGGGGAGACCGTGGCTAGTAACCTGAGGGAGGCCCTGCGGGCTTCGAGGGTGGGACACGCACGGGCGGTCCTTGGGGCTCGGTAGCCAAGGGCGAAGGGCGGTGTACCTTGACTGATATGTTTTTCTTGCTCCCCTGAGGCTTGGGTATTCTTGTTGATGTTTGTCATTGTTATCTTATTTGTTTTCTGTTGACTGATGAACAACAACAATTTATCGGCTGATCAAGTATTCCAAGGTTGACGTTGAGCATCCACCACCACAGTGTGCAATTGACCAAGTGAAACCTTCAAGACCTCCCGCCCTTAGTAAAACTATCCTATCCATACAAATTGCTTAATCGAAAAAATATCAGAGTACTGAGAATATGATTGGGTAGGTGCTAAGTAGAATAATGTTCATGTCCCCGACACTGATATACCCTGCTAGGAAGTAGTGACATGCTAACACCAGTCAAGTATCTCTTGGCCCCAAATCCCCCTTATAGCTATTTCAAAGCGACTTGCACGATGGAATAATCAGTGTCCAAATTTGCATAGGTGATTCTAGTAATTTTACGACGCTTGAACACCACCCACTCGTGAGTAACTTGATTTGCTTCAGTTCCGCAGAGTTTCAAGGTGACTGAAAAATGGTTATCGAAAATAGAATCGAATAAAATGAACTTGAATATTATCTCAGTCCTATAAAAATCAAAGATCGAACGTGATCCTGCCCGGTTGAGATCAGCGAATCGCAACTACAACCGAAGCCACCCAGAACTAACATCGAAGTCCGTGGGTTGAATAATTCAATATAAACAAACCTGGCAACATACCAGTAGTAGTATCACTTTGGAAACAAGCTCATTATTATTTTGAATCTACTATTGCAGCAAGGTATCTAATTATGGCAAGTTGAAGTCCATCATCCACGTGACTACATAATATCCCCCACAAGTCCCACCGAACCCTAATCTGACGTTGGGCACCAATCATAATTCCCCGAGGAATTGTTCCCCCACCAGGACGGCATTGGCCTGCTCGGCCCGCCAGCGCCAAATACTGCAAATGAAAGGATGAACAGAACGGTTAAACTGGCGCCATCAAACGCACCAGTAACCAGATATGAGTAATCCTTGAAGATCCTCGGCTTGTAGTTCCGCAGATAGAACTGCACGTAAAGCCCAGAAACAATCCACGTAAGTAGCACGCATGCCTGCGACTGATTATAGGGAATGTATCCTTTCGCAGAAAAATTGTTAGCTTGATATTGAGGGGAGGGTTGCGTGCGTGCGTGCGGGCCAGCCGGAAGTCAACGAGCTGCGCCTCGCAGCAACCATTTTATTATTATTTTGACTTACCTGCGTATTGGATGAATTGTGCCATGTTAATATCAGCAACGTCGAAATTGCCGATTTTCGGAACGAACTAATTTTTGTTAGTATAAGATCGCGAGGGTGGGTCGCGGAGCTCGAGTACCTGGTAGAAGAGACGATGAACGATGACGGCGGCACCTCCGATGGCCACACCAATTGGCACCATGGAGTAGGGAGCACCAGATCTATACAGATACGGAGCAAGTGCCCAAGAAGCGGCATTGGTGTTGTAAGCCTGGCTGGTTGCACCGCTCCAGGAAGAATTTCCGTTGCCATCGGCGAGGAGCTCTCGGTTGCTTCCCACGATAGAGATCATCACTGCGTAGTTGATGAACCCACCGAGAATAGTTCCATACATTTGAGTGAGGAACATTATGCGAGGGGGAATCTTGACTAAATTACCTGTCAGCATTGGGGAACATTTGGCCGCATAGTAGCATATCCACCAGTAGTAGTACTACTACTTACGGTATTCTCCCATCTTGAGGTCATTTGAAAGATTGACAGCGTTCGTGATAACGTTATGTGACCAGGCTGCAAAATACATATTGCCAATTGGACGACCGGGAAGCATCAAGCCTGCCAACATCTTTGAAATGTTGTTTGTCGCAATACCGTTGCCGTAGCGAGAGTAAAGAATGACACTCTATAAACAGTCAGTCAAAGGCCATAAATTAATTGACTAGATCACTCACGAATGGGGCAATGATGATTCCCACAACCAACGAAACAATGTAAGCCCAGACTGGCAGGGTAATGTTCTCTTTCAGAACCACAATGAGGCCCAGGATAAAGCTGCCGACAAGTACAATGATATACCACCACCATGGTGTCTCCTTGTAATGCTTTGCCATGTGGTCATGATGCCGATCGTCGAATCTTCCTTCCCTGGCGCTTTTGTATGCTCGTTTAATATCACTTCCCCAGAACAAAATACAATGAACGATCAAGGCGCCGATCTATCGTTTTTATTAGCTTCCACTGTGAACAAAGTACTTTGGCGGTTCTTACAGCAGCATTTGCCATGAACATTGCAAACGCAAATGTTCCCGTTAGCTTGGGAAGCCCTTGTTCCAACAACGCAGCCTCGTCAAGTACACCGCCTGGGAATACAGTGCTGACGGGGTATGCTGTTCCATTGGCGTTGAGAAGCCTTGTTGACATAAAAGGGAGTGATCTCGAGTTCCATCCATTGCCATAATAAATTCCAAGCATGGCGACAAAGCAAGCACCAAGTCCGACCATTTGATGAAGTTGTAGTTTCAATGGAAGGGAAGTTTGGAAGGATGTGAGCTTTGAATGTTAGCTTTCAAAAACAACTTGGCAAATCAACAGCAAGGTTTCTTACATATTGCCAGTCAAGCGAAATAGAAAAGAGACCAAGACCTTCGTTATTGGTAGCGCCGCCGAAAAGGTTAGTCAAAACTTCGGCCGTGCTACCTGTGGCTTTCTGCGCGGCCAGACACTGTAACCGACGAATTAGTGAGTGAGACCCATAAGCTCCGAAATAATCACAAGACCACGCACCGGAATAGATATGGAGTTTAACCATGGAAATATATAGGCCGGGAAGATTTCATACACAGACATCCCGGCAAAAGCATACCAGAAATATCTGAGCGGCTTTGAATTTTTCACTTGTTGCCAGTGAAGTCCCTGGAGCGTCTTGACGGTGGGCAAGGTACTCCAATATACGGCCTCGGTATGCCAGACAGCAATAGGGCGCATGATTCCACATAAGCCATAGCCGAAAAGACCAATCGAGATGGTGCTCAGAATGACGGTGGCCGCACTGATGGGAATATCGTAAAACAGGTCCTGAGCAGCCCATACCTGGGAGACAGAAGAAACATTCGAGGCCGAGGTAGCAGTGATCGCGGCAATAGAATGTTCTTTCAACGACCAAGGACCAGAATTAATGAATTTGAGAAACAAAATCCATTTTGGCAGTTTTCCTTGGCCGTTTTTAGCCCTCCATCTTGTCTCGAATTTTTCACCTCGCGGGAGTAATTTAGCCCACGCATTGCCCACAAAGTAGGAAATGAGAACAATAAAAGTCCCCTGGATGGTAATAAGAGTTGGTTTGAACTGGAAATAAGTCTCATATTAGTTGCTTTGAAAAGTCTAATAATCAATTGATCGCCTTACTTGATAAATTTGGTTCATTACTGCTTGAAAACAAGCCAAGCCCGACGCAATGATGATACTCCGAAAAGTCAAGACATTATCGAAATCATCCCGTAGTGGTATCAAGTGAGCGGAAGCGTCAGCACCGGTGATGATAACAACATTGTCGCTGTTGCGGTCACTTTCAAGGCCGGTGTCTTCCTCATCGGCCTTGACATCCTTTTTCCCAGAAAGCACATTGACAGCGGTCTTTTCGTCCAGTGTGACCGGTTCGGAGACAGAAAGGTCACTGTCCTTTTCGGACGAGACGGCTATGGTTGAGGCCATCCTGTGTCGTGCTCAATATGTAGAAAGTCTCGCCCAGCGTTTGATCGTTCATTCAAATTGCCATACTGGTCGGGGGAGAACCAGCCTTTTAAGGATTTCTGTATGTGGCAAGGGCTTCACGCCAATGCCAGACACAAGGCCCAAGTAAAGACGATAGCTTCGTGGTACAATCCAACTAACAAATTAGCCATCGCGCTCGGAAGACTTGGTAGCTCTTTGTGTTTTCCATCGCCCCGCCACAGAGACATAGATTGCGTCGGGGAGAACCTTTCCTATCCTATGGTTAATTAATTAGTGCGACACAGGGGTGGTGTAGCATTCCGGAAAACAGCTTGGTCGCATCTCAATCAAGACCGGCCTTTCCTCTCTAGCTCTAGCGCTACTACGTTAAAATCCTGGTTCCAACTTTCGTTATGTCGCATGGTGAAGGGCTCATGTTGTGCTCCTCGAGGAATAATTAGGGCAGCTTAATCCACTCACGAAGTAAGTATAAGAGTACCATGATGCTTCATCGGCACATTCACCATGAGTTTCCTGATTTTTTTTTTTACCTTTAGAGACATATCTTTTTCAATTTCTCTGTCTTTTCGCATGAACGGAGGGTGGAGATTCTTTGCCGATGATATCCCCTGGTCGCGTTGTTGCGTCAGCACCTGACAAGATAACGCGATCCAGTAGCGCCAACTTGAATGTCCGGTGTTTCCCGCAACCGCTTTGTCGCCAACACGATCCAAGTCGATACGCGCATATAGAGATGGCCAATGGAAGCTCGATTAATTCAAGGCCTAACCCCGCGCGATTTGAGGAAGCGGGGTGCCGACGGACGTCCAGGACCACGCGTACATGTACCATATGGTGGCGGAATAGATAAGATGGCGAATAGCACTGGAGCAACTGCCATGTGTCTTAGAATTGTCCAATTGGCTTTTTCATATAGTAGATGTTGGAAAATCTGTGACCCAACGTGAAGTTTTGGCTTTGGCCTTTATCGTGCTAGTAGTAGAGGATTCGGCATTAGTGGGGAGGAGCACGCAAATAGACCCGAGACCGATCTAAGCGATGTTTTACTTTAGGCATTTTAGTATCATATGAGCGGTTCGCTCATTTTCACAGCAGGGAAAAAATTGTTGCCAGTGGATATGTGATCCTACTATCCCATGGCTGATTGTACCATCTTCATGTTTTAAGCCTGGAAGTGGACGAAACTTTCTGCTGATTTATCAATCATATCACCATCATTCAGACTTGTTTTTCTCTCTTCTTTCCTCGTGATATTTAAGACCCGTGCGAAGTTCCTATTAGCGGTGTCGCGTAGTGAAAAGTATACTAGGCTGTGGCATCTGCCGTGCCCCACGAGGGGCAAGTAGCTTAGATTCCTGTACTTCTGTCGGAAAGTATAGCTGGAACCAACTTGAAGGCTCCGCATTTGAGCCCTCGGAAATAAGTTGCCTTGTAATGCGGTGCCTATAGTAGTAAAAGAAATAAAGCGATGGGTTATAAAGAACTTACCCCCCCCCTGAGTTCTTTTTTAACTAGTACCTAGTACCTGATAGACTGTCGATCCAACAGAGCCTTGACAAAGAAAACAAGTCTGCTCTAAACTACTTCGTGGATGAATTTCATGGAGCCCAATCATTCCTTGATTGAATTTGAAGCCTTTAGTGTTTTGTTAAGGTACTAGTATGAAGGTCCGTAATGCCGAAATGGTGATCACGTTCGTAGGGTGAAAGAGGAGGTGCCACTGAAAGGCAAGCCCCGAGATTATATCATCAGCATGACCGTGCAACATCATCCAGTCATGATTGATAATTTAGCAGACGAAAACAGTCAGGTTTCCAATGAGCGGACCCTAGATAAAAATTCGTCAATGACCACACCTGGGCAATCGATACCCATCATCAACGAAAGAAAACTCACCATGTAGACCAAGTTGCGATGGACAATCCGCCAAGAACCTCCAGTTTGACGCTCCCAGTTATCCTGATATTGACCATAGGCATATAAGGCCTGGTTCGCGCTGGACCCCTTACCAAAATGAGAAGCCTGGTAGTATGTGACGGACCGCGCAGTGGTGGGTGATAGTACATCGATCCATTGGGTGCCGTATAAATGCTGCGTGGTTACACATACTAGGCTTGCTTTCAGGGACGATTGAATAGTAGTCAGCGGGTGTAATACGTTGAGAGGTGCTGAATAGTTGGCTGTCGCATCGGCGGTGAACACCTTGCTGAGGGCATCAAAGTTCTTTCCGTCAATAGCGAAGGGATATATGGCCAGCGTGTTCCGGATCGCATCAATTGTGCCTGCGTCGGTATAAGCCTCCGGTTTGCAGCTATCGGCAAGAGATGAAATTGCAATGGCGGCAACGTTGGTGGTCGAGGATGCAATGGCCGAGCCAACCAAGGATAAGGAGAGTGTGTAAAGAGCAAGGAGCTTCATTTTTAGTCGCTGAATTTCCAATAGCGGCAGGCAAAAGTTTTAGACGCAATTTTTAATGTGGGTGGGCGGTCGTTTAGTATTTATTTCAGCCTGGGCCCTGCAGAACCCCCGCATCTGACAGCCCCGGATCTCACAGTTTGCCCACTGGCAGGTGCTTCCCCTGAGGCTCGGATTTAAGACGAGATTCGGAGTTATTAGTTTTGCTTCAAGACAAGCGACCGTTTAGCGCGTAGATATAGAGAGTGCGATTGGTTAACAGCACATACTATTCTGTAAATATTAGATTAAAGGAACGTGTCCCGCAATGGCCCCCAAATACTTGACGAGATCGGCCCAATTGCTAAAAGACTTAAAAAATGTGGCTAGTAGCTAAGACCAGTAGCGTAAAATACGTTTCAAAACACTGCAATGGGAGTGGGCGCATCGCCACGAACTGGTAACAAAAGGTGAATGCGATGAGCGTTGGATCAATGCACTTATATAATACGTTATATACTAATAACCTTGCAAGCCCGAAGCCGAATGGATTGATAGATTGAAGCCAGAGCCAGCATGCCTAGCGGATATCGCTGAAGACAGAAATAATGCCTCAACAAGAAACAAGAGAAAGGCTTCGTGAATAGCTTCGAAGAAATCTGATAAAATCAAAACAATACTGTCTCTATTATGCTGAAATTGCAAAGAAACGCCGATTGTAAATAAAAGTGTTCCGAACAATTAGAAATACGTTATAATAATACGGACGGTGAGGGCCGCTCTTAAGTATGGTAAAAAAACAAAAACACCAGGTATTTCGAAAAAAAGCCACGGACCTTTGGTGGCAGAACGTAAATTTTGAGAAAAGTCTGGGAAATTACAATATCATATAAGATGTTATGATACAGAACATTTGCCGACCTCACTCATCCTCCGGGGCCACCATCCCCAAGTTTATTTGCAAAGACTAATTTTTGCGTCGTATAAAAAAGGTTCAGAAAAACACAAATAATACGAAGAGAAAGTGTCAACGGTAATGAATTGATTTCTTGTGATAGGACAGTAAATGTTGGAAAAAGAAAATGGACATCTTCGCATAACCTCAAGATATCACGAAATGTTGTCAACCAGTGGTCCAGATCTAGGGCACCACACACTTTATATTTACGTAAACCTACCTTAATCAATCTCATCCATTATTGGCTGTTCCCTTTATCATTCTCAAACAGGCAAAAGGATCCCGCGTGGAGTAGTGCGGGGGAGATTGCCGCGATTGACTTGGCGGAACAACTCTAACGACTCCGCAATGTCGGTTCTTCATTCTTGACTACAACCATGCGTCGAGTCAAGAAGTCCCGTAACGGGTGTTCTCGGTGCAAAAGTAAGCGAGTGCGTATATTCTCTCCGAGGTTCTAGGTGCTTGTGAGACTCTATAGCTAATACAGATCAACAGGTCAAGTGTGGAGAGGAGAAGCCTCACTGCCATCGCTGTACGCGCCTCGGGGTCCGATGCCCCGGTTATGTACAGTCTCTGAAATGGGTCACCAACTATGACGAGCCCAGTCCTGGAGCTTCGTCTGATGTCAAAGCCCTGAGTCCTCCTGCGCCGACTCACATATCACCGAAACAGCCTTCGCACTCTACAGAACAGATCATACCAAATGATGACCCCACCGGCGACAGCGAGCCTCCGCATAGTCTGGATTCTTCGGGATTCGGTATTGGTGGTTCGGATTCTCTTTGCGATCACTTGTGGGATATGCCAGGCCATGGATCCTTGCCTGAACTGTCCGATCTATGCCCATCTCCAATCCCGACATCATCGGCATTCCAGCAGTCGCACCAGGCGGCCGATGACTTTATCTCATCTGTAGACAGTGCAGTCGACCTCTCACACTTTCTCTCCCTGATTGCACCATCAAATACAGAAGAAGAGGGAGGAGAAGGTGAAGGGGCAGGGGGAAGCAGTATATACCGTGATTTCTCCCCATCGACCATTGTACGCAGCTATCCTCCAGCACAACAGCGATCAACATCTCGCGACTTCAGGTCAATATCCCGGCCATTAAACAACCCATCATGGACACTCATCGAATACTACTTCAAAGAGGTCGCAGCCCTCTTCTCCAGCTATGACAGCCAAATGAACCCTTTCCGCACAACCGTTTCCCGACTCTGGGGCTCATCACTAGCAATGTGCCGCACAATGCAAAGCATGGCTGCAGCAACCCTAGTAAACGACTTCCCACAGTTCGGGCCCCTAGGCCGCAAAATGCGAGACGAGGCCGTGGAAATCATCACCCGCGAAGCAGTCATGGACGACAAAGCCCTCCTCGCCCTCCTCATGCTCGGCCAAACAGCCAGCTGGCACGACCCAAAGGACCTGGGCATATCATTCTTCAACCTACTCCGCAAACAACTGACTACAACCGGCTCATCCTCCACTCCAGACTTCGGTTTCGTAAAAAGCACAAGCAACAACTACCGTTTCTTCGAAGAAGCTCTCATATACTGGGAAATGCTCCTCTCCTTCGTCGCAGACACAGACATGGTCTCTTCAGACTCGCAAGCCTCGTCAACAGGCGAGACCCTTGTCTTGCAACGAGTGCCACACCCTTGGACGGGCATCGCGCGCGATACGCAATTTACAGTCCACGAAGTAGGCCGCTTAGTCCGACGTGAACGACAACGCGTCCGAGCCCACAGATTCACCAGCCAAGAAGAAATCGCCCGCGCCCAAATCGCCATCGCCAAGGCCCGAGAACTAGAAGAACGACTCTTGGCCCTGGCACACCCGGCAGAAGCGGAAATCGTCTCGCCCGGCGACGACGAAACGCCCGTCTGGCATCTCCTCACCATGGCGGAGGTTTACCGGTGTACGGGCCTGATGCAATTATATCGCGTGTTTCCCGACCTGCTTCGAAACCGTTTATCGAATCCCTCCTCGGCATCTACTTCCGCAGACCCATTCTTCCCAATCGATCTAGACAGCATGAACATGTCAGCCGGAGGGGGTTTTTGCGATACAAATACGAACGCAAGTGCCGGATCGGCTCAAGCAGGTCTATCGAATTCAAATGCAAATGCAAATGCAAATACAGCACAACATCATCCCACGCAGCCCTCACCCTCCACAACGAATACAATCACAGACAACGACCCCTCCGACTCCGACGCCCTATATAATACCTGGCTCACCGAATTCGCCATAACAACTCTCTCCCGCCTAAAGACCATCCCCCTCGAGTCCCGCACAAGATGTCTACAGCCCTTTCTCCTCGTCGCAGCGAGCAGTGAGCTCCGCCTCCCACGCTCCCACGCGCACCACACGTCCCCCAATACCCCGCAGAATACTAGTAGATACCAACCTCAACCGCACACGCCAGATGAGCTCGAAAACGACTACCACGACGACAGCGAACAGCCCAGTATCTCGATGGAAGCGATTGAAATTTCCCGCACGAGAAGATTTATTCTCGGCAGATTGACGTCGTTTCTGCACGTGTTGCCGCCGAAACCGATTAATGTGTGTTTGAGGTTAGTGAGGGAGGTGTGGAGGCGAATGGATGCGGGCGAGATGGAGGTTTATTGGATTGATGTTATGATTGAGAAGGGGTGGGAGACTACCATGGGGTAGTTGAGTTTGATTTCAGGTTGCTTCAACTGTGACGAGATGGGTTGTAAACCTGGAACTTCAAGTACATTGGAAGTACTACATTTACTAGTACTAGGCTGGAAAAAATTCAGTCCCATAACTGAATATATGATTATGATATGATATGTGCAAGGGTTTGAGAAAATAGGAGATGAAAGTGTGAATAAAGTGATATTAATGTATCTCATAGCCCAACCACAATGGACAGACACACCAGCGCCAGAAACATGCACATGCCAAACCCGAGAGGTTTTTTTTTCATCAATAAGTGAGGAGATAGTTAGAGTGAGTAAGGTGTAGCGTGATGGAGACCCCGCTTCCAGGGAGAACAAGTAAACAAAAAAGGGATAATAAAAAGATAAGAACCAAAACAAATGCAAGAATAGAAGGTAGTAGGGAGAAAAGAAGAAAGAAAGGAACTAGAAGAGCAGTAAGAGTGAGAATGAAGCAGGGCTCTGGACAATGGTTTCCAATGGGTTCATAAAGGTTGGGTGTATCATGCATAGGAGGGAAAATGTGTACAGAGAATGAGACAGAATTGGGTGAAAAGGGTTAGTGGCACCATGGAATGGATGGTCCATTAGGATGGATGGGATGATGAGGGCAGTGAGAGATACTATGCCATTATCAGGTCAGATCCAATAGGGGGTGAAGACCCAATAAATTGGCACAGTATTGAGCCATTGAGGCGGGAGTGGTCCGGTATGAAGAAGGCATCATGGCACTGCTAGGCAAGAAGTGAAGGAAGGAATTATTGCGTAGCGCGTTTCCAAAACTTCCAACCCTCCCTCCTCTCCCGGGCATTAGCGCCAACACCAACAAGCCTCTCAATACCCTCCGGCCCCTCAGCATTCTCAAACTTCTGCTGATCAATCTCCTCGCCGCCCTCCTCATCAGAGCCGTTCCGCAAAACAGCCGGGTACAGCACGCCAACACCGTCTCCGCCAAGCGTAGACTCGTACTTGGCGAATCCCTCGTCCGCAAGCTTGGCTTCCAAGTCACGCACGACCTCGGGCTTCGCGTCCGGGCGGAGCAAGGTGATCGCACAACCACCGCCGCCGGCACCGGTCAACTTGGTCCAACCAATATCGGCATAGTCGACCAGTTCGCGGATGCGCTCGAGACGCGGGTGCGAGACGCCCAGCGAGACGAGGAAGCCGTGATTAATGCGGATAAGTTCACCGAAGTGTTCGAGGGTTTCGGTTGAGGCACTGTCGCAGTCGGGGGACTCGATGAGGGAGCGCGCGGAACAGGTGACTTGGTCAATAGCGTCGAGGATGGACTCTGTGACGACCGGGTGGCGTTTCCTCAATTCGCCAACCTTGGCGACTTCGGTCAGGGTGGAGCGGGACTGGCGCGTGTCGACGAGAAGGAGGGGTAGTTCGGGGAAATCGGGCAGGGAAATGACCTCGGGTGGTTTGGTGTAATCGGAGCGTTTGAAGATCACGGCTTTGCCGCCTGCGGCTACCGTGTTATCGACTCCACTGGGGTTGCCGTGGATGCAGAGCTCGCCGACAAAGGCCCAGCGATTGATACGTTCAATTTGGGTCTCGGCTTCCTCGGGAGGTTGGTCTGGATGGGGACCGGCTAGAGTGCGGATTTGTAGGAGGAGGGCGGAACTTAGGCAGACGCAGACACTGGCCGAGCTGCCCAGGCCTGCGCCTGTGGGGATGTTGGAGCGGAGGGTGTAGATTGCACCGGGACTTTGCTTGGAACCGAGGGAGAGGAAGAGGTAGAGGAAGGCAGAAGCGGATCGGACGTGGGTCTTGCGCATTTCTTCAGGGACATCCTTAGAAACGTGCGCGAGGTGGGGTTCGATTGCGGCGACGAGCTCGGGATCGAGGGATGTGACGAGATCGTAGTAGAACTTTTTCTTGGATGGTTGGTGGAAGACATCCCAGGGGAGTTCATCAATTTGCCAAGTATGAGCGAACCCTAGGTCGCGAAAGTTCAATGTGATAGTACGCTGCGATTTGGAGAGGGTCGTGACGAGAAGATAGGAGCGGAGAGAGATGGCGGCAGCCAAGGCAGCCTTGCCATGAACAACGGCATGTTCACCAAAGACAATGACTTTCCCGGGAGCGGATACCATAAAGGCGGGGGCCATAGGTGATGAGGCCTTGCGAGACATGCCTGGACGGCGTGTTTGAGTGCCGTTGGTGGTATTGGTGGAGGTGGAGGAGGCGCTGTCGGAGTCAGGATGGTCAACTCCATGCCCATTTCCGTTGCCATTCGAGACATTCATATTGTAGGAGCGGTCAGGAAGATCGAAATGTGCAACAGGACGGCGAGTAGGATCAGAGCCTCTAACGCTGCCGTTCAATCGACCAGCGGCAGTAGACATGGTTTAGGAAAAAAGGAAAGGAACAAAATAGTTCAGGGGCGAAAGATGAGGGGGGGGCGCAGTAGATGGAAGCAGGCAGAATGAAAACGGCAAGGGGCCCCAGGCAGAGAGAACTTCAACAATTTCTCTGTGACAGGGTTCAAAGGAATATTATAAGTAGTATAAGTGTATGTAACAATTGTACACACGACGGTACAATGAAAGGTTGCTTACTCCAGAAAATCATCGGTGCTCGTAGCTACGGGGTATCCCCAGTCACGCAGACAGCCAATCAGAGTCTGCCGAATGCAGCTTGGTCATCTTTAGCAATTTTGGGTTTAGCGTGGGTATATGGCTTTTTTTCCTTTTTGTTTTTCTATTTTTCTATTTTTTATAGTATTTATTAATAATATTTCCATTCTTTGGCTCGCTTCGTGGCTCAGCACAGGGTCCAACCGCCTTTTGTTGCTCCTTTGGGACGGACAGGCCGCTATATTCAGTTCTAACCCATACATCCAGAGTACATGTACAAAGAGGATCTTGTTTGTATTTTACATTTTACATTTTGTATACATATCATCCAATAGAAAATCACTTGAACATAGAGAAATTCTTAGCCCCGCCGATCCCGGCTGACCTGCAGTAGTTTCCTGGCAGAGGGGCCGCAAACTACTAGTATACGAGCCTGCAGAAAATATATCCAGGTAGACTAATTCTAGTACTACTAGCAGTATACTATCTAGGTGGTATATAGTAATCATGATATTCCCGAGACTTGAACCTGACAGTATTTACCGAAATGGTATGTATCTGTACGCGTATGTGCATATGTGCATACTGCCGTACGTGTTCATGCACTGAGCACATTTACAAATTCATCGTCACCGTCATGCTGTTACTGTGCACCAGCAAGCAAGGCGGCAGCCCATTCCACAGCACCTCCAGATCACTCAGATACGAGGCACTATCTTCCTCTCCCAGGGATGTCCCTTCCACGGGCGATGGGAGCGTGGTGAAGATCACAGCCGTCTCACTGCTCTGCTGCACCATCAATTCATTCAGAATTAGATGCTGCGCCCGACTGGGCAGGTCATTAAAGGACAACGGGATCGAGGCAGGACCAGGGAACCCCGATGCCGTTTGACTGGAGCTTGGCGAGGGCATCGAGGGGCGACGTGCATAGATTGAGTCAAGCTTGCTATGGAAGCGTGGTGGGGAGGCGTTCGACGCAAACATGATACTGGGGCCGGCCCCTTCGTCTGCGTCCGTGTTGACCTTGGCCTCGGGGATAGGCGAGGAACTGAACCGGTTGCTAGATACGTTCCTACTGAGACCCGGACGGGGAGTCGGTTTGCTCTTGGGTGAGCCAGTGTCGCCGGTCTCGATGATTGAAGGAATTAATCGCCCAGACGAGTCCCTGCGAGGTGTTAGTTGGCCCGTAGGACTCACACCAGAGCTCCGTTCATCGCTCTGACTCCGCTCGAGGGGCCGTAAGAGGTCAACGTTCTCGCTGTCACGATTACTCGCATCATTCTCATGCGCAATGCTTTCCTCGCCCTCGTCAATCTCGGGATCGCTGATGTAAGGGTCGAAATCGCTGTCGTCGCTGCTTGCACTAGACGAATTGTCACCATCATAGTCGACAAATGCATCTAACAAGCGATGTGTCTGCATGCCAAGGCTGACGCTTCCAAGTGCGCGGAAACTGGACACGGATCGTCGGCGCTTCGATATCAATCGACGCAGCCCTGTGACGCGCTGCTGAAGAGGCCGGTTACCGCTGTCCTGACTAGTCGGGCCTTGCCATGTCGACGTGCGGTCGATATGCGGGAAATCGTCGCCTGTGGGCTGCTGCTCTTGCTCCTGCGAGTTCTGGAAACGGGTGCGTGCCTTCACGACTCCCTGCCACCAATCTTCATTCTTAAGTACAGTATTCACATTTTCTTGGGCATCCTCCATTTCCGAGGAGGTGTCGCCATTCACAATGACGCGGTAGGCCTTGAGATCGCCGCGGGCAAGCCAGAAGACGAGCACCTCGGCTTGAATTCGCAGTTTGTCGAGAAGAGCCTCCACGCGCCCTCGCTCGTCTTCGACGTCAGTTTCGTATTCGACGAACACGGCAACCCGCAATTGGTACGTTTTCTTCCATGATGGAACCGTGTTCAGAATGCAACCGAGTTGAAGGATCAAGGTATAGGTGTCAAAGTTCGTAGTAAGCACATTCTGTTTGCTCTCAGTATCTGCGCCAAGTTCCGCAGACATCTGGATCGGCCATAGATCGATGTATTTCTTTGTATGGCGGCCATGAAGATCCGGCAACTCAAGATCTTCGAATCCTTTGGCAACAGCAACATTGATCCGAAGCTTGAACAGCAGATCTTCCAGAATTGTCACGTAGCTCTTGCAGCTCATGCCTTTGGTGGGCGGCACAGGCTCGTCCTGTCCATCATATTTGGATCCAAGGATAGAAGATCGCCGTCTGGGTTTCGAAGATTCTCTGCGATTGCTGCTCAAAGAGAAAGTCTCTGCCAGGTTTTGGTCCTCTCTAAATTGGTCGATCACAACGATGTTCGGTCGCATCCCTCCTAGCCCGGAATTAAGGACGATATTTCGCATGCCCCATTCAACTGCCGGGGAAATTGCGATATTGACAAATGCTTTAATCTTGGAAAATTCGACGAGTTTCGTCCACGCTGTTTGCTGACGGCGTGCCTCTGGAACGGCCGCTGAAAAGTCATCGGTCACCAGGACGTGACCAAGAACGAACAAGGCACCTTTCTTCAGCGAGTTACAAAAGGATACCATCTTATACTGTCGATCAAGGTCGCTGACGAAAAGCAAGATCTGCGGCCGCCAGAATTTCACATGTTCCTGTCGCAAGCGGAGCAAGTATTTTCGTACTTGATGGTAAATCAGACTTTGGCTGACATCGCCCCAAGATTTTGGCGGCGAGGTATAATGAATCAGGAGGAAAAGAAACACCAGGATTCCCACGCATCCCCCTGCATATAGACCATCCACAAAGAACATGCTGACTCCGCTGACAACAGTTCCAATGGCAGCAGTCTGCCAGTTGAAATAACGGAACGACGGTCGGAAGTTCGGGGCTGATCCTATTTTCAAAAGGAAGCAAGCCAAGTTCGTCACCAGGAAGGTCATTAAGTAGGCCATGGTAACGAAAGAAGCAATGCGATTAATATCAAACAACATCGTAACCTGGGCAAAAATGAATGTCACAATGATGGCATATACAGGATCGTCGCTCTTCTTCGTGCCCTGACTAAACATGGTGAGTCCAGGAAGGAGACTGTCCCGCGCAATTGCTTGGAGAAGCTTTGCGGAACCAATCACGCCCATCAGAGCGGAGAAAAAACTAGTTGCAAATTCTCCAAGAAGAATAAGGATATCGGATGCATTTACCTTGTGGAGAGGTCAGCATTTTCCTAGTGGCAAACAAGTATAGAGCGAATACATACAACTTGAATCACATTGGCGTTATTGTAAAACGACTCTCTAGTGATGGAAGACGCCATTGCAAGAATAACCAATCCGTATGTGATGAATGTCAAAGCAAGACCAGATAGGGTGCCTTTGGGGATTGCTTTGCTCGGATGTTTCAGATCACCCGACATGCTTGCACCACTGCCAGGAAAGTCAGTAACACAGCACGACATGAGGAGATGAGCTGACTTACGCAAATATACCGCCGGTAGCAGGAAATAAAATGCCAAAGAGGTCTTGAAAATTCTCTCTTCCCTTCATCTGGCTGCCCGCAGCGCCCTTGGTGAGATGAGGCATGAGGTTCTTCGTTAGAGTCTGCAGACTGAGACCCGTGAATTCCACGCGTTCCTTAGGTGAGTAGAATGGTTTCACGAAAAGGGCAGAAAGTGGGATGCTAAATGTGGCCACGAGAAGGATAATGAGGAGGCCATTGCTAGCTCTCGCAAATATAGAGCTTCCTGCTAGACAGATTGCCGTGCAAAGAATCAAGATGACAGTTCCCCAAAGATATTGCCACCAGAAACCTTCAGCGAGAAAATTTGCCAACGAGCCCCGGCTCATCCCGAAATTCTCTGTGAAGCAGTCTATCAAACCGACGGCATTCATGCCGGTGTTGAAAACATATCCCAGGTAGAACACGATTCCAATCGACCCACCGAATTCCGGACCGAGTGACCGTGATATCAAGTAATAGGCACCTCCACCTCGGACGGTGCCATTGGATGCGATTGCAGAAAGAGACATCGTTGTTACGAGGTTGATCATATATGACACCAACAATAGCCCTACAGGGTGGTTAGTCGCAAAGCCCAGTCCACTTCATTCAACCCTCCACTCCGAGATCCTTACCCAGTATGCCCAATAATCCAGCCTGGCCAAGAATGAATCCGAATCGAAGGAACATAAGAATGCTAAGCACGTTCAACGTGGTAGGCACAAATACTCCGGAGAATGTTCCAAGCTTTTTAGACTCCTCAATTGCACGAGGTCGATGTCCACTCCTATCCTTCTTATCCACACTGGAATCTCGAAGAGGTCCAGCGGAGAAAGATAGCTGTGAGATACCACTCTCCTCATGAGTGCCATTATTCTGTTCGACACCGGTGGCGTTCAACCACCATCGAGACAGTCCCCCTAGAAAGTTTCTGGGCAAAGAATGTCGTCGAGTCTCTCCCGACTCTCCCTGATCCAACCCATTTTGTCGGGACCAGATATTCGAGGGCCAGTTCAAAATACCCGCACGACTTTCTGTATTATCTCCATGTTCATTTGGATCAAGGCGAGAGACATCTTCTTCGGGAGTGCGAGTCGAGAAGTTCGGACGTCGTCGAGACATCACGATATGACCCGTCAACAATGATCAGAACCGCTCGAGCAGGAGCATGAAGACGAATAGTCTCCAGCAGTCCCGTACCGAATGACTTCGAAAAAGAAAGAAAGAAAGAGGAAATAGCAAAAATGCAAAGCGAGCAAGGGGAGAACTACCAGCCCACCTGCGTCACAGCGCGTCTGGAGGAGATGACGATGGAGGAAGAACAAACAGTGCAAACCCCGCCGATCGGCCCTCCAAGCGGACCCAACTTTGTCAGCTGTCATTCTCCTTCTCCAGTTGCAGACGACACTGACCAGACCAGCTTTGAGCTTGAGACTCCCTCTTCTCTCCCTCGAATGTTCGCGCTTACGACTCGCACACAGTCTGGTTTCATTATATTCTAACCTGATGCAATTCAAGCAAGCGTCGACTTGACCCTCCCCCCCCTCCCCCTGACACCATGAACAACGGAGAGAGTTCCTCGTTGAACCCACCCCGGTCGCTGCCAATCTCGACCTCGTCCATTCGATCTACGTCACCAGCACCGGAGGGAAACAGACAAGCCTCTATTGCCCGCCTTGCCTCGCCGGTGCCTTCACCGGCTCTAGGTACTTCCTTGTCGTCTCGTCAAGGTATCCCGACCGGCCGCCCCGTCTCCACAACGAATACCAACATCACATACACCAACGACCAAAATTTCCGATATGTGGACGACCCATCTTCACTCCCAGGTCCGGGCCAGTCTATGATTGCTTCCCAACTGCAAGAGAGTCTCGGTCGCTCGCCCCCGAATTTCGGGACCCCTTCCCGGGTCGCTGCGTCTCCGGCGTTGCATGCGCTGCAAGATAACCGACCTGTGGGCTCCCAGTATGGTTCATTCGACACAAAGACTGGCTCCGAATTCAATGGAGGGCAGCCCTATGAGGATCCGGAGGTAGTGAGAAGACATCTGGTCATGCCACAGCACGCCTCGGAAGCCCGAGAAGCTCCGTCGGAGCTTGGCACCAGCATGGGCGATGATGAGTTCTCCAGTCTGCAGCTGCAAGGTGGAGACATTACTCGACATGTGTACAAATGGGCCGAAGATGCGGAGGCGGAGGCCGCAGGTCGGTTTGCCCGCAGTAAGAGTTTCAGCGTCAGTCGACCTACCCCTGAGCAAGAAACAGAGGATATCCACACGATACAGATTCCTGGCGGTTTCCGTCGAGATTTCTTGCGCAGAAACGCGGGAAGTCCGCACCGGGGAAGCGTTCAAAGATCTAATTCAGGAAATGGTCTCCCCGCGCACCCCCAGCTTCCCACTACGAGCTTTATCGAGTTTCTATCTCTTTATGGACATTTCGCTGGTGAGGAGTTGGAGGAGGATGACGAAGTTCTGGGTCCGGATGAGTACTTTTCCTCCGAGTCCTGGGATGAAACCGAGGGTCGAGCCTCTGGGGAAGATGCAGCCCTGCTCCAAGGAGAGGGGGCTGGCCGCCGAAAGCGCAAGCACAAGCAGCGTGCTCCCGCTGGAAACACTACAGCGACTGGTGCGGTTATGCTGCTGCTCAAGTCATTTGTGGGAACGGGAATTCTGTTCCTGCCTCGTGCATTCTTGAACGGAGGTATGCTTTTTAGTAGCATGGTGCTGCTGGGAGTTTCATGCTTGAGCTACTATGCTTTCATCCTGCTGGTAAATACTCGCATGAAGATTGAAGGCTCTTTTGGTGATATCGGTGGTATTCTGTATGGAAAGCACATGCGACGTATCATCTTGGGATCGATTGTTTTGAGCCAGTTGGGATTCGTTTCCGCATATATCGTCTTCGTATCCCAGAACCTTCAGGCATTCGTTCTTGCGGTGAGCAAGTGCGAGTCCTTCATCGATATCAAGTTCATGGTTTTGATGCAACTGGTTATCTTCTTGCCACTCTCCTTGATTCGTGATATCAGCAAACTCGGATTCACCGCACTTATCGCCGATGCCTTCATCTTGCTGGGTCTTCTGTATATCTACTACTATGATGCGAGCACTCTCATTGGCAACGGAGGTATTGCCGATATCATTGACTTCAACCCCACGACTTGGTCCATGTTCATCGGAACGGCGATTTTCACCTACGAGGGTATCGGTCTCATTATTCCTATCCAGGAATCTATGAAGGAGCCACGCCGATTCCCAGGCATTCTGGCCGGCGTCATGATCATCATTACCTTGATCTTCTTGTCCGCCGGTGCCCTGAGCTACGCTGCCTACGGATCGGCCACGAAAACGGTCATTCTTCTCAATCTGCCCCAGGACGACAAATTCGTCAATGTGGTTCAGCTCCTCTATTCGCTGGCGATTTTGTTGAGCACACCGCTGCAACTCTTCCCCGCCATCCGTATCCTGGAAAACGAACTCTTCACCCGCAGCGGCAAGTACAATCCATACATCAAGTGGAAGAAGAACGCCTTCCGTTTCTTCTTGGTGATTATCTGCTCTATCGTCGCCTGGGCTGGTGCCGATAACCTGGACAAGTTTGTTTCGCTGGTCGGAAGCTTCGCCTGTGTCCCTCTTATCTACGTCTACCCGGTAAGTCCGCGTCTCTTACCCGGTTACCTTCCTGATTTGAAATTCCACGCTAACCCACATTCTTTATTCAGCCTCTACTCCACCTCCGAGCCTGTGCCACTTCCAGACGGCAGGCAATTGCCGACGCAGGTCTCGCCGTCTTTGGCGTAATTTGCTGCATCTACACGACATTCCTGACTCTTCAAAACTGGGCCGCTGGCGCCGGTGACGTTCCCAGCCCCGGATACTGTGATCCGGTATAATCTACACACGGTGTAGTTTAATGACGTCTTATTCTTGTTTCAACACTAGAGTGTCGCATAGCATTTGATATCTTTTTGTTTCACGTAGGGGCGAAGAACAGCTATGCAGACTTGGTGTTTTTGGGTCTTCTTTTGACAAATTGCCAGTGTATTAGGCGTGATGAGGGGTTCGGTGGTTTCATTTTTGTATACATATTCGACAAGGTTGGCGCATCTGCCTACCCATCTCACGATGGTCATTTCAAATTCACGATTCGTATGCAATTATTTTTAATTATTTTTTGGATAAACAGTCAAATACGCAGCAGCTAGATTTTAATGGTTAGACTACGAGACTCGGATCCAAGTTCTCATCAAGAAAGCACTTGGGGAATAATACCTGGATGACGACTGGGACGATTTTATCAAAACAATGATTCAAGCACAATGTAGAACCTATGTACAGTGGCCGAGACAGATGGATCATACGTCTCCATGCCAAATCTCCAACCCCATCCGCTCCATCACCCACCCCCAACACGGCAGTCGCTCTATAGGAACCTCTATACCACAACTTTTTTCTTCACTGCCATAAAGGACCGGCCACAAAGCGAGTTTTGACAAACGCGTGAATAGAGAAATGCAATGCCGTGACGAACGAGGTAATAAAAAAGAACTTTCCGAAGCCTTGTTCTCTTTCTCTAAGCACCGGCCTCAGTGGCCTTGCCGCCCTCAGCGGCCTTGGCGGCGAGCGCAGCTTCCCGGCCGCCCCAGCTAAAATCAAAAGCATGTTAGCTAATTGTTGCAAAGCAAAGTTATGGGCTGTCGCGTGCGGAAAGTAACGTACTTCCAGTAGTTCAGGTAACGGTATCCCTGGACGGACTGAGCACAGAAGTTGGTCAAGTGGCAGCCGAAGAGGAGGTAGTTGGCGGGTGTGACGGCGAGAGAGTAGCGCATGAAGGTGACAGCGTAGACGACCAGGCAACCGGTCATGGGGCCGGAGATACTGCAAAGGGGTGTCAGCGGATCCGAGCAGGGACGAAATGGGGACGAGGGCGAGGAGGAAATTGTCCGCGGAGATATGGGCGGCGGCTTCTCGCATTCAGAACATACATTTCAGGGTCCTTTTGGGTGTCCATCACAGCAGCGAAAGGAATACCGAAGTTGGAGACGGGGCCCCAGAAGTCTGCGAAGGGTCGTGATTGTCAGTCATTGTTCAGCGAAAGCCAGAGCCATTGAAGATTGCTTGGGCATTGAGAATTCAAGATCTCTCCCAGAGCTCATTCTTGGATCTCCGGTGAGATCCCAAATGGCAATCTCACGACCGCTGTTGTTTCTGTCCGTCCTCTTCACGGAGGTGTCACAGCTGGCCGATCTCGGGGAAGCGCGGCGCGGCGGGAAACTTGGGAGTCGGGGTTCACGTACGAGTCGAGCAGACATAGTCGGCAACCTTGTTGGAACGGATCTTGGCGTTGATCGCCTTAATAACAGCGGCCATGACGGATGTTGCTGAGAGGGGAGATGTTCAAAAAAGTGACTCTGAGGGTTGAGGTTGGGGTCTGCGGGTTCGGAAGTACTTGACTTACCCGGCGTTGACCGTTCACCGGTGTCACGTGCCAGGTGGCTTATCTCCGTCTGGCATTGCTTCCCAGTGCAAATGAAGGGAATGTTTAATCGTTTTATTTTGGTGTTGGTTCGGTTCAGACCTGCGACAGAACGCTTTCTATACTTTGACTGCCAAGCTATGCATGCGTGGTTGCGTAATGGGCAATTTGACCAGCCAGCCGTCAAACTAGTAGTAGTAGTAGTATTACCGGGGTTTGGAAATCCACCATGTATACTAGTATACCGTTATCCTGATAATAAATTCAATGTTGATAGCAAAACAATTGAAAATAATTACTACCTAGGTAGGATCTAATTTGTTTAGAAAACAGGGATATCTACTAGTATCTTAGGGAGGTATTATCTTCCGCTGTTTTATCCGAAGTCCAGCGCATTCCAAGTAGCGTCGTTTCCTTGCCGTTGACGAATATGGTATGGGCAACTCGCAGGTCAATTTGGCGAGTTGAGAGATCCGCGGCGTCTACAGAGATCCCAAGAGCAGGCTCCTCCAATGCAGAATTTTCAGAGATTCAGCAACAAGTAGCATTCCCAAAAAATTAAACCAAGAAATTTTGAATCCCTTTTCGATGCACTGCGCATGTTCCGCAGAATCAGGTGAGTGGGACTTGAGGACAGACTGGAGAGATCAAGCTTCATTCGCTCGTCATTTCTCAGCTTGTCCCCGAAGATGATGCATGATCCCTACTCCCTCATCAGGTTCAAACTGAGCTTTTTCCTCCACTTGCAATTTTCCCAAGAGCTACCAAAATAATCAGTCGTACAGAGCCAGCATAACCGGTGGGAGTGCTCACAGATCTCATCCGGGATCGGATTGTCACAGAGGGCAATGAGGATTGCATTGATTCATTATGGAGGGCCAGGCTGCATCTAGGGAAGGTATGGTACTATGCTGCGTCGCAGGATAGCCATATGGGGTCTTTGATGCCTGCATGAGCTCTCTGTGTGCCTCTGCCAGTTCATGGGAGACTCGTTCGGTGTACGGCAGTGGCAGGACCAGTAGACCCACGGGGGAGTGTAGGGAGTGATAGACGAACATCGCTAATACTGCAAATCTCTTCCTCCCATTTGGTGTTGTATTTGGCCTCGTCCTCGGACTTCCACGTGAATGCCTTGATGCCATGAATGTAATCGCCAACTGATTCTCGAGACGGGATATCCTGCCAGCAGGCCTTGGGCCGATCAGTTTTGGGCATCCTTTTGAGCACTACTGTGCAGTTCTTCTTGTCTTCCTGCGTGAACGACACACAGCTCTGCAAAATGTCCCCATCCATCCTCCTCTCCAGGTAATCCCGGATGTTGATGCCCAGATGGCGGAATTCAGTGTGGTCCTTGTTGTGGGTGCTCTTTGCGTGGTAAGGATAAGAGATGATCAAGCGCCATGCATGATCCGGGCAGAAAAAGACATACGACATCTAGTAAGAGGGGGTCTTGCCGCATGAGCTGTAGGATGTTGAAAACCATATGCCGTGCACCCAACCTTGGACCTTGGTAGTCATACTGAGGTGGTAGTGGTACATGCGGAACAAGACGTTGGCGTTGTCAACATTGGTGTTTCAGAATATTTGATGAGATGTAGCGTCGTTGTGAGGAGCTCAGGCATGACGCTACTCGCAGGTAGCAGGTGACGAAAGTAATCTAATTGGGTAGAAGAAGAAGAAAAGACGGAAGCAACCAAGTAAACTAGTGTAGGCGTGTACCTACTAAGTGTATGCCATCTGGATCTGGTTAATGCATCAGCGCAAGAAAAGTGATAACCATCTACAATCAATCTATGACCGAACCTCATTCTTCGATCGTATTTTGATATGAAAGCGTGGCTTCCATGCCATGGAGGTATTTTAGATAGCTCAGTAGTCATCTCATATACCACACTAGTATTATGACTAAATTACTATCTCATTCTCATTATGTCGCTTTCCAAGGTTGCTCTCTTTGGTATGCTCTCTTAACCCGCATTACTTTACTAATACACAATCCTCTAATACGATTCACAGCTCCAAAGCAAGTTCAAACTGATTCCTAGAAGCCGTAGCAGCTCTATTAGGGAGCCGAGGAGTCTGCCAGAAACTACGTTTGTATTAGTGCAAACTCAACTCGCGCTGAAATCGATATGTATTGCAATTTTTTGCGACGAAGGGGCCATAGGAGCTAGGTAGCATTATTGTAGTACTGAATGCGAATCTCAAAAGGATTTCGGGGCTTTTTTCCAATCCTTGACACGACCTCCGTCCCCATGCGCCGCAACGCCTACCCGGTAATTGTGGGTTAATCGAGCATATACGAATGCTGCCTGACCGCGGGAATATTGGTTCCACGTAACACCGAACCCCATCTCATTTCCCGGGCAAAAAACAGACCGCTCATCATATGGAGCGTGAATTCCCTTCTAAAACACATTTATCCAATCATCGACCACCGAAACCGGGAGGGGGGTATCCCCGTCCTTGGCCAGGGGGCTGGAATCCTGGAGGAGGTTGGAAAGCGCCAGCTAAAGATATAACGTCAGCAAATTCATCCAAGATAAACCTTATACGGACAAGAGTGAAGCTTACGAGGAGCGCCTTGTGGAGCAAATCCAGGGGGGAGGAGCGAAGCCAGCTGCAGGGTATAAGAGTTAGCATGCGCGCATGTTTGTGGAGTATAGTGTATAGCTTACGAGGTCCACCAGGGGGTCCTCCACGACCGGCGAATCCGGGAGGGGGAGCACCAGGGAATCCACCAGGAGGGAAACCTCCGAATCCACCAGGAGGAGGGGGGCCACCCACGCCAGCAGCGGGACCACCAAGACCAACGGGCAGGCCACGACCAGCGGGCTTGCTAATACCGGGGCCTGCAGCAAGAGTAGCGGCAGCACCCGCGGCGCCGGCACCGGCGTTACCGAGACGTGCAGATGGATCGGCTGGGGGAGGACCATCGACGGAGCAAGAGACGACTTGAGCGCCGCGAATGATAGTCAGACCGAGAGTGCGCTTCTCCTCCGCCTCGACCAGCGGGGTGTTCGCGGGGCCAGCGGCCTTTCCTTTGCGCTTGATGCGGCGGAATTCTTCTGTGTCGGCGAGAACGAGGTTCATGTGCTGGAGTGTAACCACAAAATTAGCTGTGTCCGGGGCAATGGTAGATAATTGACGGACCTTATCAAAGGCCAGCATCTGACCGGTCATTTGGCGACCATCGTTGAGGGTCACTCTCATGCGGTAGTTGATCTGAGAAACTTGTTAGGCAATCAATCGGGTGATTCGGTATCGAAAAAGTAGACTCACGAGGTTTTGCTAGAACATAATATGTTAGCGACAGCCATTGACAACACGACGTTGGGTGCACGGAGGGACCAGGACTTACCATCTTGCCCTGCTTGTTGGCGGCCATGGTTGGCGAGAATAGCGCGCACGAATGCGACTTGATAGATCCAAAAAGTAAGAAGACAGCAACAAGTGCTCTCTCAACAGTGTAGGATCAAACAGGCGCGGATCCGTTGACGAGCTCTAGCTTTCGCCGGACTTCAGAGTTCTGGATATCGAATGACTAAGCCACTCTGATCATGTGACACTTACTGCCTAAGGCGGCGAGAGAATCAGAGTTTCGGTCCGTTAGTCAGCAACCCTCTCGCTTCCGACTCCCGTGACCCTTCTCCCGTGACCGCCCACACAAACGCTTTTGTGACTTTTTGCAGATTGGAATTCCATCTTGTCGATAACCCACCTCACGCCACAACATCAGTCGCCATGGTATGATACACCACCCCCTCATTGAATGTGAATTTGCAATCGCCTAACAGCAATGCAGTCGGACGGAAAGGACAAGAGCGCCAACCCCATGCGCGAGCTGCGCATCCAGAAGCTCGTGCTGAACATCTCGGTCGGTGAGTCTGGTGACAGACTTACTCGTGCCGCGAAGGTGCTTGAGCAGCTGTCTGGTCAGACCCCTGTCTACTCCAAGGCCCGCTACACCGTCCGTACCTTCGGTATCCGCCGTAACGAGAAGATCGCCGTCCACGTTACCGTCCGTGGCCCCAAGGCTGAGGAGATCCTCGAGCGTGGCCTGAAGGTCAAGGAGTACGAGCTCCGCAAGCGCAACTTCTCCGAGACCGGCAACTTCGGTTTCGGTATCTCCGAGCACATTGATCTGGGTATCAAGTACGACCCCGGTATCGGTATCTACGGCATGGACTTCTTCTGCTGCATGTGAGTACATCGAAGAGGATGGGAGGCAGTCACTCTGCAAATCCCTCCTCAAGGAAGCTATTTTCAGGGTGGATTGGGATGCTGACTATTTCTAGGACCCGCCCCGGTGAGCGTGTCGCCAAGCGTCGTCGCTGCAAGTCCAGCATTGGTGTCAACCACAAGATCAACACCAACGAGACCATCAAGTGGTTCAAGAACCGCTTCGACGGTATCGTCCGGTAAACGCTTTAACGAGTGTTGAGGAAACGGGATGGAGGCCCGGTTGAAACTGTGATTTACGATGCATCGATGGGAGCCAAAAATTCTTTCTCCGAAACAAAAAATCGGCCCAGGACGGAAGACCTCGTCGAACCCGGCCGGGCTCCCGGTCCCTGCGTCGGCAATGGTGTTCTGAAACCCTTTCTCTTATTTTTTATCTACCACGGCAACCAGGATAGGCGTGCTAGAGACATGAATCTACTACCTTGCAAAACTCACACAGTTCCACTTTTCACAATGAAGGCTACACAAAAGGTGTTGTTTCTCCGCATAACCATTGTTGAAAAGAAAGACGACACTAGCACTGTCTGTGTCTGTCACAACTCGCTTGATTGGTCTCGTACCTTCAAAGAGTCGGTCTCTCCAATTTCCTCGTACACTGTGCTTGGCTTTTGGGAGTACCACCTGGCCTATCTCTCTGTCTTTTCCTGTCTCAACCTGGAGCCGCTTTCCCTCGCGTAGCAGTAGGTCGTAGTTTGTAATTGATGTAAATCGAAGCTCCTATCCGAGTCCCTGGGGAGCATATCCGGGGTATGCTGCTCCCTCCAAGTAAAGTGCTACGCTATGACCCCTGACTGCCAGTGCTGGACCGAACTCTTTTCACGTCACTAGGTTCAAATTCCGGTGCTTTTTTTGAGCCTGTCTGGCCCCTTCGCCTTGAGTGCTGATGCGGAGAAAAGTATCGTCACCAAGATGCTAGCCTGGCCCTCTCTGGTATCGCCTTAGCTATCCCTGGGGAAGGCCATGTCAGTGGTCGCTATCGATCAACAACTCCCTCTTGCCTCATATTCTCGGAGTGAGCTGTGATACTGTTTCCTACATGTTGATGAGATCAGTATCCTTGCTTATAGGATGCACTCTGTGCACACGACTTATCGCCTCTCTTCACGCCTACTACCATCCAGCATTATTACAACACTATGCATGATACATACTTGATTCTCGATTATCTATGCGAATTTACGATGCAAGGTAAAATCTATGGCAATAAAAAAACGGATCACATAAATATTATGTATAGTACGTCCTATATTCGATCCAGTGCTCCCGTCGCCTATCTGATTCCCAATCATAACTTCTCGTTGACAGTCTCAATTCTCTCTTCTTTCGCCTGGCTTCCATTGCCAATCTTCTTCTCTGGATCGCCTGTCTCAATATCCGCAACCTTGGTAGCAGCTACCTCGTCAACTCCAGCCACCGCACTCTCAAAGCGCCGGCCACGTTTCTCGGGTCCAAAAGCGGCAGTCACCGCGATTCCTGTGGCAATTATAGCAGTTGCAACACCCATTACAGGCCCATAAGCCGATACTCTGTGACCAGATGCCGCAGTGATCCAGGTCTTTTCAGCAACAGCGTTCACAATCTGCGCAGATGGAGAACTGATCATGTTTCCGATTTGGTAGGTCAACCCAGGGAACGTGGATCGGAACTCGGGAGGCGAGAGCTCATTCAGATGGATGGGAATCACCCCCCCATGCTCCTTGGACGAAGAACTGCATGAAGAACCCGGAGGCACTTAACGATCGCTCACCCTGTGGCATGATCCATGCAGGAATGAGAATGCCCGAAATCAAAGCTGATACGATCATCGCGCGACGACGGCCGACGAATTGTGAAAGGTAGCCGATAATAGTTCCACCAACGCAGGCTCCAGTCTTCATCAGGATAGAAGCCCTGGAGGCACCCGCGTTGTCGAGCTCTTTCTCTGTGAGCATGAACGTTGTGTACGAATCTTGGGATGTATGCGAATAATAGTTGAACTGATTTGAAACCACGTTAGATTATATCCTCTTTTTCAACCGCTGTAAACTTACCCAAGTCATCAAAATGACACAGTAAATGCAAAGCTTCCACTGTTTGGCCAGCATAGTTCGAGTCTCCTTGGAGAACTCTGCCGCCGTCATCGTCCGTTTGCCTGCTTTTTTGGCCTCGAGGAATTGCTGGGATTCGGGGAACAGAATGCGAATGAGACCGACGCCGATGGAAAGCCCAGCTGCATGAATAGTATTGTTAGTTTATGCATTTATCTTTTGTTGCGGATTACTTACCCGCCGCCCAAAATACAGTCTTCCAACTATCGGTACTCCCACCTACACCGAGATTGGCACATGCTGCAAGCACATAACCGAAGGAGTACCCTTGCTGAAGAATGCCCGACATGAGACCTCTGGCGTTCACACTATTTGTAATGATTAGCTACTTATGACTGGCCGGCACTGGAAATCACTTACGGACAATGCTCCAGGGACATCGCAATAGCATTTCCATACACACCACCCATAAAAAGGCCAAATAGACTTCGGACTGCCAGGAACTGCTGGAAAGTGTGACTATAGATCGTTGCGATTTGCAATACTCCAAGAATGATCATGTTAAGAACCATCGGCCACTTGCGACCATATTTATCTCCAGCAAGTCCAAAAAATGCGGCACCCACACTCCTCAGAAGAAGGGTTAGTGTTATAGCAGTCGAGATCTCTGTCTTCGAACGGCCATAGTAGTCAGACAGTTTCTTTTGTTGGATAGACAGGGCATGGAAGTCAAAGGCATCAGCAGTCCACGCTGTGAACCCCATGAGAAAGAAAAGCCAGTCCCGGGCCGAGAGCTGCATCATCAAGCTGATTGGGTTGCGAATGGGCTCCGGTGCCTGCCATTCTGTACGAGTCTCGCCATATTCATTGGTGACTTCCACACGCTGTTTCCAGATGAACAAATCTCCAAATGCCTGCCGAGCGGTAGGAATAATCCCCTTCGCAATGGGCTCTGCCACTTCGTTGGAAGCCATAATCGGACAAACGGAAATCCACAAGGTGGGATTTTTGATACCGGTCGAAATGTCAACAAGCTCGTATCTAACTGTATGTTTCCTTCAACCTCGGAGCTTTACCGAAGCGCGGTATCGCCCTTCTTATAGCCATTGCGAGGCCCTCGGCCAAACCCTGCCATACCCCTGCCCCGCATTCAGCTCCCGCATATATTTCGTGATCAGAGTAACTGGGCTATCGGCCCCAGAATTGTCCCGTGCCTCCACGCGGGGAGATCCCACTCGGCTGACCAGCCAAGATGCTGCCAAGGGTCTCGGCCATCCGTGCCCGCGCCAGTAAGTGATACTATACGATGTTTATCCCGCAACTCAGGCTTAAAGTGTCAGCTTGGCGTGGGCAGACTTCTACCCCGAGATCCTTTCGGCCTTGGCTGACATTTTGAGCGCAAGGCCGCTGGGCGGCATCGGTATCTCGGTGCTTCTTAGCCAATTGAAGAATGGCCGTCCTGCGGAGTGAGGAGGGGGTTTGCTCGTAAGGTTTTCCCCAGAGGCTCTTTTCATGAATCAGTTATTGGGATATTTGAGCTGGGGGCGTGGGAAAGCTTTGAACAAAGCAGCCGACAAACAAGGTGGGCGCCACACTCCTTGGGTCACATCTTGTGTTTGCCACGCAGCTTACTTTTCTGTTTTTGCTTTTTTTCCCATTCTGGTGGCTGGTAGGCGAAGACTGGGCTTGGTGCTTGTGATATATAAGACTGTCCAGGTGTGTGTTGGCAATGGCTCGACCTAATTTCGATATTATTATCTCAGCCCCCTACGTCGTTTCGTGGGTTCCCCGGTAAATATTCTCAGGGCATTGATGACGGATTGAGTAGTGAGCGACGTTGCCAATGCTGAACTCGCTTCTATAAAAATATTTTATTGGCTAAGGACTCGGATACTGGTTGGTTCTTTGGTCTCGTTAATCTCATGTGGTTCAAGTTGTCTGGGTGGGCGCACGTGTGGATAAACGGTTCTTGCCCTGCCCCGCAAAGTCGGGGTGCATTTCAATTTCTAGGTGATCTACCTACTCTGCTGGTGGGCCTATATTTATGGGTAATATGTACCTAGGAAATCTGGAGTAAATGTGACTGAGGATATGATTTGTATTTGATGCCCGGGCGTCCGAGTCTTGTTAAAATTAATCTTGGAACATGAAGTTGTTGTTGTCTGAGTTATTAATACTACCCAGATACTACTTCAGATATATCTTAAGTAGTAAGAAAATCAATTTGGGCACCAAAGTGTTAGAAATATTCAAAATATATTGATTAGCTATACCCTATCATAATTTATTCCCAAAGAGATTCAATAATTACAGAGTATACCTTCAAGCAGTTACAAAACTTCCAAGGTTGAAAATACCCCAGGCAGCCAGAGCTACTGCCAGTGCGGGCCGAACTAAATAGACTGGCTACGATGCCGGGGTTCCCGAGCCGGCCGACCATGGGATCCTTCAAGCTATAAGGTTGGATATGAACAGTAGGAAAACAGAAGTTGATGAATAATGAATAGCACTAGTAAGGGATTTATCTTATCTACCCAGACGATTGAAGATACTCTTTATCCTACGCTAGCTAACATAGTCCTCACTCTATTACCTAGTATTCAGGTCAAATCCAAAAACCTGAAGGCTTCAATACAAGGATATAAGGCAGAAGTGTCTCACTTCCATCTTGAGAGCAAAATTCTGTTTGCTACCTACATATACCTACATACCTTTACACAATTGACTCTCACTCCACTCTCACTCACTGTTTGCTGGCCCACTATTATTAGGAAGGGTCTGGAATGACGCAGTGTCCACATCCGCCAAGCAGCTCTGCCCCTGGGTCACGTGCAGCCCCCATAAGCGACACCTCAGCAACGACAACAGCGGCCTCCTGAGGTCACTTCCGCCTCTTCAGATTCCCCCATTCACCACCCCTCCTTTTTCACTCTCCCATCTTACTTTCTTTTCGTCAGCTTCTTCTCCCCATTCTTCTTCCATTCCATTGATCGGTTTTCCTTGCGTGGCGTTCACTTGGGCGGATCAGGTCGTGCTGCGGCCTAAGTAAATATGGCACCGCTTCCCATCAAGTTCACAGAACTGGTCAATGTACGTCTCTTTGCCTCGCGCTTCGATTATCCCAGGAACTGTTGAACTGACACTCTTTCTCCTCTGACAGTTGACCAATGTTGGCATTGCGGTATGTCTCGGATTCTTGGGCTCTGCCCGTGTCACTTTCGCGATGAGCTCCCGTTGGGAGGCGGAATCGCCGGTCGCGCCCGGCTAGCCCTTCGGATCATACAAGCAGCCTACTAACTTCTTTTGCCATGTATAGCAACAATCCATTGGTTTCTCCTCATGTGTAAGTGCTCCTCCATGCAAAGGCAAGTGCGGTCCGGAAGTGAGGCATGCAACTAACCACACCCCACTTTACAGACTCTCGAATCGGATCACTATGTCTGTGTTCGCCAAAAGCTCGAGGAGGACGACAAGCCCCAGGTTATCATCGTCGACCTGAAGAACAACAATGAGGTGATGCGGCGGCCGATCAACGCCGACAGTGCGATCATGCACTGGAACAAGAACATTATCGCTCTTCGCGCCCAGGGTCGAACAATCCAGATCTTCGACCTTGCCGTTAAGTCGAAGCTCAAGTCCGCCGTTATGAATGAAGATATTGTCTACTGGAAGTGGCTCAGCGAAAAGTCACTGGGTTTGGTTACCGACACCGCAGTTTACCACTGGGATGTCTATGATGCCTCCCAGGAGAACCCGGTGAAGATGTTTGATCGCCTTCCCAACCTTTCCGTACGTCTACCCTGACTCCTCGACAAATTGAGCCGAAACTTGAATGACTTGCTGACTTTTGCTTGCCTCTTAGGGATGCCAAATTATCAACTACCGCGTCAACTCGCAAGAGAAATGGATGGTTGTTGTCGGTATCAGCCAACAGCAAGGCCGCGTTGTCGGATCTATGCAGCTCTACTCCAAGGAGCGCGGTATTTCACAGTTCATTGAGGGCCACGCCGCTGCCTTCGCCGATATCAACGTTGAGGGCTCTCCTTTACCCCACCACCTCTTTACATTCGCCGTCCGTACCGCGACCGGTGCCAAGCTGCAGATTGCCGAGATCGACCACCAAGAACCCAACCCACGATTCCAGAAGAAGGCCGTCGAGGTGTACTTCCCCAGCGAAGCCGTCAATGACTTCCCCGTTGCGATGCAGGTATCATCCAAATACGATGTTGTCTACCTAGTGACAAAGTATGGATTCATTCACCTTTACGACCTTGAGACCGGTACTTGTATCTTCATGAACCGGATTTCCAGCGAAACCATCTTCACCACCGCTTCTGATACCGACGGACAGGGCCTGGTTGGTGTCAACCGTAAGGGTCAAGTTTTGTCTGTCAGCGTCGACGAGAGTACTATCATCGAATACCTCATGAACAACCCCGCCATGTCTTCCCTTGCCGTGAAGCTGGCTTCTCGTGCGGGCCTTCCTGGTGCTGATCACTTGTATCAGCAACAATTCGACCAGCTCATCGGCAGTGGCCAGTTCGCCGAGGCTGCCAAGGTCGCTGCGAACTCTCCTCGTGGATTCCTTCGTACTACCGAGACCATCAACCGCTTCAAGAGCGCCCCTCAAGAGGGTAACATGTCCGTCATTCTTCAGTACTTCGGTATGCTTCTGGATAAGGGTTCTCTCAACCGCTACGAGAGTGTGGAGCTTGTTCGCCCCGTCCTGCAGCAGAACCGCAAGCACCTGCTGGAAAAGTGGATGCGCGAGAATAAGCTGGAGTCATCGGAAGAACTTGGCGACATCATTCGCCCATACGACATGGCTCTGGCCTTGAACGTCTACCTTCAGGCCAACATCCCCAACAAGGTCGTCGCCGGCCTCGCCGAGACTGGCCAATTCGACAGGATTCTTTCATACTCCAAGGAGGCCAACTACCAGCCAGACTACACCCAGCTCCTGCAACACATTGTCCGTGTCAACCCCGAGAAGGGAGCCGAGTTCGCTACCCAGCTCGCCAATGAGGAGAGCGGCGCCCTCGTCGATCTTGACCGTGTTGTGGATGTGTTCCTCTCCCAGAACATGATCCAGCAGGCCACCTCATTCCTCCTCGATGCTCTCAAGGACAACAAGCCTGAGCACGGCCACCTGCAGACCCGTCTTCTGGAGATGAACCTTGTCAATGCCCCTCAAGTTGCCGACGCTATTCTTGGCAACGAGATCTTCACTCACTATGATCACGCTCGTATCTCTCAACTTTGCGAGAATGCTGGTCTCATCCAGCGCGCCTTGGAGAACTCCGATGACCCTGCTGTGATCAAGCGCAACATTGTTCGCACTGACAAGCTGACTCCCGACTGGTTGATCAACTACTTCGGCCGTCTGTCTGTGGAGCAGACCCTCGACTGCATGGACACCATGCTCGAGAACAACATCCGCCAGAACCTGCAGGCTGTCGTTCAGATCGCTACCAAGTTCTCTGACCTCATCGGACCCAACCGTCTGATCGACCTATTCGAGAAGTATCGTACCGCCGAGGGTCTCTACTACTACCTGGGAAGTATCGTCAACCTGAGCGAGGATGGCGAGGTCCACTTCAAGTACATCGAAGCTGCCACTGCCATGAGCCAGCTCACCGAGGTCGAGCGCATTTGCCGTGAGAGCAACTACTACAACCCCGAGAAGGTCAAGAACTTCCTCAAGGAGGCCCACCTGTCCGAGCAGCTTCCTCTCATCATTGTCTGTGACCGTTTCAACTTCATCCACGATCTTGTCCTCTACCTGTACCAGAACCAGCAGTTCAAGTCCATCGAGGTCTATGTTCAGCGCGTGAACCCCTCTCGTGCTCCTGCTGTTGTTGGTGGCCTTTTGGATGTCGACTGCGAGGAGAGCATCATTAAGAATCTGCTGTCCACCGTCGACCCCTCCGTCATTCCCATTGATGAGCTTGTTACCGAAGTCGAGAGCCGCAACCGTCTCAAGTTGCTTCTCCCCTTCCTTGAGGCTACCCTTGCCACTGGTAACCAACAGCAGGCTGTCTACAACGCCCTCGCCAAGATCTACATCGATAGCAACAATGATCCCGAGAAGTTCCTGAAGGAGAACGACATGTACGACACCCTGACTGTCGGAAAGTACTGTGAAAAGCGTGACCCCAACCTGGCCTACATTGCCTACCGCAAGGGCCAGAACGACCTGGAGCTCATCGGCATTACTAACGAGAACGCCATGTACCGTGCCCAGGCCCGCTACCTCGTTGAGCGTGCAGACGCCGAGGTCTGGACCTTTGTCCTCAGCGAGAACAACGTCCACCGCCGTTCGCTTGTTGACCAGGTCGTTGCCACTGCTGTCCCTGAGTCCACTGAGCCAGACAAGGTTTCCGTGGCTGTCAAGTGCTTCCTTGATGCCGATCTCCCCGGCGAGCTTATTGAGCTTCTTGAGAAGATTATCCTGGAGCCCTCGCCATTTAGCGACAACGCCAGCTTGCAGAACCTCCTGATGCTGACTGCTGCCAAGGCTGACAAGAGTCGTCTCATGGACTACATTCACCAGCTCAATGAGTTCTCCGCTGATGAGATCGCTGAGATGTGCATTAGTGTTGGTTTGTACGAGGAGGCTTTCGAGATCTACAAGAAGGTCAACAACTTCCTGGCTGCTGCCAATGTCCTTGTTGAGAACATTGTTAGCATTGACCGTGCTCAGGAGTTCGCCGAGCGTGTTGAGCTGCCCGATGTCTGGAGCAAGGTTGCTAAGGCCCAACTGGATGGCCTGCGTGTGTCTGACTCCATTGAGTCGTACATCCGTGCTGCTGACCCCTCCAACTACAACGAGGTTATCGAAACTGCCACCCACGCCGGAAAGGATGAGGATCTCGTCAAATTCCTTCGCATGGCTCGCAAGACTCTGCGCGAGCCGGCCATCGATACCGCTCTCGCTTTCTGCTTCGCCCGTCTGGACCAGCTTCCCGAACTCGAGGACTTCCTGCGCACTACCAACGTCGCTGACATCGAAACCTCCGGTGACAAGGCCTACGAGGAGGGTTACCACCAGGCTGCCAAGATATTCTTCACCAGCATCTCCAACTGGGCTAAGCTGGCAACCACTCTGGTGCACCTCGAGGAGTACCAGGCCGCCGTTGAGTGTGCTCGCAAGGCCAACAGTGTCAAGGTCTGGAAGCAGGTCAACGAGGCCTGCGTTGACAAGAAGGAGTTCCGTCTGGCCCAGATTTGCGGTCTGAACCTGATTGTCCACGCTGAGGAGCTTCAGGCCCTTGTGCGCCAGTATGAGCGCAACGGTTACTTCGATGAGCTGATCTCTGTTTTGGAGGCAGGTCTTGGTTTGGAGCGTTCTCACATGGGCATGTTCACTGAGCTGGGCATTGCTCTGTCCAAGTACCACCCCGACCGTGTTATGGAGCACCTCAAGCTGTTCTATACTCGTCTCAACACCCCCAAGATGATCCGTGCTTGCGAGGAGGCGAACCTCTGGCCGGAGCTGGTCTTCCTGTACTGCCACTACGATGAGTTTGACAACGCCGCCCTGGCCATGATGGAGCGTGCGGCCGATGCCTGGGAGCACCACTCGTTCAAGGACATTATCGTCAAGGTTGCCAACCTGGAGATCTACTACCGTGCCTTGACCTTCTACCTGCAAGAACAACCCCTCCTCATCACCGATCTTCTGCAGGCCCTCACTGCCCGTATCGACGTCAACCGTGTCGTCCGTATCTTCAAGGCTTCCGATAACATTCCTCTGATCAAGCCCTTCCTGCTCAACGTCCAGAGCCAGAACAAGCGCGCGGTCAACGATGCCATCAACGAGATTCTGATCGAGGAGGAGGACTACAAGACTCTCCGTGATTCCGTTGACAACTACGACAACTTCGATGCTGTTGAACTGGCTGTGCGCCTGGAGAAGCACGACCTGATTTTCTTCCGCCAGATTGCAGCCAGTATCTACCGTAACAACAAGCGTTGGGAGAAGTCTATTGCCTTGTCCAAGCAAGATAGGCTATACAAGGATGCCATTGAGACCGCAGCCATCTCCGCCAAGTCAGAGATTGTGGAGGAGCTCCTTCGCTACGTATGTTCCCTTTCCAGCCTCCTACTTATCTTTCATAAAGCATAAAACTAATTGACCTTATAGTTCGTCGATATTGGCAGCCGCGAGTGCTATGTTGGCATGCTGTATGCCTGCTACGATCTCATCCGCCCTGACGTGATCATGGAGATCTCATGGCGCAAGGGCCTGCACGACTTCACAATGCCGTTTATGATCAACTTCCTCTGCGAGCAGACCCGTGCGATCGAGACACTAAAGAAGGACAACGAGGAGCGCAAGTCCCGCGAGACAACCCACACAACCGAGCAGGACAACACCCCGATCCTGGGTGGTTCTCGGCTGATGCTGACCCAGGGCCCCGGCGGTCCGGCCCCGGCCAGCCCCATGCCATACGGACAAGCCAACGGGATCACCCCGCAAGCTACGGGATATCGCGCGTTTTAGAGAAAGAGAGACCCGGTTAACCCCCCTGAGTTCTCTCTTTCCCCCCTTTTTTATTATCTTCTTTTGTTTTCTTGATCATGTGTAACATAAAGCGAAGTGATGACCTCTTTGGTGCGAGCAAAAAGACATGAAGACCGGGGAAGGGATGGATTGGCATGGATGTGCCGAGCCGAGCTAAGGCTGGATGGATGGTTGTCATGTCATATCATCGAAGGGAGATTCTATTCCCTGACGGCCTGTTAATTTTGTTGTCTTTTCTATCTTTTTGCTTCTTTCATTTCTTTTTTTTCACCCCCTCCCTTTCTCTCTTATCTTTATCCATTTTCTCTCTATTATCCTTATCCATTTTCTCTCTATTATCCAATTGTATTTTTGACGTTCTGAATCCTGTCATGCTGGGTAAAAGCCCCGATAAGACCTTCCTTCTAGGTGTAGGACTTCCATCCCATAGAATGCTCCAGGCCGGCCAACTATTCGATAGCTGCATGCATCTATCTTGATTACATCTTACTCCGTAGCATCGCCACTGACTAGGTACTCTGTACTAGTGATTAGACCACCTGTACGGAGTATAGATGGACCATCTCCAAGAACCTTGGCGGCCACACCGATGGCACATGACCAAGTAAGTCCACAGCATTCCAATTTCCAAACTAGCGACTGTACGACCCGTTTTTGCGCCCGCCAAGTGTTTATGATCGACTGCAGAGAAAACCAGAGCGCCAAGCGCGCCAAGGTCCTCCATTCGTAACTATCGTGATCTCCTCAAATAGCTCCGTGGAGCAAGGAGTCCGCTCCACTGGGCGGGTTTCAGATGCAGATGCGACGCAATTGCAGATCTGAGATTGCCTGGCCGGGCTGGGCTGGGGCTGGGCAGTGTAGAGATAGGATCGCCTAATTCCAAGAAAGCGGAGACAGGCTCGAGCTAGACGGCGCTGCAGATATCAACAAGGCGGAATCGATACAGTTAGGTGCGCATGCTCACCACACTACACCACACTACACCACACCTAGCATACGGTCGGACAAAAGGATAGATTATACATGCGTACAAGGTATTCTAGCACTACACTTGGCGGGCTTTGGCTTTGGCATACTTCCAGGGACAGGACAATGTGGACTCCGGCGGAGGAAATTGCCCGGCGGGGAGAGAAGTCGGCCGCTTTTCCGCTACCTGGGTTATCCTAGAACTTGGAGGTTGCTTGTCTGTTCGAGTAGTTCGTGCCGAGTGCAGCCGCTTGCGCTGGGCTCCGTCCGGGCCGGAGGTTAGCAGGGTAGAGCTGAGTAGAGTGAGTAGAGCAGGTCTGGTACGGAGTATGGTGTTTGAAAAGGCTTTCCGGGGAATGATTTACCCCGTGGAGAAGCATGGGTGCTTGTAAGGTCTGGTCTTACTATCGTGCCTCGCCTGAATGTGGATCTTGATCGGTCATTCTATAGAGCGAGTGCTTTTTTTTTTTTCTTTTCTAGAAAGGTACAAAAAAAATCAAAAATTTATTTTTATTTCTGGGGGCCTGGACTGGGTTGCGCCACTGGGAGATACTAGTATGGGGGGATATGTGGGTGAGAGGGGTGAGGGGAGTCTAGAGATGGGGAGGAATGAGGGGCGGGTTAAGATTGTGGCAGTGACTTTTTCCATTTTTGGAGCCTTGCGTCGTTGGGGGTGGTTGCTGTGTAGCTGTACGGAGTACAGTACATACTGAACTGTACATAGATAGGTATGTGCTGATGCAATGACAATCGGCGAGTGCACAGTGGTTGGCCTTTGACTCTGCACGTGGGATGACGTTGGGAGATAAGACGTGAAGAGATGGCGGGATCATCACCATTCAAATGGGATATCAGACCTGTCTATTGGATTGGCATTGGATTGGCAGTGGATTGATCTCGATGAAATGGCATTTCGGAATGATATTGACTATTGGGTGTGAGTCCGGAGTAGTGTGTAGTCACTCCGGACATGGTGGAATTGGAGCTTATCGGTCGACCTTCCGACACACTGTGGACTGTGGATGGTAAGGAAATGGCCTGGGCGCTTTGACTTTGCACATGATGCAGATGTGCTCGGTATACTGTAGAGCCAAGAACCCCCTTGGACCATTGCCGAGATTGAGCTATTGTTGCACAATTCTATATGGGTATCTTGGCTCTACATCGTCCTAGGGGTTTTCAACTTCAGATCGCTGGCTTGGCCTCTTGGCCGCTCTACCGCGAGCGGCGCGGTGAAATTGATGTAGTACCTGTCATACTGCGGCGGGAGATCACCACCGCGCCAAGGGGGAAAATTTAAGATAATACAATATGATAATGAACCGAAACGAGCACGACCCTAAGCAAGGCAAACTGGCCAAGACGGTCCTCATCGGAAGGATACACCGAAGGTCCCGTCCTCGGAGCGAGAAAGGAGATCCTTTCCTCTAGGGATCAGTACACATGACCAACTCGGGTTGCGGGACCGTTCGTTCTCGACGGGGCAAGAAAATCCAGAAGATCCAGGAAGGGGTAGGCGAGAATAGTCAGAGGGGGGGGAAGAAACGAAATTGAGAAAGGAGAGTGCTCCCGGAATGACTTTCCCCGAGGTGAACGCGTTTCAGGAACGACGGGGGGAGGTGGGAAGGAAATCGTGGGAATTCATGAGTCTTGATTGGTGGGGGTGGCGGTTTCTAAGAACATCTGAGAATCATCAACGAGAGTTCTCCGAGTCTGCCCCGGAATTGCGAATTGGTTTCCCGTCGCTATCCGTTCTTGACAGGATTAAGGAATGGATTGATGGGCTAGAATGTGTGGCATGGGCCCGAGGACCCGAGGTAGATTTTCCCCAGGGCTGGGAGGTGTACCTAATCCACCCGATCTGAAGGAGAGAATCGGCGATGAGATCATCGGGGGAGTTGTCGCCGACTTGAGGAGGGACCCGCTGGTAAACTGCAGAGGGGGGGGGGAGGAAGGAAGTTAATGCGTCAATGAAGGAGAAGAGATAAATAGGAGTAGCCCCGTAATTGTTCACGAGATGAAAAAGAAAAAGCCATTTGGACTAATTCTTGACCGAAGATCACCTCTTGGAAGACGTCGGTGTACCGGTGAACTGTGGAGGTAGGTGAAATCAGTAGAAGAAGAGAGTGTTAGAGTGGGGGAGGAGTGCTGAGTGTGGGACTGGAGAAAGTGACTGTACTTGTTACCTCATTTTGCCCCGGACGCAGATCTCCCTGGCCCGTGATCGCTTCCTTACCCTTTATCAGCTCCCCTCCTTCCCTGCCACCCATCTTTTTTTTTCTTTTTCATCCATCCCTCTACACCCTTTTTTTCTCCCTACTGTCCAATCCTTGAACCTTGTCTGATTGTCTGCTTCAGTGTCAGTACAGCTGCTTTGCCGAAATCGGCCTGGATTCAGATCCGGAGCTTCTTATCTAGCTTGTGAGTCACCCCACTATTTCCATTCGCATTGCAATGGCTTCATTACTAGCCATTGCAATGGAGAAATCGCATTGAGATGCATCTACGGACATGAGATGCATTGAGATCCCCCTTTTGAACTGCCCCCGGAAATGCAATAACTAACACCACCCCAGCTTGTAAATTACCCCTCCCTCTCTCCCATCATGGCCGCCAACAACGAGGATGCCATCGAGTTCGTCGATGACCACACGGAGCACCACCAGGACTCCGTCCACCGTCGTCTTCGTGCCAATTCCACCATCATGCATTTCCAGAAGATCCTGGTTGCCAACCGTGGTGAAATCCCCATCCGTATCTTCCGTACAGCCCACGAGCTGTCCCTACAGACTGTCGCCGTCTACTCCCACGAGGACCGTCTGGGTATGCACCGTCAGAAGGCTGATGAGGCTTACATGATCGGAAAGCGTGGTCAATATACCCCCGTCGGTGCCTATCTGGCTGGTGACGAGATCATTAAGATCGCCCAGGAGCACGGTGTGCACCTCATTCACCCCGGCTACGGTTTCCTATCGGAGAATGCCGGGTTCGCCCGCAATGTCGAAAAGGCCGGTATTGTTTTCGTGGGCCCGACCCCAGACACCATTGACGCTCTTGGTGACAAGGTTTCTGCTCGTCGCCTCGCTATCAAGTGCAACGTCCCGGTTGTCCCCGGTACTGAGGGCCCCGTTGAGCACTACGACGAAGTCAAGTCCTTCACTGATGAGTATGGCTTCCCCATTATCATCAAGGCTGCCTTCGGTGGTGGTGGCCGTGGTATGCGTGTAGTCCGCGACCAAGCTTCCCTGCGTGATGCCTTTGAGCGTGCCACCTCCGAGGCCAAGTCCGCCTTCGGCAACGGTACTGTCTTCGTCGAGCGCTTCCTCGACAAGCCCAAGCACATTGAGGTCCAGCTGCTCGGTGACAACCAGGGCAACGTTGTCCACCTGTTCGAGCGTGACTGCTCCGTCCAGCGTCGTCACCAGAAGGTCGTCGAGATTGCTCCCGCCAAGGACCTCCCCGTCGATGTCCGCGACAAGATCCTGGCTGATGCCGTTCGACTGGCCAAGTCCGTCAAGTACCGCAACGCCGGTACCGCCGAGTTCCTGGTCGACCAACAGAACCGCTACTACTTCATTGAGATCAACCCTCGTATCCAGGTTGAGCACACTATCACTGAGGAGATCACTGGTATCGATATCGTCGCTGCCCAGATTCAGATCGCCGCTGGTGCCACTCTTGAGCAGCTGGGTCTGACTCAGGACCGCATCTCCACTCGCGGTTTCGCCATCCAGTGTCGTATCACTACCGAGGATCCCGCCAAGGGCTTCTCCCCCGATACCGGTAAGATCGAGGTCTACCGTTCTGCTGGTGGTAACGGTGTTCGTCTGGACGGTGGTAACGGTTTTGCCGGTGCCATCATCACCCCCCACTACGACTCTATGCTGGTCAAGTGTACTTGCCGTGGATCGACCTACGAGATTGTCCGCCGCAAGATGCTGCGTGCCCTGGTTGAGTTCCGTATCCGTGGTGTCAAGACCAACATCCCCTTCCTTGCTTCTCTGCTGAGCCACAACACCTTCATCGACGGAACCTGCTGGACTACCTTCATCGATGATACCCCCGAGCTGTTCGCCCTGGTTGGCTCTCAGAACCGTGCCCAGAAGCTACTCGCTTACCTGGGTGATGTTGCTGTCAACGGTAGCAGCATCAAGGGCCAAATCGGTGAGCCCAAGTTCAAGGGTGACATCATCAAGCCCATCCTCAAGGACACCGCTGGCAACCCCATCGATGTTTCCGTCCCCTGCCAGCAGGGTTGGAAGCAGATCTTGGACGCCCAGGGCCCTGCTGCTTTTGCCAAGGCAGTGCGCGCCAACAAGGGCTGCTTGATCATGGACACCACCTGGCGTGATGCCCACCAGTCTCTGCTCGCCACTCGCGTGCGTACCATTGACATGCTCAACATTGCCCACGAGACCAGCCACGCTCTGCAAAACGCCTACTCCCTGGAGTGCTGGGGTGGTGCCACCTTCGACGTCGCCATGCGCTTCCTCTACGAGGACCCCTGGGACCGTCTCCGTAAGCTCCGCAAGGCTGTTCCCAACATCCCCTTCCAGATGCTGCTGCGCGGCGCCAACGGTGTTGCCTACTCCTCCCTTCCCGACAACGCCATCTACCACTTCTGTAAGCAGGCCAAGAAGTACGGTGTTGATATCTTCCGTGTCTTCGATGCCCTCAACGATGTTGACCAGCTCGAGGTTGGTATCAAGGCCGTCCAGGAGGCCGGCGGTGTGGTCGAGGCCACCATCTGCTACAGTGGCGACATGCTGAACCCCGCCAAGAAGTATAACTTGGAGTACTACCTCGCCCTGGCTGATCGTATTGTCAAGCTGGGCACTCATGTCCTCGGCATCAAGGATATGGCTGGTGTCCTGAAGCCCCAGGCTGCCCGTCTGCTGATCGGTGCTCTCCGCGAGCGTTACCCCGACCTCCCCATCCACGTTCACACCCACGACTCCGCCGGTACCGGTGTTGCTTCGATGATTGCTTGCGCCCAGGCTGGTGCTGATGCCGTCGATGCTGCCACCGACAGTCTGTCCGGTATGACCTCTCAGCCTAGCATCGGAGCCATTTTGGCCTCCCTTAGCGGCACTGAGCAGGACCCCAACCTGGACATTAGCCAGGTTCGCGCTCTGGACGCCTACTGGGCTCAGCTCCGTCTCCTCTACTCTCCCTTCGAGGCTGGTCTCACTGGACCCGACCCCGAGGTCTACGAGCACGAGATCCCCGGTGGCCAATTGACCAACCTGATCTTCCAGGCTAGCCAGTTGGGCCTGGGCCAGCAGTGGGCCGAGACCAAGAAGGCCTACGAGGTCGCCAACGACCTCCTTGGTGACATCGTCAAGGTCACTCCTACTTCCAAGGTCGTCGGTGACCTGGCCCAGTTCATCGTGTCCAACAAGCTGACTGCAGAGGACGTTGTTGCCCGCGCCGCCGAGCTGGACTTCCCCGGCTCCGTCCTGGAGTTCCTAGAGGGTCTGATGGGTCAGCCCTTCGGTGGCTTCCCCGAGCCCCTGCGTTCCAACGCCCTGCGCAACCGCCGCAAGCTGGACAAGCGCCCTGGTCTGTACCTGGACCCTCTGGACCTGGTCAAGATCAAGAACGATATCCGCGAGAAGTTCGGTGCCGCTACCGAGTGCGACGTTGCCAGTTACGCCATGTACCCCAAGGTCTTCGAGGACTACCGCAAGTTCGTGTCCAAGTTTGGTGATCTGTCGGTCCTGCCTACCCGCTTCTTCCTGGCCCGTCCCGAGATCGGCGAGGAGTTCCACGTCGAGCTGGAGAAGGGTAAGGTGCTGATCCTGAAGCTACTTGCCATCGGTCCTCTCTCCGAGCAGACCGGTCAGCGTGAGGTCTTCTACGAGGTCAACGGTGAAGTCCGCCAGGTCAGTGTCGACGACCAGAAGGCTTCCGTCGACAACATTGCCCGCCCTAAGGCCGACGCTGCCGACAGCAGCCAGGTTGGTGCTCCCATGAGCGGTGTTGTTGTCGAGATCCGTGTCCACGACGGCCACGAGGTGAAGAAGGGTGACCCCATTGCGGTGCTGAGCGCCATGAAGATGGTAAGTTATCAACCAGCCCTTCCATCTAATAATTTACCCGCGAATCATTTACTTACTCTTCCCCTAGGAAATGGTCATCTCTGCTCCCCACAGCGGAAAGGTCTCCAGCCTTCAAGTCAAGGAGGGCGACTCAGTCGACAGCCAAGACCTGGTCTGCAAGATCAGCAAGGCATAGGTTAATACGGACTTTTAAAAAAGGATTTGCTTTTTTTAATTACTTGTTTTTCTTTTGTGTATAAGACGTGTCTTGGTTTTTGCACGATACGAACGATAGCGTTTGCTCCCACTGGGATTTGGCTTTGGCTTTGGCTTGCTGTTGGCTTTTGCGTTTTTTTATTTTACGAATTTACCCGATCTTGAATGAAGAACTTTCAATATAGTCTGGGTGGTAGATTGGATAGATGTATCCTACTGTTTTCATTACTTCGTAGTGAATGGTGCAGTTTAATGTCGAGTATGGAGTAGGCTGGATCGATCATGTAGGACCAAAAGCTTAGCAACTTACTTCCGACCCCAGCGCGATATCAAACTCCAAAATACATGAACCTTGGAACAATCGAGTCCACTAGAATCAAATCAAATTGATAAGAGAAAAAAACCATAATCACAATACAAGAAAAGAAAGAAACCCCATCCCACCTGGGCACTACGAACCCCTCGTATAATCCTGCCAGAGTTTCGAAAACACGCCCCCCTTGGCAGACTGCTCATTCCAACTCGCCCGTCTGCCCGCCATGTCAGAACCGCCGCCCTCGCGCTTCTGGTTCTGCAGATTGGAGAATAGGCCCGGGCCGCCGGATGCGCTTGAGCGTCGGCGCTCGCTGACTGTTGGTGGGCTTTGGGCTTGGTTCTGCGTGTGGGCGGCTGTGTCGGCGGTAGCGGAGCTGTTGGATGTTGTGGAGCCGGTTGATTCCTGTTGGATTGTTAATATTATACCAAGGTATGTTCAAGTTCACGTTGGAGGTGGTTCATGCTGTCCAGTGTAGGTATAACTAGTTGGTGGGGTGTAGGGTAGGGTAGGGTGGGGTAGTTTCCCCAGGTTTGACTAGTTTAGGGCCGGGTATAGATCTTCCCGGAGACGAGGGAAGGAAACTTCAAGGAGCTTAAGCTTACACGTCTGGCATTTAGATTGCTCGTCATTTCGGGGGTTAGGGCCCAGGGAGCGCGTCCGGCGGGGCCTTTTGCTCCGCCAGCGACCCAGGCGTTGTGGTGTTCGTGGCGATTGCCGGATGTTCCGTGCCAGTGGCGGCGGGTATCGTCGGTCATGGTGTATGTATTAAAGGGTTGGATAGTTGTATATTTCTTAGATGGTGTTAGTGTAAGCTGGGATATGGGGGTGCTTTGTATTTTCAATGGAGGAAGATAGAATGGGTAGGGTAGAGTAGACGAGTCGAAGACGTCATGGGAAGGGTTTGGTATGCGGGTACATCCGTGATGACGAGGCGGATATCAAGAAAGGGTGCGGTGTGGGTAATAGGCAATGGGGACAAATCAAGATGACATCCAATTTATTGATATCAAAAAGAAAAATACATACCGGGCTTAGGTTTGTGATAAAATGAAGAGAATGTTTTCAGCAGGTTAAGGTAGGATTTGAGAGGGGGAGGGCAGGCTTATAAATGGCGTCTCATTCAAGGGTCGCGTGTTACCCGGACTTTTGTTCTTCAGTTAGCGAGCTCGATGATTGGCAGAATGCTCTCTTTCCAGTAACAGTAGTGGACTTGAACAAACGACCCCATCATTATCCGTTATGGCAGCTCTGTGATTAGTCGATCGAGCTCCTAGGCCAGGCTCCCGATACGGTCGACTCATAACTGGATCCCCTAATACGTACTCCATTATTGGCTGGATCCGTAGTCTGGAATTAATCCGAGATTCAGATCAGCAGGTTAGGTACATCGCCTCGGTGCTATTCGTTGTGCTGGATGGGCTCCCTGTAGCTTGACGTAACTCGCGGAATGCGGGGAAAGCTCGATGGCAAATTGAGTTTATGTACCGGTACTTTGTTTTACATGATGGATTATAAAGAGAGATATGTACCGATACTAAGCTGTATTTGTTCTAGCTAGGTACACTCCAGGAAGCTTGCGATCGCGTGTAGCTGCGTGTTTGACATGTGTAGGTGTTTTCTTTAGCCCATTTCCAACGCGTAAGCCTCGACAATAATGAGTCGGCCGTTTTGATTGAGTCTCCAAACATCCGCCGTGCCGGCAACATTAGTTCTGTGCATCCAAACACGCCAATTTATCACAATAACTCCCTTAATAGCACCACCACCTCCTTTCAAGAGAAGCTTCATTTTGAAGTCTGGGTGTAGTCTCTGACCAGCCATTCCGCCGTATTTGTATCCAAATTTGCCATCTTTCCCTATTTTTCTGAATTGCATACCACAGAGTTATGATAGGAAGTCTAAGAAATAATTTCGTGTCTCAGAAGTTCAACGATCGAATTTCGATTGAAACCGGCAGGGTTTGTTGAATTCCAGCACAACTTGAACTTCAGTGACGATCGATATGCCAAGAGGTACTCTGAATGAGTTGTATGATGCGGCAAGACTGACCTTCAGTTTCATATAGGATCCACCAAAGGTACCGACGCTGACTGATTTGTATGAGGCAGTCATTTACTTGGCCCCAAAGAGAAAATTGTTACCATTGCGGGAACAACATTAAAGGTGGAATATACTGTATGCATTTGTCAATTGATTACAGTCTAGAGTTACTAGTGGAGAAGTAAATTCAATAATAATGTTGAAATTTGTCTTGGTAGTGAAGATGAAAATACAAAAGAAAAATTAGAAACTACTCATGATCATCGTTACTTTGTGGGGGGGGGCACCATCTCAGCCATCCGATCCAGGGTTGCCTGTTGCATCACCATCATGTTCTGCATGAACATCTCGATGCTCCCCTGTAACGGTTCATGCATAGTTTCGAGAGAATTAATAAGCTGACGATATGTTCGATGGGTGCAGGGTTGGGGGTATCGAGGCCGGGGGGGAGGAACAATAGGGGCAGTGGGGCTATATCGGTAGTTTTGACCTAGCCAATTGTTAGTAAAGTGTATTGTGAGTCAAATTGGATTAACTGACTATTCTTTCGATTCCAACTTTTCCGTTAGTGTGATTCCCAACCCGAGTCAGGGATTTGAAGCCTGTAGCGCAGTCACGGGTCTTATGCTGAATTGAGCCACAGTAGCCACACTTTCTCCCGGGTTAAAGCCAATGACTAGGGCCAGGAGCATCATTGGGGGTAGCGGGGAAAACAACTACAGGGTTGGGGGCAGGGAGCCACGAAGAACTTCATCGCTGACGCCGAACAGGTGGGAATCTGCCTTCGATGATATAGAGTTGGGTACAAAATGGGCAGCTTTGATATTATTTTGCGACTTGTGGAGAAATATTTGTGAACTTGAGGTACCGTGTACCATGTTCCGATTCTTTGAATCTGTGCGAAATGACAGTTGGGATTGTGCACAGCGAGGAGCCATTTGCGTCAATCGAAACTTGAAGAATGAAACAGTCTTCGTCAATCTTTTACAGTTCATTGCTCTCTTGGTCAGACGAGTTACCCGGAGTCCTCTCGTAACGCCCGGAATCGCTGGCGAGACTGGGGTCGAAACTCTTAAAGTGGAAGTGAAAATGCTCATCGACAACGTAGTATAAACTTCCTTCTTAAACGCAGATTGATCAAACTCGAGACTCCGGATTTTTGTTTTCCTATTGGAGTTCTCGGCTCATCTAATTAGAAAGTGGCGGTCCAGGATCATCCAACAATACACCTTAGTCATGGAAATTTGCGTCTTGACTTGGTCTGGTTGGTGGCGACCTCCAGCAAAATATCAGAGTCCGATAGTGAGGTGCTCGATGCTGCACCGGGCAGAAGTTGCTTGTATTTATGGCCCAATTCCTCGACCAAGGCAACTTAAAGCAGTCTGGCTCGGAGCATATTGCGGAGAGCACAGTCACGACCGCAGTAACTGCCAGTGTAACAGCGGGGGCGTATGCCTTCAGGACATCGAGTCCTGGTTGTGGTGGCGGTGGTACTAGTATATATAACACCCAGTCCTTCAAGTTGTTCCTGCAAATTGAGCCCTAGCCCTCTCTCAACCTCGGAAGAGAGCAATTCGCTCAGCGTGATCTATCTGGGAACGAGAGGCAACGTCAGGGGTAATTTTCCTTGTCCTTGGGATTTCCGCGGCCTCCTCCTCCCCCTCAGCTTGGCAACGGGTTTTTCTGCGATTGATAGTGATGAGACTTGCCATCTCCTGGCATCGACGGCAGAAGACTAGGTACGAGAACGAGATGTCTGAGTCGAGGGCGTGGGTCGACACCTGGTCCAAAAGCTTCCCTGCAAGCTTGTAATTCCAAACTCTCAACTAGATGGTCTGCTAGCGTACGAGATTGGATTTGAATATTCTTGATCGAGTAATCCCCGTCGGAGCAGGGGAGGATAGATGGCGTTGCTGCAAAAGCATTTGTTGTTGTCTGCGGGCTATTTGTTCCATTTGCCGTTCGCAATTTTGACAAGAAAGCTCGACGATTCACTTTCCCCGGGGCAACCATGAGAAGTGTTTAGGCAAGGTGGCCAGGAAAAGTACGAAGAACCTCGAGGCGGACAGTGTTATGTTTCCAAGTTTTGGGCTTGCTGGGACGTAACTTCCAATGTTGAGGTAACTTGGGCTACGAGGAAGGTCCGATGGCAGATTAAGTTGATATACTGGTAGTTTATTGACCATGCTATATTGTATAGACTAGTTAGCAGGTACCGGTACTTACCCGATGCGGATACAGGCATGATGACGATGTAGATCCAAAATTTATATAAGAATATATTACCTATAGCATGATAAAATGATCGCTATGCGAAGGAGCGCGAATTTGATCTATTTACATCGCACCGCATTCATCTAAACTTACAACTTCGGCTTCGCCTGCCCCAAATCCGCCGCCCTAACAGCTTTCCAAACCCTAACACCCTCCTCCCACCGCGAATCGCGAGTGATTTCCACCCTTCCATCCGCCCTCATCGTTCGCACACCGAACCCACTAGTCCCCCATCCAAAATCAGTCTGTCTCTCATTCTGCACGAATCGCGCCAATGGCCCAATAAACGCATTGTGAGTAACTTTCTTCTCAGATTCTGTCAAAGCAGCCCCATTGCCCCAGAACCAAAGCGGGTAATCCGAAGAATGCGTCACGCCCCATTCAGCGGGCATTTTGGCCGCCATGCACGAGGCCAGGAACTCAATGCGGTATCGATAGATCAGATGACTCGCGTCAACACCGGCTTTGTTCGAGGTTAATGCGTGGATGAGTCCGCGCTGCATCTGATACACCTGCATATCGGCATAGATTTGACCCCACGCGTCCACGTCCCAATTTTTACATCCCGCGGGTAGCTGGCCGGTCGGGTAATGTAAAGGCAGGACGGTGTCGACGATGTGTTCGGGGTAATCGGCGATGAGTCGAGTCCGTAGTGCCGAAAGAGTATTTGCCTTGGGAGGAAACCAGATAGCATACAGATGGGACTCTTCGCTGCACTCGCCCAGCATCAGGCGGATATTCCGGGATGCGAGCTTTGCGGCGAAGTCGCCATTGTCAAGAGAAGTGAAGAGGGAAGGCAAGATGAAGCCTCCATCTGTTGTTGGGCGGAATTGGTGCACCTCGATGGCCTTTGTTGCGTCAAGGAGGGCCCGGGGTGGTAGGGCGCGGAGACGAGCGAGTTTCTCAGGCCCGCTGAGGGTTTGCGGGATTGATAGTGCTTCTAGGAGTTGGTTGAATTGGGTCTGAGTTTCTTCTGGCCTCTTTGGTTGCACGGCCGGTGAGTTGGAGAACATTATTGCTTGGCGGACGATGATCTGATCATCCGGCTGGCGGAGGTCGTAGGCGAGTTGGTGAAAGACCGAGTTTGCGCCTGCGGAGTAGCCCGAGATTGTGATATTTGAGGCATTACCGCCGAAGAGGTGGATATTTTCCTTCGTCCACTCGAGTGCGAGTCTTTGATCCCAGAAGCCGTGATTGCCGACTGTCTCGCCAACCGCGGCGGCGTCCTGCGCCAGTTCGGACGAGTGTAGGAAGCCGAACAGATTTACACGGTAGGCGGGTAGCACGAGCACAGCCTTGAAGTCTGTCTCACCTAGAAGAGCGGCCGCATCGAAGCCGTTCGGTGAGCCAAATTGAAGCCAGCCGCCGTCTGAACCAGGAGAGATATTAGCGATGTCCCTGCTTCAATCTTATTGCCATGAAAGGGGTTAACTTACGGATGAACACAAACACAGGCCATCCTCCTTTTGGCGGAGAACCTGTTGGTACCCAGATATTGGACTGGAAGCAATCTTCAGTCCAGGCGTCTGGATTCTCCGGCACAAGTGGCTCGAACGCAGGCTGTGGACACAAGCCAGCGCCCTTATCACACTGACCTGGCGCTTGCGGCGTTCCGTACCTAAATGTTGCAGAGAGCCGACGCGCGCGTCGCCAGCGCTGCAATGGCGGAAGAGCATAGCGGACAGCGCCAAAGTAGTGACATAGATCTTGAGAATTGGCACTGATGGTGAGACCCTGGATGGAACCAAGGGCCCCGAGGGATTTCTGGACCGGACGAGTGGTGGTCTCCATTTTCTAGTATTCTTTCCGGTCGCAGCTACCTGCAGATTGGTAGAGCAGGTCTCGCTCGAGTAAGTTGCAAGAGAGGAGGAGGTCAATTGAAAAGGACCAAGACAGCCAAGTATTGGAGAATTGGAGAGTTGGGGTCGGGTAGGTTCCGGTCCGGTTGATGTGATGGCGTTATCTCTGGAATTGATGGGATCCCATTGCGCCCATGGGGGGATACTCTCCTTATCAATACAGTGTCGGACTCGATTCCGCTGCGTCCGCTCCACGAATTAGCTCGGACAATGGAAGATAACCATAGCCGAGATAAAAGGGACCTGGGCGTAGTAGATCAAAGTGCAAGATGATCCCATTGGTGATGGAGACGAGGAGATCGGCAATTAGGGGCGAGTTGGGGGTGGCTTTGCGGGGGTTCGGAGCATCGGTTCTACTTCTGGCACCGACCGGGGTAGTCCATCAAGATAATAGCAGTCAGTTTATTGGTTTACTCTGTACATGCAGATTCGGTGTCAAGCATTTTCTATTGGCTACATTTTAGAGTAATATAGATGTTTAATTGTACATTTAAGGTACACCCGATCCACGCCGATCACCCAAAGGTTTCTCCTCCATTCTCCAGGTAGTCAATCTCTTCCTTAGTTGGCTCCCTCCCCATTGCTGAGTTTCGATGGGGATACCGCCCAAATCGCTCAATGATAACCTTATGCCTTTTCTCAAAGTCTAAGCCGTTACTGAGATATCCTGAAAGAGCATCCTTCTGACCGGAGAGAAAATTGTAGCACATTTTCTCATCTTCGTCAAGCGTTGCGATATCCCGCTGCAAGAGATCCTCCATGTCCTTCGCAGTATCCTCATGTACCTTGATAGCCTGTTCATGAATAGCAAGACTCTCTGAATGCATCAGGGGAAGATGGAACCAGAATCGATATGCGAGGCGATATCTCATATGCGAAGACAAAGTTGGCACACCCGATTCGATGCCACGCAGTGCAATCTCCTGCGCGAGTGGGTCGAATCGCTCGAAGACTAGCTTCGACTTGTCGCCGCGGTAGCAGTTTCGGGGTACTTGGTCCAGCAAGATTATCAAACTGAGCCAGGTTAATGGTGATTTTGAGTCAAAAGAATCAAGAATATCCGTTGCGGATGCACCGGAGGCGAGAATTGACTCCAGGGCTGGCTGGAATTGCGCACTGTGAGAGCATTTGTCAGCGGTGTCGAGGTTACAGGATGAGGCTTGGAGACTTACACGCAGGCATTGTCGAATTCTTCATCTTTCTTGAACCATTTCATCATTTCGTTCATACCCGGGAGAATCAATGCATCCTCGTTGGGGAAATGAGAGAACCAGAAGTCGCGGACTTCATCGAGGAGTGCAGGGGTGAGGGTCTGCTTGAGTTCCGAGACTGTGTTCGCCATGGCTGGTAAAGTGGAATGGAATTGACGTAGGGGGGTTATTTTGAGAATTATTCTGCAACTGACAGGAAATCTGTCTGGCCGCTGGGTTTCCAGAATGTATGGATATCACTCTCGTCTGCAGCACTGCGGGTCTGCGCGGGAAACTCAGTGGATAGATTTCTTTTTGCGGGAAACTTTGTGATTTTTGTTAGCATATTGGCCCATGCGAGGTTTGAATGAACCGTCTTCATACCCTGCCTGAGCGTACTAGATGGGGCCAAGCCATTGTGGTTTGTGAAGTGAATTGGCTATCGTCGCGCTTTCGCATCGCGGACTCACCACGTGACGCCAAGACTGGCGAAGGTATTGAAATAGAATTTTATACATTTTTGATATAGTTTCAGAAAATATCTACTTTAATAGCAACCTGATTGATCAATAAAGTAGCTAATAGGACTTTTACTGGCAGTCGGTAAGAGCCCATGGCCCCGATTATGAAAGGCATCTCACGAGAATTAGTCTAGAGATAGAAGGAAGACTTGACGCTCTTATGTGTTTACCAAACACGATAAAATCTACAATTATTTCCCTATCAATCGCTCAAACTCCTCGTCAACAATGCCTGGAAGTTCATCTTCGAGGGATCGTCCACAAGGCTGCCAGCCAAGAAGTGAACGAGCCCGACTCGCACGACAACGCATATTATATGCCCAACTCGTTGCCTCAAAGCCAGCTAATTCCTGGGCGGATTCCATTTCCAGCTCTATCTGCTTTGGTTGACTTTTCAGAAACCCTTTTTTGAGAGCTATGTCACCAATCGAATGAGCCAATTCGCCCCAGCAATGCTCACCCTCTTCAACAAGGTAGTAGGCCTCAGGACTCCAGATAGTACCATCGCCTTCTCCCCTCAAGGCAACCTCGAAAAAATGCATAAAAAGAGATGTCACACTGTGGACATGAATATTTGACCCAATTGCTTGGCCCTTGCCGATGATGGGGATCTGATTATGTTCAAGAATAAATTTCGACATTTCGTATACTTGTCTGCTTCGTTGGTAGCAGGGTCCTCTTCCTTTGCCTGGAATGGATGTTTAGAATGATGATCGGTTTCTTCGTCATTCAGAAATAGAAGGGAAAGGCATACCGTAGACAGTGGTTGGGGCAATTATTGCCGTTCTGAGAGTGGTTGGGGATACTGTGCCTGCCTCGAGGACTGCCTTGTCAACAACCTTGTGAAAGGCATGGTCGGGGAACGAGAGAATCTCTTGAATATCTCGCAGATCGTCATAGATTTTTTCGCTTCGCTCTCCGTATATTTTGTTCTCGGTGTCATGGAATGACAAAAGGCCGGCGCCGCTTGTGTGCAGCCAGTATACCGGTCTGTCTGGGGTATGACCCTGGATCGCACCTTTGGCGATTGCCTGGGCTGCAGGCAGGTGGTCTGCAGCATTGGCAGTATCTAAGGAGAAAAAAATCCATCTTTTTAGCCAGGGACCGGTTTATCGGGACAGACTCCGTTTGAGACACGGTGTTAAAGCTTCTAGCTTCCTTGGGCGGGGCTCTTACGGATGATGATGTCCGCTCTGGCACTTTCTCCAGTAAGGAGTTCGCTATTGTCCAGATCTCCTTGAATCACAGTGATGCCGGGATAGATTTTTTGTATTTTTTGTCCGCTTTCTTGACTGCGCACGAGTACTCGGTAGCTGTGTTCGGGGTATTTGGCGACCAGCTCGGACAAGATATCCCCGCCAATATACCCGCTGGCGCCGGTGCTGCACGCTTGATCAATACCTGTATGCTCCAAAGAAGACAGGATAGCTCACATAAATACAGTCTTCATTTTGAGATGTCCAGATACTCGATTGAAGAATAGTGAAGTTACTTAAGTGTTATTGAGAAGTGAAGCTGGTCTCAGGCTGTTTGTCGGGTTTGTCAGCACGCATATGACGTCATTTGTAGTCTCAGTGGAACAGCATTCGAATAATAAAACAGATATTCATAGGATAATGATGTTTTGAACGTTGGAATCCGATCATCTAGAAAATGAAGCGCTTTTTGGTAGCCAACTTAAAGTCTTTCAACGATTTTCCGAAGCATAACGTTATGCCGGCGCTCGGGCGGTGCCTTACATTCCAACACCGTCCAATCAAGTTTACTTCCAGATGGAATACGAGAGCAAAGCTAACAACCTGCCAGCATATTTTGTTAGCTCAATTCTCATTCATTCACGGGGGTTTGCAATCGCATAACCCGTACTACGCCGACCCGCAATCTAACGTTATGTAAAATTCGTCTATAAAGTGACCATTCTACATGGATGGAGATTTCACACCAAACAATCATACAATCAAAGCCAAGATCATCGAGACTATCAAAGTATCTTTACTAACATGTCCGGCAACAACTACTCCATCCACTCTATTGTCGCCGCATATGGCTTAGGCCTTGCCCCCCCATAACTACTATCTTATCAAGATGATGGCCAACGCAAAGGGCCAGTCAAGCAACATCTTGTGAGTCGCAAGGTCCCAGCATCTGATTAAACCTTACTGATACTTTTCCAGACCACGGGAGAACTTGACGAACCTGAAAGGCAAAATACCCACTCAAGTCTGGGATAAGCTCGCTAGAGCTCGAGGCGCACATCTCAATGCGATGGAAGGCCTCCCAATGTTTGCTGTTGCAATGGTAAGCGATTTCTATTTGATTTGCCGCGGTACAAATAATACTAGAAAGTACTAACTGATACGGTCTTAGTTGGCGGGAAATCTGGCCAAACTTCCAGCCAAAGACCTGAACTACATGGCCCTCGACTATCTTGCCGCTCGGGCACTGTACACTGCGGTCTACATGGGGGTTAAGTCTGAGCTTGGGAGCTATCTGCGTACTGGTATTTGGGCTTGGAGTATTTCCATTCCGATTTGGGTGCTGATTCGTGCCGGAAAGGCTGTCAATGCTGGTGATTCTCTTTGATCGAGCTGTTGCAAGGGTACCTACTAGTTAGTTAACTAGTAGGTCTCATGTGTAGGTAGATGGTTGTTTATTCGTGAACTTTGTTTTATGTAAAGAAGTATTTAATCAATTCGGTGAACTTAATTCATGTCTTAATCGCCAGCCTTGCCTTGCCTCTCGTTTTCCGGGAGCGGTTACTGCCCTCAATTACTCCTGTGTCAAATGCCCACCACCATCGCTCAAAAACAAGTTGGCCTATCTCCCATGTTCCGGGTTCAAGCGGGTTCTGTCCAGTAATTGTCACACCTTCGCCACTGTCATCTTCCATGTCGTAAACGAATCGTATGAGACCCATCGGGTCCTGCGCATTCCCCGGTCGCATGTGGACAGGGAGGTGAAAGACTTGTATTAATTTGTCCCGGACACTGGGCCAAGGGAGCAGGTCCAATACTGGGTGATGGGCGATCGAACGCTGGGTTCGCGTTGGCTGTAGATGCAAGGGGAGCTCGGTGAGATCGATCTGTGAGCTGAAACTTGTGGGAGATGGTCCTGAAGTTGACAAGCCAGACTCCAAGGCTGGGGGTGAGAGGGAAGTGTCCGAGCTGCTTGGGGATAATGGCTGATAAAACGGGCTTATTGATGCAATGTCCCATATAATGTCGGAAACTTTAAGCTGAACAGCAACCTTCATAGCAGCGTTTAACAGGGTGAGCGATGGTACTTCGAGGGTGTGGTCATCCGGAAAGGTGAAGAAACTGGCTTCGTAGGCTTGAAGCTCTTCGGAGATGCCGTGATTACCAACTGTAATTCCTGGAACTTCACTTGCAAGCTGCTCATCAAGTTCGCTCAAACCTCCGGGCTCTGGCCCAATTTCAAGAGCTGGTATCTCTAGGAAAGATCCGAAGGGGTCTATTTCAGAAAACGCAAAGTTTCCCCATGCCTCTGAGTCGCCGTGCTCTGCTGCGAATGATGGGAAGTTTTGGTTTGAGGGCTCGGATGGCTCTAGAACTGGCAGGGCGAATGCTGTATTTTCCTTGGCAGTTTGATAATCTTCTCGAAAATCTGCGGGTGAATACGACAAGGAAAGCTGACCTAGAGACTGGTCCTGGGATTCCAAAATCGACTCGTGTGTGGTAGAAGCATCCCTAGTGTCAGGAGAGATTGTCATCGACAGAGATAGTGTGTTTACCGAGTCATTGACCCGGGATTCAAGAGCTTGTAGACGCTCCCTCTTCTTTTTCCCTGTGCCGTCTGGTTAGCGCATATTCGACAGCATATTCGACAAGGCTGAAAAATAATGTACTGTATCTTCGCTGCGCCAGAACATTTAGCACGCGCTTGCGCTCCGCAGAATCCTCATCAAGCTTCGGAGGCACCGGAGCCTTCGTCGCGATCTTTCTGGTCATTAAATAGAGACTTTGACCAAAGCTTCGAAGGTTGATAATATAAAGTTGTCGAGTTGCTGATAATGGGATGGTGGATGAGCAGGTGCTCACCGAGGTTCGCCACGGAGTTGCTGCGTAGCTTGGCGCTCGTATTCAAATCCACGCCAGGCAATTTTGTACAATTTTCGTTTTACATTTGCAAATTTGAATATTTCCAGAGGAAACAGGTGAAACGAACAAAAGTTTTGCTTCAAGGTGTTCCAAGTTTTCTCAAGTCTGTCTTTGTGGATGCACGATGCGGATTTGGGACTCATAGACCTATGTCAGTCCTTAGTCCTCTCTCTCCTACGCATTCTGGTGAGATCTGGGAGTATACCATTACTAGTAACCTTCAAGCACCATCTAGCAAAAGGCAAACTGACGATGCTCCCGCCTGTATATGGTTCCTTCTTCTTCTTCTTCTTCTTCTTCTTCTTCTTTCGTCGTGTGCTACCACCACATGCTCACCTGCGTGTGGTGTCGTGTCTGAGCTCCTCCCATCACCAACCACTCTCAGAATACCAACCTGGGAACTACGAATAACTGTGAACTTGCCTTCGATGCTATATATCATGATAGAAAGACATTTTCCATAGTACGCCGACAATAGCATGACACCACAAACATGGCTAGGCGGGCACGTGCAGTCACATGGGGAGACCACGCTCCTGCCCTTCTTAGAAAGTCAGGTAGTTCAGACCTCATTCATGAATGGATCACCTTTCATCATCCATTCATCATCAAACGGTAACACCTATTCGTCGATAGTCCCAAAGCCAGATAACTTCCTCCCATTGGTACACCGTGGGGTGGACAGACGTCTGTCTTGCAACTATACGACGCCTACAGTCCAGAATCTGGCTTCAGTCTTCACCGTCACACGCTGCATACGACGATTCAGAAGTTGGTGCCACGAGTTACTCCAGAAGCACCAGAAAAGCCAGAACCGAAGCACATCAGAACCTTCTAGGCAAACCGTCACGTTCGACAGACACCCACCTCCGTGGGTGGTGGGCGAATCTCTATATCCGCCAAATCGACAAAACAACGGGAACATTAGTCCCGTATCACATCTACAGACACCGAGCAGAGGAGTAGCCCATCAGTATCACAGAGGACCTAAGCCTATCGGAATTCGTTGAGAAGGCGTTAGACCTAGCCGACAACAACAAATATCAAACAAACCCAAGTTCGAGAGTTCGTACCTTCCTCCAATCGTAATGCGTGCAATCGTAGCGATTGGCGGAAAAACCAGACTTTTTGAAATGCCCCTGGGCTCTACCATTGTGCAGGACTTGGAAAATGATGCAGCGGTTTAAGATATTCTTGTCTCGGGACGCGGAGGATATTACGAGAAAGCTATGGAAGATCTAGCAATTGGGATTCCTTGAAACCAAATTCTTTTAGTTGTGATCTTTTCCTTTCTACTACCAAGGTTCCATGGTTTGTAATGGTATGTAAGTATTCGGATGGACGTGATCAATAAGCCGCGGTGCGGTATCAACTAGTCGTTCAGCATTTTGGAAAATTCCTTATGAGTATCCCTATGTAGAAACTTTCCTTTTTATTGAAAGGAAGATGATGAATGGTTTCTGGTGTGATTGTAGTCTGTAGTGATTGTCTCTTTGTCTCCGCCTTGGCAACTCCAACTCCGCCCCACCTCTGCACATCCACCATCCTCCTCGTCAATCTTGTCTACGACTTGCTGCCATCAGCAAGGAAAACAGCAATTGAATACAGCCAAAACGGACAGTTCTCACTTTAGGCAACTGCCTCACAACTCACCCGCTTGCATCACGAAGCAAACTTGAACATATCCATCGTCAGGAAACGCTATCTGCCCCTCACTGGTCGACAGCCCACAGCTTCAAGCCGCATCAATGGCAGAAGGACAAGGAAAATACGCCAGCGACCCGGAGTGGAAATCCATCACACCCATCCAGCTTGACGATGGCTCCGACTCCGGCGCAATGCCCCTGGCATGCATCGCCTACCCAGCCGAGTACCTCGAGGCAACCTCGTACCTGCGCGCCGTGATGGCCGCGAATGAGATGTCGGAGCGCGCTCTGCGATTGACCGAAGATGTCATCTCTCTCAACCCCGCCCACTACACCGTGTGGTAAGTGTTTCAAGTGGAACCCGGGAATGGAATTCATACTTTTCTTCGCGATTCGCATTTCCGGAAAAGCTCTTCTCTCAGTTCCTGCTAACACGAGCAAGGATCTACCGCGCCAAGATCCTCTTCGCCTTGGAAAAGGACCTTCTGGAGGAACTAGAGTGGCTCAATGGCGTTTCTCTAAAGTATCTCAAGAACTATCAAATCTGGTACGTAAGATTGGAGTATTGGGTTTGAAAGGTGTCTTCAAGGTTTCCCAAGAAGGTCTCCGAGATCACCATTTTTTTCAACCCATCTCTATCGGAGATATGGCTGTCAAAGGCAATAGCACCAGCAAAGCTAACTAAAAATAGGCACCACCGCCAAGTCCTAATGGCATCAAGAGCGCACTTCCCAACAATTCCCACCAAAGAACTAGACTTCTTAATGGAGATGTTTGCCCAAGACTCAAAGAATTACCACGTCTGGACCTACCGCCACTGGCTAATCCGGCACTTCCAGCTCTGGGACCTACCACGCGAACTCGAGGACGTAGAGTCTCTCATAAAAGCTGATGTGCGCAACAACTCCGCCTGGAACCACCGCTACATGCTTCGATTCGGACCGCGCGAGGACGCGCCCGCTGCGGGGATGGTGAACGCAGGCTCCGCCATGAGTGCGGATGAGAAGGGCATTCTGACCGTTGTGGATGAGGACCTTGTTGATGGGGAGTTGGAATTTGCGAAGGCGCAGATCCTCCGGGCGCCGGAGAACCGGTCAGCTTGGTGGTATGCTCGGGGTGTGTTGCGGGCTGGTGGGAGGGGCGTTGGTGAGTGGGAGGGGTTTGCGGGGAAGTTTGTTGACATGGATTCGGGCGAGGTGAGGAGTAGTCATGCTGTTGAGTGGTTGGCGGATGTTTATGCCTTGGAGAAGGGGGAGAAGGCGGTTGAGATGTTTACGCTGTTGAAGGAAAAGTATGATCCCATTCGGAAGAATTATTGGGATTACCGGATTCAGCAGGTTGTTGTATGAGAATCCATGTTAACAAGGATGATGAGATAAATGTATGGGTCGAAAACGTCAAGTGAAATATGATTGCAAATAAGTTCCATTAAAGATCTTCTTTTTTCTAAACACGATATGCAGTGTGATCTTGTATGCAGCATCCCGGGAAGAGACAGTAATAAAAATGAAACATTCGAAAAGAAGAAAGAAAAATGAGAAATGAGAAGGCATAATAACAAGCCATGAGGTAAAGTAAAGTAGAACAAGAAGAAAAGTGGTGTATCTCAAAACAAAAAACAAAGATCCTTGTAAATCATCATCATAATTAAACCCATCCTTGGGCCAACATATCGCGATACTCAGTCGCCATCCCGATGGTCACATTACTTCCACCGCAGACAACAATAACAACACGGCTTTGTTCATTCAGGTCAGGGACGAGTTGCTTCAGCTTGGACTGGAGTTCGGGGGTCGACGAGGTGAGCTGGGCGACCTCCGGCTCCGCCTCAGGGTCAGTCTCATTGTCCGTCGATGAGTATCGGTCATCCCCGTAACCTTCATCACGCTGCTCACCGGCAGGACCAGGACCCCTCTTGCGCTTCTTAGAGCTTTGGCCCCCAGCCACGGGGTTCGCCGAAGCAGCGGCAGTGGTGGCGGCTTCAGCAGCAGCAGTGTAGGCATCGCCGACGGCCGCCTCGACACAGACACCGCAAGCAAGCTCGACGAGGAGACGCTCATCATCTGCGAGGCGGAGAACGCCTCGGGCAGCCTCAGCATCCGTGAGAACGGTGCTGTGAACCTTGATACCGGGAGGGGGAGCGACGGCATATTGGAAGGTGGTTTCCGACACTCGGATGGCCCCGAGAGATGTGGCTTGGGAGGTGATCTTAGGGAGAGAGACAAGGGTGTTCTTTGCGATGGCGGCGGCAAGCGAGTCGGTACCGTCCGTTTCAATGGCGAGCAGGTGAATGGGTTTTGGCTTGGAGGATGTTGGACGAGTATGGGGTTCAGTCTCTGCGTTCGAGACGTCCATGTAGCAGTGGCCGGTGCTGGATTGGCCATCTTGGGAAAATGCCTTCTGAGATCGTCGCTTTTCAAGGCCCATGACAAGTCCGTTGAGGAGACCGCCACCTCCGACACTGCAGAGAATGGCATCCAAAGGAAGTGCCCGCCCGCGGTATACTTCCTCTTCGTCGGAGTTGGCAGCGACGGGGAGTTGCTTCTCCAGCTCATCGATGATGGTGCTGTTTCCTTCCCAGATGGGCTCGTTGTCGAAGGGGTGAAGGGCGATGTTTGAAACTTCTGGGTCCTCTTCGGAGCGTTGCTTCATGATAACCTCTTTCATATAGGAGCCCGCCTCAAAGAAGTTGTCACCGTGACGAAGCACATCCGCAGCACCGGCGGAGTGCAGCTTCTCAACCATCAGGGGCTTGGTAGACAGAGGCACCACGACAGTGCAGGGGTAGCCCAGACTGCGAGCAGCACAGACAGCTGCCAGACCAGCATTTCCTCCAGAAGAAGCGTAGAAGTGGACTTGACGGTTGGCATATTCAGGTTTGCGAAGATGAGATAGAATTTGGTTGCCCATCGCACGAGACTTGAAGGAACCACTGGGTTGAACGTTCTCCAGCTTCAGGAAGATCCGACATCCAGCTGCCCGGGAAAGGCAGGCGGACTCAACGAGGGGAGTCTCAATCCATGGTGTTTTGAAAGTCGGCTTGTAGTCCTCGGCGGAAGGCATGATGCTCCCCATTTTGTTGAAGTTGGGGGAGGAACAACCAAGATGAAAAGGAACTCGAGAAATTGATCTTTAGGAGGGGCACAGATAGTGTCAAATATCCAAGACAATGATCCAAAAATAGGAGTTTGTTTGGTATGAAGTAGATGAAGGTGTTACACGGCCGATGATGCTGTGAGATAAGATGGGAGGAGTAGGGGGGAGAAGAAGGGAGCAAAAGAAGAGAGACGATGAGATGATGGATCAAAAAAAAGTCACCTTAACAATTAATAAGAAATCCAGGTAGTATACAAATAATACACTGTGTTTTGATATACAAAGACAAGCCCTAAGTTTCTCAGGGTGGTTTTCCGACGGGAAACGGGAGTAAAGTTTCCCGTCCCGACGAGGCCGGGGGAATTGATAGCAAGTCCCAGTCCACACCAACGTCCACCATGGGGCCTTCCACGGTTCTGGCCCATCTTTTCCCGCTGATAACCTTGCGGGCAGCTCCAATCACGGACCCATAGGTGATGACATTATAGGGTAATCGGTCAAACCTGGCCAAAGATGGTGGAGGAGACCCGGGAAATCTTCTCGATGGAGTTGTTGCGCCTGGGCGGAGACGTTGCAAATCTTCATTCAAACGGGTCACATTGTGGGCCATGATTGGCTCCAAGGACATTCTTCTTATCAAATCGAATGTTCCTCACGCGCAATTTTTAGTCCTCCGTGAGGAGGGGAAGGAAAAGATAGCCCTTCTGGACATCCTGACCGTAATCTTGGTCCGAGCCATAGACCGCCGCTGCAAAGGACCGCTTGGACGGATTGGATGTGTCTACGCGAAGCATCTCAAGCAGTTCCTGTGACTTTCCAGGCATGAAAGGCTGCAGGAGAATGGCGGTGATACGAAGTGATTCCGCCACGTTGAAGAGAACCCATTGATGGTCGGATGTTTTCCACGGCTCCGCCGCATGGAAGTATTTGTTAGTCTGATCGGAGGCGAAGAAAAAGGTTACTACTTGGCTCCGATAGTCTTAGGTGCGGGGTGAGGGGTAGTGATTGTCCATACCTTCTCGATTATGCTCATAATTTCATGTAGCGCGGCACGGGGGTTCAAGCCGGTCATCTGCTCGGCAACCCTCGGGGGCGCTTGCACCAACATGATCTGGTGTTCCACATCGGCTGGAGATGGGGCTGGGAGCTTATTAGACGTGGCGGCCTGAATATACGAGCCCAGCTTCCCCTTCGCAACTCCAATGGTGCGACTGGCGAGATTGCCGATACCCCCTTGCAGCAACTTCTTGTAGTCACGCGTGATGAAGGAATTGTCGTAATCAGCGTCGTTGGCGAGACCGCCCTGGTAGGCCAGGAAGAATCGCATGCCGTCCACTCCGAACCGGTCAATGGCGAAGAACGGGTTCACCACATTGCCTGTAGATTTCGACATTTTCTCGCGATTCATTGTCCAATGCCCGTGCACGAGGACGTTCCGGGGCAAGGGTAAGTCCAGGGCCATGAGGAAGGCAGGCCAATAGACGCAGTGGAACCTAAGCTGATCAGCTGCGAGTCGGGATGGGTTGGGTCATAGCGTGCGCCTACCGAACGATGTCCTTTCCGACTACGTGAACATTTGCTGGCCAGATTGATGTATTTTCCTGCCCCGGGGGAAAGGATATCCTGCTCGGGTCAGATAATTAACGAGAGCATCCAACCAGACATAGATGGTTTGAGTGTTGTCGCCGGGAACCGGGATACCCCAGGTCAGGCGCTCCGCCGGCCGAGAAATTGACAAGTCTTGCAACCCGGAAGAAACCGACTGGATCAGTTCAGTTGCATATGTCGAAGGTGTGATGAAGGAGTCGGGTCTCTGATACAACTCGAGAAGACGGTCCTTGAAGGCTGAAAGACGGAAGTGATAGTTAATTTCAGACGACCACTCGACCTCTTTTCCTGTCTCGATTGACACCATGCGTTTTCTGCCTGTTGATGGATCGAGGGAGTTTTGTACTTGTGTCTGCGGGTAAAATGTTTCATCGCTGACCGAATACCACCCTTCGTGCTTGGAGGTGTAGATATATCCCCGGTGTTTCAGCATTTCCTGTCACTCGTTAGGTTGGCCCAACTCTGCAGGATCGATCGCCCGACATACCCAGAAATATTGTACGGCCTCGCGATGTTCCGGATCTGTTGTTCGAATAAAATGGTCATGGCTAAGGTTTGCGGCATTCGCAAGAGACTTTTCATTCCCATCAGTATATGATATATGTGTTTCAGCGTCACTGGGTATGCATACCTCGAAGGTTCGGCAGTTCATGTCGCAAAATGCTTGGGTATCCATCCCAGCTTCGAGAGCGGCTCGTTGAATCTGCCAATGATGTCAATGGATGACCCAGGAGCGGATACAAATGTGCACTGCATATATCCTCCTCACCTTCATTCCATGCTCGTCTGTGCCGGTCAACAACTGCGCATCGCTATCGCCGAGGAGGACCTGCCATCGCTTCAAGATATCGGCCATGACCATGGTGTAAAGATGACCGACATGGGGTGCTAGTAGAGAAAGCAGTGTCAGGCTCGGAGTTCCTAAAGTAATTCTGGTTGCATATCTGGGGAAATATACCGGCATTGACGTAGAAAATCGGCGTGGTGACATAGTACGGTTTCTTGGGTGTGTTCGTGCTCGGAGTTGTCGCGACTCCGCGGCGCAAGGGTAGAGGTCGAGCACTGCCAACTCTGCAAGTCGAACAAGTCCATGGTCGGATATTGAAAAGCTGCGTAGCCCTTGAAAGGGAACGCAGGGGCATTCTGGAGGCCATGATGGTTGAAGAGGAAAGAAGCATGAGGCATCGGCGTCGCATGTTATTCCGCATCGCCGATGGTCCAAGCTCCACTCCGCAATCTTTTTCTCCTTCAACAGTCCCTTTCATCATCCCACCTTCAACACCTCTATCCAACTTCACCAGGCTACACCTTTGGATAAAAGCGCGCTTGTAATTGTTGTTCTGCGCACTTCTTCTACCTACATACCCCGCAAACCCCGCCTCCTACCACCCTTCGATCGTTTCTTGACTACACCAACCACCGTCGCAATGGCTACCGCTACTGACGATGTCCTGACTAAAGTGTCCACTGAAGGTGCGTTAGACTCACCCTGGGTTCAGTTTGGACTTTATAATTGATATATTTCCTAGGCGCTACCGAATTCGTCCAATCCTTCTATATTGCCCTTCAATCCAACCGCCCGTCAATCGAATTATACTATGCCGCACAGCCGACAACCATCCTCTTCAATGGCAACCAAGTGGCAGACGGAGCTGCTGTTCAAGAAATCTTCACAAATCAGATGCCCACCGCGAAATACGAGGCCCAGTCATTTGACTGCCAAATCATCAACCGCGCATACCCCTCCACCACCCCCAACGGCCCTAAGCCTCCCTCCGAGATGACTGTCAAGGACATGTCCATTCTAGTTATGGTCAGCGGTCACGTTAGATACGGCGACGGGTCTGATCTACCCCAGCGGGGCTTCAGCGAAACCTTCGTGCTGATCCCAAATCCGACCTCGGACAAGGGCAAGCGCCGCAAGGAGTGGCTCATCCAGAGCCAAAACTTCCGGCTGGTGGTATGATCCTGTTTCGCTAAACGTGCACTCGCGCGAGCAAGAATAAAGGAAATGACGAGGGATATCTTGCTACGTTGACGGTCATGGTCACGATCGCGAATTCCGACCGATACCCTCCTACTACGAAGAAAATCATACATTGGACGCGGAAGAATCGGAACTTGTTCAAACATTCAAAGGACAGTGGATATCATGCATGTGTGTACATCAGAGAAGGCAAAAAAAAACAAATAAGGACATCTTGGATCGCCATTCGCTATTGCTGCGAGGCGGTTGTCTTGGAGGTGCGCGGAATACGCAGATTCGCCTTGAGTCTCTCCAGCAACTCTTCCCGCGTTGCGTTCTCATTTGGCAAAAGTCCCCTCTGTGATGAATTGTTAGATTGCTTGTTACAATATCTTTGGATGGCACCTTGCCCTTGGGTGGGTGGGTGGGTGGGTGATGATATATAGGAACATACCGCCCGAAGCCATCTCCGCATCTCGTCCGCTGTCCAGTTCTCAGGGTCTGTGGAAGTTAGACTCATTCTCTGGCACGGGATATATTGACTTACTGCCTTGGGGATCATCTTGGGCGGGGAAGACGTCGGTGCCCCAGATCGAATATGCCGCCACTGCGGTTACCATCCCTGCGAAACCTGTCGGAATGAGTTAGATTTGGGGCCTTTTTGTTCTCGAACATATAGCTAAAAGAATGATGCATTACCAAGGAATAGATTCTGTATTCGGTATTCGAATGTTAATATTCATGAGTGGACAAGGTTCAGTAAAATTAGTTGCGTACCTTGGAGTTAAGAGCTCGATCTAGTTGAGTGGGCGCCATTTTGATGTTATTTTCAGGGGTGCTGACAATTTCAATGGGCAGGTTAAGGAGTTGAGGGAAGAGGAATGTGGTCTGCAGATATTAATATTAAGAATGGTGGAAGCCTGGTAAATAGCAAAAGGACAGGTAGTAGTTGACTGACCCGTTGACCTTTCACAGTTCACCGCCACCGCCACTGCGGATCATGCCTTCTCTTCTACATTTTAGTACCTTAGGGAGTAACCGGCCCCACATCAGCTTTTATCAATGATGAATGGTTATAAAAAGAAGCTAAATTTGGTTGGTAGTAGGGTGATTGACAAAAAGAAAAAGAAAAAAGAGCTGTCGAATACTGCTGCAGCTGCGATATTGTTAGATCTCCAGGCTGGTATTAGTACTGAAGAAAGGGTAAACTTTTGAAGACATAGGGATTCTAGGACTTGAGTAATTAACTTGTTAGCAAGGGGTGATTCCAATCTTCTACGATCTTTCCATGTTGTCGCCAGTTCATATCTTACTAGCTTAGAATTGTACCAAAATACTGACGGGTATCCTCGGGACCCTTGATGCAATAATGACCCTTAGATTGATTGTCCAAATAAGTTCCAACGTATGGTCCTACGCTTCGAAACGACTAAATTTTTAGCAATATCAGGTTTACTGCTAGAAGCTTGCATTTCGCAGCCCTGGAAGTTAGACCAAATATCATGGCTCACCACGCCCTACGGAAAATCTATTCAACAGAAATGGGGGTGCCGCGAGGTTGACGCTTACCCTGCGTATCCAGCTCCCTTTTTTCATGTGCATCATGTGTAACATTAGGGGCAAAGAATGATTACATAGGTAAATCTCTGGAAGATAGTAAGTTATGCGTGACAAGAGTTTGCTCTGGTCGAATTTATAACACTTTGAATCTAGTTGAGACTCTGTATTCCGACGAATCACTGCCAGCCAAAGCGAATTTTGGAAGAGGCACAAGGCAGGCCATTGCTCGATCTGCCAGATCAAAATCTAGAACTTCCAAAATACGAAAATTTTGTCAATTCCATGAGAGTTGCTGGGATAATTTGATGAAGCAGTTCGATAGGGAACCCTGCCTTGAGAGGCTTATTGAAGTATTAAGTGAACCACCTCTACATTTTCATCACCGCACTCGTAGGTGAGTCTCAATTACCGAACCCCTGACCGTAACTAATATTCAACAACCCGGTTTTCCAGAAAAACAAAACTCTGATTCACCTTTGGCTCCGAGCTCTCATGATCTTGAGCGAATGCTCGAGTTCAGCAAGGCTAAATCATCATTTCCGAAGACTCATTACACTGGATTGTATCTATCAACCTCAAGATCCAAGAAAGACTGCTTTTTGCTGCTTCCTCTGGAGATTCATTTTCAGATTGTCGACTTATTGTCAATTGCAGCCACACACTATTACTCACAAAGTAGAGAGAAATGAGACACCTGAGGAGTATGCTGTAACGATAGCCACCCTGTTGGGTGAAGCTGTCGAAGTTTCAGTGACTTTGGAATGTACTGGAGTTCAAAGCTCTGTCTGCAACGCCATCCAGACGGTTAAATTCGGAGTGAAGGTCTTTATTATCGGTGTTGGAAAAGACCGCATGGAAATTCCATTCATGAGATGCAGCGCAAACGAGGTTGATTTGCAGTTCCAGCAGCGTTATGTGAATATGTGGCCTCGAGCCATCAGGGTATTGCAGAGTGGGGTGATCGACTTCAATAGGCTGGTTACCCACACGTTTCCTCTTGAAAATAGCGCCGAAGCTTTGCACACAGCTTCTGAGCCTGAAAGCGAATCGATCAGGTCATTATCAGGTCGTGATGTATGACGTCGGGTCAACTGGACTTTTACGGCGCTCTACACCGACAACCAGCTCAGTAGGCCTGCCAGGTCAGCATCGTCGCAGAATTACTAGTGTCCGCTATCCAAATTTTAACGCAGACTATCGTGGATTGTATTGTGGAAGTAGCCTTAGTATAGTGGCAGTTGGTGAAGCTGGAAACCGCAGCCGCAATAGACCGCCGTTGCTGCCGCAGTCTCCAGGTTTAATGATGAGCAACGCTCAAGTTGTAAATGGGAAACAGCAGAGGGATTCAATGAGGTAACCCCAATCCACCAGATATTATCAAGTCTACGTAGAGATAACCCTTAATAGCTAGGATTCAGATACCTCACGGTAGATTTCACATCTCCTCGCCACCCTTCTTCTGTTTCTGCAGCCTCCACTCCCTATAGCACCCTATAATTATACACTACTATCATCTCATCTACCACAATGGCTGACATGATCGAGGCCATTCTTTTTCTCATCTCAATCACATTCATTATCGCCGTGGGCCATTCGGCGATCCAAGCGTGAGTTTCTATCCTGTCTGGCTTTCCCTTGCTTGTTCCACAACATGTCGACTGAAAATTCCGGAATGAGATAGGTACGCCTTCTATAGACGGTATCGCGTTCGGTTTCAAATCTCGAACAAAACACTCTCGCTTCACGCTCGAGAGATGGTCGACATGGTCCCGGATACCATCCCGGTCATCGCCAGCCCGGCACCATTGGCACATTCATGGCAAGGTACAGTGTTGGGGAGTCAACGATGGCCAGACTATGGCGACCCGCGGAGGCCATCGTATACGCGCCCGATAATCAGGACCATGAGCACCAACATGAATGCGAGTCAACACCGGAACCCGAGCCTGATCCCGAACTTGAACTCCAACCCGGGGTCATATCAAGCTGAGCAAGAGTCATCTCCGTCCGCTCAGACATTTCCCAACTTTGGGGCGAGCGTTTATCCTCATTCTCATTCTCATTCTCATTCTCATTCTCATCCTCATCCTCATCCATATCCACATCTACCTCTCAGTGTTAACGGGGCGAATCATCCGTTTGATCGACTCGCCACACCCGAAACAATCAGCCACTCCCCAGCCATACCACGTGATACAGGGCTAAGCGGGCAAACCCTAAACCCAATCTGATCCACACAATTTCCCGCTGTCGTCAGTGATTCGAGCCTCTCCATCGCATCATCACCTGCATCAAACCGCCATTATGCCTTCCGAAGTCTCCGATATCAAGCAGTTCATTGAGATCTGCCGCCGCAAGGACGCCTCCTGTACGTTTTTTCCCAATTTTACCCGCCCGAGACCCTGGAACAGCTCGGTGGATCACCCGGAGATCAACCGCTGACACTTCCTTTCACCTTAGCTGCCGCCATCAAGCGCAACCGCAAGTCCCAGCAGGTCAAGTTCAAGGTTCGCTGCCACCGCAACCTGTACACCCTTGTCCTCAAGGAGTCCGACAAGGCCGACAAGCTCAAGCAATCCCTGCCTCCTGGTACATCATCCCCACACATTCCGATCCCCGCGATTTCCCAATACACCAGAACATATCAATTACCTCATTGAAGGTGGTCATGAGAGAGTTCGATACACAAAACACCTTAACCATGCTTCTCTATCTCAATTAGAGCTTCTGCTAACCTCTCCTTCTCTCCAGCCCTCAAGGTTGAGGACGTCTCCAAGGGAAGCAAGAAGAAGTCCCTGTAAATCCATTAAACATGGAATAAACAGAGGATCGGAGTGCGATGCGATCGGTTGTTGATGCATAAGATGCCAACTGTTGGAGGATCACCCGAACTGGAAATGATCTCTCTACGAGCCGACACGGGGATGGATGGCTCGCCGCCGCCGGATGTATCTGCGCTGCGGTGGTTTCAATTCCTCGCGACTTGAACGATGGGGTGAATATCTCATCGATTGAGACGACTCGCTTTCGGATGCACTCGAGGAAATGCTTTGTCGGAGCTTTTTTGTGGTCCCTTTAAACAAAACAACAAAAAACAGTTGAAACATCCTTAGCTGGATTTTTTCCCCTGGCCTTTCGCGTATGCGCCGAGGCACTTTTTATCCATCAACCTCCTTCTCACATCCTTCTCCGGTAGTTGTAGTTTAAGAGCCTGCCATGGCTTGTACTATTGACTTTCATGAGTAGCAAAGCCATTGTCCGCCCGGGATCGTAGGTGGCGCTGGGTTGAATGCTCAAAAGGCTTTATTGGAACAAAGCTTTCTCATATCTCTTTGCTTCATTATAATACATTGTACATCTTGGCCATGATGCTCGACAAATATGTCACTCAACTGATCGCTCGACTCTTTGTCCACCATGTCTGAAGGTGAGTGCTTCATTGTGATCATTGTAGTGTTATGGAAAGTACAATAAGACAATGTCTTTCAGCTGCTTAATAGCTTAATATAAAGACTGTGTTTGCATAAAGCTGGCTTCAGTGCCCATCAAATAGATCCTCATTAGCCACACTCATTACGACGTTGCATACTCACCGTCATAGATCCCATGGATCTTGGTCAGCTCGATACCTACGCGCGGGGATACAAGCCCGCTTACTCCAATAGCTCCTCCAACTCCATGGACTGGCAGCCAACTCAAAGCAATGTTTCTCACATGAGCTCAGACGTATCCCCACGATTCTCAACCTGGCTACCAGGCACCATGGTCAAGCTGCCCCTTGAACTAGTATTAAACATCCTCGACGAAGTACTAATTGGTCAAAGCAACCGACTATCCCACGCAAGCTTACATGGCCTGCTCAGTCTCCGCGCAGCAAGCAAGCATACCAAAGCAATGGTTGACTCATATATGAAAAGAGATGTTGTATTGACTTATCTTCGACGGCAACTCTTTGATCAGAACGATCCTAGCTGTGTCAAGTGGTATCAATCTCGCGCAGATGCCTCTCGGGAACTATGGCCAAGTAGAAATTTCCTGGACAATAACCCCCCCAATGAGCTTCCAGGATGCGACGTCATCACTGATACAATTGTCGACGACTGCCCCGAATGCTTCGATACTCTTTGTACTAGTAGAAGCACTCCCGGTCTCATCTCAATACACGAAGGATACAACGAAAACGGACGGAATTTCATCGGCATCGCCCTTCAATCCGGTTCCTATAGGATGCTCCAACGGTTCTTCCTCTCAGCTTGCAGCCCATGCGCGTTAGATTCACTCTCTTCCACACTATTGTCATCAAATAACTGCCTAGAACCATCACCTTCTATCCTCGGCATGCTTGCATACCAGCAGGACCCGGTATTCACTGAGCAAGTCCTCGATTTAGTGGGCCCCGCCATTCTTCAAACTTGTAGGCCTAATGCGCTATCATACACCTTCGGAACTAGGGAAAAAAACATGCTTTGCAAGTATATCACAGCTCGCACGGGGGAGTGGCTAACACATTTGGGTGTCAAGCTCTGGGAGCGCACACTATACAGCAGTGACTCTTTCAGCCATTCAGCGAGCGCTTGGCACTCTGCTGTGCACAATGGACCTGAATTTATGGAATTCTTGGATAAATATAGCCCCACACGCCCCATGTTCACTCGTACTCTTCGAGGTTCGCTGCCGATTGATCATGCCGTTTGGGCTAACAAATTGGATTCCTTTAGGTGGCTTTTTGCTAAGATGCAATTGCTGGACATCCGATCCTACCAGACTGCGATTGATAGATTATTCCAGGTTGTTGCAAATCATACATCGCCTGAAAGTGAAGTCATGCTCGAGGAGATTTTCCTTGGGCCCGGGTCTGAGAGGGATCATTTCTACGTGGCTTCGCTGATTTTCAAGAATGTTGCTCTTGGGTTGCAAGAGGTGGTATTGAATCAGGCTGTTCGTTCGGATATGGATCAGAAAGACTTGGACCTTTTCAGAGGCGAACATGAGCAGAGAGCTATTCGGAAATGTCTCGCAGTATCTAGGGCATACTTTAAGACCGACCTTCCGATGAAGATACTTACCGCAGCACAGGCCAATGCACAACACTTTGATGCGGTTCGGATGGCGAAACAATGGGGGTTTGAGTATCTGGAGAGCACTCTTTACTCATATCATGGGTTTTGAGTTTCTCATTTATTATTAATGCCAATGAACGAGATTAATGAATTGGCAATAGACTTTGACAATGGGTCACTTTGAGATTTCCATTTTATAACACTAGTAGATGTGCCATGACTCCTAGTTATACATGATACTGTACCTAAGTCGCACCGGGCAACCTGGGCACTGTACTCATCACATCATAGCTACCTACGAGAACTCAAAATCAGTGGTATGAAGCCAGCTAGCTCTTCTTAATTCAATAGTATCCAATAGATAACATCCACGAATAAAATTAATGTCAGCCAGGGAAGGCAGATTAGGATAACGAAGATGATGGAAATGCAGTTATTGCTAGAATTGAACTAACAGTAGTAGATCATTGAGACACACGCTCAACCCTACTCACCGATGAAATGGTCAAGGGGGAGCACGGGTCAAAAAAAAAGCCAAGTGTCGTATGCTTAAAAATGCCGTCGAATCAAGGTCTGTGCAAGGAGTGAAACCTTGGGACATGTTGATCATTGCTCTTCAGGCCACGGCAATGGAGCTCTTCACCGTGCCCTCATCCCGCTTGGCACGTCGCATCCCCTTCTTGGCACCATCTCTACCATCCAACGTCTGATGCCGTCGGGCCGTTTCCCCGGATTGTCATTTCGACTGCCTTATGCCATCACATGCACCATCCACGCCTCCTCGTTATTTCGAACCTTATTCCCCGGTAATTCATTTCTGTTCATGACATGGTATACCTTGGTATTTCGCAACTCAAATTAATTAATAAGGTGATCTGCAAAGTCACCGGCTGGTGTGGACCAAGGACCCACCATTGACAGGAAGTATGAAACACTTGGCTACTTCATAGAAAGACATCAGACTGCTCCGAATAATCTCCATGAGACTATTCCAGTATCAGAACGGAGTCTCCAAGGGGTCTATAGTACACTTAGAAAAAGAAATCAGGAGTCATATGCCGTGAAGAAAATAATATTTAAAGCAGCAGAGATGTCGTCTTCAAGCAAATCAATCCGCTCATTCCCTGCATATCAAACAATGGCTCCCTCAAAGATCGCTGCTCTTACCACACTTCTGGCCTCGGCCACCATGGTCGCAGGCCATGGGTATGTCTCGAGCATCGTCGCAAATGGCAAAAAGTATGTAATCGGACTATCAAATTCCAACCGCTTCAAGAAAGAAAGGCACTGGACGGACAAAGTATTAACATAAGTTCAGCTACACGGGCTACCTCGTCAACCAATACGCCTATATGGACAGCCCACCCGACAGTGTCGGCTGGTCCACCACAGCTACAGACCTGGGCTTCGAAGACGGTACCGAGTATTCCTCCGAGAACATCATCTGCCACCGCGACGGCAAAAACGGCGCCATCTCCGCTGAAGTCAAGGCCGGTTCCGACGTCGACATCCAGTGGACTGAGTGGCCAGAGTCTCACCACGGCCCCGTCATCACATACCTCGCATCCTGCGACGGCGACTGCAGCACCGTCGACAAGACCAAGCTGGAATTCTTCAAGATCGACGCCGTCGGCTTGGTCGATGGTAGCAGTGTTCCCGGCAGCTGGGGAACTGATAAGCTGATTGATGCCGGGAACCGCTGGACGGTGACTATTCCGGACTCGATTGCTGCCGGTAACTACGTGATGCGCCATGAGATTATTGCACTCCACTCGGCTGGCACCAAGGATGGAGCGCAGAATTACCCCCCAGTGCCTGAACTTGAAGGTCACTGGCGGTGGCAGTGATGATCCTGAGGGTACCCTTGGTGAGAAGCTGTATACCGATGAAGATCCGGGTATTCTGGTCAACATCTATGCGACTATCTCAAACTATGTTATGCCTGGTCCGACTCTGTACAGTGGTTAAATACCACATTTGATTTTGGAGGGTTTCGAATATCGCTAAGCCGGGCTTCGTTTGATTATTCAAAGGCACTTTGATAGTAGTTGCAGAAAATGAAATATACAGCTTTAAATCCATTGCTTCTTGAAGCAATTCTATTCCTCCAGTATTATCCACCTCTATTCTCTCCGCGTATAAACAGCCTTTCCATACCCCTCAACACCAGCAACCCCAAGTTCCCCAACAACCCTCTGAACCCCCAACTCCGTCCTCCTCAACTCAAACTCCCCAAAGAAATTCGGCTCCGGAGAAAGCCTATCAAAACCCAGCCCATCAAACAAAGCCAGACTCCGCAAGTTATTCTGACCAATCTTCACGCTGAAACATTCAAAAGCCAATGGACCCGCCTCTCTCAGCTTCCGCACACTCTCCACATCATCAACACCCCGACTCACAAATTCCTCCAAAACCTCACTCTGGTGCTCAATAATATATCGCATAAAGACCAGCAGAGCTGCCTTGCCGAATCCACGGCGCTGGTTACTCTTTTCCGCAATCATAAGTTCGATTTCTCCGACTATTTGCGGGGGCGAGTCACCCTCGTCTCCGTCATCGACGCGGAGGAAGAGATTGATGTCTCCGACCATGTTTTGTGGAGAGTCGGACTCTGTTGTTAGGACAGGGGCAGAGGCTGGCTCTGGTGATGATATTTGTTGGCAGATGATGAATGTTAATTTGTCAGCATCCTGGCGCCAGCTTTGTTGCATGGCGTATTCTTCATCGACGCTCAGGGGTTCTGAAGCGGTTGCTTGTTGGATTTCCTTCGTGCGAGTTAATGTTTTTGACATCTAAGTTTCTTGGGTTCATCGTTGGTGGTGGTTTACCTCGTCTTGCATCCATTCATGGTAGCGGGGTACGTGCCAAGTCGAATATGGGACTAGAAGGACCTTGGAAGATAAGAGCGCTAGAACATCATTAAGCAGTCAGTTTCTTGCTCAAAAGTTTGAAGCTGGCTAACTCATATCTAATCACGAATTCGGAGCGAGAGGAGCGTATAGATGGACCACCAGAAGGCAGGGTGCTTACCTGTCTCGGCGTTGAGCAACATCGCGAAGGATATTCTGCGATGAAACCGGGTACTCTCGGCGACGAAATGGTAGGGAGATAGGACGGGTTCCAATTCACTCCTGATCGAAGTAAGTTTTGTACTTTTTGGAGGCTTGGAGAAGCTGCAGATGGGAGGTTGAGGCAAGGTTCCGCCGAATCTTCGCTGGAGTGGGGCCTTGGCAATTGTCCGTGGTTGGCCGCCATCATCAACTTGAACACATTCTGATGTTTTTATTTTGGATACTCGAGTCAATTCATGAATTGGGGATATATTTGGTGTCATTAGCTAATGGTAACATGCTAGCTCGATCATTCTATTTTTTCTCCTCTTGTCCGGCAAAAGCACCAAATCGGACAACCTCAACTTCTAGGGTTTCCGTATCGACTAGAACGAGTTCTCCGGTTTTCTGGAATCGCGGGATTGACAGCAGTCGTACTCGAGTTGGTGAATTATTCCCGTTGTCGGTCATCTCGGTATCGCCACCATTCAGACTCAGCGGGGCGATGTCTTCGATAAGCGTCGTCTTGAAGCTTGGCTGGCTGCCTGCGAAAAAGATATGCGGGCAAGCCTCAAGAACGAACGGGTCGACTTCTTGGAAAGGATAGGACCCTGGAAACGAATTAGCAAAGGGTTTTTGGAGGAGCATATCAGGGGTGAGAAACATACAAAGTGTATCCGGCGCCGTAGGGACACCACATCGCCAGCGGAGCATAGCTTGCATGATCTGCATTCGACCTTCAGAGTTATCAGTTTCAGAGTTTTCGTCGTCTCCGGCAAAATCCAAGTATCGCAATACGTCGTCGACATTCTGTCCACTGCAGCCCCATAGGCGCCATCCTTCCACATCACCCTCCCATGGGTTTGTGACGCTGTCGAACCAACCCGGCTCTTGCTTGTCACCCCCTGGGGCTGGAGGCGCGCAGTAAGCTCTGGCTCGAGGGAACATGGCCCGGTGGATTCCCTGCTGGGGAAGAGAGAAGTTCGCCGGGTCTTGGTCGCCCGGCATGAGAGTCACAGGAATACTGGGAAGGATTTCCGCCAGGAAGTTGTCGAGTTGGTTGATGGGCAGGGCATTGTAAGCAGATGCGTCGTATCCGTATTTCTTTTGTATAGGCTTAGAGCCTGGGGCAGGTTCTGTGGTCACAGGCGCACCAAGTGAGTTGCCCGCAATGACGAGTCGTGTGATTTTTGAAGCATTTGCAGAAATCTCGTCCTCTTCACTTCCCAAGCCCGTATATCCCAGAAGATAGTCCGTCAGGAGCTCCAAGGAGAGCGTGTCGCTTGATGTACCAGTGATACCCAGTCCACTGACGAAGGCAATCTTGCCGCTTCCCTCCACTGAGCCTTTGCCTTGTGTATCTGTTGGAGCACCACCATCCCTCTCCCAACGCGGAGGTTGCAAAGGCAGATCCGGAACCTTGATATCGATCACCTCGAAATCGCCGTTCGAGTTCTCCGTTCCTAGAACCGCAATAATGGCACCGGTAACCAAATGTGTAGAAGAGAGGAACGTTCCAGTAAGACGAAGGCGGCCGGACTCATCTTCCAGCATGATCTGGGTGGAGGACGGGTCTGAGGGATCGGTGTAGGTGGGACGCGGCGCGGGCGCAGACGTGAAGTTCTGAAGCACATGTTAGATAGGCCCATTTAAATTGGAAAGAGGTATACACACCTCCTTTGTCAAATCCACTAGAATATTGGGCTTCAATGGCATATCCATATACACTGTGCCGGCCATCCAGCACAGCTCTCCCTGTCGCACGTCCAGGACTCGATCCACGCGACGCGCATGCTCTCCGGCAATCTGTTCACATAATCCAGGAAATGTCAGACCAATCTAGACCTCCTAGCTATTTCAAAACACAGGTGTCCTTACGGTAAGCCCATCCCAGGCTGCTATCGCGACTTCTTCCACTGCGGGCTTCAGCCTCGCCAGGCGCAAGAAGTACATGTCGCCATATTGCTGCTTGTAGTGTCGCTCGCCGCCCAGGGGCAATTTGAAAGTTTCGAGGGGGTTGTAGTAGGAGGGGGCACGGTAGATCTGTTCACAGTCTTCGTTGTCGTTGCTGTCCAAACGGATTGCGATTAATGGTCAGCTGCAGTTCGAACGGGAAGGGAAACAACGACAATTTTTTCCCCGGCCCAAAGAGGCCAAGTGCAAAGAGCATACCTGGGAGGCCGCAAGAAGCCGAAATCTTCATTTGATGTCATTATGGGCGGACCGGGCGATCCTCGAGGCGTGGGAAAGGTTGAATGAGGCGGGACGGCTGGGAACGCGGACGCGAAGCGCGTCTAATTACATTCCCGCTTTGGGCGGGTCACCCACTTAGTGCCAATTTCCAACATCGCAGGCACAAATTGAAGGCTGGAATTTAATTATTCAACTCAATTTATAGTGCCAGCCAAGCGATTACGTATTAAAATTGATTTCTTGTCATTTAGTAAAGCTTGCCAAAGGGAAATAGTTTATTTGAACCTGGTATTTTGTCTTATGCCAAGGGAGTAGATAGCATCCGATACTACCGAAGTATAGGTATGCACCTATGTTACTAGTCCTGGAAGGTTCAAAGATCATGTCGGTAATAGATTCATATAGTTAACTAAGGGACGAATACTGTAACACATAATACGAAACAACAACTACTGGTATCGCATTCATTTCGACATCGTTTCCTAGCCAGCATGGGCGTGCCATTTATGCGACCTTGTCAAGTCGTCTTCAATCTGATCCCACGCCGTAGATACTTCTTCCCTGTCTTGGGCTGTAGACTCTTGCATTTCTTCAAGTCCCTGTGAAATCCGACCCATGACAATCATGCATTTTTGATGTCTGCCCAGTGAGTCGTTGATCTCTCTCAGTACCCCACTCAACGGATATCCCGCTAAACCCCAAAGCCCTGATAAAGTTAGCTTGAAGAAGAGGGATTTATAGAAAGGTTGGGTTTATCCTTAACATACCTGCTGTCGGCTTGAGAAATAAGCCTCCGATCGCTTTCCCAACCCCCTTGAAGATACCTTTCGCACCCTCATTCTTGAAACCATCACGCGGGTGTGTCCCTATGCCTGTGATACCGAAGTAAACCCCATCTCGGAGCTCCTATTTTATATCAATATCCATGGATGTCTAGTCCTATGATTGTGATGGCATGGCTGTTCCTACCTTTCCTGCCGCTGAGAAGCCACTTCGAAGACTGACTACTTGGGGGTTGTCGGTGACTGTTGAATCGTGATATAATTTGGGTGCGTTGTGGAAACCTCTGGTCATACCCAACGAGAAGTCAGCCGGTAGCCGTATGACTACCTTGGCAACCTTTTTGGACATCTTGCTTCCTTGTATCATGGCTTCGTGCAAAATGATGAATCGGGGGGGTTTCGAGGGAGTCATCGAGCTGCTCATTGGCTTTGCCGTTTTCAGCTGAAGATCTCTTTTGCGCTCTATGCTCTGAACGCGAGCGATTTCGTTGATATGCTCTCCACTAAAGTCCTCATCACCAGTGTCTTCCTGTGTACTTTCATCTTCTGGATTGTCTCCAGATCTTTGCTCTTCATTCTCAATCTGTGATTGCTGGATTTCATTGTCAATACTTGTTTCTTCGCTCTCAATGCTGTCTACTGGGGACATTGGATCCAGTGAAGATGTTGCTGCTGCTCGACATGCTGTTTGGCGATCATAATCTTTGCGGGGGTGACTTAGTGCGCGAGCCGCAGAAACAATATCGCTCGTTATCTCTCTTGGGACATCTACGAAACCAGTGATGAAGCTTGTCAGCGCTCCGAATAGCACTTGGGCACCCGCAGCAAGCGGGTTTGTGGGGTCCATGAATGTGTCATATTCCATAGGACGGTGACTGGAGACAATCAGCAAAAAGGGTGGCAGATTTTGGTAAATTTAATTTCAGATGACTTACAGCACCAGCATGTCTGGACTGATCTTCCCAGATTTTACCAGAACCGTTGCAGCAAAAGCACTCAATTTAATGTCCGTATGTTTGAGATGCCAAGCAGCTGGCTGATTCGGGATGACAGAGCATCTGGATAGCTGGGGATCAAAATTTCGATAAAAGCTTTTTACCCCATGGCGGACGCCAGACTCTTCTTGCATTTTCATCGCAATCGCCTGTGCTCTGTCCAATGTGCTCGTCTCCAGCGCCTTCTCGATTGCGTCTGAGAGGTTTTGAGTATTTAAACGTTTATACGTTATCGGGACAGGTCCTGCTCCAGCCCGCGCAACGATATTCCCCCAAAATTGCTGGTCTCCGAAAAATGGGACAATTATCGTCGGTCGACCTAGGGCGAGGCCTGCCGCAGTAGTGCCCGCGCCACCATGATGAATCACACATGAAACTTGCCGAAAGAGCCAATCGTGAGGGCAGTTTCCAATCATAAGAATGTTTTCCGGCACTACGTCTGCACCCAAGTTTCCCCAGCCTTTCGAGACAAGGGCCCGCTGTCCGGTTTTTTGGACTGCTTCAAAAATAATCTTCGTCAATTTGGCGGGGTTATCAACCACGATCGAGCCGAATCCGATGTATATTGGCTTTGACCCCGAGGCAAGAAATGCGGCGATTTCCGGGGGTGGCGTGTAGTTGCTTTCTGACATGAGGAAGCCAAAGCCGCAGACATCGATGTTGTCAGCCCAATCAGGAGGCTTGGGTAGTAATGAGGGAGACCTGTTTCCGATATCAGAATAATTATTTTGAGATCTAAAATAACCTCCAAACTTAGACTCGGAAGTCCCGACTCACCAGAGATAAGTATGCGGGACACGCAGCCGGTGGAGTATATTCGAGGCGGTCACTGCGTCCAGAGGCTGGAGTGATATGTTTTTGCGAAGCGTGTTTAGAATATCTCCCAGCCCTTCCCATACCATTACATCTACAATATTATACGACATGAAGTTTGCGACGTTCGGTTTGCAGTTCCGGGAAAGAACATTCGCTAATGGGTGGGGAAATGACTGGGTTGGCGACCAGGGCATACTATCATTCATTAGACACTCGGTAACTCCGCAAGATATAACTGAATCCTAGTATATAAAAAGGTCGACTCACGTAAATATGATATGCAGAGGGATGCCTAGTCGTTGCGCGCAATGAATATGGGCCAGGCTCGGAGGATTGGCTATTATAGCATCCGCCACAAAAGGCCGTTCTCGAAAATCCAAAGCTTTGCTCCAGGGATCTTCCTTGATTTGGTGAAGATGAGTCCCATCTCCCTTTTCAAAGCAGGATCTCCAACATCCATTGAAAATCTCCCTCATCTCACGTCGACGCTTTTGGATCTCTCCGCTGCGTATGGCCTTAAAGCCCGGTAAAAGGCCCGGATTTTTGACCATGAAAGCCATCAACTCTGTTGGATCTCCCCCGATATTGAAGAACTCCAGCTCACTCTCAAGAACGAATTGCCGAAACGTTAGATGTGTGGCCAATCGGACTCGGTGGCCGTGGGATTTCAGCTCTCTCCCTAGCGCAACAAACGGTTGTATGTCGCCTCGAGAACCAATTACTTGGATAACGAGGTTCAAGTGCAGTGGGAAATTCTCATCATTTGCCAAGGGTTTCTCTGCACCGGCGGTTTGTTCGGCAACTTGGTCAGAACGTATATCCGGGTGTTGAATGTGATTCAATAGCCCTGCAATGCTCGGTTTATGTTGGTCGATATGGATGTCTAACCGGCCGTCACCTAAAATAGAACATGATCAAGTTAGTGCAAGGAAATTTCAAGATAATCTGAAATATTGCCAACCTATTACTCACTTAAGACACGAGCTCCGGTATCCAGTTGATCCTGGCGGAACCGCACTTTGTCTTTGCCATCTTGTGGTCGCTTGGTATCTTTGTATGGCAAAGTATGCGAACGAGTGAGGTTTGATCTCTCGAACGTGTGTGCAGGAGCCGGCGATACAACAGCGGCCATAATTGACAGATATTTTGTGTGATGGCTAGAGAAAATGGAGAGATTGACGATATGGAAAAGTGATGGTCGAGGTAGGTAAAACTCGCGCGAAGTCCAACATGCGGAGGTATTTTCTCTCTCCTACTCTCCCACTCTCGCACTCTCGCACTCTCGTAATGCCGAAGATAATATCTCCTGCTCACGCGACCCGTGTCTCATAACTAATTCCTGACAAACCCAAGTTCAAACGGGAAATAGTGATGGATGACGTCAGTGGTCAACCGGCCCAGGGTAGATGAAGCTCGAGTTGGACGTGGAAATGATCGATGAGAGGTCTAGATCACAAATCACAAACATGCCCGCATCATCCGGTCGTAAGGCCCGGGTTAGTAAAGCATTCAAGATATTTGTGGCAATCTTAAGAAATCCGCTTTAAACTAGGGGGCCATGTTTGTTTCAATCAATTTGATTCTTAAAGACTCTAGTCCACCAGTACTCCGTAGTAGGTAGTTTGACAGGCGGAAGGTAAATTTATATGATGAATTTTACAAGTACCTACTAAGTAGCATATATTCAAGTTCCAGATAATGTCTGCCAACCTTGGAACATTGAACATCTGGCGCTCTCCTTCCGTTTTAGTGCTCACCCCCTCCGAGCCGGAGGAGTGACTTGCGTTCCAAGTTAATAATAAATAACATCTTCTTGTAAAAATATCATGCGCGTCAACGCTTCTTAGGAGCTCAATCCGTTACATGCTCTAAATAAGTGACTTGGGTCGGGTGCCGTAGCCTTTTCATAGTGGCCACTTCCACAAATGGAAAGATACATCAAACGTAACTTTTAGACAAAAGAAAGCGAGATCAAATACAACAAAGCAGCTGATGGAAGCAATTATATGAATACTGCTAATATTACGCAGCAAAATTAAAACTACTTAGCTCCTAGCCAGGTCACAGTTTTGACAACCATTGAGTGGGCACTAAGCCCTGAATCTCATTGGCCCTCGTACCTTGTTTAAGCTAAGCGAATCTCTCTTGAGCATAGATACGACCTGAACCAAGCCCATTATTAAATAACTCTTGATCCCAGATTTCAAACTTATGCTACTATTACTTCAGGAGCTACGGGATGATTTCCAGGACTGGGATAAAGATGTGTATTTACCACCTGACCTCCTCGATGCCAAAGAAACTCCAACAGATCGAGCTCAGCTTGATAGGCATGGAAATTTATTAATCCCAATAGCCTTTGCACTAGGGGAAGTCAGACAACCATTGCGGGTAGCATATTTCAAACAACGCTATGCCTTCCTCCATGACCAATTGGATAAGTATTCAGTGCTTCGCCTCAGAATGCCGGTCCACTAAAACGATGGGCCATAGCCATTAACCAAATTCAAGCCAATCAGCGGGGCCACTACGCTCTTGGGATGTTCAGATAGCCAATAATTATCCATAAAATATTGGGACCAAGGTGACGCGGTAGATAAACTTTCCTATGTATATGCACCTATATACACAGGATAACGTCCGCCAGGTGGGGCTTTCCTGTCTGGGCTGCCGCCGCTTTCATGAGGTCGATCAGGCCCAGGCTCACTGAGTAAATGTCAGCACGAGCTCATGCTCAGTGAACACTCAGGCAAATTGGTAAGGACACCGCAGCTTTTTAGTAACTATACATAATCTGTTGTGCCGCTAACGTAATTCACGGTCGGGTCGGACACACCAAAAACACCATGTTCAAGGCGATAGATTACAACTTCATATCGCAACAAGCGTATTATTTGGAATAAGGTATTGAGCTTCTGCAATCTGGAAAGTATTTCTAACTCACTGGAGGAGTATTGAAAGCTCACTTTAAGTGGCTATTGAAATTGTATTTGTGTCGTCATGGTCTCGTCCAATCAGGTGGCACGGTTACCAGCCATTACGCTGGCTCCTATATACATCCATCACCATGTCGTCCGTTTCTATTGATCACACTGATTCCGAATTTACCCTTCCACGCACAAAATGTCCCTGAGTGACAGATTATCTGCTTCCCTTATGAGCGCCCTTCCCCCGGAGCATGTTGTACGAACATTTTCCGGCCTCAAGAATCTCCAGATCGAAGCAGAGAAGCTATTGGAGTCCCTAAAAGAGAACGGAAATGGTAACCAGTGGATTGTTGTCCTCAATTTGTCTACACGAACGATCCAAAAGCTCGACGAAGAGCACGACAGCAGCATTGGGGGCATTCAATACCGCTTCCAGTGGGAAGGAACCACTGGTCTTATCAAGGTGGTCCCGTCAAAAGCCCACAATGAAACCACAGACAAGGTTACCAGGGTGATCGATAGAAAACTTGATGCAATGGGACTTGACTGGTCGGACGCAGCCTGGGTTGCAACAGCGACCTATAAGCCCACCACTGGCAAAGGCAAACAAGCAGATCAAGCATTTTTGCCACCAGCTCGCTGCCCTATCGGGCTTCCAAGTTCAGGATGGCCGACTTTTGTTATCGAGACAGGGGTTTCAGAATCCCTAAATCGACTTCGTGAAGACGCCAAGAGATGGTTCGTGGATTCGCAGGGTGAGGTACGCATTGTTATCGTCATCTCCATCAAGCCGGCCGAGGTTATATTTGAAAAGTGGCAATTAGCTCCCAACAATGCTCCACGCCCACTCACTCGTGTTTACCTCGATTCACTCCGCGCGCAATCTCCAAACACCCCTCCTCTTTTACCCCAACCAACCCCTTTCCAGCAGCCTTACTCGGCGCAGGAGGTCTACGTGGAGCCCAACAGAGTTATCGGGGCCCCTTTGAACATTCCATTTGTTGCGCTTTACGACCGGTCCCCAGGACAAGGGAGGGCGACATCCTTATTCAAATGCAAGATTTTCGAAACATCACCAAGTTACTGTTCTAATACATTCTGGTTCGCTGTCGAGCTCATATGCCCGCCTTCCCAAATGCTTACATGCAAACGACGATATTGAAAGCTTGTCACTCATATTCCCAAATCGCAGACCGTTCAATTTGTGATAGCTCGTTGTAGATTTCACGTAAGCTTTTTTGTTACAAAGCTCATAAACTATCTCAAATCAAAAACCAAGCGACTGTACTTCCAAAACGAAATCTTTTACGAAATGAACCATATAGAGTATTTCAGGGTGCAAGCAAGGAAAACGGTTTTGATGAAAAGCGAGCTAACGAAGATACATCTTCACCTAGGTAGGAGAGGGTACATATTCCTTACCAGTTGGATATATGCGCCAAGCTGGCCAACTTCTTTTCTATGGCCACGCAGCTCTACATCGAGCTAAGCGTGCGTTAGACAAGGCGAAGAACCCAACTGCCACTATATCAGCAGCAGACTTGACTACCGAGCTTATCGATATCGGACATACAACAGGAGCCCCCCTACTCCATCCTATAGACTCGGAACTACGGGGGCACGTCCAGTCAATTGGTTCAGCGCTAAATCATGTCGGTGGTAAGAACCTCATGCTTCAGGCGCACCAAGCTGTCAGCGAGAGACTTGGAGCCAGCCGTGCCCGCGAGCTGGAACTTGCTTGAGATAGGATCGGCGACTGATTTGGGTAGCTCGTGACATTCTAACAACTAGGCGAAAATCATAATGTAAACCTAGTACTATATTAAGGTTGAAGAAAGGCTAAACATTGGGGGAGGTCTGAAGCCGAGTCTATTAATTATGAGCCTTGGGAGAGGAGTTTGCTATTTAGTGTAGCGGGGGAACTGATTTGCAGGGCTGTGGATGCGGTCTGATAGGACTCAGCTCGGTCACTCTTTTTCTTTCATGTCTTTCCAATAGGTACAGGAGGTGGCATTTATGAGGTCACACCTGGGCAGATACTTCTTGTCAATGTTATCTTTGTTTTAGTATGAGATTCACGCGCATTGATTACTTAGAGTTTGGATGCCTAGATGCTCTAAGTACGGTTCTCTTTCTAGGGTAGTCAGTGCATGCATGCTTTAGTACTACTAGTAGCTGGTATTTTTAGTAATAGTAGGTAAAATCGAGATAAACTTGAACCGAGTACTAGTACTAGTAGCGTTAAAACACTAGGGAATACATTTTGAAAATGAATAGTTCTCTTCTCCCTTCATCGGAATATGATTTCGACCTACTGGTGACTACGACCGTGACGTTAATAGCTCCTCGGCGGTGTATAAAATATGCGCAGTTCATAAGCCACGGCAGCCGATGGAATGCCCATGCCTCGGTCCGTCCGAGCTGCACAACTCTTCCCCGCATTCCGCACTCCGCATATATCTGGAAGATATCAACCAACACTGCCAGGCTCTTATCCTTGCTAGCGCCGTCCATACAATTTGCTCCTGTTCCAATTCAAGTTTACGATATTCACCTCGGGCGCCCAATTGTCCAAATATACCCCTTTACCTAGCCAAACACCACCACACCTCAAAGAAAACCTTTACAAAAAACCTTCCACCTGAGAATCTGCCACCTCCACACAAGATGTCTATCCAAACGCCCCTCTGCTCCCTCCTGAAAATCCAACACCCAATCCTGCTCGCAGGAATGGCGCGCGCATCCAGTGCCCCCCTCGCCGCCGCCGTCTCGAACGCCGGTGGCCTCGGAACGGTGGGCGGACTGGGTTACACACCAGAGCAACTAGCCGAGATGCTCACGGAATTGAAATCCCTCCTGAAGGACCCCTCCCTCCCCTTCGGCGTGGATCTCGCCCTCCCGCAAGTCGGCGGCTCAGCACGCGCCACAAACCACGATTACACGCACGGACACCTGGACGAATTAATCGAGGTGACCATCTCGCACGGCGCGAAGTTGTTCGTTTCGGCCGTCGGTGTGCCTCCCGCGCACGTAATCAAGCGTCTGCACGAGGCCGGAATCCTGATTATGAATATGGTTGGCGCGCCTAAGCATGCAGAGAAGGCCTTCCGCGCTGGAGTTGATATTGTTTGTGCGCAGGGTGGTGAGGGCGGTGGTCATACGGGCGATGTTCCGTTCTCTGTGCTCGTTCCGGCTGTTGTTGATGTCGCGCGCAAGTTTAAGAGTCCGTTGACTGGTCAGCCTGCGCTGGTGGTTGCGGCGGGCGGAGTTAATGATGGGCGCAGTCTGGCTGCGTCTTTGGCTTTGGGTGCGGCTGGTGTGTGGGTGGGCACGCGGTTTGTCGCGTCTGAGGAGAGTGGTGCGAGTCGTTTGCATAAGGAGGCTGTTGTGGGCGCTCAGTATGGTGAGACTCAGCGGACGCTTGTTGTGTCTGGTCGACCGCTGCGCATGCTGCCGAATGACTACGTTAAGGAGTGGGAGAGTCGTCCGGCTGATATTGCTGCGTTGACTAAGAAGGGTGTTGTGCCCATGATGAATGATTTGGAGAATGACAAGGATATTGACATGCCTTTCTTAATGGGTGATGTGTCTGCCATTGTGAAGGAGATCAAGCCAGCTGGTGAGATCGTTAGGGAGATGATTCAGCAGGCTGTGGCGGTGGTGAAGCAGAATAATTCATACCTCGTTGGTAGTGGCCCGGGGAGCAAGCTATAAATAAATTGATAAGTACCTGGGTATATAGGAACTGGATGCGGGTCATTAACTACTACTGGTAGTACTCAGGAAGGGGTTTCTTCGTTGTTAATATGACATGTACTTATACAGAACCAGGTGAACTTCAATGAACCGATAATACCCTTCGATTGAATGCTGTAAGAAACAACCTAGTTACCGAGGAAAAGGTAGCATGAATACAGCTCATGCAGAAAATCCTAGGCTAGTAGATATGCATGCTTCTTCCAAACCATAACCAAAATAGCCTTGCGGACCACATCCAGCCCCCAGAAAAGGACTATTCCGATAAAGAAGCATCTTGCATCTCATCAGAGGATGTTCTAATCCTCACAATCAAACCAGAACCAGGAAACATCGGCAATAATTCTCAAAACTTGTAAAAAGAAGTAAACCTCTATCATGAGAGGGAGTGGAGCATTTTCAATTCTTGCTCTCTATGGGACTGGAACAAGGATTTGCAAAGCAAATCAATGACAACCATTAAGCACAGCGGCACTCTTCGATGCTCGCGCCTCTAGCAGGTTCGGTGGAGGAGGGGGTCCAAAAACCGGCCTCTGCGAAGATGTGTCGGCACGGGGAAACGTCGCGGTCAGGCTCGTCCAGATCGCCCTCTTCACTTAATTCTTCCTCGTCCTCATAATCATCGTCGTATTCACTCTCAGTCCCTTCGTCGTCATGGTCCAAATGCTCATCCCCTTCCGGCAGCCCTTCACCACGGCCTTGGGCCTGCATCCGACGGCATAGAGTCTCTAGATGTTGGCACTTTCGGCGCCATCGTTCCATTTCCTCTTGGTTTCGGGTACGTTCCTCGGCCATTTCGAGAATATTCCGGTTCGTTTGCTCGTGCTTGCGATTCAGGGTATGGTTCTCTTTTTCTAAGCGCTTGGTCTTTTTCGACATCTCTTCCATTTCCTTGCGGAAGGTTAGGAAAAGCTCGTTACTGTTGTTGAGAGTATCCTCGACCTAGAATCAAAGTTAGCTGTAGGAACTTGATCACCTCTCGTACCTGCATGGAACCAACGCACCTGCTTGAACTTCTCTACGTAGATATTGAGCTGGCTCCGCAGTTCCGCCTCGGTATGTGAGAAAGTGGAGACCTGAGCACTTAATGCTCGGCCTCGAGCGGTCTCAGTGTCGGCATTCCGGCGTTGTTCCTCATATTTGCTGGTCAAACTTTGGATCTCAGAGTCCTTGCTACGGAGGAGACACTTGTAGTGTAGTTCTCGAGTATCGAATTGTTCGTTGATCGTCTTGAGCTTCACGCGGAGACTGCTGTCATGTTAGTTGGTGTGAGACGCAAAGGGCAGCTACGGCTTTAGATGTGGTTGCATACGCTTCTTCCAGATCCACGTCCACCTTTTCGTTGCGAGGGTTCCCTTTGGCAGCCATGACATCCTGAATATCATACAGGAGAGAGTCGAGTCGTTCGTTAACGATGAGACGAGCCTTCTTTTCCGTATCTTCGAGCTTTTTGTTTTCGTCCTACCCAGGAATCCACGGTCAGCCTTGAAACGGGTCACAAATAAGGGAAGTCATGTTTGACCTACTTTGACTTTTTTATTTTCCTTTGTCAGCTCGCGACACAGCTTCTCCAGCTTGTCCTTCATAGTCACAGTCTTATTCAACTCCGATTTCCCCTTCTCTTGGTCCTTTTGCACCTGGTCCGCACGCTTTTTGCTCTTCGCGTAGTCGCGGTCCAGCTTCTTCATATCCGATAGTAGCTCGATATACTTCTTGTGCACGGTTTCCAAACGAGTCATCGGAGATTCGATATTGTTCAGTAGCTGATTGAGGTCTCGGGTAGCTTTCTTCACTTCGCGCTCTATAGATTCAGGTTTCATGTTAGTTAAATCTATCCCGATGTCCAGTATATAGACTCAGAGGAAACCCCCGCACATCTCTCGATACTGCGGTTGGCTCCTTCCCGAGAGCATCATCACGCACCGATTTCCTGCTCTTGATCCTTTTCACCGGCAGCATCTTGCTCCAACTGAGAGATCTTCGCGGCGAGTAGTTTCGAGGTCTCATTCGGATCGGTCACTTTCTTCCCCTTGTTCTTCTTGGCCATCGTAGTCGACGACATAGTGAGAAATGAGCCGGCCGCGGCTAAGGCTTCACCGATATGTCGATCAAGGTGTATGGCAGTCGTGCGGGGGAGTCAGAGGTCGAAAAACTGTGCAAAACGGGATGCACTTAGGAGGAAGGCGGGATGGTCAATCGGAGTAGCGGGTGGGGGGAAGGTCAACGGGAGAACCCAGAGGCAAGGCGGGGACGATCAAGAGATCACCTCTGGGGTCGTTTGAAGGGTGAGAGGTGGAAACTCAGCACTTTCCTGGAGAAGCGGCCTTCCTTTGGTTTCCTCGTCGGAGGCAGAATCGACGAGGGGGGGTTAGTCATCCAGCCGCACCAGCCACACTCTACAGTGTATACTATAGTGTACAGTATAGTGTACAGTGGACTTTTTGTTTTGACTGGCTGTTCACTAGGAAGGAATTAGAGAGGAGGCCTGAAAATATCCTAATATGACTATATCAGCAAGTTCCACCTGTCCGCAAGTTCCCCCGACGTGGGAATGCGCACCATCACGAGGGTTGAGCGTCTAGCGTGTATGACATAAGCTCTTCTCCGGGGGTTTCGGGCCGATCTGTTCAAGTTCCAGTTCCATCCTTCTTGTTTTGCCTTCGATCTCTGTTTCTTCTTTTGCACGACAGGGGAAACTTCACTTTCGTTCATTCGTCATTAGACCATTGACCGGACTGGTCGATTCACTTAAAACAACATGTTGCGCTCTTACATGGGCCTGAGCAGGGCCCGCGCTCCAGCTCTGCGCCAACCCATCTCTAGTCGCGTTTTGAAATCGAACTCGGCGATCCCCCAAATATACAAGGCGACTCGATCAGCATCCACTGTGACAAACATCGACAGCTTCCCAAAGATTGGCGACAAGCTCCATGGTTTCACTGTTCGAGAGAAACAACACGTTCCAGAGCTACACTTGACTGCGGTGCGGTTGACTCATGACAAGACCGAGGCGGACTACTTGCATGTCGCTAGAGATGACAAGAATAATGTTTTTGGTATTGGATTCAAGACCAATCCTCCCGATGCGACTGGTGTCCCACACATTCTGGAGCACACAACGCTATGTGGCAGCGAAAAGTAATTCCTATCATCTACCTGGATGTTGATATGCCAGATTGACTAACTTTCAACCTTCCCCTCCCAGATTCCCTATTCGCGACCCATTCTTCAAGATGCTTCCACGATCCCTGTCAAATTTCATGAATGCGTTTACAGCCTCCGATCACACCACATACCCCTTCGCCACGACAAACCAGCAAGATTTCCAGAACCTCCTGTCCGTGTATCTTGATGCGACTCTGCACCCCCTTCTCAAAGAGGAAGATTTCCGCCAGGAAGGATGGCGACTTGGTCCCGAAGACCCGCGCGCTCTTCAATCGGCCCCCGGAGAAGCCGAGAAAAAGGCGCAATTAGATGATATCGTTTTCAAGGGTGTTGTGTACAATGAGATGAAAGGTCAAATCTCGGATTCCAACTACCTTTACTATATCAAGTTCAAGGAGAACATCATCCCGGCTCTCAACAACTCTGGAGGTGACCCGGAATACATCACTGATCTCACACACAAGCAGTTGACCGACTTCTCCAAGCGCAACTACCACCCGAGCAACTCCAAAATCTTGACATACGGAGACATGCCGTTGGAGCGTCACCTGGAGCAGGTCGGTGCCGTTCTAGATGGATTTGACAAGGGTCAAATTGATACCGATATCAAGCAACCCGTGAACCTTAGCAATGGTCCCGTCAATGTCACTGTCCCTGGTCCCATCGATACCTTTTCCAGCGAGGACAAGCAGCATAAGACCTCTACTTCATGGTACATGGGCGATTCCACCGATATTGTCGAGACTTTCTCTGTCGGGATCGTTTCTTCTCTTTTCCTTGATGGATATGGTTCTCCCATGTACCGTGCGCTTATTGAGAGTGGCCTGGGATCGTCCTTTACCCCCAACACTGGTCTGGATAACTCGGGCAAGACCCCTGTATTCTCCGTTGGTGTAACCGGTGTGAGTGAGGCAGAGGCTCCTGCTGTGAAGCAAGCTGTTCAGAATGCATTCCGCGAATCCGTCTCCGCTGGTTTCAGCGAGGAGAAGGTGCGCGGCTTTCTGCACCAGATGGAGCTCTCCTTGCGCCACAAGACCGCCAACTTTGGAATTGGTGTCATGGAGAAGACTATCTCATCTTGGCTGAATGGCTCAAACCCCATGAAAGAGTTGGCCTGGAACGAGGTCATTGGAGAGTTCAAGAGGCGCTACGAGAAGCCCGGCTACCTCGAATCTCTGGTCGAGAAGTATCTCCTTAATGACCAATGCATGACTTTTACCATGGTAGGAACTCCTACCTTCAACAAGGACTTGGATGACAAGGAGGCCGTCCGCCGTCAGACTAAACTCTCGCAACTCATTGAGGAACATGGCTCGGTTGAGAATGCCGTTGCCAAGTTAAGCGAAGAGGAACTGCAACTTCTGAAGGTGCAAGAGGATGCACACAATGCCGATCTTAGCTGCCTCCCAACACTGCGTGTGAAGGATATCTCACGGGAGAAGGAGCGCAAGCCTGTGCGCGAGTCGAAGATCGACGATACTGAAGTTGTTTGGCGCGAGGCCCCCACCAACGGCCTGACATACTTCCAGGCTGTCAATGCATTTGACGACCTTCCTGATGATCTCCGCCTTTTGATGCCCCTCTTTAATGACTGCGTTATGCGCTTGGGCACAGCTAGCCGATCTATGGAGCAATGGGAGGACTTGATCAAGCTGAAGACTGGTGGAATTTCTACTTCCTCCTTCCTTGTAAACTCCCCAACTCAGTTGGATCAGTTTAAGGAGGGCCTGCAGTTCACCGGTTTCGCTCTAGACCAGAACATCCCCGAGATGCTGGAAATGCTCTCGGCTCTGGTCATGGAAACCGACTTCACCAGCCCTGCCGCCCCCGCAATGATCCAAGAGCTTTTGCGCTTGACCACCAACGGAGCGCTAGATTCCGTCGCTGGTACCGGTCACCGATTTGCAGTTAATGCCGCTGCTGCCAATTTGTCACGCAGCTTGTGGGTCCAGGAACAGCAATCTGGTCTGGAACAACTGCAAGCCACAGCCAACCTCCTCCGGGACGCTGAGTCCTCCCCAGAGCGCTTGCAGGAGCTGATTGAGAAGCTTCGCCTCATCCAGGCGTTCGCCATCTCCAAGACTTCCAACCTGCGAGTGCGTATGGTTTGTGAGCCTGAGAGCGCTACTCGGAACGAGTCCGTTCTGCAGAAGTGGTTGTCTGGGTTGCCCAAGACTTTCTCCCCAGGTGGATCTGGATCTACTTCCTCTTTCAAGTCTGTTGACAAGGCTCTATACGACTTGCCCTACAAGGTCTACTACTCTGGCCAGGCTAGCCAGACTGTGCCCTTCGTCGACTCATCTAGTGCACCTCTCACAGTGCTCTCCCAACTATTGACCCACAACTACTTGCACCCCGAGATCCGCGAGAAGGGCGGCGCATACGGTGCCGGTGCTAGCAACGGGCCCATTAAGGGTATTTTCACCTTCATGAGCTACCGGGATCCCAACCCCATGAATTCTCTCAAGGTTTTCCAGAACAGTGGAATCTTCGCCAGAGACCGCGCCTGGTCTGAGCGCGAGATTGAGGAGGCTAAGCTTGGTATCTTCCAAGGCCTCGATGCCCCCATGAGTGTCGATGACGAGGGCGCTCGCTACTTCCTGAGCGGTGTCACCCACGAAATGGACCAGAAGTGGAGAGAGCAAGTCCTGGATGTTACCGCCAAGGATGTCAATGAGGTTGCTGACCGCTTCCTTGTTAACGGATGGCGCAAGTCTACTTGTGTCCTTGGTGAGAAGAAGGACTGGGCCGACGCTAGCTGGGAGGTGCGCAAGCTGTCCATGGGCCAGCAGGAAGACGCGTCTCCCGCGGCTTAAGTCACCATCCCTTCTGTGTATTATTAAGTTTTGCATTTACGGCACGTTCCGATATCTATGCATGACCTTTGTACATATATGTATAATATCTGTCCGGTTTGTCTATGAATCTCCGGTCATCTCTTCTTCGGTTTTCCTTTCCTTCCTTCTCTTCTCTTCTCCCCTCCCACGAACCCGCGCTTCAAGATCTATACGTGTCCATGACACCAGAGCTCCTCACAACTGCAACTAGCCTCCTCCTTTGGTTGCAGAGGTGGCATCCTATTCCCTTCACGGGGGATGCAGCGCAAGAACAACAGAATGTGAGCCCTTGAGGCACACTTCCATCTCCGTTTCTCGGAACCGCCCTGGACTTTTCAGCCTACGCAGGGCGGACTAAAAATGCGAGAACATTATTATATCGAGCACCTGAGTTGTATCACGTAGAAATGAATTTTATATCCTCTCCATCCCCATAATTCATGTGGATCTCCCCGGAAAATGGGCCCGTGCTTCTCCAACCATCACGTGCCTATGTTAATCACGACCGACTCAACTTTGGGTTTCTCCTGGATCTCGTAAGATGCGACCCTTTGATCTCCAGTCGCGATGGAGAAGCAGACCAAACTGGTCCTGGGACCTAAGCCTACCAAGGCATGTGGTGAGTTCCCCCATTTTCCACTGTGCAGATCGGAAAGGTACTGATTGTGCGGGACCAGTCAATTGTAGGCGATTGAAGGTATGCGCCCGATGATGTGCATTGCATAGGGTTTCGGAGTGATCTTCGATTAACCGACCGCCCGCAGATGAAATGCGAGGTCTCAGGGGCTCCGCCATGTCGCCGATGTAGGCATACACAAGCAGCATGTGTATTTAAGCCTCGTGCCAATGTGTGTTTGTTTCCGAGGTTTTCTACTATGATTACGCCCCGCAATGCAATGCCTCGCTCGTTGTCAATTAACCAACTATCAAGGCTTCTGCCATTCATGAATTCATCGATGAGGCACAGAGTGAACTTTTGGTCACTAGAACGTCGACGGCACCTGACCAGCAAGCTATCCTCGACCGCCTGGACCGTATCGAGGCTGCGCTTGGCATCTCCCAAGACATCTCGGATATAAATTCCGTCTCTCAGGACATGAGTATCGACGAAGAAGTAGACCCTGTACCACTGCAGGGCGTTTGGAATGCTGTCGCCCATTTGAGATCCATCACGCGGCCAGTGCCGGATGAGAAGGTCTGGTCACGTCCCACTATCAAGAAGCTTTGGAGCTCGTGCGTATTCCTCCAAACAAGCATGATTACAACCTCAACGTGTTCCTAATTGATTTCACCAAGATTCCTAAACAATCTGCCCCTTCTGCATTTTCTAAGCGACCGGGACGCATTTGTATCACCAACACCATTACTGCTCGCATCTGTTCTCTACATTTCCGCTCTCCATCACCGATCATCCGAGCTGGCCTCGTTCGATGCGGGTTACTTTGCAGCTACTTGCAGCGCTATAAATGAACTACTTACACCAAGCTTTAGACCTGGCGTCTCTCTCAGACGGGAAAGCCATACGACTGATGATTCTGCCGACTCTTTACCTCCTAAGCGGCGAGCATTTAACGATATCCTCGGACTTATCATGGCGAGCTTGAGCTCCGAGGCTTATATTGATGCCACTGGCTCATGGATAGCGATGGCCTATCGCCTCTGGCTGGATCACTGCCCGGCTCAAATAGATGCTACTAGCCCAGAATGGCGAGGTCTATTCTCTGGCCTTCAGGTAAGACATCATATACCGTGATCTTTCTTTGTTAGAAGTCACTGACTTTACAGGTTATCGATATCGAACATGCCTCCATGCATATGTCATATCCTATGCTGCCCCGTCAACCTCCAACGCCGGGTATCCAGCGTGTTGACAACCATATGGGGAATGCATACCAGAGTCTCTCTGATATGATGCACTACGGTCTCAGCCACTTTGTGGGTAGGGGGCTACCGACTATCTGGTCTTCAATTAATGCCGATGTTCCTGATAGTCCTGTCATTCAGACCTCATTTACCGAACAGGACTCTGAAGTCATCCGCCTTTGGGCGCGGAAAATTGACGATTGGCTTGTTAAATATAATGGGGCATCCCGTAAGCTCCTTTATTCCATATCCGGGCGTACATAATGACTTGAACCTGGGGTCTAACTTCTCAACGCTGTTTTCTAGAGCCATCTCCGTCAGATAGACAGGGTATCGTGATACTTTTGCAATATCATTTGCATAAACTATACGTTCTGTCAATTTATCACCCTGCTCGGGGGTTTGACTTGAGTTCGGCAAATATTACTCCCGTCGAGAGACATGAGCTGCTCGTATCAGCGCGTGCGGTATTGAGGTTACGCCAGGACGATGCGAGCATCTGGTCGAATTGGGACTTGATAGTAAGACTATGCTTGTTTCTTATTTATTCATATATTACATACTGATGATCCCAGATGATCACATGGGCTGCCATTCTCTTGCTCCGCGGCGTGGAAGACGGCATGACCCATCAAGACGGTAAGAATCCTGATCTATAGTTAGAAGGAAATGAACGAGACTGACACTCCTTTAGACCTCCACCTCATCCAAGCCCATCTCCGCAGCCTAGAAAGATCCTACCAATCTTCCGAAAGCGTCCACACCGTTCTCTCCCAACGTCTCGAATCAAGCATGCAAGCCATGCACACTCCACCCGACACCACCTCAGCCCTTGCATTCCCAGTAGCCAATGCAGATGATTCCTGGGCTATCTTCGATCAAGAAATCATGTCCCTCGCAAACCCACCGTGGCTCTTCCAGGATTCCTCATTCCCCCAAGCCCAGAAATCTCCAACCCATCCAGTCCAGCAGCCCGTACAGACTGGATTGCAATCCGTACCCTACGGCTCGGGTCTTATGCCAACTTCGGCTCAGCAGTTCGCGGCTAGTGCACAGTGGGGAACACCCCCAGAGGCCATACAGGATGCTTTGCCGTCTACACTCAACCGGATATTCGGCAATGAGTCTCATCAATCACATAACAGTGGACTCATGTAGATAGTGGAGAACTTTATCTGTACATATTTTCCTCAACGAATAATTGCCATCCCATAGACATCATCTCACATACTACATCAACAGCTTTTGCTCGGGGTCCCATTGAAACAGCTCGTCTATATTCCCACCTCATCGTGCATCTTCCAACCACTCTATAGTTTTCTAACCACGAATCGTAGCTTAAAAGACTCAACATTCGCATGATACTTATCAAACCCCTTATCAACTCCCTGCCAATCCTCCCTCCAAGAATCAACCTGCCACCTCGTCCCCGTCTCCCTCTCAACCTGTTCCCACATTCTCTTCCACGTAGCAAGATCATGCCGGTAATTCCCCGGCGCATTTTCTTTATCATCGGGATCCTCGGGATCCGTCCTCCCAGCTTGCCTCCCAATTAAGAGAGACCCAGGCTCAGGCCGAAGAAGAGTAACAACCCGCTTGATAGCTTCGACCTGCTTGTCCCATGGAAAGAGGTGGAAGAAAGAAGCTGCATTGACAATACTTACCTTTCCGGTAAGCTTTTTCACCAGCTCGGAGTCCGAGTCGAAGATATCTGCCACGATGAAGTTGCAGTTCAGGGTTTCGTGATCGGCGAATAGATCATAGCCGATGTCGAAGAAGTCTCTTCGTAGGTCGGAGGCGTAGATGTTTTCCGATGGGACGCCGTCGTAAACCTATTCGATTTTATTTAGCTTCGACTTCTTCGACAACTGTAGGTGTAGTCGGTCTTACTAGTTGCCGAAGCTCTTGTCCTATCGCACAGCCTACATCCAGGAGTTTTTCGCCGGACTTGAGCCGTTGAAGGACCTCGGCATAGACGGGGGACTGAGGGATGCTCAGATCAAGAAAGCGGAATGACCCAATGCAAGGGTATGGGAACTGAATCTCGTTAGCTATAGAATTCGCATACTAGGCCGACCCATAAGAGGAATATCTTCTTGGATGAAAATTCCGGACTTACCACTGAATAAGCTCGTTCTCTCTGGATCACCCATTTTAGCACATCGATCTGCACGTTAGAGTCTTTCTTTAGCTCACCACATCCACAACATGCTGCAACACCCGGTCTGATGGTATTTTGCTATAGTTCTCCAGTATGGTCTTCGCCGGTTCTGGGATCTCGTCGATTGTCGGCTCGTACCAGGGTAGCTCCTTTGGGTCCATGCCCTTTGAGAGCATACTCTGGATTTCGTTCTCCGCCTTGGCCATGGTGCAATTGCTGGCAGGGCAGAGGCTAGCCTGGTGATGTGAGCTATAATGGTGACAGGACTTGTAAGCTCAGAAATCCCGGAGCTTGTATGATATGATTCTCGCTTCGAATTCGAAGAACCCCGGGAGTCGGCGACAGCTGACGACGAAGCCCCCGCAGCGGGGAGTGGATCCTGTTCGGAGATAACTTCAGGTTGACCTTACCTAGGTACCTATACGTAACATATTTCCCATGCAATGTGGGGCTTTCCTATTCTAGGTGCTGCCGCTTTAATGAGGGCGCTCAGAATCAGACTCACTGAGTAGATTTCAGTCCGAGCTCATACTCACTGAGCAGCTCAGAGTAGGTCACGTGGTATATTAGTAAGGCTCTGAGCCTCTCTGAGTGATCAGTGACTGCTCAATGATTGCTCAGTGATTACTCAGAGATTGATCAGAGGCCTCTATTGTGCACCTAGCCTACACCCTGCCCATGCCAAAATTGGCACACAGCCCCACAACAGTGCTGAGGAGAAATACTTTTTTGATGGCCTACTGAACCTCAGCTTCTTGAGGTGTTTTTCCCATCCCCGGCTCGGCCAACCTAGAATAGATTGGAAGGGCCATATGAAGACAAAAATGAAAATAAAAACAAAGATTTGTGTTTGTAAGGTAGCGCCACAGGACTAGTCTCCCTTTACTCGTTTCATCTACGGCTGCCTCCACATCAGACCTCAGGTATAAATTGAAGTTGTAGGACCTTCCAGTATTTGCTGCTACATTATCTTCTTCTATTTAATCTTTTTTTATTCACGTTTTATCCCTACCTTCGCACTGGCACGGCGATTTTCCCATCCTAGCTATGGGACGTAAAATATTCTTTTCCCAACAAGATGGTCCTGCCTAAGGAACGCACCATAAGCAATCGGAAAACAACGGCTACGTATTTGGTACTTACGCCTATGAGGATTCTATCCGTAATAAGGATAAGAGGATACCTAAGACCAAGAATATATATTATGGTGCTGTAAGATAGTAGATGAAGTGAGTTTTCATAGATTGTATGCTGTCCGCTGAGTTACACACTGACATATCTATAGATTTGTAGAAGAATAAAAGATTGAAGGATACAAAATGGGGCCAGGTTGTACGACTCTAGATTATATACTGATTAAAGAGTTTCTTCGTTGGTACACTTATACTGTGTGAGGCAAAAAGAGCAAAAATAGACGGTCGGTGATAACATTGTGCCTTAATATTGCAGAAAGGCTATTTAGCGGATTTAAAGAAATTATATAGCTTACAATCATAAAGGAAGATCGGATTGAGATATTCAACGTAAGCTATAGTTATTTTCACTTTTTTGTAATACGCCTTAAACTTATTATAATATAGTGGATAAGGAGAATATTATTAGAAACTGAAGGAACTGTTGAAAATATTAAAGATCCAGATCACAGTTTTACCAAGAAAGATTTTCTTTGGGTAATAGTGTCTATGTAGTAGGTAGACAACCGGCGGTTCATACCTAGATTGCTTAAGGCTACGATAATACTGGCTCTTCGACTATACCTATTTACCGGTGTAAGGATTGGGGCTTTCATTCCACCTTACGATAAAAGATATATGAAAGGGCTAAGATATGAGGTGATTATACTTCTATACAATAAGTTATGTATCACTAACTATAAATAAAGGATATCATTCTAGTACTTTTCCTATCTCCAACAGGACCTTAGAAAGTAGAATAGAAGGTTAACCAAAAATAGCTTAAAGGTAATCGAAACCCGGATTATACAGTATAAGTCGTCTGAAAGATAATATTGATCCGGTTAAATTAAATTAAAAGTCTCTCGTTAACTATAAGTCAGATTCAGAATCGGGCTTTACGATATAAAGAGACCCCAATTCGTATCTGGCTATTTCCTACTGGCTATGGCCCTCTAGTACAGTGCCCTATTTAGGATTGAAACTGTAGAGGACTTAGCTCAGTATAACTTTTCTAGTAGAAGACCTATTGAATTATATTGGAAAGATAAGTATTTGAAAAAGCCTATCCTCAGAAATATCATAGCTACTAGTCTATAAGATATCCTACTTACTAAAGAGTGATTTTGTGAGCTACTGCGCGGAATCGTTACGACTGCTGGATATAGTAAGAGTGTGACCGTTTATAGGATTCGTAAGTATCTTGGGTCCGTCATAGAGGGTAGGATAGGGAAAGATTGTAACTATTGGAAAGATATCTTAGCTGACTTCTAGTATAGGAAAGCATGGATCTGCCTTAGTATCTTAAATATATAGGTATAAAGATGCAGGAATATACCCTAAGGAGTATTTGCTTTACTGCTCTTTAATTGATACTGTATTAGCTGTCTTAGGTGAAGAAGAATAGTCAGATTATATTGACTACTTCTAGGGGTTTGAGAGATTTTACGAGTATAGGTATCCAGGGGAGTTGCCTGCTGAGATTGAAGCCGATATCTTATAGATACCAGAGCTAATTGAGATTTACTGTCGAGTTGAGCAGCTTGAAGATATGAACACTGACAAAGAATCTATAGTTACTGATAAGCTGAAGTATAGAAAGACTTTGCTACGACTCCGTATTATTGGTCTGAAAGAATATTAGAACTAGTGGGTACAAGACAGACAAGACCAAAGAATTCTTAATAGGGGTAAAGAGGAGCCAATCATCAACGATAATAATGTCTCTATACGGGCCTAATCCTTGATTATGTCCGAAATTGCTAAAATCTCAGCTCTAATATCTTCCAATAGAGAGCTTTTATTCGACAAAATACTCGCTTTTATGGATGATTTTAAGACCCTCTGTGAGTGGGACTACGATGTTGTCTATCTTCCGCAAGAAAGCCTGGTATAAGGTCAATGCCCTGTAGAAGATTGCCGTAAAGATATAAGCTAGTGAGTCGACTAAGGTAAAAAGAAAGTGATGCTCGCTAATATTTTCCAGTTTGAGTAGACCGAATAGAGGAGCTCATATCTACAGCTATATTTGACGCATGATAGCTGTACATCTTTAGGTACTAGAGTCAAATTTGAAATTTTACTATAAGTGTATAAAATAGTTTAAATCATATTAGTGGAGAGATCATTACTCTTTTCATATACAGTCATAGAAAATACAGTATTGTGAAGTCATAGTGTACCGCAACACAGTGATCCGGCCCGGCTACTGCCCTTTTTGTTTATGGAACAAGGGTCTTCATACCGAAGATCGATTACATCAATATCTTGAAAGTGCAAATTTAAAGCAACACATCGAAGATAAGTATATTAATACAGACCATCAGCACGGCGCAGGACTAGTATATAGATGTAGTCAGGTATTTTTTGATAAATATAGTCTTCGACATCATCTACATAATACTCATAAGCTGAAAAAAGCTATATAGTTAAATCCAAAGCCCTTGTAGGGGAAACGAAAACGTACCCTAAAGTCAGAAGATCGGTTGTCTCTAAACATTGAGGAGAGGAGCTCGATGAAATTTTACACCTTAACTTTAGGTGAATTTGAAAGGCAATCTTCTACCGATAGTGATTCAATAAAAGATAACACAAGCGACTCGTCTATATCTTGTTTGTCTAAAGATACTACGCCGCTTAGCTTATAGCCAACTACCCTGGGTGTAGAGGATTTCATTGATCTAAGGATCCTTGAGTCCCTTACCATTGGTAATAAAAAAACGAATATAAGTTAGAATCCTCTTTCTATGGATGATTATTCCTCTCAAGATATCTTGGATGAGTAGAAGATGGAAGAGTAGCAATGCTGCGGGTCTCTTATGATTTCTGCTACTAAGCACTAGGATTCGCCCCACTGCTCTTCAAATGAGGGTGAAGACCATAAGATCTTGATCAATAACACAAAGGAACCAACATATTTATCCCAGAGCGACGTCACTAGGGAGGCACCCGACAGCGCCGAAATTCCAGGGAAAGATTATCCTATCACCATGGCTGACCAAATCAAACCCCCAATAATACATTGTGTTAACTTTCATCAATATGAGCTTTCCCAGGAAACATTTCTCTGCGGGTTCATCTTAGTTGTTGTCAACAATAATAATTGCTAATTTTAGTGGTGAATATCTGATAACCAAGAGGCGCATGATAGTTTTACGTGAGCACAGGTACGTACTTGATGTAGTAGGCCGGTACGGCGTTAACGTGTATAAATAGTAGTGGTGTTGTCGCCGGTCTAAGATTAATTCTTGGTTGAATTAGAAAAGTTTTCGAATAGAGTTGTTTAGTCCACAGTGTGGACAAGGTAAGATATTTGAGCGGAAGTCTTCCGCGGCAGGTAATAAGCAAGGTATCTTATGCTACAGTACGTAGGTTTAAACGTTTAACATGACGACAGGTCGTTGACATAGTCAGATGAGTGTACGGGTGCGAAGCACTGGAGTATAGTACAGAGGATAACTATATTCAAAGCTTTTGTATTTATTTGGAAAGCAGCGGCGGCGTCGAGGTCTATGAATGGACGTGTTCCTGATCCGTATATTTACTAGAAGGCGATGGCAGGTGTTCGTAACTACAAGCTCAGATCCAGATAGATAACTTTGGAGGAATTACAAAGGGAATACCAACGTATATCCTCGTCTTACGCGGTGGCAATGAAGATTATTGACGAAAAGTCTGGTAAGTGCAGACAGCGCCAGTTATTACATACATCTGCAAATAAGCTAACGTATATAATTCCGCAGATTATCGATACGTACTTTAGGACTTATTGTCAGGCTTAATTCTTTGAAAAAAAAAACAATGGAAGCTTAGGTAGGGAATATTAGTCGACACATAGTGTTGAAATTCAATTTTGATAGAATGTATAGCGTGTACAGTATAGTGATGATGATGATAATGATGATGATTTCATTTACCCTGATCCCTCACCTCAAAGTTGGATCCCAGATCCTGGTATAGGAGTGGCACAGGGTAGCTGCTATGCGAGGTAGTATTAAGGCACCCGTTGGGTCTATAAGTAGTCATATCTGCCCCTGGATAGAAAAGGGGCATTACACTTGTACCTCAGTTCAGAGTTCCAACTCTCAACGGTAATATGCAGGCTACCTCAACTATATATATCCCTGTCCGTATATGTAGAATATCCTACTTCCTGACAACGAACTTAGAGCCTTGTCATGGCTTGCCGTGGCCTAATTGCCGCTCCCATTGTTAGGCTGCCCTCGAGGCGCGCGACTGCGAAACCGTTGTGCGGTATGTATATATATATGCAGTATACATCACGAGGTTCCGCTTGTGTGATTTGTTTAGATACAACAAGTTCAATTTCCGAATCTTGCTAAGCTCAATACATATACGCGTAGTCCTAACTGGATCCGCAACCGATGCTTGCACCAGTTTGGCTTTGAAAACATTTGCTTTTCTCTCTCAAAACCATGATATGGGTACATTACTCGTCTAATACAGTACGTCCCGAAACTGGTGCAACCGTTTACACTCTTTAAGTGATTATTTAGCCCCACTGGGAAGATGCACTAGACCATATTAGGAAGATAGACGGAATAACAATATTCCTGTACCAGTCTCGATACCGTGATTTACTTTCATTTAATACGATACCTCGTCTTGTGACTGTATTAGCGATCCAAGGGAACTAGCATTTCCATGGGAAAATTGCAAATAAGTCAAACACTAGAGCTTGGGAGTCCCTCGAGAATCTGGCGATTTGTCACTTCCCTTCTGCTCCTAACTATATGCAAGTCGGTCTGGGGGGGCTTACTCGGCACCGGACCTCCAAATAGTGACTTGCATTACTTGCTTACTGTCCTTACAGACTACTCATGAACCCGCTTATCATAATATTCAGCCTGTCAGCCACAGTCCTCTCTTCTTCGCGCCCCGGAACGCTCCTGATGGAAGCTGACACAATCATGTTACTAGACTCCTTCGCGGCATCTTTTGCCTTGGGGGGATGACTCACACTCCTTTCAACGACGATGATGACGATAATGCTTACCGACCTGAACTGCCCAATCTATGGGAACGGACTCCCTCGTATGCCCCCACCCCTGGCTACCCAGGCCGCGAATGGACGCCATCAGTAATCTGCCCTTCACCCGATTCTGAGGACATAGTTAGTGAATGTTTACCTTCCTTGCGTCAACATCTCTCGGACCAGCAGAGCTTTGAACCTGGGGTTGAACGTGCAGGTGGAAGTACATGGGATGAACAATCTCCGGACTGTATCCACTACCAGATCGAGTGGAGGGTTAAATTGAACAATCGAGTTGTGGTGAAGGATACAAAACAAGAGCTCATTCAACCACCTAGATCCTACTGGGAACAGATAAAAGAGGATACTTGTAATATTCTAGGGCAGAAGACAGCCCGTGGCCGACGAGTGAGACTAGATGATACTGACATGGTGTTATCGGTGAATTCCCAACGGAACATTGACAAACACTTTGAAGGTACTAGTATTGATTGGACAGCGGTAGAGAAATAGCTGCTAGCGTAGGCCTATCTGTTCCGTCGTAGCAAGAAGATCCGGCTCCAGATATCAATCAACTACATAGAAGACAGTGGACCTCTTCCTTCTAGAACTAACAAGCGAGAAAAGTCATCGGTGACTAGACAGATACTTGCTGATCGAGACGCTCAGATTGACGCCGAACAGGTATCCGGCCAATATTCCGTCTGGCGCAATGTGTATCGTGTTATACGATATCCCAGGCCTCCGTGTCGCCACGAAGGACAATACTGCTGGCAAGATCCAGAGGGAAAAAGACACCATCGGGTGAAGACACACCATTTCTAGGCCCTCGTTAAATATATAGAGCAAGGTGGGGTTCTCGAGACCCACGCTGATGTCCCTGATAGTGTTCGCGAGCAGCTCTATGCCGAGGAGAACCAGCGACTGGACAAAAAGAAGAAAGCTGCGGAGAACTCCACAACAGGTTCAGTATGTCCTCCAATCAATATCAATGTTCTCCCGGCTGGATCATCTCAACAATCGATAACGCCTCCTGCTAATGATGCCATGGCCACCGGGCCCGGCTGTACTGAATCAATCATAATCGACGGGCTGCTAGATGTCGCTGTGGACGAGTATACTGAATGGCAACAATCGCGGGTGAGCAACGAGGCTTTCAGGGAGAATATCAATAAAGCACGCGATGTGACCCTCGAAAATTGTCTCGACCTCATGCAGATTTATGAGGATCAAGACCCAGGTTACTTTGTCAAGCATGGCGTGAAAGTAGGTGTCGCACGGCGGTTCGTTCGTGACATCGGCCTTTGGGTGAAACGACGCAAAGAAGCGTCTTGCAACGAAATTATTCCTTTAGTCTAAATATTTTATGTATTGTGATTTGAGAACAGTCTACACTGGCATGGTATGTTTCATAAGACGCAACTGGAATGACTACGCAGAGGATCCCGACCGAGAGATTGGGTCATTTCTCGAATGGGGTATCGATCAAGTTGGGGCAAGAAAAGACAGCGCCCATGGTCATTTTCGACATGCAGGTCTAAGTATTGAAAAAATAGATAGTTGACAGACCCCTCGACGACACTATCAAATCAAGCAAGTTTCAATATGTACGAAGCCGAGTTAAACTCTTCCTGGAAAACACACCCAAATCCCACTTACACTCCATGAAATTCGCTCAAAGTTATCTGTTGGCCGTGTCTTTGGATTAGCTACACTAGCTTCCTGGATAATCACACTCATCCGGTCCAAATGCCCGAGTCACGGGGTTCGGATCGGTAGAATGTGTACCTGTCCGGTTTCCGCCACTTCGAGTCCCTCGTCTACAATCGCGTTGCGTATTGGACTTGGGGTCAAGATCAACAACAGTCTGACAATCTAGATGGTAAGCAGTCGATCGAACTATATCCGGTAACAAGATGCTCACATCATAAGGTATCAAAGCTTCTACCATCAACGACGTCAAAGGCAGATACTTTGACAGCTTTCGTGCCAACATCTGAAGCGGTCGCCCATCCTAACACTCCCACCCTCACCTCAAATTTCGAATTTTGCGACTGTTGCGAGGAGGAGGGTTTGCGGCAGACAGAAGAGATCCAACTTCGTGATAGAGCCATCGATGAACTGAGGGATGAAATTGCAAGGTTACAAAAAATCATTCGTGGATTCGGTCAAACTCCTACCCATGCAGTATTTCCGGAAGTCGGTGCCACCCTCTACACTCTTTCATTGTCCCTGTGGACCCTGAATTCGAGGATAAATTGAGCCCCACTCAGCAAGAAAAATAATAATAATTGAGATCGGTCTAACATTTGTGCTATACCTGGGGGTATTAATACTAGTGTTTCACGCCCACAGCAGGCACCAATAGAGTAGATTATGTCGTATTTATATCAAGATGTATGCTAAGACAGCCCCCAGGACGCTCCAGATCTGACAGGTCTTCACTTCGGCTGCGATATGCGCACCGGATTTATAATCCAAGCTCAAGGAATTATTTCCAAACCCCATGCTCGGTGTCCATGTCACTGGAGTTCCCTCGTTTAAGATATCCGAGCGCGCAGCATCAATCCTCCCTAATACTTCGATCGTCAATTTACCCGAGATTCTGGGCGTCACTTTATCCTCTTTACCCTCTTCTGACAGGGTATTCGCGACAAACCACGTCACAATACTGAAGCTCGCGGAAGAGTCATCAAATGTCAGCTGGAGAGTTGGTTTCACCTTATTTCTGACATTTTCAGTATAATAAGAATTCGGAATAGGACCGGCACCCCACCATCCTTCGGCGGTTAAACACGTCGACATATTCATCTGGAAACCACTAAGTGGGTTATCCTTTAGCTTTGAGGTCCCTGTCACTCGAAAAGGAAGCCCATCCTCTGTATCCTTGGCAACAGTCAGATTAAATTCCGGCTTCGTGTCTCTATCTGCGGGATATAAATCACGTCTGTCACAAATAAGCCAGCTGTCAGAATAGTGACTGGGTATTAGAAAAAGGTATATACTTACGACATCTCAATAGACTCAAATACATAGGGCGTATCGTGAATTTGCATGTTGCCGGAATCCATATAATCATTAAAATACCGCGTGAAGTTTGAATACGAGGTGGACAGCAAAATATCGATCGGGTTTGTGTTCTTTGGTCGCTCATCTTTCGGTTCTGTCTCTGTGACCGCTAGGATTGCTGGGTACGACCACGAGTACGTGATGTCCCGCAGCTGCCCACAGAGTTCCAATTCCCCTTCATCTTCGATCTCCCATTCTGAGCGGTCATCTTGAAGCTCAACGTCGGAGACGGTGAATACGGCGCTCCCGTTATAGTAACTATGAATAGCCTCTTAGTATGCAGTCTGTGTGGTCAGGAGATACAGAGTTGAGCGCACGATCCAATCCATGGATAATAGTAATAATCCAAACCCGTCACATTTTCCGGCCGGTAATTCTCGTTTGGGTCGTAATTAATATCCTTTTTGCCTAGAGTAAGCCCTGCGAGGAACAGCGCTAGGTGTAATAACGTTGCGGCGCGGCGCATTGCAATTGTCGCTCGGGCTGTCGTAGACTAAACAGACTGGGGGTTTCCACGTGTTGTAGGCGCGAAATAGGAAAAATGGAATCAAGAGTTGGAGTCCACATAGCGGGGGAGGGGGGGGGGGGGCGCCCTCTCCTTTTAATCCTTCGGGCTACTCTGTGGAATACGAAGAACTAGTCTATATTGAATTGCTTGGAGTGCTAGGACCCTTCGTATCTGGGAGACGGTAGCTTGGCTTTCTTGGCTGTCTCTTGCAAAGTCGGAGCCCGCCCGATGGGTAGCTTTGCACCATTATATCCGGTGTGACGGTGCGCGGTCATCGTTTTTGATTCGTGATGGTTCTTTGTACTCTAGATATTTAAATGGGATAAAGTTTGGTTGGTGGAGTCTAAAACTCTGTCTCCTGCAAGGACAGGTGCGCCACCATCTCTAAACTGCCCGTCTTTTCTACATAGGCGATTAATTAATTAACCCAGGGTTCCTGGATTTTCGGGACACTATATTCCAGTATCCTAGGGATATCGAGTACTATGCTCGTGAGAGTGGTCTTACTTGACGTCAGGGCTTTCGACTATGTCTTAAAGTTCCTGGCAACCTAGCATTAGAGCGAGGCCGTGCCAGCAAAATTATTGAGCCACCCCTTGTGATTTGGGCCATCGCTTATTACGGGCTCTGACATAGAAATATTGAGTTGAGAGAAAACGAAGGCTATATTTTATAGTAAGAGTATAAACCAGCATTCTTTAGTAGGTAGCTATACAGGGTTCTAGTACAATTGGTGTGATGCTCTCGGGCTGTCTAATTTTGGCAAAAGAAGCTTTGACACTAGTAGGTACTGATAGTAGGAAATATCAGAATCTATTTATTGCCTAGCTTCCGCTATCTGCTAGAAGGAGTATTTCAGATCGCACCGAAGTCGTGACTTAGACTCAACGATGATAACCGCCAAACAAACTCAATATAAGGAGCCGATTCATATGGCTTATATATCACGATACCATGATGACTGCAGATACCGGTGGCACCAATTATAGCGATATGTGGATGGGTTGTGAGATAAGGGGGTTACATTTGACTTTTTCGAGCAGACCCTCATGTAGCAAATGTAATTTCTACGCCTTGCTACCTAATAGCTGAATTATCGTCAGACCTCAAGTTCAAGTGCCCCTAGCAGACGAGCAGGAGATCTCGGAAGCTGGATAGGGGTGGAGGAAAGATACATTTGGCGGATGGCATGTTCAAGTCTTGATATGGCGTGCTATGTGACCATCGAACGGCTGGTTGGCGAGCACCGTGATAAATAAAACCATCCGAGCCTATATTTATATTCTCCGGAAACTCGTGAGAGCCCTGTAGTTTCTTTGCACAATTTACGACACAAGTGTAAGATGGTCGGACAAACGCTAACTTCTGTGGCAATTATTGGTGGTGGCCCTGGGGGGCTAGGAACCGCTATTGTACTTTCTGAGTTGCTATTCCTTGAAGTGACCCTTTACGAAAAGTATCCTGAGTCTCGAGAGGCTGGTGCTGGGATAAGTCTAAGTTTTAATGTTTGGAGGGTCTTGGACTTGCTTGGGGCAAGTAATGGGGTAAAAGGCGGCTCTAAATCGAATATTTACCAAAGGTTAGTAATTCAAATAGGTCTAATCTATACCGAATAGCCTAATATCTCTTACTTATCTGGAACTGCAGAAATGTATATACTGGTAAGGTTTTGAGTGTCGTCGAATATCCAGAAAATTCTGCGGTTGATTAGCGTGGAGCGATTCGTGCTCGTAGAACTCGATTATAGGAAGTGCTTTTAGCTCGGGTTTCTGAAGGTATTATTAAGTACAGCAAAAAGCTCGTCTATCTGAATGATCTGTTAGATGAAGGTGTACGGTTGACCTTTGCGGATGGGACTGAGGTTGTTGCTGATATAGTAGTGGGGGCTGATGGAATTCACTTGGTCAGTTTAAGAATATTATATTTAAGTGAGATTTTCTAGACTGAGTGTAATTTATTTTTGATTAGGTTGCTAGAAAAAGCCTATTTCCAGACCATACTTTGACGGTTAAGAACCCAATATCTAGGCTGAATGTCAAGAGTAAATGGTATATTAGAATGGGCTGAGACCCTTGCAAGTTATCAAAGATTCTAACTTTCAAATTCAAATCCAAGCAATTGATTACATATTATTAGTGTCTTATTGGTTTCTCCTGTACAGTACGGTACAGTAACTACGAAGACTAAGATTCAAAAAAACGACTCGACAGAAGGTAAAGCAGTTTAAGGAAAGCGGCAATTAGGCTCTCAAATCAAAATATTCCCAAAAAGATGCTCAGATTAACGTCCATGGGAGCTAGATTCTGCCAAATCCATAGCCGTATTAACTGCACCTGCGAATCACGACATACATGAGTGTTCCCAGAGCAGTGATTGGAGGCCACAGTGACCCCAGAAGGTCCTTCGGTCCGGAGGTCATCGGGAAGACTAAGCTCTACTTGGAAAGCGTCAATAAAGTCGCAGCAGAGTATCCCAAAGCCGAAGATATTTACTGGCGAATGCTGGAGCTATACCCGGAACGACTTAATCCTGGATCTGCCTGGGCTGGGGTACTTCTTGCAAAGAGGGACTGAAAGCGAATGAAAGTTGTTCTATTTTTACACCTTTCTGTCTGCGTGTCGAGAGTCCAATCACTCCTTCAAGTCTCAGCTGACCTTCTACTGTCTGGCACCCAGCAAGATGACGGAGACTTATGGCAACCCATACAAGGTATTCAGTCGTTCATGGTGTAAACTGTCAGTTTCACACAGTTATTCTCCAATAGAAAAGCATTTGAAAGATCCAAATAATCTTACTTCTGGATGGATGATGAGTTCTTTCATTCACCTTGACCTCTGTCAAGGCTGACTGTTGACAAGAGAGTATTGAAATTTTTGTAGCGCGCCCGAGGTAGACACCCGTGGAGTTAAAAAGCAGAGCCAAGGTTATACTCTGGGTAAGATCATCAAAATCTGACAAAACTCGTACTTCTGAGCGCGCGTTGGCGATGGAACAAAGAGACCATTCAGCATTCCGAGAAAAATGAAAGAAAACGTAGTCAACATCAGTACGTCGAACAAAACCTTGGAAAAGGTATCATAGGCTAATTAGTTATTTCTTCGTCGGATCGACGAACCTACAATATATCGCGAAATAAGCCCTAGAGGGTAGCGAGAGCCTTGTGCATCTCAATGAGAGCTAGGTACTTGCCGATACAAATTCTGCTCCTACCTCTAGATGCTAGATTTGTATTGTCTATAAGGCTGCTGAAATTCTTCTTCAGTCTCAAGCTTCATCGCTTAGGACAGAATATCTCAGTATCCTGGTTACAGTATCGCGTTTGAGAGTTCAGATTTTGGTCTTAAGTTGGGTCTCTCGCCTCCTGACTATCTGATGGCCTTTGTTGCCAAACCACCCCCGCCTCCCCCCCCAAATCTCTGCTACCCCACTACGTGCACCAACACTGCAGATGTCGCACTCCCATCAATTCTATAACCTCCCGCCGGAGCTATGGTATGCAATATCATCATACCTACCAAATCGCGATATCAAAAGTCTCCGTCTTGTCTCGAAACGATTTTGCAATTCAGTGGAGCTCAGACTGGGGAGAGTGTTTTTGTCGGCGAACCCCTTGAACATCAAAGTTTTTCGCGCGATCGCAGATCATGAGGAATTCCGACATAAGATTTCAGAAATTGTTTGGGATGATGCGCGGTTTGCTAGGGGCCCTAGTACAGAGATTATCCACCCTGAGCAGGGATTATATTTGCCAATCACAGATGCGAGTGATGAGGAGACAGAATTTGAATCAAGGCAACACCACGATGAAATTCAGGGGCCACCAAACTGGGAAGTTTACGAAAGTGACTTTGACTTTGGGGATAGAGAAGATACGGAGTTTGGAGACCCGATCTATCAGTTGAGGAATAGTGCAAATTTCAGGGGGCGAAATTGTCCACTTTGGTTCAAGGCTGCATGTGTTAACAACATTGAACATATTTTCATGCGGCGACGCAAACTCAACATGATTGAGGCTTGGCATCAGAAGTTTAAAGATGAAAGGAAATTGGGTAAGGCTGCACTCTCTATGAATGAGTCATGGAAAATTTATCAGAGTTTGCTTCGCAAACAAGCCGACGTTTTGGCTGGAAATTATGACGAAGAGGCATTCCTTTATGGACTTGAACGATTTACTGCACTGAAGAGAGTGACAATCACCCCTGCAGCTCATGGTGTACCGTTTGCTCCATTATACCAAAGTCCTATGATTCGAGCATTTCCGCCAGGATTCAACTATCCTATCCCTCGTGGATGGCCAATATCGACTACGGAGGAGCCAGAGGATGTGATAACATTTCCTTGGCAACAAGTTGATGAAAGGCACAGAGAAAAATACCATGCATTCCGTATTGTCACACGTACCCTTGCACAACAGAAACACAATGTGGTGGAATTGATTCTAGAGGCTCGACAACTCTATACTGGAATCAATTGCACAATATTTGATCAACCTTGCATGGAACATGATAATCTTCTGACAATTTTGAAGAAACCAGGCTTTCGTCGCTTAGATATTTCTTTGATTTTTGGTGGAAGAGGATCAGCCACAGAGAACTGGAAGACATTCCGCAATGGAAGGCTCCACAAGACACTAGGTACAATGACAGACCTAGAGGAATTTACCTTCTATACGGCAGGGTTGGATAATTGTTATGAGTGGAAAAATCCACCGGTTGACACTAATCCAGTGTCATTGGAGCATATATTCCCTGTCGAAAAGTGGTCTAAACTTCGTCATTTTGCACTATCACGCTTCATAGTCAGCCAGGCTGATCTTATCACACTTCTTTCAAAACTACCAGACACACTCCGATCAGTCAGATTGAGCTTTCTGGTATTTTTTGAGAATGCGACATCTTGGCATACTTTCCTTGAAGAATTGCGTACAAAGATCCAGGAAAGGAGCCTTTGGCCGGGTCATCGACCAAATGTTATCATCGGCAACGAGCGAACTTTTCTTCTCCTTGGAGGTGCTGTTTGGCTTGGGAAGGCAGTGGACGATTTCTTATACGAGGGCGGTGAAAATCCATTTTATGACCCCCCCTCGTGTTTTAGTCAAAAAGGAACTTGGAACAATCAAGGATGCATTTGACCCTTATTGCTGATGGTTGCATTGTGTGTGTATTTGAATAACGTACCGCCGAACCCACTGTATGTAGTTGGGTTGTCATTCACGGAAACTATTCTCTGGATCTTGCTGATGTGATCATACGTTGATTAGAATAAAGTCCCAAGTTCAGGTATATTGAAGCATTTTATAGATACCGTCCTCAAGATAGAAAATGTGACAATACAAATAGCCGTCAAAAAGACAAGCTTGAATAGTCAATTGTGTTGAAAGTTATTATCTTGAGTATGGAATTTGCAGAAAGCGTTTTACGCAAAGTTCTTCAGAAGACACCTAGGCTACTATCAAAGGGAATAGCCATCTCCCACCTGCGAAAATGAGTTCAGAAACTTCTTCGAACGGGGGGAAATCCATGAGTTCCAAACCACTATGAAAATGATCAGGTACAGAGATGCCGTACCACTGGGTGCGCAACTAACTAACCTTAGCCTGAAGTAGGTGTTGAGATAGCTACACAATAGGATGTGCTAGTTGACACAGTACATGGATAATTGTAAGAGGATGGCAGGGGGGCCAGACTAGCACCCGGGGTCGAACTTGAGACCTTTGTTGCACGCGCGATAAGTGGCTTGCTTGAAGAGCTGTTCTGCGTCCCATTTTTGGCCATGGATGGATTCCATAGAACAAATTCCTGGTCGAACTGTTAGCTTCAAGAAGGGGATCCTGAATTCAAAGGACATGTACTGAACTCATTAGTGATATCGTGAAACATGGCAATGTTCCAACAGTCTAACATAATTTCTTGACCAGAAAACTGCAATTTATTAAACCAAGCGTATCTATATTGCGATAAGCAAGTTGTACCAAGTTTAGGAGCTTGTGCTACCTACTCTGTGCAGTCCTTTCTCGAGTCGTTGGCGACCGGTATGACAGCGTCTGCATCTCCGCCGCTGTCGAGTAGATGTGTTGGGAAAGGGGCGTCTGTCATTGAAATAGGTGACAAGACCGGCGTACTAGTAGCAGATCCGCCATAACTAGGATATGTGGGGATATATCCTACAGGCTTAACGCAGTAGTAAACATTTTTCTGAAGGTTAGTGCAGTTGGTAAACACTTCAGGATTTAGGAACAGGCTGTCCAAGACATTCAAGTCAATAATTTCCCTTACGCGCAATGCACACCCAAAACTTACAAGTCAGACTTTGAGATTTCGAACTTCTTTTCCACCGTGGCGCAGTTCTCGTTGGCTCCAATCTTGTGGTGTCTGCCGCAGCGAGAGTTTGTGCCATGGAGTGTCGGCGAAGGGATGAGACTGATAGGAACTAGGTCAGAATCACGACCCTGACTTTGTATTCGCGGTGTGGCTATACTCACGCAGTGGTAATGACCACATTCCCAGTGCCGGTTGCGCTTGAGCTACCGATGGTGTTTGTAGGCATGATATAGTTGCCCATTGGGTTGCTAGCACATATATTTTCCCCCACGATTTTATCAAGGTTTCTAGAGATAATTTTATTAGTCTGGGATATCACTTCCAGACATAACTGAGAATGGTCACGTACGAGCATTGGTTATTGATCTCCGAGTTCCACGAAATCAACTGTGCCCATGTGGCTCCTGTTGACTTGCCAATACTCGAACAGGTATCTCCAGACCTGACCATGTATTTCTTGCAGCTTGCTGTGGCGGTCGCCTCGAGAGCATCATCACTAATAACAGAGCCAAGACTTGGCATAGGAAATTTGGTACGTGGGTAGCTTCGAGCATTTACGTCTACCGGAATACGCCGGGACGGGCTATTGGATATATTTGAAGAGACTCAAATGGAGAAATGAAGGTTTTACGAAATATATTCAAGCTAGATAGCTCGGCAAAGTGCATGGCCCATCTGATGCCATTACTAGCGTGGCGTTTTCAATTCACGCTGCAAATGCCGCGGTGTGCTCGCAATTAAGCGATCGCGGTCGATAGTCCATTAAATCGTTATCGACGGGGTATAAGGTACATGAAAAAAAGAAGTCATAATATCGTACAGCCATGGCAGTTGTCAAGGAAAAGCAGCATCAAGTAGAGCGGAGCTGAAGATCAGTTCGACGTTTCTGCGTCTGCATTGCGAGGATGCGGTCTCTTGGTCAAATCCAGAGAGACATCTGATGCGCTCACTGATCCGAGGCGAGGTGAGGTAGTTGTAGCACCCGGAGATCCTGCTGAATTTTCTGTTCCAAATGCAGGAAACGGTTCATATTGGTCGTCTGACAACTGGGGAGCGGATGAATCGCTTGACTTTCTAGTACGAGTTTTGGGGTTTTGGATTTCGTTAGTTAAATAAAAGGCCTGCCTTTCGGGGATGTTAGGTGGTTGCACTGTCGATTTGGGGTGTTGGGCAGGCTGGTGGATCACGTTAGCATTCGAGTAATTGTCATTTGGGAAACAATCCTAGTCGCTCATACCATATGAGCATCATCAAGTTCGAGACCCCGCTGCTGGGCTAGTTCTTGAGCAGCTAGACGCTTTCTTTCAATCGTAGACTCCTCTTCTAGTCTTGCGCGCTCCTCTTCCATTTTCAGATCATCCATCGACAATGCATTGACGCCGTGTATAACACCAGAGCCCGGACTCGTTGGTGACTTGGTTGAAGACCGTCTTTTCTTCTTCTTGTTCTTCTTCTTGGATTTCTTGGAAGAGGCCTCGGCAAGGCTGGACGTTCCTGATGCCGACCTTACCATCTCTGATTTTGTTCCAGACTGGTCATCTGACTCCAGGCCAGTTCCCCGACGGCCAAAGGCAAGCGCAAATTCATCATCCAGCGGAACTGCATCCTCCTCCTCGTCACTGGGGAATAAATCACCACGCGAGCTCAAAGAATTCGACGTCCCTTTCGAGGACTGCGTAGAGCTCCGGTTCCGCCCATTCCAAGCGTAGTTTATTTGATCGCCATCGTCCTCTGTAGCTTCCATCAAAGGCTCATCCTCCTGGGGATGCCGCTTCAAGCTACCGGGATGTTCCTGCAAATCCGCAGCGGATGGCCGGTACTTCACGCCCTTGGCACCGAACCTCCAGGGGAAGCGCTCAAGAAACCCAATCAGTGACGAGCTGGGAATGACGGTCGGGTCGCTGCGATTATCTGGAATGTGCACCGTGCTCCTCCGTCTTGTGTGACGTGTACCATAACTCATACGCCTCTGGCGACGCGGCTGCTCCGCACTCCCCCTGGCCAGGCCACTTCCAGCTAGAAGACGGTCCAACTCGCCAGTGCCCCATCCCAGCAGCGTCTCGTCGGTCTCTTCGTTGTCCCAATCATCATAGAAATCGAAGTTGTCTTCAGCACGCCCGCGTCGCCGCCGACGGAGGTGGTCGTCTCGACTCGGCAGACATGGATCTGTACAGGTCTGGACGCAATTGCCGACCGCTGCCAGGCAAGGGGAAATGTAGTTCTGCGAAAAGGTGTAGAGGCCTTCTTGGGCGGTTTCATTGGCGGTTTCGAGGTTGTGGGAGAGTTGGTTGATCCGCTGCCGAAAGCGCGGATCACGCGGTCGCATCATCTTGAAGCGAGGCTAGGATGACCAAGGACGGAGGGTCTGATATAGTGGAATTTACTTCATCGGCGCGTGGGATGGCTGGGTGAGCGATGGAGCAACGAGCGGCTGGCGACGATGTCATTCGGTTAGTCAGCGGGCACGTGAAGCTGGGGTAGCTTCCCAAAAGGGAAAGCCGATGTATGAAAATGCGGATTTATTGTACATATCTTAGTAGACTGGTAGCCATGGTTCTGATAAAATTTCTTTCTGTGCTTTCATTTGTTATGAGTGCTTGACAATTTATCTAAACCATTCGCCCCAGTCCCCATAAACAATGAACTCAATATTAAACTGATACTTCTTGGAATGTAAGGAGGCATTTTTGATCCTTTGGTCGAGATGCGATAATCTGGTCGTCAATGGACATATCACTAGACATCTCAGGTGCGATATTTGTCGTGAATCTGCCATAAATGTCTCGAAGAAGCGTCTTCATTTCGACAAGGGCAAGGCTGCGACAGATTAGTATGGTGCAAGGTTTTGGTCCGAGTCGAAGATGGGCACTCACTTCTTTCCAATACATCCCCGACCTCCAGCAGCAAAGGCAAAGAAAATTCTATTTCTCTCCACCTCTCCTTCCTTCGCGAGCCATCTCTCTGGAAGGAATTCCGACGCATTAGGAAATACAGATGTATCCATCAGATGCATCGAATAGGCTTGACAGCTGACAATCGAGTTCCCGGGCAGAGAGTAACCGCTGATAGTTCTTCCTTCCTTGGGGACATATCGAGGCAGACTCATTGGAATTGGCGGGAAAAGCCGAAGCCCTTCCTTGATAACAGCGTCCATATACGGTAAATCGTCGAGTTTGGCGTTGGGGTTCTCGATGATTTCCTGATGGAGGCGTTTCTGAAGTGCTAGTGATCTTGGAAGGGACAGCTCATGCATGAGAAAACAGAGCGCATCGCCTGTTGTATCAATTCCCGCGGCCAAGTGATCCATGCACTCCGCGGCCATCTGAATTTCCTCAATATTGTTGGCCTTGCTTCGTAATTTGTGGAGCAGAGCTGATTCTTCCGTCTTGGAGCTGGATACTCTGTTGAGAACAAACGTGTGGGACAGAGACATCATGGGCTTAGGAGTGAAGCAAGACCGGATAGATGCCAGGATAGGCCAGTGGTGCTGAACAAGCCTGCCTATGTGTTTTCATGTTAGATTATGTAAATTTGAATTTTTGAACAGAGAAGTTCTTACTTTGGAGTCGATCATCGTATGAAAGATCTTCCATTAAGACGTAATCTTCCTTCTCGTCAAGGGACTTTGTGCCGGACGGATTGAACAGAGCATGCGAAGCACAGTCAAGGGCATAGCAATGAAGAACCGTCTAGCTAGTAGTCAGCAACGCGGTATGGGATTTTTGGAGATGATTGAGGTTACCTACATAAGTGTCCAAATAACTACCAGCAGAAGCAACGCATTTTTGGACAACCTTGGCAGCATTTTGCTGAATGCCTTGAATAATAGTGGAATTCAAAATGTTGGTCATGGCATATCTTTCCGCGAATAGCTTTCTTCGTTGCGAATGCTGCTTCACATCAGTACTAGTACAAAATTTGTGGGCTGTTTCATGCAGTTGTTCGTACCTCGTTCTTGTTCAAGAGTGCGAACATGGGCCTATATCATATGCTGATTAGCATGGCACTGGTAGGGATATTTTTGTTGTTGGATAGGTGTCGCAAGACATACCGCCGACCGTATTGCTTGAACAAATCGTAAAATTCTGTTTTGTCATAGCCACTTCCACCACTTTGATAGATTTCCTTCATTCCTTCCAAATTGGCAAAGGCGACCTCATTGGGAGCTAGACGAACAACAGGTCCGTAGCGCTCATGTAAGCTGTGAATCCAGACTCGACGCTTGCCTTGAAACTCATAGTACTTCAACACAAAACTCGTGAGATTCGTATACCATGGCCCGGGAACCTTGGTTTTGATGGCTTGAAGTGTAGCCGAAGAAAGATAGACGATGCATGCAATTACCAAGAGGTAGAGTGTATACATGGTCGCGGGTGTTTTATTGAAAGAGGCCCTTCACAGTATTGGAGTGAGTAATGATAATTTCAAGGAAAAACATCATCTTATAGCATTGATAAGGACAGGGCAGCCTACAATATTTTGGAAGTTGGTGCGGCGGGTCAGGACCCATCCATTCACGGTTAAACCCTGTATGGCAGGTGATGGAGATGAGGGTGATGTTGCGAAAGCCGATAAATGTGTGAGGAATGAATAATGCACTTCATTACTGGTCGGAAATACATGGATCGGGGGCGATCACCCACCAATTCTTTACCCTATGATCGTTTCCTTACTCCGTACCTCGAGGCAGGTCCCCATAGCCGGGCGACTCCGCACAACGCCGATAACGCTAGACCGAATCCAGGAAGTCGAGGAGATGCAGGAACAGCCATCCATTCAAGCTGCCGACCCTCTTCATTATCGTTCTGGTCACAAAATGACCCGTGGCTAAAGTTTAGTCTGTTCTGTCTAGCCCGCTTTGGTAGGCCAGGGCGATATGATCGAGGATTCTATCGCACAATCCATCAACTCTTCCACCCCTCACTGTTTCTCCTCGGGATTCCTTGAGTGTTTATCGCAGATTTCCGCTTATCTGCCGATACTACCTAGTGCATAACGAGCTACGCGGGCACGCGGGGTATGGACCAACTTTTATCGGACTGTCCAATTCAAGTTTGATCTGAACATGACTACCCCAGTCAAGCGTTCATATCACGGATGTGTTCGATGCAAACGTCGCCGTCAAAAATGCGATGAACAAAAACCGAATTGCGGGCGGTGTTCCGATGCCAACGTCTCATGTGAATATAAAATTACCTTGAAATGGAATGGCCGCGTACCAAGGAAGGGAAAGTCCTCCTGCCAAGAAGGAAGGGACGAAATCACATTCAACTTGCAGAGCAGCATTGGAAAGTCCTCTCAGTATGAGCCCATTTTACTACCCGAACAAGATTGGGGACACGAGACCTCTGCAGCATGTTCGAGTTTCAGCCTACAACAACCTTCTCCGGCACTGACAAAAACGAGTCGACTACTCCTCCATCACTTTATCACCGAAACGTCAAAGATATCAAGCTCCGCCCATATTCGAGACCAAATATGTCAGACCATTCTCCCCATGACTCACCAATCCGACTCGTTACTATATGCTACAATGGCATTTGCGGCCCTTCATCGTTATACCCTATTGAATGAACTTCCACCTCAATTCATGCCTGAAGATCTCGTTGCCAGTTTGATTGCCTCCAGCATGCGATACCTACGTCGAGATCTTGAGAAACCTGGTTATCCAGTCCAGCCTCTTCTCCACACAATCCGCACATTATGCCATTGTGAAATATTTTCCGGTCGCGCGAATTCTTCCTGGCGCGTCCATGTCAACGGTGCAGGGGCCATGTTCAATGAAATTGCATCACGGATAAACTTCAATGAGTCGGAATACAGTTTCTGGCTCTGGTCTCGATGGTTCTGGTCAATACAGGCCTTGACCGCGACCACAGAGGTGGGGAAAGTCTCAGAGCTGGCCTCTGCGAACTCCGTCATCCAAGAGGGTGATCAAACCTATTTCTTCGACACGTATACTGGATATTCCTCAGATCTCAATATCGTCCTTATGGAAATTGGCCTTTTGATCCACCGGGAAGAGGCTGCGGTTCTCGATACTGAATCAACGGAGTCTACTAGTGCCATTGAGCAGAAGTCGGATCTTCTTGAAACCTCGATCAAGTACATGATTCGTCGGGATACCGAGTTTGGCCTCAAGTTTCCTGGCAAAGTCTTGCACGATCCGGATATGACTGTTCAATTCCAAGCTTGCAATACTGCCTATCAATACGCCAGTCTCATACATCTTTACCGAAGGGTAAACGGCCTTTCGTCATTCAGTGACGAGGTTCAGGGCTGTGTAAGAGCAATACTGGACTCTGTGTCTGCGATTACTCCAGTTACGACACTTTCACCTTGGATTCTTCTTACCACCCCTATATTTACTGCCGGGTAAGTAACGTCTCTGCAACCGCAAGCAAGACCATTTGAATATCATACATGGATACTGACCGAAACTTTGTAGTTGCGAGGCTGTCGGGCAGGACAGGAAACTCGTTAAAGAACTCCTCCAGGAGTTATATTTTACTCTACACATTCGTAATATCATTAGAGCACTGGAGATTCTGGAACGGCGGTGGGAGATCTATGACCGCTCTGGGTCTTCAATTACAAGTCATATTGACAAGTACATGGGTGAATATATAGACGAGATAGATAGTGCAGATTTGGATTTTATTCCATATTGAGATGTATAGATAAAGACAAATCAATTTTACCATAGTCTAATACCTACAATCGCACTTTCCCCTGAGTCATACCTAGGTAGTCTAACTAGAAGCTTTATTGGGGTGCACAGGCCGTTCCATAAGGCGCTGCCCGGCGGGAAATAGCCGAATGCTACACGCGCTAAAACTTCAAATGCGGAGTGCTAGTCCACAATGCGTAAGCTTTATCTTATGCGGGGTCAAGTGATTGTCTCTTCATTTCCGATATCTTGCGTAATAAAATTTCCAATCTATAAGCCCTTTGAGGGGATTGCTATCATTTGACCTTTCACTTCGCCGTCAGTGGTCCATATAATCAGCATATTTCAAGTCATATTTCCGTGTTTCAATTTATACCATTGAAATTATTCAATTTGTACCTTCAAGGCTATATAAAAGCCGACCATCATGGCGGACAAAAGTTCGAAACCGGAAATGAATCCAGGAGACGCCATTGTCGTTGCTACCGAGGGCCACTCTTCATCAATCAGACCGCAGTTCGGTCAACGTATCATTGATAGTTTCAAAAGAGATCCTCAATCATTTACAAAAGATTTGGACGAGTCCCACGAACTTGAGAATGGGCCACATAATGCACCAGAGCCGCCACTTCAGCGCCGTCTCAAAACCCGGCATGTCCAGATGATTGCAATTGGCGGTTCAATTGGTAAGAAAAGCAAACCCAATCATCCTTGCCCATCGGTCAAACCGCTAACCATTCTCAGGAACCGGTCTTTTCGTCGGTTCTGGTAGCACATTAGCAGCCGGAGGACCAGCTTCGATCCTAATCGCCTACACATTGATCGGCTGCATGTTATTCTGCATGATGAATGCCCTCGGCGAGATGGCGGTTATTTTCCCTGTCAGCGGTTCATTCGCGCAATATGCGACGCGATTTCTGGACCCGGCGTGGGGATTTGCCATGGGATGGATGTACGTTTTTTCTTGGCTGATTACGTTGCCGTTGGAAATTGTCGCTGCGTCAATCACGATTGAGTACTGGAATCCAGGTGTCTCCAGTGCCGTATGGGCCGCTATATTTTGGTTGTTGATCATTAGTATCAATCTCTTTGGTGTCAGAGGATATGCTGAGGCAGAGTTTGTGCTGTCGATTATCAAGATTATTGCGATTATTGGTTTTATGTGAGTTTTTTCCCGCAGGATTTTAAAAAATTAACCGCTTTGATCATAGGCCTGGCTGACACATTGACTATCTAGTATTCTTGGAATTATCCTAAATTGTGGCGGTGGACCACAAGGTCATTATATTGGTGGCCAATACTGGCATAATCCCGGAGCCTTTAATGATGGCTTCAAGGGTCTCTGCAATGTCTTTGTCACTGCAGCATTTGCATTCGCAGGTACCGAGCTCGTGGGCCTGACTGCTGCGGAAACAGAAAATCCTCGTAAGGCCATTCCAAAGGCTACCAAGCAGGTTTTTTGGAGAATCTTGTTATTCTTCATCGTTTCGCTCATTATAATCGGGCTTTTGGTTCCGTACACGGATTCGAGACTTGTTAGCGGATCATCTAGTGCTGATGCACATGCCTCGCCATTTGTCATTGCGATCGAGGATGCGGGTATGTATACTTTGATTCTTCCAATATTTCTCCCTGACAAAAGAAATTCTAATTCGGATCTTTAATAGGTATCTCTGGTCTCCCGTCAGTAGTAAATGTGGTAATTCTGGTAGCCGTCTTATCTGTTGGCAATTCCTCAGTCTACGGCGCATCCCGCACCTTATCCTCTCTAGCAGAGCAGGGCCAAGCACCTCGCTTTCTCGCATATATTGACCGCAAGGGCCGTCCCATCTTGGCCATAGCTTTGACATCTGTTTTCGGATTGCTTTGCTTTCTCGCCGCATCAGATAAACAGACACTTATCTTCGAGTGGTTGATGGCCATAGTGGGACTCGGTGAGATATTCGTCTGGGGCTCAATTTGCCTGTGTCATGTCCGCTTTCGCCAGGCTTGGAAATGCCAGGGTCGCAATTTGGATGAATTGCCATTCCGTTCTCAGTCTGGTGTGATTGGATCTTGGGTCGGATTTGGCTTTAATTGTCTTGTGCTGATCGCTCAATTTTGGACGGCTGCTTGGCCATCTGGATTTGGTGAAATGACGGCCAGCTCTCGGGCTAGCACATTCTTTTCATATTATCTTGCTGCGCCGGTGGTTTTGTTTCTCTATGGCTCGTACAAGTTTTGGTATGGAACTAAGATTGTTCGAGTGCATGAAGTGGACTTGATCAGTGGATGTCGCATTTTCCATATCGATGATTTACTCGAGCAGGAGGCTGCGGATCGTTGCAAACGCTCTGTTTGGTGGAGAATTTATCATATTTTCTGCTGAAGACAATATGATCATCGGCAAGGGATTATCGTGTTCGCCAAATCAGAATATCGATAAAAATCATCTCTATCATCTTATATTGAGAATTTCCAATGTCTCTTCGAAAAAAAGGCAAACGTTGATTTTTAAACATTAGTTCTTATACATGCCTAGGTAAACAACAACCTTTGAACAGCGGATCCAAAGAGGTGACAAAAATATGTAGATTGAACCCTCATACTTGCTGATCACGTGGACAGCCCGCCTTTTTGCTGGTCCGGCACGTGCCCCGAGGGACTCCAAAAGGGGAATACAGATTGGACTGATCAAAACTCCCCGAATCAAGAAATAAAGCACAACTCAATCCCGTCAAGATGGTGTATTACATCCGATTCCTCAAGCCCCCAACATGGGACAAGAAGAAGAAAGGCAGGGGGTACGAATACTATATAACATCCTTGATCACCATCACCAATGACCTGGGCAACGAGTTCCTCGCCGAGGATGTGGAACTATGCTACACATGGGTTCGCCATCCCCAGCTTCAAATCAAGGCCCAGAAGCTGGATGATTGGGAAGCTGGCTCACGCCAACTACCCGTCATTATGGGTCCATTCACGACCAACATGGTCGGTACTGGCGAGTCCTGTTTCAAGGCGCAAGTTCTCAGAATTTCGGAAGATCGACTCAAGACGAATGGGGCTCCCTTAGTAGTTGCAGCATTCAGCGCGCCGTTTTCTGTATCAAAGGGTGCGCCGGCACTGGTTGAGCGCCAGTTCTATGTTGGCGATGAGCGAAGTACTCGGTTTAAGGTCTGGGAAGAGACGGGCAATAGCATCGCGCGACACCTTTGGTAAGATATCCATCTCTTCTGTTGAGCTCTACATATTCCAAGGTTTATATCCTATGACTATGTATAAATACCCCTGCTCAAAAATTCCGGCTAAACAAATGGAATCAGGGATGCGGCCCTGGCCTCGATCATGTTCCTCAACGATGTCACCAAGGGTGCTGACGTTGGCATGCCCGCCCTCACTCAGCTTCTTACCAGCCCTCGAAGCTCGCCACTCCAGGTAATTGAACTGGGCACTGGTTGCGGAATGGTGGGTATCGGGTTGACTACGATGATCGAAAACTGCGAAGTGCTCTTGACAGATATGCCTGAAGCGGCGGAGATCGTTCAGCGCAACCTGGACCAATCCAAGCCGAAGGAGAACTCAGTCGCGAAATTCCAGACTCTTGACTGGGCTGAGCCGCCATCAGAACTGTGCGACAAGTCATTGGACCTGATCCTGGTCTCCGACTGTACTTATAATTCGGACAGCCAGCCAGCCCTGGTTTCCTGTATGGAGCGACTGGTCCGGACTTCCCCGGACGCAGTGGTTCTAGTAGCTCTGAAGCGTCGACACGAAAGTGAGGCTGTGTTTTTTGAGTTGATGACAACGGCCGGTTTTGTTCCCCAGCAGGCAAACGTGAAGCTTCCCACCCAACATGATGAGTCGGACGAGATTCAAATGTACAGCTACCAGCGCCGAGCGGAGTAGATGTGGATAATAGAAAGGGAAGGGGAGGGGGACCATAGCGGTGACCATTGGAGGACAAGCGACAGGCTCGTGTGACTGGTCCGTGCTGCTCGGGATTGTGCCCACCGTGCGTCATCGCGGGGGCCTTTTCCAGCTTTGCCGATCCTGCAGGCACAAAACCACTTCCTCGCCCATTTTGGCCGCAAAATCAGTACGGTCCGCTTTAATAGGAGGGGGGAAAGAAACCGAGAAACAGGGAGGACACTGGACAGCAAGAGGGCTTGATCCTTTCATTGAGTGGAGACTGACCTGCGCCACCGGCAGCTCTGAGGCCACCACATTGCAGTGTCGGAAATGACTACACCGCATATTTCATGGGAATCAGCTATGGAGTAGGGAGAAATGGGCTACTATGTGAGATGTATATACATATGGCTGTGATCCGCAGGGGCAATTGCTGCATCCCATGCATGTCCGGAGTAGAGACAAACATATCCAATGCAAAGGTCCAAAAATAGCCAACGAAAAAACCCTCACAAAAACGAGACTTGCTCTGTAGTATGGAACCTAGAAATCGCGCATATCAAGGTTAGGCCGCGGGATGTACATTCTTGTACTAGTACGAAGGGTAGAAAGTACTAATTAGGTTACGGAGGTGAACAGTTACTGTAGTGAATGCTGGACTCGGCCTAGGCTGGTCTGGTCTTTCCCTGGTTTTTTTTTCTGCCGTTCACCGCCCACAGCTGAAGCCCGCACCGTTTTCACCCCCGGAGAGACAACCCCCTCTACTTCTTTTTTTCTCTCTCCAAGCTTCCTTTTGGGTTTCCCCAGGTGAGTGATTTATTGTTCCCAGCTGCTTCCATCGCTTGCTGCTGTCTTCCCCTGCCTTGGAACTTGTGCCCGTGCGCCTTTTTTCCACAACCAACGATGTTGTGCCCTAATAAGCCCTCATCTCCCCCCAACTTAAAACTCTGAGCCCAATTCTTCCCCCTCAACCGTCCATTTTTTTCACTCATACTTTCCGTCTCGTTGTGACCCTCGTGCTAATCCTGACTGGTGACTACTAGACTTCATCCAATTTCCCAGCTTTGACCTTGCCTTTGGTCTTCTCAAGGGCACTCCAAGGTCATCACGGCTCCCGCAGGCTCTCTTTTACTTCTCAGCCAAATTGTCTCCACTCGACGTCAGCGCGACACTCTTAACAACATTCCACCTCCTGCTTGCCTTTCCTAAACTTCCGTCTGGTGCGCCTTTTTTCGTCGCCTTGACGCCCTCTCAGATTATTCCCTCAATTCTTGAGCTGCCGCATAGGACTTCTTCGCAGGTTCTTCCTCTTAAGGAGGAAGGGTCTAGGAGGCTTGGTCCAGTCAACTACGGTTGTGACACTTTTCGTCCTCCCTAATACACGCAGTTGCGTTAACTGTTGAAACCTACAAAACTTTATTCTTTTTTTTTTGTTTAATAAAAAAGAACTTATCGTGCTGAATCGCAGCTGCACGGTGATGGCACCAACCGCGTGTGTTTCCCCTGCTGAATTATGCACCATCAAAAACGACTTTCGTCGTGACCACTCCGCCCTCGTCAATCATGGCGGGGATGATGTGTTGCAATCTCAGTTGACTGCCAAGGATCTTGTCCTACAAATCTTGAAGAAAAGGGCTGCCGAGGTGGATGTGGACAATTGCGGCCCTGGAGAGGAGGATGCGTTTTATGTGGCGGATATGGGAGAGGTCTACCGCCAGCATATGCGCTGGAAGATGAACTTGAGCCGTGTCAAGCCTTTCTATGGTAAGACTTTTCGTTACATCTCGATGCATTTATCGTCGAACTTCTTTCGCTAACATGTTTTACCAGCTGTCAAATGTAATCCCGACCCCGAGGTGCTTCGTCTTATGGCCCAACTGGGCAATGGATTCGACTGTGCTTCCAAGGCGGAGATCGATCTTGCCCTCCAGACGGGCATCGATCCCAGCCGTATTATCTACGCCCAGCCCTGCAAGACTAAGTCTTACCTGCGCTACGCCAAGGAGGTTGGCGTGAAGCAGATGACCTTTGATAACGCCGACGAGCTGTATAAGATCAAGGCCACGTTCCCCGAGGCCGAGCTGTACCTCCGTATTCTGACCGATGACTCCACCAGCTTGTGCCGCCTGAGCATGAAGTTCGGTGCATCCATGGACATTGCCCCCCCAGCTGCTCGAGTTAGCTCACCAACTTGAGCTCAAGGTCGTCGGCGTTAGCTTCCACGTCGGATCTGGCGCCGAGGATCCTCGTGCTTTCCTCAAGGCTGTCGAGGATGCCCGCCTGGTCTTTGACCAAGCCTCCGCCATCGGCCACGAGATGCACACCTTGGACGTGGGCGGTGGCTTCAGCGGTGACACCTTCGAGAAGTTCTCCGGTATCCTGAGCGACGCTCTGGAGACCTACTTCCCGCCGAATATTCGGATCATTGCCGAGCCTGGTCGTTACTATGTCGCCAACGCCTTCACCTTGGCCGCCAATGTCATCGCCCGCCGTGATGTTCCTGACCCAGAGGACCCTTCGCGCGACGCCTACATGCTCTACCTGAACGACGGTGTATACGGCAACTTCTCGAACATCATCTTCGACCACCAGCACCCTGTTGCTCAGGTCCTCGTGTCCGCAGATAACGACTCTCCAAGTTCTGCGACTTCGGAGACCATCGCGTACTCCATCTGGGGCCCCACCTGCGACGGCATCGATGTCATCACCGAGCGCATCGATCTGCCCGGTCTGCTGAACACCGGCGATTGGCTGTACTTCGAGGAGATGGGTGCTTACACCAAGTGCAGTGCCACTCGCTTCAATGGATTCTCCGACAATCACGAGGTGATCTACATCTCGAGCGAGACTGGTGCCTCGGCGCTTCTCGACTACTAATTGAATTGAATTGGTCTTGGCCACTTCTCATTTTTCATTTCGCCTGTTTTCGTTTCTGCCTTCGCATTTACTGCGGTCCTTCATTCACTATGCATGTTTTTTGGCCTGGAAACTTTCTGGCTCTGATTAATCCACCCCACTTCGTTAATCAAGTGTTTTTCTTTTTGCTTAACGCCTTCACCGCAGCGTTGTCGTTGCTTCTCCTCCATAGACATACATTCTTGTAGATTCGATAGATTAGATTCTACACTGCGTTTAGAATTTACTCTTTCAGCGCCGGTCATTCACGCCCATAGTAGAGCTTTAGAAGCACAGCTAGACTTCTCGTTGGGAATATTTATTGCCTTTAGCCTGTATGTCTCAATAAACCCTGTAAACCTTGAAATATATGGCCGAGTTATCGACATGCCTAGTTTCTCTTGTGTTATATCTCCTCGTGTCTTTCTTTGTACATCATCATCATGTCTATCATCTAATCTAGAATTCCGATATCATCAACGTCCTGTCCAGCACATAAATGCGAAATAGGAGCCAGCTCCAGTTCATATCCATCTCAAACCAACCGGTTCACAACCAACTCAACCTCTCCATCCTCAACAGCCTTCACCAGGCCACCTGCTTCAAGCTTCTTCTTCCACTTGGCAGATTCATACCGAGCCAAGATGAGGGTCAATCTCGCAACGATCGTTTCATCAGCGGATTCCGCAACAACAGTCGACGGCGTCGCAGTCCACCTGCCAAAAGCCCAGTTAAGGATATAATACCGACTAGCATCATCTCCAGTATTCCTCGTCTGAAGATCATCCGAAGACTCAGCAGGTGGCTTTTGGCCCGAAGAGCGAATAATTCCCTTGATGCGATAGACCTCCTCCCTCGGCGCGGCGGAAAGTAGATTTTCCAACGCTTCAACATCAACCGTTTTTCCAGCAGCCGATCCCTTCAGAACAACGGACAACACCTCCACCTCGGACTGATGATCATGTTTATGCTCATGGCCATGACCATGGCCGTCGCCATTCTGAACACCAGCATCATTCCCCCCATCCTCCTTCGCAAACAACGCCCCATCAATCCCCAGCAAAACATCCTTATCCACAACACCCCTCACAGACTTAACCCACGGCGTCTCAACCCCCAAATCCCCCACCCGATCAAGACAAACATCAAACCGCTGCTCCGGTACTCCCTCCCACTTGTTAAAAACAATCAGATCCGTATATTTCGCCTGGATCTTCGCCGTATACGACGTATCCTCATACCCCTCCCAATTCTCGACGTCGATGACGCTAATCACGCCGTCGAGCGTGAACTGGCCCGCGGAGGGCCCCTCGCGCGCGAGCCGGTTCACTTCCATGGCGAGGGTGGCGGGGAATGCGCTGCCGCTCGTTTCGATGACGATTCGGTCCGGTATGACCTCTGTGCGTAGTTGTTCGAGGGCATCGCTGAGCTGGCCGACGAGATTGCAGCAGATGCAGCCATTTAGGAGTTCGCGGACTCCGGAGATTGATTGTGCGGTGGCTAGTTGGGAGTCGACGGCTACATCGCCGAATTCGTTTTTAAGTAGGGCGAGGCGGTAGGTTGGTGGGAGTTGCGGGATTAGGTTTAGGAGGAGGGTTGTTTTTCCTGAGCCTAGGAAACCGGTGACGATTGTCACTGGGATGGGCGCCATGGTTGGGGAGTATGGGTGTTGGAGGGAGTGGGAGTGAGGTTGAAAATGCGGACATGCAGGAATACACCGGGGACGGATTCGCGGCGGGGGCGGTGGGGCAGGGTAAAGTATACGAAATGGCACTGGCAGAGTTGGGAATAAAACTATAGTGTTATAATAAGTAATTATACTGATTGTAGGATTAGAATATAGAGGAGTTTTAGAGAAATACTTCAACAACCTCGGAAGGTAGGTATATCCTGCTGTTCAACTATCTGCCCCTCTTACTCTTTCTCCTGGCAAACCTTCCCTTCACATCAACCTGAACCAACAACCCAAAGTTCATGAAAACTTTTTGAATGAACTTCACTTCTCCCTCACCCTCGTCAATGGATCTTATATCACTCTATTCGGTATCGTCCAAGTGTAGATGACCTCTTGCACCAACATTGCAACCTTTTAACCGCAGATTGTGCCTGATGGGTCCAACGACGTCATCGCCAGGCACATTGGCCTTGCGAGATCCTCTCGTCTCCACGTCTTCCTAGGAAAACACGCATCATGATCTCAGCCGAGATGAGGGATTCCTTCTGCCTGATAATTGGATCAGCGGATCGTCGCACAACCCTGGCCCACGCCTTGCATCGATGTCATACCCCAGTCCTGCCTACACTATCCTACCAATGTTCCGTCAGCCCTACGTCCACTCAGCCCTATCACCCCCCCTTTGCCTTAGCATTTTCTGCATTTGCATAGCGTTTTCTTTCACTCAGACCGATATATCACCATCACCATCTGGACCACTATGAGCTCTGCGAGCGACTCATTCTCAACAAACTCTTCCGCCGAACAGAGAAATGATGACGCCTTGCCCGCTGATTCGGAGTCGAATCAATCCGAAGGTGTCCTTGCAAACGTGAAGGAACAACTCAACTCCGTTACGGGTGGCCGATCCATATCTGAAATCGGCAGTGAAGTCTCATCCATTGCTGGCGAAAAAGTTCAAGGCGCGAAGGAAACTGTTCTCCCCGTTGCGGAAGAGGCAATTCACACCGTACAAGCGCAAGTACGATATTTGGCCGGTGGTGTGGATACAAATGACGGCAATGGTACAGATACACAAGGCTTGGTTTTTGCTCTGAAGAAATTAGTCTCATATTGCTAACGACTTTTCCGTCTCTCTAGCTATCGATCCCACCGAAGACGCAGCTGAACAACAGCGAGTTGATCAGTTGGACACCGAACGCATTTGCGACTTCTTGCGAGAGAAACATATGAGTACACAACTGCCTCCGAAAACAAATTAAAGACTCAGAATAACGAAGCGGGATATTCGCGTCTGCGATAACTCGATTATGAATATATGATCACCTGGGCACCTGCATGATTGAGCTTCACTTCGCTGGGTGATATTGGGACTGGTTCCTGTAGGATAACTCTACTTCTTGAGATTGTATACAATATAGCACTTTGACACTTTTACAAACTAGCCGAAGAGACCGAGGGAAAAAGGCCACCGGGTTATGATACTAATATACAACTTGGGACACCAAAATCAGAGAAGAGCCCTGAATCCCGCCTCGCGACTGCGATCCAATCCCAAAAAGTCAGCGACGACTCCAAGATGATCAATACCCCAGAATCCCTCAGTTTTACCCTCGGAATCCGTGCACTGGAACCACGGAAGGCCAAATGCGCCCTCTTTGAACGACTTGTCCGTATTAGCAGTTAAAGCAGCCTTGACCTCTGCCTGGGTCATCTGAAAAACCGTTAGAAAAAGCAAAAGAAAAACAATGCAACCGAAACATGCAACAATCATCGCAGAACGTACCGCTGACAGCACCTCCTGTGTCCCTTTTTGGCCAAGAACCGTTTCAAACACAGGGGCAAATCCCTCAACATCTCCAATCCGGGGATTCTCATCGACCCAAAAGGACCGGTAAACCGCTTCAATAACGGCCGGCATCTTCTCAGGAAACTTCTGCGAAATGGCACACAGAGCGCGCTGAATCGCGAGGGTTTTCGGGGGGAAGTTCTCAGGGAACTTGTCTGCCATTGGGACGTTGAAATACTTCGCCCATCGCATGCGCTCTCTACCCATCCATTTATCCTTGTCTGTGTAGGTGTTGTCAGTAACCGAATAACTAATCCGGGGCGGCTTCGTGACGCACTTTTGATATTGATAGGCGGCGTATTGTTACAAGCATGCATCAACCCTCCGAGAAAAATCGGGACGTAAGTGACATTGCATTTTGCGAACGTGGGCGAGTTCTGATATTCGCGTTAGACGTCATAGTTGATCGACTCGGGGTGAAGTTGGATTGGGGAGAAGACTCACCTTTAATACGTGGAATGCGATGTACGCAAAAGGGCTGACGATGTCAACATAAAGAGTAATCTGTGGCACCGCCATTTTATCAGATTGCGCCAGAGTAGAGCTATGATTCGCAATGCAGGGTGTTTGGAAAGGAGCTCTCCCTTGGAGAAGGCCGAATCCCCGCATTCGGTGATTAGTCAGCAGATATCAAATGAAGCCGAGGTCCAATCTTAGAAGACTCACTCGGAGTAGATCTGGAAGAAGTGTAGATTTATTACATTATATAATTCAATATTGAAGGCAGCTAGTATATTAATTGTTCTTCGCTCCGCATTTCGCATTGAACCAAGGATTTGTTCTCAAAAATAGTATCCATACAACTTTTTGTACTGCCTGGTAAATTATACCAGTGCACATGCACATGAGACTCACTCGAGAACAACCGAAACTAGTAAACATATCGGAAATAGACATTCTCTTTATCCGTCAAATCCTCAAAGCCTAATCGCACACGCTCGGACTCTGTTAAAGCAAGCGACTCCCGGTGTTTATTCTCACGCGAACAAAGTACATAGAGAAGGGATGCAGACGTGATCGTGATGCAGTAGCTGTTCAGTATTAGTGTACCAATAAAAACAATTATCAAGAAACGCATTGTATAACTGACCAAATAATCAAACCAGTCCATAGCTCTGGATAGTGTTGACCCTTGGTCTGGCTGCGAATCAACTGGGGGCCAATAATATTACCCACACAATAGGCTACGAATATAGCAGATGCTGTGAAGCTGCGTTTCGTGCTACCTGCAACATTTCCAGCTCCGAGGGAGATGGTTAGAGCCACGACCGGTCCGAAGAACCCCAGCAGTGAGTATCCCGCGACTGGCACAGCCGGTTTGAAACCCCAATCTGATTTCCAGATCATGATGAATCCAGCTATTACCGGCAGGCAGCATATAACCAAGCTCATTACTCTGATGTTGCGATACTTGGAGCATAGCCAGCCAGTCCCGATGATTCCTATTCCTGCTATACCACCTAGGGGAAATTGGAAGAGAATACTCTCCAAGGTAGAATATCCGAATGTCGACACAATCAGTGGACCAAAACCGGATACTGCACCGTTCACGGTATACCTATTTCTCACATATTAGACTGGCCAAAACCCAATAGCTGTATCCTTTGACTCACGCAGAGATCATGGTTATACAGATCAACCAAAGCTTGATGTCCAACACGGCTTCCTTGATCTGTGATAGCTTGATTTTCTGGTTATTCAATCCAGTCTGACCAGTTCGGAGTCGCTCTGTAGCCACGACTCGTTCCTCTGGGTCCAAGAACCATGCATTAACAGGCGAGTTTGGGAGAAAGAAACACCAAATCCCGAAAAGGAACGTCAACGCCCCAGCAAGAATGAAGACGTATTGCCACGGCCTCAACGATCCCTCAACTTGAGCGAATCCATAACTAATGGCGCTACCTATGATAGTGAACCAGGCAGTTCCTGACCACCACCAACTTTGCCGTAGAGCCTGCTCTGACTGGGTATAGAAACCACTAACTGTTACCATGAAGCAAGTCGGGATAATCGATTCAGTAAAACCTGGTAAAAACCGATGTAAGAAGACGAGAATTCCACTGCTGATTCTTTTTTTTCCTACCTAGGAAAAATCTCTGCGCAAAGAGGCCTTGCCAAGTAGTGACGCCTGCTGTGGCGGCACATGTTATCGCCCACAGTATAACTGTTGGGCCAAGAACATATCTTGTATCGAAGTATTGCAGCATGTATGTTAGGGGATACGAGCCGACCAATTGGCCAAAATAGAAGATGGAAGTTGCCCAGCTCAGCCTAGAAGTGTCAGTTACAGGAGGGCTGACGGAGGTATCGGTGACAGAGAGTTGAAGGTCTGCGGTCATTCCAAAGAGAACAGCATTGCCAAGGAGTGCCTTTGAGAGCCAATTCAATCAGTACCTGGCCTCCAATGTATATTCATATAATATCCCTACCTTATCATAATAGACTAAGCCATAGCCTGTAAAATATAAGTTTCGGCATAAAAGGAGGACTGGGTGGGATCAAGTTTAGTCGTACCAATCACCATTGCAGGCATGAGAAACAAATCTATCTTCCTCAATACTTTTCTCTCGATTTCTGGGTTAATTGGCGTCGCTTCATATCGAAGGTTGGTAGTGTCGACGAATATGTTCTTTTCAAGGGCATTTGTGTCGATATCCGTGGAGGGATCGGCAGCCACATTATTTTCTGGCATCTCGATTCACTCTTCTGTGTTCGAAGGGACTCTTAAATGTATGAGCCAAGGCAGGCTTGGTTTCAGATCTGGCTAAGGTATGCCTGTGGTTCAAATCGTAGCATTGAAAAAAGCTCGTATCCACGGGGTTCGGATAATCGGAGACAAGGGCACAAAGACAGCGGGCAAAACCGAGATTAGCTAAAGCAAATTGTGTGAATGCAAGCTCTGAGGCTACCAGAACTAGAACATAACCAAAACGGATGATTGATTGACGTGCATCGTCTTAGGAATGACAACATGTCCTTATATTTCCGAAAAGTGGCCAAGAAAGCCAGCCCGTATTGGGCGGAGACGCGGGGCATTTTCAGGCGCTACAAATCCTTCGGTAATTATTGGCTTTCCGTGGGAAAATAATTCAGGGCAACTTCAATCCTGGCCATTGAATGGGAAAATCCGACCGATGGCCTATGAATTATCATGTCGATATACGTGGTGTCAACACAGATCTGTTCGGCATATTGAACCGTGGAAATATCGGGATTTATGCACGGAGTAATGCACAAGGATTCTATCCAAATGCCGGGACCCACTTGTTCTCCGAAACGGAATATGTACCCAGCCATAGGGATTGGCCGACTACCAGTTCTGACAGATGAGCGACCATCTTGTATCATGATACCCTCTATATCACAATCATTTTTCCAAAATAATATGATTCGAGACATGAAATTTTGGTATAGTGTGTTGTTGAGCAGCTGAACTTCCCAGAAATCAGGTACAAATACTCCGGTCGTGCCGAACGCTCGTCCCCGCTAAATGAGTAAAGCCGGAGATTAACAATGGCTACAAGCACTCACTCTACTAGTACTTCCCGTCAGCCTGTCATAGCCTTAGAATTTCTGAACAAATAGGGGATAATGGAAGTACGCCCGACCGCAGATGGATGCGTTGACAGTGAATATTGCTGATGCTCTTCATTTTATGACAAGTGAGTTTAGAACATTCCTTCAAAAAATCATATTCTAACGATTGGTATAGATGGCTATCTTAAATCAAGTAATCATAGAGTGGTTACACCTCCAAAAGATCAAGCTCATATTGATCGACTCGGAGTTTTCTATATGGTCAGAATTGAAGACAATGCAGACTTAGTACCAATTGAAGAGTCTCCTATTCTCCGCGAAAAGGCCGTTGTAGCTCGACGGATTCTAGGCAGAAGTTGAAAGCCGATCAAGGCCGGCGAACGATTTAGACAAAGAATTCAAGTCAGAAATTTCAAGTTGGGAGCGGCTACAGGAAAACAGGGTGATAATGATGTTGGTGAAGTTGAGATTGCCAAAGGGTTGTCTGTCAGATATTTTGATTAGACCTCCAATCACAAACTTGAACCTTGGAACCTCGGGAATGGATCATGATGTTGAGATAATCCAAAAACCTTGGAAGGTTGATTGATGCCTGAGGCGTATGCCAGTGGCTAGTGCCTACCTAGGGTAGTAGTACTAGTGCCAGTGGAAAAAACAGAGGTTTCAAGGTTATATATAATACTACTGGTACCACTAGTACTATCATCTTCAAAGTGGAATTGAAGTTCAACCTCACCTGAGCATGATTTGATATATTTACCAGTGACGGGCGAGTTTCCAGTACTAATAGATGACGAACACGACGATGAAAGCTGGATTCTGCAGCCAAGCCATCGTCTTTTGGCCATTGCAACAGGCTATTTAAATAAACAATTAGCTCAAGAAAACTTGAAGGGGTGGGTCCCCAAGCCTCAGGCATCTAGGCCGCTAAGGTAGGCTGTCGCCCCTCCGTATCTAGATAGCTTCGCTTTCTTCCCCGATCTCCGAGTCTCTTCACATCGCCACTTTGTTTCTCCTCATCCACTGGTAGTAATAGAGACGAGAATATGTAGTTGCCATGGAGCAGGATTGTCGTTGATATCATGTGACCAGGGTATATGCAGTCATGTGATATCAAACCTTCAACGACACAAAATTTGATCTGCGTCAAAAGCTGAACAATTCCAGCCCCCAGAAAACGTTTAAAATTCCGAAAAAAAAAGCACATGCCAAGCCTAGACATATATCAAGCAATGCCCTGTAAATCTAGATTGAAATAACCCGTAGTTGCTGAGAGAGCTGGAATACTCGTCCCGACTCCGAATCTCCACCATTCGGCTCCAAAGAACAGCCAATTTGACCATCATGTATCCAAGAATCAAGTCCCTTACATCAAAGCGGCGATGATAGCTCAGTTGGGAGAGCGCACGACTGAAGAACAACTTCAATCAGCTGTTACAAGCAAATCGTGAGGTCGCTGGTTCGATCCCGGCTCGTCGCATATTTTTGTCCTTTTCGGATCATTTTTTGACTGTGTGGTATCATCTGTTGGTGCCTTAGCCCTAGGGCATCAGACCAAGCATCCAGCTGGACCTAGATCTCCATACTCGCTCTTCGTTTTCTTTTTTCACCATGTCTAGTCGCCACTAGATTGATTTTCATCTCTGATAACCCGAGGACATCATATTGATGCACGGACTTCTTATATCCATAGTCGAGGTTTGATTCCTCATGTAGGCACAAATTGATATTGTTTTCAACACTCGTCGTTCACTTGGGTCCCAAGATAGCATTTCTCCCACTCCGAATGATCTCTTCTAACATCTCCAGACGATCTTGACCCCACAGGGCCTCGTTCTGATAGAAATAGAATGGCGCACCAAAGACCTTTCGCGTCTCTGCATCTTCGGTGAGAGCGGACTTGAATTCCGCAAGCTTAAATTCGTTCCTCGCCCTGCCCACCAAACGGATTCCTTCAAGTCCAGTCACATCGGCAAGCGGGATAACAGTTTCTGGACTCGCGATATCAAGTTCCCCTGCCCAAACAGCTTCTACTTCTGTGTGCATGTAGTTCTGCACGAATGGGTTATCGTGCCCAAGCTCTTCGGTGGCTGCAATAAGAACACGATGTGTAAGTGACGGGTCTGCGGGGTAATATTTCGGATTGAGAACGAGCTCAATGTCACGAATGCGTTTCCAGCGTTCCATCTCAATCAGACGATAGGCCTGTCTTTGCTCCGCACGCTGCTTCACAGGAAGACTTACAGAAATTGAAAAGCATGCAGCAAATCGATCGGTTGATAGATGACTTGAGATTCCGTTTGCTTGAGCAACTGGTGAAATCGGTGACTTCCGATACATGACCATAGCGAAATGAATGAGAAGTATAGTTCCACTGTTTGACTAGTCATATTGATGTAGGCCCCAAGAAAAAGATTATGTCGCGGTGATAGCGGGACTTCACGGCGACTTTATAAGCGACAGGGGCGAAGGACTATTTTACTCGACTACAACCGGTGAGGCTGTGTGAATAATCATTTTATTGGTCATATTCAAGCCTTGTTTCTCTTGGGATTGGGCTTCAAAAATTATTGCAGTTTTGTGTGCCTTTTTAGCATATTTACTTCGGTCTTGAAGTCTTGTGTCATTGTTGCTTGGAATGGCGAATATAGCGCCATCGGAAGTCTTGAATATTATCTGATAAACATTGATCAATCCAGGGATTAAGCAAAGTCGAGTTCCTAGACTTGCATTTGAAAAGCGACGTCAATCAAGAATCCAAGATTAAAACTTCCACGCAAACCCTTGGAACAAAATAGTCTTTCTTAATAAGTGAAAATGTAACATTTCGCTATGGATTATCATTTCAGTGTCATAAATCAACTATCCTCTATTTGCCGAAGACCTTGAAACGGTTCTCGAGAGGCTCAAAAACCTTCTCGCCTGGCTCAGAGGTAGGTGTACCGAAAACGAGCTGGGCATCCAATTTCCATGAAGCAGGCAGATCCCAGGTCTTAGCAACTTGTTCATCAATAAGCGGGCTGTAATGTTGAAGGTTGGCTCCGAAGCCCTCGGACTCTAGTGCAAGCCAGACTAAAAAAAGGGAAACTTGATCAGTATTGTTATAATCACTCATAATGATGTATACTCACCAAAGTATTGGGACATAGCATTGGACTCCAATGCAAAAGGGTCGAACTTGTCTGCGTAGATGGCAAACTTCTCCTTAATGGGGGCAAGTGACTCGTAGTCCACAAAGAAAAGAACCTGATTTGAGTTAATAACCCAAAAAGTCATAGCTACCGCCACGTATACATACAGTTCCATAGGCCGCACGGAAGGACTCAAGCTTGGGCTTGGTAGAGGTCTCAAAGGACTCCCTGGGAACGTGGCCAGCAGCGACCAGCCCCTCAATAGCCTTGATAGCAATGTCCCACACCTTCTTGTGTTCCTCCTTCAAGAGGAGAACAACCCGAGAGGTCTGGGTGTTAAAGGAGCTGGGAACATGGAGGACGGAATCCTGAACAATTCGTTCAATGGCATCATCAGAGATGGGGCTTTCACCCTTCAGGCCATAGTAGGTGCGGCGACTCTTGACCAACTCCAGCAGAGTAGAGGTGGCAGAGTTCTTGAATTCAACAGCAGTGGAGCCCATTTTGAAGGTAATGAAAGGGGTTGATGTATTTCAAATTGGGTTTCTTAAAAATACTACAAGAAAACTAGCTGGTAACCACAATTTATATCAATTATGGATTTAGTGCTCCTATCTTTGGACGCATCTTGCAAGTCTTGCAACAGTCCATTTCCCCCACTATACGGTTGTTCCATGGGCTTCAGGATGGGATGGTGCGATATTCCTCAGGCATAGCACCAATAAAACTTGTGGTTCCTTCGCCATAGTCCCCGCCGCATGAAAAATCCAATGGCGCTTGACCAATCATGTATTGCAATGATCGCGGATGCTCGGGCTTTGCAAGCGCCGATAATTTTGTAAGCGGTATCGGTAACCTGAGCTCCACCCTGATTATGAATCATCTAGAATAATTATGCAAGCCTGACCAAGCAAAAAGGCTTAATATGCAGAGAATAGCAAGGGGAAATGATGTCTCTGTCTAAGCATGGGACACTGGTTTTCTAGTATATCATTGTCATAGTTGTGGGTTTTATTGTTTAACAACTTTGCGCAGCTTCGATTTCAGCTAATCCGGAAGACAGGGGTGAGAGTTCCCGAACAACTGCTCATGTGGACGAATTGACACTCAAAAGAGAATGAAGTACTCATAAAAGCACCGCATGAAAACAACAACTAACAGATAATCCATGTAAATGTAATTCAGGCTCGCAAATTACGTCGCAAGATGGAATGAGATAAATGCTATTCATTCAACAACCGGAATTTATTTTTCAATTCGGAAGGAAAGAGGAGATTGAAGGCAGAATTAAATCTTGCTCTTCCATCTGTTGTTGCTGTCGTCTTTGGAGGTCCTCAAGACAGGCCTGGCCCTTTTTCGACTGTTGTTGGTGGGCTTTTAGGGTCTCTGATCGGGCAAAAGCTGTATCACATCCCCCGCAAACCCACTTCTTTTCCCCAGTGTGAGATTTCATGTGACGATTGAGATCACTCTTCCGAATGAAAGATCGTCGGCAATCTTCGCAAGGAAACCTGAGATTGGTTTGATGTATCAAGAGGTGAGACTTGAGGTTGTAAAGTCTTGTGAATTCCTTTTGGCAGTATGTGCATTTCAGGTCGTCCTTGCTGCGCTTTTTAGGGGCTGGGCGAGGTCGGATCTCGGGCTCTGATGCGGCAGTAGAGGATTCATCTCCATCAGATACAACTTCTGCAGTTCTTTGAGGTGCCGCATTATCCTTAGTGGTCGTGTCGGTGGTTTTTTTTGCGGCCTGCGCTTGCGATTCTGTATTTTTAGCGCGAATGCTCAATTGTATCTCCTTGTCCGTGGGAAACTCGTGGTCTCGCTGAGAGAGGTCCGGATGGTAGTCCTTCATGTGTTTTTTGTATTGAGCAAGAGACGCGAATCCAATATCAAAGCCGTTTTCGCATTTTTCGTCGTTGCACCTATGTGGCCTCTCATGCCTTGCGACATGATTCTCTCGCTTATCCGGCGTCAGAAACCCGAAGGTGAATGAGCGACAGCTGAAGCGAGCACATCGGTAAGGACCTTGACCATATCTCTCCACCATATCCTTGGGTGGATCAGAGCCCTGAGACATCGAGAATGAATCTTCAATTACTGCCCGGACCTGTTCAATAACATCCGTTATGTCCGTTGAAAGTTCGTCCTTTTTTAGGGGCCCAAAAGAATGCAACTGCTTCCGGGTCGATACATAGATTTGCTGTAACTCTTCGTAAAAGGACCAGGGCTCGAATACTTGGAGATTCTTTCTGTTCCGGTCGGAAACTGTGAGATAAGATTTTGGCGATGTCCAGTGATGATCAATAAAGACGCCGAGTGATTCGGCAAGTGGAGACATAATACGCGAGTATTCATCTTCCTGTAAGGTTGGATAGGCAAAAGGAGCTTCGCTGTCATCGCTGTCCTCGGGTTGCTGGGTCTCTCGTAATTTTGTCTTCGCGATTCTTCTCTTCGCTTCCGCGATTGCCCCTTCCAAATGCCGAATCCAGTACAGAGCAGCGTATTCCATGAAACCATAGTCACCGCGAAGGGCGGCATCGCCTGAAATTGAGCCCACAAATATGGGAAGATTCAGATAGTCGATACAAAGTGACGCCATTCGGATATCGCCATGCAATGGATCTACAATTCCCGCATCCACGAGAAAGCTGTTTGCTATGATTAGCGACTATTGAGTCATACTTTTATAAAACGGGATATCGTACTGTTTTGCCGTCAAATGTATCAGCTCGACAGTTCCGTCTTTCGAGACATTGACCAAAGGTCCACAGAGGTCTTTTGCATCAACGTGGAACTTTTGTCTTTCAAAGTCGATTGATTGCTCTCGCCGGTCAATTGACTTGAGTACTTGGATTTCTCGCCATTCAAGCGGTCTCCTTGCCAGCGTGAGCCACTGAAGAACCATTTTAACATCCTTAGGTATGCCTTTTTCTCTGTGACTATCGCGAACTTTCATTTGTGACAGAATACGCCGATACCTATACTTTCATTAGAAGGATTGAGACAGGAAGGTCGCGATACACTTACGCATCGTCAAGCTTTTTCGGGTATACACTTGGCTCTAGTTCTCTTTCTATGCCAGCAATTGTAGTCTGTTGAGATAAATTGTTCCACACCAATTTCGGTAACAGAAACATGCCTTTTATCCATGTCAGCGTGCTAGAATCATTTGGGGCCAAGATGTCCATAATCACTAACCTGCCGCCCTCTGAGAAACTGCTAAAGCTATATCATTTGCTCTGTCGCTTGTAAGTTGAAACTTGACTCCTAAAAGATCCGCTTGTCGCTGGCAGAATATTTCCAAGTCTTTCGCAATGTCACTGGAATCAACTATGATTGTATCAATGTCTTCAAAATCCTTTCTCCCATGACCGTCATCTCGACTGGTAAAGAGACATCTTAATTTCAAAGGTTCATTATGAGGAGCATTCTCGACTCGTTCTCGAAACCACGCCGATATCTGTTTTCGCTCTTCTCTTTCGCATTCATCGAGACCATCAAGCACAATATAAGCACTTTTACAATGCTTGAGAGCGGTATCCAGTAATTTTTGGATCTTCTCTGGGGTTTGAAGAATTGGTTCCTTGCTCGTGCAGCATTCCTGGTCGAAGTAAGGGAGTAAATGTCGCTCTTGCTCCAACAGCTGAGCCAGAAGACCTCTCGCAATTGCAGAGAAAGTGCTGAATTCAGGATTATCGTGTTTGCAGTAGAAGAAAAGAACGGTGGGGTTTCGCTTGAGTTTACGAATCTCCTCTACCACCAGAGACGCAAGCACAGTTTTGCCTATTTCATCTGGGTTGGCTTATCTTTCTGAAAATAAAAGTCTTGGGAGAGAATTCGTACCAGATCCAGGAATTCCCTTAAGCCAAAGTAGAGGCGGAATTCTCGCAAAGTCTGGATGAATCCACTCTTTGAAAGATGAGTTTTCAAGCAGCCACGCCCCAGTGTTAGGGTATTCATTCCGTACTTTGAGCAAATTTCCATGTTCGATATCAGTGTTAGGAGCTCGGAGCCACTCAAATACTCTTCGGCATTGCCTCTGCTCTTCAAGCTGGGTTTGCTTGTATTGTTCGCGCTCTGCAATCTGGCGAGCTTCATCAAATGCGTCCAACTGTGCAGCATGGTGATAATCTGCAGTCCTTTGTGCATCGTTGAAGGCCTGCAAATGCAAATTATGGTGATCGTCCTCTACCAGTCGTGAGTCTTCAAAGGCTTGCATGTGAAGAATCCTTGCCTTGCTCTCAATCAACCCTCGGTTTCTCCCAAGATTTGCGATGATATGCTTGAAACTAGCCTGATGAGCCTTCCAAGTGGATGAAAAGAATTGTTTAAACACTGGATATCGTCATGAGCCTGGCTTTTTGCTTTAAGAGAATAGGAAATTCAACTCACGCCCTTGATTGTAATATTTTATCGCCATGCGGTGGAACTTCAGGATATCCTCATATATGTCAGACAAGATTTTAACCATGAAAGGTTCGTTATTGAAGAGCTCCTGGTACTGCTGGAGAAGAGGAATATTCTCGCCAAGCTCGTGGTAGATATCTAGTATTCCATTGAACACGTTTTCAAACTTTTCAAATGACTTGGTCGCGTTAGCTTTGCGTTCAAGTCCTCTGAGTAAGCTGGAGAGTCATACCAGCAAAACAAACTTGATCGGTCCCTGAAAAAAATGAGATTTTTATTTCTTGACGATCAATTCCATGGCTACTTACCCACACAAAGGCCACAAATTCACTGCTGTTACAAAACACCTCTACAACTTGACCCCATTGCTTCATCGCTTCCAGAAATGGACCCAGTCGCTCGAGGTTTCGTGCCCGGCGTTTGCCATTTTGTGTTGCCTGTAAGTTTCCGATACTTTTTTCGAGCTCCTCAAAGCTGGTGACAGTGGTAAAAAAGTCTTTGTCCTTTTTGCTCAAGTCCCTTTTGAACCCATCAAGAACTTTCTGGAATACGGGGTCGTGAAGAGACTTTTGTGTCATTTTGTCTCTGCCCGATCGCGTCGATTGCTTTCAAGTTGGCCGATGGTTATTTCAAAACGGGTGCGAGTGATTTCGTCGACTATTAGCAATTCAAATGCGGCTGAGCCTGGGCCTGGGCATGTAATGTATTTCAATCGGTTCTCAAACTGGGCGGTCGTGGTCATAAGCAGTGAGGCTCTGCAAGGCGCACAGCCTCCTTCACCCCCTCTCGCCGGTCGCTGCCTGACCGGGGCTTCGCCTTGTCGTGGCCCAATGAACATGCAATAAACGCAATTCCGCCCACGGTAATAGCAAGGAAAGGGTCGTTGAAATATAGGAGTCACCTAGGCGAAGTTGCTTGTCTTTTGATTGGGTTGAGAGTCTTGTCAACCTCGAACGTAATCAGCTGGCTGAGTCCGTGTCAGACGTGAAGGCACCCAGTCCGCCTCGCCTTGGCTCTAGTCCTGTCTGTTTTCTCACAATACACAGGTAAAATCTGGTTCCTCACTCCTTTCGCATCATCAAATCTTGTCTTTCGCTAGCTGGGTCATTCTTCATGGAGGAAATTCGCAAGCGAAAGTTGCCCTTCATAGGGGATGATGGTCAACAGCGCCATCCGTCTTCAACCCCACTATTACTAGAGGAGGTTGACAAGGGCGATGAGATATGTTTTGGATCTGTAAGTGAGCACTGAAGTTGATTTATGTATATCTAGGTATCTAAGGCCTAGCAGTACTGAATTGTGCAGATAATCGACGTTGAAACCCAGTTGTGTGGTTCCGAGGGTTTGTCTGGTTTACCAGAAAACCCGGAATCTGAAGAGCAGTCATTTCCTCTACTTCGTGAAGGGGACTTCTTTTCGATCACAAACGGCCATACCAAGATTGCTCTCCTGAATAAGAAGAAAAGTAGTGATCTTTCTACACTTACAGAAGCCCTTCAAGTTCGGCTCCAGGCCTTCACTTCAACCAGCCATATACATGACACGATTCACTCCTCGGAGGGAGACGATACTCGAGGCAGTCGCGGAAAGTCATTATCCGTTGAGATCAATATATATGGTTTCGAGAAAGATGCGAAAGAAGTGGGAATTATTCTCGGAAAGACCCAGAACTTCTTACAGCCCCCTCGCTACGGACTCGACAAGATGACCTACAAGAACCCTCAGATTCTTTCAATAGCTGGGTTTTCCGAAGAAACCCAAATCCCACCCCTCTCTGACTACGAAAATGATGGAGATAACTCATCTCCTGATGATGAACAAACCGTTTCGCAGGATGATGACGCTGACAATGTGGATCACTTTTTGGACACGGGATTAAGGCACGAGTCAGGAGCTAACATATCAGTCGATCGTCGTATTCAAACAGAGCTTCGTGAGTGAGTTAATATTCGAATTCTACAGTACGGTCGATTTCTTCAGTGGCTAACACCAAAATAAAGGCATCAAAAAGAAGCAGTTGACTTTATTTCTCGCCGAGAACGGGGAGAAATGCCCGAAGAGCAGAGTCTATGGAGATACAATGACAAGGATGAGGATGAACCATTGTAAGCTTCCGCCCTAGAGATAACTATTCTGTATATTGATTGGATATTTCGTAGCTACCAACATGTCTTGAATGGAGAAAAGCGACTCCAACCTGACCATGCTCGAGGTGGGATCCTTGCCGACGAGATGGGTCTGGGCAAGACTTTGGTAATATTGTCAGTCATAGCCGGGACTCTCGACCGGGCAAAGGAGTTTGAAGGACCCGACATAGACGAATCTCAACTGCAGGCCCAACCGCAGACAAAATTGAACTCGCAAGCGACTCTTATTCTGGTTCCATCAACTCGTACGCTGCGCTCGCTTATTTTTACGACAGTTCATCTAACTTTGAGGTACAGTTATTATAGATAACTGGGTTAAAGAAATTAGAAAGTGAGAGTGACAATACTGGAAATTATGACTGAAGCTAACGACTGTTAGGCACGCCTTTCCGTCGAGCTTAGTCTTTCATAAACACATTGGATTGGACAGATATTTAGAGAAGGAATTTCTTCGCAAAAGAGCTATTGTATTCACAACATATGCAACTCTTGCAACCGAGGTCCGTCGCGGAGCCAGCTTTTTATCAAACATCAATTGGTTTCGAATCGTTCTTGATGAAGGTAGAGTCGTCGATGAAATTGAGACCTTTGACAATGCTAATAAGATTGGCGAAGTATAGCCCACCATATCAGAAACAGAGCAACAAAACAGTATCAAGCTGTTACAAACTTATCTGCCCAGAACCGATGGTGCCTTACAGGAACGCCTATCCAAAATGATATCGAGGATCTGGGAGCACTTATCGCCTTTCTTAAAGTTCCCGTACTAGAAAGACCGACCACCTTTCGCAAGCTGATCTCTCACCCAATCTCTTCCAATACAAGGTATGGTTTCAAAAATATGCAAACTCTACTCCATGCAGTCTGCATCAGACGAAAAAGAGATCTATTGAAGATCCCCGAGCCCATCATTCAAGAGAAAAAATTGCCCATGTCGCAGCTCGAACGATTTCAATACCGCGAACTTCTTCATGATTGCAAACTGAAAATGGACATGGCAGTCAGTGGTATCGGTCACCAACAAAAGGGGAGACCCAATTCAACTGTTCTGGAATCTCTACTTGCGCTGCGCCTTTTTTGCAATAATGGAAAAGCGGCGACTAACATGCCTGTGGATTTGGATGAAGCATTCTCTCTTCTCCAGCAAGTAGGGGACGATATTTGTGCTTACTGTGACGGAAGAGTCCATGGTTTGAGTGGCTCTCTTGAAGCAACTGGCCTTGGTGAAGCTGTCATTCTTCCAAACTGCGAGCATCTAGTTTGCGTGGCCTGCTTGCCGGTTTACCTAGAGAAGAAGGACAGTTGTCCTACTTGTGTGCTTCACTCGACTTCTTCTGGCTCTCAGAGTAAGACATTGCACCAGGCAGCGCATCAAGAGACTCCGACTCGACAAAACTCTGGTACTTTTCGTGAAAGATATCCTACAAAGCTACGCGCTCTTCTGGAAGACATTATTCAAAACCGATCTCAAAGATGGTATATACAAACTAAATTCCTGATCACGGCCTGGGCAATAATTATTCTAACACCTCGTCATTTAGTATTGTCTTTTCAAGTTGGAGAAAAACTCTTGCCATTATCTCTGAACTACTTACAAGCCACGATATAGCATTCAGCATGATAGATGGGTCTCTTCCATTAACCAAACGACAACAGGCTCTGGCAACATACGAGGGCACAAATGATACGAACGTTCTTCTAATGACTCTTGGAACCGGCGCCGTGGGACTTGATCTCGTGTCATCATCTTGCATCTACCTGCTTGAACCACAATGGAATCCTTCTATCGAAGAGCAGGCAATTGGTAGGGCGTTGCGACTTGGTCAGGTCTCGCAGGTCAGAATCGTACGGTACATCATGGAAAGCACCGTTGAAGAAGTGAGATATCCCCCCTTTTTCAGAGATGAAACACCGGCGAGTTCTAATTCCAGCAGAGCAATGTCCTATCCCGCCAGCGCAAAAAGCGCCAGCTCGCAGGTGGTGGTTTCAAAAAGCGAAACCAGGAAAATATCGAGTTGATAAAGGTAATGTCTTTTGCTGAATATACAAGTCCAGATTCTCACCTCTGCAGGAACACGTCAATCAGGAGACCGAGTTGGACTATCGTAACGCTGACTGTGACATGATCGTTGACGGGTAAAGAGAGCTCATTAGATTGTAGGTAGTAGCATGGGGTAATCAGAGAAACGGTTCATGTGATGGTCCAATCTTGCAAAATAAATTTCGAAAATATTTGAAACTAAAGCACCCCTTTTAGTTCTCCCTGGTATCTAACTCCGTTTCGTCCCAGTCTGTCCAGTAGCCTAACAAAATCAAAGTTGAGGTGCCCACCCGATGCATTTCACGCTCACAAGGGAGAGGTCTGTAGAGTATTGAAGACACCATTGAACCAGGCGTCAAAGTCGATTTCTTCTTGGTTCCACGCCAAGGCCATTTCATCCGCATCAAATCCAGCAGACCCGGAGCCCTCGGGTGTGTTTCCGAGTAACTTGGTGATAGACATATCGTCGACATCAGCGTTCGGATTCATCTTGCTAAGGGTCGAAAAATTGGCGAAAATCCGATTGAAATCGATCGGCATGCCCGGTTTCAACTCAATAGTGCCAAAACTCGACTCCGACCCTTCAGAGATGAAAATTGCATCAACGAGGGCAACGCCCCGCTGGGCAAGGACATCCGAATGCCGTTGAGCAAGACGATCACGCGCGGACAGAACGGCATCTCTATAAAGCTCTTTCTTTGCGTTATCAGCGTCTTCTGCGATGGAGTTCACCTCGAAGCATAGAATCACGGCGGCTGTAATGGCAAAAGCGCTGTGTGTCCAGATAGAAAGGTCGTCTTCTTCGACAATTGTCTCGTGCTCGCGTAATATCGTCATTGCTGCAGCGACACATGTGCGCCTCGTGTGTCTGTATCTTGAATCGTGAAATGAGTGGAACAGGAAAGGTCGATGAACCATGATGATCTTTTCGGCTGCGGTGATGGCAAGACTTCGTCGCGCAATTCTTAACCACGGAATTTGGGCCTCTTTAGGCTTGTCCGGCCGCAGTAAGAAAGATGGTATATTTTGAACGATTGTTCGCATTTGTTGATCAACTTGGAGGATCCGCTCGTATTGTTCTCGTGTGGTCTTTCTTTTATTCATTGGACCGAGTCCATCGCACAGATCGGGCATCAGTGCGGCCAGATTCACAAGGACGCGGACATATGTACTGATTGTTGGGGTAGTGGCTGGCATTTCCACTAAATTGTAGTCATCTGCATTCATGGGGCGATTCGTAGAATAATGCATGGGGGATATGCTATATGTGTCAGTGAAGGGAATGGCGAAATGATCTTGGATAATCATTTGGCACCAGACTCTCCTGCCGACTTCTCGTTCAATCCGCTCCTCCCACTGATCTCTGTGGTCTCTGTTCTGGGACCCTACAGTTGGGTGGTCTTTGATTTTGTGAAGCCCCAGGCACTCGGCGATACGCACAGCTGCATTGAATAAGGTCGCGTTGAGTTGACTCAAGCCCAGGTTATGCGCAACCTCTGTTGAGATGACCACGGCTTGAACGGAGTAGATCGAAATATTGTTCAAAAAGTGTGAGCTATACATGGTCTGCACCATGGCAGAGAACAGCTGTTGGGTGGATTGCATCGCATCTAGATTTACGTCGACCTGCGACCGTAACTTTTGGCTGTTTTGAATCGAATTGATGGTGCAGCTCAGGACTGCAAAGTAAAGGGCAACCCAGAGAGGATGATCGCATCTCCCACTCGTCCAAAAGACTTCACATTGTTGAAGAAATGTCGGGCCATGGAAACAATTGTGATGCCATGCAAGGTGATAGACATGGAACTTGATAAGCTTTTGGGCTTCGGTGGTCCTTGGAAAATCAACCATTGACTCCAACGCCGAACCGAAGATTTGAAATGACGCGCTGTTCGTTGATAGAAACTCCGGGCTATCCCTGCGATATTGACAAGCGCATCTCCGGTGGGGATAGCATCCAGCGGAGTTTCTGCCCCAGGCGAGATGCTCAATCGCTGTGACCAGCGGTGGGTCTGTATTATCTGAAGGAGCTTCTGCAAATCGATGCCGCATTTGTTTCCCATCGACGGACTCCGACAATTGCAACGATTCGGACGCCGGAGCCAGATCAACTTGATCAAATTGCTCAGTCTGATTTCTTGGTACTGCACTATCGCCTGTCTGGAGAAGCGTGACCCTGTTCTTCAATTTCTGGGCGATCTCCGGCAGTTTCTCGGTCGAAAAGGAATCCAGATCCACCAGGATCGTTTCCAGAAATTGGATCTCGGAGGCATGCTGTACAGCATCGCGTCGCAGGCGAACGGTTTCGACTGAACAGTTCAAATTCAAACGCCGACACCGCGAACAGGGGGACTGCTTATCGCATTTTCGCTTCCGTCTGGTACATTCTGCGACCCGTCAATGTCTGCCCGGTCGCACCACAGCTCAGGGCACGCGCGGGGAAAGATGAAACATACCTTGACATGCCAACGGCCTGCGCTGAGAAAGCCGCGGGGCCGATGAAGATTCGCCAGCCCTGGGCATTGTGAGAGTCGCGAGATCGCGAGGCTATGATGCGAGGGAGAGGAGGGCGGAGGAGATCGGAAGACTCGCCCGCGGAGACAAAAAAAAGGGTCGATGACCAAGTCATCCACCATGATTGGTCGCCAGTCGAGGATGAATAGTCTAGACCATCAAGGCAGGTACAATATGCATCCGGTAGGTCCTTCAAGAGGTAGAGATAAGGGTAAACCTGTGCCTCAGAGTCTGGGGTATTCAACACGTGCCAGAGGGTCAGGTGACACGCGCCATAGTAAATAATAGTAGCTACTGGTAACAGCTAATAGCTATAGAGTATATTGTAGCAATAGCTTATTCTTAACAGCTGGATTAGTTAGTAAATTAAAAATGGATAAGTGGATGACTGGGTCTATCGATTAAAGTAACGATGATTTTTCGTAGACCAAGAATCATGCCTCGTTATGTTTTAGCCACTTTATATGGCCTTCTTTGGATCTCTACTGATTCTGCTCTGTTTCTGCTCGAGGATGCTCATGTATTGCGAAGCTTAATATACATGAATATCAGCTAGCATGTAGTAGCACTTGGACGAAAGTAACAAGTTTGATGAGAGAGAAGAGATGGAAGTGATCCGTCCGAATAAGGCTTTAAGGCTCCAAGGCAACAAGGCAACAAAGATAACCGGGGTTCGTTATTCTCAGCCTTTATGGCAATTTCAAGAAATAAAAAAAACATACCCAAAAAACCCAATTAACATTTAATTTATGCCGGATATTGTACATATGATTCGTGACAGCTTAATTACTAGTCGATGTGGTCCATTCCTCAGCTTAATTAACTATCAAAAGAGACCATTTGTATCCTCCAAAGTCCGACCAGCGGTCTCCGGTAGCAGAAACCACGCCCATAATAGACCAAAAAATGTCATTATAGCAAAAAACCAAAATGTCCCTTCGGGACGGAGGGAGTTCTGCAATAGCATGGATGGAACAGCCTATCTTGGTCAGGGATTGCAAGAAACTGGTTCATAGGACCTCGGGAGTAACTTACCTTCGAGAGTCCGTAGCGGTTAACATAGTGGAAACACATTAAAAGACTCGATCCAGTCGCGCGGACTCGTAAGGGGAATATCTCGGCGTTAAGCAAATACTGAATCGAATTCCAACCCATTGCCCACCCGATACCTACAAAGTAGATGAAGATGATGGAACCGAGGGCCGCTCGTTTGGTCGAAGGCGATTCAGCGCCAGCTAGTGATGCGTTGACAGTAAGATAGATAGCGATATACCACATTGCCACTTGTTGTACCAAGATTCCCGAGATCAGAGACCGCTTCCGACCGACGTGGTCGATGAGTAAAATAGCACAAAGAAGAGATGCAACAAATTTGACGGCACCGAAGATCGCTGTTGTGAATAGCTTTTCGGATTGGCCTTTGATTCCGAACAAGGAGAATAGCTCGGGCGCATATGCTTCGATCTTATTAGCATATTTGGTTATCGGGATGGGATAAGGGTGTGAATACTTGTGAGAGAATTGGCCCCGGACCATTGACTGAGAATCTGGGAAGAAACCACGAACAGTAGTCTCCTAATATTGGAGCGAGAGAGAAACAGCTCCTTCAGTGATCCAATGCATGATCTGTATAAGGAGCACTCTTGTTCATATTCCAGTTGTCCCTTGATCCCTTCCAGTCCCGTCGAAATCTCATGGTGATCATCCGGCAGGCCCCAGATCTTCCCCAAAGCCCTGCGTGCTTCATCCCATTTACCAACTCGACAGAGATGTCGAGGACTCTCTTCGCAAAGAAAGGAGCCCATAATCAGAAGGCCCGCCACGATTATTTGTATCGACTGCGGGATAATCCACTGCCGAGAAGAAGTGCTCGGCATATGCACCGCTGCTCCCCATGCGGCAAAATACTAAAACCAGACAGGTTAGACGATTCACAACCCATCATGATGATCACTATCGCAAAATACTCACTCCAACCATGATTCCAATATATTCCGACATGCCAAATACAGACACCAGCATACCCCGTGCGCTACGCGGCGCAATCTCTGCAAGATACGTCGGTGCCACAACCCCAGCTTGTCCAATTCCAAGCCCCATTATAAAACGACCAGCGTATATTTGACCCAGTCTCCCACTAGCAGTGATGACGATGATAACACCCGTGAGCCACAGCGTACAGAGCTGACGCATCGACCAAAGCATTCCCATACGCTCGCAAAGAAGGAAAGCGATCAGCGCGCCCGGAATGCTGCCAATGTGAACCATTGAGGTGATATTCGAGAGGCGGTTCGCTCGTTGAGATGCATCGAGGGATTTGTCTTGAAGACTGAATTCATTGACAAACGATTTTTGCGCGACCGTCGTGGCAATGAGGCCTTCGTCGAGACCTGTTGCTTTTTTTTAGCTATTTGAAGACGCGTTTTCGGGCGATTAATCTACCTCTTGACATTCCCGACAATCCGAAGCAAAGAGCAGCACATGTTAATCTGAATGTAAAATGCTTGAATGTTGAATAAAATGGCGCCAGCGTCTTCATCCTGTTGGATAATGACAAGGAGAAGAGTTGCAAGCAGCTTCTCCGTCTGGTCACGGCCTAAGAGAGCCCGAGATGAGTACCCTAGGTGTCGTTGATGAGAGCATTCGTAATAATCTGCTCAGTTCTTTCTTTTGACCATTCTGGGTCTCAATAGGGGGCAGTCAAGCGTAATAAGTTAGGCCCTATTGGCACAGAAGAGAAGCCACCCCACTCAGCCCTATAGGGCTGAAGGAAACAAGCCTTCGATTGGACCAATCCAAGGCATGCGGTGGGAAATTAAAATGCTCTAAAAATGGGGATTACCATTCAATTGAACCATACAGAGTACCCCGTACACCTTTGAGAAAGGTAGAATTGTGTTGCCTGTGAGCGGGGACGATGTTGGGATCGGATCGGATCCACACTGTTGCCAAATCTCTTCATCCCGAGACTGGCTGGGATATTTTCACATTCTGCTTCTTATAAGATGCTTGGCTATCTAAGCTTTCGTAGAATTAATTTGAATGGTGCTTCAATAATACCCAGTAGTATTCAAAGTCAATATGCATCGTCCATAATTCTCTATTGTCCAATTGCTCAATGCGTCCTACTATTTAGTCTATGATGATTTCAATTCAAAAAGAAAACAGAGCACAGTGAGTATTGGACAATCCTTGTGCAATTGGAATTTCAAAGGAATGACTTTGAAATTCATATCTGTATTCATTTTGCTTTGGGTCCGAGTTCCAAGGTTGCTTCCTTGTCGAACCCCAGACGGTTGGGTCGGGACTTCATCCACCACCGGTCGATTATAGCCTTGGAAGGGCTCAGGACAACGTTATCCGTCCATCGCTGGGCACCAATATCGCTTTTCTACGGGTTAGATATGTTAGAATGAAATTCAATTTCAGAAAGCAGCCTAAAACTTATCTTGCATCATTCGCTGGGCAGCCTATGTACCTACCAATAGCAACTACTTTACATCTGGGTACGGACTACCCCCCCCAAGTGAGTTCAAGTTCTATATTCCCAGCCATTAGCAATCTCCGAGTCTTTGACCGCCATTGATAGAGTACTAGTAACCACTAGTGGCTTGGGAAAGCCTAGTAATTACTCAGTAAGGCTTACTGATTCTTCAATAATTGTGAATGTTCTTCAAATAGTGGGCTAGAATTGTGGCCAGGGTTTCTGGTCAGGGTGTGGACTTGGCCCCAGTTTAGAACTGGTTCTAGGTAAACTGGAATACATGACGACACTCCATGCCACCGACGGGTTCCAAAATTAGTACTACTCCTGGGGAAAGCTCCCACAGAGTAACGAAAGCGGGCATTCAGTGCGGGCGCCGAGTCCAATCAAGTAAGATCCAGGAGACTCGTCGGCGGTTCCTTCAGATCTTACCCCAAGATCAAGCTCGGACACAAGTCTGGATGATCTGGCGAGCCCCAACTTTGTCTCCTGTCACTGCCCAATTTTGACAACAGGGAGAGAAACCCCACTCCGTAATACCCCGTAGGCGGTAAAAACTCCGCCCAAGCCAAACCCCAAGAACCAAAGGGAGGGGAAGGATAGGGGGGGAGGTATCGGGGGAACGCGGGGCGTTCTACACCATCATTCCTCTAGGGGAAATCCCACGCGTGGTTTCAGGAGCAAGATGATTGACTTACTTACAGGAGACACACCGATCTTCTAGAAGGTCGCGTTCCTGAAAAAGGTGGGCGATCATACCGGCTCACCGAGCCAATAAAAATGCCGGCTGCATCACCGGCTGCCGGGCCGGTCGTAATTTGATTGGTTGAAAATGCCGACGAGGGGAAGTGTGCGATCTATAGAGGCCGAATGGGTTTTGTTCACCAACTCAACTACCTGAATCCATTGTTGGGCGATAAGATACATGGTGGGCATTCTTATTACCTGATTTCCCCATAATAACACACTATATCTTTCCCTCTGTCGGGCATTGTTCCTTTTTCCCCTCCTCCCACTCCTTCGTTTAACCCTACTTCAAGTTTTTTCCCTTCCTTCACCGGAAGTTGGCCTGGTCGATCCACAGTAAGTTGTCTCATGAGATAATATTATTGCACTGCCCCGCGTTACATTTGTTTTATCTAATCGTATTCGCCTCCAGGTTTCTCTCCATTAAACGCCTAGCACTGTGGACTTGAGACCATTCCAATTTCCAACCGCTCTGTCTTTCTCTACTTTGGCATATCCACCAGCAACTCACGACTTCTACACCCACATTATTGCGACAAGTTCCACATCCAGACGGCCCGTTCAATTGATGATCGTGGCTGGGCTGTTCTGAATAAATCAACACACAATAACATACCATATATAAACGCACCATGAACCAAAACCTTCAGGAGAAGCATATGCCGCTGGGTATCCATCGCAGCGGCAGCCGGCTTGCCGAGCTCATGGTGGCGGATACCCTCGTTGCTGCAGGCTCAGCAACTCTGATTACACCAGCGGTGATGATCTTTGACAGGTGAGTAAATTCATAGTCTTGCGCAAGATTTCTCTAGAGCACTCGCTGACTCTCCCTAGACTCGTCGTCGAAAAATCCTTCTACAACCAACCACTCTTTCCCGCATTCCGCAGACATCTCTGGTTCTCTATCACCCAACCAGCCACATTTCTAGTTTCGCGCCCTAGCCTGCTGGTCTGGGGCCTCTATACAGCAACCTTTGCAACCGCCAACATGTCCGAAACCCTCCTCAATAAAGTCTATCCCAAGATCGACCATGCCATTGCCGGCATGACCACATTCGCATCCACATTCGTGGTCAACTCCTCCGTTGGCATTTGGAAAGATGTCAAATTCGCCCAATTATTCGGCAGCCCAAAGCCAACAAAGACACCATCTCCAGCACCACAACCGGACGCCAAACCACCACCTCCCCCAAAGATGGTCCGCTCCATTGGCCGCACCAGAATCCCCCCTGGCCACATACTCTGCATTCCTTCTCCGAGATGGCCTCACCATCTTCGGATCCTTCAGTCTCCCCGCAATGGTCTCGGCTACTATCCCGGACTCCATTGCCTCGCAGGAATATCTCAAAATCCTGATCGCCCAACTCGCCATCCCTGCCTCCATCCAGCTTATCAGTACCCCGATCCACCTCTTCGGCCTGGACGTATACAACCGGCCACAAGTGATGCCTACAAAGGAACGTGTCGCACGGATCAGCCGCGACTGGATCGGCGCCTCCCTCCTTCGCATGTGCCGAATCATCCCCGCGTTTGGAATCGGAGGCTTCGTGAATACCGAAGGCCGACTATATCTACATGAACAGCTGGATGAGCGTCGCACCCCATCATGAATCCACGCATCATCCAACCAATACAAAAAACCCCCCCACCAAAGAAATAGAATATCATACATAGAACAATATACCCTCATTTTGCATTTCTTTTTTTTTTATCTTTCCATTTCTAACCTCATCACGTCATTGTTTCGTTCCATTCGAATTTCGCGTTGTGTGCTTATCGGCTATCAACCCCACCGACTGCCCCGACCGGCCCGGTTTTCTGCGCTTGGCCTCGGCGTGGACCCCGGCTTCACCGGGCCTGCTCTGGCCCTGTGAGGGGCTGTAGAGAATTTTGCTTTCTGATTTTTGAATGGGTTTTTGTTTGATTTCTAGGCCCGCTTCGCGGGGTTGGGCACCCTTTTTTCCACCGACTTTTACATGCCGCCCGGAAGAAGATCCCGACCACGTACCGGTGGGGAAGTCTGAAATTATATGGTCATGACTCAAAGGTTAAGCCAAATTGAAAGTAGATATGGGAGACAACTCCTTAGTTTAGGCAATTGATTCGCCTTTTTTGGCGCTCTGCACGAGAGTATCTACTAATACGGGAGAACTCAAAGATTTGTATGCTGCAGTCTACTACTTTCAATCACCCATTATGATCCGAACATGATGGAGACCTTCCAAGTTGAAGGCTTGCTACTTGACCGCCACGACCGCGTCATATTTCTTTCTTTTTTCATTCATGAAAATTCATGTCCGAGGAAGCTGTAGAGTAGACCATGCGAAGTCTCTGGGATTATAAAAATAGACTAAAACTCTTCGAGACCTGCTAGTTAGTAGGAGACGCAGGACGTTCAGATCAGGTAATATCTTCAAGTCCATCTTCCAAGGATCCTGCATCCTCAGAAGCATCGTATTGGCTCCGCTGTGGCTCACACGAGTTGGTAAAACTTGTTATATCGTTCAAAAAATCTTCTTCATGAGTATTACGCCGAATCGGTTCCTTGAGAAGGTGGGCGTAGCGACGCAAGGGTGACATCTCTAGGCTTTTGAGTACCGCCGGGACATAGTAAATGGGGAGACCCAGGAAAACACTAACGAGGCAGAACAAGAATATCACAAGCGGGGATTGACGGGGAGCTATTTCCTCATTGAAGGCCAAACATTCGAAATAAATGCCAAGACCGATCAAAAAATCGCCCAACGCTTATTTGAGTAATATGGTAGGTGCCTTCACCATCATAAAGGAATGAAATGAAGCTGCCGTCCACCGGTTGTCGCGTTTAAACTTCTTGATGAGTGAACGGATCATCTTCAACTTTTGACTTGTGCAAGTGGTTGTCTCTTTCTCCTTTTTGAGTTGATCGAATAGGTCATCAATCTCCGCCTCGAGCTTACGGAGTGGCTCAGTACTGCTTGGTTGACTAAAGAAGTCCTTCACGTCATCTACCGTAAAGAGACTGCTCATAGTTTGCTGAACCAGGTAAGCATAGAATACGGAAAGGCCACCCGTCGAGAGGCTGACTGTAAAAGTTGCCTTGGCTGTCCAGTGCATCTGATCGAGCTTTTCAAGGCCTAGTGCTGTTATAGCAACTTGGGCTACAATAGCTGCCTAGGAGACTATAACAGGTGAATTTTAGTTTCAGAAAGGTATTGATGGTCAACTTATTGCGACCACTAGCATTGTGCAAGTGCAATCTTGCGAGGCAGACTTTCGCAAGACTAAAGCTTCATCTTCCTTAGAATTTAAAAATGCTCTTCGATCCTCTGCACAATATGATTTGCGTCGGGAAATATGATAATCAGAACCAGTGCTTATAGGCAACCAAATCTGAGCTTTAAGTCAGAATAGCTCTGGCGAATAGGCTGGAATGATATCACCTCCCATACTCGAAACACGGCCGGATATCTCAAAAGAATGCTTAGAGACTCCACGAGGGTGACTACAGGTTTCATTTGGAAGCTGCCGTAGCACGTCGAATGATAATAATTTGCAGGTGATAACTGGCAGTCTTTCTTAGTGAAATGTGAAGCTCGCGAATTTAGCTGCTCCTCGTTCACATTCACCGGGGTTCTGTCTGCGGCCACCATAAGCAGCGGTAAAGGGAGACATCTCATTGGTCTCCGGGAGACCCACCCCTGCAGATAATCAATTCATGGCCCAGAATGAGCCCTGTTGACTTTGTTCAAAAGGAGATTTGCAAGGCAAGTACAACTTCAAGATTTGGTTTCTCTAGCATCCAAAAATCTAACGTTCCCCGCATTTTCGCATGTGGGTTTCCCATACAGGCAGCAGCCTGCAGAGCCTCAAATCGTCGAGATGACTCAGCCCTGCTGTCGGTGGCTGAGCCTCGTCAGACGAAAATAAAACAAGATAAATAGATTTTACCCCTGCAACCCACCTGGGCACTCTCCAGCTCAAGTCACTCAATTCAAGGAATACCTCAATATGGGGCCACTCAATATACGGGATGATTTCCTTCGGGGACCCCCAAAAGACGCGACTGTTCACAATATCGACTTCACAAAGACATCCCCGCCAATCACCGCATTCAAGGACAACTTCGCCGCCATAGTCGACAATTTCATGACCGAGGCAGAATGCAAAGAACTCCTCCAAATCGCAGAAAAATCCATCACTCCCACAACAACTAGCACAGACGCAGACGGACCCCACTCACCAACTCCAGCTTGGGAACGCGCAATGATCAACGCAGGCGGCGGCCGACAAATCATGTCAGTCGACAGCCGCAAAAGCGGACGAATCATCCTCGACTCAGTCGATATCTCGCAGCGGATGATGGACCGCCTGCTTCCATTTCTGCGCGATTTCGGCATCGCGCGAGTGCAGAATCAGCCATTGGTTACTGGACTTGGTCCCGCGCGCCGAGGCGACGTGTATCTAAAACCACGACTTAATGAACGCTTGCGCTTCCTACGCTATGAGGGGGGTGATTATTTTCGACCTCATTGGGATGGATGCTACGTGACTCCCGACGAGTCGGAGAGGTCCTTGTTTACGATCCAGCTTTATTTGAGTGGAGAAGGCGAGCAGGATATGGAAGAGTTGCGGCCGTATTTGGAGCTTGCTGAGAAGGAGAATGCTCTTATTATAGGGGTTGACCCGGACGAAGAGGAATTGAGGAAAGTAGCAGCTCAAAAGGAGGAGCTTTCTAGTGAGACAGTGGGAGGGGGATCGGAGACTCTGTTAGGTGGTGCTACTTCGTTTATGCATGGGTTTATGGTTAAGGATTCTGTCCGCGTGTTTCCTAAGACAGGCCGTATACTCATCTTCCAGCAGAGGAATCTGATGCATGGTGGGGATGATGTCTTCCGTGGGGTTAAGTACACGGTTCGGTCGGATGTGATGTATTCAATGTTAGAGAAATAGAGAGTGCCTAGGTACTTTTTGATGCAAATACTAGTAGCGCAGAATAATATTTCCCCTGCCTACTAGGTACCTGTAGCTGATCTAGTTAGTATTTAGTTGACCGCCCGGGCTGTTCTGAGGTGGACACTACTAGTAGTACTACTGGTAGTATGTAGCTATATTTTCCTTTCGGCAATTCATTCAACTTGGTTTGTAATTGACAACAGTCGAAAATAAGAATATTCACATGTGTTGTTCGATGTCAGCCCCCTCATCTCACTTGCATTTCCGAGATGTTGAAGATGTTAAACACCAAAGGTGACCCTTCGGCCCCGCAAAAAGCCCGAGCTTATCAACCGTTTCCAACCTTACGTCATGCCGCATTCAGCACGGCGCGTGAACCGAATTCAACATAAAATACACCGCGCCGCCTCGAACTGTGTTCTCCAGACTTATACTTGCTCACTGTGTCAATCAAGTGTTTGCACATCAAATAATTGCCAATCCCTCCACCAATCATGTCGTCTACCAACAACGTCGCCTTCACGGCGCCCATCAACCCACCCGGCACCACCCCACTCTCGCTCTCTCAAGTCTGGGCCGGATTACTCTTGAAAATCCGGTCCGCCGAGACCTTTGTCGCCGCAGCAATCGAGTCCACAGATGTGATCAGCGAATCAACAGATTCGCAAGGGAATTCAGTCACCACTCGTGAAGTTCTATTCCGCGAGACACAGAAAAAGGTCAAGGAGGTCGTGACCGCGTTCGAAACGTGTCGCGTCGAGTTTCAACAACCGGACGGAAGCCGGGTATCCAATGTCATCAGCGAAGGTGCTGGCGGAGAACTCTACATGACCTACGTCTTTGAGTGGAGGCATCCCGGCGTCCCGAAGGAGGAATTGGCCGCTCTGCTCGAGAAGGAGAAACGGATGAGCCGAATGGCGGTCGAAGGGACGCTCAAAGTTATGCATCAGTTAGCCGAGGAAAAAAAAGATTTAAGAAAGCCCAGCGAAAAAGAAATACAATCATCAGATCTTTTGCTATTTAACACTACCAATCATCACTGTCATAGTCCACCTCGGGATAGATATCCCCTCCGTATATTTCATGCAACTTGGTTTCCGCGTAATGGCGCTTGAGGGCCTTGGCCTTCATATTCCGAGAATTGGTCATACTTTCGATCATCAGCTCGGTTGTGGGTGTATGAACTGGCTTCCTGCCACTAATCGACAGCCATATCTTCGAGTCGGTGTTAATGCGGCTGTCCTCTATCTCATTTTCACCCGGGCGTCGCGAGAAAACCACCAATCCTTTGACGTGAATTAGCCGGATGAGCAGAGCCCAATCTAATCGTTGCAGGCAGAATACGTCAAGTTCCAGCCTCATCAAGCCTTCACATTGACGAAGTAGCTGCCAACAGCTTTTGATATCATCCCAACCCCATGGATCCACCAAGTCACCATTGGCTGGTCCTCCCCACATCACTCTCTGGGGGATAGTCGTATCATCGTGCAAGATACGATTATGCGACGGCATGAAAGATATTTGCCTCACCCATGAACGAACCTGGGGACTTATAGCGCGAATAAACCCACTAAGCAAATTAGGATATTCGAAAGCGAAACGATTCTCAGACCAAAATATCGGAGCCGCTTCATTGTAAAATCTCCTGTTGATGAGGAGAACTTCCAGATTGGTCCGTCGCGTACAGAGACAACGGAGAGATTTCATGCACGGGTCGCCGTAAACTCTGCCAACCACATCCCAGTAGCAGTTGTCGCAAAGATACCCGTTGGTATGTGGTTTTCCCCATTTGCTGCGGAAAGGCGATTTGAAAATCTGGACTTGGGGCTCTTTGTAGCCTGCTGTTCGGCAGCTCGCACAGATGCCTTCTTGGAGCAAGCTAGGACCGGGTCTAACATTGGAAATGCGGTCCTGGTATCTGCAGGAATCCTTGTGTCTCATGTCAAATTTGCATGGTTGGATAAGAAGATGGCGGTAAACTTCGTTTCTCAACTCGGATGGCAAAGCAAAGAACCTAGCAAGCGGTAATTTAGCCCGCAGTCTTGTAACGTTCTAGTCTGTAATGCCTGACCTTTTGATAAAGTTAGATTCAACTGCCGGGTTTTCTTCTGCAAGGAAAGTTTCATTTTGGGCCAATCGAGCCTTACACCTCGATTTTTGCACGCCAGGAGGACGGGCCCGTGGGAGGCGACCGGGAAATACACGATGACTTGATGAAATAGATAGATTAGACTGCGCTAATAGAGCCATAAGCAAAATCCAGAAGTAGGTGTATCGGTAGGGAAGCCTCAAGGGTATAAGTTATCTTCAAATGGTTAGGGAATCCAGTCGTTAAATGCATCATTATTTTAATTTCTGCGGGGACAGCACAGCCTTGCAAGGCACCAATGATAAAGGCAACCTGAGAGTCACAAACGAGGCCGTGGCAATGCAAAAAACGACACCCAAGTATTCAAATACAATTTTGAGTCATACATAGTTTTCATTGTTCTCAGCCCCAGGTCTCGCCTTTCCCGATTTTGACCCCGAAACATTCTACTCTGAGTCAGGCGCAATGATCCTACCCTCCGATACCTGCACCGCAGTTCCCGTCAAGATAACCTCCTCAATCACCCTGTCTTTGCTCAAAGTAGTTTTAACGCCAATATCGCTGCGACGGCCCATCTCCACTCCCTGGATAACATGGAATTTGTGCTCCTCGCCCGCTTGACCCTCTGTCAGTGTCAGGTACGCCGCCAACCCACTGGCCGAGCTACCAGTCGCCGGATCTTCGAACTGGCCTAGCATCATGCGTGTCCGGATAACCTTCTGTTGGGTGACATCGTCATATACATCGCGGACAAAGAAGTACACACAGATCAGCCCGTTCTTCCACCCTTCGTCGAGGTGGGTGCCATCCTGCACGGGGACATATTCTCCGCCAGTAGCCGTTGTCACGGCCGCCAGGGCTTCCAACGAAGGAAGCTTGATGAAGGTCTGGCTCATACCATTCACAATAGAGAAGAGAGGGAACGACGCATCTGATGCGAAGAATGGTGCCACGGTGGGGTGGTAGTGGAGTAGGTCCTTGATGCTGAACCTTGAAGCGTGGATGCGCGTATTATGCGCGATGCGCGCGGAAACAGCCTTGGTTGCAGCGTCGGTGATCGAAATGGGGATTTCGCCTGACTTTGTCACCAGAGAAGTGACATTACTGCCGGCCGCCACTTCCGGGGCGAGGCATAGGAACCACGAGGCCGCGCCGATGGTGGGGTGGCCGGCGAACGGGATCTCGCACTCGATGGTGAAGATGTCGATTGTTCGCTTGCTCGAGGCGCCGCTGACTGGGTGCACGAAGATAGTTTCGGAAAGATTGAATTCTTTCGTGATGGTGTGCTTCTGGCTCTGGGTCAATGCAGCCGATTCGTCTTCTGGTAGGAAGACGACGGCGAGCGGGTTGCCGCCGTATGCCTTGAGTGTGAAGACGTCGAGGGTAACGAAACGAAGTTGAGTCATGATGGATTGTTTGAGATTGATATTCAAGGTCTTCAGGTATGTCGGGTTTTATGAATCGAGTGTTCCCGCCCTTGAGTCATTACCGCCGGTGGGTCGTAATCTGCCGAAGCGGCCGCTTGTCATCGGTAAGGCGCACTGTATTTTCACGATCGGTGACACCCGCCAATAGTGCATGATTTATAATGATTTTGTTGATCCTTGTGGATTTGAAAACAGTGTAAGTCTAGTAAGAGTCTTGGCCATTAACTACCTAGGTAAATTAGGCTGGTTAACATTTCGTGGGCTACGAACGTTTTTATGGAGCTTTATTCTGCTCGCATGGCAGCTACCTAGGTCACTATACATATAATTTCCCCAACATCAGGTGGGGCTTTCCTATTTTAGCTGCCACCGCTTTGATAACCCTCTAAGAATACGTAAGTAGTTGTACTGCCACTATTCGTTGGAAAGAACTAGTGATTGGTATAGTGTATAGTGATAAGAATGCCAATACTAGCGGCGGGCCACACGCGACTGCGGCGGGCCACTTCGATTCTTTCCCCCACTTTTCTTTTCCCCAAGGCAGACTTCAGGGTAATCAGCCGCAAAGAAAACGGAGCGTAATTCGCTAGAGAGAAGGCTATATGAACCTTTTCAGCTGAAATGACTGCGCCACGTACTGGTTATGTGGGGTCGATATACTTCGTACAAGTACATAGCACAGGGTTAATGTCTTCATTTGCATTCATGCATTAGCGCCGTGAGATTTGACGACTGGATGACCTGGGTCAGCGTGGCGCCATAAATGTTCTTGTTTGATAAGCTTACCACCAATCCCTTAAGTACTCCAGCCTGGCCTTTCTTCCCGCCCGGAGAAGAATAAGAATTCAATCTCACTCCTGAAATATTCCAAACATATACCTAGCAGTCAGGTGTTCCCTCGCAACCTATCGCAGATACCTATTCTAAATCATCAGGATGGAGTATCCATGGCAAACAGACACCACAATCCGGAGCTACAACCCGAGGGAACTCGCGAGTCTCAGTGAATGGACACTGCAGCTACAAAATGAAAATCTAGCTCTATCAGGAAATCCTCGAACTCTCCACAGTCCACGAGGGTCTCCTTGGCGCCTTGATAAACAAGGCGAGTTTGCCAGACCCGGACCGCTTTCGGGTCCACAAGGCCAAATCACCTGGATCAATCTCCAGATACAAGAGAACAAGCCGAGATCTCGGGTAGGAAGCCAGACCAATTCAATCATTATGGCAATAGGGGCACAGTTAATTTGAACCTTTTCTACAGGGAGAAAGTACGACAGTCATGGCGATCTATGTCCATAAAAAGGGCTATGAGGAAGGGATTACCTGGCAAACTATAGCACGCCATATCAACGAATCCACTCTACCAAATACACACTTCGGGGATATTACGATTTACGCGATTGATGGAAATTTGTGGTATCATCATGGGAAATTAGAGGCGCGGGATGGAAGTCATCAGGGGACTCCTGGGGGAGTTAGAATGGTACCGCGGTCTGTCAGTGCAACAAAAATGGATGATATTTGGTATCCAGGGGTCAGTGCGACGACCCCCAGACGTACTCATCCATACCATGATAACTAGTTGAGAGCTAGTGGTATTCCCGATACGTATATGATGGAGGAGATCTCTCTTACGGTTTACGATGTCTAGCCACTCTATCATAATAGACATTGAATGTGCTATCCTCTTCTGTTGTTTCCATATGATGAATTAAAGCACTTACTAGTTATACTACATATGTAGTGTATAGATAGGGACCCAGGGGGGGGAGGTGGGTATACAAGAAAGGAGTGACCAAAGGTGAAGTTAGTCTTTGAGAAGGTACTGCATTTGTGACTGCGATTATTAGCCACAGTGGGACAACTATACATCGGACTAGTAATAGCTATCAGTACCATACCCCATTGCCATTGTATAGCCTTTTCATGGAATCTTAAACTCCTGCGGGTGCCCACGCTCAGCTCCCCATCTCTTCATTCCCTCGATCAACGCACGACTAAATCCCGCATGATATCGCATTCCATTTTCCGGCCACGCAGGGCGCCCAGCCCTCCACACGCTCCAATTCTCAGCCATGGCTCCTTCAGGTGCACGTAAGATTCCCATTGATACATCAACGATATGCGGTCTTTCATCGCAATAATAAAAGACCGTCGCACCACAATCGCCGCAGAAAACGCGATTCACACCCTCAGTTGACTGATATCCCTTCGCCGTTCCGATGCATAGATCCTTCGGTAGACGAGGTTTGATATGATCTCGTGCAACAAACATCCACGCAACGACATTCGTCCCAGTAACCAGGCGACAGTCATCGCAGATATCCATACAAGCGAGCCATTTACTCTTATCGATATCAGAAAGCCAGTCTTTACTCGTAGGACTGGCGGTGAACTCCTCGCTAGGTCGGGCGATGGTAAATGAAACGCCACCACAATGACACTCCGCGCGAAGTTCGTTCTGGTTGCTTTGTAATTCCTTGGGAAGACTGACATCTGGCAAAGCCCGACCATCCAGATCGTCGATCTCTAGTGGCTGTCCGTCAATTTCCGAGAACACCGCTGCGAGACCGCCATCTGGTGCAGAGTCAGGGAGCATATGTGCGTTATACAGCCATATTCCCTCGTCATCTCTGTTTGCGTCGAAAACCGCAGTGGATATTGTCCATGTGTCGTTGCGTCCTCCAATACAGCAACCACAGGTGCTGCAGAAGTACGTCTTTGTGTTCGACCTTGGCAGGGAATAGGCGGTCATTTTTTCCAAGCTGGAGGGCGCGGTGAATTCGAGCTCGATTCCTGAAGGTAGGTTGGCATGGAAACAGCATGGTGCACCGTAGGTGTATCGACAAACGCTACAGTGGCACATGTGTACTTTCAAGGGGAGAATCTCCATGGGAATGCTGACGGTGAACTGGACATTGCGGCAATGGCACGATGCAGTTAGGGTCTTTTTTTCTGTCATTGCCATTTCAAGTTTCAAGATTTAGATTTCTGACCGGTGCTGTGAGAAGAGAAGAGGGGTTTATGACTCTTTGTACTGCAGAAAGTGCACGGGCCAGATCGGCGCTCGTATTTGCGGTCGTCCAATCCTATGGAACAGAGTTAATCTGAGAATGCGACCATACATATGAGTATTCCGAAGGAGATCTGGGCCAAATGATGATTATTCTCAGAGCTTTGTATTGGTATTTTGGTTGGGATTAGATGTCAACCTATAAACTTGCCTATCACGCAGAATATGGCCGGTCCCACTGTACCTACGTCAACAATGTGAACAAAAAGCGAATGCCATAGAAAAGAAAAAAAGCAGAAAAAGAAAAAGAAAAAGAAAAAGAAAGGAGAGTATTTGATCGCTGACAGATATAATCAACTGTCAAACTGGAGATCATAGCCCTAACTCAGCTTCTATTATCCCACATATGGACTTTCTTAGAGGACCAATGTTTCACGACACCAAACCCGTGAAGAACCTCTCCTGTTACCGTCAACTCTGCACTATTGGCGGCCTTGGCTAAAGTCATATGCGTTCCCAAAGGCCCTATTCAGATACTGCTGAGTGACATTCCCCTCTGATTCCCAGTCGACTGGAATTTCGAGATCCGTTTGACTGTCCACAAGTGGCTTTATGTCGTCGCAGAATTGCAACTTCATTGGATTCCGATACCACGACGCGAAATGAACTGCAAATGCTCGTTAGTCAACACGAACCTAATTAAAAACGAACAGAACCGTTCTTAACATACTCATTGCTAGCATAACGCGCACATCTTCTGTCCGATTTCCAATACCCGCATGCCAAAGTCGCAAATCGCGGATAACGATTGAGCCTTTCGGAACCACAGGCTGACAGGGTGGTCGGAGAGCACGCTGTTTCTCCAAATTTTCAGCCTTGATACGTCCGCTTGCACGCTCGCCATGGAGACCCTCCTGGACATTGAGGCCGGTATCGCGGTGCGTTCCAAGCCATATTTCTGTGGAGCCGTTCTCAGGTGTCATGGTGATCAGTGGGACATTGATGACCAGAGCGAATGGGTGATCAGGGTGTTGAAAGTCCGCATCAGAGTGCACAGGCTGTGAAGCAGGTGGATATTCTGGAGTAGGAGGCATGGCCGTGTTTCCGGAACAGAATGTCCATTTTGGTCGGGGACCCAGTGCGGTTGATGTGATTTGGATTGCGATCGAATCTTTGCCGTGTCAGTATCCTTGTATCTATCTGGCGGTTGGATTGATGGGGACAAACTCATGAAAATCTGGGACTCGAAGTATTTTAACATTGGAGGGGCGTCTTGCTGGATATTGTTTGGGTTGTAGTTGAAGGGACTGTTCTCTTTGCGTGCAAAAAGGGTGTGTGCATCTTGAATCATCTTCTCGTTCAGACGATCGAGCATGTCATGGGGCACAACATCGTTGACCACAACCAAGCCATCGTGATAGAGACTTCTGATTGCTATCTCAAGATTTTTCGGGCCAAGCTGGCCATTTTGTATCTCAATTGTGGACGGTTTAATAGCATTAGGATAACTCCGGATGGTGCTAAGAGATCGCATTGCTCGAGAGAGAGAAAGAGATTGACTCCGTCGGGTCGGGATTAATACTGACCGCATCATTTGAATTGAATGGGACTTCTCATGTCGGATACAGGGATTGAGAGGCCTTATATACTTCAGCTGCACGTTACCCCAGCTGTCCCAATTAGGAAATGGCCTAGTTCTACCCCGCTTTTCGCTTTTCGCTTTTCGCCTTTCGCTTTTCGTTTTTCGCTTTTCAATTCAATCCACTTCTTCCATACTGGCCACTGGGTTGAAATGCCACGCCCCTTCAAATTAGACCGTAGGGCCTCCAAATCCCACTTATTGCCTCATCATATCCTTGTGGATGATCTAGATCCAAGCTAACTTGTTAGGAAGGCTGGTGAGGTTGAGTGATATCCCTGCAAAGGAGCAAATCTAACATGCGTGCACATTAAAGTGTCCAGTGCCGGCGACGCCGGGTGCGATGTAAGTGAAGCAAGGCATGAGGATCACACGACTCTGATATCTAATTCCCGGAAAAAGGCGATGGGGTGCGACCCAGTTGTACACCTTGCCAAGGTCGAGAGTGTCAATGGCCCTTGGGCGAGCACGAAGCTCAATGGCTTAGAGAGCCTGGCGAGTCGTGTGAGGCCGAGCGAGAGCGAGAGTCTCGCTCGCGTCCATTCGATCAAGTCACACTCTCACCCCAGTTCCATTCCCATCTTTCCAACGATGTTGAGGTAGAAAATCACCAGCGCAACCTCAATTTCGTATCTACGGATATCCCAGAGAATGCTCTCCAGGACATTCAGGTCTTCCGTCTGTTCAGACACTATAAAGACCATCTAGCCTCCTGGTATGACCTTAATGACAGCCATCGACATTTCACGGATAGGGTGCCTGTGAAAGCGCGATCTAGTCCGCTTCTCTTGAGCGCAATCCTAGCCTTTTCTGCAATCAGTCTGCATAATTCCAGCTCCGAATCTCTGGCTGATGTGGCCGAATTTTATCATCTTGAAAGTGTGCGATACTTATTGCAAATCACGCGCAATATTGAAGATGTCGTTTCGAATGGCGAGGTGCTAGCGGCAATATGCCTTTTGCGTTCCTTTGAAATCATTTCACGTAAGAAAAACTACTTCTCCATATATGGCAATGGACCGTTTGCTAATATGACATGTTGAAAAATGACCAGAAGATCTCAGCTCCCAGAGCCATCTGCAGGGATGCTATTCCATATTGGCCAGCAATTCGATCAATTTAGATTCGCTATCAAGTCTAGCCCGAGCTGCATTCTGGAACTATCTCAGAGAAGACATCACCGTCGCGCTAATCGAGCGCCGAAAGCTAATGATCGAGCTACCCGATGAGCATATTCCCAGAAATCCAGTCACTGATGACGAATACGCGAATGTTGTTACCATCATCCTTGGACAAATCATCAATCGATGCTTCGGTGATGGTACGAGTTCTCTACAGCAGCTTTTGCTTGACCAAGTTAATCTGGAAACTTGGAAACACAGCCTTCCTCATTCCTTTACGCCTATTTTGAATCACACCTTAGCCGAAAAGGGCGAGAAAGCTTTCCCGTTCATGGGTACTCTTCATGGCTGGCATGGTACGTAGTTATTATCGATGGATCTCAGGGAGTTTTGCTAATTGACTGATACTATCTACATAGCGGCGGCTATTCAATATTACCAAACCGCAATGATTATCTTGAGACTTTCGAAGCCTAATCAGCAAGCAATTTCAGTGATCGATAACTTAGAACAAATTACGGAATTGAATCGCGAGCTGGAGAGCCGCAGTACTGAGATCTGTGCCTTGGCGCTTTCAAGCGAATCGCAAGCTGTATGGATCAATTCTTTTGGTCCGATTGCATTTTGTAAGTCTCGTCGCAGGCCGCGCCTATGGTAGAGGTACTGACTTACACTTTAGGTGGATGCTGGCTTCGAGACCAGAACAAATTCCGGGATATCATCAGCGGCGTGAAAGACTGGGGTTCTCGGACGGGATGGCCAGTCTCTGATATAATCAAATCCTTGCAGGAAAGCTCTTCATAGGACCTTGAAATAGGAGTTATGGGTATCTCATGGGGTACGAACTAGTTCATAAGACATCTACGGATGAAGATAATTGCAAAAAGAATATCAATATACAAACTTCGAAACTACTTAGATAGGTATCCCCAATCTTTGTCCCAGCCGCTTTCAAATGCCAAACGCCTCATAAGGTCATCATAAAATCATCCAGGGGCTTTACTCGGAATCGCTCTCGATAACAAAGCCTCCACGCATGCGGCGGGATGACACGACAGGCGTATCCTCCTCGTCTTCATCTACGTTGGTCTCGGGAGCGTCAGCCTTTGACTTCCGGTCTCGAGCAAAAACTAAATCATCATCAAAGTCGAGCTCATCTTCATCTTCTGCAGATGTAAGAGGAGTGTCCTCATCGTCTCGGGTAGCGTTGCCAGTGTCAACTTCCCGTGAGCGAGATGACTCGCCTTCCAGATCTGCCATGAGGATATCGTCGTCATCACTGCCAGCATCACTGCCACCGGATTCAGATCCGCGACGCTGGCGTTTCGGCTCACCAGTCGCAGCCGATTTCCCAGTATCGCTCTTGCGCTTGCGTGCACTCGCTTTCTTGCCCTTTGAGCCGTCCTCTTCTAATCGTCCAGTCAACAAGGCTTTCTTGACGTTCTCGGCTTGTTTCTTCCGTCGTTCTTCCTCGAGACGGAAGAATTCCGCGTCACCGTCGGCATCGCTCTCCTCGTCACTGGCATGGATGAAAAGGTCACTCTTGATTTTGGCCTGGCGAGCCAATGCATTTGAAAGCCGGGCATCGCGACGTGCCTCAAGAACATCATCACCAAGGGGCTCCTTCTCAGAATTGTCCTTCTTCTTGCTCTTGCGTTTTTTCTTTAGTTCGTCTAGTGCATTAGACTTGGACCGTGGGTTCGGAGGGAAGAGAATTCCTTCTGGAACCACATCTTCGCCTTCAGAGTCATCTCCGAAGTTAATGTCGAGTGTTCCCTGGTCAAGGTTATCTCGTGCGGAGCCCGTGTTCTTGCGGCGAAGCTGCTCCCGGGGATCCTCAGTGCTTCCTTCGGGGATTGGGTTCAGCATGGACTTGTTGAGTGTCGATACAGCCTCCCGGAGCTCAGTTGAGCCCATTCTCGCTGGAACAACCCAAGAAGCACCAGGTACATCTTCAACTCCAAGTTTTTCAAATCCAACTTCATTCAGCAACAGACGAAGCTTTGCGTTGGCAAACATAGCGTTCGCACAAAACTCATCTTGCGGTTTGACGGCTATGGCAAGGTTAGCTTTGATAATAAATCGGTAATCGAGGCAATCATAGACATACGGATCAGTGGGTTGGGTGCATTGCCAGCTTCAGGGTCCTCTGCATGACGAGCCGCGTCCTGAGTCTCCCAGTCCTCTCTTTCAGAGGCTGCAGAATTCAAAACATCAACGACCCATTTCACGAGGTCTGTCCGCCCATCAAGAACAAGTGCACCAGTCACGATTCCCAATTTTGCTTCAGATGTTGTCGCATCCTTTGAAAAGATTTCAAGTGTTGCTGGCGGTCGCTTGACTGTAGACAATGTTTGTCTTTCGTGCCCATACTCGAGGTAGAAAACAGTTGAGTTCATTTTGCTGAAGAGCAGTTCGGTAATCAGGGCAGGGCGTTGATCAATTTTCTTGACCAGGCGGCGAAGGATTTGTCGAACCAATTCCTCCCACTCTTTGAAGACCGACCTGTTGTTGCTGTCCATCGCACCAGGTCCCTTGATCATCCGATTAAAAAGGTTGATGATGTCCAACCTGAACAACAAAACAGTCATTTCTTGCTTGAATGCAATGCGATAGAAATAGCGGTGGGCACGTTTCAATTGCTCCGAATTCAGCTCTTTGTAGAATGCGGTAAAAGCAACGAATGTGTCCACGCAATTCTGGGTGCAAAACTTGGCTGCAAACCGTTTAAAATCGAAAGCTCGTTCTTTGGTGATTTGAGCAGCGTCCTCCATTTCCTCATCCTCGGAGTTCTGCTCTTCATCTTCCGCCCCTTCCTGCCCATTTAGTTGTTCGGCCTTCTTCTTTCGTTTGGCTTTGCGCTTAGATCGAATCTGCATGTCCGCGTTGTCCTTTGAGTATCGCTCCAGCATTCGCAGGAAGACATGTGAAAGCTCAGTAGCGGCATCCAGATATCCAAACCCTTGATCTTTGAATCCGCGGACAATAGCCAGAATTCTGTCGTGGGTTGTTTCTTCATAGAAGATTCGGTTTTGTATATTTTCGGCGATTTCTTGGTCCTCTTCAATTGGTGACACAGCCATCTCTTGGACTGTGAGAAGAATTTGGGTGAAGCATCGCATTTGGGCATTCAGATCGTCCCATTCCTTGTTGTCGAAGCTACTCTGCATAGACCGGTTCAGAGTGATGAAGGTCTCCTGGTTCAATACCCCGGCCACCAAGCCATAGCTGTCTGGTTCGGTGTCTTTGGCTGACTTCCCTTGCTGGTTGCGTTTCTTGAGTTGGGACGCGCGTCGTGCACGCTCTGCCTCAAGGAACCAGGCAACGGTGTAGAAAAACTGACGAGAATTTATTTCCAGAACTCGTTCGGCTTCACGTTCAATGGCCTTCCTGACATGGGTGAAAAGAGGGTTGAAGCCAGAATCTAGGAACTCTTCCACGAACGTCCTGAGATTCTTCGAGGCCGATGCAGAGAGGTGAGCAGGCATGTTGAAGTTGTTGTTTTGGACAGCATCTTCTTTCTTCCGACGAGTTTGGGGCTTATTCCATTTCTTGCTTTGATCCATTTTGTGAAGAGTGGTTTGGTCATCCCGCAAAACATCTTGTCCAGAGACGGTGGAAACTTTGCCCGCATCGTCGCGCTTCACCCAGATCATTGTTCCGAATCGACCATGTCGGGTAGGGGCATTTTTGGCGTATTCTCTTCGGACGAGAGATTCTTTTTTGCAGTAAGTCGCCCAACTCATCGGTTCGCTTGGCCTTCCTCTGATCTTCTTCCATGAACAATTTGTCGACGTTGACACCCTTGACGAGATGGAACAGGATCTCCAGAAGGACCACATCCTGCATGTTGAAGTCTTCTCCGACATTCGAGCACATGGTCAAGATGAGGGCGAAAGCATCCTGTTCTTGAAAGGCGTCGATCGTAGCCGATCTCGAAGTCTCCTCCTCCTCGCCTTCAGCCGCGAGCCGCGCATTTGTCGAGATGATCGCAACATTTCGCATGAAGTAAAGCATCAGCTTCAGAATACCCTCCTCTCGGCTTTCGCGCTCAGATCGGGGGATCGCCATGCTAGGTAGCGCAATTCGGATGGCGGCACGGAGGAGATTCGATCCACCATGCTTGAGAATACCACGTTTGTATTGGACCTGAGTTTGTTGAATGTATGGGGTGTGGCGATGGTGGTTGACGGTCATCTGGCTGTGGAATTCAATCGGCCATGTCAAAGGCACAAGAAGTTCCACTGCGCTCATGTTAGCTCGTTCAGGATTACGATGAAACAGATAGATGTTGGGTAGGGGCGTGACATACAACACGCCAGTGCAATTCTCGTCATATGCTTGCTCTTTTGTCCAGTATTCCACCAAATCGAGAGAATTGGAAGCAGATCACCGTTCACCAGGTTCGCCTCTCCCAAGCATCTAGCCACGTCCATTCGGTTGTTCTTCTCATCGTATAATTTCAGCCATCGCTTGATATCGCGGAGACATGCCAAGGCATCATCTCCCAGTACGTATTTATCTGCGTCTTCGCCATTGAAACCTCCGAGCTAAAATGAGGGTTGTCAGCCAATCTTCAACTCTCCTACTGCGGCGATCTGGGGAAGTGGCACTCACGGCAGTGACCAGGCTGTAAACGTAGCCACGCACATCCGGGTCTACGACCTGAACATCATGACCCAGAGCAACAACCTCCTGCTCCATGGTGGGCGATGGGATAGGTGTATATCGCAATCAGCTTTCACTTCACAAATGTAACTCGAACGGGCGACGCGTTCAAGCGCGTTCCTGTTCCGCGTTTCGGCCGCTTCGTACCGCCTCGGCGATTCGGAGAAACGAACTCACCGCCGCAGCCGAGGATAGCCGATGACGTCGGGAATTACTAGGACAAACACGTGAATATCTATAGACGCTTTGCTCCTTCTCTCGTCTTTGACTCTTGATCACCTTCTACTTCACTCACAGTCATGTTCGCCTCTTCTCTTCGCTCGGTCTGTCGCAATGGCCCAACAGTGGCCCGCGGTTTCAGCTCTACAAGCGTGGCCAGCGCTGCCGAGGTTAAGTCTCTCGGTGTCATTGGTGCCGGTCAAATGGTTCGTCTCATGTCTCTGGCCCTGGACTGGAATCTAGGGGATTTTAACGAGAAATAGGGCCTCGGAATTGCTCTAGTCGCCGCGCAGAGGGCTCAAGTCCCTGTGACTCTGATTGACACTTCACAAGCATCGTTGGACAAGGGTCTCAAGTTCGCTGGTAAATTCAACCCCACCACCATAAAGACCGAATAGGTCCGCTGTTCCAATTTTTTGCACCTACAAGGATTCTAATACTTAACGTTGTTGTTTCCATGTCACAGATAAGCTTCTCGAGAAGGATGTCTCGAAGCAGCGTATCACCAGAGAAGCCGCCGATGCGGCCCGCGGCCTTCTTACGGCCAGTACCAAGATGGACGACCTTTCATCAGTCGACTTTGTGATCGAGGCCGTTCCCGAGATTGTCGACCTCAAGCAGAAAATATTCGCCAACCTTGCCCAGATTGCGCCTAAGCATGCCATTCTAGCCACCAATACGTCCTCCATCTCCATCACCAAGATTGCGGCCGCTACCACCGCAGACCCGACGGATCTGCAAGCCCCATCACGAGTGATTTCAACCCACTTCATGAATCCCGTTCCTATCCAGAAGGGTGTTGAGATCATTCGTGGTCTGCAGACTTCTCAGGAGACCATGGATACTGCAATTGCGTTTGTCCAGCGCATGGGCAAGGTGGCCTCCGTCTCTGCCGACTCGCCCGGCTTCCTCGCCAACCGTATCTTGATGCCCTACATTAACGAAGCAGTGATCTGCCTTGAGACTGGTGTCGGTGGCCGTGAGGATATCGACAACATCATGAAGACCGGTACCAATGTCCCCATGGGCCCCTTGGTCCTTGCGGATTTCATCGGTCTCGATACTTGCCTTGCCATCATGAATGTCCTGCACCAGGAAACCGGCGACAGCAAGTACAGGCCCTCTGGTCTTCTGCGCCGCATGGTCGATGCTGGCTGGCTTGGAAAGAAGTCCGGTAAGGGCTTCTACGATTACTGATATCCATGCATATTACCTGGCTGAACTGATGAGCAAAATTGGTTTCTTTTTGCACTATACCTCCTGTATCCTACCATTCTAGATGGCCACTAGCCCTTGATCTATATGAAGTTTTTCCTGGAAAACAGCCACAACTCCCTCAGTACCCGTGAGATCTCCCAGCTTGATCTTTACCAGATCCGTAGAGTTCGTGTTCACAGCAGATGTGACCCCTTTTCAACCAACCATTGCCTCCCTTGAGTCTACTCGGTCGTTTCCTGCTCATCATGATCCCTGGCGGCAGTTTACCTCGCGGCGCGATCCATACCGGCCAGAACATAAGCAAGAGCGAGATCCCGGTCCTCTCCCAAAATAGTAGCATTGCGATTATCAACCTCGGCAGCCTGATCGCAATGACACCCAGGCCACAATCGTCCACATGCATAACTAAACAGTGAGCGTGAGTAAAGTCCAGGTCCAATCCACAACGAACTTACCAAAATTCCGTATGACAAAGTAGGCATTTAACATGTTGGCATCCCTCCATTTTTTCAACCATGGCATGGCAACTAAAGCATCGCTGCCAGTGATTACGCCGCGCTACTTCCAGCACCCCTGCCAATCCAGGGTCTTCGACACACTCGCGATCCGCATGTGCTAGGTCTCGACACTCGGAGCATATCAAAGTGCGACAACGAGGACATTTCTGATACTTGGCGCCGGGCTTCTGGTATTTTCTGACAATCAATTGTCTGCAGCTGGTTTGGGGGCAATACAAGCGTTCCGCTAGTGGCACCGCCTCCTCGTCGACTCGAGAAGTATAAAGCCGCTTCGTCCGCGTGCTTAGCGCCGACGAGATACGATTCACGGGAATGATTTGTTTGCAGCACCGGATCGGAAACTGGGTTCTATTCCGCAGGAGAAAAGAGCCATTTTGCGTATACAAAGATGGCAGTATCGGTGTTCGCAGGGCGCGGTTATTAGCTTATTGGCCCGGGTGTCTTCGTAGCAACCGACGCATTTGCTGTTTGCCAGTCAATGGTGTTACCCCTTATAGTCAGCTTTGGGGGAAATTACTGACTCCTTATTGGTGAAGAATATCTTCAACATGGACTTTAGCCGCATTCCAATTCCGACCTTTTTGATGTCCGATGGGTACTTGGGGCCTTCTCGGCAGGGATTCAGAGACATTGTCGTCTGCTCGTTGATCCGGTCATTTGTGGGTCGATCATCCAGCTCGGTCTCGGTCGACGGCTCATTCAAGAACCAGAACCCTTTGGCATTGGCTTATGGTGGGATATAATTATCTTGAAGGTAAACTTTCTTTTGAAAGAGACGTGGTAAGGCCTTGATTGCTATCGAAATTCCTCTTGGAAATCGTTGGGCAGGTCGAGGGACTGTTGCTGGTGGTTCTGCCATATTTGCGTTAGATAAACAACTTTTGTCAGGGTACAGCGAGATAATGGGGGAGATCACTCGCTCAATATCAGCCAAATGGCATCTTCCGGAGGGTACATACCGGCGTCGGCTTAGCAATTGCTGTTCTGAACTCCTGTGGTGGGCAATCGATTTCGTAGGATGTGAAGGCAATACCCACAATGACAGAAATGCAACCTATTTGATAGCTTTGCCATAATTTTTCTTGGTTCAAAGGAATGTGTGACGTGGTAACTCTATCAATATTCCTATATTCGCGTTGTAATTTTACCCTATAGGGTACCAGTAAACAATAGGGTTGCCGGGTAGGGTTAGCATCTGACCATGGTTTTATATGGGGACTGCCGCGGATAGGTCAGGTCCAGATGGACTTTGATACTACGTAGGTAAGAACGACTCAACATTGCATCACTTCACTTGACCTTCTCGAATTCTCGAATTGAGTCATCTTTCCATATTCAACCTTGGACACAGTTAGCTTCTCATGATCGACAACCTTGGAACATCACCACCTTCGAAGAGCCTAAGAGCAGCAGCCTCAGGCATATACTTATCAGTCCGCATTGAGACATCTAGTTCTTTAGCTAGGCATTCATCATTATCATCTGTGTTCCATAATTGTACTATATTGAGATATAGTGCAGTAGGCATCTACCTCAGGCAACCATGTCGTGACGTGCCTTCCTCGCCTGAGTACCTTCCATTGTCACTACCCTCACCCTCGCTCCTTCCCTCTTCCAATCCCCTCTTCCCTCTTGTCTCTCTCCATCCTCACTTCTCTCTCCTCTCTTCTCTTCTCTTTCTCTCTTCTCCATTCTCACTTCTTCTTTTCAGTTCACCAACTCCTTGCACTTTCTACCTCAGTCAGTGCTACCAATTTCCAAGTTTAAACAACCAACAACAGCAGAAGCTGCGATATCACATCACTTGTAAGTCCCATCATTCTGATCTGTCCTAGACCTCTCTAACCACCCGCTCTAGCCACCGTCAACACGATGCGAGGATATTTCAACCCCGATTCTCCGGTAAGCCGGAAGAAAATGTCAACCAATACATCCAAGCATGTCGTCTCATTCCGCTCTATCATGGCTATACAGAGAACTATATCGATGAGCTCCGCGCATTGGCACTGTATCAAGGAACCTCTAAAGAAGCCAGATCGTTCCTAGACACGCTTCCTGAAGCTGTCCTGAACGACTTTGCTCAAGCCTCGACCCAACTCAAGGGAAAGTTTCCGTGGAATCCTCAGGCACAACAAGCGATTGTCCTGGAGAAAATCACCACCCTCAACAAGCGGAAATGTCACTCGGCGAATACATTCAAGAGGGCAAGAGGCTCCAGAAGCAGATTGTCCCAAGCCAGCTTATCTCGCTTTGCCAGTGGTGGCTTCTCGGATTAAACGACCAACTCTCAGGGCACATTGCAATTACCGCATGGGCGAAGTTCGCTGAGGGCGATTTGTCCTTCGACAGCATCGTCCATTATGTGAAATACCCTGGCGCGAAGTACAGTGAGAAGAATCGTTACACGTGGTCTCCAAGTGTTTCGGCCTCGACGCATGACTGGGATAAAGCTTCCGCATAGTATTTCCGAGGGTAGCCGACTATTCGAACGGGTTCATGATTCGGATTATGAAGATACTGTGCATCATCGGGTACAACACCTCGGTATTGCCTATCCAAATATTCAACATGTTTCCCAGCCAGTGAGAGATAGTAGCTAGAGCTTCAATCAATCTCGTAGTATGGTTTCAACAACCTTACTAACTTTGTGCCAAACTACATTTAGACATATACCAGTCAAGACGAGCTCATTCAACTAAACACTATAACTAAAACAAAGGGTATCTTAGATGCATTTCAACTTGTCTTTAAGTAGACAAAGTCCCCAAACTCCGGAAAACAACCAACTTTTGCAAGTTTCGCGACCAGAATTATTCAAATGTTCCCAGCGAACCTTCGGCCAGCCCATCCAGATCCATATTCCTGATACTCTTGTCTGGAAATCGCAACCCTGCTCAGCTCTTCTCGATTGGTTGCGAGGCGGGAGCCTCCCAGCCATGTAGAACAGATGGGACTGTTTGCCAGTTAGTATCAGATGCAGCTAGAAAAACATTCAAAACAAAGCAGTTGTACTTACTCTTCAGCCCGGCGCACTCTCACGACACATTCGGATGATGTAATTTGACGCAGCTCGGTTTCACTAGTAGATGAAGGAAAGTCAGTGATTTGAGCACCAATAGAGCGAGGCAAAATACAACTTACAGCCGCTCCATGAAGCCTGGGATCCCAGCATTACCACCGACGACGAAAACATTTGCCAAAAAGGCAGCATGCAGTCCAGCGGGAAGAACAGACAAACTCTGCAGGATCATCTCGGGGACTCCAGCCTGTTTCATTCCAATATCACTGGGGCGGAACAAAAGCTCCGGAACAGCAAAGCGCTCATTGCCCAAAACCAAAACATCCTCGGAAAGAATTTCAGAACTTAGCCCGGACAGCGCGCCTTTCTTCTTCTTCGCCTCCAACAGAGGGTCGTGCGGTCGCATGAAACCCTTCTTGTTCGCGTTGGGGTCCGGAAGCACAAAGTCCACCACAATACTATCGTCCGAAGCAGCCTGGCGCTTGAGGTTCGCTTTCCAAGTCTTCTCCATATCCGTCGTGAAATCATTGGTCACGAAGCACACTGACTCCTTCACCTCATTCATAATATAGCTCTCATCCACCATGTTGTACTGCCTCATAGACACGATCTCCTTCAGGTAGTTCGTCAGGTGTTTGCCGCCAATGTCAAGGCGGCGTATCGCGCGCTGGATGGGGAGTCCTCTATATACGGGCGTCACGGTCGTATGTGAATAACCGGAGTCGACAACAAAAAGGCAATCAGCAGGCAAGATACCCGTCTCGGGCTTGCGGAGCGGGTCTCCAAATAATGAATGGACCTCATTCCATGCGTTGAGCGTCGGGCCTACAAATAGCGACAGCGTCAGCGTCAGTACTGATCCTCCGCCTTCGTCTTCACCAACCGACTCCCGGGGTTTATTTCGCATAACTTACCCAAGCACCTCACATAACCGCCAAAGCCCCATTCCTCCATCACCATTTCGTCCGTATTGCGCTGCAAAACAGGCATGGTATTCGGCGCCTCGGTAAGCACGAGCGTCGTATCTTCCGGCGTCGGGATCCGAATACCCTTATTCCGCGCCGTAGCCTTCTCCTCGAAGAAAGACTGCTCCCAAATCTCCCTCTCCGCCTCCCAATTCACGAGATATCCCTTCTCCACCGGCCGGCGGAACATCGCCTCGTTCCAGTCGTTGACGGTAGAGGATATCTGCGGACCAACCACAATGCGATTATCGCGCGTCTTGACGAGGCAGTTTGGAATCGTGGTGCATGCGGATAGGGCTTCTTCGGCGGAGGTCGCATCGGAGGCATAGCCCGCTTTCATTGTATAGGCGCCATTGTCGATGATGAAGGTTTTTCGGCGGGATGCGCCGTGATGGGACTTCTGGTTCGGGCTTTTTGGCAGGTTTTGCTGCGGTGCGGGCCTTTGATGTTCCCATGATTCTGCCCGTGGGTTTGAATGGAAATTGGAATCTTTCAAGAGTAAACTCGCAGAGTCGGAGAAAGACGAGTTGGCTCCGAGGGCAGCTTGAACGCGGTCTTGAAATGTTTGTCGTGTTTGACTGCGCGTCTGTCTGCCTCAGGCTGCCAATGAAACTACTACTTACTACCTTGAAATACAGGAACTAATCTGTTATGTATGCGATTTTAAAGGAGAGAGTAATTAACATTTCATATTAACTGTAGAACTAAATCTCCTTCTTTTTACCAAATACTCAATCCACATACCCTTCCATACGATGTTGTACAAATACCAACCTTGAAATTTACACCCCCACCCCGCAGCCCTAACAGAGCCCCGCGATCAAAAAAAAAGATCCATACAATTTCCTCCCCCCAACATCCAATCCAACCCTTCACAAACCAACCTCCCAAACAGCCCACAGCCCACGAAACAACCCAACAGCATCCCGACAAAACCACCACCCGCCAAAATGGCCCAAATAACAACCCTCCTCTCCTCGACCCTCGCCCTCCTCTCCCAATTCCAAGAAACCCTCACCCCAGCCCGCGCCGCCGAGGCCCAGACACAAACCACCCCTCAATCCGCCAACGCAAAACCCCTCACTCTCCTCTCAACATCCTCCGCCGCCCTCCGCGCCCAAGTAACAAAGCTCTCCCTCCTGGCCATAACAACGCCCTTCACCCCATCAGCCCTAACAACCGTCCTCCGCGCCGTAAACGACTCCGTCCTCCCCTCCCTCGTCACAGCCGCTCTCCTCATCACACCCGCGGAATTCACCCGCGCATTCCAGGCCGAGATCCTCGTGCTTGCGCGGCGGGCGCTGGCGGAATTCGCGGCGCTGGTTACGGTTGTTAAGGGTGTTGCGGAGAAGAGTGATGCGAAGAATGATAAGGATAAGCGGGAGGAGATGGCCAAGGGCGAGAAGGATACTGTTACCGTTGCAGCGGGGCGGGTTTGGGAAGCTTGTGATTCTTTGAGCGGCGTTGCGGGGAAGGGCGTTGTTGGGTTTGTGGTTAGGCGGGTTGAGCAGTGGAGGGATCTTGTTCGGGATGCGGTATCTGAAATTGAGGAGTGGGATCCGGAGGATGAGGATGATTTCTTTGATATGATTGGTGAAGAGAAGGAGGAGAAGGATCATGATCAGGACGAGGACGAGGACGAGGACGAGGACGATGATGATTCCGACAATGATACGGCTGCGCAGCTAGAGCACAAGAAGTCTACGCTCCGACTTTTGAAGATCGTTGCGCAGTTTTACCCGGCTTTGATTAAATACCGGTTGCAGGGTGTGGAGGAATTTGCTACAGCGGCGGACGTTGGCAAGGTGGAGATTCTGATGTCTCATCTTGAGCCGGTTAGTGATCTTGTTGATGAGGCTGCTGGGGCTTTGTATGAGGATGATTGGGAGCGGGCTGTGGGGTTTTTGTCCAAGATTCGCAATCAGGCTGCTATGGCTGCGAATTTGCTTGAGAGGCCTTGGGATGCGGCGACGGGTGCTGGGGATAAATATCTTGTTTGGGAGAAGACGTGGCTTAAGGTTTTGGTGGAGATTGGCGAGTTCCTTGATGAGTGAGGTCGTCATCACCGTGACCTGGACCACTGCATGACACCACCACAGAGGAGAAGCTTGGAGTTGAGTTGAGATTGTACCTAGTTGATATACCCGATAGATGCAAAGGAGTCTCCGGAAAACAATAATGGAATTTCAAGGCATAATAAATTCGATATTTGTTTATGTACAGGCTAGAGAAGATGATAAGATAATTATTATACAAAGGGGGCCATCGACGATTGCCTTGGGCTGTGTTGAGTGTTCCCCTGTTTCCATTCGTCGGCGGCATTTGCTCTAGAATTCGTCAGCATTGACATCATCCTCTTCCCATTCAGGCATGTCTTGAGCAGGAATATGCTCCTTCAAATACTGCAGCACAGCATCTGTCCCTTTGGCAACAACCTGCCACCGAGGAACCCGGAAACGATTGCCAGCGACTTCGAACCGTCTCAACGCTGAGCCAGTGCCCCAGTTACGAGGGGAACGCTCCGCAGCCAAGAGGCCGATCTTCGGTGGCAACGATTCAATATCATTGTTACTAATGTCCAGAACTTGGAGACCTTGGGCAGCCTCAAAGTCCAGACTAACGAGCCGATTATCTGAGACCAGGAAGGACTTTAGTTCTGGGAAGATCTCGCGGATATGCGGCAAGGGTCCTGTCAGTCGATTGTTAGAGACATCAAGGACATTCAGCGCTGGAGCCTTCAGGTTGGCCAGGAGAGATTCAATGGATGTTATTCCAGCGGCGCTGAGGTTGAGTGTTTGGAGTTTTGGGAGCTCAAGGGGTGAAGACAGCAGCTCGGCGCTGTCCAGAGGATTGTGCGAAAGGTCAAGCTCGGTTAGATTCTCCGCAAGCATCTCCAGTGCTGATACCGGGAAGCGAGAGATTTCATTGTGCTGCAATTCAAGTCGGCGAATCTCTTGCAAGTCGATCATTTCCAGTTTCCAGGTCTCCAGCTCGGTCATCTCTGAATAAGATCTGTCTAGAAGACCACCGGCTCTCACCTGCCAGCCACTCTCCAGCGCCGGCGTCTCTGGGGCAAGCGTAAACTGCGTCGCGACAGACCCTTCATCGTCCGTGTCTTGGGGATCGGGCTCACAACGACTGCGCATTGCCAGAAGAATTTCATCCGAAGACATGCTCAACAATTTGCGTTCGCGAAGTGGGTTGTTTGCAATTCGGAAAGATGTCAAGCCTTCCAAAAGACCAATCTTCTCATCTAGTCGAGTGATGTTGTTTCCGGTAAGATCGACGTTCTTAAGTGACTGAAGTCCCACCAGTCCTTCTGGAAGCTCCGCAAGGCCATTATCCTCCGCCGAGAGAACGGCCAAAGACTGCCAGCCGGATATGCGGGGTAAATATTTAATGCGATTTATACCGATGAAGAGACTCTGCAGTTCTGGCAACGCCAGGTTGTCATTGGCAGCAAATACTTCGATTGAGTTGCCGGCAACGTTCAGCGTCTGCAGATTTCCAAGAACGTCGACAGATTCCGGGATGAGGGTGCCTTGCAATGCATTTTTAGGTGCATTGAGCGTTCGCAGAGGAACCTTGCTCAACGCGGCAAAAGGTAACGATGTCAACTGATTTTCGCCAACATCCAACAACTTGAGGTTTGTTAATTGAGCAAGTTCCTTTGGTAATGATGTGAGAGCGTTACCGCGGAGGTCTAACGCTTCTATTTGGTTAAGGCGGCCGATCTCTCCCGTCAAGGATCCTTCCAACTTGTTATTTGCAAGTTTCAAATCCACCAAAGTCGGGATCTCGAAAATAATTCCGATCTTCTCCATATCAAAGGAGTTGTTGGAGAGGTTGAGAGAGCGCAGTTGCCGCAACTGCCGGATACCCATTGGAAGGCTCTGCAGCACATTGCCATGGAGATCCAAACTCTCCAGCCCGCCGAATTGAGGCGCTCGTTCGTCCCGCTCTGGGTCAAGATTCTCTGAGTCCACGTCTGGGAATGTAGCATCGGAGATTTCGGCGAGTTCGTTATCTGCTGCGATGAATTTGACCAGGTCCACATTCTCGAACCAGTTTGTTGCGTCGGGGTCAAATTCGTACATATCGATCACCTCCTGGGGGATCTCTGTTAGGGAAAGGGCGGCGATATTCAATGTGCCCGAGGTACGAGCACCTTCCACGCGTTTTCGTATGACGCCGGGGTTGGAGCCCTTGGGTAACTGATTGAAAGGGTCTTCGTCAATGGTACCCCATGAATCTGCGGGCTTGACTTGTGGTGCAGGTTCCTTCTCGTCATTCGTATCACTCTTTGCGGCTGCCTTTCGAGCTGCCTTGGCCTTGGCGATGGTGTCACGTAGGGCGTTCGATGACTTTGAAGCCTTCCTGGTTTCATGCTCCGCTTGTTGCTCGGGTGTAAGTTCATCTGCGAAGTTGGATGCCGCGGAAACGTATCTGGAAGCGGTTGACGGCGATCTCATTGCTGATGGTGACTCTGTCTGGGGCTTCCTGGTCTTCCGAACATTGAGTGGACGTTCGGGGGGGACCCATATCAGTCTTGACAGGCTTCGGGGCTGGTTTTCCTGCGGAGGGTCGTGCCAAGGATGGTCTAGCAATTGATTTATGATTGAGTGTATCCTGCGATGCCTTTTTGAGGGGCGTTCTCGCCTCAGTGGTACCACCGCCAAATGCCATGCTGTGTCTCGTCGATGGAGCCTTCATTCTTGACGGACTTTCAACGGCAGCCGAGGTCTTGTTTGGTGACAGGGGTGTAGATGATGCGATCGAGAGGCGGTTCCGAGACGGCAAGCGGAGCTTGGATACAGGTTGTGATAGGAACTCGTTTCCTTCCGTCTGGCCTGAGGATGATCGCGACGGTGATCTGGAGTAATTGGAGACATTCGATGGTGTTTTGGAGGGAGAGCGCATCGGGCTGGATTCATTGAAGAAACTAGACTGTCGTCTCACTGATGCCGGAGATGGGGGAATAGCCGATATCGTCTCGACTGTTCGGTCTGATAGCGATGGGTGAATCTGTCGAACACGGCCGCGAGCTTCTTGGCCATCTTCATCCCCCACCAAGCTCGCATCTTCTAGCTTGTCGTTTCCATCTAATCGGCCGGCGGGTGAGTTTGGCGCAGGGGATACCGCGTCACGGGTTTTCGATGGGGATGAATAACGCGAAGGTGGTTTGAGGAGCGATTCGTACGAGGGTCGTCGTAGGCGGCTATGGTCAAGACCAGGATCGGCTTGTAGGCGATCTCGTGACGGTGAGGGGCGGATCGACTTCGACGCGGTGGTGGTGGGCAAGGGCAATCTCGAGACCGGTCGTGGAATTCCACTCGGTGGGCGTGTAGCTATTTTGGGCGGGCTCTCCATGTTGGCGTCTCTGTTCTCTATGCAATCAGAGAGATTGGTTCAATTAGGACGTGGGCCAGGTGAGGAACAGAGCCACACGTCAGAAAAACCGAACGATGTCCGTGCAGAATCAAGAATGTGAAAGGCGGGGGAAAAGCAAAAGGAGTTCGGATGAAAAAAGTGGCAGGCCCACCTTCATGACAATTCGGAGATTCTCTCACCCCTGGGGATTACCAGATGGGGAACTGATCGAAGCTAAATTATTGGAGATCTGATTGTTTACTTTTATTTCCGCGATAGCAGCCTCAGGCATCAACTGTTTCTATAAACAGCCATACCAGAGGGAGCTTGCAGATATCTACGACAATCATGATCCGATGGTAAGACAATATGCTCGGGTAGTTGCAGAACAAAGAGATCTATGGTTTTGGTGGACTGTTGTTCAAATGACTGGGCAATCCATGAAATGCGGATCCATGCAGCTGTGCTGTACTTGTCCAGTTGATAAATGGGCTAGCTGCAGAGGAGGCCGGAGTGGCCGGTCTGAGAAGGCTGCTCAAGTGAAAGGAACTAAAAGTATTTTGCGTGAACTTCTGAACTTGGACTACTCCATACTATCGAACGGGACGTCTACTACTATCAGGATGTAGGAATGGTGAGCCATGTCCAAGGTTGATCTTTAACTACTATGACTACCTAGGTTCTAGTAGTACTAGTACTAGGATCCTCGCTTAATGACGTATTCCATGCCCAGGTGGTTATTGCCAGAGTTATTCCTGTTCGTGGTATTATTGCAAGGCTGCTAGCTGAAGCTGAGGCCATTGACTTTCCCAAAGTGTGTATATATTATTTAATGGTATTGCTCTTGAATATATTTCCACCATCAACCCAACCACTTGCTACCACTTGCAATTACTAATCGTACTAGTAGGGTTATCTGCAGAGCCATTCCTTCCAGTGGCTGTCAGGTAGTATTCCATTCCAGGAAGCATTCCACCTGGAAGTTTTAAAGGTTCATGGGTTGAGACCGTACTAGGCCGATCAGGTACCTAGGTATCTATTCAGGTACCGGCATTCTTAGGCATGGTCGAAGAATGTTCGAAATCCCAGCCATTGCAATGGGGGTATACATAAATATATAGCGTATTCTGTATACTGGATACTGGATACTGGGTAATCAACACAGAATAATCTGTACAAAGCAAGGACAGTGATGCAATGGTATTGTTCAGCTGAGGTTATCGGTTGCCAGTCCAACCCCGTCGTTCGCAGCCTGTTTACCACCAAAATGGAAGCGTCGATCGGTACACCAAGCCGCATCGGGGAATGTGGGTCCCTTTGGCGGTTGATCCGAGTTTTTGATTGGTTAACAGTGTCACATGGTTGAGTCCCCCAGCCGCATTTCGCACTGCCGTTCCCAGCCCCCTCCTCCACGATATCATTAATCCCCTCTCATTTATGCCCTTTCTTCCCCTTCCCCCTTCCACTCCAACTCCCCTTCCAATACTCCGCACACCCTTGACTCTGACACACTTTGCGCAATCATCACACCTCCCCCTTCTCCCCTCTATCTCTTCTCCGGTATGCGCCCGACCGCCTTTCAATGGCTCCTCCACTTTCTCTATCGATAGCGATAAACTAACCCACCATTCCAGTGCGAGGATCCCCCTCCAAATCCCCACGGCTGGCCCCTTGAGTCACCTTTGACTACTTCATCTCTCTCCACGACTTACTCATCGGCCATGTCTCAAATTCCCCTCGCTGCTCCCGCCGAGATTCTTGTCCCGGCAACCCCAGCCAGACGGGCCACTCTTTCTCCATCGCCAGATCTTAGCGCCCCGATCATCAAGGCCCGATCTTCCCACTCAGACAAGAAGTTCACGTCTCCGCCACCTCTTTCATCATCCGACATGACTCCGCCACCCTCCACCCAGATCCCCGGCGCTCCGCTGCGTGGCTCTCATTCCCGCTCTCTCAGTCCATCTCTCATCACTCCAGTTGACCTGGATAAGTCCTTGTGCGACGCCTATGGCGCCTCCGAGAATCTTCCCTCCACCGAGGATATTGACAATGCCAACGAGGCTCAACTGCGCACGATCGCTAAGGAACTTCTCGCGGTAGCTCAAGAGGCCCGCATGAATGCTTTACACTTCAAGCTACAGAATAGTCTGGCCTCTTTTGCCAGCAACAAGGCTATTGAGCGTGCTGAAGTAGAACAGAAGCTTGCCAAGCGTGAAGTTGAGATTCTCCAGAGCGATGAATATCGCAACCGCTCCCGCCCTGCGGATCCCCTCACCCCCAGACCCTCCCAGTCTGTCTCCACAGATGAGTATCTTGCTGCCCTCCAGCGATCACAGGAGTTGGAAGGTGCCAATACACTTTTGGACCGCCGTCTTCGGAATGCCAAGCGGGCTATCGACGATGCCACGACGAGATCAGTGGAGTTGGGCGAGCAGAATGAGATGTTGAAACGCCGCATTGAAGACAACCGCCGACACTTCTCCCAAATTTACAACTACGGTTGTCTTTCTCCCGGTATGCAGAGCGAAATGCAGACCATCTGCCGTGGAGAAGCTCCCGATGGACTGGCAGCCCTTCTCTTTGCGGACAAATTTACGAACCGTCTGCATGAACCTCACAACTCTTATGGCGCTCCCTCGTCAGTTCCTATGACCCCACAACAAGCGCGCTCTGCTCGCCAAGGTGGTCACTACATGACCCCCGCCCAGGGATCGCAAGAACAACAGCAGTACGATAGCGACAGCACTGTTTCTCTGTCTGCCGCCGAATCTGAAGAAGAGGGCATGACTACCCGACACTCCCACATGCGCTCCACCGCCCCAAAGACCAGCACACTGCTCCAAACCAAGCTGTTTGGTCAGGTCAAGAAACCTGGCGTGGAACGCGGCCAATCCACCAAGCGCAAGGCTACTTCTAGCCAGACCGGGTCTGCGAAGAGATCCAGGACGAATGGCGGAGTGGGTCTCGGAATTGAAACCTAAGACTACCCCACTCCCTGCACGAGCCCGACGCTTGTGCCACACGACTGGATATGATTCATGACCTGGTATTGGCATCTCTCCGCCTCTGGCTGAGACTTGTTACGATTTGCTTTCCCAGATGGGAACCGATACGATTGATGAATGTTTGACGACATTGAATTTGTTTTGAAATAGCGACCGCGATGTTTTTTTTCTTCTCTTTTTCTCTTTTTTTTCTTCGCTTTGTTTGATACTGTTATCTGTACTCGCAGGGTCTTGGTAACAGTCCATGGCTACATTTCACCTGGAATCGGCGTTCAAAACTGGTTGCTTTTTTGTCTTGATTATCTATACTCACAGGATCTGGATTTGGAGGCTGTTCTGTGACCTATCAACTTGATTGATAGGCCCACCATGTACGGCCGAGGAGCCCTTTGGGGCAATGTGAGTTTTAGAATGGAGTTTATTCAGAATGCATCCTGCATGGCTGTACACTAGGATTAGAATCAATCTGATGGTTTAACAAATATTCACTTTTTTCCTCTCTAGAACACCTTTTTACATTCTGTACCTGACCCCACGGCAAAGCTTACACTTCAATCACTTTTTATCTCGTTGGAGCCGCATTTCCGCACGCTAGTCTCGAAACGGACAGGATTACTCAGCCACTGGCAGATATCCTAATTGAGTCTAGTTAGGGCTCGCTAAGCGAAGCGGTGAGTGGCTGCCGGCGGCCACACGAAAAATAGGCACTTCAGTTTCTGCCGCTTGAAGGGAGATTTGACCAGCAACCCTCCGACGACCACACCCGGCTCGATCCCCATCCGTCACCATGGTGCGTTCCCCTCGAATCCTGAACTGCGAAGATGAATTGGACGACACAATACGCTCGTTGGAGGAATTCTCGTGGATATGATATTGTCGGGGAACATTGAAGACTGATGGAAACCTTCGTGATATAGGCGATCAAGCACAACAACCAGATTCAGAAGAACCGTGAGTGATCCCTGCGGCGATACCTATTATTGCGCTCTACTTTGTGGCAGAGTAAATCGACTGGTTGCAATTTGCGACCCGATTCGAGGGAAATTCAATGTGCTAATGATTTTTCAATAGACTTCCGCAAGGATTGGCAGAAGCGTGTTCGCGTGCACTTCGACCAGGTACGACTATTGGAAACCCTTTCTTCCCTGAACGAAAAAAAAACATCCCACCCTCCCCTCAGTCTCGCCGAACGACTCGACAAAACTCGACTCGGTCCTGAAATGGGATTTTTTTTTTCGTCCGGGGAACAATCGCCATCTCGAACCCGAATTGAAAGACTAACCTTCTCGATCGTTTTAGCCCGGCCGCAAGCACCGTCGTCGTGAGAACCGTCTCGCCAAGGCTGCCCAGGTTGCTCCCCGCCCCGTCGACAAGCTGCGTCCCGTTGTGCGATGCCCCACCGTCAAGTACAACCGCCGTGTCCGTGCCGGCCGTGGTTTCACCCTCGCTGAGCTCAAGGTAAATTCGACACCATTGCAACATTCCCGATCTTGAAAAGACATAGGCTTATGGATTTTTTTTTTCTTTGTTATAGGAGGCTGGCATTCCCAAGAAGCTCGCCCCCACCGTCGGTATCTCCGTCGACCACCGCCGCACCAACTACTCGAAGGAGTCTCTGGTCGCCAACGTCGCCCGCCTTAAGGACTACAAGGCCCGTCTGATCCTCTTCCCCGCAAGAGCGGTCAGTTCAAGAAGCTCGACTCCTCCGCCGAGGACGTCAAGGCCGTCAAGGCTGCTCTTGCCGACGGCAACCGTGAGGGTCTCGCCACCCGCGTCGGTGCCACCTTCCCCATCACCAACCCCTCCCTCGCCGAGGCCGTCACCGAGATCAAGCGTGACTCCCTCCCCAAGGGTGAGGAGGCTGCTTACCGCCGTCTCCGTGACTCCCGCGCCGAGGCCCGCCACGCCGGCAAGCGTGCCTCCCGCGCCAAGGCCAAGGCTGAGGAGGAGGCCAACGCCAAGAAATAAATGTGTTAATCTCTTTTTCTGTCTCGTGCTGATGATGATGATCGGGTCGGTTTTTCGGATCAAGGACTATAAAAAGAGAGAGAGGGAGAGAATAAAGTGTTTTACTGTGGCATGGCGTGGTTTGCTCTTTTTTCCCCTCTTTTCTTTTTTTCAAAAAACTGAATTTCCAACCTCTTTCCTCCTCCCCCTACATATGAAACCCCCTCCCCTTTTTTGTCTCTAAAAAAGAAACTCGGAAGATCCTTGAAATGCAAAACCGCCCAATTTTTCTCAAAAACTTTTTCTCTCTTTTTTTCTCTGCGAAATTCTTTACCCGCGCTAGGTGTTGGTGTTTTATATTCGTTCGTTTCGGTACTCCCGGTTGCCAACATCAACCCGGTCTGCAGCAAAGAAACTAAGAAAAGTTTTGCGGTCTTTGTATGGATCTGTCCTGGTGTTGGGGGGGGATGGATTTTGGACCCGTATAAGCGGAAGGGAATGGCTTCATGTCATGGCCACTACGCTATGCGAAGTAGTAGTCTCTTCAAGTTGTGAATGAAGTTATCTCTGAGATTCAAGACGTCATACGTATATAGTAGTCTTACATACCCTATGTTTCAACATGGTTACCAGAGTACCAGTAGTGATTGAATTGAGTACAGCATCCAGCACCGAGGGATGAAAGTTCAAGTGACGTACTACTGCTAGGACTTGGAGTAAATCTAATACCTTTCACAACGTTACTTCAACTCTCGCCCCGCATAATCTACTACAACTAAACATACGTCATTTCAAGACGCCCTTACATCCACTGGCAGACTTGAGTGAATTGTATATTCCACTTCATGCATAATCTGCAACAAATGCGTGATATAGTCCTTTGAATCAATTCAGTAATTCCTATATGGTATCTGGCTACAAACCCACCCAAGTCCCAAACCCCAAACCCCGCGCCAACGCTAAAATCGAATACAAAAAAGGGCAAGAAAGACAATTCAATCAATCAATCAATCAATCAATCATGATCCCAAAAACACCCCCAGAGTACCATCAGTAGCCCGCAGAATCACATCCGCACGCATAGTCCCAACCAACCCCTGCGCAGCACCAACATCATGCTCCGACAAAAGACCGTGAAACAACCTCTTCGCCTCGGTATCAATCTTCCTCCCCGCTTCACCGTGTGAAACCGCCACGCTCAATTCAGGCCGGAGCTGTGGCTCGCCAGTCCAGTCGTCGATAGTCAATACATTCGACAGAAGGATCCGCGGCTTCATACTTCCCGAACCGGAATTAATGACCATGGTATTTCGCTCGAGGTGGGGAACTAGTCGTCGCAGTTCAGAAAGCGTGATGACTCCGTCTTGCGGGGCATGATCTTTTTCATGTCCTTTATCATTGAGTCCTGGGCGGCCGTACTTTTTCTCAATGTGCGCCCATAGCTGCGCGCGCGCGAGAGATGCTTCCCAATACCGATTTATGGCCCAGCATAACGTGGCCACGTCGAGATTTAGGAGGGGGTTGGCGAGGCGGGTGTCGATCCAGCGGCGGAGGGTCTCGGGGACTTGTCGCTTTTTGCTGTCGGCTGTGGGGACAGAGATGGAGGTTATTGTTTGGTGTTCGGGGTTTGTTTCGTAGACGACGGAGACGTTATATAGAGCGCGTGGAAATGGAGATGGGGCCGTGAATTTCAGGGTATGGGTTTCGAGGAGGGTGTTTGAGTTAAATGTGTGGCTTGTTTGGGTGGTTAGTGTCAACGGGGCGAAGACTGTGAGATAGGATTTTGACTGTGAAGACGCTTTCAAGGCGAATGGGTTTGTTGGTAGAGGCGAGGCTTGTTGATTGGGACGGGGGATGTTTGTGGAAAAGGGGAGCAGCGTTGAGAGGAGGGATGATATTGGCGTGGGAGCTTTGCGGGCCGTTGGCCGATTGATATATGAGGATTCTTCTGTGAGCATGGCGAGGAATCTGCTCAGTTCTCTTCCGTCTTGTTCCAGGTTACTGGTTCCGGACTCGATTTCGCCGGTCCACTTTGTTAAATCTGCGACGTCTTTCTTGAGCTGTTGGAGTTCCGCCGCGAGTTTGCGCCGGGTTTTTCGTTTCTCGATTGCGGCGGCAGACAGCCCGTCCTCGATGTTGATCGCGTCGTCTGGGCTTTCGCTTTCGATTTCGTCAGGGCTTGGGTCTCGGAACCTTGCTGATTTGAGAGGACTTCCGTGGATAGCGTCTGTTGCTCGTCGCTTCATTCGTTTTTCATGCCTCATGCTGGGACTACTGCTTAGTAGTCCCCTGGGTCGATCGGGGTGCCTTTTCAAGGCCTAGTTGTGTTGGTGTAGGTGGGAGTTCTGGTTCGAGAGAGTCTTCGTCAAATGCGCCGTCAAAACCCGCTTCGATAATTGGTGCGTCGTCTTCTTCCCTGGTCGCACTGCCGCCCAGTTCTTGTGCGAGCTGTCCTTCCGGTGTATCTGCATCTGCAGGCCGGGTAGGCATCGGAGATCCAAAGATGAAGTCTGACGGATTTATTCTTTTCGTGGACATTCTGCGCGGTGGTTTCGCAAAGGCTTCAATGGCACTTGCGCGTCGGCTGGGCGAGGAGAGGATTGTCGCGCCACCGATAGACATTCGCGGCGCCTTTAATGGGCTGCCGGGACCCAAAGACGGCCTCATAGCCTTGCGACGAAACCCCCTCGTATCCGACTCATTTTCCAAGCTATCGTGAGTCCCCCGACTCACCGGTCGTCGTACAGGAGATCTGCTAAGCGCGCGTTCGAGAACATCGGGATGCGATTTGGCGAGACTGGATTTGGTAGGCGATTGGAAGGAGGGCCGACTGGGCGAAGAACGCCTATCTTCAAGCGCTTCCCTAGACTGCGATGCGCTGATAGCGACACTCGACCGGTCGCCAGTCTTTCGGCGTTTTGGAGGCGACAGCATTGTTGACGAGTTGATGCATGCACGTTTCTCGGTCCCGCGCGAATGCAATCCCGCGGGAGTAAACAACGTTGTTTGCACTGTTTGCAACTATGACTTAATCGTCATTTCTCCCTCCCCTCCAAACTTGCTTTCTTTCGCACATAGCAATGGAGTGTCTTTCGGCGGGCAGGCACTCGCTCCGGAGGGCGAAAGTCGTTCCTTTTCACCTATCACATTGTCCTCGACCATCATCTCTCACAAACCGGCCCCATGTCTTCCTTTCGACCCCGCGGCGCAAGGGCGCTCATACCCAGGCCCAACCCGCCGCTCAAGAGAACCAAGACAACAAGGGTTCTGTAAACATCGCCAAATCAGACCAGGCATACCCTTTTTCGGGATACTATGCTGTAATCCTGAACACGCCATCTCCCTATCACGGTCGTGCACTCGTTGAGCGCTCAACCGAGGCCCAACCCGAAGCCCAGGCCCAGGCCCAACCCGAGGACAAACCGGCCCCGACAACGCTGGCCGAAGCAAAAACACCGCAAGAGAGGATGGCAATTGTCTTCGGTACGCCCCTTGCAGGACCGGGTCGGCAATCACGTTACAAACCCGGCGAAGCACCACCGGTAGAACAGTGGAAGAGAATCAACGGCATCCCGATCCCGCCTCGCCCCGAAGAACCCGAAAATTGCTGCATGAGCGGCTGTGTCAACTGCGTCTGGGACGGATTCCGCGACGAGATGGAAGAATGGGCTGCGACTGTCGCGAATGCCAAGGCGAAGAGTCCCAGTCCTGGACAAAGCACATCCGGATCTGCGGAACCGCCCAGTCTGAGTATGGATGATGACGGCGGGGGCAGCGAGACGAATTGGCCGGCGCCGAACCAGGGCGATGACTTGTTCTCTGATATTCCTGTCGGGATTCGCGAGTTCATGAAGACCGAGAAGAAGTTGAAGGTCAAGCATGAACAGGAGGCAGCGGCGTAACTGGCATTTTCGATTAGCACTCGGTTTGGCTTTTATACCCTACGTTGCATACTTTGAGGTGGTTAAGGGAAGCACGTGTTCAAATTATGCCATAGATGGTATATAAATAGACGACTGTACATAGTAGAAATTTTTCATGACTTGATGATTTTCTTGACTCCTTCAAGGAGGCCATTTAGGCTTTCTTCTCGGTCCTGAGTCTAGACGTGCAGGCTACTAGTATTTTCAAATTCCGAACCGAAGGGAGCTATCTACCTACCTAATAGGTTTTTACTAGTAGTACCTGAAAACCTTTGGAATAGATTTACTGGCAGGTCGTGTCAAGTTAAACCCTCCAAGGCTCGATAGAACTCTAGGGCTTGAAGTTTTTCTCTCATTGAGGTTGAATATATACTAGTACTACTTACTAGGGAGGTAGTACCTAGTTAGTCTTGGAATTACGTAGTGGGAACTAACTTGAACTTGGAGGGCGTCAGGATTCCTCTTTGGGATGCTAAGTACCTTAGAGCCTATGAATTAAATATTTTTCCCATTCATCCCACTCAAGCAATACAAATATACCTAGGTATTCGCAACACTCCAATGCGATTGGGCGGAGGTACGCCGCATGATGCCAAGACCTGCGGGCCGCCGCGCAAAAGGGCCGGGGAGTCTCGACTTTTTTTGAGCTTCCCCAGACGACCTCCCACATCTCAGCACCTCTGGGCACCTCGCACGCGACAGGGCTCGATATGACATAGGCTGTTATTCACTTCTAGCTCGCTAGGAGCTCGAATGCATTCTTAAAACCAACGATCCCGAGCCGCCTGGGCGTGTTGACTTTCAGCCCGCGCGGAGGTTCAACCATACAAAATGACCACAAGAGCAAACGCCTATGCTTACATCCGGGATATCAAGAAAATACCAAATCACCCCGGAATTCGCTCCATTTCGCGACCCCTCCCCCGCGATGTCAGTCCAATCGCCTCGCTGCTTCGTCCTCGACGAAACGTGCATACGACCCGCAGACCGTCAACGGCCGTGACGATTCGAGACAACAATGGCGGAGTTGGAAATGTTATACGGTCGACAATTGGTGTAGGGGAAATTTCGAATCCCTGTTCTGGAACTCGAGGCTTTTCTACTCCGGCCAAAGTGAAATCCATTGCAGACGCAAGTACATTCGACGAGCCCGCGCAGAAGAACGAAGCAATCAGTGCAGGTGAAAAACTGCTCGTGTCACAGGAGTATACGAACGCCCCAGGGAAGCGCAAGATAAGCAACCGCATGAAAAAAATAGAAAAAACCATGCTTTGGCTGTTGATAAACGAGATATTCTTGGACCGCCTTGAAATAGCATACAAACAGCAGGAACATACGCCTCGTTTGGAATGCTCTATTTCCTTTTCTTTCAACGAAACAAATATCTCTGTAACTGCGGACGCATATAGAAAAGTAGGTTTTCATGTATTGAATCTGATTACTTGGCCTATGATTCACTAACATTTTTTGCGGTTAAAAAGTCCAACGCAGTAAAACGAGCTACCGAGGAGTTTTATAATGTAGCTCGGTCAACCTCCATTTGGGAAGAATTGAACTCCGATCCCACGGTGAAACAAACCTTGGAAAATATGATTCCTTGTATGGAAAAGGGCGCTGCAAACCCAATCGAATTGGGCGCGGACTTGTTTGCTCGTTTCTTATTCATGCATAAAAAGGGGGTTTTACAAATTAGCGAAGGAAGACTGGAAGACGACGACTTTCTATACTTCGTCTCCCTCACCATACCAGGCCAACCGACTATGGGGGCTAAGTCTAAAGCAGGGGTATGTTATGTTCAACTTACCAAGATTTTGTCCTGACTGTTTTTTGAATAGTCCTTTTGCCAACTCATGTCGCACAGTATACAAGCCGCACGCCTTGCTTTGTTCGCGGAGATGTATCGGAAGGGCCTGTGGGAACGTATGGACAACGCACTTGAGGAGGTTCTAAATTCTGAAAAGGCTTTAGCGAACAAGTCTCTCTCGGAAAATGAAGCTCCGTTGACAGATAATGCTATCTTGCAGAAGGAGGCTATTACGGCGATTAAATTCAACACCGCAGAGGAGGTTCTAAATCCTCAAAATCTTCCAAAGGACAAGTCTCTCCCAGAAAACGAAGCTACGTCGACAAAGAATACCGTCTCACACGAAAAGGTCGTCACGGTGGACAAACCCAATACTGAGCAGGAAACCCGCGCCGAAGAAGCGTCCCCTGCCAGCAAGAGAGATCCCGCAGATCGGGCATTTATTAAGCTTACTACAGATGACGATCTGATTGATATGATGGGGCACTTCCGAAACAACTTACTTGCGGCTTTGCAAGACATGAAAAAAACGCAGGCTGCCCTTGGACCGAATTTCGGAAATTACTTGCCCAAACTCTCAAGGGATTTTCGCTCCTACCACCACAGCAAACATCATTCGGAAAGGCTCAAGGAGGCCCTGGAAAAGCTGCGCGAGTCGCAGAGTCCGGAATTGCTTAATATCCGGTCAAAAGTGGCTGATCTACCAATCACAAAATTCAGACAGAAAGTCCTAGATCTTGTCAACAATAATCCTTTCAGCATAATTGTTGCTGAGACCGGCTCTGGAAAGTCTACGCAGGTCCCTCAGATGATCTTGGATGATGCAATTGACCGGGGCGTCGGGGGCGACTGTAATATCCTCTGCACCCAACCTCGGCGCCTCGCCACTCACCGTCTGGCGGAGAGGCTTTCCCAAGAAAGAAATGAAGCCATCGGGGGAACAGTTGGTTACATTGTTCGTCACGACCGTAAGGTTTCCAAAAACACGCATATCACGTTCTGCACGACAGGGGTTCTTTTGAAAATCCTGCAATACTCAATTGACAATCTTGAATACTTCTCTCACATCATCATCGATGAAGTTCACGTGCGAGACATCGGAATTGACTTTGTCATGCTTCTGCTGAGGAAGTTGGTTCGAAATTACCAGAAGACTGGTCGAAAAGCCCCCAAGATTACTTTGATGAGCGCAACAGTGGACACCGATCTATTCTCTGATTACTTCCATTTCAAGGGGCCAGACGGGTCACGCATTTATGCACCTCATATCGCGATTCCAGGTCGCCAATATCCAGTGAAGCATCATTATCTTGACGAAATACTCGATGATGTAAATTCTTCTCCATACGCCTCTGAATTGCAGGGGCTTCTGACCGAGAAAGAGTCTAAGAAGTTCTTGGAAACACACTACGCTCAATTTGGAGAAACCGCATCGAAAGAACCGACGGAGACGACCTCTACTGGTGAACCTGTATCTTCCCGCCTCGTGTCGGCCGAAGAGGATCTTCAGATGCCCTTCGGTCTCTACACCGCGACGATTCTTAATATTCTTTCCTCAACAACATCTGGATCGATTGTCTGCTTCCTTCCAGGTCTGCGTCATATCCAGGAGGTCAAGAGTCGTCTCATGTCATATGGAATTGAAATGGACCTTGACATGTCGGATGAAAATCGTTTCAGAATCGGTATTCTGCACTCCCAACTCCCGGAGGAGCAAGAAAAACTGGACCTTGACGTACCAAGCGACTGCCGGAGGATCATCCTGTCGACGGATATTGCCGAGGCTTCTGTCACAATCCCAGATATCAAGTACGTAGTTGACTGCGGGAAAGTGAACCAACTGCTCGTCGATCAAAAAAGACACTGCAGTCGGCTGGCCAACTGCTGGGCCACGCAGTCCAATGCCAAACAGCGAGCTGGGCGAGTTGGCAGAGTCCAGGCTGGAGACTACTACTACATCGGAACCAAACGGCGATATGACACTCTTCGAATCACCCCGATACCGGAAATGCTTCGAGGTTCTTTGCTAGATACATGCTTACGTGCGAAAGGGTTTGCCGGTAACTCATCAATCTCAGAACTACTTGCCGGAACCATCGAACCGCCCAACAACGATGAGGTGCTTGCGAACGTGGAATCCTTGAAACGGCTCCAGGCACTGGACGAGAATGAAAACATCACCCCTTTAGGCAACCTGATTTCCCAGCTAGCTCTACCTCCCCACCTGGCCAAGCTGGTCATGTTGGGTATCATTTTCCGTTGTCTGGACCCACTGCTCATTCTGGCATGTACCGGAATGCAGTCCTCGATCTTCATCCGCAGTACGGATCCCGATACCAGAAAGTTGATCCAAGCCTCGTGCGTTGAATTCGCCGACGGGAGTTCCAGCGATCATATAAGTGCGCTCAATGCGTTTAGAGCTGTTCGGAAGATCCATCATGAACAAGGCCAAGCCCAAGCAAGGAAATATGCCAAGGAAAACATGATCTGGTTCAACTCTTACAAATCAACGCTTCGGACAACCAAGCATGTGTTTGACCAGTTGCACCAAGATATGATTCTCTCAAATGTGCATTCCAGATATGATAATCTAGGACAAATTGGCGGCGAGAGACTGAATACCAACTCCCACCACACCCCGCTCATCAAAGCACTCCTGCTACACTGCCTCTTCCCGCGCATCGCAGGACCGAGACCCTCAACCTTCCGGTTTGCCACGGACTACGATTCGCGCTCAATGATCCACCCACGCAGCGTGGTCATGGCAGGCCGTACATTCAAGACACCGCCGAGATCCCTGACTGTATACAGCTCCAAGGTGGAAACGACCTCGGCAGACCCATTCATGATCGAGAACACCCTCGTCTCCCCATTGATGACGAGCATGTTCGGCGGCAGACTGACTTGGAACAAGAAGGAGATGCTCATGGACTCATGGCTGGACCTCGACATCAACACGGAGAAAGCAATGGTCGACAAGCACGAAGCAGCCCGAATCCTAATCGAGCTACAAAAGGCCATCAATCTTGTAAGTGGACCGACTGCTCCAAACTTCAATCCGAGCCTTCCCAGCTTCAATCCAATGAATCCATCAGTGCTAAATTACTAACTTGGACCTCTCCAGTGCTTGAATACTGCCTACGACACCCTGGCTAGCGGAGTCGCCCTGCCACCTAATTACAACAAGAGAGTCGCCTACTGGCAAGACCGGAAAACCCTCTACATCACTCTCGCTGAATCAGTCAAGGAACTTCTCGATCGCGACCGCAATATGGCGCCCGCCGATTCTTTCTCAGATACTCTGACCTTGTGGGATGACGCTCTCTTCGAGGACGATGAAGATGTGGATGTAGATCACGCGAACTTATTCGACAGGGACTCGGGAACACTGGGATCCACCGATGTATAGTGTCCCATAATGTATTATGTACCATAGACCCCTCCTGACTGTACAAATATTCCAACAAAGTAATTTACTCTTCCAGATGTCCTCCAAATAATCCCATCATACAGCCATAAATACCATCGGCCGCCTTCCTATAGTTCGCAGATGTGATCACGTCACCGCCTTCACAATCTTATCGCCCACCGGCAGAATCGAAAAAAAAAGCCCAGAAGCCTCGCGCGCAACCTCCCAGCACGACCAAATAACCCAGAGAAGGACACGCCCCTCAGCAAAAATGTCCCTCTCAAAATCCGAATCAGACATAATCCTCAACCGCGCAAACGTCGCCCTATCCCGCAGCCAACGCCTCGTCGCCTCCTGGCTCCCCTCCCAAGACGACAACGACGAACCAACAAAAACAGACTCCGAACTCCAACAAGAAGAAGATGAGATCTTCACCGCTGTACCGGAGACGTGAGTCCCCAACCCCACGCAGATAAAGAGGGCCAGTTCTCTACTAACGTCTATAACAGCCTCGGAGTCGGCGCCCCGCTCCCCGAAAAAGCAGCAGATGGAAGCTGGAATCGCAAGGAATTGAGCTCGAATGATATTCTGCGGAAACAGTTGTTGGGCCGGAATTATGAGAAGGTTATGAAGGCCAAGGAGGCGGATGCTAAGGCGTTGAGGGAGAAGAATGCTGCTGCAAATGCGGCTGCGTCGGGCTCGGCGCCGACTGCGGCGGCGGATGTTGAGGATGAGGATGATGATGAGGAGGAAGGGAGGGCTGCTACGGTTGGTAAGAGGAGGAAGATGAATTCTTCTTCTTCTCGGGCGGTGCCTTCGACTTCGACCACGGTATCGGCTGAGAATGGTGCTGCGGGGGATGCGTTGAATGGGGAGCAGAGCTTGAAACAGACGAAGGCTGCGAGGGGGAGGAAGAAGGCGACGAGTTACTTGGATGAGATTTTGGCTCAGAGGGCTAGTAAGAAGAAGAAGAGGTGATTCTGCGGTGCCATCTCTTTCTGCTTCATGCAGTTCTTCTTGTGCATTTCCCCCAAGCGCTGTGAAATTGCTGCTGGACGGCTTATCGCAGTGCGTATGATTTATAGGTACCTTCCTATCCAGCCTCGAGGGTACTACTACTACTCTAGCCTAAGGGAGGGCTATTACTGATAGACGCAGTCACAAAAGTGTCTCATTGAAATAATTAAGTGGGCAACTTAAGCCTGAGTATGAGTATAGAATACAAAACATTGCATTCCAATCTCTTCTAGATGCCACACGATGTTTTCGATTCGATTTTGATTTCGAGTTCGATTTCGATCCGCCCGACCCCAGGGGTATATAAAATTTGGTATGTCTGAAAAAAGAAGATGGTATGAACCCAGAGCCGTTTTGTTCTCGTCGCGTCCACTTGCTCGCGTCGACTGCATCGCCTCTGTCTGGAATCTCCATGGGGAGAAAAGAAGGAAGGGGAAAAGTGGAAATAAGGGGATGTAAAAACATCTACAAACGCAAAAGAAACAGGCTCCACGGGCCACGGGCTGGGTTCCGAGGTTCCCAAGATTCTCTCCAAGAGGGTTGGAATCTAGGGGGGCTTGGCTGTTTCAAGTGTACATATTGTTGTCCAAGAATGGGCATAATGCCGGGTTCTGTCGATTTTGTTGGGCCTGACGTTGGGCCAAAGTTGAGTCCAATTGCGCGGATGGTGAGGGAATCGGGACGCCGGTAATAAGGCTGGCTGATCACCTTGATTCGATGCGCGGATGATCTCCAAGATATAGATTTTTGTGTTTTTTGAGATTTTTTGCTCAAGATGTTTCAAAGTTTTCATTCCAATCGCTTGCGCTTTCGATGATCTTCCAATTGATCTTCGTCGGGTCGCTCGGCGGTATCGGCGGGGTTAAGGAGTGAGTGGACATTGCTGGCCATGCTGGATCGGCGCGTTGCAGGTAAGGATGATTCTTGGCGAGGGAACCTCGACCCTCCCAGTGACCAGCCATTATCGGTGCTGAGCATCGATGGAGAAGGCTCGGCGTTTGCGGGGGGTGTCGCATGGCGCGACTCGGCTTGCAGACGCCGAGGGGCATTCATGTCGTATTGGGCTAGTACATCTCGGACTTGCTGATCGCTCGAGGCGGGTGGTCTGTGTGGAGAAGGAGGCCATGGCCCATTGCCCGCGTTGCCGGGAGGGAAAGGTGAGGTTCCGGTAGGAGGCCAGTCGTGCTGTCGGATGTCTGCGAACGTGTGGCGGCGGGCCATGTTCGGTCCTGGGGGAGTTGAGATTGATAAAGGGTGAGGGGTTGGTTGTTGTACAGCGACTGTTGGAGGCTGAGGGCGGTTATAATTAGGTGAAGCATTGGCACCCCCGATGGAACCGTAACGGCGGGGTGAGACGGCGAGGTGTGGAGGTACAGGGGGTCGGATCATGTTTGATCGAGAGGGGTCCATCATAGATTGACGTCGACCGTCGTCCTGAGGCATTTGGCGAGGGGATAAGGGTGGAACGGCCTCATGGGCAATATTGCTGAAAAAAGGTTGGCGGGGTGGCAGGAGAGGCTCTTGAGAGACCGCTTCAATCTGTTTCTCGACCTCTCGTTGCATGTTGGATACTATTACCTTGTTAGCGGGGTTCGCTGGGAAGTGCGACGGAACATACTATCACGATATAGAGGGCTCTCCCGGTCAGGTACAACCGCTGACAGAAAGCGTGAGATTGAATGCGTCCACTATTGAGATGGCCAATTAGCGACGCCGTGATCAAAAAAAAGTGGAAAAAAAAAAGATCATGCGCGTACCTGATAGCATTTTGAGAGACCCTCCGCCATATTTTGGCACCTGGAGGTAAGGGCCACGTTGCCCTCCTCGGCTCGGATCAGGCGATTGTGCATATCGTAAAGAGTGTGTTCGAGATTCATCAATCTCGCTTCAGCTGCATCCGGGACGGGTTCAGCTGGAGTGCCTGGTTGAGAGGTAGCGGCCTTGTGGCTGGGGAAGGAGTCGCGGTGGATCAGCGCATGTCGGGATGCGCGACGTTTGATTTCTCGCAGGCCAACCAGATCGCCTCGTTTGAAGTTGCCGTTGCCGTGTTTAAATTCCCACAGCGCAGAGTCTGGCGAACCGGTATGGAACACATCGCTCACTGTAGATCAATGTCAGCCATTGCTCCAGACTAGCCTGCTTAGAGATCGCGACAAACCTTTGTGAAACCCGTACATGTTGAGCTGCCGCACAAAGGAAGAAATGTTGGTGTGCTTGAAATATTGGCTATCGGGAGGTTAGCAACCCCGCATCTCGGTTGAAAGGATGGATGCGATTCATGGAGACTGACGCAAGAACTTTTGAAAACTCCGAGGTGGGAGACATGACGAAGCTATCATTGCTGCTTGACCAGGATATTAAGTGTTGAATACCAGAGTCCTCCAGCATACTGGGCTCAACGTTAGTAGCTATTCCTTGGCGTGTACCTTTTAGACCACAATCACATACTTGTAGAGCTTATGGATAAAGGCCGTCTGCACGACCTTGGGCTGCTGAGCTGCGGCTGCAGCTCCAACGGCCGGGTTTGGAGGATTGTTCGGTGTACCGACTTCAGAGCCATTGGTGTTGGGTGGGCCGGTTCGGTCGGCATCGGGGCTGCTATGAACAGGGCCCCCGACAGTCGCAGGCGATGAAGGAGTGATCTCCATCGCGGCGTGATGTTGAGCAGATGAGGGGAGAACCGGGAGGTTTCGAGTCTTACCGGGGGCATCTGCAGGCCCGGCGAAAGCGTTCCGAGAGGAGGGGGGATCGGCGAGGCTGCTCATGATGCGAGATCGGGGAGGAGGATCAAGGGAGGAAGGTCGAGCAGGCCGAGAAGCTTGCGATCGCCAATGCGAAGCTTGTCGTCACCTCAGAGCGATCGGGACGAGAGAAGTTCGGGACGCGCGATCGGGGGTCGACCGTTGGGGGCGCTCGTGGGCGGGAGAACGTGGGAAAAAAGGAAGATAATTATCGCGGAAGGCCAACGTGCAGATCAACACGGTAGCATCGACACCAGTCCGATCATTGCGCCAGCAAAATTGAGGGAAAGAAAGAGGGGCTGAAGGAGAGAAAAGAGAGGCGAGGTTGAAGCTGCGGGGAAGGGGCCGGAAGCACGATCGGATCTGCAGGCCTGGAGAGGAGCTCAACGAGGAGAGGTTGGGTTTGAGTGACTAGGAAAATCCTGGGAGAGATGGTTGCGCAAGGATGGCGAGGGGAATTAGAGGGAGTGATAATATACTGTAGGTATAAAGGTGTGTAGGGGAGGGAGAAAAAGAAAAGGAAGATGTTCGTGGAAGAACGATGGAAGGTGGAGAAGAAGAGAAGAGAAAAGGGGGTTGCCTCAAGGTGAGAGGAATGAGACCTGCTCCACTGGCAGCGGATGAGGAGGACTACTACAAGTTAGTTTAGCTACCACACGAGGACTACAGAGGACTTCAGCTAGAATTATTAGCTGCTAATAATGCTCACAAGGAGATTGATTCGTTTAATGCTTGATGAGGCTAGTTCCCTCCGAGCCAATAGTAATGTGGGGCAAATCTGCACTGCCATAGTACATAGTGTAGCATAGAGTTTAGTCCGTAGTAGCTGGTATCAGATGCTGCGCTAGAGATGATGCTTCTCCTTGTGACGGATTACTAGTACGAATATCTACTTGAAGATTCTATGCCCTCAGAGAAGGATTTCGGATTCAGCCACCTAGATAGATAAGAGCACATAGCTAACACTTTTTTGTAAACCCGATCAATCATACTTCGTTTCCATCACCCTGTTCCTTCAAGCCAGACATCATCTGGCTCGCCTGCGAGGTGGCCTCAGGGGAATCAGATCCGTTATCTTATCCGACCAGTTTATCTCCTGAGCATTCCAGACCTTCCGTTCATTGAAGCTCTGGACTTGCAGATTGGTATTGCTGACTGTGAGCAGAAAATCATCATCTCCAAAGATCTTGATATGTTTGCCCTTCCCCTACGGGGACCAGCAATAGTCTTCGTAATCACGAAAGTGGCCGTCGCACCGGACAGCGTGCAAAACATTGATTTCGGCCTTGGGTTTTCCTGTGCGCCACGAGATCCCCGAGGCATAAAGGACTCCCGGGCTTGGGGAAACGCAATTCAACAGATCTGACCCATATCGAGGAGCCGTATGAATGACAAGTTCCTGGCCCCTCTCAAGGGAGAAGAGCCTCGAGCCTGATCCTATCGACTCTTCATCCTCGCCAGGTTCTTCTCTGCGATGTCGCGAAGGTAGTTTTTGAATCTGGTGGGATGTAGATCGAAAGGCCCTATCTCCTTCTCCATCTCCTAGCGCCAAAGTTTCAATATGTACCTTTGAGTCTGAAGATATCGCTAAATTCGGTCCAATGTCATAACTGTTTCGCAAATCTACCAGGAGATCTATACTCGGGCGGTCTAGTCTCCCCATGTACTCCCACCCCGTACAGGGGATATCCTTAAGGTGGTCATCAAGATACACGACGGTAAACTTGTCTTCGGTTGGGTCTAGAGTCACAGACCTGATAGCTCTGGTGGACCTTGGAGCATTCCATGGTATTGTGCGTGCAATACGCGACTCGAGGCTCCAATGAATGAAGTAGCCTTCGCCATCCACATCCGAGTCTGGTTGTATGAAAAGCACCTTGGTTCCGCGAACCAAGATATTTTCCTTCGCGCAGTAGTGAGATATCTGGAATTCGGTGTGCTCATGGGTCTGGAGATTCCACACATGGCATTTTCTATTCAATCAAGTGGGATCCGTTAGCGCACATGTTGGCATACACCATATACCTAGCCAGGTATAGCTGAAACACATACTGTTGACCGATCGCCACTACGATCACTTTCGACACATATGCACTAAAAAGTACATCCGTAACTTTTGTCTTGAATAGGCTGAATGCTCCAGTCCACAAGTTCAGCACATTAACATTCCAATCCGTGTAATCAATCCATGCAAAATGGCCTTCTGAGTAACTGGCGTTCACAGCCCAATTCCCTGGGCGTAGAAATCTCCCCGTGATGATAGACCGCTCACCCTTGCAGGTCGACTTAAAAGTAATCTCTGATACAGTGTAGATATCTTCGATTCTGGCTCTTTTCTTGAGAAAAGTAGCCGTATCTGGGATGGCCTCGTTTGCAAACCACGGTCCCAGCGTCTGGATCACGGCATGTTGCACGGTGCGGGAAGACAAGAGTCTACTCCAGGTTTTTGAGACTGTCTGTAGACGTAGCACATCTGTAAAACGGATGTTTTCAAAGATCATGACGACAAGTTCTATCGGCATTTTGCCAACAAGGTCGAGCTTGGAAGATTCGATTCCGGAAGGGGGGTTATTATGGCAAGCGAGGTCATCGAAAGGCTTGTCGAGTCTGTCTCCAGTTAGTAAAGATCAAAGTAGTAAAAAGAATCGATAATGGAATATCTTTCACAATGCTGTGTGGAGGCAGCCACCAACATACATGACTTCCGAGTTTAGATTCTTCGATGGCAAGGCTTGGTCACCAGCGAGGGGAGATTGGAGATCCGAATTCGAATCCATGGTGGGTGGTAGAGGTAGAAGATAGGGTGAAGTGGATGGAGAGAGAGAGAGAGAGAGAGAGGGAGAGAGAGGGAGGAACTTAAAGATGGGAGATGAAGGAGAGGAAGGAAAGAGCGGCCTACCTCAACCTCAACCTACAAAGGCAATCGCCAAAGAAGGCAACAACATCTTTAGATTGTTTACATAACACCATCAACCTTAGCCTCACCTCACCTTTTTACCTTCTCATATCTACTATTGACCCAGAGAGCCTGGTCCAGAGTTTATGTGTTTAGGGTTTATTCGAGGTTATACTCTACACAAAATATCATGGCAGTAATTTACCTGCCACAACTCCTTATTCTCGCAATTGACGTAGTGCTTCTGCTAGGGTAGCTTAGTCGCAATTCAGGGTATTGAGTATTAGTATATCGCTCCATTCATAAATCACTGCGCAAGCACCCCTCTAGAAGAAGAAACGACCACCACCGAAACCGCCTCAGGCCCAGCCCATCCACCCGCTCTGCATGAGGTCGTTGACATCCCCGCCGCACCACTGAACCAAGTTCACTTCACCTGCTTCCAGGAATGTCGGAACATGCCCATTGCGCAGAACGTATGGTATCCCGGCATGCCATGACATGCAAGTCAATTGCTGACAGGGAGTGCCGCACACACCCAGTACCAAAATGCAAAACCATGAATGAATGGCAGTTTGTTGAATAAATTTTGAAATCAAAGAGTGTTGGAAAACACGACCTTTCGTCTCAGTGGCCAGGGAGGTGATTAGTGCTGCGCCACGGTATGGATCAAGCTTCACGTTGTTTGCAATTAACATCAGATCAGGCCCAAGGGTTTCCCATATAAAGCGATAAATCTGGGGCTTTCATTCCGGCTTCCTTCTTCAAAACACAGACCGGTCAAATGAACCTCATATACGAGGAAGACGGGTTCTGCGATCAAAAAGACATGGATTGCTTCTCTGGGAAGGTACTCCACATAACGCAGCGGTTTTGTCTCTCGGAAAGAACCATCAACTCGTCATCCATCGAGTCCACACCGATCAAAACATATTCGACTGGGCCATGAGGCTGGAATTTATCTCGCCAAGTCCTGGCGTTCTCTACTTTTGCCAATTTGGGGATCTATGGTCCTAAGCCAACAAAGTGACAACCATGCACATTCGAGCCAAATAGCATGGTCCGAACTTACTACCAAGTTCATCGCGAGATGCATTAAGGTAAAGAGGCCCAAGGTGTATGCCCAGGTGGCGGTGGAAGCTTTATTGTCTTTGTTAAGGTCTTTGGGATGCGCGTTGTGGGCTTTGATGGGCGGGATGTTTGGGATCCAACTATGATAGATTGGCCGGTGCAAATGCTGGACCCGGCTTAAAAGAGGTTTGCAATTGATCGGATCTAGAGGACTTGCTCCAGAATACGAGTGTGTTGATGGAGATGGATATTTTCTTGGATATTTACAAGTGCGACTGTTATCTTTATGAATCTGAAGGTTTCATCTGACGGTTGGAATTATTAAGTGGAAATGATGAATATCCATGGATGTACCTAGGTAGGCACTGGGAAGCTACGTATGCAAGAAACATGCTTGAACAGAGAACATCAAGAATATCCCCCCCTATATCCCGATCAAAAAGCTATAATCTACGCAAATCTTCTAAAAAAGATCACTACGCTGTAAAAGATTTCAGACAAAAAATATAGCTCGCATCCCCTTCCTATTAGGAAATGATATTCATCCATAGAAATACTCAAGAATACAGTGACAAAAGAAAATTAAATGACACAGGAACGGGCGCGACGGCATCACAGTTCTCTATAGAAGGCGTTTCTGTGAGCGTGACAGGCCGCAGGCCCTATGCATGCCCCTTCAAAAGGAATTGGAAGGAACTTAGATTCCGAGGGTGAACTCGACGCCGACGTCGATGTCACGGGCCATCTTGACGACCTTGGAGAACTGGACGGACTTCTCGGCGGCGGTCTGGAGGTCCTCGATGGAGAAGATCTTGAGGCCGGACTCGTTGATCTGTGGGTGGAAAAGAGATTAGCATGTTGTGCTGGATTTGGGGGAAATTATGTGGAAAAGATGGGGGGACGTACCAGCTTGTGAGCCTGCTCCATGTTGGTACCCTGGAGACGGGCAATGATGGGGGTGCGCAGACCCATGTCCTGGACAACGTTGATGAGACCCTGGGCGATGGCGTCGCAGCGGACGATACCGCCGAAGATGTTGACGAAGACGGCAGAGACCTTGGGGTCGCTGGTGATGAGCTCGAAAGCGGACTTGATGGCAGCGGGGGTGGCACCACCGCCGACGTCGAGGAAGTTAGCGGGGTTACCGCCGTTCAGCTTGATGATGTCCATGGTGGCCATGGCGAGACCAGCACCGTTGACCAGGCAGCCAATGTCACCGTCAAGCTTGATGAAGTTCAGGCCGTGCTCGGCGGCCTTGACCTCATCCATATCCTCCTGGGTGGTATCGCGCCACGAGAAGACCTCCTTCTGGCGGAACTCGGCGTTCTCGTCGAAGCCAAGCTTGGCGTCCATGGCCAGGACCTGGTGGTCGGAGGTCTCGGACAGGGGGTTGATCTCGATCTGGGTGGCATCACGCTCCATGAAGACCTTGTACAGGTTCTGGATGGTGGTCTTGGCATCCTCGATGCACTGCTCGGAGAAGCCGAGGTCGGTAGCGATGGTGCGGGCCATGTCGTCGGTAACGCCCTTGTGGATGTCGACGGGGGTGGTGATGATGGCATCGGGGTTCTCCTTGGCGACGGTCTCGATGTCCATACCACCCTGGGAAGAGGCAACGATGACAGGGGACTGAGTGGCACGGTCCATGAGGATGGCGAGGTAGAACTCGCGACGGGCGAACTTGCGCTCGCAGATCAGGACGGAGTTGCAAGGGCGGCCACCGGCGCCGGTCTGCTTGGTGACGAGCTTCTGGCCGATCATCTGGTCGGCGAACATCTTGGCCTCGGTAGGACTAAAAAAAAGACCGGGGGTTAATACATCTATCCGGTTTCCTCCACATAACAAGGGAGTGGAATTTCCAACTCACGAGTAGATGACGCGAACACCACCCTTCAGTCCGTTGCTGAAGGTACCCTTACCACGACCACCGGCGAGAACCTGGGCCTTGATAACCAGGTCGTCGTTACCTGATTGTACTGTTTAGTGCCGAGCGCAAAGAAGGGGGAATATAGACACGGGGAAGATATACCGATGGAACGAGCGACAGCCTCAGCCTCCTCGGCGGAGCGAGCGACCTCACCCTTGGGGACACCAATGCCATACTGTTGTTGATTATCAGCAATCCGACTCAGTGTTGATCTGCGAGAAAAAAGACTCTGCATGATGCGCGACTGCAGAGTCCATCGCGACGCAACGTACCTGCTTGAGGAGGCGCGCGGACAGGTACTCGTGAATGGAGAGGTTACGCTGTTGCTGTTGAGCCAGACGAGAGGACGACTGCTATATCCGATTGAAACCGAGTCAGTGAAAGGTGAACTTGCGGGATACGGGCCGATAGTACGGCATGGGATGATTGAAACTCACAGTGGCGGCTCTGAAGGCCGAAGCGACAGGACGACTGCGGGCAAGCTTGAACATGATGAAAGGATGTGAGGGGAGAGGGTGGGGAAGAAAGAGATCAAGAGGGCAGTGTATCCAGGAGCCCTTGAGGAGTTGAGTCGGGATCGGGAGAACAGCTTTCTTTTTCTCGGGATGACATTGAGTCGCGGTAAAACCGGGTGTTGCAGCCAACCAGCGTCCGTTCCTGGCTGACTAACCACTGCCTCGGGCGCAGACGCGAATATCACGGAACTGGCATCGGTATTCATTTATAATAGATCAATGGCACTGCATTATACTAGAGCTGTTAACAGCTGCATATGTGGAGGATATATTATATGGATTAATTTTTTTAACTTGTACACTACCTAGGTACTTATATATTGAGACCGAACATTCATTATGTTACAGATGATAGTATTCCCTACTCTGTCTCCCTATTTACCGGCCCGAGGCTTGATCTTCCACAACTTAAACATCCTCGTCATAATCCCCCCAAACAAACCACCCCATGCAAAGCCACCAGAGAGGAACCAAATCAGCCAGCTACGATGACCCTCCCAAATCCAGGTCTTGCGACCTTGCGCCCAGGGCCACAGCCAGCGCCAGGGAGCAGATCCGTACAGCACTTGCGCAACCACACTGCGCGCGTAGGTCTCATTCGGCATTGCATTGTCCTGGCTATGGGTCACGCGTCGGTTATACTCATCTTCAATGGGGGTGTACATAGATCCCGGTACAAGGGTGCGCTGAGTACGGGCGATGCGTGATTGCACTCCGCCAGTAACAATTGTAGTCACATTGACCCTATTGATGATGGTTAGTTTGGTAGCAGTATCCAAACGCGACAGGGTACAGATAATACATACCCGAATGGAGCCAGTTCGACCCGGAGAGTATCACTGAACGAGTGCAGTGCGGCCTTGGACGCGTTGTAGACGGATCCAAAGACATATGGGATGATCTAGATCAGTTAGCCGGTTGTAATCGGATACAAACATTTCTCGTCCAGGATGAGACATACCCCAGCAACCGATCCGATTTGAACAATCGTGCCCTTGGCCTTAATGAGCAGCGGCAGAAACGTCTGGCACATGGTGATAACCGCAAAGAGATTGATTTCAAATGTCTTGCGAGCCTCATGGATTTCGACCTCCATAGCTGGAACAGTGTAGTCTATATGTGTGGTGAGTAAATGCCATCTTGAAGCTGTGCTGGTATGTCATAACGTACTCCGACCACTAGCGATAGATTAGTATAATGCAACGACTCCGAGCTTTGCGCGAATCAGGAAACGTACGCGTTGTTCACCAAATAGTCCAGTCCCTTGTCTCCCAGTCTAGTCTTGACATCCGCGAAGCATGCCTTGACACTTTCCAAGTCGTCGACGACCAGACTCAAGGTCTCGATGCCGAGCTCGGCCAGGTCGGCAATGGTCGCCGCCTCTCGAGCGGTGGCCAGCACACGTAATCCATGGCGGTGGAATTCACGCGCAAGAGAGTTTCCAATGCCGCCGGGAGAGCATCTGACCGTGGAGATTATCGTTAGCCGTGCCATTGGATAGTATTCGCCAGCAGTGGTCGCGATTAACTCACCCGGTGATTAGCACAGATTTACGGGTATCCGTGACTCCTGGCATGGTAAATGTCGAGCTCAAGCAGGAATTTCCGAAACTTGGATCTTGGCCGATATATATGTTGAAGATGAACTTGCTGGAGTGATGGTGTTGAGTGTTTGTTGGTGTAGCTCTGGTGGCAACTGCTTATCGCGGAGCTCCAGATGCCTCGGCACGTCACACGAGGGAGGCTGCCATAGGAGCGCGTGTAACCCTAAGCCCTATTGCTTATTTGGGATATTCTGGTATCTTGGTATTTCTAGTTTTCATGAACTGGACGATGCGCGCGTCGTGCACCTCGGCCCTGAAACGGTATGAAACTAACAGCTCATTGCAACTAGGATTACATTGTCATGTATATTAGTCACGTGTTTCCGCTGATCAATTGTCCAATAGTTGGCAACTCTTGTCAATTGCAGACAACGGGCTGTGACGTGGTCACTTGCCTTGATTCGTTGCCCCATTTTAGTCGGCGGCTATCTAGGCATCAATATTCGTGAAAGCTCTACTAAATGTTGCGAGCTGCTTCCTTTAAATTCATAATCCGGTAGAGAACTTACTGCTTTTTCTGACCATCTGTTCATCGGCAAGCAAATCTGCAAATATCGACACGGATAATAACCTTTCATTCCTCTAGGCTTTGGCTAGGTAGGTGTCCATAGGATAGATAACAGCGGCTGGTCTAACGAGCGATACGAATGACAAATTAGGATGTCTCCAATTTGCTCTTCTCCCACAAGAAGCAAGTACCCTACATCGGAGAACCTTTGTTTGGTGAACCGCCCTACCCCAAACAACACTAAGGGGAATCTACACATGTCAGCTGGCCAAGAGCGGCAGCGTCAAGAATATCAACTTTCCTTGAATTATTGCACTTTAAGGACCCGCCTTGGACTCGGGAGTTGGAAGTGCGGGCGTTGCACAAAAACAGGGACAACTTGCCCCAATTGGATACTATTAAAACAAAGGGACCAAATTGAATCCTTGATTACGTCCATGGTTTCCCTTAGCCATGAATCCCCAGAATTGGTTCCAAAGGTGGAGAAGCTTGCTCAGCTGGCTTATTGTGGGTCCCACCGACACAAGGATCCTCGCGATATCCGAAAGACTAAATGGATGACTGCTTTTCCGTCGCGCCCAAGTGACATACATTATCTTGAAGAGCAAGTCAGGGAAGTATTCGGGCCAGCCTCGAAAAATTGCGCAGCAGCAGGAATGGAGTCAGTCCCATGTGGGAAGAAACTTGGAGGTCGAAAGGTTCAAAATTTCCAGGGAACAATTTGCGAAATCATGAAACTCAGGATATACCAAAGCGATTCGCTTCTTGGGTATTATCTCGCTATTTTGGAAAATAATATATACTGCTCAGACCATGAGGTTACAAAGCCCCTTCGAAAACAGGACGCTTGGAAATCCAGAATCCTAGAGATTCGCACACTACCCAAATCAAAGTTGGGGATGGCTGCTTATTGTGAATTGTCAAATGAATATGGATGCAACACCGGCTCTCTTGATCCGAAGGATCAACTAATGTCAAGCTTGAGAGCTTCGTCGCCACCGGATGTTGACGAGAACCAGGCTTCCTGTTGGCCAGAAGGATTTGACACTACTCCATTCCACATTATATCGAGGAGGAGTAACCGCAAAATGGCAACTCTCAATGATCATATACAAAGCAAGGTCAAAAAAAAACTGAGTCCGAGTCATCAAGTGCCTGGATATGTGTATGTTTTTGAAGCAGAAAATATCCATGGGTACTTTAAAATTGGATATACAACCTTACCGGTGAGTGAGCGCCTCCAGAATTTGAGTTTTGACTGCAACAGGCAGTTGAATGTGCTATTCCCTACATCATCTGAATCTGCACAAACCGTTCCAAATGCCTGGCGTGTTGAAGAATTGTGCCACGCGGAACTGGTTGATTGCCAAGTATACATTGATTGTACGGGGTGTTTATGTGAGCATAAAGAATGGTTTCGGATTTCTGCAGCGGAGGCAATTGCAGTAGTTCAAAAGTGGTCAAAATGGATGTATTCTACTCCATACGACCCAGCGCTTGGGAGTTTGAAAGAAAAGGAAAAGCGCAGAATTTTGGATATGGATAAGTTCAAGAATGAGCTAGCAGGCACTGCTACCGATAAGATCGTAACGATAGAAGACATTTCCTAAGACGATACAATCTAGAATTTAACTTGAATTCCAATCGAAAATCTCATTCTTATTCCTTAAACCCTTACCCTTATGGCGCTAGAGTAATCCAAAAAGTGGTACTACCACGAATTCATCTTGCTAACATAGATTCTACTCTAAGAGAGCCAGCCCCAGGGGCTTCCAATATAAATCAAATACAAAGGCCGGCACGTACGGTACCACTAATACAAGTACCATTCCTGCTGCTTTGTCGACATCCAAGATGAAGACAACAAAATCTAGATCGCCATAAGAACTAGTCATCCGTGGATATTGTCAAGTGACTGTTGCACCGGGAAGCGGCAATTGAACTCCATAGCTGCCATTCGCGGAGCGTCTTTTTTCTCTCTCAAAGAGAGCGCAGTCTACAGAACCATGAGAACAAACCTTTCTCTGAGATTGACATTGTACAGCATTGATCGAAATCAGTTTCACCAGTTACACACGGAGATTCTATCTCAAACCCTACTTTGATACAGGCGTAAATAACAGCGTAGAAATAGAGTCTGTATTAAACTTGTATGGCTTTCGTAGCTTCTCAAATGTTTGCCTAGTAGCCTCGCGAGGGCTGAATCCCAGTCTACCAACTAATCCACACTCCCCTAGAGTTGAACAACGTGGGTTGCATGGCCACAGTAACAGTGGGTTACATTTTATACCCGCAGCCTACAATACTACATGTCAAAGTTTAAGCCCTCAAGCACACCATTGTTGCCCACGTTGCAGGTGACTCGGGGTCCTGTTGTCGCAGCGACAGAATTGCATCATGAAAAGCTCGCACCACCACGTCCTTTTCCTGCATGCCTTCCGTCTGGGTGCGTTGAGCCAAAAATGCATATAAATCCTTTGTGAAAGAAGCAGATGCCATAGTTCCAGCGACGGTCAACCAGGGCAGATGTTTAAGGATAAACGCAGTTGTTGGAAAGCAAATTCATCGCAAGCTCGCCGAGCCAGCAACGCAAATTCGAAATATTAAGATCAAATAATGAAGATAGATGTAGGTACATTAAAGCCTGTGGCAATATTCAAGAGGCGATTTCCATGTTCGTTCCAGGGCATATGCAGAATAGGAAGCAATAAAAGACTCGAAAATTACGGATATCTGCAGATATAACCCTAGAACCCTAAAGCCACGGGACCCCAAGCCGAAAGGGGTAATGCAAAAGCATCACGAGGGACGAATCAGAGAAGCGCGTGGAAAGACAGTCCATATATGTTTCTGCAATCCTTTTTTGCTACTGGAAGACGCGCGCTGGGGAACGCTGTAAGCCCTGAAACGACGTGGCATTAGTGGTCTTTGCTGTGGATGAAGTGGCAGTTAAAGCTCGCAATGTCCGGTTTATAGAAGAAAGAGCCATATCTACAGATAGAGATCGCCAGCCTTAAAACCAAAACGAACAATACTTGAACAAGAATCAGAATAGCGTCGAATAAGAAAATTGCAAATTAGAGGGGTGAAGAGGGTCAGAATAGTGAGTGCATGGCTTCAATTTGGCTACTAACAGTATCAGAAGCAAGCTTTTACATAATCAAATCGTTCTTGTACAGAATATTAAAAGCACTGCATACTTATATACGGGCCCTACTTTCCTTGTGAGAGCTATTCGTCATGGAATCCGGCTTCTACAACAGAGATGATAAAATCATAATCTAGTTGCACAATGAGTGACCCGTGAGCCATGGTGAACTCCAGTATCATTAATGACAGGTTTTTGTATAAGACTTATCTTATATTGGCTTTAAATAGCACAACTTAAAAACTCAATTTCCCCATTCTCTCGCATAAGGATGCTTCTGGAAGTTGGTGATCAAAGTCGAATTGGCCTTTATGGTAAGCATTTCATTATCTGATGTTGCGAATAACTTACCAATTTCATATTTGATGCAAGCATCCCGCAATGATGCTACTGAAATATAAGATTGGATGCACTCAGCCGGAACCCACCGATAAGCAACCCAATAGTTTGGATTGGCCCAGCGAATCCCTCTTGGTTGAGAGGGTGTCCAGGTCTTCATGCCTAATCTTTCAGCCAAGGTAGTTGTGCGATTAAACAGGACTTTCATGGCCAGAAGCTTCTGGACATTAATCACAGCTATCATCTGTCCTCTTAAGTCGCTGAAATCCCAGGATTTAATTAAGCGCAATATTCTTGCCGGACTATCAGACATCGCTATTAGATCAGAAGATTGGTCGCCCTCACACTGGTTTACTAAGCTGTCTTTATCAATCAATGAGCTTTCGTATAGAGGGCCGCCATGATTGGAAGGCAATGTAAGCGGCTGCCTCGAAGAACGAAAACCAAGTTGTTTGTCGAATCGAGTATAGCTATCAGACCGAATAGCTCGATAAAAGGTGTCTGGGGTGGCCAATTCGGGCCAATTCGAAACCTTTGAGCTTTGGCTCAAAAGGATTCTACCAATAGAATTGAGTGTTGTTATATCCGTCGGTAGAGTTGAGCGAGCATCGGCAAGTCTGGCTCTGAGGTTTGCTCTTCTTTCCGGCAATGGAACATTCTCGTTCTCTTCTTCACACCCAGCGCCGCGATATGAGATATGAAAGACCTCGCCTGACAGGTGTGATATCATGAGCGCCAGGCTATCTGTAACGAAAGTCTTGTCATCAAGGGTCTGGATAAGATCCCGGCATTCGTTGTTGTAATTCTCCTGCAATTGTATATTGCGTTTTTTGATTTGATTTTTTCTGATTTGTTCCGCTGTAAGTGGCTTGTTTTTGATGCCAATATAAAGCGACCTCTGGATGTCGACTGGGTGGACCCCATATCTTTTATCAAAATGGTGATCAATCATCTCGTTAGGGAAGGAAACGAGAGTAGCGTATCTTGTACGAAATATCGTCTGGCTGCAAAAATCGACTACGAGGGGCAGAGGGACCTAAAAAGATAAACCCAGAGCTGCTCCAGAAAGTATCATTTGAATGCGTTGCGGCCTAGCCCCGCTCCTAGATATCACCTAGCCAGAAAAAGCAAACGTATAGTGGACCAATTAGAAGAATATTTTCAAGCAGTGCGTAGCAAAAGCATGCAAGCAATTATCGCGAGCGTATGACGAATAAGCAGCAGGTATGATGCACGAATACTAGGGTTGAGGAGTTGGCTGCTAGGGTTATGGGGGACTGAGCCAGTAAACCAGGCCAAAAAAAGCCAACACTAAACCAAGTTGATGAAATCTTGAACAGCAATCAGAAGAGGGCGTGGAATGAAAAGGAAACGAATCAGAGGAGAGCAGTGGATCAGAGTAGCGAATGAGAAGCCATAATTTGGCTAACACAAGCGAAAAAAGTAAAGTTTTCAGAACAGGGATATCTCTGCGGGCGGAGAATCCCTTTCTCTCACTTCGTTCGTTTCAGGGCACTTCTCGCGCACACGTACATCCACGTTTGATTAACTGGAAGACGCGCGCTGGGGCACGCTGTAAGCCCTGAAACGACGTGGAACTAGTGGAATTTTATCTATAGAGGGTGGCAATACAAACACGAGGTATGTAAGGCAAAGGGACTCTACTAGACATTTCAAGCCTAAGTCGCAAGTGTCTTGGCTCCTAAAACACGCAACCTAACTCATCTCAATCATAAGTTCGGGGTCGGGAGAAAAGCGGAGATCATCCAAACTAATCTTTTGAGTAGATGTAGGCCTTGGAAAGACCGCAGATTTGCCAAAGCTGAACGTAAAGAGAGCAGTATATCCGGTGAAAACCTTGTCCTCGTCGAGATGTGCCAGTTTTAGGTCTAGGATCGCGTGAGAGAGAGTCGAGCCTTATGTTTCGGAGTTAGTCATGTTACCAGCGAAATCTTAGGATTCGATATGCGGAAATCGGTGTAACGTAGAAATCTACCTGCATGTCCGGATAGGTGGTTTTATCGCACTCCGCTTCCCAGGCTGCTCCCAGCACCAGCACCAGCACCACTTTTAGGGACGTACATGAAAGATAGCAACCGAACAGTAACCAGCGTCTTTTGACTTCACTATCTGACAGATTCCGAATTTTAATCACAACACATGTTTCCACCAGATCTTTTCTTCTCGTTCTGCCATTGAAGGCTCGATCCCAATCCCGAGCCATCTCACTGAGCTGTCAGGACTCACCAGAAATTCGACTCGAGCGGCACTGGGAACACCCCACCGCACTGCGATTTGAAGCCAATGAGTGCCGGTTATATGGAAAAGATCAATTGCCATGTCTTTTGAATACTCATTATAATTTACAAGGGAGGCACACAGATCGGGGATTGTTCGATTTAGCCCCTTGTAGTTTCTATCGTTCCCAGTGCAGTTGCTTGTTAACACCAAGTCTGGGTAAGCTGGGTGTATGTAGGATCCTTCCAAAGTAGAGAAGTTGAGAGGGCTTGGTAAGGGAGGACAGGGGATCTTTGGGTAAAGCTTTGATAGGAAGTCGTCGGAAAGTTGTGTGTCGTTAATCAAGGCATCTCCTCTGTTTATCCTGAAGTCAGAAACAATACTACCAGTAATTCAATACCTCAAACTGATGGGAGATGATGTCGCATACCTTGCAGCCCAGTCAAATTGGCTTTCCGGAGGGACACCCAATTCCCCATCGATCAGGTGATAAGCAAGCAAATTTGCCGCAGCATTAACACCGTTCATATTGTTACCTAACAGCACAAGTCCGAAGTTCCGCTTTGGTAAAAGCATAACGCACGCTCCGTACCCGAACTGGGATCCCTCATGGTATACTATCACCTCGCCCTTATATGCTTGTGACATCCATCCTAGTCCATAAAGCGTTGGAGTTTGGAATGGCTCAATGGGATTTCGTGATACGATAGAATGGCTGCCGAGCAATGTCGCATAACCCGATGGAGAGAAGGGTGGCCCACGTTTCAGCATGGCTGAAGCCCATTTCGCATAGTCTGAAACGGACGACAATATATTACCTGCCCCGCGAATAGTTTTGATAAACACACGATCAGTAGAGGTAATCTTGCCGTCTTGGTTGAGATAAAACCCCTGTGAAATATCTCGTTGTGCACTTTGAGCTTCATTGAGGGAGAGATAAGTCTCGGTCATATTCAGTGGCGACCAGATATTATCTCGTAGAAAAGACTCCAGGGACTGGTTCGTCACTGTCTCGATAAGGTGGGAAGCTGCGCTGTACATAAGGTTGCAATACTGCCATTCTGATCGCGGAGAGGCCGTAAAGGGAAGATATCTCATTGACTGTACCGCTTCCTGGAGCGTTATATTAGCAAGCCAAACCCAGTCATGGCGTGGTATGCCAGAGCGATGCGACAAAATGTCGATAATCGTCATTTGCGACGTAGCCCACGGATCATTGAGTACAAAATCTGCTGGGAGTATATTGTGAACTGGTGTATCCCAATGAACGGCTGGAAAATTGATATTATCATCAACGAGAAGTGAGATAGCAGCAGAAACGAAGGCTTTCGTCGTACTTCCCGTGAAGAAGAGAGTGTTTTCTGTCACTGGTCGGGAAGTGAGGGTATCTGACACACCGTAGCCCTCCACGTTTCTTTTGTTAGTTTATACACCGGAAAGCAGCTCGTAAGTGACCATTAAATCGCTCGGTTACTCACTTTGGAATATGTCTCTCCGTGAGACACTGCAACAGCCAGACCTGGAATGCTGAAATGCTTGAGGGCCCACTCGACTTTCTCATCGAAAGACAAATCCAAGGGCGACGCGGAGTGGTATTCATGCCCTTGAAGAGCCTTTTGCGTCTCGGAACCAGCCAAGGAAAGGCAAAAGAAGCCAAAAAAAGATGGCAAACGCATTTCGCGCAAAAATGATCCCAAAAATGACAACACCCGAAAATCAGCTGCGTGTGATCGATGGGGTAATATGTAGAGCTCACTTAATTATCTAAACTCGGCGATAATTCCGGGATGCGGGGAAGCAAAAATTTTAGGTAATCGAAAGAGCTTACTAGTTATCTTTGTTTGGGTGCTACGATACTATTACCATAACGCTGTAATTGAAAGCAGTTATTACTTGTACAGCTCTGCCCGATCTCCAGGGTAACTTGAGAAAGCAATGTGTGCAGTATTTCCGGAAATCTTTGTCACCACCTGCTCTCTTTCCTTGTTTCTTTTCTATGGCTAGGCGTAGATTGTTTTGTGGAAGTCTACTAAAAGAAAGCAGAGCACTACTGTGAAGCCGAAAGAATCTAATAAGTAGAAGTCAGATTCGCTCCATGCTCAGACGCTAGAGGTTTGGCGCATTGCGGCTTGACCCCGCTCCCCATATATAATCGACCACAACACGACAAACAGATAGAAGACCGATGAGAGAAAGACTTCGAAAGGGTGCGTAGCAAAAGTATGCAGGCAATGACTGCGAACGTATAACAAATAAGCAGCAAGTATGTAGCAGGGGCGCTAGGGTTAGGAAGTCAGCTGTTAGGGTTATGGAGGAAAGAGCCAGTAAACCTGGTCAAAAAACGCCGACACTGACCCAAAATGATGAATTCCTGAAAAGCAATCAAAGAAAAGGGCGTGGAATAAGAAGAAATCAGAAAGTATCGAATCAGAGACTAGCAGTGAATCAGAGTAGCGAATCAGAAGCCATGATTTGGCTAACGACAGCCAAAAAAAAATAAAGTTCTAGAGAACAGGGGTATCCCCACAGGCGGAGAATCCCTTTCTCTCACTCCGTTCGGTTCAGGGCATTGGAAGACACGCGCGATATGCCATCCGTGAATCGGAAAAAAAAAACATAATGCAAAAAAGGCGAAAATAAAACGTTTAAGTATCCGGGATGAGCCTGGACTGCCCGGAGTTTTATGTCAAAGAGGGACCAATGAGAAAAGACCTCCGCCCGACTACACTACATTTTTACTATTAACTCAGCGACCCCCCTTACCTTATAGAAAATGAAGCCTAAATTGACATGGCCATAATATCTATGTGAATCCAGAGATAGCTGTCTCTACCATAAAAAACAGAACACGATTAAGAAATTTCTTGGACCTTGGATACTTATCAGGATAGAATACAACGCATGGCTGCTACATTCAGGCACTTGATCAACTTCTATTGGCCATACTATGAAGAATAGAGACCGCCTAGAAGGCGAGTATTCTAATTCAATGCTACCTTACATACTGGGAAATAATCGAAATCATCCAGCCCAGGATCCCGAGGTCTCGGTCCATTCAAGCTCAATTCTACAACCATGGGAAGCGAATTCGACTCGCCCGGCACCTAGAGCGGGTCCAGCCTTCGCGCCTCAATTCGCAAGGCCCAGCTTTCGATACCCCAAGTGCACACTTCCATCCAAAGCTCGCGATAACTTTCGGGAAATCCAGAACCGCACGGAGCGTTTGGGAGCCATTTGCCGCTCACCCAACGTCAACGACCCCGCAATGTGCCGATACCCGAGAACAAACCAGGATTGCCGAATGGAGACCGCCGAAATAAACGCAAAACGCATACTGGCCCACCGCCATCCAATCGAGGATGGAGAAGCAAAAAGCCGGGAAAGGCGTTGAAATGACGATCTTTGAAGTGGGGGGAGGTTTTGGACCTTTCGTCTTCGTTGCTCGTCCTGTCCTACCCTACACCACTTCCTTCTCCCATTGCATCTCAATTCGCATCCACGGACCCGAGACCCGCCTACGACGGCGCTGAGTCAAGTCAAGTCGAGACGAGGCCATGTCAATGTCTTCAGAGCTAGATGTGCCACGGCACATGAGAAGTCCCGGCGACGACGGCTACCGGACTCCGACAATTGAAGATGCGGAGCGGGCCCTCTCTATCCTTGGCGTGGTGGACTCCCGGCCTCCCAGCCAAGCGCATGCCGTGCACTCCACGGCCTTGGAGAGCGTTCTCCAGCGATTGCCGTCGCGGGCGACGGACAGAGCGCACAAAGAAAAAGAGAAGACGAATCCGAAATGTCTTGACCATGACTACGATCTTTACCGCACGACTACGGACGCCTCTGCCAGCACGCTCAGCTGGAAGAAACGCATTCGCCATGTGACGTGGGCGTATTTCACTAGCACGATGGCTACGGGTGGTCTGGCTAATGTGCTATACCAGGGTAAACATACGGCCCGGTGTTAACTACGCGAGAGTATTGATGCTGATGCTGATGCTAATTCTAATTCTGCTGGTATAGTACCTTACCGGTTTCGCGGCCTCGATACGATAGGCATCGTTGTCTTTCTGTTTAATATCGCTTTATACCTTTTCATTTGGGGCCTGTTGATCGCCAGATTCTATCACTACCCGTATACATTCAAAGCGTCCTTTCTGCACCCGACGGAATCATTATTCGTGCCCGCGTCCGTTGTCTCCTTCGGAACAATACTGATCAACGTCTCTCAATATGGCCCCGAAAACGCGGGGCCTTGGTTACTCGAGGCTGTCGATGTATTGTTCTGGTTTGACGCCGCTCTCGCCGTGATATTGTCCGCTGGTATCTACCTCCTTTTGTAAGACCGCAGCTGCTCTTTTCTTTTCTTCCCGCCTTCAATCGAGACGAAATACTTATCTTATCAACCGTGTTATCACAGATGGTCAACCCAAACCTTCACAATTGCCCAGATGACACCCATCTGGATCTTCCCCGCATACCCAATGCTCATAATCGGACCTCACGCCGGCTGTCTGAGCGCGAAATTGGACCCCGCGCGCTCGCTGCGCGTCATTATCGGCGGCACCACGATCCAGGGCGTTGGATTCCTGGTCTCGATGATGGTATACTCTGCCTTTATCTACAGACTCATGACGCAAAAGCTTCCGAAAGAGAATATCCGGCCAGGAATGTTCGTCTCCGTCGGACCGAGCGGGTTTACCGTTGCGGGGATCGTGAATATGGCCGCTGAAGCGAAGCGCTCGTTTCCCGCGGACTTTATGGGCAATGGGCCTCTTGCTGCGGATATTTTGCGGGTTGTGGTTGATTTTGCGGCTCTTTGGCTGTGGGGGTAAGTTGATTTATACCTTTCTTAACTATTATTCTATCCCGGGGGTTGGAAGAGGCCAGGATGCTGATTTCTTTTTTGCGCGATTAGGTTGGCTATTTTCTTCTTTATTATTGCCAGTGCGGCTCATTGGTCTGCGATTGGGCCTGGGAAGATGGTCTTCTCGATGACTTGGTTTTCGTTTATATTTCCTAATACTGCGTTGATTACAGCGACATTTGCGATTGGGAAAGCGTTTGATTCCAAGGCTATCAATATTGTTGGGTGTGCGGCGATATTCCCGCTGCTGCTTATGTACTTTTTTGTTTGTTACATGATGATTCGGGCTATTGTTTGCCACCAGATTTTGTGGCCGCAAAAGGGTGAGGATCGCGATGAGGGTGGATTTGAAATCCATGTCATTAAGCCTGGCGCTGAGACATCGGAGGATGACATGATGGTATAGCTAGCGGCGAGACTTGCTATTCTCAGAAGCCTTTACTACGAGGAGATTGTACATTGTACCCAATATACTAAAGAATATCGATGGTAAGAATATTGGAAGCAAGATCATAACTGTCGCACGTAGACATGATTAATGTCTGGCAATTCTTGGCCGTTCCTCCTCCGTTCTAGGTAGTTGCTCAATCTAAATCCGATAAAAAGGAATATTTTTATCATAGGTAGAAGTGAGCGGTTTTTTTCAAACGCTCTTCGAACAGAACTCAAGAGTCGTTCTTGTCATTTTGTCATGCGACGACGCTGAGATTCCCGATTAATGTGGCCTCGTTTTCCGGACAGGCAGGACAAAGAGATAACGAGTATTTGATGAATATCCCAGTCCGTGGATGGTAAATCATCATCCCTCAAGTTTTTAATATCATCTCGAACAGAAACCATCCAGCGTTTTATTCACGCTGAGGCGTGGCGATCCGCTTAGAAGCGGCGGCCCTGCTGGGGAGGGCGCTCGGAAGCCTTGTCGATGCGGAGGGTGCGGCCCTCGAACCTGGAGAGATGGAAGGTTAGTTGGAGTCTTTGGTGGGGAGGGGGGGGATGATTTTCCGAGTGGGGGGTGGGGGGATGCTTACTCCTGTCCGTTCATCTGCTCAAGAGCAACGGTGGCCTCCTCGTCGCTGGCGAACTTGACGAAGCCGAAGCCGCGGGAGCGCTGGGTCTCGCGGTCCTTGATGACAATCTGGAAAAAAAATGTTAGAGAGGACGAACTTCGGATGAAACGAGTCCAGGGGAAAACTCACAGCCTCAACGACCTGACCGAACTGGGAGAAACCCTCACGGAGGGAGTCATCGGTAGTGGCCCAGGCAAGACCGCTAGATGAAAAAGTCAGTATATTCACATCAAAGATTTGACAAGGTGCTATCACTCACCCAACAAAAAGCTTAGACATGATGAAGAGTGTGGGGGTGGAAGAGAGAAAATAGTAACAATGGCTAGTGCGGCGGGCGCGTTTTGGGGAAGGGAGAATATTTATACGATTTCAATGTATTCTGTGGTGGGGGGGTGTGGGGCCTGAGAATCTCGTTTAAGCGAATCGCATGGTGGCTTAGCGGTGGGTGTTATAAAGAGGGGGACCTTGCGGAGTGCTTGGGACTGGTTGATCACTGTGGATCATTGAAAAAAGTTCGAATTTTGCCCCAGCTGATAGCTGATTCAGCATCTACCCCTCTATAGTATACCGTTTTGTATGGTAAACTCGTGGGATAGGGATTTTTCTGTATACCTAGGTACTGTAGACTTTATGGGAGTTTCAATATACAAGCTAGTCCTCTTTGGGTGAGGGAGGGGCAGACCAGGGTAGGGAGGGGCAGAGCAAAGGGGGGGAGAATAGTATATTTTTAACAACAAATAGTCTAACCAAAAATCACCACTTGCATTAGGCCTGCTGATTAACCAGAGTTCCGGATTTGGCGCCAGAAATTTGAACTCTCAAAGAGTGCCCCAGGGTGATACTCACAGCCTCCAGAATATTCTGGGGTACCCACATTATATCACGCCACCCAAGGCCTATTCAACTGAGACACTATGATTTTCATTATCTAGCGAATTTTAAAATCAAGGTCTAGAACGTAGATTGGAATCTAAAAAGTTGTATGTATTGCTACAGTGAGCTGTGGGCTGAAATTCTGAAGGTGGTTTGAAGGAGTTGTACTCCCAGCGCCGCTTGCCCTCTGCATAAATCTGATCAAATAGTCGCCTTAGTTTACCACCTTTGCTAAGCTTGACAATTAGTCAAAATTAATAATAATAGTTTCAAGTAAGCACCAGACTATGAGGACCGAGTCCCACTTCTCCCCAGCTGAATTATACGACGAACGACACTCCATGAGCGTAGGCACGATGTAGTCGAGAGAGGATAGGCCCAGGACGCCGGCTGGTCTGCCTCGCTTTCGAAGCCCTCGCAGAAGATTCCGTGGATGCTGTGCATGTATGTAATTCGTCAGATAAAAGCCCAGCAGGAGGGATGAAAGAAAGAAAGAGTAAAGTGCAAAAAGACGTACATGGCATCTCCCCAAAGCTCAAGAAATCCGGGGATATACGGGGCTCTTTTAATCACACTGGAGATAAAGAGACCAAGGCAGTCCATTCCGATCTAATTCTAGCTCCAGCGATGATCTCAGTTCAGATCAGATCAAGCACATCATCCCATATTATTCTTGTGCCACAGATACTTTCCCCACTTCAAGCCGCATTCCCATGGCAAGGCTCTACCCCAAAAATTAGGTTAAATCTTGTTTGACTGAGCTTTTTCTCGCCCTAGCTCATAGGATACTTTGTCCGTGTCGATCAGACTAGATGTTCGAATTGTATAGTTACTCCGTAGATCGATCTTCGTTGCCATCTGCGTAAATAATGATGTGATATCTCTATTTAAAAATGCTACTCGTCCCCGGGGCACAAGGACATATTAAATATCTGTATCATACCCTACGTCGAAGTGCTGCGGGCAGATAGACTCCCAATCATATCCGCTACTAGCGATCTTGATCTACCGCCATGTCTACGATATCTCAAGATGTCTCGACCAGCATCGAGAAACCGCCCAACTCCGTTGATGTCGAGCGACAAAGTGATACACTTGCGTCGACAGCTCCAGCCCCAGCCCCAGCGCCAAAGTCTCTAGGTGCAGGCGTAAGTATCAAGATCATGCCTCTGCTCCTGGCGCGATGAAAACTAACGCAATGCTCTTCGCAGTCTGCCCTCGCTCTCGGCGCATTCGGCACGACGCTGACGACCCTGTCGTTGAGTTTAATGGAATGGCGGGGCGTTACTACGGATAATGTCTTCGTAGCCAATTTCTTCTTCATCTCGGCATTTGGACTGGTAATTACCGCTCAATGGGAACTTTCTATCGGGAATGGATTTGCGTATACCGTCTTCAGTGCTTTCGGTATAGTTACCCCCCCCCCAATCGATTCTTTAAGCCAAATACTTACTTTATTCCGACGCGCGCAGGTCTATTTTATGCAGGATACGGTGCCCTCCTGACACCCTCATTCGGAATCGTCCAGGCCTACGGCAGCGACACAGCACAGTATAATAACGCGGTGGGCTTCTTCATGATACTCTGGACAGTCTTTGTATTTACGTTTCTGATCGCTTCACTGCCGAGCAATGTCGCGTACATACTTGTATTTTTCTTTGTGGATCTGGGCTTTTTGACTGTTGCGGCGAGTTACTTCGCCGAGGCAGATGGTCACCATGCGTCCTCTATCGCGTTGAAGAAGTCTGGCGGTGTGTTTTGCTTCCTTGCTGGTCTTGTTGGGTGGTATTTGGTCTTTCATTTGTTGTTGAAGGATTCTCTTTTGGATTTACCGTTAGGTGATACGTCGCGACTTTTTGGGAGGAAGAAGAATAAGGTGCAGTAGATCAGTTCGGATAAGTTGGGGCGTGGCCTTTGGGGTCACGACGGTGGTAGCTGATGGGATGAGAGAGGAGAAAGGGGTAGTAATCCGACAGTTAGTAGTTTGGGGTAGGACGACGAGGAACTCCTTTGTTGCGTGATAAGTTAAAATTGAATGCAATCGATCTCCAACTATTTTTGCGTATACTTCTCTCGGGCGAGAGATGTTAGATCATACTAGTACTAGTATCGGTACGGGGTTAAGGCTCGCTCTCTACCGAGTGGGGCCGGTTGATCATCCACACATCCCATCACACATACATGCGATAACGACATCCCCAACTACATTGACGAAAAACCACCCGAACCATTCAAACAAAGTCTCCCCAATTTTGAGCGCGCAATGATGAGCGCCGCAAACAATCGCATCATCTCGCAGACACAGCATGTCATTGCGAACACAGTCCCCATCACAATGGCTACATATAGAAGCTCCGAGTCCATCCTGGTACCATGATGCCAAACACCAAGCTTGTTCCTGAGCCCGAAACTCGAACTATCCCCCCCCCAATTTATTGCGTAGGCCGACCCTGCGCGCATTCCAATATGACACAGGATATCCCTGCCACAGACCCCGCTATCTACGCCCAATACGAGTCGAAATGGTCCGCGCTCCCAGACAGCGCGGATGCCTGGCTGGCCCGGGCCCGTGAAGTCGCGGAGGTCCTGGCCCAGGATGCTGCTCAGCGGGACCAGGAGAATAAATCGCCGCGCGCGGAGATCGTACTCCTCAAGTATTCGGGTCTATTGAAGCTTCTGGGTCCTAAGAAGTATGGCGGCGGCGAACAGCCCTGGAGCGTTGGGTACAAGGCCATTCGGGAGGTTGCCAAAGCAGATGGGTACGTATCGACAAGTTGGGACATTGTCTCTGCATATCCTGTACATTGAGCAATGCGCTAACTACTACGAGATAGTTCTATCGGTATGCTGCTGGGTTACCATCTTCTATGGTCCACGACCGCAAACGTCGTCGGTAGTGAAGAGCAAATCGAACGTACGCACGAGTTGATCATCTCGAATAACTACTTTGTCGGCGGCGCGGTGAATCCCCGGGATAGTGATTTGAAGATTACCTCCGACGGCGACGATATCGTCTTCAACGGGGCCAAGTTTTTCAATACTGGCGGTGTGGTCTCGGATCTTACGGTGTTGGAGGGCGTTCTTGAAGGCACTGATGGTCATATCTTTGCCTTGGTTGAAACGAGACAGCCTGGTATCCAGTTTGCGCATAACTGGCACAATATTGGTCTGCGGTTGACCGAGTCTGGTGGCGTTAAGATTGATAATGTTCGCGTGTCGTGGAAGGATGCGCTTGGATGGGATTACGCTTCGAAGAAACCGCGCGATGATGTTCTGTTGACTCAGTTCCCGACATTGCTTCTGCCGACGTAGGCATATATCCCCATGTCCTGGCCGATATTCACCTAACTAACCCGCTTTCAATTTAGTATCCAACTAGTCTTCAGCAACTTCTACCTCGGAATCGCGCTCGGGTCTTTAGACTTCGCGTCGAAGTATACGACAGCTACGACCCGCCCCTGGCCTTTCGGAGTCGATGTCAAGGAATCCGCGACAGAGGAATTCTACATCCTCGAGCGCTACGGGAATTTCTTCGCGCATCTTCGGGCTACTGAGGCGCTGGCTGATCGGGCTGCCGAACAGCTCACGGCCGTATACACCAAGTACTCGGGTAACCGACCTGCTTTAACCGCCGAGGAGCGTGGTGAAGTGGCCGAATGGGTGGCCAGTGTCAAGGTGGTTACAACCGACGTCGGACTCCGGGTTACATCCGGAGTATTCGAGGTGACGGGGGCTCGGGCGACCTCGTTGAAGGTCGGACTGGATCGGTTCTGGAGGGATATTCGGACACATACCCTCCATGACCCGGTGGCGTATAAGAATCGTGAGTTGGGGCGGTATGTGCTTCATCGAGAGTACCCCGCGCCAACGTGGTATACTTGAGATGCCCGTAGTATGGGATAACCGGGGGTGAGGGTTAGAACAACAGCGGTATATTAAGTATGAATGAATATGAATTTTCAATGAATTTTCTTCTCTTTTCAAATACCCAAACCCCGCGAGTTCTTTCCGAGTCCGGGGAGTGTCAAAAATGCCAAAAACCCCAAATCCCCCCAAACCCTTTAAAGTGGGTTGACGATAAGCCCCGCCTGATAGCCACTTTGGAGGCCGATCCGAATTTTTTTTCTTCTTTTCTGTGGGCGCACTTCTCTCCATACTTCCCTCTCTCCCTTCATTCCATTCCATTAATTCTCCAACCGCCAAGATGGTGCAAAAGTTCTACGTTACCTATAACCAGGTATGTTATGCTATGCTATGCGCTGTCTCGCGCTGTCGCGCAACCCCTCCGCGCATAGATCTCTGCCCTGTCGAATCGGACCAGAAGCAGGCAAAGCTGTGAAGGCTTGCCCTCATTGGAAGATTTGAGCAGGGATTTGGGTTGAGCTGAATTCCTCCGCACAAATGCTAATCATCGTATGTCCCGTCAATAGGTTCACCAGCTCTGCCAAAGATCCGCAGATGCTATCCTTAAGGACTTCCACCCTCACCTCATGATCGCCATTGGCGGTGGTGGTTACGTCCCTGCTCGTATCCTCCGGTAAGTGTAAGCCAGAGCCAGAGTCAGAGCCAGAGTCCCAAATGCGATCCGATCGAATCAAACACACATACCCTAGATCGCCCAGACCAACCTCAAAGGAAGCGAAATTCTAACCCTTTCAATTCCTTTAGTTCCTTCCTCAAGCGCCCCGGTGACCCCAACATCCCCATCCAGGCCATCGGTCTGTCCCTCTACGAGGACCTCGGCCGCGGCGATGCCGAGGAGGTCCCCGGCACCAAGGTCACCCGTACTCAGTGGCTCGACTTGAGCTCCCTCGAGATGGCCAACCTGATCGGCAAGAACATCCTGATCGTCGACGAGGTCGATGACACCCGCACCACCCTGGAATATGCCGTCCGCGAACTGGAGAAGGACGTCGAGCTGGCCCAGAAGCAGCTCGGCCGCGAAGGCGAGAAGACCAACTTCTTCGTCTTTGTCCTGCACGTGCGTTCCCCCCCCACCCCCACATTTGTCGCGAGTTGTTTGTGAAGGAGCCCCGTTCATACTGACATTTTTCCCCACCCGCTAGAACAAGGATAAGCCTAAGAAGGGCGTTCTGCCCGCTGACATGATGGAGGGCGGCCGCTACCACGCTTCCGTTACGACCGAGGACGTCTGGATCTGCTATCCCTGGGAGGCCAAGGATATCGAGGAGCACGACGCTCTTGCCAAGGAGAACCCCATTATCTAAAACGTTCCGTCTTTGCCATAGTGCGAACAGCATCATTCTGCGCGGCGCCTTGATCTTGATCGAGTCGGTGGCCTTTTTGGGGCCTGGTCTTGTTTTTGGCGGACTTTCCGACCTACTTTACTTCCCTTACTACTTTGTCCTTGCCTGCCTGCCCCCCGAGTCCGAGTTGCTTATACTATAAGATGGCTACCGGGGGAAGGGGGTGTTTAAATTTACGATATCCTTTACGAATCTAGAAAAAAGTTTATATTTTCTTATTTCTTTGTTGCATTGCTGTTGCTCCTCCCGCAATAGACACACTAGGGCAGTTCCTTCGGCCGTGGGTCTACTATCTACATAATATAATTCTCGAAATCTCGCTTTTATTTCGGCCCGGGGTAGGAATTCGAGTCGTCAATGGGTATCAAGTGGATTGTATTGTATATTGATGGCAAAACAATTAGAGAATATTATCGTGTATTATATCAGAGAGGAGCCCTTGCATTGCATTGCATTGCAGGCAGCTCTGCTTCTGCTTCTGCTTCTGCTTCTGCGCGCAGGTCCTTTCTCCTTCGCTTCACGCTCTAATCGCAGATAAACAGACCCGACCGATCGACCCGAAGTCCTAGGCGGAATTCGCGCATCTAGTCGACATCGATCTTGCCCTGGCGCAGCTCAACCTTGGCTTGTTCAATCTCCTTCTGCAGCTCGGCGTGTGCCTCGGGGACGTCGTTGAAGGTGAAGATCGCGACGCCTAGACGGCCGAGGAGGTAGCAGCCGAAAACGATGAGGGCCCAGAAGGGGAGCTGTGGGGATGGCGGTGTTAGTTTAGTTTGGTGTTCGGTTTGTGTCGGCGCGCGGAGTCGCAAGGGTCACGGTAACGTACCACGGGGATGATTTCGGTCTGGACGGTCTCGTTCAAGGGGACGAGGCCGAGGTAGGCGACGAGGTAGAGCTGCGTATGTTAGAATTGGGTCTTTTGATTTTTACTCTGTTCTGCGGGGGTCGGGCGGTGCTTGACGTACGGAGGAGACGAGGAGGAGGACGGAGACGGTTTGCTGAGCGCGTGTCATTGTGGCGGAGGTTGGCGAGATAGGATGGGGAAGAATGGTAGGTGAAAGAGTGAAGAAAAGAGATCCGATCACAGATCCGGATCTGGATCCAATTGCAAAGAAAGAGAAATAAAGGAGAGACGGGGGGTGGAGGTGATGACGGGGGAGCAGAGGCCAGCTTGACTTGCGGATTGGCAAAGGCGGAACTTCAGGCGGAGTCAACAGTAAACATGGGGGGGGGATTGCATAGTTACACAATTTATTACGAGGTATGATTTTGGTGAGAGCTAAGTTGGGCATCATTTGACCATCTTTATTATTCTAGGAATTTTCTGTATTTTCTGTATTTTCTATTATTATTTTATCTATTTTACTGGGGGTAGACTTGAACTTGAACTAAGGTCGTTATGGTCCACATGGGTGCCTGAATCCCCCCTCAGGCAACACTCCCGCTCTCCTCGCCAGGCCCGCTTCCCATCATATATGCATTAGCTTCGCTTCCTTGTCGACCATTCGCGTGGACCCTCTCTAGCTGATTCCTTCCCACCTCACAGACTATCTCTAGTCGGGAAAAGAGCCTCCACCAACATCCAGGCACACGGTCGGCAGCCTGGCCCCAGAATCACAATAAAAATCATGGCTTCGATAGCTATATCTAATGCCTCCGTGGCACTGCCAGTTGGCAAAAATGATAGCCAGCAATCAGCAGCAGCAACAGCTCTAGGCTTCAAACCTTCAATCGAGCAGGTTCTCTCAGATTTACCAGAAGTAACTGGCAACTCCAGCTCGCTCCCCCTGCGAAACTCAGAGACACTCGCCAAAGACGAACAGGAGAAGATGTTCCGTGCTTTGAAAAATGTGCTCGACAATTTCGAGCCCTCTGATGATGAATCGGCCGAGAATGAAAGCTTTGATGTGAAGGAGCTTCAATCGTCACTGGAACAGGCGGATGTGGATGCTCGCCGTGGCGAGCGAAATGCCGGCCCGTTGCAGAATGTGCATACCATCCTTTGCAAGCTGTGGTCCGTCAACTCAGGTCTTCTGGGCCAAGCGGCAGAAGCTCTGGCAAATGGAAGTCGTGATCGTGAGTTTTTCTAAAAGCTGAACTAATGCATTTCCACTGACAGTATCCAGCATCATGGCGAGTCCCGATTGGACAGTCTGGGATTTTGAAGTTCTTCTTGAATGTCGTTGCCTCGAAGGAACAAGTTGAGACCGGCTTATTGCTTCATTCTTTGCGTTTGATTGGCAATTCTTGTGCCGATACAGGTATGTTTTATCGCTGGCAGGGATTTTCTGTGGTCCCCGGGCTTGATGGCAATTGACACCGTTCTAGATGAGAACAGAGAGATTGTAGTCAAGGATAATTATACACTGGCTATTATCCGACACTTCTTGAATCCGGATATTATACATGTGGCTATCCCGGTAATCTACAACATCTGTATGGACTATGGTAAGCATTTTGTCTCTGTCGAATTAATGTGCGAAGGTTACTAATAGCATGGAAATAGAGCCTGCTCACTCTCAGATGGCTGCCAATCGGGCTGCGTATATTATTTTGAGCTTGCTGAAAGATGGCAAAATCCCTGAGAACGATGCTCTGCTGGGCTTTGCATATGATTTAATCGAGCTTTCATCTGAACAAGGTATGAGACGTTGAACCTTGACATTTGTGTTCCCGAACTGACCTTCGAAACGAAACAGCTGCGGGAGTTGAAAACTCTCCCGAAGGCATCATTTGGCTCATCCTGGAACTTGCTTTGAATGAGGACATTGTCTTCGAGCAATACTCCTCGCTGGTCAATTCTCTGTCCGCATACCTGGACAAGGAACGGTTCCAGAACGCCTGCATCGTCAACAGCATGGTGGGAAAGACCCTATCTATTCTACAACGGTCTTTCACCATTGAGATCGATACTTCCTCGAAAGAGGACGTCAAAAACCTCGCCCAGCTCCGTCTGAAGATCAACACGTCTCTGGCCGAGGTCTCCGCCTCGCCATTGTTCGCAGAGCACTACCCGCTCGACTCGGAGCTCTCAAAGACTCTTAAGTCGTGGGTCGTTTCCAGCGAGGACCAGCTCCAAGTCTGCGCATGCGTCATGCTAGGAAATCTGGCCCGTTCCGATGAAGTTTGTCAGACAATGGTGAACGAACTGAAGATCCACGAGGAATTGATCGCCGTGTTAAACAGCGACCATACCCGCGGCGCAGTCCTTCATTCTGTCCTCGGCTTCTTGAAGAATCTCGCCATCGCGGGCGAAAACCGGCTTACCCTCGCGCGGGCGGGGATTATTCCTGCGGTTTCCCGCCTGTGGGCCTATGACTCTATTCCTCAGGTCCAGTTCTCGGCTTCGACTATTGCCCGCCAGGTCATTATTTCGTCCATGGAGAATATCTCCCGTTTACTGGCGCCCCTCTCTGAAGACCCTGATTCCCCGGCTCATCAGCGAACTTACCTTTCCCTGCTCCTGGCGCTTTTCGAAAAGACGGACTCGTCCCCCATTAAGACGGAGATTGGACGCACTGTTGCCTCTATCTGTCGTACTGTCAGCCCTAAGGCGCGAGACGGAGACGCGGAGGCATCCTCGCTGCTGGAGAAGCTTTTCAAATTGCACGAAGGTATTGCTAGTCCGGTTGGGTCTATGATTACGCAAACGCAGTGGCCGGTTGTTCGAAGTGAGGGATGGTTTGCGTTGGCTCTCATGGCGACTACTGACTCTGGTTGCGTGGCAGTAGTAGACTGTCTTGGTAACGAGGAAGTGATGGAGGTGTTGAAGACGACTATGGCTGGCGAGCCTCCGAGCTCAGAGGAGGGTGCCGAGACGACCCAGACTCAAGTGCAGAAGGACCACGGTAATGCACTTGTTCTGCTACAAGCGCTTTTGAAGAATGAGGTTAGTTCCCCCATCCAAACATCGGAATAATTACTTGTTGCATATACTAATTGATGGATAGTCTTGTTCATTTCCGATCGGCTACCGGGAGACCATGGAAGATCTCGTTAAGAACCACGCTGCACGGCTTTTGGAGGACGGACAGAGCCAGGACACTGCATGATGACTTCTAGGTACATAAAGATGAATATAATGAGAAAATAAACGGTTGTCACAAAAAATTTTCAATTCTTCAATTCTACTCCGTACTTGTCCTCATAGATGTCGTGCTTGGATATACTTTCCCTCTGACTGGCTGCGTCCAATCGGCGATAAGAACACGCTTATCTAATCAGCGATTATGTCATCCGTCGCGATTGTCAATTTTCTCCCCGATCTTTTATCGCGCGCCGACAAATCTACTCTTCTACTTCGACAAATACCAATTTTTCTATTCAAAATGGGTTGGTTTTGGGCAGACTCACAGCCAAAGGTGCCCGTGGCACCGCACCCAACTGCTCCTGGGGCCGCTATTCCCGTACGTCTCTTCCAGACTGACAGATATCCATTCCCTCCATACTGACCCTTATCAACAGCCCGGATGCCCGATGCACGAGTCGCAGCAGTCAAAACCCCCCGTGCCTGCGGCTGTGCCTGAGAAGACCGAAATCCCCAGCGCCTGTCCTATGAAGAAATCCGCCGATTCCCCATTTTATTCCGCGCCGAGCTCGTCCACGCCGGAAACTCCGCAACCTCCGGCCGCGCCGCAGAAATCAACATCTACTTTATCCAAACTCAACCCGCTGAACTACATGTTCGCCTCGATTTCACAGGAGCGCGCGCCTAACCAGACCGTCGACCTGGGCGTTGATCGTGAGGTCTCGTCTATCCCGCGTGGTGACTCGGAGGGAAACTGGGAGTATCCCTCTGCGCAGCAGATGTATAACGCGATGTTGCGCAAGGGCCATACCGATACGCCTCAGGATGCGGTTGAGTCTATGGTTGCGGTGCACAATTTCCTGAATGAGGGTGCTTGGGATGAAATTATTGGGTGGGAGCGTACGTTCGCTAAGGGTCTTGGGGCTGGATGGGACCGGTGCCGGCGCGGCGAGGAGAACCTTGCCTTTGAGCTTATGAAGGAGGATGCTTTGGGTCAGGTTGACGAGGCTACCGAGCCTCGTTTGATTCGATTCCAGGGTCGGCCGCAGGAATTGAGTCCTAAGGCTCAGTTTTACCAGATCCTGGGCCAGGTTTATCCGTCCAGATTTGAGTGAGTATATTCGTTTTGGTGGCTTGGGCCATGAACTGGTGCGCTAACATTGATTTCCCTTTTCCAGGACAAGCCCTCCTTTCGACCGTCATGACTGGTTCGTGCAGCGTCGTACACCTACCGGTTCGAAGGAAGTTCGTTACGTGATCGATTACTACTCCGCTCCCCCAGAGCCTAACGGTGAACCGGTCTTCTACCTCGACATCCGTCCTGCGCTGGATACCCCCACTGCTGCTGTTGAACGGCTTATGAGATGGGGCGGTGACGTTTGGTGGAAGGCTAGCGGAGGTGTTGTGCGCGAACCTGGCCATGCACACCCCCAGGCGTGAACGTGAAATTCGACCAAAGCTTTTTCTTGGGCGATTCGATGCTCCCCTCTCTCCTCCACACTGTACATTTATAGACATGGCACAGGCGTTTTTTCATGGTTTGGGCCTTTTTCTCTCTATCTTTCTTTCTGCCCCCTGTGTTATCACTCGTGTCTTAGTATTGCATTTTCAACAATTTAATGTGCAACAAATTATAATGTTACCATTTTGAAGCGATGGGATGTTTACTATCTTATTAGCTCCCCAATATACGTTCTGTAAGCTGTCCTGGCTGCTTGAACATAAAGGACCTGACGTCGCCTTTCCCACCTTTCCCTCCCTATTCTATCTTTCTATCCACCTTACACTCATCGAAGTGTCAAATACAGGCCTCTTCTTTAGCTTAGCGGGTCACCAGTAGTCGCCTCAAGGGCTGACTTTGTCTTTTAGGATAGCAGCACATGATACCACTAGTAATCTTGGAGCAATTATTCACCAGCTTGGTGCAATCGAATATTCAGTCCCGTCACCTCTATCTGCTTCTCTGAATTTATCGATTCCTCCCTCCACGCCATCTTCGCCCACTGTCCATATACCACTTTCAATCATCACCGTCCACCGGTCAAACAGACTATCAAGTCTCTGCGCTCGCCCTTCACCCCCAAATGGATGGAATGAACCATGTTGAAAGAGTTCCGTAAACGAGCGCGCCGCGACTTGTTTCCCATCACTCATTTGAGCCCCATCCAGCCAGGGTTCGGGCCGTAGTTCAAATGGAAGCACGATATGGAAACCAGCCTCCTCCACATCATAATCGCTCCGACAAGCAGGTTCACTGTAGAGTCCAGTTGGAATAGAGTTACCTTCTATATCCAAATTGTAGTCATGTGCAACAGCGAACAAGTTACGGATTTCATCGTTAATATCCACCAGCCTATCTGGAGCTGCAAATATCAAGACCCCTGGAATACTATCCTCTTCATGGGGTATATTTGTGAATCTCTGACGTCTCACAAACGATTCCTTATCATGCGGAACCTCCAGCCCAGGCGCGATAAACTTGAAACGCGGAGTCTTAACCCGTGTTAAGAGTGAGCGAATGAAGCAATTCTGCGGCACGCCTGCTGCATCTAGTTCAGCACCGGTAAAGAGAGGCGCGGAAATCGGCAGAAGTGAGCCGGCAGACATGCGAGATTCAACTGCAGCCGAGTAGCGCTCCATCGCAGCTACTGTGTTGTTAACCTGGAACTCGCAGTAAGGCAGCCATGACCATAGGCCGAATTGCGATCGATTTGTTGGGCGATCACCAGAGGGGAGATATTCCGGAAGTCCCCCGACAATTTTCCCAATTCGAATCATGTATATCCAGTTGGTTAGGATGGTCTCTAGTGGAAACCACATTTCTTCATGCTCATCTACAGGCTCCACGCTTTCCAAATTCTCTATAGTCATTGGGAACGAGGCCTGATTGCGCTGTTGGTCGTAAATAACACCCATACAATGTGATCCCATACTCATGTGGGTGCCGTAAATTATAACAAATCGTTCTTTATCATTGTCCATCTCGTTGTCGTCGTTGATATACTCGTCGCAGGGTGTCATCGCAAGACCGTCAACCCAGTAAAAGAATTCAGGTTCAGGATCGTAGATTAAATCCAGGAATGAGTTTAGAGGGGTAATGAGCTGGTTTCGAATGGCTGCTATGTCCTCTTCTGATTCCCTGAAAAACCACCTTGCACTGGCTAGCGCATCAAGGTCGGGTGTGTCTCTTTTGTTACGAGCCATCCAGCCATACGCGACTAGGTAGTTGTGTAGTCTGGCGCAGCGTTCGTAGTCGAGAGTGCCATTGTCACGGGCTGGGTTCTCGTTAGACACTAGAGCGTCCTTAATGTCGAGGATTTGTTGTGGAGTGGTATTCATGGTTGCGGTGATGTTGAAGGAGAAGTTTCCTATAGAAGAAAGCGAAATAAGTTGGCGGGAGTTAGTTATGGGAGGTGTATGCAGAAACCACCCAAACCTAATTCGGTTTAGTCTAGTAAGTGTATTACTACAATATTACCTCCCAGACGTTTGATATCGGCTTTTTTGCCATCATGTAGAGATATTGATGGTACAATTTCCTCCGGTATACCAGAAAATTTTGTATGATAAGTAGGAAAAAGAAAAACCAATAGTTTTATAAACGTTGGCGGAGCATTCTCGGTAATTTACCTTGACATCGGGCAAGCGCCGATCAGGGTCAAGTTTTCCCATCAGGTACATCAGCCTCACTTTAGCGCTTACCCCTCTTTGAGGGGCACATCTTGAAGCTCCATTTTTATCTATCATGAATTATCTGCTAGATACATATTCAGTTTTACTTTTGATATCATTCATTGAAGTTTATACCGTGGAAGCCCTGGAGGCTTCAAGTTGTTGATCATGGATCCTCTTTCGGGTGCAGCAAGTGTTATTGCAGTTGTCCAATTAGCCGGAGGTATCGTGAAAATATGTGGGAAATACCTCAGTGAGGTCAAGGACGCGACGCAGGATATCCAGCGTTTGAAAGAGAAGATCACCGCCCTTGCCCATGTTCTTCAATCTCTCAAGGAGCTGATCGGTGGATCTGATGGCAATAAACTTACTGCTACGCAAGACCTGGTCGACGACATTGACAATTGCTTCTCAGCACTCACAAATTTGAAAGAGAAAATCGATCCAGAAACGACGCAAAAACGGATGAGGAAATGGGGCCTTCGAGCCTTGAAATGGCCGATGGTACGGTCGGAGGTAGATTCTGTTATCATGGAGCTTGAGGGGTACAAAACAACATTTGCTTTGGCCTTGCAGGTTGATCAAACGTAGGCCCCCCCGGACCATAACCCGATATGATTATGCATATTAAGGGCCAACTCTGACAATAATCCAGGAAACTTGCCACTGCGATTCACAAAAAGATAGACCTTAGCAGACTACAGTCTGCAAAACAAGCAGCATTCGACTCCTACGACAATCAACATAGTGAATGTCTCCCAGGGACCCGCATTGGCCTGCTCCAAGAAATCGAGGAGTGGATAAAATCACCACATGGAAAATGTATATTTTGGTTGAACGGTATGGCAGGGACAGGGAAATCAACAGTCTCCCAAACAGTCGCACGCCGTCTTCAAGAGCAGAAGCTTCTCGGGGCCAGCTTCTTCTTCCGGAGAAATGAAGAGGATAGAGGAACAGCAAAAAAGCTTTTCCCAACGTTGACTGAGCAACTGGTCATCGGTATACCTCAAATGCTGCCTGGAGTTCAAAAGGCAATTGACGATGACCCTAATATTTCGGAAAAGGCGTTGAAAGAACAATTTGATAAGCTTCTGCTAGACCCACTGGCTGGAATCGAGCAGCGCCCGGGCAAAGAAACTATACGCAGAGTGATCGTGATTGATGCTCTAGACGAATGTGAGTCAGAAGATGATATAGGGATTATTCTCCGGATCTTACCACGGGTTCAAAAGTCAACTTCTGTACAAATACGGTTTCTATTAACAAGTCGACCTGAGTTACCAATCAGGCTGGGCTTCAAAAGAATCACTGATGCCCATCAGAATTTGGTCCTCCATGAGATCGCAGAGCCGGTGATAGAGCATGACATATCCTTATATTTTGAGGATCAGTTCCTACACCTAAGGGAGAGGCGCTCATTGTCATCAGACTGGCCCGGAGCTCCAGCTACCAAGAGATTGGTTAATAGGGCCATCCCTTTGTTCATTGCAGCTGCTACTGTATGTCGCTTTATTGGTGATCCAAAATGGAACCCCCAAAAGCGACTTGATGCGATATTGGCGGACAACTCAACCTATGTGTCAAAGATGAAAAGTACATATATTCCTGTGCTGAATCAACTTCTCACTGGTCAGAATGAAACAGAGTCACAGACATTACTCGAAGAATTCAAGGAGATAGTGGGGGTGATAATCATACTGGCCACCCCGCTCTCGATCAACTCCCTCCGCCATCTAGTGGGAAAAGAGCCAGATGATATCAAACTTCGATTGGACCAGCTCCACTCGGTGCTCAGTGTACCAACCAATTTCGATTCGCCAGTCAGGCTCCTCCATCTGTCATTCCGAGATTTCCTTTTGGATCACGACAAAGAAAGAAAATTCTGGATCGACGAAGAATGTACAAATCAGCGTCTTGCAGAACGATGTTGTCAGATCATGCAGGATACCCTGAAGGAAAACATCTGCGAACTACCAAGCAAAGCCACGAAAAGAGATGAGATTAGCAATGATTTGATTCAGCGTTATATACCTCCCGATCTGCAATACGCCTGTCGCTACTGGGTACATCATCTTGAGCGCTGTAAGGGCCGTGTATCCGAATCCGAAGTTCTTCGTTTTTTGAAAGTACATTTCCTTCACTGGTTGGAAGTGCTTGCTCTGATAGGAGATATATCGAAAGCAACCGGGATGATTGAGATAATGAAATCAAGAACTTGGGTAAGTCTCGATCTATACACTTGAAAGTTGGATATCACTAATCAAAGAATAATAAAAATCAATTAGAACTTGAAGAAGATGGATTCTGAGCTATCAGGTTTTCTTTACGAAGGATCAAGGTTTGCTCTTCAAAATACCTACATAGCAAGAGTCACCCCATTGCAGATATATTATGCTGGACTTGTCTTTGCACCGACAACGACCATTATAAAAACCACCTTTCAGAGGAAAATACCCACACAAATTAAGAAGCTCCCAATGCAGTACTTCTGGAGCCCAAACCTGCACACACTTGAAGGACATAACCATGGAGTGGACTCAGTGGCTTTCTCCCCAGACGGGAGTACACTGGCATCATCAGCTAGAAATGAAATTTTCCTTTGGGACACAACCCTAGGCCAGCCGCTGTGGGCACTAACTGGCCACTCCCGGGCGGTTAAAACTGTTGCATTTTCTCCAAATGGATCAATTTTGGCGTCAGGTTCATATGATAAAACCATAATTCTCTGGGAAGTGGCCATAGGGGAGCCGTGGAAGACGCTTACAGGCCATTCTGGCGAGGTTGCAACTGTCGCATTTTCTCCAGACGGATCAACGCTGGCGTCGGGTTCGAGAGATCATCTCATCATACTCTGGAGTATGGCCACATGCGAACAGCGAACACTGGGTCATCATGCCAGCTGGGTCTTCTCCGTGGCCTTCTCTGCGAGCGGGCAAATGCTGGCGTCAGGCTCACATGACAACACAATCATTCTGTGGAATATAGTCACAGGTCAGCAGCAGTATATATTAAGCGACCATTTGTCTACGGTTAGCTCTGTGGCCTTCTCGCTGGACGGACTCGTGGTAGCATCGGGTTCATATGACGCGACCATCATACTCTGGGAAGTAGCCACAGGAAAGCGGCAGCGGACGCTCAGAGGCAATGACGCTGTCCTCTCGTTGGCATTTGATGCAGTCTCAGGCATACTAGCGTCAGGACAGTATGACAGGACAATTAATAATTGGGATATTGCTACAGGGGAGCTGCAGAAGACGCTCATCGGTCATACACGCTCGGTTGATTCCCTGGCATTCTCCACGCATGGGCGCATGTTGGCGTCAGGCTCACAAGATAATACCATTAAGCTCTGGGATTTAGGTACGTACAATCAGCAACAGCAGCAAATTCAGAGCGGCCACTCTTCTTGGATATTTTCGATGGCTTTCTCTCGAGACGGAAGCATGCTAGCGTCAGGCTCAATTGATGGCGATATCCTAGTCTGGGATGTAGAGACAGGCAACTATCATACGATAAGCGGCCATGCCGGCCCAATGAATTCATTAGCTTTCTCTCCAGATGGATACATGCTGGCATCTTCAGGTGCCAACGCGCTTATTCTCTGGGACATAGCCACGGGCGAGCGGCGGCACACGCTAATCGGTTCTTTCCCTGGACCTTCAGAGGGTCGTTTGGTCTTCTCTCCAGACGGAAGCACACTGGCATCGTCGAGCGACGGGATTATTCTCTGGGACACCAACACAGGCAAGCACAGACGAACGCTAGATTGTGATGGTTTGGTTGAGGCCATGGTATTTTCACCAGACCGATGTACATTGGCATTAGGCCTAGATCAGAATGTTCAGCTCTGGAACATAGTCACAGGCGAGCGACAACAACAGATGAACGGCTTGCATTCAAACTGGGGGATTCAATCCATGGCTTTCTCTCCAGATGGGCATACACTGGCGTTGAATTTCTATGACAACACCCTCGAGCTCTGGGACACAGCCGCAGACAGGCGGCAGACGCTGAACGACAATTCCGGTTCTGTGCTGTCCGTGAATAGATCTTACTTCAACACAGAAGTCTGGGTATCAAAATCTTGGGTTTTCTTTCGTGGTGAACCTTTGTTGTTTCTCCCTCCTGAACATAGTTGGTTCACGTGTCAGACCTCAGTGGGATGTACGCTTGCTCTAGGATATCGGGACGGAAGAGTGATTATTTTGGTCTTTGATACATAACTCCTTTTCTACCTCTACCTGCACTGTTTTTCTGACATTCCCTTGACCGAGATGACTTTAGCGAGTGGCAACGTAAAGCTGACAAAAATGAAGAAATGGAATTTTCTGGCTTTTGGACTTTCTATTCGATCAAATAGTGATTACAAGTCGGTGGATCATCGTTATAAGTCCGAGATTGTCACTAGATTGAAGTAGGGGAAGACAATCCATTTACGAGGCTGTCTGTTGCGGAGAGTCTAAGTTGTAGTTCTAAGATGGGGGATATATGGTCGATGTTGGGACAGCTTCTGTCGGATGTAGAGGCCGGTGCCAGTGAACGGCAGAAATTGCCAGGGGTTGGAATATAAGTAGTATGAATTAATTGCTTCGTGTCATTTGATTATCGTATCTGAAGGGAGAAATGTGTATAATACAAAAGGTGGAGGGCTCTATGTCTAGATGTTTGGCGAAAGTTGATCATACTTAACACAATGTTCCACACTCTCTATGCTGGCCTGCAGCAACCCGCGAGCTTCGAGCCCGACCCAGACCCGAAGCATCGAGGTATCACCAGAGCGAACAGTCTGTATGAAGGTAGAGCCGGAACCCAGCTGTCGAAGGATGGGCAGGGCACTGTGCACTGTGATCAGCGTGTGTTTCATAATATCTATGCCATCGGATTAGGCGGAACAGAATACTAACCTCTTGAAAAGATCTAGATCGGGATTAAGGCTTCGCCCAATGCCTTCAAGGAGAAGACAAGAAATAACCACATTGACAAAGTCTCCTTCAAACCGGACGTGGTGGCCGCGAACCATGGTCAAAACCTCGCTCAGAACGTCGCCGATCCTGATATTTCCCAACGCGAAGGTTCGAGACTTGATGCTCAGGACCAGATGCTGCATTTTCAAGGCAAAGACCTCTGGATCAATGACTTGCTCTGGTCCACGGCATCTTTCCACCATTAAATGGCCTGCGCGGTAGCCATCGAATTCAGCAATCGCTCGGAAAAGATCCAGGAAATTGCGTCGATTCTTGTCATTCAGCTGAGTCACTAAACCGGTATCGATGAAGATGAGCTGTGGACGATAGCCTTCGTCGTTGAGTTGCGCTAGAGCAGATTCCCACGTCTCGCTGTTTCCGATATGCGGGCGTAACCGGGCTAGTACAGCGTCTGTTACGTCAACCTCAGCGCGTGTGGGGGCGTCCATTGCTCGGGATTGCTTGCGAAGGGACAGATCCAGTTCACTGGGTTGGTAGAAGCGGACCATGATATTTCCGGGGTGAAGATCAGCATGAACGAAGTTATCGATTAGGAGCATGTGCAAAAAGGCATCCAGGCCTTCATTTGCGATCTCATGTTGATAGACACCGCCTCCTGTTTCGAGGAAGGTTGCGAGGGGGATTCCCTGGGCAAATTCTTCGACTAGAACTTCGCGAGTCGTGTAATCCAGGTATGGATATGGGAACCAAGCTGTTGTGCGAGACTTGAATTTCTCGCGGAACAGGACCAGATTGGAAGCCTCGATTCGAAGGTCTAGTTGGAGTTTCATCATTTCGCCAAATTGCTGGACTTCGTCGGGGAAAGATAGCCAGTTCATTGTGGGGATTGCATTGATTAAGGATGCGAAGAATCCCATGATTCGAAGGTCTCGGTGGATCATCTGCTCGACTCGGGGGTGCAGGACTTTGATAGCCACGTAGGAGGAAGGGACGCGCTGGGGTGAGCTCTTGACTAGAACATTGATGTTCTTTTGAACTTTCTCCCCGAGCGTGCTTGGTCCTAGCCCAAGCTCGTGGGTGCTGGAGGCCAGGCTTGGTTTGAGCCTTGCTTTGTACACCTGTGCTATAGCTCCAACGCCAAGAGGCTCTTCTTGGAATTCTTCGAAAATGTCTTCGAATGGCAAACCATTGAAAGCTTTGCGGATCGTTTTCTTTGTCGAATGTAATGAATGGGCTGGTGCGTTTGAATGAAGTGAAGACATTATGGCGCACATTTCTGGAGGGAAGATATCGGTTCGCGACGCGGCCCATTGGCCCAACTTAAGACGAATTGTGAGTAGATGTGCCATCAATCATGCCAGGATGAGTAAATTACCTTGATAAAAGCAGGACCAGCGCGCTCCATGGCCTTCACCAGAAACCGGTACCACCACAGGGTTCCAGAACGCGTGTTGTTTGGACCCTCGACCTTCCGGCCTAGCCATATGACCGGTACAGTGACAACAACCGGCACGAATATAGCAGCAAGGTGAAGGAACCGAAATCCAGTCGCAATAGGGTCATAAATATACCGGTACCAGAAGACCCATACTGTTTGACAGACTCTTGAGAGACCCCGCGCATCTGCGGCAACTGATTTCCGGATCTCATCGCGCGATGCCTCCAGCATCTGCATCTCTCCGGTTGTATCACCTCCATCCGAGTCCTCCGCTAGTTTGAGAAAGGCACTGGGCGCGAGGGCGGCCATCACCAGCCCGCCGATAATCGGGGCCCGGCCCCGTTTCGGGATGCGTTGAACAGGGAGGCGCCATGATGTTGTGAAATGGTGTCGCGGAATACGCGGCAACGCGCGGTTGAAACAAAATCGCCGGAGGAGGACCGTCCTCATCATCTGTAGTGTATCTTCATGGAGGACGCCCTGTAAGTATGTAAAGTGGAACTGAATTGACGATGGGAAGGGAACCTTTAGGAAGGTTCGGGGAAGCGGTTGATAACCCCGATAAGCGGCACGTGTTACGACGTCATCGTCGTAAACAATCTCGGAACTTGGCAGGCCGAGGTTGTTGAACAAGTATAATCAGGTAAAATAAATTTTCAATCGATTGCTTGGGATCATAGATTGTCATAATTGAGCGCGAAATATTGTAGAAATTTGTAAAGGAAGTGGCTTCGAGACTAGAATGCGAGTGATCTAGAAGGCCCGTTTGGGACATCCCGAGGTCCTGTATCTACATAAGCTCCACTGCAATTAGATACTCTACAACAACTATGCGGAGAGTAAACTGACACTTAACTAGCAGTTTATAATGTGAATTATCATTGTAGATACAGATTCTATCAACCTCGTATGATCAGCTTTCAATTGTCCAACTCGAGTTTCCCGCCCAAATCCGAATCCAGCCTCCACATTCCAGAGCACATTCCTCAGCGCCACCCGTTATCCGTTTTCTTTCTCTCCTCGCCAATTCCGGGCTGATCGACTCCGATCGTCAAGCAAACTCACACCCCGAAAAACCGAAGTCGACAACGAAAGGTGCAATAACTCTCAAATGCACCCCGCAGCCCCGTTTTCAGGGACAAAGGCCTTGTCCAACGACGCAACAAGACAACTCTACCCTACATTAAATGAGACCATGAATCCCCCAGTCGACTACGATGGATTTTCCATCCTCAATTTCTCGGAGCCCCCTCTAGCTGCGACCCACTTGTTCTGTACACTATGGGTCGCCCATTGAACCTGGACGATGTCGAGTCCAACCAGGACCAGGATCAGAATCGATCTCACACCTGGCGCGATTGGATGATCGTGTTCACGTGGAGTGTCGTGGGCTATTTAGCTCTTATAATGACCGTCATTGGATACTTTGATCCATCGCTTTTACCAATCGATCCGGCGGCACTGCTGTTCAACAAGGATATCTCGCCGTTCTATGCCTTTTCGCGCGGGGGTCATTTCTCTAAGCCGTCAGGTTTGAAGATCGTCGCTCTGGTCCCGTTTAATAACTATGAGCACACGTCCATTCTGGAATGTTATCTGCAGGTACGTTTTAATCCCATCTACTCCTCACTTCAGGAAAGTAGTCCTAACCAATTCGCAGAAAAACTTAATTCATAACCACGGCTTCCTCGACCAAGTCATTTTCATTCCTCAAACGAACGACGCTGCCAGCTTACACTGGCTCAATTCTCTCGTCGAGGAAACTTCCGAATATGCCATTTCGCCGGCTGGCAAGGATATGGATTGGAAATTTGCCAAGGATAACGTCATGTACATCCGCATCGACGGGGATGTCGTTTATATGGAAGACCATACGATTCCAACGATAGTCAAGACCAAGCTAGACAGTCCCGATACGCTCATGGTTTCCGCGAATGTTGTCAATGAAGGCGCTCTCGCTTCACTGCACAGTCACCGCGGCGTTTCTCTCCCTTATCTGCCCGAGCTGGAGCATACCTCGCAACCATCTCGATCAAAGTCTCAATTGGAACACGACTGGCGGGCATCGAGTCTGCCTTCGTGGACAGGACCGCAAGACTTCAAGGTGCGGAAGGACTTCAAGCCGCCCTTTGAGGGCCATAGATGGCTTCTTCCGCGTGAATCGGCCACGGACCGTGATCCGATTGCTGGATCGGTGTACACGGAGACCGGGCCCAGCATGTCGGACTGGACGGTCGGTGCGCAGCAGCACTATTCTTTCCTGCACCATCTTGAACTGGATGATTTGGAGCGGTATAAGTTTCCCTTGTGGGTCGATCCTACCGAGCCTGTTACGATCAATTTTGGCTGTTTCTGGGGCAGGGATGTCCAGGGTCTTCGGGAGGTTTTTGGTCATAAGTCTAGTGAGGAACTTTATCAATCCTGGACTAAAGAGGATGGCTCGAGGCCGAATGTTACTATTGATGGGAAGGGCATTGTTTCGCATTATTCGTCACGGCAGGGTGTGCAGGGGTTGGATTCGACTGATCTTTTGGAGAGGTATCGGGCTTATGCACAAGAGAGAGTCTGTCGTCAACATACCGGGAAGACGCCTCGCATGGAGGTTGATTCAAGCTGAGAGCTGACAGTGGTTAGCTCGGTGAATCGGGAGGTTACAAAGTTGTAAATTATAGAATGGTGAGAGTCGGATAGAGAGAATGCACATAATTAGTAATTTGATATACTATTGCCATTGTTTTGATATTTTGGTCCTGGGTTTTCCAATTCCACGATAATTCAAGCTAATTTGCTTGTTGTTGAGATCTTTCTCGACGTACAACTGGTCAATCGAGTGTATTATTTTATGGCAAGTCATCGAGTATCATATCATATCATATCATCCTTCTTCCACGGGTATCACATAGCCAGACAAAGTTTCCTCCCAAACACACCGCCAATCCTCGTCCTGAGCACCCGGAACGAAGAAATAATCAGCTAGAATCCTTGATACCTGCTCCTAGCTCTTCCATTCACAAATCATAGCGATCCGGGCTAACCGCTCCACGAACCATCCCTGCTCACGCTGGCCAATGGATCCTCGAGCTCCGATGAAAATCACCCAAGCAAATAGATTGAGGTTTTCTTTCGGCAGATCGAGAAGGCGAGATATCTTGAAATTGCTAACGACCTTGACGAGGTGTTTTGTGAGAGCCCGGCCCAGGCCAGACGAAGGGGGTGAAACGATCAGGAAATTATTCAAGAAGCATATTACTGCTACGCGCGTGACGGCTTCGATCGGGTGGATGTGCTTTTCCGGGTTCTTGGGGCCCGGGCCTTTCTCGCTGTTCTCGTATATATAACTTAAGAGTTGATGTTCTGCTTCGCAGTTGAGGATGCGGAAAAAGTGGCGTTCGGAGGATTCGAGGTTGGAGGGTTGCGTGATGGCAACGCCGTAGAAAATGACATCCCGGACGACGTTCAGTATTCGGATTAGAGGGGGGCTGAGAATGGTGTTGGCGAAAAATCCCGAGCCAAGCTGGTGTAATGATGAGGAAGGGGGTGGTCGAATACGTTGTTGGATTGCTTTAGGGACGGGTTGTGTGTCCCATGTTAGTGGGAACACGGGTTTGACTAGCAGACCGGAGGCGGCTTTAACATCAGAGCTGGAGAATGAGAATGGAGAAGGATTAGCAAATTATTCCTAGTGCGTGGGAATGTTCTACATACGTGGTGATGGCGATTAAAATGGAAGCAGATTGAATGCTTTCACCTGAAATTCCGCCACGTAGCTCTACCATGCGTCTCAGGCCTGTCAAATGAATTCGAGCTTCGTCGAATAATCCAGCAATTAACTGCGACAAGACATAGATTAGAACAATGAGGCCCTAAAGTGAAGCCGAGAGAAGCTCAGAGCTACTTACAGAACCAGTCAAAAGATTCACGATCGTATCAAATGCCTCATTAGTTAATGCTTGCGCAGGATCTCGAACTTTCACATTCATTTCTCGAATGCATTTTGCCTTCATGATACAGTAATCTCGATCATTGCCGGTTTGCTTGTCATCGGATTCGATCAGCATGGAATTGAGATGGCCGGACGACAATGCCGCTCTGTGCGCCGCACACATACTCATCAGACCGAAGAAACCACCCGGGTCTGAAAAGGAGGAGCGGACCAGTAATTCGACTTCTTTGGTAAATTGGCCCTTGGCCTCGTTTGGAAAGGTCACTGGGACAAATACGGACTTCCCTAATTGATTGTTTTTCGTCAGTTTAGTTCCAATCCATGAGCAAAACGCTGTATATAAACAAAACCACCCCTTACAATAGTATAACAAATGTGCAACCATAGTAGGGAGTTCATCGGTCCCGGGCAATGTGCAAAAAGGATCGATAAACCAGGAAGTAGGCAGCAAGCCCGGTTCTGGGTTCAACTGGGGATCAAATGGATAACCCGTGGTCCACTTAGTGGGACTCCTGCGGCGATATCTGCTAACAAGTTCTCCATGGAGCTCTGGTTCGTAGAGGGGTGATTGGCCGGAGGATTCGGGTGTCCTCCTGAGGACCAATTCCCGTTCTTCTTGAGATTGATCGTACTGAGATTTCGTGTTCACTGGCAGGCCTCGACCTTGGCTTTCCCGTCGAGTGGTTCGCTTTAACCCGGCGAGTCTTTCCCGCCGGCGAACATCGCGCATCACATGGGATCGGATGGCTTTGCGAGCGTTGACATCTTTGATTCGCTTGGAGGTCAAGTCGTCATGGTGATCGATGAAGGTAAACGAGGGCCTGTCCAGCGGCGTTGCGTTTGGCTGGGATGTTGGATCTAAAGTCGAGGTTTAGTTTTGAAGCCTCAGGAATTCAGCGGGGGTGGGCGATATGCAAATCGTGCAACAAATGAGAATTGATGGGGGGAAAACGCCTCCGGGTGAGTACCACACCACGCAAGTCAGAGTGACCTGGTCTGGGCAGCAATTACAGACTTGGATGCAAGTATACTAATACATATACATTGAAGGAGGCGAACGCAAAAGCAAACAACGCCCGCATAGGCGCAATTACAAGCAACACGAACCTGAAAGGGAAGCTCGAGCATCTAAGGAAAAAGACTGCAGGTGATCCATTGTGGGCCCGAAGGCCAGAACAAGTGAAGACTCGTAAAAAGCGTTTTTGTGTGTGGGGTGGGAGGCTGATTTAGAAGAGAAAAAGGAGTAGTAACGGTTGTCAATGCGGGGATTTGAGCGGAGAAGTCGCTGATCCGGTGATGACCGCAGTGTAACGCCTCACGCGGCGCTATACATGAAAACCGGGGATCAACCAGGGAATAGCCAGGGGACTTGGCCACGAGGGTTACTATGTAAGGGCAATGGAAATGGAAATGGTAATGGTGATATATATTTAGCATAGAAAAACAATAGAAGATAGAATGTTCCCATTGGAAAAGAGGGAGTCCCTCTGTGATGCGCCCGGAGATGCCGCAAATCGCTAAACACAGAAAAAAACATAATGGCCAAAGATGGAAAAGAGAAACAGAAACAGAAACACAAGATCCAGGATCACATCATCCCTGTAGAGTCCTTATCCCTGCATGTCACTGACAAGTCGTGAAAGTAACGCATAGCCAAAAAGTACCGCCAGACCAACCCAAACGCGGTTCCGTCGCATCCAACTTTGACCGGCCTCCCGCGCCACATGGCCACCTTCCATGACTGCCCCGAATCCCGGGCCACTTCCATTTGGTCGCCGACGGAGTGCACTGGTCTCCGGGGAACACTTGATTGGGGCATTGGGATCGGGCAGAATTTGGCCAGTGGCAGCGTCGATGCGGTGCTCCTTCATCCATGTCCAATTCTCCTGGTCCAGCTCTGGCCATTCAGTTCGGAACTTTAAGCCCCCATCGCCTGCCTTGACATTGTTAATCCCCTTGGTTGTTCGGGCAACACCTGGTGTAGCGTTGGCGTGTGAGCCTCCACCGGTCGAGTTCCACCATCGCGATCGGGCGGCGAGGACTCGGCGTTCGCCTTCTGATGCGCTGACACTCCCCGTAGTCATTTCCTCACTGGTCATAAATGAGAGCAGGCCGATGAGAATTGTCGAAACTTCCCATGCGGGGTTGAAGGACTTGGGGTGGAAATCGGAGATGCTGAGACAAAGGCGAGTGGAGGGTTGGAATCGGCCGCTAGGTGTATGCATGCGAATCGCAGGAGGAGCAAAAGGGTATTCTGGGGGGGAAGATCAAAGTTCCCCAGTATTGTCCATTCTCGTAAGGAGTCCCCGGGGGACCGGTCAGGATGTAATGCCATCTGGACGATTGTCAGCGCTGACTACGAGCAAGGTGAATTCCAAGACCAGAAGAGAAAAAGGACAGGCAATAGAAAGATTTTACATACTCAAGAATGTTGCTTTCCGATGGGTGTGCCACGATAAAGGGCGGGGGGTTCTTTTGAATGCTTTGGTACTCGCGAGTGAGCTGTATACATCCAAGACTGTTAGAGAGCATGGCTTATCATCATCGATTGGGGTCTGGCCACTCACCCGTTTGAAAGCCGCTTTTGTCGCCATAATCTCGGCGATTTTGATAAAGTGCGCAAGAAGGGGATGTAGTGATATGCGTTCTAGTAGAGTAGAGCGAGGCGCGAGAGAAAGAAAAGAAACCGTGGGGTAAGAAGTGAACAAGGTGGACAAAGTGATTGATTGACTTCAATTCCGCAGGCGCAAACCGCTATCGCCCGAGGGTCACGTGCTACCTCATATGGATTCACGCGACCAAAGGATCTCCCGATGTCGCCGATAATCTTGGTCCATTGCAGTCGTCACCATGTCCTCCCTGTCTGCCGAAGATGAAGATGTATGTGGCCTTTCTATGTAGCACATGCATTAACTTCCCCCCATTTCGTGTCTGAACATTGGTGCTAATTTGTCGCAGATCTTCGAGCGCTTGCAACAGCGCAAAGACCCGCAGGTTCTCGAGGAACAGCAGCAGGCCGTGAACGAGCGGACACAGGCAATTCTGCACAAGGCCCAGGCTCGTCTGGGTGAATTGGTATGATCCATTCTATACCCTCTTTCCGTCCGAATAGCACCTCCAATGGGAATATCCCCATATCTAGAGCTTGCGGAGCTTTTCCCGAACCCCGGCTAACCGTTGAAACTACAATCTTTCTAGCTTGACCAAAACTCGACTCTACCATGCACCATCTCCTCAGTCCAGGTCCTCGGTGCTCCTAATACTCGTCGGAACTTCCTCGAAAACGTCCTAAACCCTCTTTTGAGCGAAAATAAGAATCGGCCCTATACTCTTTCCGAAGCCTTGCGGGAGGTATCAGCTACGGCAGACAAGCTTGGGCGATTTGGTTGGTGGTCCTGGAGCTAAAGCTCCTATGATTTGGATGTAGACTTTGCCTTTCTAACCTAATCTGAATCCAGACCTGTTCCACCAGCCCATCTCCGTCCACTTGGACGAGGCTAACAACAATGGCGACCTGCGCAATCTCGATGTTCTGTTGGCCGTCCGCGAGAAGTCTCGCGTGATCCTGAAGACCGGTACCGATCTTGGAAATGCCGAGGGCTCCGCTTATGGAAACCTCCTCTGGCGCAATCTGTTCGGCGGTGCTGAGACTCTCAACCTGAACGCCTCCCTCGGAACCCGCACACGATCCGCCTACCAGGCCGCATTCGAGACACCACTTTTCTGCGACCCGGACTTCCGCCTTGAGGTCGGTGGAATTGCTAGCGCTACGCAGAAGTCGTGGGCTAGCCATGAGGAAGTGCTCAAGGGAGGTTGGAGCAAGCTTCGATGGCAGTCCAAGTCTGGACATCGTCACGAGCTGGGCTATAACGGCTACTGGAGACAGGTTACCGGCCTCGGCGAGGGTGCTTCTTCCACTGTCCGCGCTGATGCGGGTGACAGCGTGAAGAGCAGCGTTTTCCACAGCTGGGTCAATGACCAGCGTGATAACGCTATGATGCCCTCCCGCGGATACTATGCCAAGATCTTCAATGAGGTCGCTGGCTGGGGCCCGCTGAAGGGTGATGTGTCTTTCTGGAAGTCGGAGATTGAGACCCAGGGTGCGATCCCCATCCCCATCCCCGGTATCGAGGGTGAGAGCGGCGTGAGCCTCACCACCGGATTCCGCGCTGGTCTTATGGTCCCGCTGGGATTGGACTCGAACTCTCGTCCCCAGCTTTCCCGCATCAATGACCGCTTCCTGCTCGGTGGACCTACCGATGTTCGCGGATTCCGTCTTTGCGGTCTGGGTCCCCGCGAGGGAGCCGATGCTCTTGGCGGCGATGCCTACGCTGCTGGTAGTGCGAACCTGCTGTTCCCGCTCCCCCGCGTTGGCGTGGATAGGCCCCTCCGTATGCAACTGTTCCTGAACGGTGGTCGCCTGCTGCCATTGCGTACGTCGCAGAAGGCTGCTCCTACCACTAGCAGTGAGGTGCAAGATGCGGTGATCTCCACTGTCACCGATTTGCAAAACGGTCTGCCCAGCATCGCTGCTGGTGTGGGTATTGTTTACGCCCACCCCGTCGCACGCTTCGAGCTCAACTTCTCTCTCCCGCTTGTCCAGCGCAAGGGCGAGGAGGGTCGCAAGGGACTCCAGTTGGGAATCGGTATCAACTTCCTGTAGAAACATGTATCTGATTAGAGCTTAGCGAGATCAATTATACCTCTCTTCTTATTTGTCCTATCCCTCTATATGTTTTATTTAGCTTCAAGATGCTCAAGATATTACCTTAAAAGACCAGTCTGTTATAGCACAACTATTTAGGCTCCTCTATTGCATAGTTCAATGCATACATCCATACAGGGTTGTTAGTTATACGGAGTTTGTATACAGAGTGGGTCGGCTGACTCATCATTCATCAATCACCAAGTGTCCACCTTGAGCTTCAGCTCTACTCCAACACCGCACTCCTATGTCCTCAACCTAATTCCTCTTTTCCTCCTACAACATACACAGACAATCACAACCTGCGCCTCAGATAATCTATTCCTCGCCGCCCACTCGGCAATGGCCCAATATTACCCCCAACAGCAGGGCTACGCACCCCAAGGCTCCGCCCAAAACCTCCAGTTCTTCCCCTCCTCCTACGGCTCTGTCTCCGGCCATACAACTCCCGCACAAGCATCCTACGGCAATAGCGCAGGATTCGGAGGCGCACCGAACCCCTCCGCCCAGGCTTATCCCGTCGGTGGTGGATATGGGGGCTTTGGATCGCCGGCTACGGGGGTCAGTGGACGGATGGGTGAGCAGGGTGGTTTAAGGACGGGGTGGTTAGCGGCATTTGGAACGGAGGGTTATGATGGGGAACCACCTTTATTGGAGGAATTAGGGGTTAACTTTGCACACATTCGGACGAAGGTGAGTTATTGCACTATTGGTGGGTTGTTTTTGTGTCCGAACTAGTCCCTGTGTATACTTCGTGATCATGGGGGTTTATTTGACACAGTTACAATACTGTCAAAATTATCTACAATCACATGGAATGGACATCATATACTAACTTATCCCGCCTCTTCTCCAGACCCTCACAGTCCTGAACCCCTTCGCCTCAATCGACAACCACCTCATGGACGACAGCGACCTCTACGGCGCCCTACTTTATATACTGCTCTACGGAACTTTCCTCCTCCTCTCCGGCAAAGTGTTTTACGGCTACATCTACGGCGTCGCCGTCTTCGGCGCTCTAGCCCTCCACCTCATCCTCAGCTTGATGTCTCCGTCCGGCGCAAGTTTGGTAGACGCCTCCGATCCCGCCAACTACAACCCCCACCACAAGCCCTCAATTTCCTCGGCCTCGGCCGGCCATTTCTCGGCTACATTAACGTTCCCCCGCTCGGCCAGCGTGCTGGGTTACTGCTTTCTCCCGCTCGTGCTGACCGCCATGGTTGGTATCATGATTCCAATGGATACGTTGTTCGGGTACCTCCTCACCACCGCGGCGGTGGGCTGGTGCACGTACAGCAGTTCCGGCATGTTCTGCTCCGTGGCGCGCATGAGTGGGATGAGGGGGTTGGTTGCTTACCCCCTTGCGCTATTTTATGTTGTCTTTGGAATTATGGGGATCTTCTCGTCTAGGGGGACGGGTTCTCTTGCTGCGAAGACGGGGGCTGCTTGATTTGATGTGTGGTTAAGCATAGCTTAGGGGAAAGAGACTCCCCTTTTTTTCTCATTGGTTTTTTCCTAAAATCCGGAATGGAATGGAATGGGTTGGCTGGGGTTGGCTGGGACCAGGCGTCTTGTCTGGAGTTATCATCTTGCTTTGCCTTGCCTTTAGGTTGAGAAGGCGAGCTGAGTCGATCTAAGCTCATATCTTATGTGCGTATGCATGAGCGTGAGGATGGGGCTACAATACAACGCTTCTGGAAAGTAAAAATGTCTGTATCTTTACCTACTTACTTTTCTCCAAGGTCCTTGCATCTAATATTATGATTTTCACGAGATTCCGTTCAGCCACTTGTGCATTATTAGATTTGTTATCACGCTCTATATAAATAGAATACTTTCTTTGCCCTGAAACAAGGAACGAGTGAAGGGGTTACTACCATGCGCGAGCGGCCCGCTTAGTTTGGCTTGCGTTCGTACTGCAAAACCCTTGCCTGTTCTCGCCGCTAACTTGTCGATTTCGCCGCCAAGACGTGTTCTGCTTCGCTCCAGTCTATCCTGGCTACGTTATCTTATTGCTCGTCGACTTCTCCGTCCATCTTAGCTCCTAGGGTTCTAGGGCTTCGTTCCGTATTTCCGTATTTCCGATGTTTACGTTTCTCTTCTATGACTGGCTCGTGCTGACTCGTCCTTGGTTGTATAAGACTCCTCTTGACTTAAATTTTTGTAAGGCATTAATATTAACTTCCACGGTTGGCGTCGCTGATACGCTGCCCTGTGTAATCCTGGGCTTTATTTTCACATACCCACAAGGCTCTATAGCTTTATTGACATATGAGAGTATACTAAGCGCTATCAGGACATCGACTACATTTTTCGGTCTATTCATGATCATATCGATCTAATCGGCTTCGGCGTCTATCTCCCGTAGTAAGCAGAAAAAGGTTTTACCCGCCTTCAATAGATTTTAATATTCGCGGCGCTGTATCCTCGTTGAGAATGTCAAGGTAATACTCTATTCACGCACAGTTAGCCAGCCCAGTCCTAGAATCTCTTGGTCAACGTACCGCAACATAACCACCTTGCGTTCACCAGCTTTAAGAATCCTCTCAGAATCCGTAACTTTCTCAATGCCTCACTTGAGTCAGCTTCCATCCACATCCTCTCTGTTACTAGGCCCGCCGCTTTGTACACAAGAAATATGTTAAATGGAGGTAGACGATCCAAATCTATGACTTGTATACCACTAACAAAGGGGTAGACCATGTTTGTTATGGTGGTGAGAATGGGGGTTAGAGATGATGTGGCAAGTGATTGGCAAGTTAAACTTTGTCCATCAGTAATCTGCACCTTGGTACCGTTCTCGTAGGCTAGGAGTAGGCCACTGTGCAGCATTAGCGTCGAAGCTAAGATTTCAAGAAGATCCGAAAAAAAAAAGAACGGGGATCAACTCACATATGACAAAGTCCTAGCCCACCGGAATATATCTGGTCCGCATCTTCAACCTCTTCGAGTAGGAGGGTGCGGAGGCTATGTGATGTCTCCACCAAAAGCCCTATTTCTTCCACGTTGAATGCTTGCTCTGGAGTGGGGTTGTGTAACACGTTGTGTATGTTATCAAGAAGTGTAGACGCTTCGAAGGCACGGGAGAGTTGCCAGAGAGAGCTCCTTGTGTCTTTCTCAAGGCCGGTGGGCCAGGGGATTTTGTTGATATCGTGAATACCCTTGGCGAGAAAACGAGTGAGAGATGGACGATGTCCAGATTGTATTGTTATGTATCTAAGAGGTGTCAATACAGAGCGGAGTTGTAGTCTTGAGGGATTAATGGTGGCCTGCACCTGTCCAGGATACGGATTGCCCACCCGATTACTATGGCCTCCTCTTTCCCTGACTCGTCAGAAGTAGACGATGAGGAAGACGGACATAAGTAACCGTGATCTTTAAGTGCGTCGGCAGCTCTGACGGTAGTCCCAATAGAGATGTAAGCTGCCGGATAGAAGCCATGTGCAACTTCAAACAGAGTGACCAAAGCCCTTGCTTGGACGATCTTGAGCGAGGTGACACCGAGTCCTTCGATCACTGCTATCCAGCTCTTGACACGTAGGTACGCGGACTGAAAATCAGATGGAGTCCCGTCTCCTGAGGAGGTAGACGGGGAGGTACAAAGCAAATTAATGCAGAAAGCGAGGAGCGTGTCATCCAGGGAAGCTTCGTTCCAAGAGCTTGGGAGCTGATCCTGTAATGTTTGTGCGATGATAGGAAACCAAGGATGGATGGATTGGATGTATGTCACAAATATATCGCCCGGAGCTGATGTGAGTTTCTTAGCGATGGCGTCTTTGATATGGCCCGGACTTAAGGTTTCAAGGGGGAGCTCTGCGTCGATAGAGGACGATGGTATCGACCTTGGAGATGATATCACCAGTCCTTCATAGTGACAGGCTTGACGAAGCCTAGAGTCTGTTAGGAATTCCACGGCTACTAAATGTCATTTCAACAAGCACTCACCTCCGGCATAGTCCGCATTCAGGAGTAGCCCTGTCGCATCGCCTCTTCTGAGATCTACATCGTGCGCAAGCCTTTTTGGCAAGGTGTACCCGAAGGCGAGCTTCCATTCTGGCAAGTTTATCCTAATTAATATCAAAGGATGGATTGCGGGATACGGGTAATGTGAATCGGCATTCCGGCGGAAAATTAAACGTTTTATACTTAGTCAGCCGGACTTGCGGCCACCACCCCGGCGGGCTTCATAGAAGGAGAGCGGGAAGAGTGCGGACTTTCGTGGATTTAGTGCGGATTCATAGAAGGCTTTTAGTAAGGTAATATGAATGCTTTGTCATAACTGTGCTTGAACATGAATATATAATAGTCTCATGTCCCGCGATAGAAGTTTCTCCATAACTCGTTCTCTATCCTCTAAAGCGCTCTCAAGATAGCAGTGGTTTTCAGCACGATGCCTACTAAGATTGAAACTGTTGCAATTGCTGGTGTAAGGACTCCGAAGAATATATGAGAGCCGGGTAGCTAATACTTTATATAGGCATCTGGCACCCTGGGACCCTACGTGTTCCAAGCACTTGTCAATGCAGGCTTTCGGGTCTCAGTTCTGACTCGTTCTCGAAAGCCTGGAGCATATGCCTCGGACATCAACGTCTTCGAAGTTGACTTCGATTCAGTGAAGTCACTAACCACTGCACTTGAAGGTGTGGACGCTGTAGTATCTACAGTGGGTGGCACAGCTGTCGACAATCAGGCTGTGCTTATCGACGCCGCCGTTGCCGCAGGGGTGAAGCGTTTCATTCCTTCTGAGTTTGGCAGCGTTACCACCAATCTGGAGCTCGAAAAATTTCCGCTCTATAGTTCCATGTTTAAGATTCGGACTTATCTCCAAGAAAAGGCAGCAGCTGGAGAGTTGTCGTGGACAGTTCTTGCATGTGGCGCCTTCTTGGACTCTGCTTTGAACACTCCAATTTTGCTGGACTTCCAGAACCACACTGTGACTATGCTCGACGAAGGCGACAATCGGATCAGTTCTACTTCCTTGCCTGTGGTGGGAAGAGCTATTGCTGCAATCTTACAAAACTTTGACGCCACTCAGAACAAAGTCATACGTGTATCAGAGGCAATTTTGACTCAAAACAAACTGATTGGGTTTGCAAAGGAGCTTCGGCCTGATATCAAATGGAGGACTAGCAAGGAGCAGACAAGCGTGCTTTTGCAGGAAAGTCTGGAACAATTTGGTGCTGGAGACTTCAGTATGCCGACTTTTATGAAACTGATGAAAGGCACCGCTCTCGCTGGTGATACTTATGGTGGCGCATTTGATGTGACGGACAATGAGCTGCTTGGGATCAAAGAATTGGCACCGGCGGACCTGAAGAAGCTTATCGCCGAGAAGCTCGCCTAGAGTAGAATGGCACTCTGGGATCTGAGAAGGAGTCTTGTAGCAAGAGCTTGGAATTTTGAACTTGTGATTATGAGCCCTATCTGATAGTGTGAATAGTCTGTCAATATCGGCTTAACACATTTCGATGACGTCTACTTAAAGTGAGCCTGATTGCAATGTGCTAGATTCGACTGGCACACCGTTACCCCTTGCTCCACTTTGGAGGGCCTTGAAGACTATTTATGTTGTTTACCTAGGTAGGATATTATCTCCACGAAAGTTTGATTAGCAGACGTTAATGCACCTTGAGTCCTTTTTCTTTCATTGAGGAATCCCCAAGAGAAGAAGAATCTGTTGTCATCATCTTATATGTGGCTTTGGTGCGTGATTACCTTTCAAGACTGGCTTGTCTTTAGTTGTATAACTCTTTCGTAGCGCAATTCTGCTTGCTCAAAGTATTGCTATTCACTTTCACGCTTAGCGTCACTGATTCGCTGTCAAATCCTCGCTGGGCTTGGCTTTCGCTGGTCTATGAGACACAATAGCTTGAGGTAATTCAAGTTTTAAGTACATCTAGTCGGCTTCGGCTGCTTTTTTTCCGTAACTTACTTACGCTATAATAGCGTAGCCATAATTATTCGTATTCCCGCTAGATCCTATATACCTAACTTAACTTATCACCAAACACGATCCTCCAAGCCGTCGACCTTAAGTAAAAGTCTAACAGCGAATATCTAGGTTAAATGAACCAAGATAAGCAAAGGTCTTAGGCCCAACTGTGAAAAGACTGAATTTTAGAGATCCCAGATGACTACCTCCAAGTTGGCTATATCACATGAAAGACAGACAAAAGGACTCAGCGCCGATCCAATGCAAATTGGCAGCGGAGGGAAATTCCATTCTCTCAAAATCCGGCTTGAAAGTTTTCCGCCGACATTTTAGTGGTCTTTCGGGGACTTTTCGGGGAACTCTTGGGGTGTTCTGGTTCCCTAGGGAGACACTTTATGATTTTATGGGTGTTGAACCTGTATTAGCCATTTTAATGAACTTGCTGACACCCAGAGTATTAGATTTGGTCTACCTGCTAAGAGATGGAATCATTTAACCACAGTGTACGTCTCCTGCATGACCAGGAGGAGGGGGGAAGGGGGGGGGCTGCTGTCTTGATTTCTTACGCTAAGAGTCTTGCTCATACCGCAGGCATCAACCATGAGAATCGCTCTATTGAGTTTATTCAGATATTATGTAATCTTCAAAAGTGTAAGGTAATAGTTTATCAGGGAAAAAACAAAGTAAAAGACGTCCTGAATCTATCGCACTGTCTCACCCCGAGAAGGCGCCCACTTAGCAAGCCATTCCCGCGTCTTCTCGAGATCACCGCCAGCCGCCTCGGCGCCGGCGACACACCATGCCAGATCATACGCCTTGTTATCCGCATCTCCACCGGCAGTTCCCTCAGCGTAAATCATATTCGCGAGATTACGGCGATGCTGACCCGTTTCATCGGTGCAGAAGTAGAATGGGGCCGTGTTGGTTACGTCCGGCTTGACGTTCAATGCATCGACGAGGGGACGGGTTACTTTCATGATCTCGGGCATGCTCATTGCGGGTGCAGGGTCTGAGTGTGCCTTCTGCTTCCCGTTCTTGCAGTACTCGTTCTGGCACCAGGGTTTTCCGCACCCGGTCATCATTTGCGAGAGATATCTGCGTTCGATGCGGCGGCGCAGGGCCTTGCCTTCTGGATCGTGCGTGTCGACGTATAGAGGTCCGAAGCAGATTTTGCAAAGACCGAGAGATTTGTTGTCTGTGTTTGATAGTGTGCGGCCGCAGTTTTGGTTGAGGCATATGCGTGGTGCGGGTCGGGAGAGTCGCTCTAGGTCGTGGTGGCGCAGGTGGGTGTTCATGTCGCGGAGTCGGATGATTTTGCCGCATAGATGGCATTCGGTGGTTCGTCCACCGTCGACTAGTTCATGAGGGGCGAGGCCGGAGACTAGAACTTCTGGGTCGAAGAAGTCTGGGTCTGAATCGCCTTTTTGCGGAACGATGAGATGGCAGAATTGGCATAGGATTAGTTTGCCGGGACACTCGTTGGTTCGGTGGAGGGCAAGGGCGGGCAGGCCTTCGAAGGTGGATGGGCAGTCTGGGCATGGGTAGGTGTTGTGGAATATGGAGTCGTGGCTGGCTTTGCTCGCGGTGTCGGTGCCGTGGGAGGAGTCGTGCGGACAGTGCCAATGGTTTTGCCATTCGGGGGATCGTTTTTGAAAAACGTTTTGGCATTGGGGACAGAAGATGTTATTGCGGAGACAGAAGTTCTCGTGGAGAACTAGGGTCCGTTGTGGAACCCACTGTCGGCAGTTCTGACACTGCACGTCGTCTGGCTCATGTTCGTCCTCCTCTGCCTCCGCCTCGACGCCATCTTCTGAATCATCGATCGATATCCGTAGGTTATATTTCACAGGAACTCGTTGTGAGGGCTCGTCATCCTCGGTATCTTGAATCTCAGCATAAGCAGAAATATACAGAGATTCCGCTCCCTCCAGCGCGACATTTGTAGGCCGAATCTTGAACTTTTTCACTCCATCTGCAGAAAAGTCTCCCCAGACATGCATATCTCTCCTCGGCCGACCTCGTTGGCGAGCACTCAGCGGAGCAGCAAATAGAGACACGGTAGGATCATCTGTCAAGAGCTCAATCCGAAGCGTTCCCTCATGCTTCTTCAGATCTCGCAGCTCATAGTCCACATACTCCCCTGGTAACACCTGGGCAGCCACATTCTCCCCAAGAGTAAGCACTCCACCAACCGAACTACCGGCCGTCGTACCAGGTGCCCGCGCAGCTCGCTCCAGTCTCTTTTGCAACGTCTCACGTGCCTGTTCTTCAGATAACGCGACGATATCAACTTCCAGATCTGTGTCAACGACGCAAATCCCATCTTCCCCTTCTGGGTAGACTTTGTCGAGGAGAAATCGAAAGGACTCGGTGCGCGAGGTCGGCACCGTGAGAAGCTCGCCAACCGTCAGCGTGGTAAAGTTATCCCGAAGATGTCTTTCCAGCAACGCTTTCCAGTCTTCGGGATCGTAGCCTGCTTCGAGTGGACGGAGACGAACGTATGTGCCTTTGGGTAATTGCTTCGCGTGCACCGTGACCCTTGGACCTTGGTCCGCGGGTGTAGATGTGGGTATCGTTGTTGGCGTTTGGTGTCCGGTTCCTTCTGATTCGTCGACATCCATCTCTATCATATTTCCATTCTCTTGGGGCTGGATTGTAGGAAATTCGTCATCGGAAATCTCGAGAGACTCGCGGAGTAGACTGCTGAGAGCGACCTCGTCCTCCGGTGCGGAGAACTCGCGGATCCCCGCATAAACGAATCGGCCATTTTGAGGATTCACGATGCGGAACGTCAGTGGGTGTGGAAGCTGCTGCTGACGCTGTTCAATCTGCTGGCGGGCGCGAGACTCGGCGGCGAAAGTGTGGGGGTTGAATGGATCGAAGGTATTTGTGTGTTGCGCGCGTGCGTTTGAGGAATTGGGAACGGCTTGGAGCGGGGCGGCGGCGAGGAGTTGTTCGAGGGCGGACTGCGGAAGGGTTATTTTATCGCCAGGGAGTCGAGGGGCTCGTTGGGGAGGTGCCACGGCCAGTTGGGCAGACCATGTTAAGGTGTTCTCGTTCTCCATGATGGAGGAAGAAGGGCGGAATGACGGGATTAAAAATGGAAAGCGGAGCGGAGCGGGGAGCTTATCAACTATCAACCACCCTTACCTTAAGGTAAGGTTAGGGTAACTTTAGGGAACTTCTAGAAGGCTCCACTATCGATTATCAATTCCACCGAGTACATTTACAGTACCCTAGGGTATTTACAGTCGGCACCGCCAATGATACTAATCAAAAGAGGCAAATTCATTTTCCACAGTAAATTTTATTGGACCAATACCTGGAGATGTGGAATCATTTCGGCCTGTCAAAGCGCTTCCATGCGGGACGTTTACCAATCAGAGTGAGCAGGAGATGTCTTCTCCCATAATCAAGTTTCAAACAAAACCCTACGATCTGACATACCATGAAAGTGGCTTGAGCTGAGCCGTAATTTTTCACTGTAGTATACTAGATGAGTGTTGCTGATTAGACCATTCTGAGTGCTAGTAGTTGGACTACCCCCAGCTGTAACCTGCTGAAATCATTTCAACCTGGGATATTGCCTTGGCTTCTAGGCAGGAATAATCAGATCCAGGTCAGACAACCATAAGATAGCTTTTTAGTGTCTTATTTCTCAAAATTATAGAAATCGGATTTTGGGTTCTAGAAGATCGCAGGTTCAAAGAAGTTGCTATAAGCAGCCCCAGGTCGGAGCGATAATATTCTGTCTTTTTGACCTAGGAGTGGTGGTAAGTTTCAAGTTTAACCCTCGAAGGCTACGAATAAGACGTTTGGGGCTCTTTGTGAAACCCACAACCACTTCGTGAGAACTTGAGACGCTATTACACATTGCGATTTCATTTTTGGCCAGGTGGCGCACTCATATGAGACCATTTGTGGTCTCGACCTCGGGACCCTGTTGGGGAGACACACGTCCACATTACCTGGCAACAATATGGAATTGATTCAAGCTACCTGGGTACCATATACTAATATAGAGTCTGTTTCTCAAAAAGAATAAATACGTTCAAATAGATCGGATGAGCTTCTGGTACAGAAACTTAAACAACGTGTATAATGATGCATAAATCCCCCACTGAACGAAAAAGCTGTCAGACTTGAAGATAAAATTTTTGATACAGAGGGTGATCGTAAAAGTTAGGCCGCTTATCACGAATACTTCGGCAGAACCTCTCCATGAAAGGCCCTGGGGCCTGGGAGTATGGGCTGAAGAGGGGAATTTGCCGTCGTCTTCGGTATTCATATTGCAAAGATGATAATTTGACCCAATCGATGCACTGAATTAAGTACCAGGGTGTTAATTAAGCTCAAGTTACTGGTCTTATTAAATGAAATCTTTATTGCTTACAGATATCCAACCGGTATTCCACTTGTCTTCTAGGCTCTGAGTGGTAGATAATGTATGGAATTTGGTTCAAAGATTATGGAATTCCATACGAGATCATATGACACTTCCAGTGCCAAAGAATATGGATGGTATGGGTTTGGATGGAACTTTGAGTCAGAACTGCCGAGTCAAAGGCTACTCTGGCGTTACTGGGGGCCGTTGCTGGGGGCCATGGCTGAGTTATATAGGCTGGGGTGGGTACCACCCGGGTCTGCCCAGGTGCAAGTTCAAGGGGCCAATTTGGTGGGTTAATGTTGCGCGACCCACCAGTGAATGTCGACCAGTGAATGTCAACCTGAGCTCTGCCCCATACATACAGAACGTTTGCCAATCAGAGTGAGCATGAGCTACCTTCTCCCATAATCAAGTTTCAAGAAAGACCTGCTCCAGACTCTCACCAGTAAGAGTGGATGAATCTTGAAAATCCCAGGACAAAAGCCGAGCCATAATTCTTAACTAATCAGTATAGATGCCCCACATAGGCAAGGCGATGACCCTCGGGGATTTTAGCTTTTCTCTCGTGTCAAGATTACTCATTAACATTTTCACGAGATGTCGCCGTTCCAAAAATCCTGGCTCGTATCAGGGAGATTGATGTCACAAAGAAGGAAATAGTGAAACACTCCTAAGGCAAACGATCCGACTGAAATGACAATATTACGAGCCAAGTGCAATGCGTTTACCACTGTGACCTCTTACATAATAATCTGGACAAATTTTTAAAATATTCAAGCATAATTATACAAACAGCGGGCTGTTAGGCATTTCATCAGGTCATCTATCCGTTTTTATGAGCGCAAATTGTCGTTGCGGAGAAAATCCCCACTCATAAGTTAATAATAGTCACTAGTTAGTAGTTAGTAGTAGATGCCAAGCATCGAAAATCCGTGCCTCTCTACCTCGATTCTATTTACTCTTCCATCCTCAACCCACCCATTGCGGAGATTACACCCGCGGGCTGCTCTCATGGACCCCTTCACACCTCTCCCCCCAGAACTCATCCAACAAATCCTCTCCCACATACCCGACTTCGTAGGCTTTGAAAGCCTCCTCTCAACTTCACCCTGGGTCCAAAATGTCTTCCGGTCGCACCCTCGTCACATAACCCTAAACCTCATACGCACCAATTCCATGACCACGCCAGAAATTCAAAACCTACTCTATAACATCGCTACGATACACACACCCTCAATCCACTGTGACGATATTGATATTTATATAAAGTTATGCCCAACCACTTCTACTTCCACTTCCACTTCCACGACCACAGAGGCCAAGGATTGGAGTCCTCTGAATCCATACCTGCCCGATAATATGAGCACCTCGCAAATCATGCGCATAATTCACATCGCGGCAAATATCCAGCGTCTGGCATGTGCATGTCTCAGCGAAATGCAGACGAATTTCATCGCGGCGGTGGAAATGTCTCGCGGGGTCGTGGCCGCTCAACGCGCCGCTGAACCAACTGTCTGGATCGAGGAGGTTTCGGTATACTGGGCTCTGTGGCATTTACAGCATTATAGTGCCATTCAGTACGCGGCTAAGTATCGCTGGAACTGGTCGGAGGAAAGACGTAGCGAGTTGCGCGATACGTATATGGAGAGGGGTGGGGATATTGGGCCTCAGATGAGGGAGTTTATATTGGCTGTTGCCGGTGTTTTGGGGGAGATGGGGTTGTTGTTGGATGGAAATGGAAAGCAGGGTCATAGGGTTGAGGAGAAGGATTTATACCCCGGTGACGACCAATTCGACCAGGTTGGATGGAATATACCAGCCGAAGAGCCCATTGCGATGCCGTTCTTTGCATCGCTGGAAGCGGAAATCCCGACACGTCTACAAGTGTTTGATTCCGAGCAGGGTGGTTATGTCTACGACTTTCCGATCTGGAGTCCCGCCGCCCTTCCAAACGACGATTGTCCGGCTGAGAGAGTTTGGAATCGAACTTCGTGTTGGAGGCTGAGGGGCCCGGTTTGCGGGACAATGATGCGCTCTTATACTTGGCAGTTCATGCGTAGGTGTCGTATAGATTGTCGGCAGGCCGGGCGGAATCTCAAATATGCGCCGCCCTGGAGGCGGGTTGGGGTCGCGGTTTGGAGTAAATGGCGCATGTACTCTGTTGGGCTGTGTGCGTCTGGGCTTCGTGGTATGGGGATGAGTATGGAGATAAGGACGCCGGATGGAGATGTTCTTGGGAAAAAGGAGCTTCAATATAATTTGGAGATGAGAGAGGTTGTTGGTAGATGGTTGGCGTTGATTGATAAGGCGCTGCCGGGTGTTTAGGAAATTTGGAGGGCAAATTTTTCTGTTCATGATATTCAAACTAGGGGGGATGGGAGAGAACTTCGAAGCACAATACATTGTTAGTGGGGGTTGGAGCGTGGGGGAGGTGGTTACAGTGGCGCCCTTTATTGCCTTCCCACATCGCGGAACAGACAGATACTCTTTCGAACCCTAATCATATGATGAGCTAGGCCTATTATGAATTTAGCATAAATTACCGGTTTTGAATATACATAGTAAAGATACCTGATTTTCTACCTATCTGTATGGATATAAGTCTCTGAAGGCCTGGACGACTAAAAGGCTTCATGCAAACCAAGCAAACTAGGCGACCATTGGCAATCCGTCAACTTCCCTCCTCCATCTTTCAGTTGCTCCACTGCAGGGTCTGGTGCTGCCCCGGTTTTTCATCTCGGGCCAAGTTGATATACAGGTATTCGCGATTATTACTAGCTCTTTTGGCCTAGAAAACAAAAAGTCTTCCAAATCTGGCGGGAATCTCTCGACGCAGTTGAAGTTAACGTATACTAAAAATGTCCTTCGGGTTTTCTGTTAGCGGCTTTTTGGCGGTCGGCTAGTTGACAGTCAACATACTTGCCAGCCTAAGTGGCGGCGTAAGGTCTGAATATCAAGACCTCATCCGGGAGCTCGAGTCACTTCACTATGCCCTCAAAGTCTTGATAAGTTATGAGCCAAGACGGGATCCTTATCCAGTCTCGATTTGATAAAGTATGTAGCTCTAAGCTGCCGCCGCCCACTGGAACAATTCCTCGGCAAAATCCTTCAAAGATATAATGTATCCCTCGATACGGGCAAAGAACGATACGTTTCCAATTAAAGGGGTAATAGATAAAGTACGACAGGCATTTGGACAGAGGGAAGAAGTATATAAACTATGGGGGTACATAAACTTTTATGTGTAGCAATTAACCTACTCCTGGCTGAGTGTAGTTTGGAGAACATAGATATCGTATCTGACAAGGTAAAGCAGGCTAGCAAGATATCTAAAGACGACTCGAAGATACTCGAGGGCTTCTACAATAAATCAGTGACAGCGGCTCTACTCAGCTTTTGATGGTACGAAAGGTGAATTCAATGACCAAAAAGGTTTTCCAGATGGTAAACGGGGAACTTAAAGCGTCTTGGAAATCTTTGAGTGATATGGTTACAAGAGTGTGGTAAGAAGCGTTTACTCCTATCATTCACTTTCGTCTGTCGCTGCGGCTAATCGGAGATATTGTGGACGGTGTTATGACCTCATGAACGTACTCTATTATGCTGGAAATAAAAGATTATTTGGCTCCGATAAACCCATGATAGACGCTCTTCCAATCACCTCTTGTGGTAGAGGACGCCCTCGGCCTTAAAATTCCCTGTCCCTTCTGAATACGATTTTGAACTTCTCAATGTTCTTATCAAACATCGCTTCCAAGAGGGCCCGGGATCTGGTAAGATTTCAGCAGATGACTACAAACTGTCCAAGACAAAAAAAATACGAAAACGGTCATTTCATCTGCTGAAAGATTGTTACCTGGGATAACTATCACCGTGGCTGTCATAGTTAAGCGCTCGAATACCACTGGTGAGGTTTACCGTACACCTTGATATAGGTCTGACTAGGTTATCCCGACGCCTGTTGATAATAAGTAATATATTAGTTCAAGAATAGTTGGTTCTTTCCAGAGGAAAGACATCGAAAGCGACAAAAGCAGAGTCAACAAAGCCTGAACTTTGATTATTTCCATAATGTGTTGCAATTTACACCACCTTTAAACCCCACCGGCAGCTACACACCCACGACGCAGAATGGCCCAAACATGGCACCTACTATTTGAGAATCTATTTACGATATGCTATTGAGCATATCACTGACCACATCCCAGATCGCCAATACCGCTGGGTACAGCCCACGTTCCGTTACTACTATCTGCAGCTAATGAGGTCATCTGATAGTGGGGCTGACGATAGCTCGTTACTCCTTTGGAGATCAGTCCCTTTCTCCGCCCAAGAACCCCAACATTGTGAATATGACATCTTGAACTATGACGTCTATATCGTTCGGCAACGCAAATTCGGGGTTACAGGTGGGGATCAATCAGGGGCCGATATATCTTTCGGGTTAGTTTCCATGGTCCTTAATTTTGATCTGGGTCAAGTTGACTAATAGCGGCTTCACCCTTTCGAAGACCGCCAGGAACTGCGCCCACAGCCTCTGTCGACCGTCCCGTTTCCTCACGACCCAGACTTTGTCAGTCGCGATGCACTCCTTGACCAAATCCACGAAAAAGCTGCGATCCTGGGATCCAGAATAGTTTTGGTTGGTCTCGGTGGCGTGGGGTGAGGCAACACCGGTTCTAGTCCAAGGGCGGTCCATTCAAGGCTTAACTATACAACAGAAAAACACGACTTGCCATCGAATACTGCCACCGAGTTCAACAGCAATCGGCCAACACCTGGGTCTTCTGGGTTCATGCGAGTAACGCGGCCCGCTGCGAGGAAAGTCTGCGCGACCTTGCCGACCGAGCCAAGATTCCTGGGCGCCAGGACCACAAGGGTAATATATTCCAACTCGTCGGGAACTGGCTGCAAGACGATAATATCGGGAAATGGATCCTCGTCCTGGATAATCTAGATAATGACGAGCTACTTCGTAATCCTCTACCGACTGGCACGGGGACTCAAGCAAACGCCCAGGGCTGTGCCTTTACACAACCGCCACTACGGTACCTTCTCAAAAGCTTGAATGGCTCCATAATCATAACAAGTCGGAACAAAAGAGTAGCGTTAGACATCGCCGGCCATGAGAAGAATCTTATCAATGTGCAACCAATGAACATGGAAGAAGCGCTAGTTCTACTTAGGAACAAACTAGGTATACATACGGAGAGTGCGGATATGATACAGCTAGTAGAGGAACTTGAGTTCATGCCACTCGCGATCGTCCAAGCTTCTAGCTACGTTATCCATCGTTCACCCCGTTTCTCAGTCTCACAATACCTAGGAAAAATTCGGAAGAGTGATCGTGAAGCGATCAAGCTTCTTAATTACGAGACAGGTCGCCTAGATCGAGACTGGGAGGCAAAGAACTCTATTATACTCACGTGGCAAATATCTTTCGACCATATCCGACAAATAAGACAGTCTGCGGCAGACTTACTCTCTCTGATGAGCTTTTTCGACCGACAGGGAATCCCCGAGACGCTTCTGCGAGCTTTCAAAATGGAAAGAATCAATAATAATTTGAGTTCTTCAGCAGGGCTTGCGAACGGCTCCAGTGAGGGGGATACGGATAGCTCGTCTGAATCCGACCTCTATTATGATTTTGAGGACGATATCGCAACTCTCAGAGACTATTCATTGATTTCTATTAACGAAGATGGCACTATATTCAATATGCATCGGCTAGTGCAACTAACTGCACGTGGATGGCTCACCACTCAAGGGCAACTGGAGCGCTGGAAGGAACATTTCATTAGCATACTATGCCAAGAGTTTCCTAGTGGTGAGTATGAAAACTGGGAAAGGTGTCTATCGCTCTTTCCACATGTTAAATCGGCTCTGTCGCAACGACCAGAATCCGAAGAGTCCCTTCGAAAATGGGCTACACTGCTTCATAACGGCGCATGGTATGCGGCCGAAAGCGGAAATATTACAGACGCAAGGGAAATGGCATTGAAATCAAGGAAACAGAGGGTGAAAATAAAGGGCGAAGAAGATGAAGAATCTCTTAGCAGCACCGCGATATTAGCGATGGCATACTTGGACGAAGGGCGGTGCGAGGAGGCCGAGAAACTCCAGGTGCGGGTGCTAGAAACTCGAAAGGTGAAGCTCGGCGAAGATCACCCTGACACGTTAGAGAGCATGAACAACCTGGCGTCAATACTTCATTACCAGAGCCGGTGGGAGGAAGCCGAGAAGCTCTTTGTACAGGTGGTAACAACTTTCAAGGCGAAACTAGGGGAGGACCATCCCTCTACGCTCACGAGCATGAGTAACCTGGCATCCACATATAGCAGCCAGGGCCGGTGGGGGGAGGCCGAGGAGCTTGGGGTACAGGTGGTGAAAGCGAGTCAGGCAAAGCTCGGGGAGGACCATCCTTCTACATTGACAAGCATGGACAACCTAGCGTCGACGTATTGCAAACAGGGCGGATTGGAGGATACGGAGAAGCTCTTTGTGCAGGTGATGGAAACTCGCAAGATAAAGCTCGGCCAGTACCATCCTGCCACACTAAACAGCATAGGCAATCTGGCGTCGACATTCTATTGCCAGAGCCGGTGGGAGGAGGCCGAGAAGCTCTTTGTACAGGTGGTAACAACTCTCAAGGCGAAACTAGGGGAGGACCATCCCTCTACACTGGCGAACTTGGATAACCTAGCGTCCACATATTGGAGCCAGGGCCGGTGGGAGGAGGCCGAGCAGCTCGAGATGCAGGTGACAGAGACTTACAAGACGAAGCTCGGTCAGGACCATCCAGACACACTGATGAGCATGGCCAATCTTGCTTTTACTTGGAAATCTTCCGGCAAAACTGCGGACGCCATAAATTTGCTAAAAGATTGCTTAGCCATACAGAAACGCACCATTGGACTGAATCATCCTCATACCGTGTCAAATTCCGAAACGCTGCTGAGATGGGAAGCTGAAGTGCTGAATATTGATGCATAACCTGTGAAATTAATTCTTCATTATCTAACAGACATCTATTTCTGAACATTTTGCTGCTGAAACTATTATCTAGATAAAATCATTTCCACTTCTGCAACAAACCGATAGCTTTCGATGGACGACTACAGAAGTACATGAAACCGAGTCGTAGCAGAATCACATCGAACCCAGTTTAGGTCGGCCCCTCTCAGGAAACTCGCTGTTAAAAGTCATTTATTTCATGATACCAGTATTTTACGTCCAATATCCTGTGGGCTTTGCAAGTACATTATTTCCCGATTTCTCGAAATCAGGGATTATTCTTGACGTAAAAGTATTAGGGCTAGGACATTTTAATAGAGGGTTCCCCCAAAAAGATTATTTGTTTTAAGCGTGGGAGCCAAACTTGAATCTGAGTACAATATCTTCGCCTGCCAGTATCCAGGGATACAGTGACTAACAAAAACAACTATCAGAACCACGACAGGAAACATGATCTTCCACCAAATACAAAGTAATACTAATTGAAAAGACACAACACGAACCAACCGAACTTTCACAATCTTTAATCGTGAAACGGGTATTTCGCAGACACGAAGCTCTTACGTACGACAGCCAATCAAATACTCCCTATTGTTATACCTAAATGCCGATTCTCTTAGTATACTGACCAAGCTTGAAAAATGTATTTTCCATAGCAAGCAAGGATTTTGACTCCGAATACCTCCCACGGTGCCGCAGAGGCCACTTAATAACCGATTCGAAGAACGTGGCATCAGTTGAACCTTTGAAAGTACGAGATAAAATGATGCCGTCTTTGGCATATACAGGCAAAATCTGGAAATGTTAGCCGCGATGAAATTCGACACTTAGCCCGGTGTCACGCCGAGTGATAACTAGCTAGTACGCATATATCCAATCCTTTTATCACATCCGAATTCGTCAACATACATAAGATAATATAACCGAAACTCAGATAGGTTGTGCAAGTAGAAATCTCGTATTTAAGGGTTCTGTTCCTTAGCTTTCTGCTCTGCTTTCCTTTTTGTCCAGTCAGCCCGTGAAAAAGCGCGTTTGATACTTTGTAACGATAGTAATATATTTAACCCACCTCATAGGAAGATAGCTATCTCTTCGACGTATAGGCCAGGCTTTCAGCGAGGTGGTCACAGAAGGAGTTAGGCATAATAGGGGGGGATACTTAGTTGTCTGCCGAGCAGGACTGTGGAAGATCTGGTACTACCGCAAGTTCTTGCGTATGTTTAGAGATAGAGCGCTCACTACAGTGCGCTACCTTCGCCATTTGTGATGTAGTGAGTCTGTCTTTGCTGCATATCATATGAATAAACATGTTACATTGCCAGGAATCGATGTTTCTTGGCGTTTTGTAAGTGGTTTGGGTGACTGCAGTTGCTAGGTTGGGAGGAGTAAGAGTAAATGACGCCAAAGTGGGTGTGGTTATTTTTAGTTATTTTTGGACATGTAACGGTACATGACTATACAGTTCTACCCGTTACTGTGCAAACCTGGAACAAAATTTCAGATACAAGATTAGCCATTTGTGGTTTATCATGTGACTAGAGTTTCAAACAGTGACTCTCTGTTTCCCGACATGGAAGGCAATAGCGGACGGCACTGTGTGAGTGCAAGATAGATGCACGGAGGGAAAAAGAAGGAAAGACAGCGCATAGGAAAGGAGGCTGGTCTTTGATTTCAAGCGATTTAGACGGTGACTACAGAATTCTATAGCATACTACTAGTACATGTACAGGGCTCGCTAACTTGAACTAAATCGGAAGTCTTTCAACTACTAGTAGCAGGTAAATGATCTATAAAAACATTTCTAAGCCCACCATTTACATTTTGAATAGATAGTATAAAAAAGTGGAGATTTTATAATAAACTCGCTTCGCTAAATCAAATCGAATCGAATCTACTTCCCAAGCATCGCACCGCACCGCACTAAAAGACCAAACCAATCAATGGAAGCTACGCATACGGTGTCGAGAACTGGTGTTACACCAGTCACACTATTCCTCGTCAGTATGAGATCATTTTCCTGCCCGGTACAGGGAAGAAACATACCATCGTGGCTGAGCAGCCCTCGTTATGCTCGATGCAGTAGTCACCCCGGCAGCTTTGGCAGGTGTGTTGGCAGTCCCGCTTGCATGATGCACACTGAGACAGGACGTCAGCCGAGTCAAATCCAAACGGCCGGGGATGATGTAGTTTAGTTTAAGAGAGTACTCACGGTAGGTCCACATTCCCAGCAATCTTTGCTAACACCCCGTTGTAATCTCTGTGAAACGAAAGGTATCAGTGCACTGCGATCTCGCTTAAACGGGAAGTAGAGTTGATACATACATGCGTCGAACTTGAACCTGGCTGCCTTACCGCCGTCTGATGCGGCGACAAATTCGCCCTAACGTGCTGCGGATTCTCAAGACAGTTCTCGCAGAACCACTTGTTGCACCGGTGACACCAGCGATCCGTAAGACAATCCGCACACCGCGCGATGAGCACAGGGTGTTTGCCCGGAATGCGTAGCTCAGGACTCTTGGCGAAGGGGATACTGGACTGGTGCATTGGGACTGGGCCCAGAAGCGGGAAGTGGGTGTCTGGACTTTGGCCCCAGATTGCTGGGCCTTCGGGGGAACTGTGGCAACCGTTGCAGCCGCGTGGGCCTAGTGCAACGGTCGCTACTGCGGGGCCGAGCATGGGTGCTTCTGGTGCGGGTGCGGGTGCGAGTGCGGGTGCGGGTGGAGTTGGGGTTGGCGGAGTGTTTTGAGCTTCGTTTTCTGTTGTGTAGTTGTTGGGGTTGTGGCGAGAGCCTCGGCAGAGGACTGCGTCGAAGGCGATTATACCTTCGCATTTCTGGATCGTTGTTGCCCAGCCTTCTTCTATGCTGTGCTTGAACAGTCGGCCGGTTGGTGCGTACCATTCGTTCTGCTGGTGTTTTAGGATTGGGGAGTCTTCTTCTTCGGCTTCGGAGGAATTGTTTGATGATGACTCGCTGGGACTTTGAGAGTTTCCCACGCGGTCACTCCACCAGTCTCTGTATCTGCGTCTGCGGACGACAGGGCGCGGGGCTGTGTGTCTGGGGGAGAAATGGTAGATTCCTTTGACTCGGGGTGTGCCCTCTGGACGGGTGGGGCGAACGGCGTATTGGATAGTTTGCATCAGCTTGCGTTCGTTGAGATTGCGGCATTCGCGGATCGATAGGATGTTGACGTTAAATCGGTCGTTCAGGATGATTTCTGCGACTAGATCGGCTGGCACGGAGAGACCGTCCAAGACGAGCGTGCGCACGTCTTGTAGTAGAGATCTTCTCTCTAGACTGGTGAAGATGCGTCGTAATGGCCTTGAGTAGAATTCATCTTCGGTCTGAGTGTCATTTTCATGTTTTGTAGCGTCTCGAAGCTGTGCGCCTTTGCAGCGGGTCAGATCGAGGTGGCGGAAGAGGTATGGTGTATGTGTGATCATATTATGGAGAAGGCGCGAGGATGAAGCCAATGCCATCATAGATGGGACGGAAAGGTATGGAGCCATGTGGTCGAGAATCAGGCTGTTGGTTAACATCTCCTCGAGTGGTGCTTGGCGCGGTGGTGCGGGTGCTGGTTGCGCAATAGGCGCTGGCGTTGGGATAATTTCCATGGGAGTCAGCTCGCGCACCATGGGCTCGAAGCCCAATTCCTTCGGGGTCAGACGTCGTGCGCCGTAGAAGTCGGGGGCTCGACCGATGAGGTTCTGGCGATAGGCCTCCATTGCGCCAACGGAGACATCATCGCCGATGCGAAAAAGTGGCGCATGGGGTTGGATCTCCTGGAGAGCGGCGCGAGCTTTGACGAGCTCAGACTCGAGGAGGTGGATGGTAGACTGGAGTACAGCAGACATGGCGTCGGGACTCGGGTCAATGGTGGAGATGAGAGAAACCCAGAGGTCGTTGGACATGGAGGACAAGTTTTATATATACTCCGTATATGGAAGTGGGTGGGGAAAAGTGATGGATCAACTTAATCAAAGAAAGGGAACCATGGGTGGGGAGTAGAACAAAAGAACAAAGCTCCGGTGGAGTATGGAGTACGGAAATTCAAAGCCGGGGTGGAGAGAGGATGGATGGAACAGATTGGATGAAAGAATTGAGTAAAAAGAGTCGGTCTGGGAGTACAGAGAAGAGGGTACTCTATCACGCAAGGAGTAGTAAGTACTTCTGGGCAGAGTACTGGTAAACTCTGGGATGTTAAACTGGGGATATAAGTATAAGTATACTATACTAGGATATGCCCATATGTCTATAGGACAAGCAGAACAGTCTTATCAACAGTACTTATACTCGTCCTTCTCTCTTCCGCAAGGGGTATCCCGTAGCCCGGACTATGCTCACAGGTACGGCACAATGGACAGGATCACTATCCCAGAGTGTCCATCAGGACTAATTTAATCGTGTAACTCCATGACAAGCCCCACTGATCCGCCGGTCACGCGGTCGAATACTCCACTTTCTTCTGGCGCCGTGGCGAGATGCACGCTATCGTGGTCCAATAGCCTGATACTGTCTATCCTACATAGGGCAGGTTGTTCTAGGGTCTTGGACGATCCGGGAAAAATCAGAATAGGCTGATCTTTGCCCCTCGAGTACAACTCCGTAAGATACTCTCTTGGCATCGAGGCTGATGAATTTCAATAGCCGCTACTGCTACCGCTACCGCTACTCACCATCCTCATGCCAATGCTGCCAAGCCAAATAGCTGACGCTGGGGAGATCCTGCCAAGAGGGCAATCATGGTATGTTGAGTAGATCAGGGGGGGGGATCCCTGCTATGCCCATTTGGAAAGGGGGGGGCAGTGCCGTTGAGAAGCACCTCATCCGTACTCCGTACTGTGTACTCCGTCCGGCTGGGGGAATTTGGCAAGTCTGACGATTGGTACTCCAGCCATGGGAGGACGTTGGGCTGGCCACTAGTCTAAGGTTGGCTCTCGGTGAGTCGCATCACCCCACGCTCCCGGGCGATTCGATGTCGGGGTAGTCTCCGATGGAACACGGAGTACAGTATACAGAACTTTTTTTGGTAGGTTTATCGGCTAGAAGGATTGATCTATTTTATCCATACCCACTTTGGCCAATCCTTAAATGCAATGCGGTCATCTCGATCCACTATGGAAGAGTCTCCATCCGTCCCGGAAGAACGAACTCCGAGGTGTGTACGGAGTAGACTACTGGTATACTGGACACTGAATACCTCGATTGGAACTAGTGATACATGGTCGTCGATCTCTCGCTCTACTCTACTTCCACAGTTTCGACACGGCCACCTCCTTGTCATCATGCTTATTGAGAATCTTGGCCGTCGCCAGGTCAAAGTCCTCCTGTGTAACGTGCACCCGGCGCTCACGCAGCGCGTACATACCGGCCTCCGTGCAGACACCCTTCAACTCGGCTCCCGAACACCCGTTCATCTTCTCCGCAATCTTGGTAAGGTTGATTCCGCGTGTCAGGTTCATCGATCGGGAGTGGATTCGTAGAATATCGGCACGAGCCTCGACCCTGCAGATCATTATTAGCATTGCTCTGGACTTCCAGTGTATAGCGTAATTATAAAGGATGGGAAGGGAAACCCACGAAGGAGGAGGAAATTCAATCTTGCGATCAATACGCCCTGGTCGCAGAAGCGCCGGGTCCAGGATATCCAGTCGGTTAGTCGCCATAATAATCTTGATGTTCTTCGTCGGCTCAAATCCATCCAGCTGGTTCAGCAACTCCAGCATCGTCCGTTGCACCTCCGAATCACCGCCACCGGCAGAATCTATCCGGCTAGACCCAATGCTATCAATCTCGTCCATGAAGATGATACTAGGCGCGTGCTCACGGGCCATGACGAACAACTCTCGCACCATGCGACTACCCTCACCAATGTATTTCTGCACCAGCTCTGAACCACTCACTCGGATGAAGCGGCAGTCGGTGTGATGGGCCACAGCTCGTGCGAGCAGTGTCTTACCCGTACCTGGGGGACCGTAAAGTAGGACACCCTTGGGCTGTGCGATTCCCAGGGACTCGAAGAGCTCTGGGTGCTTGAGACCGAGCTCGATCACCTCCTTGATTTCCTTGATCTGTTGGTCCAGACCTCCGATCATGTCGTATGTACTGTCGGGTACCTTCTCCACCATCATCAGTGAGACGAGCGGGTCGACGGAGGATGGAAGCATCTTCTCCAGTTTGTACGAGTCGGAGAGGAGGGCGACTCGCTTGCCCACGGTGAGCTTGGCGATGTCGACGCCATCGGCGATATCCACCACTGTATTCAAGCGCGTTAGAAGGTTCCGTGGTCTAGCTAGATCTCCGGAGATATCGATTGGAGTCATTTCGATTGGAGCATACCGTATTTTCCCTCTCGGGTGCACCTTGACCAGCACCTTCTTCGTGCTCATCACCTTGACGACTTCGCCGACATAAGAGCCAGGTTGCTGGAGCAGGCCGAGCTCTTCCCTCAGCAGACGGACGCGGGAGTTGTAGTCATTGCGCTGAGCCTCTAATCTTCGGAGAACGGCTTGGCCCTGGATGATCTCGAGCTTCATGCCCTCGATCTTGTTGCGGTAGTAGTTGTCCAACGCCATGGCGAATGGAGGGATGGACGGGGGACCAAAGGGAATTCAAAGGCGATCGTCTCGGTCTAAGGGTGTCTAGGTGATCCCTTTATAATGCCGGACGGGTGTATGGGAGGAGGAGGGCGGAACGATGGAAGATGGACGATGGGAGTGAGGATGGGGAGTGAGAATGGCGATGAGGATGACGATGTTGACCTACGGACAGCTCTGGTGTTCCCGCAGCTTCGAGCTGTGAGCGGAGCACATGACTTTATGGCCTTGTGAATGAGGCTGAAACAAGGCTAGTGTGAGGCCACCAATTTAGTGCAAACATGTAAACGCGGAGCTGACCCTGCCCCACCCTAAGGTGTTACATAAGTAAGCTGCTGAGTCAGTCAGGCATCCGCCAAGATGATTGGCACTGGTTCCACGGTTGCAGACGGCCGCGTGGAGAGCTTCCTGATGACCCTGCGCACTGCAGCAACTTTCCTATCTCAGATGACCAGTTGATAACTGGGTGATTTTGTTTGAAGCTGCCCCGTCATGTATTCGGCTTGATTTTGCCTTTTTTTCTTATCATTCTCGATCTTCGTAATCGTTTCGGCATTTCCTGTTTCTATTCGGCTTCGCGCTGATCACCCTTCCAAATGGCAGATAAGAGAGACAAAGACACCGACAACTCAGAGGCGTTGTCAGCGTCGGCATCATCACATCCTGCAGGAACACCAGCAAGTGACTATGTTTCCGCCTCATCGGTACCTCCAGTGAGGCCTGCGGCATCAACCCGGAGAACATACGGTGAGTTTGCTTTTTTTTACGTCCCTTGTGTAACGCGAGAAACGTCCGTCGGTGCTGATAGCTGCGGAAATAGGGACCCTGGATGCATATACGATCGAGTCAACGTCTGAAAATCGCCTCGACGAATCCCTGGATGATTTATCAAGCCGCCCATTCGTCTCCCCGTCTCCAGCCCCCGATCGGCCTAGAAAACCCTCCGTCACCAGACGAATGTCTTCCAAACGTCAAGTTCCCCATAAGGGCCAGGAGTTCTCGACCGACGACGATGTTCAGGAAGTCGAGGAAGACATCGCCTCCTACCAGGCCTCTACCACGCAGCCTTCCCCGAGACTTCGTCCCTTGCGTGCGCAGAGCTCCACTCTGAGACGACGCCCGAGTGCCCGACCCAGTCCACTGACGCGAGCCGAGTCCGATAATCTTGAAGGAAATGACGCCAGCTTGCCGGCGCCTGGTCTCGAGGCATCGATCGAAATCCCCTCGTTGCGAGAGTCGGATGGGGAGGAGGAGGAAATGAGTGCTGACGAGCCGCTTGATACGGAGGATGACGATGACGACGATGAAGATGATGTGGATGACGCGAGTGACGCTGAGAGCTTCACGCTCAAGGACCGACAACAAGCCATTAACGAAACTCACCCTTTCGGCATTAGGATATGGAAACCGGCCCTGTATAAAAAGAGCCGCTCGGTGGAGAAGACCGCCGAAGGTGATATCCACTCATCTCCAGGTGGGCGGGTCAGCCCTATGCTCTTCTTGACCAACATCCTCTGGTCCCTGGTTTTTGGTTGGTGGCTTGCGCTGGTCGCTCTATTGGCTGCAATCGCATGTTTCGTCTTCGCATATTCCTCCAGCGCTGTGGCCTATGGGAGAGTATTTTCGGGTCTCTCCCGATATCTGTTCTACCCATTCGGCTCCTTCGTTCTGCTCGAGACTGATGAGGTTTACGCGGAGGAGGATGAAGGTGAAGGACGCAGTATCAGCGAGTATGAGCAGTGGCAGAATGGTGATTTGGAACATGGTCGGCTTTTCTTTGGCCCGCACAGGGATAGGTCCCTCGTTGGTCGACGTCGAAATAGTATTGATTCTGCCAGTGAGAATGACAGTCTTCTGGGTCGAACGCAACGAGGAGGAGAACGTCAGGATTCCTCACAGTTTCCACAGTCCAAGCGCCGCCTTTTCGGTCGTGGAGAGTGGACTATTGGCCGAGTTGTCTTTTTCGTCTTCTTCTATTTCCTAGTGGGGCCATTAATGCTGATGGTTTCGCTCGTTTGCTGGCTGCTTGTCTTCCCGATTCCGATGGGTCGGGTGACAACCATCCTTGCGAGCCATCTCCGGCGACACCCTCTCGCCTTGTCATTTCACTCTGATACCTCATATGCTAGACTCAGCTCGGGGTCTTCTTCGCCTTCCATCCTCCTCTGCACATACCGAGCCGCCGGATCGAGATACTGGAAATATACGATTGATGGTACGAACATTTTTTTCATCAACTTGCTTGGCATCGTCGTCTTTGTGATTGCCGACTACTTCCTGCTCGATAAATTCCTGGGCTTGCAGTCCTGGCTGACCCACCCCGGTCTGATCTTCACTCTGGCTCTTTTCTCCGTTATTCCACTCGCATATTTCATTGGGCAAGCCGTGGCCTCGATTTCGGCCCAGTCATCAATGGGCCTGGGTGCTGCAATCAACGCATTTTTCTCGACGATTGTAGAGGTTTATCTCTATTGCGTTGCTCTGACCGAGGGCAAAGCTCAGCTGGTTGAGGGCAGCATTATCGGCAGCATCTTCGCCGGTATCTTGTTTTTGCCTGGCCTCTCAATGTGTTTCGGCGCTATCAAGCGCAAAACGCAACGATTCAATGTGAAATCCGCCGGTGTGACCTCGACAATGCTCCTATTTGCTGTTATTGCTGCCTTTGGGCCCACCCTTTTCTACCAGGTTTATGGCAGTGTAAGTATCATTTGCCTTCCTTGCTGAGCAGCTAGCTAATTTGTATAATGTCATATAGCACGAACTGAACTGCCACGCATGCGAGCAGCCCGGGGTTGATAGGGACTGTCGCCAGTGCTATTTCTCCCAAACTGCTGCGGTCCACGACTCATTTTTCGAACAGGCGGTCCAGCCTTATGCATGGTTCGCTGCCATTCTCCTCTTTTTATCATACATCATCGGCCTTTGGTTTACCCTTCGGACCCATGCCGCCTTGATCTGGGCTACAGAACTGGAGGAAAAGAAGGCTGCTCAGGCCGCTCAGGCCGCCCACGCTGCCCACGCTGCCCAATCTGCCCCAGAATCTTTCTCCTATGAGCCAAGACATCTGCTGTTCTCTAGCGGTGCTCCCGAGGCCTCTGGTGCCGCTACTGGCAACAAGGACTCTATTCGGGAGTCTCAGCTGTATAAGCGTATCGTAGGCCAATCACTCAAGCACTATGGTCTAGATGACGGCAATGCTTCCGTCAACTGGGAACAAAACGACAGTAGCTGTTCTACCTCCACCGATCCCAAGGGAAACACGCCCCATTTGGTCCCTCCTCGAACAGCCGGTGCTGATGATTGCCCTGTGCCCAAGGCCATTCGGGGTCTTACTGGTGAAGACAATGAGCGTCTTGTGCGTCAGGTCACCGATGTTGCGGCAACTGCTGCGGCAATGGCTGCTCGCGACGCGACTAAGAGTCGTAAGCCTGCAGGTCAACAAACTGCCGGACGCCAAGCTGGTCGGGCAATGGCAGATCATGTGAAGCCTCCTGGTGACGAGCCAGATGCTTCTGGTATTGTTGTCGATCCCGCCGCCCATGCCGCGACTGGGGGAGGTCATGATGCGCCGAATTGGAGCAAGTCTAAGAGTGCGATTATCCTGATGGGAGCCACGATTCTCTATGCCATTATTGCTGAGATCCTTGTCAACACGGTTGATGTGGTCCTGGAGAATGTGGATATTGATGAAAAGTTCCTCGGCATCACTCTTTTCGCTTTGGTGCCTAACACGACTGAATTCTTGGTATGTAGCATGCTTTTGACCGGCTGTGACCCTGCGAACTCTTTTGATATACTGACCTTTCCCTTCTAGAACGCTATATCCTTCGCAATGAACGGTAACATCGCCCTATCCATGGAAATCGGCTCTGCATACGCATTGCAGGTCTGCCTGCTTCAGGTTCCCGCCCTCGTCCTCTTCAGCGCCATCTATACCCAATCAATTGATCCCGCCGAACTCGCTCGACACTCATTCAAGTGCGTACCAATCAACCAACCCACATTTCGAACCCTTACTAACTTAACTATCCACAGCCTCATCTTCCCGCAATGGGACATGATAACCGTAATCCTCTGCGTCTTCCTCCTATCCTACGTCTACGGCGAAGGAAAAAGTAACTACTTCAAAGGCTCCATCCTGGTCCTCACCTATCTCGTCGTTATCAGCGGCTTCTACATGTCTGGTTACAGTAACCTGGATAACATGGGCATTGACCGATTCGATACCCTTGCTCTGGGAACAAGCCAGTCGCAAAAGTTTTATACTATTGGACGCACGCGTGCTGGGGTGGCTTATTAGGCGGCTGTGGTGGTTGAGAGAAATGTTGTTCTGTGTAATGGACTGGGGAGATTTTAATTGTGGTCTTGTTGATAGTTTGCTTGCATAGCGGATTTAAATGCATATGATATGACTTCTCCTACGATGCTTAATCTGTGGTTGTCACTGGTACTAGTAGATATAAAGAATCACCGAGACCATGACTGTATAGTATTTTATGTTGGAAGTGCAGAGATGTGGGCAGGGCGAGGCTTCGTAGATCATCTACTTAGCTACCTACGTAGCATCCACTTAGAGTCCTAGGGCGAGGATAAAGAACAGCAGAGCTCTATATATGCTACTCTTTCGATCAGTAATGTTTCCTTCCATCTCTCTTCTACACTATAGTGCCGGCCGTCATGGCCTTCCATGTCGGGAAACATCGAGACATAAGTTCATCCGCTAGTCACATGACACATAATACTGATACGACTAACTCTGTGTTAAGACTATTTCCTGGCCCGTATGGTAATAATTCAAAACGTAAGAAATGTGATAAGCTGTATAGTTACGTAGCATTACATATTCCAAATGACCAGCCATCATGCTGCCGTCGAAGGCACTCCTTAAACCTAGAGCCTGCCAACACCGAATCCCTTTCAAAACGCCAAGAAACATTCATCCCTGATAGCTTAGTAGTTAGCGTTCTCGTCCTTGAATCTAGCGCCTTATTCATCTGCAGGCAGCTACTTTTAAAGCCTCCGTTTTCCCAAAACACTGAACTCAATGACCGTTAAGCAAGAATGACGGCAGAGCTATGCTCGCGTGAGCGACTCAGTGATCTAGAATGGTCTTAAGAGACTACGAAGGTCTCAATAGGCTTAGTGGAATTGGATAAGGAAGAAGGCATTTGGTTTATTCAATAAGAAAGAAGACTGGTGTTTACAATATTTACTGGCTTTGTATTGATTGTATGAGTTATTGTTCTTGCTTGTGTGTGTTATTTAGTGTGGGGGAGAAGGTCCTATATGTATATCGAGTATTATAGCTACACCTAGCTTTCATTATTATAACCACTCTTTTTATTATAGGTAAGCTTAGGCGATATACGGGCGCCATAAGCGGGGTATCGGTGAGCGTAGGTGCTAACTTAGGTACTAGAAACCGAGTACGGGCGCCGTCTGTCGGTTGTTATAGCCGGAGTTTCGGCATGCTTTGTTATAGGTAAGCTTGGGCATCAATATAGGTGCCATGAGCCGAATACGGGTGCCACCTTAGGCGTAAGCATAGGCGCCATAAGCCGAATACGGGTGCCACCTGCTGGTTATTATAGCCGGAGTTTCGGCATGCTTGATAGGGTTTTATAGTATTATGCAATATTGATAGATCTCAAAACGCTGGCTATAATGACCATTGGAGTAACAATGCCGCCAGGTTTGCACTTATATCGCAACTTCCAAGGTTTCCAGCCAGAAGCTATATAATAAGTGTTGTGCGTCCATTCAAATTTTTTTAGAAATCAAGTCTTGCCAGTGGGAGATCTTCCAATTACCAACTTTCCCCATACATATAAGTCAACAGGCATCATGTCAGACTTGGCCAGTACTGGACAAGTATTTCAAGCATGTAAGGAGCTTGTGTTCTCAATGTCAGCGAATGATTGCTAAACAATTAGTGGCGATTGGCGTCTCAACACGGGAGAAGGATGCCGATGGAAAAATTTCGCACACTCTTGAAATAGTCACTTCAGGCATTTCTCCGTTCAAAACATACTCAAACAAAGGCGCCATCACCCTACAAAGCATAGCTTTGTATGCAGGCAGCTTGGGTCCTTTTACTGTCAGTCATCTAAGCTCGTTGTTCGATGCGCTCCAAACCTATCTAATACACTTCCAAGCTCGATATAAGCTTCGACATAGACACCTACGACGTTAACGGCAGTATCACAGTTTTCGGACATTCTATTCTTGGAGTCGCGCTCAACGCAAAGACCTTGGATGATCTCAAATACAATATCGGAATAGCCAAGGGCGATTTGTTCTTCTATATCGAGAATGACAATGAGCTGTGGGTACATCTGAAATGTGACCCAGTCGTTGGCAGAACTTACAAGAAGAATTCGAAACTCCTGCAGTTCTGAGAGCACATACTTGATTTACTTTTATTTCAAAATGATATTACGCAAGGATGGAATAGCTTGCAAAAAGCATGTTCTGAACTGTATTGAAATAAGAGTACGATTTGATCCCTGTTGGTCAAACAGATATATCAAGGTTACTAAATGTGATGATAACTTATAATGAAGCTCAGCAATGATAGTGGATGCGAATGAAATTTTCTGCCCCGAGGAAAGGGGTTTGTAGTCCGAGGCTTTGTGTTCCGAGTGGGTTGCAGTCTAGACCCATTTTGTTCGGTAAAATTTCCTCTAATGATCAACATCACATCTTGATGATAATCCGAGTGATGCCAACCATAATATGACTTTGTAAGTTACATAGAAAATTCGAGCGTTCACTTACTAACACAATGGCTGTTAACTTTCGAAGTTCACGGCTCTAGATTTAATGGGACTAGTTGTTTGGAAATGACACAATGGTGATTCACGAGTCTCAAATTAGCTACTGAAGCATACTTGGGTCAATAAGAATGGATATATAGGGGGGGGATAACACTGGCTTGTTAGTGAAACAGCTCTGGTCGTAAAAGACAACAAAACGCTTGGAACACAACAATATCTTACGAAAGAGAGCATGGAATATCCGCGATTTTACCTATCACACTCCCTAGCCTTCTCGTGACAGGCATTATTTTCTCAGGCGGCCATGTTCATGTCCTTGCAAGCAGCTGCATGGTTCCTCCATGTGGCAGTATGAAGAACAACAGTCCTTGGCCATTGTGGCTGTCGGAGGTTAAGAGCGGAAGATTAAGCCCTTGCAGCGGTAAGTCAAGTTATGGCTACAGGATTATGAAAATTTTTATTTTTTGATTCTTCTCTCTCTAGTGTGGAACAATGAGGGTGGCAATGATGCGATAGTAAATGGCATCACGCCCTGCTCTGTGGTTATGGTGGCTCCTGGCCAAACAAAGGGAGGCTGTTTCAATGACCGAACTGATGTGGACGGGTGAGTCAATTTGCGTCTAGACCAATATTGCACACATTTACTATAATATGAAGCAAAGCCACAGACGGCTAACAATCAAATTGCCTAATTAGGTTCACATTTGACAGCACCTACACTGTTAACTGGAGATGGCTGTTTTCCATTCACTGTTTCCACCCACTTAGAGAAGACTCGATTCGAACATATCCCATCAATTCACAAGAATGAAATCACCGACAAAGGGAAACAAGACTACTTTGCAAAGGGGCTCGCAATATTGCAAATATCTCAGTTGGTCTTGTCACTTATCGTGAGACGAACTCGTGACCTTCCATTCTCTCAATTAGAGACTATTACGCTTGGTCTGGCCGCCTGTGGTGTCTCAACATACATAATCTACTGGTTTAAGCCCCAGGGTGTTGGGGTACCAATAGCGATCCAAAGAGAACCATACAGAGATCCTCACCATTTCCAACGCACACAAGATAGCTTTTGGGCTTTAATCACAAACACAGAGGTATCCTTTAGTGGCAAACCTACCTCCCGTATCCAAAACGACAATATCTCATTGCAAGGAGAAAATACAGGCCGTACAGTCATTATTGCCCTGGCTGTGATGTCAGCAGCATTTGGGTGTTTTTCATTCTATTGCTTGGAACTTTGAATTCCCCGCACTAGTGGAAAGGACTCTCTGGAGAGTGGCCACCATTATGTCTATCGCAGTTCCAGTGTTTGGCTTAGTGACCATTATTCTCTCTCAACTCACTGCCCGCGATGGCGACCCCCGGGAATTTATGAGAAACTGTCTGGATGTTCTTCGGGAGTTTCATTGGCATCATTACGATTACGATTCAGTCTTGGCGGTTAGACAAGTCCTGGAGGACACCTACTACAATCCGAACCCAGAAGCTAGCAACGCACAACGCTTTTATGAGAGCATTCTCATGTCACCAGGTATAAAAATATACCCGGATATGCTCAAATTCATCGAAGAAACACCCGAGGATGAAAAAGCACCCGAGAGGAGCCGTTACCCACACGAATTATCGGATGAATTTCGGTCACAGTTTCGCGCCCTAGGGAGATTGATAGAGGGCAACGGCCCAAGGATACTGGTCAACGGTGCCAAAACTCACGTATTTCCCCGCCGAGTCTTGGTTCCAAACTGGGTGAATTTGACTATTCTCTATGCCACCAACCTATTATACACCCTTTCACGATTGATAGTCATGGCATTGGCACTCGCGAGTCTTCGTTCTATGCCTGACCAGGTGTGCATTACTACCTGGACAAAGAATATCCCCGCAATTCAATAGCCTCATTCAGTTGTTTTATTACTGCTACCCATGTGGTTACAGTTTTGTAATTAATGCATTTACGAACCATGATGAGGACCATATTGCTGAGAGCGTACTTCTACGCCTCAGGTCATCTCTTCCCGATGGCCATATCACATATCATTCATCCATCCCTCGAGTCCCTCCGGTTAGCACCTATTTTCAGTATATGCTATATTCAATTAATTCGGCAAATAAAACTTCTATCTTAGTTTTGTCCCGATGTCCTTCTCGCCCGATACGTTATCTGGAATGTATTTGAATTTTTGTGTCTGCTTTTACTCAAGCTAGAGCTTACAGCCCAGTATCTAGCATCTGCTTTCAACGTCTGCTGCCTTTAAAATGACCAAATTCAAGTTGCTTTTCTGCCTTTGTAGACTGTGGTAGCGACTGCATATATAAGGCATCCGTCAATACTATGTCGTATAAACTGTGCTCCAAATTCTTTTTTTTTTTTCGCAACATGTAGTAATTCCCCACATTCCCCATTAAACCGACCCCCATTCCCCCACAGCATCATCAACCAATTGCCGATACTTCTGCTGCTTAAAGCACTGCTCCAGAAAAACCTCATACTTCGCCCGCAAAAGCGCCAACTCCTTCCCATCCTCCGTGGGAACAACCTTCCTACCAGGCTTACTCATTCGATCCATAATATCCCACAAATCCTCCGTCTTCCCCTCTGAATCCGCACTAGCCGCCTTCGCGCCCAGCATAGCCGCCCCATGACAAACAGCAGCATGAATATACCGCGGTATAACGACCGGCATTCCACAAGCAGACGCAATCAGACCAACAAGGATATCATTCTGACACTGCGATCCAGACATGAAAATCGACGTAAGCCCGTGACCGGCGTTATTCATCGTTTCGACGATCTGCTTTGTTTGCAGCGCGATGAATTCTAGCGTTGCGTAGTAATATCGAGCCAAGCCGTCGATGGACTTGTCGCTCGTTAGCCCGACAATTGACCCCGTCATGTCTGGATCCGCGATCGGAGACCGATTGCCCCACAAATCGCCGTAGAAAAAGAAATGTCGGCCGAGGTACGCGATGCACGGCGCTTTCTGTTCGGCGGCCATCTCTTTCAGGTGTTCGTTCAGATAGTCGTATATGTTCGTGTGGTAGGACTCTGCGATTGATAGCGCCTGGTTAAAGGCTGGATGTGTCTCAATGACGTGTTTTAGTAGTTCTCCCGTGGCAGATTGGCCTCCCTCCGCCATCCAATAGTTTGGAATGATAGTGTCGCGGTACGGTCCCCAGACGCCGGGCACGAAGACCGGATCCGCTGACATCGCCAGATGGCACGTCGACGTACCCGCCACAGCTGCTAGACGGGAGAAAGCCTGCGCCTTGTCGTTCGAAGCTACTTCGTCGTTCAATTGGTTCGAGTCAAGACTTATTTTCGCGCCGACGGTGCCTATCCAGCCTGCGTATGCGTCGATGACGCCGCTGCCGATCGCGATACCGGCTGGTAGGCCTAGTTCTGCGGCGGCTTTTTCGCAAAGATGACCGACTAGTTCTCCGGCAGATAGATAGTCGCCGTTCTAGTAGGTGAATGTCAGCTAATTCAAGTCTTGTTGTAGTTTAAGGCCAAGGGCTCACCACCCCGTCAACACCGCCCATTCGCTTGAAATTGTCCTCGACTAGGTCGGCCAGGCCGATTTCGGTTAAGAAGTCCCCCTGCCATCCCTTTACGCTGCCGTCTACGCCGACGGGGACATAGCCCTGTTTGCAGACGGCGCTGCAGAAGCTGCGCTTGTTGTTTCCTGTTGCAATGTGAGTGAGTGCGTCTGCTAGGTCGTAGAAGCTGCATTTATCGAATAGGTCGGCTGGCATGTTATTCTTTAGCCAGAGGACTTTTGGGACTTCCATTTCGATGGACATTGTTCCGCCGACGTAGCGGAGTAAGTTGTGGTTTGTGGCGTTGATCTTTGCAGCCTCTGATACGGGGCGGTGGTCTAGCCATAGGATGACGTTGCGGTCTGTGTCGAAGTTGGGTCCTGTTACGGAGATTGGCTCGGAGGTTTCATGGTTGAAGACTGATAGGGAGCATGTAGCGTCGAAGCCAATTCCTCGGACTGTGGAGGGGTTGATGTTTTGCTCGTCTAGGGCGCGGCGGACGGCGGTGCAGATGCAACGCCATATGTCTGTGGTTGATTGTTCCTGGTAGATTTATGAACAGGTGCTCTTTAAGGGGTCCTTATTCTGTTATTTGTGGGAGGCAAAATGTAGTTCATACATACATAAAAGCCATGTTCGGGTTGCCAGAGACCGATGTTCTCGGAGGCTAGGCCGACAATGTCGCCTTTTGCGTCGATGATGCAAGCTCGAGCACTGCCTGTGCCTACGTCGATACCGATGAAATGGTCCAATTGGACTTGAAGCTCCTCTCTTGGGTCAGTAGAGGCTTGTCGAGAGGCCTGGCGATCGGGAAGACGGTGGGGTGGAGTCATATTGCGATCTCAGGGTTTTCTCCGGCGGTTTGAATTGAATTGAAACACTGAGAGGGGTTGTAATTGGAATTTCGAGAATATATCACTCGGTCGCTCCCAGATTCTTTTCATATATAGTGGGAGTGTAAGAATGGGGAAGAGGTGAGAGGCAAAAAACAACAATTCTCGAGTTGATGGCGGGGGATGACCTCCGGCTGTGGGGAACAAACAGGGGGGAACAGGCTTACTCCGGTTCGAATGGAGATACTCAGCTGACTGGTAAATATAGCCGAGTACTTGTTTGTTCCTTAAATACTCAAGTACCTATAATACACTCTAGAGTATACTCTACTTACAGTATAGTATAAATAGTAACTTATACAAAAAGTTGAAGTACGTCGGTGGATCCAAGCACGGACCCGCGGCCATCCTCAAGCTTCAACTTCAACTTCGACTTCACATCTCCTTCCCCCCCAAGATTCACTCCACAACCATGAACCTCCTCACCCTCCTCGGAGCGCTATCGCTCCTCTTCATCTCCGCCCTCGCCGAAACCACAACCGACATCTTCTACTGGCCCATCGGCGCCGCCTCCCCCTCCGTCCTAGCGCGCGTCACCTTCGACCCAACAACCCTGACCTCCTCCGTGACCTCCTACAACACCCCGGATTCCACCGACGACCTCGTCCGAATCGGCCTGTACACTGCATCCTCAAAGCAATGGGTTGGATCTCTTGCCTCGCTCTCCTCATTGACTGATAAATCCCAACAACCCACCTTCCGCCTCCACCTCGGCCCGACCAACGAGGTCTACCACGTTTCTCTGGCTTCCAGCACGGCAACTTCTGCCCAGGCTGAGTTGGTGCTGAGTGAGGCTGGCGCACAGCCGCATTTGAACCGTCCTGTCGTTGTTAGTCCTGATGGGACTGATGCCGAGGCTGTGGAGGAGAAGAGCATGCTTCAAAAGTTGGTTTGTTCCCCTGATTGGCATGGGCTTGGCTAATACGTTTCTTCGATAGGTACTGGTGGGTGCTTGCGATTGTCTTCTTCTTGACTATGACTAGCGGTGGGGGTGGGGAGTAGGGGTAAAAGTGTTTGAATAGAATGTTGAAGTAATGATATTTCTTTCTCTTGTTGGCTCTTGGGTGTTTTTGATGGGCTACGCTCAGTTGGATATTTTAGACTGGTACCATACCATTTGTCTATGTATTCACTGGCATGAGTAGATCCGATGCTAGGCACTTCGGTCCTCGTGATGTGCCTGTAGGTGATATCATAAAGAACCACGATCTCCTAGCATAGAGACTAATAATCAGCGGCAGCTGGTGTCTCATAATAGAAGAATCTCAGAGTAACTTGAATGATATCGGTATACTAGAATACTAGAATACTATTATACGTATATACTAATATACTACTTATACTCTCTTTTCAAAGTGCTTTATTCTAAACTCAGTTCAGAGTATCCCATTATGGAAGGCGCCCCCCCACTCCGCGGCTGCCTGTCGTGGCCCCAGGCAGCATCTCCACTCGGGGACGTGCACTTTGCACTCAATCAACTCTATAAACATCCTGCACTTTTTCTTTCTTTCTTTCTTTCTTCTTCTTCCACTCCCACAAAAACCCCACCGACTTCATCCGCAACCGGATTGATTTGAGAAAATGATTCTCTCTCTGCCAACTGAGTTGGTTGAGCTTGTCCTTAGAACCTGCGACACGACAAGCTACCTCCAGCTTGCCTTCAGCTGTCACACTCTGTTATCCATCGCAACAGACGGCCGAGAGCTCATCACCCATCATCTCAGGAATACACCTGGTCTGCCCGGCGAGATCGATAATGGGTCTCTTTCCACTAAGCAATTGTTCCGATTGCTTCTTCAACGCTCATACCGCGAACTGTACGGCGCAGAATTCTACTCCCACCGCAAGCTTTTCAAATTTGCAACCAAGGTGCTTGACCCCCGTGCTTCTGTACTTGGGTTTGGCGGTTCCGATCAACTTAGTCTGGTCTTCAAAGACGATGAAACTGCCTACGACTGCCGGACAACTACAGAAGGGTGTGTGCATACAAGACTCATTCGTCCACTGAAATCGCCCGCGAGCAAGTTTGGAAGGACAGAGATCCTTTTCACTGCCGATGGGGGCACTAACACAGCTGACGGAGAACATATCCGTGGGACTTATGTTCTGCACCGCCTCAAGCCATTTATTGATCAAAGTGACACCGACCATCCTTTCATTCAGCAAGCAATGCAGTCTAGTCCCGATGGGACCATTTTCCTTGCTCTCCACGCGGATGACCCAGCTAAAGACGTTTGCATTTACAACTTCCCCGATGAGCGGGAATATGAGCCTGTCGCTCTCGCGGCTGCCCTGCTGGAGCCCTGGAGCGACGAACGTTTTAAATTTGCTATTTCGTGGCAGCATCGCCATCATCACAATGATCATCATGTGATGCTTTACACAGCCGCGGTAGATGATGAAGAGGATGGTGATGATTCGGAGCAAGATGAAACGATCCAAATGAAAGGTTTGTTGAAACTTCTTCCCGATATCGACCAATTCACTGACTGACGCCTTATTAGGATCGAAATACGATTCTTCCGTCCTCACTGAGACCATCGAGACCGAGGCCGAGATAACCAACCAGGGGTCTAGTCATGAAGAAATGGAGAGAAGAGGCCCCGTAATGAAGTTAGCTTTCACGGATAAGTCGAACCAATTGCTCCATTATCATCGAGGGCAAACGCTCTACAGCTCGTTTCAAAGACTTCCAGGGTATGGCACAGGAGAACCCAGGTTGATCAACAATGCCTGTCGAGTCAGTTTCTCAGACTCCTTATCTCTGCAATTCGCGATCGATCTTCCATTCTTCGGCAAGCATGTGCCAGGCAGCGAACTTCCGGGCGGCCGATGTCACTGGCAATATCTCGCCGTTGGCATTGCCACTCACCGAGTAGAGCACTGGACAGTCGCATGCCTGCTCAAGTCTGAAACATTCTCTGGCCGGTGTGATCATCAGCACGATCTCGCCCGCGGGCGACGCTTCGACCAGTGGGAGATCATGGCCCGACTGGACGGATATCATGAATCGAATACCTCGCACGGATCTCTGATCACTGCTTCTCCCCGTGGTACCCGGATCGCAGCTGCTAGCTGGAAAACGATTACAGTCTGGGCATTGAACCCGGATGCGTTGGTTGGGGGCAACGAGTGCGGTTTCTATCCTCAATCGTGGAACTCGCCAACGAACGGCGTCACGGAGTTACCGCCCATCGTAATTGACCTGGGTGCAGTCTGCTCCCAAATTGCATTCACGCCCGATGAAAATGAACTGCTTGCTGTCACTGATCGGGGTCTTATGAACCTGTGTCTCAAGCCGGATGGTAGGGGGGTGGAGGTTATTGAGAAAGTAACGTGGATGGACCGTGAAGTTAGTGACGAAGAAGATTCAAAGTGATGGAGTGGCATACTTGGTGATAATTGGAGTCATTATCGTTCATTTCCCCCTTCTCTAGCGTGTTCATACTTTCAAGATCGATTTACGACCCCCGTGGGGTTCACATGGGTGGAGTTTAGCTTGCTTGATACCAATGCATGGAGTTCTTCTTCAGCATTCAGTTTTATTTCGACCCTAATATTTATCCTAATAGTTGACACTGGAACTAAACGTAAATGATACTAGTACTTTCTTACATCCAATTCCCCAATTCAACCTCAAGGTACTCAAGATATAGGGTATAGCCGCAAACCGAGCCAGAAGTTCTATTTCTAACCACGGGTACCTTCGTCCCGGAAAAACTGCCAAAACTTGGGCAAAATATTAAACACTCGATACTATAGAGTCGGTTGAACGGAAGATGGGTTAGATTCATATTCTATAAAGCCCCTGTCTCTTCCCCTGACACTAGGCGGGTACCTGGCGAACTTGAAACCTTCTCCCCACTACCCATTGTGTATCCGCAACCCGCAACCTACTAACGTGTTTCACCACCGAACCGCCACCACCACCGAGCCGCCACCCCACCTACATTACAACGATATATATTGAATATTACACAATTACCATATAATATATTGCAAAAACTAAGCACTATTCACAACCGGGCACCTATTCCGCTTGTGCCCTGGCTCTCTGCAATTAGTACAGCGCTGTACAGGCCTCCTAGTCGTCGTCTCTGTAGTTGCCGGCGCACGCCGTGGCACCAGGGGTATTACCATTTGGTGCTCATGCTCAATTTGTAGACGTAATTGTATCTCTTCGGCAGTTATTCCACCTTCGTATACCAATTGCTTATTAGGTAAGGCCTTTTTTCGCTGCTTTCATCTATTCTCTGCTATTATACGCTTATATGTAGTCGTCAGTATTATAAGCTGATTAGTAAGTAATTGTGTACCTTTGGTAGTCTGCTCTAATTGCTGATATATATCGTTATTGGGTGAAATATCTCGATACTCTAGTAATCGCTTGATTGATGCTGCCTGGTGTCGAAAATTGATAGCTTTTGATGGTGTATGAGGTATAAATTTATGACTACTAGTACTACTACGTGATGGTGGTAGTGTAGGTGATGGGGGATGAACCTTAAGTTTTGAAAGTACTATCTTAGGCGTATATGGAATGATACCCGATGCCATAAAACTGCTAGTAATTGTAGAGGTTGTGTATGTTGCTGTATGTGTTGTAGGGTACAGATGAAGGAAATCGAGCTTTTTAATATCTGTAGAGCCTATATAGGCAAGATCTTGTATAGTCTGACCATAGAAGTGCTTTAATATACTAAAATAACCTATATTAAGAGGTTGTAATAGATACAATGAATAAGATAATATATAGATTGGTATAATATTGCTTTCTATACATAGAGTATTAAATTGAGGGGTAAGATGACTCCTATGGCTATCTATGACTAGGAGAGACTAGGTACTATGTTGACGCTTTTTAACGTATAGGATGAAGGAATTTTCGAGCTATGAAATACTAATTTGATTAGTAGTCTATCTATTATTACTAACCTCGAAGCGCCAGTTGTCTGGGATAATACTATACTAAGTAGATATAAAAACTTTGGCTTTAAAAATGATTGTTGGAGGTAGAATACTATCTAAATAGATATACTCAATTGTAGTAATTTACTTACAGTTATTAGGCTATACAACTTTTCTTTTTCCCTGCTACTTCTGACTAGTGATTACTTTTGAAGTACTAGTGATCCCTATTGTGAAGCTAGTTTTATCAAAGTTATAGATGTTGTTATCAAGGATACTATATTCAGTAATAATGTTGCAATATTGATCGAACCACTTGCGGATAAGCTTCGGATCTTTACATAATGCACGCTAAGCGGTGTAACGATGTGAAAACCGGGTTTTTAGCTTCTTACGGCGTGTAATAAACTGAGATATCCAATTTTTGCTGATTGGTAAGGGAGGGGTATTGACAGAGCGTTGAGCAAGTAGAATATTGGCTATCTTTTTTGCCATAGCTAAGGTAGGGGTCTTACCACGCATATCTAGATCCAATATCCATCGCTTAAGCGAATCCTCTTCGATTTTATCCAATTTTGAGCAATTTGCGTGAGTGGTGTTGCGATAACCGATCCCCTTGACGCGGTCGCGTAATATTGTGCGAGGTACCTTATAAACACGCGCAGCTTCAGTAATAGAAGCTATTTTCTTGTTTCTTAGCGCCTGTATAGCAAGTTCGATCCTGCCTTCTTGCTCAATGAGTTTGCGCGTTCGTCCGGTACGAATTGGTGGCATAGTGGTGGTTTAAAGATGGAGGTGCTACACGCGACGCGATTTTTTTGAGGTGGTGGCGGTTCGGTGGTGAAACACGTTAGGTAGCTACTGTGTAAACTGAAATACCGACACATTTAGTGCTACTAGTAACTCCCCGGAAAAGAATCTCAAAACCTTCTATCATTAATTGAGTCATTCATTCGTGTTCGTGTTCGTGTTCGATACTCGCTTTTTTAGAAAAACTGCCGTAGAAAGAGGGATGTTCTTTGTTTTTCATGCATGCAGCCATAGCCATAGCTAGCCCATCCCGAACACCCAGAAATGCAAAACAAAACAAAAAATGTACATTGGAGAGATTCCAAAAGGAAGCCCAGAAGAATAGAAAAATAAACTTTAAAAAAAAGCAAAGGGTATCCTTTCCATTTCCCAATCCCACTCATTTCGTTAACGGGCAAGGCAAGGCTCGGCTCCGCCCAGCCAAAGCAAAGAAAAGTATTAGGTATCCTCCTGCGAAACAAGCCACTCAAGAACGCTTTCATAACAAAGAACGAATTGGCTCAGGTTTTGGACCATGCTGGGTCGCTGTGTGCGGAAATCCTCTACTGTTTTTGAAATCAGGTCCAGGTCCAGGTCGCGGATTTCTTTCGGGACTTCTTTTGAATTGGAGGGGTTGAGTGCACGCTGTCGTTTGAGGATGTCTAGCACAGTGTCGACTGTGCAAAATGTTCCAGTGCGGCCGCATCCAGCGCTGCAGTGGACTAGAATCGGTCGCTGGCCGTACGGTTCAGCCTCCTGATTCCCGAAGCCGGAATCACTGGTCGATCGGGCCACTTTATTACACTGCTCGATCAGATTGAGGAGATGTGTTGGCTGGGAAGTGGTGCCGAAGTCTGGCCAGTATGGGTATTGTATCTGCGTGATGTCTCGCAAGGGTTGGAAGGGAAAGTTTGTGTGTTGGAGACTGAAGTGGCGGACGATTATGACCGGGTTTTCGTTAGACTCGTTCGGGCTCTGGGCTGACTCTTTCACGGCCTTGGAGTTCTTCATTGAGGGGTCGATTGGACGACCCTTGGACTCGACGTCGATGTACCGCTCTGAATAGGCTTTCACCTTGAATGGACCGTAATCGGCGGTCCGCCAGTAAGGGTGACTTTTCACTTGTCCTCTCTCAAACTCGGCTGTCAGTGAAACGAGCAGCCTGACATCTTGTTCCCAGACAACGCGCCAAAAGTCCTGTTTCATCAAGGGTCAGCGACAATTGCGAATGGAAATTGGGGAACACAGATTGGGGGAATAACTCACGTTGAATGTGTCCGGAACCGGAGCCTGGGTAGCGATATAACGCCGGTTGCTTAGCTCGGCTTTAATGTGGTTTGCATTCACATAATCGCAGTCGCCTAGCGGTATTCCTTCAAGTCTAACGCGAGAGTGTTCGAATGGATAGATATCGTTATATCGATTTTTCGTTCCCTTCTCAATTCCCGCAACGCGATACTTCTTCGATGCTCCACCGGCGGAGGCGGAGGGGCCATCATAAGATAGCGCCTGTTTCATGCGCTCCAATTCTTTCTTCTCCAAGTCTAGAAATCTCTCCGACACGATTTGGCCCTGGTCCTTGGCATCAGAGGCCTTCCGAAGCCACGGGGAAGGGCTTGTTGCTGTGAATCGGACATGTGTTCTGGCAACTTCAGAGATATCTGCCCGACTCCGCCCATAAGATCCATGTTCTGACGAATATTTCCAAAGAAAGGATTTGCCGCTGAAGACGCATCTGGCATAGCACAGCCTCCTACAACAGGTGCGACAGATCCAAGATTAATGCTCATTGAGGGTCGCTTCTTGGGGGATGGCCCTGACGTCTGCAACTGCGGCCGGTGGATTAAGCGCGGAAACTGGGCCGAAAACCCCTTGAAGCCATTCTGTAAAATCAAACCTTTACCTGACCATCCTTCCGCCTCGAATTTGCCAATCACGTTCAAAAGAGGGATAGCATCCTTCACCTCAGTTGTGGAAGAATCGTAAACAATGATTATGCTACATTGTTTCCACTGAGCGAATCTTTGTTTATCACCATCGTTTGTGAATGTGCCCTCGAGTTTCTGCGTGTTGAACGAACGTCGCTTGAGAAGTGTGGTGGGAATGCAGAGGTTTAAAGAGCCTTTAATATTGGACTGGGCAAAATGCGTGTATGCGCGAACATCCAGCAAAAGAAGACTTTTCGAATCAGATTGGATTATTTCAGCACATTGCTCACTTGACACCCAGCGAGATGGGGTCATAGGTGATTGGGTATCTGCATTCACAACCAAGTCAGTTGAATAACTCCATCTTGAGATGTGGTTGGCAATTTCTTTGCTCACCTTGAGAGATAGACCCTGTCCTTTGTTGGGCTGAGATCCCATTTCCCGTGATACTACCGTGCATTCGAATGCCCGAGTCGCCGCGGACCACGGACGGAAATGACGGATTGACGTCCTTGGTGGAGGGACGCCTTTGGAGGAAAGACTCGCGACGCCCTTTATCAATCTCAGACTCTGTTCGCAACAGGTTCACCAGTCCCTCCGAGATAGGCTCTTGGGAATAGAGTTGGAGCTTGGGACTAGGCAGTGAGTTCTGCGCGCCGGGTATGGATGCCCAGTTCTTTTGTACGTGCGGGCCCGAGTTTGACGTTGACGGGTTACTAGAGCTTTCCACTGCGAGGCCGAAGTAGTTGGGACTCTGACGCTCCGACAGGGAGGCCGTCGCTGGATAATTGGGATTCGATGGAGATAAAATGGGATGAAATGCGGTCCTTCCATCGAGGGGAAATCCCTGTGCAGTCTGTGCACCCTGTGCCCATGGGGAGGAGGGTGATCGCCCAGGACCTGTCATGGTCACTGGTGCGTGCTACTCCTACCGCTTCAGATCGAAGGGAAGGTGTATCGGTATCGGCTAGGAACAGAAAGGGGTCAAGACAGCATATAGAATGCGGAGATACCAATTTTAGAATCAACGGGTAAAGTCGCAGATGTCGAGGGGTCGGGATATGCTAGGGTGGTGCTAGGGTGGTGTGGCCCGTAAAGAGAGAGAGAGAAAGAGAGGTTGTCACGATCGAATCCAGCCAAACTGACGTAAGGCGATGATGTAGCAGAGGGGCAGAGGGTTCAGAGGCGAAGAGGGCCCAAGACCAGGACCAGGACCGAAACCGAGATCAGGGCCAATGGTTGAGAGGGGTGGGGGAGGCTGATATCAAAAGGCTCGGAGTCATTCCATGATTAATAAGGGAGACTGGGGGGGGATTCGGAGATTCCAGAAAAAAAGTTATGACGTTATTGTGGGGATCACGGGTTCTCGGCTGGACTGGGCCATTCCCAAGGGTTTCCCCCCCAACCTTAGGAAATAGATCGCGATCTAGATTATCTTTACTGTCACTCAGGTATGCAATAGCCGACTACTCTGCATACCTGAATGGACTCGATCTGACTGCAGAAAACCTGAACTTGCCTGCAGAAATGGTAATCTTTAACGAGTTCACCCTCTCAGAGGCCCCACCACGGTAGCAAAATGTCGCCACCGACACTGTGGAGGTTCGATTTCGGTGTATCCATGCAGCTAGGAGTTAGCAGCTACAGTAGTTAAATTTTGTTTGTATTGTACAATTCACAGAATATTATTTACAAGGGCAGTAAGGCAGGAAGGTAGTATGCTTGGTGACCGCAGGTCGAGGCAGCCATACATACTCCGGCAAACAATACACCACTTAGCCCTCCTGTCAGCTCAGCACATAGGGGCCCGGCAAACCTACTACTCCACTCCAATGCTTGAATGCTCCATCGTGGCACGTCAAGATGACATGATGATACCCAGGAGAAGTTCACACCTGAGGAGGAGATCTGCTAGTCATGTGGATTCGGTGGATGTATGCAGTGAACACGGTGTTTGGTGATCTTTCCATCCACAACCAGCTCACTAGGTTAGGTAGTGGCCACAACACGCTAAGGCCGTCCCATGTGTTGATCTAGGCGTGGTAGCGTTGGTGTAGATGAGACCATGCCAACCGATCTCGCTATTATCTTCTCTGCCCGTCGTACCATGATAAATGATCATCGGGTCATGCAGGATTGAAGCTCATCATAACTGCGCCTTCTGCCCTTGGAAATGATTGAAGCAGAACTTGGAGTCCAAATGTCATGATACTCTCATATTCTCTCAAATTCGTCCATCCGGTTCGCCTTCGAATCGCTTCACTCGCGTTTGTTCCCAGTTATCCAGATCCTTCGCCATCAGTCTCTGTAAGGTGAATTAGAATACTGTCAAGCCAGGTCATTAGTCTCAGGGAGGGCTTTTATAAGCTGCATACGTAGTATTCTTCACGCTCATCACCAACAATTCTGCGGCGAGGGTTTCGTTTGATCCCTTCCTCCCCGCCGGGTCCCTTGAGTCCAAGTTCGAACACTTCATCTTGACTCAATTGCTGCACTTTGCGATCGTATCTCTCGTAGCGTAGAGCGGCAGCTGGTGTAAGAGCAAATGAGCCAGCAACAATCACACCCATAAATGGAAGTCCGAAGAGGAGGAAAGGGTGCCGAGAGAGGCGCGTTCGGTAGAGGGCTCCAAGCCGTTCTCCGAGACTAGAGGATGCAGTGGTCGCCCGGCGAAATGTTTTGGACTGGAATGCAGGCATGATGGGATCGCTCAAAGCGAAGGGACAGCCTTTGAGTTAGATGTCGTATCAGGGTAACGAAGTAAAAGAACGAAGTAAAGAGGCAGACATGTTCAACGGAGAAGTGTTGCGCAACTGATGGGCAGATCCGGCGAATTGATTTTCCGGGATACCGGGACATTTTGTTTTGGGGCTCCCAGCTCCAATCCACAAGTCCAATCCAGAGCTCGCCAAGTTCAAGATTTAACTGCATTTACAACTCCCCGTGGTTGATGGCATAAGGGCAAGACATTTTGCTAGCTAATATTGATCTCAATTGATTGTTGTGGCCCTTTCAACACGATTGTAATCTCTTGGGCATCCATCTACCTTCCGTCACAGGCGGTCCGGTAGATTTTCCACCCTTCACCTCGCGCAAAGCTCCGTCGCGACAATCTCCACTACAGCTCAGGCGACAAACACCCTTGGAACTATTATTTAAGTTCGCCCGGCACATTACGCATAGCCTCCATGGCATCGAATACGAGCTCTCTCTTCGGAGGGGGTGGTCTTGGAAGCGCAACCCCTCAGAAGTCAAGTCTCTTCGGTTCCAACACCGGTACAAGTGCATTTGGAACCGCTGCGCCTGCGGCTGGAGCGGCCCAGGGTACTGCCCAGACCTCCTCACTCTTTGGACAAGCCCCGAGTCAGCAGCAACAACCCGCCCAGACATCGTCACTGTTCGGCCAAACCCAGACTCAGCAACAACCCGCCCAATCCTCTATACTAGGACAGACTCAGCAACCATCCAGCACCGCCCAAGCACAAGGGGGAGCTTCCGCTCAAGCAACCCAGCCTGCTTTCTTCAACAGTCTGCTGGAGCGTGGAAAAAAGCGTCCCCTAGCTTCAACCGCGCAGAATGGCAACTTTGAAGATATCCCCAGTCTGCAACTAGGCCTGGATGATATTCGGAGAAAGGCAAGGGAGCTAGGTACATCTGGAAACAAGGACACCCAGCAAATCACCAGCAAAGCGTAAGCCGACCCGTTGCTCTCTTCCAAAAGAAACATATTTGGCTGACTACTAAATCTTACTTCCGCAATAGTCATTATTTACTTGCCTCTTCTGGGATCGCTCCTAGTCGCGCTTTGCGCGACCTTCGATCTCTCGACCCGCAGGCATCTGTCGCTGCGACCAGAGAGACGGACAGTTTCGACCCCGATAATCAACGCTTCCTACGAAATATTCAACAGCGTGGCCGACAGGCCATGATCGCGGAGAGCCTCTCTCGCGCCCAGAGAGACTTTGATTCATTCCTGGAAGAAAAGGTGGACATGGACTGGGAAGATCAACGCCGGAGGATCTTTGATCACTTTGGACTTTCTCAAAAGGATGCTGCCAATGCCGGGGGTCATATGAAATCCACCACGACAGGAGCCTTTGGCCGGTCAGGAAGACAATCCAAGCAGGCAGGTCTGAACCCTGGTGCCGCTGCATCTCGTAGAAGTGTCTTTGGACGTTCTGGTCTTGATAAATCTGTGATTGGGACCCCCGGCGCGGGTCTGGCGAGCCGCCAGCTCTTCGAAGATCCCACCGAGCGGAGCGAGGGGCTTGCTGCGCCTTCAGCAAACATGAGATTTTCGCGCGAGAAGATGAGCAACTATGCTGAGAAGGTTCAGCATCTGAACAATGTTCGACTGCAAGATCAAACTTACCCAATTCTGCATCAGTTCTCCGAGGTAGAGTTGCAATCCGGCGGCGATATCCCCCATCAAATTTTCGATGCCTATCAAGCTCTGATCAACGTTGTTGGCGAGAAGCCAAGCATTTCTGGTGCGGAGGATCCCCTGGCTGTGAAAGAACGCCATTACGCCGACTCCTATCTGGAAGAGTCAACAAAGTCCCGCACGGCAATTAAACTCAAGCAACGAATCATTGAGGGATCAAGAACCTACCTGGAAAAAATGTTTTACAGCCAGGTGGAAGCCGATATTTCCAAGAACCCTCGCGAAGCGCAGGTTGGCGGAATTCCCAGTGTGATCAATAAGGTCCGCGCGTATATTCGCCTTCGCGCGGCCAGGAAAGACTTGGCACCAGATGGAACGGAGCCGCAGATGATTGGAGCTGATTATTGCTGGATTCTCATCTTCTACCTTCTTCGATCCGGTCATGTTGACGATGCTGTCCTGTACGCGACGAGCGATGGGGGGTTCAAGTCGTTGGATCACAAGTTTGTGACTTATATTGCTACCTGGGCTAAAGAAAGGCGACTGCCTCGGGATCTGCAGCAGAAGATCAACGGCGAGTATCAACAGCGTCTGCGAAATGCCCCCGAGGGTTCTGTTGACCCGTTCCGAATGGCCTGCTACAAGATTATTGGACGATGTGATCTTAGAGAGCGACGTCTGGATGGTGTCAACCAGAGTGTCGAGGATTGGATGTGGCTGCAATTTAGCCTCGCGCGAGAGGATGACCGTGCTGAGGAGGCAGCGGGCGATATCTTTGGCCTTGAAGATATTCAGACCGATATCACAGAGATCGGTCAAAGAGTGTTCACCAAGGGCCAGGATGGGCCCGGCGGTTACGGAACATTCTTTCTTCTTCAAATCCTGGGAGGCATGTTCGAGCAGGCTGTGGCGTATCTGGGTACTTACAATTCCGTTGCGGCTGTTCACTTTGCTATCGCATTGGCATACTACGGTCTCCTGCGCGTGTCCGACTTCTACGTTTCCGGGGATGAAATTCGTAAGCACCGCTTTTTCCACCCATTATTTTACAGCATGCTAACTATGACTTTCCTTGCACAGTTTCTTTCACAGTGAAGCAGTTCCCACAAATAAACTTCGGATACCTGATCACCCAATACACCCGGGAATTCCGCACCGGAGACGTCGAGGCTGCAATTGACTACTTCACATTAATCTGTCTTAACGCAGACCTTCCGGGCGCATTGGGCAAGTCCCAGTCGTCCGTTTGCCACGAGGCACTTCGCGAGTTCATTCTCGAGACCAGAGATTTCGCCAAATTGCTTGGCGACATTCGTTCGGATGGATATAGAATCAAGGGTGTAATTGAGCAACGCCTTTCCCTGATCAACCTCACAAACCAGCAAGACTTCCTGAAGAACATCACCGTCCAGGCTGCGGCGGTTGCAGATGACAAGGGACTGGTGACCGACTCCGTCCTTCTCTACCATCTGGCCGAGAACTACGACCGAGTGATTGAAATCATTAACCGGGCCCTGTCCGATGCCATTGCTGTCGAATTAGGCGGCGCCGTCTCCAAGCTTCAACCTCTTCGGCCCAGAGCGGAACAAGGCCAGACAGAAGAGCCTGGCAGCAGTCTCAGCCTGACAACCGTCGACGACCCCATCGCCCTCGGCAAAAACATGATGACCCTATACGAGTCTCAGCCAATGTATTACGAAAATATCCGCCCGATCCACAAAGACGCTTGTATCCTCCTGATCCGAATGATGGAAGCAAAGATCGAGGTCGAGGCTGGCAGATGGCCCGAGGCCCTCGACGCCATCGACCGCCTGGGCGTCCTCCCCCTCCGCGCCAACGGCTCCATGTCCCATATCCGCAGCGCGGCCCAGGCATTCTCCTCCTTCCCGGAAATTATCTCGCGCAACATCGGCCCCGTTATCATGTGGAGTATCGCGTGCATTGGCTACGAGCGCCGTAAGCAGACTTCGGGTCCGTATGACACTGCCACTCACCAGGGCTTTGCGGAGCAATTGCTTGGTATGGCTAAGGATCTTATGGTCTTTTCGGGAATGGTCAAGTACAAGTTGCCTCCTAGAGTTTATGAGGCTTTGGCGAGGGCTGGTGCCGATATTGGTGCTTACTAGTTAGAGTTCTGTGATACTGATTGTTTAGTTAGGGGGGTAGGGTATTGCATCGGGGAGAGTTCCGTGTTTCTCTTAATACACTGGCAAATATCGACTTTTATTTTGTTTGGTTCGAATTAATTTCCCACGTCGTAGTTATGGGTAGCTGTAACATGCAAGCTACCCTACTTCTACGTATATGAATTGCTCGACCCTACTTGTTTAGGGTCCCGGGTATATTGCTCGGTAGGATACTGGGTAAGATACTGAGAAGATGGAGGTGAGAGAGGAGGTCAGAGATGGCTGCCTAGCAATTACAACTCTCTTACCTCTACATTCTTCCTTAGTCCCCTCCTCGCCTCGTCTCAGCGCTCGTCTTCAATCGAGTTACCTTTCAAAACTCACCATGCATGAACGCCAGCCGCCCAGACAGCCCACCCGCCACCAGCCCAAGCGTCAGGCTAAGTCAAGGACAAACTGCTCGGGAATCGGCCAAGTTGATGGAACAGCTCAAGGAAACCCCAAATCTCGGAATGGAAGCAGCCCCAGCAGACCCAGAACATCTTAGGGTTTACCAAATCCTCCAGAGTCTGCTCACCTGGCTTTCATCAGGTGGAAAGGATAGTGTTGTGAGGAATGTTCAGAAGATTTATGAAAATCCGCTCTGTGGGCACGATGATATCTTGCAACTCGTTCATCACTATGAAGTCTACCTCTTCCGACCCAGTATGTCTTGAGTATACTATTGTGCAGGTTTATATTAGGAGTAACTTTATCTAGCCCGGGCTCTGGGTGGGAAACTCGCTAAGTAAGCCATGATTGTATCTCCAGTTGACAGCCAACAATCCATAGCATCTATTGATTCTCTCGAAGCCGCATCACCACCTCACCCTTTCGTTTATTTCCAGAAGTCTATCAAGTTATGAAAGGCATCAACAGAATCAACAATGCAATTCTACTACATACGCTGCTCTATCTCTCATTCGGGGACTTCGCCTGTGCCTTCAAGGCGATACCGAACCGACCACATGCATATCAGTTGAGAACCTACAAACATACTACGACTGAATTGACTGAAATGATAAAAGTAAAGTTTTTTCCGCCTGAATTTACATTCAGTAATACCGACGATTTAGCCAGGACTGAATTATTACCCCATCCTGTGCTACTGGATCATCATTATCGCCTTGCAGAAATTTTCAGTGAAACGGAAATAGGTGCTCCGATTGTTGAGGGTATTGACCGATCCATTGAACGTGACGATGATTATTTGACTACTGACGGTTTGAGTTGCCTAAATGGTGTGCTCATATTCATTAACCTCTTCTTCTAGGTAGCACCGAATTTCATCTTTGAATTCGTAGACTTCTACTAGTATGCCACGGTTAACCTACTACAAGTAGATTACCATCGGGGGAATATGGGCTTCTTACTGGTTTATGTACGTGTTAAGTAAGCCCTGTCATTGATGAGGACACCTTGACCTGGTTATTACTACTGCCTACTCGGTGGGTATTACCTAGGTAGTATTAGTATTAAGTTGAAGTTGAATATAAAATTAGAACTTGAAGGTTCCTAATCTATCGGAGGTTGCTTATACATCATACAAGCCTTACTAACCACACTAAAGCGCGGTCGTCAAGGCTTATTATGCTTGCAGGACTAAAAGTAAGAAAATTGAGCATCAGGAGTAGCGTTACTTCCAACATCAATAGTTACATAGGTAGTAGACAAGCAATAAAGAAAAAAACAAAACACCTATAGTTTACCATGGATATCAAAGGCCTCGGCAGAACAAGCGCGTTCGGTGGGTTTGCCCCCACTGCGCCTGCCAAGCCTCTGGGGGACCTCTCCGCGACATTTTATCCGCTGTGCGCCCTCAAGCTTCATTCGATCTGTCCATGGAGTGCATTTTTACTATCACCTCGAGGATTTGCCGGCCTCATCGCCCGGTAATCCACTGAACTTCCCCCGTATGCACGCTGCTGGGCTTTAACACAATATGGATCACGCCGACCATGCGCCAGATCCATGGTCAACAGCACCAGAGAACGGCTCGGCAGGTCGAGCTAGTGCAGCACAGGCCAGAGATGGCGTGGATCATGTTGAAGAAGAGCTTGAGCTCGTGCCGCCCGTTCCACACGAGGCGATTCACGAGGCGATGGACGAGGATCCTCAACATTCGGGCTCGGATCACCCCGCGACCCCAATGAATCTATCCGGCGCGCTGGAGAAACAAGCCAGACAGGCCGAAGCCAACGAGTTCGCTTTGGATAGCGCAAACGCAGCCGATGAGGCCGGCATCGCGGAACTGGAGGAGAAATCCGGTCATGCTTTGTTCAATAACCCGCCCAATCTTTCGAGGATCCGTCGGGTGCTATTTGAGTGCAGTGACGCTATCGAAATCAGCCTTGAAGAATATCAAACATACTGGCCGTTTATCGACAATGTATGGGTCAAACAACGGTCTAATTCCAGCAAAGAGGGCCACTGCACAACGGACTATTATATGTGTCGGTTACGACGGCCGACGCATCGCACATCTGAGACTCGCCCTCTGCCAGAAGGGAAGCGTCCCCGAAAGAAACGCGTACGGGAGGGGGGTATGTGCAACTTTCAGATCAAGGTTGTGCGTTTTGAGGGCGCGTATTCGACTGTCACTATTGCTAGAACGCCCGGAAGCAGCGACGTTCATTCGCATGATCTCGACTTTATCGACCGGGTGAAGCGGAACTCGGGACTCATGGAGTCCGCGCGAAAGGAATCATGCAAGGGCTACCTCCCTTCATCTATATACACCAAATTCCAAGAGTATCCCGAAAAGCTTTCGGAAGCCGGGGGTCGATTTCTGACCGTCACGGATGTACGCAATGTTTCTGCGAAATGGCGCATCCAGAACCCGGAGGTCAAGCTCATTCCACATGATGGATACGAGTACCAAAAGGGTCATGGGATCGTGAGGTCTCAGGGTGCGGCGGAACGATCTAGCGAGAATCTATCTGCCCATTTACGAGTCCACCATTCCCAGGATTCGACTCCGGCTCTGCCTCCTGATATCCTTTCTTTTCCGCAATTCTCCTTGGACTTTTTACAGCCTTATTTACCGAGTCATACTGATCGGCGCGAGTTCCCTCACGTCACGTTGTCCTACGCCTCATCTATGGACTCTAAGATCTCTCTTCGGGCAGGCATGCAAACGGTGCTATCAGGACCCGAAGCGAAATTAATGACTCACTACCTTCGTTCTCGCCATGACGCTATCCTTATAGGCGTGGGAACTGTGCTTGCAGATAACCCCGGTCTAAACTGTCGTCTAGAAGGGGCTGGAGGGTTCGGAGGTCTTGGGAGGATGTGGCAACCACGTCCGGTGGTGATTGATCCTACGGGGCGTTGGCCTGTCCATCCAGATTGTCGAATGTTACGGACAGCAGTGGAGGGGAAAGGAAAAGCCCCGTGGGTGGTGGTGTCACCGGGAGCGCAAATCAACCCACAAACTCTTATGATGCTCAAGGGCTACGGGGGCGACTTCCTCCGAATTGTGGAATATAACCAGCATTGGCGATTACATTGGGAAGGCGTTCTTCGAGCTCTAGCTTCTGAAGGTATCAAGAGTGTTATGATTGAAGGTGGCGGGACGGTTCTCAGTGAGTTGCTCAACCCGGAATACACCAACTTCATCGACTCGATTATTGTGACGGTGGCCCCCACTTACCTGGGTAGCGGCGGTGTTAGCGTTAGTCCACACTCCAAACTTGATCAAGAGGGCAACCCTAATGCCGCTTTGAATCCGCGCGAAGTAAAGTGGACTCCTCTGGGCCAGAATGTCATCATGTGTGGCAAAATTCGACCACACGAGGACGAGCGACGGGGAGAGTAGAGTGTCAATGGCAATGGAAATAGCAATAGCTTTCTTTGAATATAGATTCTGAATAATTAGCAATAATGAATGACCTTGATGATAAAGAGAAAAGTAAATTAAAGCAAACAAAAGTACCGAAGTACAAAGACGTTAGATTCTTAGGTAAGGGGATTATTCACTGGGCGCGGAATGCCGCATTATTTACTTTTTGGTTCTGCCACCCTCGAGCTACGCTTTTTTTTTTCACTTCCGCTTTGTCGCGTCTTTGTTCCATTCCCAACCCCCTTTCCCCTTTTTGCTTGGTTACATTCCAAATCACACACAATGCCTCCGAAAAAGTCTACCTCTACAGCCAGCTCTTCTACGAAGGCCGCTGCGCCCACAAAGACCGCGAAGGCGAACACTTCCGCGCCCAAGTCTACTACCAAAGCTGCGCCCAAAGCTACCACCAAGGCTACCACTAAGACTACCACCAAGGAGACCACAAAAGCGACCCCCGCTCGCGGTCGCCCTAAGAAGATGGAAACTGAGACTGCGACAAAGGCAGCCCCTAAGGCTTCCGTGAAGAAGGAGACTGCAGAGAAGTCGCGTAAGCCTGCGAAGACGGCCGCCGCTGCCACTACTGCTACCAGCGCGTCTCGGAAGCGCAAGGCCGATGAAGTCGAGGAGAAGCCCCGTGAGATCAAGAGGTCTCGCGTTATTGAGCCGAAGGCCCCGAAGCCTCCGAAGGCACTGCCACCAAAGGTCATCATCAACAAGGCCCCTACAACCCGTCTGAATGTCTTCGTCTGTGGCGAGGGAAGCTCCGGTGAGCTTGGTCTGGGAACTGCCAGGAATGTCATTGATGTGAAGCGACCGCGTCTGAATCAGCTTCTGGCTGCTGACAAGGTTGGCGTTGTTCAGGTCGCGGTTGGTGGCATGCACTGTCTGGCCCTGACCCACGACAATCAGATTTATACTTGGGGTGTCAATGACCAAGGCGCTCTGGGTCGAAACACTGATTGGGATGGTGGATACAAGGATATGGATGAGGGTAGTGACTCGGACTCTGATGATGACGACAGCGGATTGAACCCCCGCGAAGCTACTCCTACCGCGATCCCCGAGAACTCCTTCCCCAAGGGTACTGTTTTTGTTCAGGTTGTTGCTGCCGATAGTGCAAGCTTTGCGCTGACTGATGATGGCCTGGTCTATGGCTGGGGAACTTTCCGAGTAAGATTGAATGATTCCTGAAAAGCTACGCTCTAATACTAACCTGGTGTTTTTTTTTCTCTCCTCAGAGCAACGACGGTATTCTCGGATTCGATGAAACCCACCGCGTTCAAATGACCCCGATCATCATTCCTGCCTTGAAGAAGATTACAACCCTGAACTGTGGTGCCAACCATGTTCTTGCGCTCAATGACAAAGGAAAGGTTTTCGCCTGGGGATCTGGTCAACAGAACCAGCTTGGCCGAAGAATCGTGGAACGCAACAAGCTGCATGGATTGCAGCCGCGCGAATTCGGCATTCGCAAGAAGATCGTATCGATTGGCTCCGGTTCTTACCACTCCTTCGCCATCGCTCAGACCGGTACCGTCTACGCGTGGGGTCTGAACAGCTTCGGCGCAACTGCTATCCGCGAGGGCGCCGGTGATGACGAAGCCGCTATTGTGCACCCCACTATTGTCGACTCGCTCTCCAACAAGGATATTGTTCAGCTATGTGGTGGTTCTCACCACTCTATGGGTAGGACTTCAGACGGCAAGTGTCTGGTTTGGGGCCGTCTGGACGGCTTCCAGAGTGGTCTGAAGGTCGATTCTCTTGCCGATGATGCTGTTATCAAGGACGAGCGTGGACGCCCCCGTATCTTGATCTCGCCAACCCAAGTGCCCGGAATCAAGGCTAAGGGCATCGCCGCTGCTTCGGATCACTCCCTCGCCGTTGATGCTGATGGACGCGCCTGGTCCTGGGGATTCTCGGCTACCTACCAGACTGGTCAAGGTACTCAAGATGATATTGAAGTTGCTACCGTGATCGATAACACTGCTACCCGCGGGAAGCAGCTTAACTGGGTTGGTGCCGGAGGCCAGTTCTCCGTCTTCACCTGCCCTGCTGCGAGCGAGTAAATCAAACCCTTCGGAACATTCTCTGAAATTTCTTGCCTCTGCGCCTCTCGGAGGCGTGGATGCTTTCTTTCCCTGCACTTTTTTCCTGTTTCCAATATTTTCCAATTTGCGGCGCACAATGTGAAATTAGCTCCTCTCCTACAATCAAGTTAGGCATGTCAATTATAATAATAACGAAGATACTGCTACCTTTTTGGGTGCGCTCCACTTTGGTCTTTGTCTGCTCTGCGACGTAAATGTAAAGGATGCAAAAGTGTTTACATTCATGCGTGTCATTATGTACAAATTAGAATCTATAGGCGGTTTCCTCGCCTCGACGGCTACATCCCAAGTTCATTCATAGCTTCGTAGTCGGCATCAAAGTCGTCCATGTTGTTTTCGTATTTCTGCGGCCCCGGCCCGGACGTTTGTATGCCCGACATTTCATCATCTTGCTCTCGGAGGAGGTCGTCGAGGTCGTCGAGTTCGTCGTCATCGGGCTCGGGATGACTGGTAGGTTGTTGCCGGGTATCTGCCTCTGGGTCTGGAATGAAGAGTTGGTCTGCATCTGCATCTTCCGAAAGACCTGCTTGTGGTTGCGCCTCGCCATTCTGATTCTGATTCGAAGAAAGTCTCGTAGGCAGTTCGAGGGTTTCTATCGTTGGTTCGGGATCGTCTCGGAAGAGCTTCGGCTTCTCTTCTTCAATCCATTCCCGTCGCATCGTCTGGATACGTTTTGTGTGGCCGAGTTTCTCGATCATGGCTAGGCCGTCTGCGAATTTCGCGCGTGGGAATAGGTCGTCTAGCCAGAGTTGGTAGAAGTTTAATAGACGGGCTGCGTCGGAGAACTATACAGGACAGGAATTTGTTAGTCTCGTCTCTGCTGGTACTGCGCTGATCTGTCGCCCACCTCATGTCCTTTGCCTTTGAAGCGGAGTTTCTTTTTCGCTGCTTGTCGTAGTTTTGGGATTCCGGATTGTGAAAGAAGGCTGGTGGTCCGCAGTCAGCTCATCATGTCCATACTCATATCCGGGAAGATAGGCGAAGTTTCTCGACCTACCGGTTCTCATCGAGCTTCGCTACCGGTTGGCGCTTCTTGGTAACTTTGACCTCTTCGTCGAGACCTAATCCGAGTGCTGATTGATCTCCGGATTTTGGTTTGGAATTGGCATTATCGGCGTTGGAGTCGTTGTTTCCTGCGAAGATCTCGTCGAGGCCAACATCGTAGTTGAATAGATCGTCCAAATTGGCCGGGGAGCTTCCTCGCTCCGGAGTAGAGGGCATGGTTGTATCGTCGGCAGACTCTTTGAGTTCAGTAGAGACAGGGTGAGGTGTGGGAGTCGTAGCTGTAGCTGTAGCTGCAACTAATTAAGTAAGTCCATCGATATCGACAATTCAATTCCCCAGAACGCGTGCCCGCGGCAGTAAACGCGTCCCAAGCAGCCAATTAGAGAGCGGGTAATCGACAGTGTGCACTAGTCCCGATATGGCTAGCGCTGCCCATGTCTGAGTGCTGTGATTACATAACATTTCAACTTCCCATGTTCCGAACTCGACTCTGCACCTAACCCGCAATCCCACCTCCGCGCAATCTTGAAGATGGCTTCCGATCCTAAGGCGGCCGCGGCCGTTGTGCCACCCAAGCTGACCACCTCCGAATTCCAAGTATGATTGACCCCATACCCATCCCAATTGGTCCGAGCTAACCCTCTCTCTCACCAGGTCATTGACACCGACCCGTATGTTTAACTGACCCCCAACCCCAACCCCTCGACCCGGGCCTTGCCCTCGACTCCAGGATCAACAACTCACCAAAATTGATAGCCATGTGCGCCGTGTGTTTGGATATGCTCGGAACTCCGACTACGCCCTGGCCGGTGGAGCGGCCGCCGCTTCCCCTCTTGCGTTTTGGGTCATGGAGAAGATGAGCCCCACGGGCGTTGGCCGCAATGGTTTCTCTCCCATCATGCGTCTCGCAAGCGCTATTGGACTGGTTGGTGGTCTTCACATCTTGTACCAGCGATCCTGCAGTACGCTTGCCCCCCCCAACTCCAGTTACAACTGAGATGAAATGCGATGCTTACGATTACTACAGACCGTTTCTACGGATTCGCCGAGAACAAGCGCGAGGTTGAGATGGATATGCGCGAGATGGTCGACAAGGTCAAGCAGGGCGAGCCCCTGTACGGCGTTTCCACAATGTCCAACTACCTCCAGGGTGTCGCTGCCCGCAACTCGCGGTACTCCCAGCTGTTCATCCACGTTGTGCCCTGGGCCAACTTTGCCAACCACAACCAGGTAAGCATTCCTCCCTCGCCGTTCTCCTAGAAACCGAAGATAAGAGTATGTCGCAGAGCTTTGACATGATACTAAACTGCGAACAGCACGGTGTCGACACTGCGAAGTACTACCAACAAGCCGAGCGAGAGCTTGAGGCCGAGCGATTGGCCAAGGCTGGCTCTGCATGATTTGAGTTTGAGTTAAGAATTACTTCAAAATTATCCTTGTTCGCGTGAAGTTGCACGATTTCTGTACACATATCCTTTTTGTGTTTTATTGAGGCGCCCTTGAAATTAAGAATACAAATTTTCCCACCATATCTTTAAGCATGTCGCAAGACGCCAAGAACGCCAGATGCTTCGCGTGTAAATGTAGAGTATTCACGTCACGTCTAGTAGACCCGGCGTGGGTAGAAAGCAGTCGTCACACAGTCGTCCCATCATGCATAATGATGTACTCAAATGATGGGCATAAAATCGTCGGCCTCGTCCTCGTTCTCGAAATCAAACGTCGTGTTCAGTGCACGATTCTTCTTTGGTCGAGGGTTTGGTGCTGGTATCAGTGTTAGCCTTGTTCCTGTACCTCGCCTTTCTCTTCTCTCGCTCCATCAAATAATCTTACCCTTTTCGTTCTCTTGGATGTAGAATTGACGGAGCAGTGTGATGGCTTCTTTTCTATACAGACCAACGTACACGGGTAAGGCGGATCAATGGATTTACTATTGATCGATTTAGAATTGAATTAGACGGTCCATTGGAGATGGATTCCAACGGAGGTGGGGTGGTGGCAAAACACTTACTCCGAATGAATCGTCAATACGCCGCCAACACCCCCGAACCTCACATTATGAGTTCCCACGAAGACACTCCGGATCCCGTACTGTCGAAGGGCCGCGGAACACATAATGCACGGCTCGACTGTGACATAGAGGTCGGTCTCCCTGATGGCAGACTTGGGATAGGTCTGGAGCATTTCTGCGATGGCGAGAAATTCGGCATGGCGTGTGCCCTTTAGTATTTTGTTAGCCCATGACCACTTTCAAGATCGAGAAGAAGACAAAGAATTTTTGGCATTTGCCGTGAGAGTGTGGACGGACGGACGTACGTTCATTGAACGGTTTGTATCATTCATGCCCGATCCCACGATCTTGTCGTTGTAGACGAGGACACAGCCGACTGGGGTCTCCCCGGTGGCGAGCGCTTTTTCACCCTGGAAGTTCTTGTCAGTTGCACGAAGTACTAGGGGATCGAAGATGTAAATTTCGAATGAATCTCACCATCGCAACTGCTTGCTTCATGAAGTAGCCATGTCGGGAGTCTTCGCGAATGGTCGAAGGCTTGGCTTCTTGCTCCATCTTTGGTGGGGTAGTCTGAGTTACCAGGCAAAAACGTCAATTTTAAACTTTGATTCGGATATGATGAAGAGGTGAGTGGGAATTGCAAGTTTGTATGGGTCGTGAAATGAGTCTTGAAAGTGAGAAGGTGAAGAAGAAATTGGCAGTTTCTCTTTTCGAAGCGGCGGGAGGTTCCCGCACTGAAAACTCCAGTCTATACTCAGTCACTCAGCTACATGTCATATAAAGTACATGCTTGAACTAAAACAAAAGGGTTAAATCTTTTGATTCTGTAGCAATTTTAGTAAATACTCCTCTTTTCCATTCCAATCTTCCCCTTTCTCATCCAATTGGTGAAATTCGAATTAAAAATCGAAAATATGGACGAGGTGGGTACAGTTGATGCCTGAGGTGTCAGTGACATATCACTCCGCGTCCGCGTCGCTGCTTCTCTTCCTTCGTAACCCGTCGTTGCTGAATACATCATTCGGTCCGTGGAAATGTTTGTTCCATATGGCAGCCGATACCAACCAAGCACATGGCATTATGCCTAATGGGCAAAGACCCGCAGAGCCAGCCTCATCCCTTCTTGCGGCGCACTTCGCCCCTCGTCTCACATCCCATGGACACGATGCGCAACGACTTTCGCGGGAGACCTTTTCCCAGCTGCGCCAGGAACTTCTCGGAGACAGGCAGAGCCAAATCCGCGCCGATGAAGGAATCACAGACATTAACAAGTTGATTTGTATCGTTCTGAAGGCGGGCCTCGAGGTTAGCCCGAACAGCAACAGCAACAGCAATAATCCAGAAGACGAAGACCTGGAGGGCCAGATTCTGGATTGTTTGGATATAATCCAAGCAAGTATTGAAAAGGCACCCCAAGTGCTGTGGGATATCTCGGATCCGCTCATTTTGGGCGAGGATGTCCACGCGCCATTGTTTGCTTGGTTGATTCTCCGTCTGATCAGACTGGCTAGTATCTGGCAATCGGAATCTGTCCAACATCGAATCCAGCAGGTCTTCATGGAAATTTCATGCCTTCAATATAAGCAAGTACGGTCATCGGCTTCGTGTTATAGCATTCTGGCTTTTCTTCGGGCTTGTATCTCAGGTTCGTATACTACCGCTATGGTTGATTCAACATGGCCCGAGCTAACTGGAGAATAGATATCATATCTACGCTCGAATCCTCTCTCAGCAAGGGCTGGCATAGGTCTTACAGCCCGAAACTGTCATTGCCTGGATCTATCGGGTCGCTTCTGATAGATTTAGACGATCTAACTCTGCCCCATGACCTGGTGAAGAAACCTACAGAGCTAGGGCCTTTTCCTCAGACCGTCGCACTGGTTTCCCATCTGCTGGACTCTTTCAGTCCAAAAGCACCCGTGCAGGAATTCGAAAAGCTTCAGAATCTTGATCTTCGTCAAAATCTCTCGGGCGTCCTGAATGGCTTCAATCGCCTGCGCAAAGTCTTAGTTAAATGGCTACACGAATCAGGTTCAAATCTGGGCCCTGGTGACGATAGAGTGCCGATCCAGTTCTTGACGCATGTTCATCGCTTCTGCGTTTCAAAATCTGCCTCGGCGGCTTTGTTGTCGGACGTGAGTTTGACTTCGGCATGGCTACAATGTCTTGGTGGACTCCTCGGACCCAGTGTTATTCATGGCCTGACGAATTTGCAAGGAACACTGGGCAAGTTCCTGGAAGAGGTGGCAGAATTGACGAACCGATCCAAATTGTTCGAACACCAAACAAGAGAATTACTTTTGCCGGTTATTGTGGATCATGGTCATCAGGAGCAGAGTAACAAGCCAATCGAGGCCTGTCTTCTGGTAAATATTGACATCGTATCTTGGCTATGGGACCTTCAGCTAAACTTATATTCTTAGAATTCAATCCAGAAACTTCACTCGGGGTTACTGGAGACTGCCGGGACTCCGGTAAATGTACATGATACCTCGGACAAGAGCCCAGATGACGTACAAATGGGAACCAGCCAACAACCCGTGATCTTAAACGAGTCTGAAGAAACCCGGGAATCAAAACGACTCTGTATCACCGCTGGATCTACTTGCAGTAATCCACTTCAATTTCTCAAGGGTAAATTGTCATCGCTCCTAGAGTCCAGTGAGATTTCCACAGTGGAAAGTCTTCGGAAAATAATTGAGTAGGTTCAAGAACCGTTTTTCCATGATTGTGATTGGAAATGTGATTGACATTTCGCCTTTTTACAGGAGTTCATACGCCCAACTCTCCGAGCCCCAAAAAAGTGAAATTCTGGAAACCGTGGGCAAGCTTTCTTGCGCTTTAACCGGAAACCTTGTCCAAAGGCATTCTGAGATTATATCGCGAGAACTGCTGTTTTGTGAAGCGTGCGATGGTGGACAACAAAAGCAGGAAGCAGAATACGGCGGGCAAAGCGAAGAAGAATTCGGTCACTTGTGGGAAATTGTCAACTTCATTCTTCCGAAACTGACTCGTACGCCGGGCCCGAGAATTGCTGCTATGATTGCTTTGAGACGGATCTTGATGCACTCGACCAACTTGAATCAGATGCAGCTTTCGACGTCAACGTCTGGGGAGTTTTGCCTCCACTCTCTTCGAAGCTCTATTCGGGAACTTCGAATTGCGACTGGGTATAGTTCATATGCCACAATATCCCCCAAACATAGCTAACGATCATATAGACACGCGGTGCCTGCCTTTGTTCGCCCAGATCTCCAACAAGATATCCGCCGGGCAAACTTTGTCGTTGTTCTAGAGTGGCTCAAGAATCTGTCGGAAAAGGATGATATGGCTTTGCAGGAGGCATGCGTTTTGACATTATGTCGACTTGCAAGGGTGTCAGATGACGAAGAGAAAAACATCATTTTGCTGCGTCTGTTGGAGTATCTTGGACATCCGAATCCGTACATATGTGCGGTCTCCTACAATGAGGTGAGTTGTTGACACTATACTTACTCGGTTTTGCTCGTCACGATATTAACATTTGATACAGCTCTCCAAGCTCGCACAGCAATTCTCGGTGACTCCCGCTGGTCTCTTCCGACCATACTGGAGAACACTCTCCGTGGTAGTCGTCAAGAACCTTCAATCTCGGCCGTACATGGCTGAGCAGCTGTGTGAGCTGCTAGGAATGAAAGTTGATAGCTTCCTACGTTTGACGGAGGTTCATATTCTGCCTTACCTGGTGCTGACAAGAAGACGGGACATAATATCCCGGATTGGAGCAAGTCGCAGTGAAGGCGAATCACCTTTCGATGTCTGTTCGGAGAAGAATAATCTCGCTGCAATTTTGGCTTTTCTTCTCGCTCAGCAGTCGAATGACCCGGAAGCTATGATCATGTCTCTTCTTGCGGAGATAGACTCTGCTTTCAAAGGTCGTACATTCGCTGAGCTTGTCCGAATCGAACCTATTTTGATTGCTTGCGATTTACTCAAGAACCTTGGGAATTCGGGAGATCAGAACAGGGAGAGATTCCAACAAGCTCTCTATCGACTTGCCTTGTTCATTCCTCGGAAATCCCCACACGGCAGCTCATCTAAAAGGTCTGATATTTTGATTCATTTCATTGAGGAGCATGTCCTCGGTATCATCACTCAATTTGCGAATGCAATCAATGATTTCGAAGTGAGACAGACATTGGCAGAGAAAAGGCGCAACCTCAAGGCGATCGAGGAGATGATTAACATCGCCCAAGGCCATGTTAGTAATGCTCTGCCTCAAGTCAGCGCCTGCCTCCGGTCAGCACTCGAGATCGAAGAACTGTGCGACCATGCCTTTTCGGCTTGGAAGACTCTTATAAGCTCCCTCAGTGATGAAGACATTGAGCCCCTCATCGACCAGACATTCGCCATTGTCATCAGATATTGGGGGATATTGACTATCGAGAGTCAGCATAGTGCCTATCGACTCATCGATCATATACTCACCAATCATCCGAATCTGGTACGGGATACCTTTAATACAATGCCTTCGCTCTCGTCTATTCCCGATCTTCAGCCATTGGAGGATAGGGTCAACGAACTCAGATCCCAGATGGATGTTCGAAGCCAATTTTTGGCGCTCGTACGTCGCTGTCAGAGTGAAAATGCCACTGTTGTCGAGCAGGCGCTGAAGGAGCTGACCCCCTTTCTCTCGGAGAATGAGGAATTCCTTCATGTTTCGGTTCTCAGTGAGCAGCCTGATCCTATCATTGCTCAATTGACGAGAGCATTGCTGAGACTGCTGCGTGAAATTCAGCAGCAGCTCAGATCCCATTACTTTGCTTTCGGCGCAGTGCTTAGGTCTTGTTGGCTGTCTCGACCCCAATCGCGTCGAAACAATCAAAGAGAAGAAAGATATTCTGGTTCTGTCAAATTTTGATCGGATAGAAGAGACGATGGAGTTTGTCCTTTTCTTCCTTCAGCATGTGCTTGTTGACGCATTCTTGTCTGCTTCTGATACAAGAGCCCAAGGATTCCTAGCATACGCCATGCAAGGTCTTCTCAAATTTTGCCAACTCAACGTGGCTGTTACACAGACCCAGCGTACCAGAGATTTGCAAGGAGATGAAAAGTATCAGCGATGGATGGAGCTGCCTGAAAGTGTGCGTAATACCCTGACGCCCTTTTTGACATCAACATACACCGTCACAGTTGTCCCGACCAAATCCAAAGTCAACTACCCCTTGTTTTCCCCCGATATGACGCACAGCGAATGGCTGCGTACGCTTGTGCAAGACCTTCTTAAAACGTCGAGAGGTGATAACGCTAGGACCGTATTCCATGTTTGTAGTCGTGTTGTCAAAGGTCAAGATATCTCAATATCTTCGTTCCTCCTTCCTTTCGCGATCTTAAATCGCGTTGTCGGGGGTACCGAACAAGAGCAGCTGGATCTTCAGCTGGAGTTAACCAAGGTGCTTTCGTACCCTCTTCCAGATACAAATAGCAATCTCCGAGAAACGATTCTCAGCTGCAGTCAGGTAAATTTTCCTTTCCTTTCTTTCTACATTCAATTTCGGCCTTCCAATATACTGACTAATACTTCGTCATTCGCAGAGCGTTTTCGAGGTTTTGGATTATCTGTCAAGGTGGCTCCAAGGCAAGAAGAAACACATGAGTGGTCTGAATCAACAGGCCCATCAATCATCAAGTCGATCGCATAGAGAGGCCGCTCGAGATCCGCTCCATGCCAAGTTCTCTTCTCAAATAAAATCAGTCGAATCATTACTGGCTTCAATACCCCCCGAAAAAATCTCCAAGCGAGCTGTTGAGTGCAAATCTTTCTCCAGAGCCTTGTTTCACTGGGAGCAGTATATTCGCAAATGCAATTCTCAGGTCGAAGTGAACGAGCAGTCTAATCCGGAGGCCTTGTACCAGCGACTTCAGAATATCTATAGCCAGATTGATGAACCGGATGGTATTGAAGGTATTTCGAGTCATCTTTCAGCACTCGATATTGATCAACAGGTTCTTGAACATCGAAAGGCTGGACGATGGGCCACTGCTCAGAGCTGGTATGAGTTGCAGCTTGAGAAAGACTCGGCAAATGTGGAAGCGCAGTGGAATCTTGTCACCTGTCTGAAGGAATCTGGACAGCAAGGTAACTATGCTCCCAGCAATCTATATTGTATCGAATCATATCAGTTAACATTATGCAGACGCGATTCTCACTCGTTTTGAGGTCCTCAAGGAAGATAAGCCTGCGGCCTCCCGCTTCCTCCCCTTCGCAGTCGAAGCCTCGTGGATCACCAGCCGGTGGGAAAAGCTCCAGGGCTATCTAGAGCTCTGCGAGGAATCCGGAACCGGAGAATTCAACGTGGGCATTGGAACTGCTTTGAACACACTGCGCCAGCCCGAACCCGGAGCTGAATCATTTACGGATATTGTAAATGGACTGAGGCTCCAGGTTGCAAAATCACTGAATGCCAATTCTGTGGCCTCGCTTCAATCTTGTCATGATGACATGCTACGATTACATGCATTGGCAGACGTGGAAGCTATAGCCAACGCAGAAGCTAAGGGTCCTGGGTCATACCAAGGGCTTCTCAAGGCCCTGGACAGACGGCTGGATGTTCTTGGTGGTTATATCGCAGATAAGCAGTATCTCCTAGGTCTCAGGCGAGCGACGATGGAACTAGCGTATGACACATATAATTATCCTTTATGACGAACAAAGACAACTGACTATCTTCACAGGGGACCTTTTCCAAGCTCGAATATTGCGGCCGCGTGGCTTACGAGCGCCCATCTCTCGCGAAAGGGCAATTTCACTAGCCAGGCATACCATTCAATGCTTCACGCGGCCAGGTTGCAGGATCGATCGGCTACCATTGAACATGCAAGGCTTCTTTGGAAAGATGGACATCATCGAAAAGCCATCCAAACGCTGGAAGGTGCCATATCCGCGAATGAAGATAATCCTCAAGAATCAATGTCGGTTGATTCTGAGTCGGCGTCATCTCTTTCTGGTGGTTCTGGAAAGCATCAAGGTGTGCTGATTACCGCTCGTGCGCACCTTTTACTTGCGAAATGGACGGATAGGGCTGGCCAGACGCATTCCCAGGCCATTGTCCAACGGTACCGTGAAGCGATCAAGCTTTATCCGCGCTGGGAGAAAGCACACTACTACCTAGGAAAGCACTACAACAAAATTCTTGATTCTGAGAAAGCAAAGCCCATGGGCAAAGAAGCTCAGATCTATCTCAGTGGAGAGGCCACCAAGCTCGTCATTGACAACTACCTTCGCTCGCTGACCTACGGGAGTAAATACGTTTTCCAGACGTTGCCGAAATTGTTGACGCTCTGGCTAGAGCATGCCTCTATCGTTGATCAACCGATTGATCCGAAGAGAGGAGATAACGAAGAGTTCCAAAGACACACCAAAGCTCAACGACAGAAAAGTCTAGACGAAATGCATGCTCAGCTGAGAAAGTATATCTCTTCTCGTTTGCAGCCTGCTTTGTTGTTCACTATCTTGCCGCAGGTTGTGGCAAGAATCTGCCATCCTAACAGCACTGTCCATGATCTGTTGACTCGCATTGTGGTCAAAGCTGTCCACTGTTTCCCCCAGCAAGGTCTTTGGACTGTCCTGGCCGTGGTCAAGTCGTCTAATAAGGACAGAGCATCAAGAGGGTATACCTGTCTTAAGAAAATCACGGTGAGTCCTAATATCAAAGCAAGACCAATACAATACAGGCAAAAAGCTAAAGCCAAATAATACAGGAATACACCAGCAAGCACAAGACAGAATCGGCTCCTGACATTCACCGCATGATAAGCCAAGGTCAAAAGTTTTCCGAAGAGTTACTCCAACTCTGCCTAGCTCATGTCGAAGAGAGGGTCTTCAAAGTCAATCTCGCGCGCAATCTGGGATTCAATCACAAAGCCGCTCCGTGCCGGCTGGTGGTGCCATTCCAGGCCATGCTAATCCCGAGTTTGCCTTCCAGCCACGATTCGGAATATTTGAAGGGGTTCCGGCCATTTCCTCGTGATCCAACCACAATCGACGGTATGTATAGGATCCGAAAGTGATGTCCATTGTGTAAGTCGTGGTGGCTCAGCTAACTGCTTGTTTTTTTCAGCCGTTCTTGATGAAGCGCAGATCTTGCACTCTGCTCAACAACCACGAAAGATTAGCATTCGGGGCTCAGACGGGAAAATCTATAATGCGCTGTGTAAACCAAAGGACGATCTGCGTAAGGATCAACGTTTGATGGAGTTCAATAACATGATCAACCGGTTCCTCAAGCGAGATGTGGAATCAAGCAAACGACGAATGTGTAAGTGAAAGTTTTCTCGGACCGGTGGTCTGCCCTATCTTATTCTTATGGCTAATCTGATCTGGATCAAGACATCAAAACCTACGCCGTTACACCCTTGAATGAAGAATGTGGGTTGATTGAGTGGGTCGATAATCTGCGTACATTGAGAGATATCATCGCCAAAGGCCTTCGTGAAAGGGGCGCTGCACCGAATGTGAGTCTCTACTGGGCTTTTTCTCTGGTCCAAGGTGTGATTGTTGCGAAGAAAATAAATTGCTAACACGTTCGGGTTAAAGTACACTGAGATCAGACACTATCTTGACGAGATATGTGCCGACCGTTCGATGTCCAAATTACCTCTGTTCACTACGAAGATTTTAGCAAAGTCAGTTGTCTTCACTTCTTTGCCCCCGCCCTAATACGCCCTATACTTGAGCAATTGCTAACAGTCCGGATCCTCTAGGTGCCCTCCCGTTCTTCACGAATGGTTCATTGAGATGTTTCCTGAGACCGAAGCTTGGTTCGCTGCAAGGTTACGATACACGCGGTCTTCTGCGGTGATGTCTATGGTTGGATACGTTCTAGGGTTCGTACCAGTCAATCAAATCATATTTGTTCTTGCCTTGACGTTAATGGATGCTAACTGTAATCTATCAGACTGGGTGATCGACACGGAGAGAACTTGTCCTTTGAAGAAGGCACTGGTGGTATTTTGCATGTTGATTTCAATTGCCTGTTCGACAAGGTACGTGTCTGATCCATTCTCTATTATAGATGTGACTCACTGAACAGAATATGCTGACCATCAATCCGCACAGGGACAAACGCTCGCAAAGCCAGAAGTGGTTCCATTCCGTCTGACGCAAAACATGGTCGATGCATTCGGCGCCTATGGTTATAACGGTGAGTATTGAGCTCGAGCTTGAGCTATCGTGATCCTGCAGGTCTTGACTACCCTATGTTACCAAGTACTAATATGTCTACTTTGCCAAAAGGACCATTCCGAAGAACATGCGAAATCACACTGCGTCTTTTGCGGCAGAACGAAGATGCTTTGATGACTATCCTTGAAACCTTTTTGCACGACCCAACTACAGACTTTATCGGGAAAAGAGTGAGTGAACCCAATTCCTAATTTGCCCCCTTCCCCTCCCATAAGGAAAGTAATTGTAACTAATCACGGCTTCCCTCCCACAGCGCCGCACCCAGGTAACCGTGCCCGACACGCCGGCCGGAGTTTTGGAGGATGTTCGCAACAAGCTTCGGGGCTTTATGTCGAAGCAACCCATTGCTCTTTCGGTCGATGGACAGGTGGACGAGCTGATCATCCAGGCGACCGATAAGGCGAATCTGGCAAAGATGTACATTGGGTGGTGTGCATTCTTCTAGCCTTAGACTTTGAGGCATTCTGCTTCTGAGAGCTTCGAGGTCCCATCCCATACAATAGTCCTACTCCTTAAATCAAATCAAGCCTGGAAGAAAAGCAATCACAGTGCCCGCCGTCCTTGGGGGAGTCGAGTCGCACAATTGCCGGTGCCTTTGTACGGAATGGTTCCTAGATTAGTTGGCGAGTAATGAATGCTAAATGGTGTATGCGGTGATAAGATTTGATATTTCTTCTCCGCCTAGGGTAGGGACCGTTGATAAACATGAACATGTCACTGGGTCTAATGCCGATTGCGACTGCGAGTTCTGTCCGGTGTCGGAGTTCTTCCACCACGGCTACTATCGTCATAGCTACTATAGCTTGGGCTTCTCCGTCGACGCTGGCCAGAACTCTTTGGCCGGGTACTGCCTCGTCTTGGCGGCGAGCGAGATCGAGATCGAGAATAGGATCGGTTGCGTACTGGAGATCGGGACCGCGAGCGCGATACAGACTTGGGCCTATACACATCGTGGCGTTCGCCAGCGCGTGCACCGCGACCCTGTCGGCGCGGAGGCGATTTGGCATAGGAGCCCCTTCTGAAGCCGGAACGGCCTCCATTTCCTCGGTCTCGGTTTGCTGGAGGTGGCGAGCGAGAGAATGTTCGGCGAGGGAGAACAATGGCGACGTTCAGGACGGCTCCGTCTCAGTTGGGCTTCGTGCATGTGTGCGATAGCTGCTTCCGCGTCGGCGGGGTCATAGTACAGGATGTACGCTGTGCCTCGATTCGTCATGACTAGGGACAGAAGCTTGATTAGTTACGCCGGTTCCAGAGTGATGTGGTATGGGCTTCGCTCTTACAGGCTCGATTAACTGGGAGATCGAGGTATTCGATATCTCCAAAGCTACCGAATATCTCGCGGAGATGAGCTTCCGTGACATTCTTTGTTAACTTCTCCACCACGATCTAATCTCCTGTGTCAGCTGCTGTTGTTGAAGGGGGAGGCGGCAATACCCTCGATGCTTCGGCTCGAATCGATGCATGACGAACTCACCTTGGCGCTTTTCACTGGACTCGAGGCTCGGCTGGGTGATCGGCTATAGCTGTGGCTTCGGCTTCGGCTTCGATAACGTCGACTGTCTCTGCTACGACTGCGCGATCGAGTTCGGCCTCGTGGAGGTGAAGGCGAGCGGGTGGCACTTCGTGGACGCGAGTCCTCACGAGGACGTGGAGATCGGGATCGAGACCGCGTATGCGCGGGGGGTGATCGGCTGGGCGAATGCCCGCGAGGGGAGCGAGGAGGCATGTAGGCGACTAGAATATCCGAGTTGCGGATACTTTGCGAGCTTGGGAACGAGGTTGATCGGGTTCGGAAGCAAGGTGTCACTGGCGCGGGATTCTATGCGACTGCGGGTTTGACTAGGATACTGATGGGCTTCGAGGCGCCAATGGCTTCGGGATCGATAGATAGAGGGTGGTGACAATTAATTTCAAGTTGCGACAAATCACGGTTACGCGAGCTGAGGGAAACGGGTGTTGTTGGGTTGAAGGTGAGGTGAAGTGAAGGTAAGGTTAAGTGACGAAGGTTGATGTTCGTCGGCAAATGGAAGAGCTCCCTTTGTGGCCTCAGGCCACAAACAGTCCCAATCCGGAATAGATAATTTACTATAAACCAGTGTTTATTTACAATTTGTGCAACGTGAACCACTCACTTGTAGCTATTATACTTAAGCCAAACTATACAAGTCATAGCAATTCACATATCTCTATTCTAATATTGAGCCTCCGCCCAAAGCTCATACTCCTGAATAACCTCATCCGTAATCTGCCGTTTGACCTGACTCAGCGCAATCTCAAAATGCTCAGCTTTAACATCCTGTTCTTGCCCAGTCCTATCCTCCTCATCAAGCGCCGCATCACCCGCAGTTTCACAGATACTAACGACCTCCGCACCGGAGTACCCCTCCATCTTCTCAGCCAATTCATCCAGGTTCACTTCCGAACTGAGTACAGATTTGGCTGCCCAGATACGCAAGATTTCCCGTCGAGCTTCAAGATCAGGCGGTCCGATGTAAACGAGTTTGTCCAGTCGACCAGGACGCATAAGCGCCGGGTCCAGGACGTCTGGCTTGTTGGTGGCTGCAACGACGAGCACGCCTCGTAATTCCTCGATACCGTCCATTTCGTTCAGCAGTGTTGTGAGAACGTTCACGCCACCTTGTGAACTGCTGCTGCGTCGGCCGGCGATGGCATCGATTTCGTCGAAGAAAATGATGCTGGGTCGGGCTGCTCGGGCTTTGCGGAAGATTTCTCGGAGGGATCGCTCGGACTCGCCGACGTACATGCTGAGGATCTCGGCGCCCTTCACGGCGAGGAAGTTCAGGCCTGCTTCTGTGGCTAGGGCTTTGACGGTGAGTGTTTTGGCACAACCGGGAGGTCCGTAGAGGAGGACGCCCTTTTTGCTTTTTACGTTGAGTCTTTGCATTCTTTGAGCGTGCTGATTGGGGTTTGTTAGATTTGTGACGATCGAGAGGGCGTTAATGGTTCACTGATTCTTACCTTGAGAGGTCGCTCGACGGCATTCTGTAGACGTTCCTTGATCTCTTTTTGTCCGCCGATATCCGACCATCGTACTTTGGGAGTCTCTAGGAACACCTCACGCATGGCGGTGGGTCGGACTTCTTGAAGCGCAGACATCATGTCTGAAATTTGGATATCCAGTTCCACGCCGGCTCCATCTTCGCCCTGGGGAGAAGGAGAGATCTCTAGGTTCTGAAGTGATAGCCCTTGCTCCAGGCTCTGTCTTTGCCGCGCTTTGCGGCAGATCATTTGTAATAAAGCGAACAAGTCCGCTCCAACATATCCATGGGTCTTCTCAGCGAGCAAATCAAGGAACGAGTCGCTCAAGCCAGCAGTCACTGGGCCCCGAAGAACACGCAGGATTTCAGCACGGTCTTGTGCCGTCGGGACTTGTAGTTCGATCTCTGTTCCGAGTCGGTGGGGTGTGCGGAGGGAATCATCGACGAGATTCGGGTGTCGTGTAGCGGCGACCACAAGCACAGACGCACTCCGAATCGCATCTAGATTTTCACAGAGGACTGCTGCCAACGAAGATGAATCGAGGGAGGTCCGTTTTGGAGCGATGAATTCTAGTTGGTCGATTATGAGGACGCTGGGTTTGGAACGCATGGCTTCTTGGAAGATATTTCGGAGTTTTGACTCGCTCTCGCTCGTACTCCTGCCGAGGGTGGATGAGCCAATTTTGAAGACCTGTCTCCAGCCTGCTTTTTCAATTTGTCCCAGAAGGGTTGTCTTGCCGGTGCCCTTGGGTCCGTAAATTAGGATTCCCCGGTTACTTTCGTAGAAGGATGGCATGACTAGTTTGCGCTGCTCGTTGAAGTCTGATAGGCTTTCGTTGATATCTTCGATTTGCTTAGAAAGACCGCCCAGACCCCCCCGGTTGGACCGTAATCTGGTGGGAGGGCTTTACTTCTTCTGCTTCACCCATGTCCGTTCCGATGGAGACCTTTGTGGCCTTTGGGATGAATCGGAATATGGTATGACTCGTGCTACCGGCATTTTGTGGCTGTGCTGCGACGACATTGAAAGAGCGACGTTGACCTTTAAGGTCCAAGTCAAAGACCAACCCGCTGGCTAGGACTTCGCAGCGTGATAGATTTGACTCCAGGGCCCATTCCCAATAATGTCTTTCATCGGCCGGGATCTCGCCATATTTTTCAATCTTCTCGGCGTCAGAGATATCGACCAGGGTAACGGAAGCAAGATTCTGCAGACAACCATCGATTCTAGTTATGGCAACTTTCTCTCCGACCTTGATATTGTACCGGTCCTGGAGAGCTCGAGAAGTTTGAACGACTGTATTTTGAATATTTTCCACGGCGGTCCAAGCAATAGCGGTCTTTGCGCTTCCTTCTGCCATCGTTAAGGAACATAGGTCACCGGCTCGAAGTCGGAAGCTAGCCATCGAAGAGGAGGAGAGGTATATCCTGAATACATCTTTGTTATCGGCCTTGGGGGTTGACTGTTTCGTTAAGGGTCGAACTGTTAAGCTGCGAACGTCGGCCATTTTGAATGAATGTGCTCGGAGAAGCTGGAAAGACTTGGCGCAGGAAAAGATGACAGCACTATCTTCAATATAGCGTAGTATATATCCGTTTTCAAGCTTTCTAGCTTGCTATGCCGGGCGTAATTCCAATTGTTTGGGCTCCTGAGGAACAATAACTTGAGCTAGTTATATTTTTCGGTGGTTGAACTGTGGCTTCGGCGCACAGGGCACGGTTCGATATGCGCTGGGGGGAGGATTGGAAGGAATGTCGATTGGGAGAAATTTTGGGGGTCGGACTGTCATGGATTGCTGAGGTATGCGCAACCCAGAACCAAGGTGAAAAGATTGCAAGTTCGAAAACTGCTCGAGGTGTGGTGGGGGGAGGGGAGAAGATCTTATCGGCGGGTTGATACTCAAGAAAAATAAAAGTGGGTCAAGGAGCTGCATCGGAGACACGAGGCGGGGCATATACCCCTATAAAATACGGAGTACATTGCTCATGAGCTGACTAGAATTTAAAGAGGAAGGGAAAAAAAAACCATATGAATATTCACTTCGACGGCGTGACACTCCAAATTATCTTCAATGGGAAGTTGAGGACGTGCCGCCCGAGGCTATGGACAGATATGTATGATACTCGAGGGTAATAGGCGCCAACTCTCCATAGAAACCGGACATTCAAATCTTAGCACATGAAATTGCAGGGAAAGGATATGTTCTGCGCAGAAAACGACCAATGGGGACGGGGACGAGACGAAGATAGGAAAGAATAAAGTCAAAGGAGACACGCGGAAAGGGAAATGGGGAAAGAAAAAGCAAGGAGATAGAGAGAGAGAATGGTGATACAGGGGGTCGTCTAACAGCACTTTCCTCCGCTGCTACCGTTCAAACCCGAGCCCTGCTGGTCTATATTGACCCCCGAAGTCCCGCTTTGTTCGGTCTTGGACGTATCCATGCCCTTCTTGATATCGGACGCCAGGCTATAAAATGCCTTTTCGATGTTGATGTTGTTCTTTGCGGAGACCTCCAGGAATGGAATGCCGAGTTCATCGGCGAGCTGTTGGCCCTGCTCGGTGGAAACGGCCCTCTTCTCCTCCCAGTCACACTTGTTTCCGATGAGAATCTTGTGCACCCCTTCGCTGGCGTGTTGTTCGACGTTGGAGAACCAGGTTCGAATGTCTGTTCGGGGAGAAATTAAATTAGAATCCTAGCATATCTTAGGGTGGAAGAGAAGGAAATGTTTCCAAAGTTGGGCGGGTCTTACTTTGGAAGGATCGCTCATCGGTCACATCGTAAACAAGGAGGATTCCCATTGCACCACGGTAGTATGCCGTTGTGATGGTGCGGAAACGTTCCTGGCCCGCTGTGTCCCAAATCTGGAGTTTCACTCTCTTGCCGTCCAACTCGATTGTGCGGATCTTAAAATCAATTCCGATGGTGGTAATGAAGGAGGGGGTGAAGGAGTCCTCGCTGAATCGCAGGAGACAGCATGACTTGCCGACGCCAGAGTCGCCGATCAACAGCAACTTGATCTGCGGAGCACATAACCCCGTTAGCAAATTTATTCAAATTGTGATATTAGCGTTCGATATCTTCTCTGCGTACCAAAAAGTCGTAATTCCTTGTACCCGCCATGATTGTCTGTTCGTGGTGTCTTTAGGGAGGTGAAAAAGGGTCGGGGAGATAGGAGACGGTCAGGATGTTGAGTAGTCCCACAAAGAGATCGGGAAAACAGAGCAATATGTGTCAAACTGTCTGGAGCTAGATTTGAAACTGAGATCTGGTCGGTTGTGGCGGGTCGTTTATCGTTGAGAGGGGTGGAAGGTGGAAGGGTTCGGTGGCTTTGGGACGGTATCAGGAGTGTCGGACCAAGAGTGCAGATCGGCCAGTTTCACACAGTCAGGTGATCAAGTGAGGTCTCTCGACTTGCAAGAGTATTAGGTCAAAAGCACGCTTACAACCGGGGCAAGCAGAAGATTCAGGGAAGAGAAGGAAGCAGAGATGAGATGGAGGTGGTCGACACAAGGTGGAGAGTGATGACGGCGCGGCCGCGGATGACCTTGTTACGTAAGCTTCCAAGGCCACCGCCGGAATGAAGGCGAAGTCGACGGCGATGGTGATGGCGATGGCGATGATGTCTACGGGATGGCAAACAAAAGAAAGAAAGGTATTTTGTGGGTCATTAGAGATAATCTATCAGATACAATATGTCCATCGCATCCTCTCCACCACTCGAAGTTGTTTTTCCACCCCACTTCGAACGTCCAATAAGTCCTGAATATCCTCTCGAAATTCACGATATTGCATAGCCCCAAGCATCGGCTTCACTTTCTGAAGTAGACTCTCGGCTTCACAGATAAGTCGTCCAGAGTCTTTGAAAGAAATCACTCCGTTTGATACCGACGCATCCAGTAGGATCCTCGTAGAATTTCTAGTTTCGTTAGCCTCTTTTTCCCTGGCTCGCCAAATAAGGAAGAGTATATAATAACAACATACCTTAGACTACGTTTGAGTTCCACCTGTCGCTTTCCTTTAGCCAGGCCTTTTCGGTTCCCGAAAACTCCAAGGAGCCAGCGTAGACTCGAATATGTGACCAAGATCCCTGGGGTAAGTCCAACAAAGCTGAAGGGGCGATAAATCAGCGGGGACATTCAATGAGATAATGATATGTATGACACTTACCCAAATACAAGCTCTTGGCTCTTCAAGAGGGCATTTATTCCACTGATAGCAACTTCGACATCGACCTTAGTCTTCTGGATCTGAATCAAAAGGGCACGGACCAAATCCCCGCGAACGGTCCCTTTGAACGGCGATCGCAAGTCTCGCTCATACGCTCTCAGCACCGGTGTCAAATCACCTTCTTTGACTGCGTTTGTAATGAGTGTGGCGTCTTCTGGAGTCATAGCCTGCGATGACTCGGGACGATCACGGACAAAGTCAAGGACCATACGTTCCAGGCTATCTCGATCGGCGACCAGACTGTTCTTGCTCATGATAGCAATCTCACTCTTTTCGTCGTGTCTGATCGTGCCAATAAGTTTATGGACCGGGGCTACGACCCAATTTTGCGCAAAGTCGATGACTGTGCTGCCGAAGTCCATGATCCATTGAAGAATGTCGTCCTTGCGGTGGAGTATGAAGTTGAGAGAAGCGCTGCCCGAGAACAGCACAATGGATAGTGGGAGCCAGTACCGGATGATTGCGCGCGGGCGTCCATTACGCTTGATTTTTGTAGAGACAGATGTCGTGTGGCTGGGAAGCTGAGTGCGGAGGACGTGAATGAGGCGCTGGATCAACTGGAGAGGATTCTCAGTTGTGGACGAATCGTGATCTTGTGCTTGTAGACGAATTGTACTGTTTTCGATGGCCGCGAAGACGTTTTGTTCAAAGTCGGGAGCTGTTGATGGGGAGACAGCATGGTGCAAAATGGCTTCTGTCAAGGCTACTGTCCGGGAGACGGAGCCCTGCCATTGACCCTTGGGCAGGTTAGATTCAGCTTCGGCTACCGTGGCCGAGTCTGTAGGGAAGGAATGCCAATCTTCCATGATAAGTCCAAGGCTGCTTGTGTGGATATCTTTGATTGCTAGCAATCTGTCTCTTTTTTGTCGAGCTTCTGCCCGGCACGATCGAATTGGGTCTGAAAAATTTGACCAGGCCGGATACGCCGACACACTCTGGCGAGCAAGCTGGTAGAAGTGAGCCCACCTGGCTGCGACCGATCGCGAAAGAGAGGAAGCCGAGAAATCCCGCATGCCTGGAGCGGTATATATATCCCTACTCCAATGCCATAGGCGAACTGGGGATGTTTGCGCGGCATAGAAACCACTCTGCCAAAGAGACCCTAGGACCTCATTCCAATAGTGGATCTCTTCATGAATCTGAATTGTTTGCTCCAATAGAGCCTGCATCACTAGTCCGGAGGTTTGCACGGCGGCTTTTCCGGCAATCAGCCAAAGGTGATCGGGCACATGCTCCTCAGTGCGGACGGCTTCCGAGGCGATGGAGAGAGTGCTCGAGAAGGCCGGGTCGGATAACAAATCCGCTAGTCGAGTCGCCGGGAGCAGAGGCTGAGTCTTCGAGGTGACTGAAATCGAAGAGATGACATTTTGGAGACGACGAAGATGGAAGCCGTGAATATCATCTGTATGCAAGAGTTTATCGGAAGGAGGAATCTGCTGTTGAAGGCGGTCGAGTTGTATGTTTACGTAGCAGGCATTTCTATGGTGTGTTAGCTGGGTCCAAATCTTCAGCAGAGGAGGAAACTGTGAGGTCGTACTCCTGTACAATCGACATGGCGCCTTCTGTCGAAGACACCTCAAGGTCAAGGTTAGGTACAAGGTAGGGGAGATGGAGCTCCGCATGTACCAATCCGACATGGCGTCATATAGAGTGTAAACAGATCAAACATGGTGAGTTGCAGGAACCGGATCGGATAGTGCAAACGGTACAAACAGTATCAACAAGATCTTCAGGGCTGTTATCGCTCACGTGAGATTACCTAAGGCTTAATTTTGGAAAATCTTGGAATTTTCCAAGGGGCCCGCAGTATGCATTACACTGTGTAGTATGTATACTAGTGATATACCACAGCACACAGCCACACAGCCACATGAGAATAAGAGAAGGAATAAGATTAAGATGAAAATAAAAGAAAATTTCCTAAACCAATAATAGTACACCTATGATAAATTATATCATACGGTGTACTGAGTACCTTTGTTCGATATGGTACTCTGTATAAGATGAACATGCCACATGCAGGCAGGAACCCTCCGCAGTGGGCTGAGGACTCATCAACCAAACAGAGGACAGGCATATACGCATTATCCGGTGAGTGGGGCTCGGATGGTGATCGGCTCGTCAGTGGCCTTACCTTAGTCCTACGCGTGAGTGGGTGGTGCGGTTTCCCAGTCCTCAGGGGCTCCCGCGGTCTCGCCACTTCGGGAATGGCTTTGCTCCTCCCTCCGGGGAAAATTAATATTTGCTGCTCCTCGCCCTTTTTCTTCCCTTTCCTCTTCAACCTCCCTCCATCATTTTCTTTCCCCAACTTCGTATTCTTCTCTTTTTCTTTGGACCTGTCGGGAAACACAATGTATGTTCTTCTCTCCATCCCTTTGTTCTCCTCCTTTCGCCGGAAGGCTTTCTCCCGAAGGATTTGCAATTAACCCTTTTTTTGTTTCCCCCTCCAGGAATTCCACCGTGTTGCCCTCGGCCACCTACTGGGGCCAGTATGAGGAAATCACCAAATTCAACACCGATTTGAACATCGCCGAGAGATTGTGGGCTGCTTGGTATGCCTGGATGCAGAACGATGTTCTCGCCACCGGTATCATGTCCTTCATGATGCACGAGCTGGTCTACTTCGGTCGATCCCTTCCCTGGATCTTCATTGATACCCTGGGTTGGTTCAAGAGCTACAAGATTCAGAATGTAAGTTGAGATTTGAATTCCACGCGTCAATGGCGCTGTGCTGACCCTGATTTCCCCCTCTTTAGAACAAGATCCCCTCATTGAAGGAACAGTGGGATTGTGCCAAGTTTGTGCTTCTTAGCCACTTTACTGTTGAGCTCCCTCAGATTTGGTATGTCTCCTCTGAACAGCATCTGATATTTATCATATCCTACATTCGTCAACAGTGCTAACAATTTTTCCAGGCTCTTCCACCCCATGGCTCAATTCTGCGGCCTGTCAACCTCTATTCCCTTCCCCTCCCTTTGGACCATGGCCTACCAGATTGCCATCTTTTTCGTGATGGAGGATACCTGGCACTACTTCTCCCACCGCGCTCTCCACTGGGGACCCCTTTACAAGGCTATCCACAAAATCCACCACCAGTACTCAGCTCCCTTTGGACTGGCTGCCGAATACGCGTCTCCGATCGAAGTCATGATTCTGGGTTTCGGCACCGTCGGCTGCCCTATCCTCTGGTGCGCTTTCACTGGTGACCTGCACATTCTCACCATGTACATCTGGATTGTGCTGCGCTTGTTCCAGGCCATCGACGCTCACTCTGGTTACGAATTCCCCTGGTCTCTCCACCATTTCCTTCCCTTCTGGGCCGGTGCCGACCACCACGATCTCCACCACGAAAAGTTCATCGGCAACTACTCCAGCAGCTTCCGCTGGTGGGACTACCTTCTTGACACTGAGTACACTCCCGATGCGCTCAAGCGTCGCAGAGAAGGCAAGGCCGGAGCGAAGAAGGCTCAATGATCTGATCTGATAATGACTCAATGGCAGCCAGTTTGCCTATTTTCATTCTCTTTGCACTCGGTCTTGACCTTATTCGAGCCGTTTTTTATCACATAATAGCCTAGCCTGCTCTTCTAATATTGTTAACGGAGATAGAAGTTTTTCTAGATTTCACGTCTTCTCAGTCCTGTCTCTTTCAAGGATCTAAATCACTTTCTTAATACATATTCAATCAAGACTCTTTTATATGACATGCAGAGTTATAGTAGAATGGTGTACTTGTAGACTAAGACTGAGAAAACTATCCTCACTGCGCCCTAATAATATGGGTGTCGCCCATAACGCTCCGCCACTCTCGGCGAATCTATTCTACTTGGACAAATTGCTTGATCCTGACAAGTCATTGTACTTTGTATGTGACTGAGCAGACTACTAAGTAGTAATTGTATTATTTATACATTGACTAATAATACTAGCCATTCACATCCAGGACATCCTAGCGCCAACTAGGTACTTCTTAGCCCTGACTATAAGTATTGTCAAGCTATTCACACGACACAATAACTCATGGCCTAATTTTTGCAAGGAACGCTAGACCGAAGCGCCCAGATACGACGAAGGTCAAAGTACGACAATTATCAGGCAACGTGTAGCAGTGGCGTTCAACAAGGTGATAAGCATGGGGTGGTCGGGTTGAAGTGGAGATGTAGGCAGCAATTGTATTACCCCGTGGACTAGAGGCAAATAGGTACCCAGAGCGGACGCTTTTAGCCTGCGCTTTAACAACTTCAAGAAAATTTAACAGCTTCATTAGATACTTGGAAGGCCTTTATAGTTCACCTTGAGAGAATCTACCCTGCGAGTAGGGAGCCAACTCTATTACTGACCTACTTGGCACACTAATTCCTAGGATCTGTAGTAAAATCCCTGTCCCCACGACCTCTAGTCGTTTTACATTGACTAGCAATGTGATCAAGGATACTAGGGAGAGACTACAAGAAAAAACTTATCAAAAACTGCTGGTTCACAAGATTGATCGTGAAAATACAGCCTCCAGAGGGCTGAAAAAAAGTGAAATGATTGAGTAGGAGTTAGGCCAGTGCCTAATATTATGATTATTATATCTAATAAGCTGTTGCTATATTTATGCTTTAATAACTAAAGTCGACAACTCGACATCAATCACGCACACTGCCAGAGCCCAATAATCTGGCTTGCCTTACAACTCTTAGAGCAACAAGCTTTATCAGATGTGCAAAGGAATCCGGGCGCTGTGCATCCGCTTTTGCTGTAATCCACCCACTGCTGACCAGCGTGGATACAGCTCTTCCCTCCCTCAACATCTGTATCGCATACCAATGGAGACGTGCAATCCGAGTTTTTCTTACACGTAGTCCCCCACGAGCCATCCGGCGCCTTGCAATTTCCATTAGAGCAGAGGCCAGAAAGGCACTGTCCACTGAGCTCACATCCCTCGCCATTTGGACGGTTGGCCCGGATGCATTTTTTGGACGGGGAGCAAAGGTATCTCTCGTTGCCTTCGCAATCGGCCGCCGTCACGCAAGACTCCCCCTCGCTGGTTTGCTTGCAAGTGCCCTGGTAGCAGTGCTTAGAACGACACATATTACTATTCGTGCATGTCTCGCCAGTCTGCACTTGGATGTTGCATGTCCATGTAGAGAGGTCGCAGTATTCATACCCTCTGCCATACTCGTTGCAGTCGTCATCCGCGGCGCATCTTTTGCAAATTCCTCCGTAGCATACGCCCTCGGCGCAATGGCAGTCTGCAATGCAAGGTGTACCTAGTTTGGCCTTGTCGGCGCAAGTAGATGTGATCATGTCGCAGTATGAGTCTCTGGAACATTCACGGCTTGAAGCGCATGTCTCATTGAGGGCGGCTGCGGTTGCCGTTGCGGCAGCTGATAGGAAGAAGAGATACTGGTATAGACGCATGTTTGGGGTGTGAGGATCCTATATATGTGAGTGGATCGTAGCGGATGAATGTTGTCAAAGGCAGGACATACCTGATGGTAAATTGAGATAATTGACACGATGCAATTCTCACCAGGAAGGGTTTTGAGTAATCCAGAGATTGTTGGAAAACAAACACAACGACAGAGAGCGAACAGTCTTTATAGCTGCTCTGGGTTCTGTTCAGCTTTACCCCCAACATAATCCACACGACTGAGAGTCCCACTCATAGTCCTCTATATCAATAATGCGTGAAGGGTATGCAGTGGTATAAGCATACTATTAGGGTGATCCCCCGCTAAGACCTCTCGTTAGCGATGGTCGTTGGGAGCTGAAATGTGCCACAGGACTCACTATTGATCTCGAGCCACAGCTATTGAACTTTAGCCCCGCTCTTGAAATCCGACCCATGTGGTGGCTGAATAGCTGTGGACCCTTTACGGATCGAGTGGAGACATGTCGATCTCTAGATAACTCAGCTGCGGATAGAGGTCTGAATTATCACCGACACCAAGTGTAACCATTTAGTAAAAAGTCTGATCTCGAAGAGTTTTTATCTCGTGATATGGGTCTTGCCGCGGCTGTTACTGTGATATAGGCCATTCATATGGTGTATCGAGCGTGTTCAAGCATAATGCTGTGGAGATATACTCCCCGTTCCACCAGTGTAAACATCTGCGCGCTCTCCTGGCGGCCGCCTCCCGAGTTCTCTGCTCGCGTCAAAGCCCTTGAAACCAAGGGGGATATAACGGAAGTTGGAGCCTGACAGCTTATCGCATCCTCAGCCTGTGCCTCTGCCTCTGCGGACGAGCTCGGATATGACAAAATGTCATATTCGACCCTTCCTGTGCGTGGAGAGTTCCTCGACGTGCTTAATCTCACAGTCAAGCCAAACAGCATAACGCTGGAATTCACCTGTCCCAGTGGATCAGATGGTCTAGTGGTGGAGGTGAGGTACCAGTATGAGGCCTGTCAAGAGGCTTTGTGCAGATTGATATAACTAGAGCCCAAGTTTCGGGTTTGGTTGGGAAGAAGGAGAAAGTGAGCGTGGTTTTTCACGTAGAAAAGATGAATATCTCGTATTCGCTTTTTAGCAAGCAAAAAGAGAGCAAAGTGAGATCCCGGATTTTTGGATGAGTTATCTAGGTCGTACAGTAAATAGTAAGGTACAATAACTAGTTTACAGGCTCGTAGTGAGTCAATAATAATTAAGTGTTGAGTTGGTTGAGTCACGATACCCCGCAGATTCAAAATGCGGCGTCCAACGTCAGCAAGCCCAATATTGATGAAATACTAAACAATAAAGAAATCGAATTTCCTAATATACCCGCAAGAGTGGAAGAAAAGGACTTTGTGTCATAATATTTACCAGTCTGACACCATAAGACCTCCCCATCCGCAATTCTCCAAATTCCTTCACTGGCCATTCAGACGTTTCATCTCCAACATGTCCTCTCAATTCGAGGCTGCCTCTATTGCCCGTGCCTCTCTATATGATCCCACCCACTTCAACATCCAGGAATCCCAAACCGCACACCGCCTGGTGCTCCTGCAGCAATGGAATATTCCCACTGACTCCAAGGTGTTAGAACTGGGATGTGGGCAAGGGGACTGCACCACTGTTCTTGCCTCTGCTGTGGGCGAGCAAGGGAGAGTAGTGGCCATCGATCCGGCTGATTTGGACTATGGTGAGTCCTCTCGCTTCTCTGATCCTACGACTGCTACCCCGTAACAATACTGACGGTTGCTACAGGCACCCCGTATACTCTCGGTGAATCTCAGAGTCGCATTTCACAAGGCTCACTGGGTGGACGGATTACTTGGGTCCAACAGTCCCCCTTGGACTATCTCTCTTCCCTCCCCTCTAGCGAAGATAAGGCCTTCGACGCAACAGTGCTCGCCCACTCCTTATGGTACTTCTCCTCTCCATCTCTTATTCTTTCCACCTTCCTAGCCCTCAAGCAGCACAGCAGGCGTCTCCTCCTTGCTGAGTGGTCGTTAGTAGCGACACACCCCTCTTCCCAGCCTCACGTATTGGCCGCGCTTACTCAGGCTTGCCTGGAGTGCCGTAAGCCTATCAGTGAGTCAAACATCCGCACAGTGTTGGGTCCAAAGCGGCTCACAGAGCTTGCCCTGGCTGCCGGGTGGCAGTTGGAGAATGAGACTCTTGTGCAATGTGAAGAGGGGCTGTGGGACGGGAAATGGGAGGTGTCTGCTTGTCTTTCTTCTTCTTTTCGAAAGTGAAGTAAAGGAGAATTTAAGTGATGAGAGGGAGCAGGCGGTGGTTTTTGCATCACGGGATGCGTGTGAGGCAAGCTTGAATCGTATAGAGGGGGGGTAGGGAAGGAGTCAGGTCCATGGATGTTTGGGTTGCTAATTTTGCCTGAGTGTACAAGCTGAGTATTTTCAAATATCGGTGGAGTTGCATGTATGAAACCAATATATTGGGTCTCACTTTAGATTCTATGGGGTATTGGGGGCAGAGTGCATCCATTTCTCAAGGCTATTCAACTCAAATGAGTAAGTTTCTAAGTTCCCAAGTGGCACCAGATCCAGTATAGAAAATCTGAATGTCAACTGGTATGATATGAGTCTTTGCACTATCAGTGACTAGCATGGGCCATCCATAGTAGGTCCTTGCTTCCCCACTCTTTTGACTCATTACGAATACCGACTTCAAATTGAAATAAAAATGTCTGCATTATTACAGACTATGACTGGACTACAGACAGCGGTTTACAGACATCAATTCCCAGTGATTCCAAAAATTATAGTACTAGCTACATGCATCATGGATAAACCAAAATTGGATCCTTCGTCGTCATGATGGTCTAAAGGACCAGCTGGAGTAGTATACAACCCGGGCTGCTTGTATAGCATCAGAATTTGGTTGGCGTCGGTCAAAACCCTCTGTCTGTGACCCTCTAGCTGGGAGCGTTGGTGGCTGTCTCTGATTCTGCGGTTGTGTAGTAGTCCGTGGCCATCGAAAGCGACTAGTAGGTGCAAGTTCTTGCCGCCGACTTGACCGCTCTGCTTCTATCTCTTCCCTCTCTTCTCTTTCCTCCTTTTCTCTCCTCTTTCTTGCCTTATGATCTCAGCCGTCATGACCTGTCCAGCCACAGTATCAGGTAGCATATACCCCTGGTCAAACTGCTTCATGATACAGGGCCTTCGGGCGTGCTCTTGTTGATAAAGCAATTTAATTATATTGAGCCCCGACGCTCTGTCACCGTGAAACTGTTTCACTTTCGCACCATGAGCAATCATATCGCCCCAGAACTCGGGCGTCGTCGCCAACTCCCTTTCTCTGGTTAGCAGTTCCTGTTGAGCTGCATTATTGTCCCAGATCTTGTTCCACATAGTAGTGACAAGCACTACCTGCGGGAAGTATTTCTCTCCACAGAAGGCTTGAAACATCTGCAAGTTCAGAAAAGAGGCACCAGTCATCCTCCTATCGGTGATGCGCTGCATATAGATGATTCCCACCAATTGGATATCTTCCTCTTGTAGGTCCTTGAGGTATGTGGTAATGCATTTCAGAATGTCGAGGTCCAAGCGGTTAGTATCGTAGAACCCGAGGGGTATCGACAAGTGTCACGGTATTCTGATCGTCGAGGCGACACTCGTAGCTTGTGCATTCTGCTGTACCTGATGGAACTTATGAAATCTAATACCCATTTTGTCGGTTTGAATAACTTACAAGAATGTAGATCGTGTCCAATTTGTACCCGTTTCCCAGTCACCTCTGCAATGAAGGAGGACTTGCCTGTTCCAGTGCCACCCATGACTAAGATCGCGACTCTTCTTCTAGGTGGGGTTCTTGAGTGTTTTGCTTGAGGCTCTGGTGTTTCTTCTGTTGGAATCGTAGACCGAGGACTTGGATCTCCACCGTCCTCGATTTCCCCGCCCACTGTTCCAACGCCCACTGTTCCAACGCCCACTGTTCCAACGCCCACTGTTCCAACGCCCACTGTTCCAACGCCCACTGTTTTCGACCGTTCACTTCTCTCTTTTCATCACCCTCTCTGTTCACCACCCTCTCTTTCATCATTCCCTTTCATCACGCTAAACCCACCTATTTCTAAAATTCCCCCTTTCGCCGTCCTAGCGGCAGTTTCGTTACAGTTCGGACAACTTTTCTGAGATTAGCGCTCCACCTTAGGCAACTACACGCTTGCTGCAGCCAGCCACTTCTGCCATCTCTGAGGTAGCCAGCGATCTGCTATCAATCATATCACGAATCATCACAAGCTGGGAGGGGGCGAGTCGAGGCGCCATGGTGGTCTTTGTCACGCTGTCAACCAAGGTTGATGAGGTGGCCAAGGACGCAAGGAAACTTATGAGTTCCTACGGCGGCAGCGGTATCCGTGTACCACTCATGAAGGCTCAGATGCCTTAAGATGCTATATCTCAGTGGCTATCGCCTTGCCTACACGACTGCACACTGCGTGTGTGGTGGTTTTGTCTCTCTGCGACCGACCCGTCTGCTTGACAGACTGCCAGCGAGCATTCCCATCTTTCACTAGGTAGTAAACCTTCCTTATCTGACAACTTCAAGTTGAGTCATTGCCCAGGTGGACCTTAGAGAGCCACAAGATGTAGAAGTACTAGTATACGGAATTTGCTAACCCCTACCCTGTTGACATGATATACCCTGTGCGATAAAACGCCTCCCACATGATCACCTTCTTATGTACTGAGCTGTTACAAAGGCTCTGTGATCTTAAATTACTAACAATAACCTAGAAAGTTGTTGCAATCTTAAACTTGCTATATTAAACTTACAGTGTGAATAGCTTATGGAAGTACTTGGCCTTATCAGATTTTTTTGGCTATTTTTGCTCGTAATTACTGTGAGAATGCTCAGATACTCACAGAGATCAGAATACGACCTAGCGTGATCTCGTAGCGGGTCGACAAAAGTAATAGCTTGAAGAAGGAAACTGTGACGAAACTGGATACTACGTCGGGCATCAACAAGGGGAACGACCTCGGTTCGTTATAATTAGTTACTAGCAATTCCTGGTAGAAAAGCTCACAGGGCCAGAAAGAAAATTAGCTTACCAAACTGTATTATCATAAAAGGTGTCTGTATTTTGGCGTATTTTTGAGCTCGTTATCACTAGTAATTACTAGTAACCAATACTAGTAATTACTAGTCCTGCAAGGTTGGCAGGTGGCTGCGACCCTGCGACCCGCGCGCCGACCCGACGAACCCGACCCTGCACACGACCTGAGGAATAGGAATTGTGATACATGATTGGCCATATCGATGATTTATCAAAGTTCGTCGATCATTACGAGTACTTGATCCGATCTCAAATCACGTGTAATGATCTCCGCTTTTGTTTATAAGATATTTCTTCCTGAAATCCTGTCTGTAACAAGCCCAGGTAACCTAATCTAAAAGATTCAATATGAAGTCAGCACAAGCACAGCCTTTTGGGCATCAATGGCGGTCATCAAAATCATTCGTCATCGTTACAGTCACTCTTGCTCTATTCGCAGAAACATTCCTCTATGGCTTTCTCGTTCCAATTCTTCCTCACATGCTTGAGGTTCGATTAGGGATCGATCCGTCAGAGACCCAGTCTTATATCACGACATTGCTTACGATTCATGGCTTTCTTTCTATTATTTCTGCGCCTATTATTGGCCATTTTGCAGATAAAACACCGCATCGGAAAATTCCCCTAATGATGGGCCTGGGCGCATGTCTAGTAGGAACGATGCTTGTTGCCCTCACCCCAAATTGTATGTACTATCTATGCACTGTTCAGCACGATATATTCTAACACCTTCCAGTATTTATGCTATTTTTGGGCCGCTATCTCCAAGCAATTGGTGGATCGGCAACATGGGTTGTTGGCTATGCCATGCTACTCGATTGCACTGATACCAAAAATATGGGCAAAAATATAGGTCTGAGCATGACCTTCATCGCGGCCGGAGTTATTAGTGGGCCTGCTGTCTCTGGCGTTCTCTTGGGACTAGTTGGTTATCGGGCGACATGGTCTGTTCCGATGATCATCTTGGCACTGGATATGCTCGCCCGGTTACTCATGATCGACTCACGAGAATTGCCATCCAAAGATCCAAACGAGACGCCATCAAATAAAACCACCGAGTCGAATGAAACTACGGCTCTTTTCCAAAACGAGAACGAAAACGAAGCCTCCAAGCAACTGGCAGATACAGAGCCATCGACACCAACTGCCTCCTCGCCATTGGCTTTCTACCGCATCATGCTCACTGATGCACGCATACTGGTCGCACTGCTTGATACTATTATGTTCTCATCCATCACAGCTGGCTTTAATAACACTCTCCCGTTGCATCTTCGAGATGTATTTGGCTGGGGAAGCATGGAGACCAGCTTGATGTTCTTCTGTTTCCAAGCGCCCTCGTTGATCTTCTCAACACTCAATGGAATGATGCGTGATCGATGTGGAGTGCGGTATCCCGCCGCCATTGGCTGGGCGTTGCTAGCTCCTTTACTATGGCTGCTCGGTGTACCAGGAGATAAAAGATTTCCATGGGCTGGTTCGGATGTTGGTGGAAAGAATATCTTTATTGGTACTATGATTGCTTTAGGGACGGTTTCCATGTTCCTTCGTGGAGGGGGCAGCTTCCAGTTTAGTAGTGAGTACTTCCTTTGAGATATCCTCGCCCCCGGGTGTTGCGCGGTTTCTAACTACATCAATAGCCGTGGTAAAGAATATGCAAGCACAAAATTCCCAGGTCTTTGGTCCCTACGGTGGCAACTCGCGAGTATTCGCTATCATCGAGATGTGCTTTAGTGCTGGAATGATGGTTGGTCCGATGTTCACCGGTCCGATGACAGAAAATGCGGGATATTATTGTATGACTTCGACATTGGGTATGTTTTATTTCCTTGGAAAGCATCCATAACTTTAACTGCTGACCCTATCTACAGCAATTCTCTGTCTGGTTCTTTCAGGACTTACCTTGAAGTACTTTGAAGACACGCAACCAAAGAAAAAATCATCTTCGTTGGTTTAGCTGAGAACCATCCTTTCACCAAGGGACTTGTTTTGGATGAGTACTAGTGACGACGGTCAACTAGATTACGAGAGAGATGGAATCGAATGGAAACGAAGGAATGAGATGATACTAGACTCGAAAGTGGGAATACCCAGGCAATATCTAGTGCCTAGGTATTCTCGCAAATGAATGACAAACGCCGTATAGCAACCGCGTGCAAATGACTAAATGTCGTGATGAGAGCAATGCAAGCAACAGAACCTTGGAAGCTAATGCAATACCGACGGGAATAGCGGGTAGCAGGACTCTAGTCCTGCATGCATGAAAGTCATCTACAAAAATAATAACACAGAAACTAGTATATCCTAAATATGTATATTGGGAAACCTTACGTACTACCTAGCAATTGTAGTAGGAACTTGAATTAAACTCAAAGTGAGTAGCTACTACTTGAACGCAGACCCAGGTACAGAATTTGCTTGGAAGAAATGGGATAGTGTACAAGAGCAAGACAAGGATGTTTAGAGCGGAAGTGTCACCCCTTATTTTGGTAGAAGTGTTAATCAGCTTTATTTTTGATTACACTATGTACATGAGATACAATACTTTTTGAGCCCTACTTGGCTACATCCCACCCCTTCGTCTCAGCAGCGACCTGAGAGATTGTAATGCTCGGGTCTGCCAGAACAAGCGACAGACAGTGCTTTACGAGATGCCCGACCCTTTCCATGCTTTCCGGAGTGATTGTCCGGTCCCAATAACTAAGGGTGCCAGTCATTGCATCGTCAAATTCATTGATGGCGAACTTGAGATCACACTGTCCACTCATGTTAGCAAATACATATTCTGACGCGAAAGAAAAATCCAGAATAGAGTGGGGTAACTTACCGGCGAGTCAGATATCACCTCATGTTGTTTCCAATGAAACGCGCTTTCATTTTCCGTCGACTGATTATTGCTGGTACAAAGGCGATAGTTGTACACAGTGTTGAAGTGGTTCCATAGGCCGAGCTCCTCGACCGTGTCGATGGATGCAAATTGGTGGGGCATGGATTGAGAGTAGTCTTCTTGGGCAATGCTAAGCATCTCTGCGAAAGACACATGTTCTGCTGCACGCAAACGGGCCATGAGCATCTCGATGTGTGATCCTATCATGTTCTTTGTCTCAATTCCGGATGAGTACCGAGCTGAGGATATGTAGTAAAAAGTCACGTCCTGGGAATTGACAAGTATCCGGAGAACAACGGCCCACAGTGCTCGGAAGAGAGTAGGTGTTGTGGATGATTGAGATCTAGCAAAGTCTTTGATAGACTCTAATGAAGCCAGTGGAATCTCAATTTCTCGAGCTTTACCAGGGTAGCCAGTCATTGAGGAATCAGGCAGATAAACAGACTTGGGAGCATCCTTCAGATACTCGGTCCAGTAACTCCTATTGACGGACTTTGAGCCCTGTAATGCTGTTGCAATGAAGTCCCGATACAGGGGGATTGCCGGTAGCTGGCTCTCGCTGTACAAGGCTCTCATGTCTGCTTCAATGATGGGCATCGTCAAACCATCGACGAAACCATGGTGCATTTCAAGCAAGGCAAAGACTTTTCCAGATTCAGTCTGAGTCAGTGTCAGACGATGCGGGAGACTTTTATCACTCGGGTAATCTTTGGCTACATGCTGTCGAAGCGTAGCAAGGACCTGAGAGTCAGACGATTGAATGATCTCGAAATTAGGCACCGCCTGCTTAAGGACCACCAGAACATAGCCCCAGAGAGAGGATAGATCCGGAACATAAACCGTTCGCATCATAGGATGGCGGGCCACCAATTGGCCCCATGCCTTTTGGACGCGAACTGGATCAATTGGCTCGGAATCATCGACTGGCTGTAATTCAAAGATCACACACACATGATTGTATCCAATCTCACGATCATATCTGGACAGGTTAAATCCTTGGAAACCACGAGAAGGGTAGATATCTTCAACATTATCAAGAGACGTAATGCCAAACTCAGACAGGGACTCTTTGATAGGTGGGGGCACTTTGTCCTGTGTGCCGGCCGCCTCAACCTGCCCATCAACTGAAACTCCCTTACCAATAAGAGAGAAAGGCTGAATTGAATCAAGTGAGGTGTTGGCCTTTTGCTTCATCACGCGCGCCATATCTTCGAGTCTAGGATTGCTAAAGATGTCAGCTACAGTAAGCTTCCATCCATGACTTCCCATAATACTGGTCAGTTTAATCGCTGTGATTGAATCTCCTCCAATTCGAAATAGAGAATCCTGCATGCCAACTGACTCTGATGAGAGTCCCAATTGCCGCGTAACTAGCATATGAACCAAGTGTTCCTGATCATTGGCCGGACGGCGTTTTTCGGTTCCTAGAGACGTATACTGCTCGAATTCAGCAGGAGAAAGATCCGATAGGCGTTCACGCAGCAACTTTCGATTTGTTTTGCCCGTGGCGGTCAGAGGTAGCTGTGACAGGCGAATGAAGACAGAGGGGATCATATAGCTGGGCAGCTGATCTCGTAGTTGCAACTCTGCCTGTGCTTGTTCGGCCTGGAACACCTCATCCGGAAGCATAAGAGGATCTTCCTGGGGGAATTGAGATGATGGCTTAAGAACAAATGCGGTCAAAATGGCGGTGTTTTGCACTCGGGGCTTCACGACCTCCGCCACAATCTCCAACGCAGATGGGAAGCACTGGCGGAGGTAATATTCAACTTCGCCCAGTTCAATTCGTTGTCCCCGCAGCTTCACCTGCATGTCTTTCCTGCCCAAGAAACGTATAGATCCGCTGGAGGTATACTGGACAAGATCGCCTGTCTTGTATACGCGACCAGAGGCCTCTCCCTCTCCCAGCCAGGCAGGTTGCGGGACAAAGGCCTGGGCTGTCTTCTCCGGATCATTCAGATACCCCCGACCAACAATTGGACCGCCAACAAGCAGCTCACCCACACCACCGATCGGCACCAATCTGGTATGATCCGATTTGTCTACAATCCAGCAGACACCACCAGTGGCAGAGCCAATATCCAAGGGATCTTGCTGGGTAGCAACGTCTGGTTGAATTGTTGACAAGACACAGCACTCTGCTGGTCCGTAGATATTGAGCAAGCGGACACGGGAACACCAAGTTTCGATATCCGTTCTCGACATTGCTTCTCCTCCAAGGATGATGGTTTTAAGAGTGGGGAAATCCTCTGGAGAAAGGGATCGAAGAAAAGAAGGCGTGAAATCTGCATAGTTGATCTGAAATTCGGACACAATGTCGGCAATTCGATTCATCCGATCCTCGGGGGATGGAATACAAATGCATCCGCCCGCGAGAAGAGTAGCCAGATGATCGGTGACACTGACGTCGAAGGCGTATGAGGCAAACTGCAATGCCCTGGTCTCCGGAGACATTTTAGCAGTGCTGGTATAGGCCAGCGCACTGGCACAGAAGGCACCATGCTCGATAACGACACCCTTTGGCTTCCCCGTGGACCCGGAAGTGAAGACAATATAAAGAATGTTGTTCGGCCGAACAGGCGAGGGGGCATAATCCGCTAAATTATAGACAATTGCCTTGTCATCCAGCATGACAACCTTTCCAATAAGCTCTTCGGCCCTGCTGGCCAGTCCTGGTGGAGCAATCACAAAGGGAGCATTGGTATCTTCGCAGATGCCTTGTAGTCGTTTGAAGGGAGTCGAGGGATCCAGCAGAACAAAAGCCCCTCCGGCTTTGATCACGGCCAGAATGGCAATGGCAGTCCACCGAGATTTTTCAAAATACAAGGGAACTATCACATCAGGCTGGATATGTCCTTTTCGTTGCAAGTGGGCCGCAAAGGTTGTCGAAATAGAATCTAGCTCCCGGTATGAGAACTCGCCATCCCAGGCACATACAGCTGGAGCTTCTGGCTGAGACGAACAGCGTTGAGAAATCAAATCGTGAATACAGAAGGTTTCTTGAGGAGCAGATTGAAGGTTCCATTGCTGGAGCTGCTTGTGATCCTCTGGGCACAGGGCCGGGATATCCCGAACAGAAAGGTCTGGATGTTGGCTGATCCATTTCATCAGATGCGCATGTTGCTGCAGGATCCGTTGCATCTGAGCCTCTGGGACGATCTTATCGTCGTACACGGCCTGAACACTAACGGAGGTCGGTCCAGGTTCAATAACCAAGGTTATCGGGTAGGTGCCGAATGTGGCGTGGTTTTCAAGCTGGAATTCACTTGTCACTTCATTGAACAGTTCATAGTCATCGCGTCGAGGTGGTTGCAAAACAAGAAGACTCTGGAATCTACAAATTGCAGCTGCATCCGCTGATAGTCGACTGATATTGTGTAGGCCTAGCTGCTCAAAGGGAACGATCTGAGTTCGTCGATTATGAAGGTTCTCTCGAGCCTCCCGGATACTCTGCCCCCACTGGACTCGTATTTGCAAGGGGAATGTCGCTATTGTTGGACCACTCATCAATGCCATATCTGGCATTTGAGCACGTTTTCCGGTGTCTGTCACACCAAACACAACCTCGTCGGAGTCAGTGTACTGAGCCATCATAACAGCCCAGGCCAATTCAATGACACTCGAGGCATGATCAAAATCAAGTTGGACCTCAAAATCAGTATTTTGGATCAAAGACTTGGTGGCAGCAGGACTATAAGTGTCCGAGGGCAGAACAGGAAAGGTTGTAGGTGCCATCTTCTTCTCAGTCAGCTCTTCTCGCCAGAACTCCTTCGCTATCTCTGAGCCTGACTCGAGACAATACTGGGTAAAGCGCGAGAAGGGCTGAGAAGGAAGGGCGATATCATGATACGCGCTCTCAATATGCTTCATGAATAACGCAAGAGCCCAGTCATCATATGTAGCATGATGTAAGGTAAAAACGAAATAGTAATCGCCATCTTCATGCTTCGCAACGCCAGCCCGCACAAGAGGCGCGCTGAGCTCAGTGGTCTTTTGGAGGTCTTGATCAAGGTAATCTCTCAGATTCTCCCAATAAGGGCAGTCGATCCCCTGTCGGATCACTACCTGCAGGGCTTCGCCAGTCTCAATCTGGATCACACGGGTGCGCAAGATGGTATGGGCCTCAATGGCCGTTTGGAAAGCAGCATAGAACCGGTCCAGGTCGATATCTTGCGGAAGCTTATAGAGATACCGGGCGACATACATATGGGGGCTCTTCACAGAGAGGGCAAAAAGACTCTCCTGCACCACTGTGCAAGGGTAAATATCTTGTACATCCTCGGGCTTGGCATGGCATACATCTGCGGCTTTTTCTCGCAATTGGCTCAACTCGATGTCATTTTTAACATTCAGAAGGGAAAATGCAGGGACTGCAGAATGCTGCGCAGCCAGCGAACCATTGTTAGTGCTTCGATTCAAGTAATCGGGTGTACTGAATTCGGTCAAGCATGGTGGAGAGATCCCATTGGCGGCCATTGCAATAGCGGTCGTATGGCAAAAAGAGATGGAATAAAGTAAAGCTTCCCAAGGGAGATTGAGACTGAGATCTTTCTTCCCTCTAAGAGCTTTAGGGGCGGAGGCTATTTTTCAGAATCAAGGACAATAAATTCACCACAAATTCAGATCTCGAAACTAGTATAATGTTCTTAGTAAGTTCTCCACCAGTGGGACCCATTTCGGCACGGCTGGGACTGATCGATCGCCATTGAAAAACCGATCTTGGTCTTTTGCTAATTCCAAGCCGTAATCACAACAGATCCACTCTGAATCTCGGAGTTCACACACCGCTAGTTTGATCAGATCCGCTCTGAATCTTGGAGTTCTCACACTGCTAGATTTCAAAGTTGATTAGGCTTCATCTTTCTTCTGGAAGGTAATGATTGGTGTTTGTATATACTACTGCCATGCCTCTATTATATAAATGTTTGAAATTGCATGAAGCACGTCTGAGCATTGAAAGTCTCGACGACTGAATTGTAAAAGATACAGTTTTCATAAATCGTGTAAGGATGTAAAGATGAATCTGGGATCCACTACAATCTCCGTATTTTATTACAGCTCCACTGCGGGTTCTTTAGCGCTCGCTGCTAGTGGTTACGTATCCTTCTCATATCCACATAGCTGAACAAAAAGTTGCGCTATTTGAAGGGAAAGAAAGAAAAAAAAATTTCAATTGATCCTGTCATGACAAGGAGACATGTTCATCGGAACTGGGTGGATTTTTCAGTGGGGTTGTCACGAGTAGTTGACCTGTGAGATTGTGAATAAATGTGAAAAAGGATCTAGCAATTCCTCTCCAACTACAGGCCGTAATATCCATATTATTTCATCTCAATCATTTCATTGTCGAAATCATGGATATGGCCCTTGACAAGCAAAAATATCAACTGTACACGGCAAAGTCCAGGCCGGAACTATGGAAACAATTTGAGGATGACCACCACCCACTCAATGCCGCATGGCCTCTCTTCCTGGATCAAGACCCCTGTTACCAGAAATACGCCAAATGGCTGGCTGAATATGAGGGCCTAGCAGAATATCAATTCGCTATAGTTGAGCGGAATCATGACGACGAAACCATCGTGGCCTGTGGCCGTTCCATTCCATTCTACTTTCCCGAGCTGGACGACAAGAAATTCACCCAAGAAGAAGCCCTGCTCCGCTTACCAGAAGGGGGATACGATGCTATCCTAACTCGCGGCATCGAGCAGTACCGAAGAAGAATGTCTCCGGACACAGCCACGGCAACGCTTTTTCATAAAAGCAATCGTGACTTTGACGCGGCCTGCTCATTTGCAAACCCACCCAATGCACTGTCCGCCATCTCCATCACCGTCCGTCCTGATCGACGCTCCCTTGGCCTAGCAGAAGCCGTGATCCAAGCCATGAAGCAAACAGCCATAAAAAAAAACCTTGATGTTCTTGTCGTACCTCTTCGTCCGACCCGAAAAAGCGAATTCCCATCTGTGGACATGGCTGATTATATCACCTGGCCGCAGCTTCCAATCATGCCGGATCTGGACCTTCCATTTGACCCTTGGCTGCGAAAACACATCCGTCTTGGGGGGGCAGATCATCAAGGTAGCTCCGACAAGCATGAGGGTAGAGGGGAGCATCGCCGATTGGCAGCATTGGACGCGCAGTGACGACTGGAGAGCACTGCCTGGAAAATGTGACTCAGATCAACTGTCCGTTGAAGTCCAGTTTCCTGGTGGGTTGGCACCTTTGCGTGTGTTTGTTGAAGAAGATCGCGCCGTTTACATTGAGCCAAATGTCTGGTTATACCATGATCTTCAGCAGACTACAGGCCAATTTGATGAGACGGTGCGGTCCCTGTATATGTTATAGAGTTGGTTGGAGTATGTAGTCATGCTATTTCTATACATACTGTTTGTATGGTTGTGAAAACATTATAGTTAGAGGGGATTGTAAACATCTAATAAAAATTGTCCGTAGCGTGATTCTCAGTTCTCCGTATCTACCACCTGGACAGGATCCCTACTAGCATTCTAATTTTTGTTTGGTTTAATTAAAGTAGAAAAGTAACTTAAAAGAGGGACAATCAAGATCGGACGTTGAATAGTAAACAACTCAAAGAAGAATATGTATACGCAGAGGTCACCATACATCTGAGAAAAAGCTCATACCTAGGTAGCTATCAACATAAGGACTACAGCGTGTGACTACAAAGCATGGTCTCTCCTTTGTTTTTGCTTTTTTGTTTTCTTTTTCTTTGACCACTGGAATTGTCAATCGCCAAGTTCTTTTCATAGAAAGGCTTCAGTTGAGTATTGACATGTTTTTTGTTACAGTATACATTATGGTACTAGTATGGCGAAATACGGATATGGTGAATACTGAATACAGTGGGTGGCCAAAATAACTCCTCCGACCCACTTGCTTATAAATTATTCTGCCACTTTTTCTACCGGCAAAAACCTCGCAAATATCATCAAATTAAAGCTCAATACTTAGTATACCATCTATCTGCCTCAATAATAGCCTTGACACGACGAGGTATTGAATCAGCAAGTCTCTCAAATAACCCCATATCTATCTATGACCATGCCTCAGCTGCAGTAGTAATTAATAGTTCCCTAGTCTCTTGATTATATAGCAGTTTACTACATAATTCAGGACAAATTTCATAGATTTTTCCCTTCAAAACCGACCAGATATTCTCAATTAGATTAAGATCTGGAGAATATAGAGGCTATTCTATCACTGTTATCTCTAAATCAGCTAATAACTTACGTACAATATATACAGTATGAGTTAAGGTATTATTATATATAAAAATAGTCTCCATAACAGAGCTATCTTCTCTTGTTACTGGCTAAATCAGAGTTAGAAGAATCTACTAATAGAGATTATGAATTATAAATAAATTTACACTATTTACTCTTCCAGAATAACGTTGATCTCTAGAGAAACAAGCCCAGAATATCTAAGATAACTGTTTTCAAGGAAGTTAAAGATTAAAATATTATTATTTTACTTATTCTGATGGTTGGAGAAAGGTAAATTCAGGTTGACTACCTTTTCTATATTTAATAGTATATTTATCAGACCAATAAACTTATCGCTAATTCTCTGAAGTAAAGTATTTGTACTTTTTAACCTATATAAGTCTTTTAATAGTATAGATCTCCTCTAATAGATTCCTTTCTAGCTTTTTCCACTTCCGAAGATTCTCCTTATTCAAAAGTCGGCAGAGAGATCTTTTTTTGATCTTATAATCAACTTCTGTAAGTAAATCTTTATATTGGATATCAGGATTCCTATAAATTACTTTAAAGATTCGTTAACGTTCTTCCTCATTTAAAATCAGTTTGCGGCCACGACCAGTACAACTCTCATTTGTATAGCCTCTTTTTTAATAAGTATATATAGTAGATTTGATTATTAAGAGTAGAATTGTTAGATATTCCTTAGTAATTTGTAGAAATAACTATTAAGTAGTCAATCGAAGTTTAACAAGCTTTGTACGTGTATATGAGTCTAAATAGTAGCGTGATTGTTGTCTAGGAGGGCATATTGGGGCCCTATTTGACTATAATGGCACTGGAGGAGGTATATGGGGGACAGGCATCATAGGAATAGCCAATATAATAGCCTATATATTGTATAATAGGGTGTGGAATAGCTTCATGGTGAGTGGGCGGTGTAGGCGGTGAAAAAAGTGGGGCGGTAAAAAAGTGGGTCGGACGAGTTCTCGGGTCTTTTATCCCTAACTTTATCTTTCCGAAACCTGCAAGTCTCCGAGTGGCCAAAGTGCCGTCCCCACTTTCCGTTCCAACATTCTCTCTCTGCTAGACCCCAGCTGAACCTCAGCTGAACAGATCGGCACGCCACGCATGTAACCATTCAATTCTGAAGAAGAGCAAGTGCGCAAATACAGTCCAATAATTGGTCGCCGACCCGCCGCAGCCTTTACCGCACAACCGCAACAAACTTTGGAGGTGGGACGCGAAAAACCCATCTGTCGGGTTTGTGTGTCTCTGTGTTTATACTGCACACTCCCCGTGTGGAGGGTCGCCAAAAGTTAGCGCTGCATTGGCACGAACCACTGTAATTTTTGTATTTTTACAGTCTTAAACAACTATGTATTAGGTATTCATACGAGCTACTAGAATGGCTGAGATATTACCAAGCAATTTACATGCATACCAGTATGCCTGGGTGTATGTGTGTCACGAAATAATGTTTTTAATGTGGCAGGAGATCCTTCATCCTGTCCAGGGAGTGTACAGCCTGACTTGGTTACAGCCTGACTTGGTTACAGCCTGACTTGGTTACAGCCTGACTTGGTTACAGCCTGACTTGGTTATAGAGGCATAGACACTGAGGTCCTAATATACATGAACATTGGTCGATTTTTAGAGATTGGTAGGGCTCTACTGCACGCTGAAGTAGAGTAATCACAATCCATAGGCTAGTATATAGTGCTACTTAGATAAGGACCTCCCTCATGTTGACAATTCTGTTGCCTTACGGCCTTGTCGCCTGAGTTCTGAGGTGTATTTGTTTCCTTTTCAGCCTCTTCTCCCTGTTTCTTGGCTTTGCAATTGGCCTTCAGATATTCCGGAGTCTGGTTTGGCTTCCTTGCTACGCTACGGTATCCAGAATGCCATCCCCAAGTGTATAGAGCTAATTGTGAAATAAACCTCGCATTTGGCTAGCTTCAACGTGATCATTATGTTGATTTGTCCGGCTTAGGTCGATCCGATGCGTGCTAATCTCCATTCTTCGCATAAACCCAAGTCTCACGTAATCACCGCAAGGTCATATGGTGGAGTGAGAAACCCCGCTCGAAAAGCTAACATGCAATGTGCCCGGTCTTCTTCAGAACTTTCGTCGAGCAGCAACTGAGGTTTCGCTCTCCTGTCATAGGACTGTGAGTTTACCCGGGTAGAAATCTGAAGTATCGGGTTACCGTAAGCTCAACAGTACATTTTCATTCAAACACCCCGAAGTCAGATACTGCCGTTAGTGTATAAAGCCCCCAGGTTGTAGCCATGCATACCACTTGGGTTTGTTGTTAAACTGTTCTATTGTGGATTTCTAGCCTTTAACCAAACTTCAAGGCACTAAACGATATCCATTTCCAAAATTGATGGTCCGATCACCTGCTGAACCTAGGGCTGGTAAATCATAACAGAAGGTACGAGGATGACCGGTGGCACCTCGCTAGACTGCCAGCCCGACCCACATTTCGGCCCACCTACAGTACTCATAGGGTACATAGGCATCTCATTCGATACCCGACGCGACTTGGATAGATCCGACCTCGGGAGGCATAGTATTGGGATCGATAGCGTCACACTCTCCTATGGAATTGATTTGCTGCGACGGCCCTGCAAATCCAGGGTCAAGGTAAATAATAGCCTACTTAAAGCAAATTAGATACCCACTCATCTCCCGCTTCGAGAGACGATAAGTAACGTACAATAGGAGATTGAGCGACTACAGCGCTGGCAAAGGCAGCGGAGAGGAGCCGAAAAAATTGCATAGTGGTAATATGTACTATTCTCTCTGCTTTGCGTGCTTGTTGGTGCTGAGGTTAGAGAAAATACGGCTCTGTGTACTGTAAGGCTCTAAAATTTTGGTGTTTAGCATCCGTTTGAACATAAGCATTATAGACTCACGTACTTTTCTGGAGCACAATAGCTGAAAGTTAGGTGTGATTTAATCAGAAACGATTCGAGTAGTTATCAATCATGACACTGATTGTGAGGTATAACATGTTAGAAGGAAGCCCACGGTCAAATTATATATCCTGTGGTCTATTTACGCCTTTACGAAGCAAGGGGGCAACTAATTAAAGCTAAAGTACCACTCATAGGCCAAGACGATTTTGTATTTCTATGACTCCTGTGATCTTTTGCGCGTCCCATTCGTTGTCGGCTCGAACCGAATCTGGCTCTCCCTGATAAGAATTCCCCCAAAATCAAGCCGCGAAGTCGCTTAAAGAACACGATTAAGAGAACATTGAGCCTCTACATCTAAGCTCACAAGGCCAGACTATCGAGGCTACTTATAAGTCGCCATGTCTATCGTTAAAGGCTAAGTAGTGACTTACCTGTTGAACGTCGTCTGAAGAGCAGCAGTAGACGTCACTAGCAGTGCAGTTTTCACCTAGTGCACCGGGCAGAACGTTGCCTAGTGCGATGAGACCACCGTTTCCTTGTGAGTAACACACCACGGTTTGTTTGCTTGCACAAACATTTCAAGTTTCATTTTGAGGCAGAGCAAGGACAGTAGCGACAAAGAAGGACGAGGCAAAGATAAATTTCATGGTGTAAATAAGTATATTGAAGAGCGAAGGCCGAAAATTGGTTGAACTGACTTTGTTGAGTGATGAGTATGCGGCTGGTTTCGAAATTAGAATAGATATCTACGAAAAAGGACCTGTGCGACTCAGTAGGGCCTAGTATTTTATAGTTGTCTTTCAAGGTGAAGAGCAAGGGTCTTAATTTATAAACAACAAAAATGTCGATCCCCCTTTAAATGAAAATCTCTGTACTTATGCTAGGACAATGTAGGAAAGGATGCATTTGATCGACTGGCTAGGGACGCCGCATGCCTAGCGTGTCACCATGCTTTCTACCTATCAAATAATCATGTTGTGTCTGCAAATTTCGTGTAAAATACACTACTCGTGGTATTGAAAACGTATTGTAAAATACAGGGATCATTGTAGAAAGCGGTCTAGATGAATGGCCTTAAAATAACATCCAATCAAAACTTGCATAATTAGGATTTAATTTCCTGGAATCAAGTGTAAAGAGTGAGGTCAAACTGAATTCGAAAACTACTGTATCCCTAAGATCAATGCAACGACTCACTGTCAGTGAAAATCAGCTTGGAGGTATCGTTTGCCACAGAAACAGTGGTCTTCTGCAAATAAGGAGGGAGAGCTGACGGCTGCTCCGCCGAATTCCACACCGATGGCGCCGGCTCCCTGCTGAAGTCGTATGGGCTGTAGTCGAGCCAGGCCAGATCGCTGACCTAGTTGATGTGGGTATCTCCCGCGATGACGGTGTTGTTGCCACTGTTGTTATCGTGGAGGGTCTCTAAGGTCCTGTTCTTACTCGCTATATAGCCATCCCAAGCATCTAGGTTCGGTGGTCATTCGGGCCCATTCTGGAGTGTCATTGTTAATTGAGAGAATACTGTAATGTCTAGAGTAAGATAACATTCCAAACTTTGAATGAAGAAAGGTAAACCGATTTGACTACCAAAGATACACTAGTGAGTACCACCGACTTAATTAGCTTACACTGCAACTAGGTTTCCTGACGGCTTCCCAAAAATGTACGACCGGCGTTATCTTTAATCTTATTAATGTATTTAGTGTTAGCGTAGATATCTTTAATAGAATGTTTGTATTGTCTGGTGTCCAATATGATTAGGTCCACCAATTTTCCAAGCTTGAAATTTCTCCAGATACGAAAATTATCATCTATCTTGAGTTAGCCTTTTCTGAGAAAAAATGTATAATTAAGGATAATTGTATGTTTATATTGAATTTTAAGGCCTATAGTGCACAAATCCTATTGTGTATATATATGATATTCGTCGAACTAAGATATTATAGTAGAAGCAAAAATACATAAAGTAGGATTAAGTATCAAAAGTATCCAGTACTATAATAGGGAGAATAGTTTTGGTCTGTTATTGTATAGAATATAGTAATTAACAACCTTTACCCTCCCTTCTCTCCCTATCTATCCTAGAAGTAATAGAGGGGACAAATTAAAATATCTAGTACTTAAGTATAGGTCCGATACGGAACTGTATATACTTAAATCAGAATTATATTTAGTTACTTAGGTCTACTGTAGAGGCTTCTGGTAGACAGTCCTCTAATTTCTTAATCCTAATCATTATCTCTAACAACTATTTCTGGAATTCCTATTGCCCAGTAATACCAGGTTTAAGCGTTCTCTTAATAGTCTTGTCACAGGATCCCGAGTATATAATACCTTAGGTACTTGACATCAATCTGAAGCCGAATCCCCTTCGAGTCACCTATATATCGAGGCCCACCCGAACCCTAATATATTTAAGATCCCGTAAGTACTCAGGATTCCTGATCTCTTCAAGAAGTAGTCTGTGTATCAATTGTCTAGTCTGATCTCTACTGTCTGGTATCCTTGCCTAGTTATAGGTCTCTAGTCTGATAACTTAGTAGCTATTATAATTCCGATTCTTCTTTATTAACTATCTAAGGATTGAAGATAGTGCTCTCTATATGTTGAAACCCTATATCCTCTTATGTTAGTACTTATTCTAAACCTACTATATCTCCTCTAGCTACTTAATAACCTGAAGTTAAATTGATCCTGGATTAACCTAGAATCTTTATTAAATCTAAACTGGACTAGATATCTATCTATAAGACTACTAAATATATTGTTAATATACTGTTATTCTCTTCCCTATATAGGATATAGATATAAGGAATTATAAGTAAACTAATAACTGGAAGTGTTATAGAACTTGATTAAAAGGGTCTTAATATTATAGGGCTTATATTCAAGAGCTTTGGTAAGAAGTAATTAACTCTCTTTATATTCTCTTTAGTAATCTAATCTTATCTTAGCTATACTAGAGGTTTATATCTGATTTATACCTAATTTATGCCTGATTTATATAATAGTTAGAATAAATAACTTAATATAGTATTTTCTTTATTCTTCAAGTTTCTTTAAGAATTAGTCTCTATTACTATTTATATATATTATTAGTTAATTCTCCTATTCTTTAATTACTATCTAAAGTCTTATCTAGTTATAGATCTATAGTCTATTCCTTAGTATTTACTATTATAATTCTAGTTTTTTTCTTTTAACTACCTAAGACTAAGAATAGTTCTTTCTATCTATTAAAACCCTACTTCTAAATCTAGTAAATCTTACTCTAAGTATATAAATCTGATTTACTCTATCTTTAATATTAATTTAGGATAGATTTAAGTTAAAGAAGTAGTTAAGAAAGAATTTAGTCTAGATTCTACTAGAATTAGTTTAAATCTAAATTAAGAAAGTTTTACTACTAAATCCTTATCTTTTAACTAGAAAAGAAATATATCTTAAAGATTTAAAAATAGTTCTATAGAGAAGTTTCTCTAGGATAAAATATATTCTTATATTTTAAATTAGCTAAAATTAAAAGAATTAAAATCTTTAATCTTACTACTAAGTTTATCTATAAGAAATAATACTTCTAAGTTAATATTCTTTTAATAGTCTTTTAGAGAGTTTTTTTATATTTATTATTCTAAGAATACTAAGATTACTAAAAGTATTTATTACTTAGAATCTTTACTCTAAAACTAATAGATTACTTTTAGTACTAAAGACTCTATAAATTCTATAATAATTACTTAAGAAGAATTTTTAATATAGACTATTAATATTATCTTTTAATTAGGTAATTTTAAAATAGATATTATTCTTAAATATAATAAACTTTAATAAGAGAATAATAAGAGTCTAACTTAAATTTATTTTTATCTCTTGGAATATAAAAGATATATAGAATAAATATCTAAGAAAAAGAAAAAAAAACTAATTTTAGTCTAAATTAGATTATTAGTAAGAAAAGTTTTATTAAATTATAGACTAAGTAAAATTTTCTTAATCTAAGAGAGCTAGATTAATAAAATATAATATTAATAGAGAATTATAAGAGAGAAAAAGATAAATTAGAACTATCTATTTAGAAGTCTTTATTTAATCTTAAATTAAAGTTAAAATAATAATTTTTCTTAAGATAACTAAAATAAAACTAAAAATAAGTATATCACAGGGCTTGTGTCAAAGAGGGTAAGCTTCAGTAAGAAGTAACTAACTCTCTTTATATTCCCTATGGCGACCTGATCTTATCTCAGCTACACTAGAGGCTTGTATCCAATTCGATATCGATTTATACCTAATTTATATAATAATTAGGTTAAATAACTTAACGTAGTGTTTCCTTTATTCTTGAAGTTTCTTTAAGAATTAGTCTCTATTACTATTTATATATATTATTGGTTAATTCTCCTATTCTTTAATTACTATCTAAAGTCTTACCTAGTTATAGATCTCTAGCCTATCCCTTAGATTACTATTATAATTCTAATTCTTCTTCTTAACTACCTAAGACTAAAGATAGCCCTCTCTACCTACCAAAATCCTATTTCTAAATCTAGTAAACCCTACTCTAAGTATACAGACCTAATTTACCCTATTTTTAATATTAATTTAGAATAGATTTAAGTTAAAAAAGTAGTTAAGGAAGAACCTAGTCTAGATCCTACTAGAACTAGTTTAAATCTAAACTAAGAAAGTTCTACTACCAAATCCTTATCTTCTAACTAGAGAGAAAATAATCTTAAATACTCTATTAAAGAGTAAATCTAAGACTAGTTTATATAGTAGTAAAAGCTAAATAAACTCCTAGAGCTTAAGAAATATATCTAAGAGCTTTAAGAATAACTCTATAGAGAAATTACTTCTAAATAAAATATATTCTTATACTCTAAACTAACTAAGATTAAGAGAATTAAAATCTCTAATTTTACTACTAAATTTACCTACTAAAAGTAATACTCTTAGATTAATATTCTTTTAGTAATCTTTTAGAGAACTTTTTATATTTATTATTCTAAGAATACTAAGATTACTAAGAATATCTATTACTTAGAATCTTTACTCTAAAATTAATAGATTACTCTTAGTACTAAAGACTCTATAAATTATATAATAACTATATAGAAAGAGTTCTTAATATAGACTATTAGTATTATCTTTTAATTAGATAATTTTAAAATAGATACTATTCTTAAATATAATAAACTTTAATAAGAGAATAATAAAAGTCTGATCTAGTTTTATTTTTATCTTTTAGAATATAAGAAATATATAGAATAAGTATCTAAAAAGAAAAAGAAAGATTAATTTTAGTCTAAATTAGATAAATTACTAGTAAAGAAAGTTCTATTAACTTATAGACTAAGTAAGACTCTCTTAACCTAAGATAGCTAGATTAATAAAGTAGAATATTAATAGAGAATTATAAAAGAGAAAAGAATAAATTAAAATTATCTACCTAGAAATAGTCTCTAGTTAACTCTAAATCAGAATTAAAATAATAACTTTTCTTAAGATAACTAAAATAAAACTAGAAATAAGTAACTAAGATAAGATAATTTAAAATTAAATTAGAAGTAAAATAAAACTAAAAGATAG